TCTAATTCTTCCTCTAATTCTTCCTCTAATTCTTCCTCTAATTCTTCCTCTAATTCTTCCTCTAATTCTTCCTCTAATTCTTCCTCTAATTCTTCCTCTAACAAATTTCTGACGCAGACCTCATGCTTCTCAAAGTGCAAGCATATCCCTCACGAGATCAGAGAACGGCACCAGTAAACCAATCCAACCCTTCGATCGTGAGAAGATCTCCGATCTCATTATACTCGAAGTCAAGGTCAAGCCCAAACCCAAAGCCGTCGAGAGGGCTAGGGGTAAGGTCGCTGTCAAAATTGGGAGGTCCAGGTGAAGCCAGGATCCTACCGGGGTGCTGCTGCACCACCGACTGGTCAGCTCCAGACCCTGCCTGCTGTTGAACCTCAGTGTCCTGCAGGGCCGCACGACCCTGGTCGGTAGAGCTGCCTATGTTATCGACGGCATGACCAGAGACGCGAGTCGTATGATAGCTTTGGGAACCCGGCTGAGCACGATGTGGCTTCACACGTTGCAGGCGTTGCCTGTTACTCCTCGCTTCAGGTTGCATATCATCGCTTCGCACAGAGTGGTCTTCAGTCGCGCTCCTGGTGCGTTCAATCATCTTCTCCACCACAACTTCGAATGCATCACGATATTTTTTGGCGCTTGACCACTGCTCGCTGATGACATACAGAACTGTCGAGCATGCTCCAACGTCGCCAGCATGATGAGCGTCGTACAGCGACGGACTGTTGCAGATGCAATAGATCAATGTGAATCCTGCAACAAACACTGCATGCAAATCTCTCAGCGTGAATGGTACGGGAGATAGCCGGTGGAGTCGTCTGTAAAGCTGACAGATCTGGCCAGATGCATCGGCACATGCAGCATACTCCGAAGGGCCAAACGTATAGTGATTCTGTCCCTCTGTCATCAGCGGCTGTAGCAATGATCGTCGCGCCTCATTGTATTCGAGGAGCAATTCTGTCCTCTCGATCTCCACGGAACGTCGGATTTCTCGTACCCTGTCAGGCTCCGAGTCGGAAGAGTTATCCTCGTCACTGACATTTCTCGACTCGCAGAAAGCTTGCGTATAACCAGAGGACTTCGAGTAATGGCCCAGAACGCGGTCTTTCCATTCTTCGAGTTCTTGGAACCGAAGTCCAATCTTCTCCCGCATTCTGCCCGCCTGTTCAGAGCTCTTCAAGCCATGCAAGGTAAACCGAATCTTCGTATGGATGCGGTACAGCATGATATGATGTCTGTGAAGGCTCAAATTCGATAGGAATTGCGGAGTATCATCGCTTGAGTGCTGCGCTTGTCGTGCTGCGTCTAGTACATTGACGTCTTCTTCATCATCATTCACCTCCAAGGGCAGATCTGCATCGATTTCCTTGTCCGATATGGCAAAAGGCCTGCCCAACACAAGTGCGGTCTTCCTCTCGAAGATGAATGCGCTCCAGAAGAGCCTTTTGCGCTTCTGATCCTGCGCTAGCTGATGAGCGGCGACAACTCTTTGCTTATGCAAGCCCAGCTCCAGACACTGTCTCAACGCAAGACCGCACAGATGCCAGACGCTTGTCCCCGTGCACATAGTCAGCTCAATATCCCGGATATATGGCGAAGATCAGAACGGCTAGGTTAACTGGGCTTACCGGACGGGGACCGCATTGAGTGTATTCCCAGTAGCAGGGTGATCTCAATGGAGCGTATGCTGGTCCACTTCATGGCTTCAATAACGTACCTCATAGCCGCCATGAAATGGCCTTGAGGAGTATGTTTTGCGATCTTTGTAGATCCCAGAAGTTCAAGGCAGCGAGACCCACTTGCATATACCAAGTGGAGGACTGCGAGGCCTAACTGCGAGTCCGCTGATGGGTCTCCATGGACACTACTATGATGGCGATGCATTCCCCAAAGTCCTGCTCGGTCTAGGAAAGGGTACAGTGGATGTACACTCGCCAAATAAGCCTTGATGAATCTGCTGCCCACTTTCAGCGCTGGAATCGGAGCCACGGGCGTTTTGGATGAGGGAGCATGGTTCGGGAAAGGCCGGTCGGCCAACAGGGGCAAGGATACTTCTGATCCGGTACTTGTACCGCATTCAATGGCTGCTTGGACGAAATGGGCGAGGCTCAGCCCTGACGAGGAACCGAAGTAGTGAGGCTCGGCAGCGGCGACTGAGGATAACACACCCAACCCTAGGGTCAGACGATTGGAAGGAGAAGTTCTTATTGACTGGTCTTGTCGTGACGTGGGAATCTGGCGAGCTTCGGCGCGCTGTGTGGGACTGTGAAGTTCCTCGTGGTCAGAAGGCTGGATGGGTGAGCTCAGTTGCGCTTCGAGCAGGCCTACCCTGTCTTCCAACATTTTGACATATGAAGACGGGTAGGCGTTCTCTGCATTTACGCATGAGGCACCAGATCGGGCACAATTCGAACAGGCCGGAGAAGCATTGTCACACTTTGATCGTTACGAATTTAGGACCTCAAACTGCTTGACAGCATTACCTTCTGTCTCCTTGACTTGCATCTCTGGCATGCCACTAGTACCCTAGGCCGCTTGCTGCGTCTTGGGGAAGGGGCATGGTCTTCACTTCCAAGGTCACCTACCATCACGGTGGCTCAGGTGACGACAAGCCTTCTGGACACGAGAAGACTCATCAGCAGAACAGGTTTCGTTTCAATCTGGGCACAGATTTGACTTGGGTAGACTGGTGTCGCTTCCCTTAGGCAACTGATCTGAGACACCGGCTGCAGCGGGTTTGAGATAATGCTCGACGACCTACGATAGTTGCTCGACTTGCGCAAACTACAGGCTATTTTGATCCGAAGTATGTTGAGGGCCAGGCGGAATGATATGATCAACGGCGAGCACAAGATAGCGAAAGATGCGGACGGGTCTCGATATCAAATGCTTTTCGGAGAAGGCCACCATCGCCATCGACATCCCCGTTGGTACATCCGCTCTCAACGTCTCTCTCGCGCGAGCATAACGTAAACTTGTCCAGCCCTCATTCTACGCCCGCGACAGGAACGAACTCGCATGAAGAGCACCGCAGAAGATTATCATCCAAATATGGTCCGTCGACTCCGCCTAGGTGTCATCGTTCCCTCATCCAACACGGCCCTGGAACCTCTCACCTCCGCAATCATATCGTCCATCAACGACCCGGACCTTGATATCAGCGTCCATTACTCCAGATTCCGTGTAACCACAATCGATGTCTCACCCGAAGCTAATGCTCAATTCCTCCTCGAACCCATGCTCACAGCAGCCCAACTCCTCGCTGACGCCGGGGTCCATGTCATCGGCTGGAGCGGCACGTCCTCTGGCTGGCTAGGTTTCAAGAAGGACGAGATCCTCTGCAGTGTCATCCAGGACGCCACGGGCATCCCGGCGACGAGTTCGATTTTGGCATTGAATGAATTGCTCGGGAAAACCAACCCCCAGAAAATGGGCCTGGTCACGCCATATGTCAAAGCGGTCAACGATGCGATACGGAAAAATCACGCTTCCATTGGTGTCGAGATCACGGACGACAGGGAGCGGTACCTGGGAATGACCAGGAATACGGACTTCGGAGACGTAACGGAGGCACAGCTCGATGAAATGGTGACTCAAGTTGCAGGTCAAGGCGCTGATGTCGTTGCTATTTATTGCACGAATCTCCGGGGTGCACGGAGAGCATCTGTTTGGGAGAAAGAACATGACATTGTAGTACTGGACAGTGTTGCGACGACTGTTTGGGGAATGCTGCGGACGGTGGGTGCACAGCCTTCATGTGTGGAAGGATGGGGTTCAATATTCACCATTAAATAAGCGTCTGCTCGAGAAAGAAGAAAACCATTCATGCAGCCTGTCAATAGCTCCTCGGATTCGGATTCGGGTCATCAAACATTTAGCCACTCCTTGATGCTCTGCAACTCGAGCTGCCTCGCATGCACCACGCTCGGCTTCTCATTCGCCACGGGTGCAAGACTATCCTCGCCGTGCGACATCATGTTAACCACCCAAGCACGACTCGCCATACGGTCGGTGTACTTTGTGGTGCCGGCAAAGTTGAATGGCTTCGGTCCAATGGCCCCGACGGGATCCCACTCGCCCATGGGGAAGAGGATACGCTGTGACGCTTCAATGTCGGCTTGAGTGAAGCGATATTTCTTTTGTAGCTCAGCTTGAGTGGGCATCGATGTGAACGAGACGTTGTACGCTGTCGGGCACAAGGAAAAGTTCTCCTCATAACTTTGAGTGACTGACGTCGGGAATATCGTGGAGTTTGATATTTCGGCTCCACCAACTTGAGTGTAATACTTGCACAGAAGAGCGCCGTAAGAGTCAATGTCGACCAACGAGGTGGCTGCCCCTGCCGACGCGTAGTCTGTACAGTTCTGTCCCGATGCGGCCTTCGTTCGGATAACGGCGTTCAGCACGGTTGATGTACTCGATGCTGCTTCTGTCTGCCGAATGAGGTTGGGAAGGACATCAGGGTCATCGAATACCAATGCGGACGCGAGAGAGTATTGCGTCACGTCTTGGTATGACCCGACCAGCCAGCTCATGAGGTCTCGAAATTCACTGTGGTTGGTCGGTGCGCTGCACAGGGACAGCTCGGATGCAAGAGTATGAGGTAAAGTCGCAGGATTGGCAATCTTTGTGTCAAGCTCGTGCAAAGCATTCTTGATCTTCTTTGCGGCATTCGCAGATTGGTCATAGTAGACGTTGCTCACGTGGTCCATCCAGATGAAGCGGTCCGGATTTGCTTTGTCAGGGCCAAAGCACCGAATTGGTGATGCCCAGGCGACAGCACCGTAGAAGGTTTCTGGGTAGTTGAGGCGAATGACGGGGATCAGGAAGCCACCATAGGAAGACCCAACGACTTTCACTGGGGTCTCTTGCGTAATTCCTTTGGTTGTGTTCTTGATCTTGTCTACAAAGCGGACCGAGTCCAGCATAACATTCTCCAAGGTCATTGTTTCATAGCGATCAGCGAAGTTGCTGTCGTTGGAGGGCCAGCTGGCACCAAAGAAGCGGTGCTCGAGAGAGATTGCTAGGGCTGCAAGTTCTTTCGACCAGACTGGGACGATAGAGTCTTCCTTTTCAACACGTCAGCGGTCATGCAACAGCGTTGGACCTAGGGGCCGCTCACCAGGCACGCGATGGATTTGCTTTCGGCACCCTGATAGAATATGATCGAGCCGCCTGGCTGGAAATAGTCATCAATGACTTGGTATTGCTGAGCAAAGGTCTCCCCAGAACCTGTTGAGTGATCCACTAGCTGTTCGAAGAAGGCCGTAGGATGGCTGCAATTCCCCTTGTTGCCTTGGGCCGCAGCGAGAGAGAGAGCAGTGGTGACGCATGCAAAGCCACTAGGAGTGAAACCCCTTTATGAAGCATCTTGGAGTGACTATTCCTGATCCTTTTTCTGATATAGCCAGGTGTTCTGTCGAGACGGGTCCTCGTGCAGACCACGAGCTGTACTTATAGCCCAGCTCGTTCGCCATGATTACCTTGGATGGTAATTGGGCCAAGGTCAGAGAATATACAGCCACAAAACTTTGCAACTGGAATGCTGTTAGTTGTAACCACGACTAGAGGCCGGGTAGTCATGGCTTTAGTATTGCCCTCCTCAGACCATAATGCGAGCATGTGACTCGCCCAACCATCAGCACCAGCCCTATGCCCCAGAAGGGCGAATTGGTAGCGCGACTCTGCATATTAAAGCACACCCGGGTTGAAGGTGCAGGATCACAGGATCATTTCCACGGCGGCTGAGACGCAGGTGCGATGCAAGGTACCGGCGGCGCCATTGAAAATGACCAATTCTGCAATCCTTTCGGCGATTCGATCAGCGACCATTGCTACGTACGCGCAGCTACACCGCCCAAAGTTCCATGATCGACGGATGTTACACCCTTAGAGACCTTCTCAAATTTCAGCTGCTACCAGAAAATCAAGCGTCAGTTGACCATGTCTTGGGGGCTATCTCTCAGCTTTTTCCAGAGTAGGCGTGAATATGTTGATCCCTCCAACAGATACACAACGATGGCATCCAGATGGGGTGCCGCAGATCAGACCTTGTCATCGAGTCTGCCTCTTCTGAAAGGACAATGGATGTCCACTTCCAGGGGGGAGACTCCTTACCCAATGGCTTATTAAGGAGCCTAGCGACACGGATCCTATGGATATGACTTCATACATGCTTTGTTTATCTTTGGCTGAGATGGTTTTTTGGCGAACTAGGCCTAAGGTCATCCCAGTGCTGGGCTGCTCACTCGCACGTCAGATATATAGTGCACTTGCAGAGACTCTCACATTCACGGTGGCAATTGCCATGGACAATCATTATGGCAGGCGGTAGAAGGAAAGGCTGCTTGACCTGCAGGAAGAGAAAAATCAAAGTGATTCCCTCCAGTCCCTCCCCCTCCCTTTTCTCCATCTACCTGTTTCTTCATCCTACTAACTGGAAACTTCCTATCAAATCAGTGCGACGAGCGCCGTCCACGATGCCTCCATTGCGAGACTTCCAGCCGCGAGTGTGTTGGCTGGGCGTCCGAAATCGAATTCGTTGCCCAAAAGCAAGAGTCGATCCCAATATCAACAGGACGTCCAAGCCATTTATCATATCGTCTTAAAGGATTTCGATTCAAAGATCCAGCGTGCACTTTCGAGAAGCGGAAACGTTGTTCGAATCAAGCAACAGGTGTTGTCATCCCTGACACATCTTCTGCCTCATTGAAGGACACAGAAGATGCCAGGACTTGTTCCTCTTCCTCAGGCGCATCCTGTCCGACGTCCTTAATCTCCCTTGCTTTCCCGGGCTCCGAAGCGACGAGACTTGCTGGGAAACTGGTACGCTATCTCAATGGCACCTCCGGCACCAGCTTCTCCATTCTCTACTGTGGCGAGTACTTCCAAGAGCTTCCACTTCACACTGGGCACAACGAATGTCTGGACGCGGCCCTAAACTGCGTTTTGGCCGCTCGACAATGCACGCCGACTCCAACGAACTCTCACATGCGATTACAAAAGTATGGACAGGCTCTGAAACTCCTTCAGATGCAGCTCGACAACGGCGAGACACGCTTGCAGCCAGAAAGTCTCTGCTCTGCTCTCATTCTGAATAGCGCAGCGGTACGTCCCCCTCTTGCTGATGATCCTTATCAAACTGCTGATAACTTGACGCGGACAGGTAGTAGACGAGGATCTTCATAGCCATCACCATTACCTCTCTCACGCTGATGGAGCGACTGCAATCCTTCGAGCCTTTGGCCCAGAGAGGATAAATTCGCGGTTCGAGCTGCAAATGTTCTACGCTCATCTCCCTACCCTCGTGCGTCACCAATACTGTGTCCCGTGGATGTATATTGGATTGTGGCTCACAGGTGTCTCTGTCTAGGTCTTCAAGTCCCTCCTGCTCACCACGAAATGTTTCATCGACACTCCCGACTGGCGTACACTCGAGCAAAAAATCCCCGACTCCTGGTCCGTCGATCGTTTTGAAGCCGGCATACTCCACACCTACGCTAGATTGCCCGCCTTCATCCACAGTCTTCGGACACCGAGAGCCACGTCAGGATCTGAATTTGGCGAAGATTCACTTCTCTCAGCACTCTCGCTAAAGGAGGACCTTTTCTCTCTGAATGATAGAGTGAATGACTTCCTCAAAGACACCGACATGGTCCTTGAATGCCCTCCGCTATGGACTTCGTCAGAACGTGGACCCTCGACATATCACCTTTTCAAGGACATTCGTCTCGCCGAAGCGCTGTCCATCTTTTGGCGCGCACTGATCGTGGTGACCAATGGACTGCGCCAACTGCGCATGGCAACACCAGCGGACGAAGAAATCGCAATGGGTGCAGCCCTGCGGCTATCATGTCTGCTGAGCACGTTCAGACCTGGAAGCCGCTTGGATCGTTGTTCGCTTGCCTCAATCTGCGCGTGGCTCGGCTTGCTTGCTCGCAGGCCTTGAGCCGCTGGCTTGACCAAGAGTTGTGGACAATAGAACAAAATCTGGGCCCAGCAATACGAAAGGTAACCCGACTATATAATACGGCTCTTGGAGTATGATCTAGCCTTCCTGCGAAGCGTCATGAAATACTAGTACCCTCGCTCTGTTGTCGTCAGTCTCACAACAAAGACAAGCAAATCACCGCGGACAGGGACCGGGCACGGGATATTGGCGTTCAAATGGAATATCATTCTTGTGGCTCAGCTCCATTGCTATCCCCATTCATGTGCCCGGGCACACTCTGTGAGCAGCATTCATTCCTTGAGTGTGGTCCGACAACTTGAACCTCTGAAATCCAACACCCCCGCTAGCGCACTTCTACAAACCGGGGCCATACTCAGCGCGCCTCATAATTCTGTCATGTAATCTACTCTATCAACAGCCATGCCGACAAAGCCAATGCAAGGAAATGTGGTATCATGCGGTGCCAAAAGGTGCAAAAGGGACCAAAAAGAGACCATTGTCCACTCCCTGCCTCCTTCGGCGCCGCGCTTGAGGTCACAATCCTTCCGCAAAACATGCGTGCCGTCCGATAGACCAGGGCGCCTTGCCGCGTGGTCGAGTGACAGGCTATGGCATCACCGATGGCATAATGTCGTTGTGTCGTTCAGAGGTACCTAAATATGTATGCGATCCTACTGCACCTGGCTGACGATCTCGCTGGCTTTGCTCAAGCTTTCCACCATCTGCTGGCATTCTTTCCGCCGTCTGACGGTGTAGTCGCTCTCCTTGAGAAGTTCGTCGAGTTCTTGTGCTCTATACATTTGCTCCAGCAGTTCTCGTTGCATTTCATCTTTGGTGAACCTGATGGATGTTAGGCAAGGCCGGGGGATTGGACGAGAAGGGCAACACTTACTGTACCAGGGTCAACATGATGGCTTTTGGCACCATGTCGATCATGGTCCTTCTGACAATATTGAAGTAGCTGTTGATCAATAGCTTGATTACTTCCACTTCTTGGTTCTCGCGTTCGGATAATGTTCCGCTGGCCTTCAACGTGGCCGGGGGTGGCTCCATTGCCGCCATCTTCTTTTTGTTTTTGCTCGCGAAGAATGAGCCGAAGAAGCCAGCGTTGGGCTCTGTGCCGTCTGTGGGCAAACCGGGAGAGTTTGCTCGTGGTGGCACCGATGGAGGTAGTGGCTTGCCTGTCTTCGGGTCTACTTGGGTGGGCTTTGCGGAATTGTGTCTGTCATTCACGATGGCCATGGCCCGATGGCCGTTGAGAAAATCTGGGTGGCCCGTGTTGATATAGCACGCTTCCATTGCCACCAAATCTTTGACCAACTTGTTCGCGGGTTCCATGGCCTTCCTGAAGAAAGAGATGACGACACCGTGGAATCTCTCTTTGAGCTGAGGATATCTTCGGAATAGTTGTTTTGTAAGCAGTTGTTGCAAAATCCGGACAAGTTCGTCGTAAACCAGAGAAACACATTTCAGCGACGGCTCCTCTAGACGCCTGATTTGCTGCTTGACAATAATCTCGAATGCAGTGGTGCCGACAAAAAGTGCGGGCGAGGAGCCTGAGGAGTTGACCAACATTGTCCGGATATCAATGTCCTTGACTTGCTCAAAGGGGTCGATCGCCTTGATTCCATTCGAATACAATTCATGGTAAACGAATGAAATTCTTGCACCACCTGAAAGTTCCATGCTGGATAATTCAGCGCTGTGCCCCTCGAGGACCGTTCTGTACTCGTTTGCAAATTCGGTGATGATGTTGAGGACGATGTTCGAGCTGTTGTGTCCGATCATGTCACCAGCGCCCAACTGATCGAGTTCTTGAGAGTATTTCTGCAGAGAACTGGCGATTCGGGCCTTGATGTCGGGCAGAGTCTGTTTGATGTGCATCATAAGGATGAGGTTGAGTTTTCGGGCCAAGTATGGTGTACCGCAGTATGATGCCTTGTTGCGGTATGAAGGGTGGTTCTCGAAGAAGTCCTTCTCCGCCTTCAAGGCCAGATCTATCCTCTTCTTGTTCTCAATATCACGCTGACCTCGGTTGACCACGGGAACGTAGCCTAATCTGAGCGGAATGATTCTGCCAGCGAGAATATCGACGACATCGGTACCGGCGTCCATCAAGTCGATCTTGGTAAGCACACCGATTGTCCTCTGGCCCTCTGGGTCCACCTCACGGGCAAGTTTCAATCCATCCGAATTAGCCAAATCGACGTTGGCGGCAGTTACGGCCAGAATGATGGCATTTGGCTTCGATATCTGCTTGAGCACCATCTCTTTAATTTGTCGTTCGATATCTCGCGGTTGATCTCCAACCGGCACTTTCGTCAGGCCGGGCAGATCAACTAACGTCAGGGTAAGGACGTTGGGGGAGTAGATGCGCAAGTTGATGGGCGCGGGAGAGATTCCGACATTTCTTCCTGCTTTTGCTTCCGTTTCCTTCACGATCTCATCACGGATCTTGTTGAAATCGAAGAACTTCTGTCCTGGCAGGTGTAGGAATTCTCCCCATTCATCCACATTTGCTTGACTGTCGGTGGTCTTTTTCATGTCCTCCTCCGAAACGCCATTTGTCTGTAGTTTCGCAGGAGGTGGTCTGTTGATCAGTTGAAGGACGAGGGGTCTTCGTGTGACGATTCCGGAGCCTCGAGGCAGACTAGGGGTAGGGGTTAGTGGTCGTGAGAAATACAACCTGCCAAATCGACTGCTTTGGCTTACAAGTCTCGGCCAACAATGTTCTCGAGAACAGAACTCTTTCCACTCGACTGCGATCCGACGACGACAATCTGTGGGAGATCTATGGGATTTTGGACCTAGCACAATGATGGTCAGCTCGGTAGAACAAGTGCAGCCTGCAGCCAATGGGGGAAAGTATCAGAGGATGCATACTCCGACGGTTGTGAAAACATCTTGTAGCTTATTGACGAGAGCGATCAGACTGGGGTCGTTGACATTGATCCTGTGTATCTGTCAGTTCATTGCTTGATCGTTGTTTTTGTTGATAGTCCGCAGGCACTCACGAATAACCCCCAGGTTGAGCCGCCATGGTTGGGGCAAAGGACAGCGGAAGAGGATCGTCGAGTAAATCAGGACGGGCGGACTCGAGACTGCTTCGGGCAGATTGTTGTAGGGCAAGATCAAGAGGCTGATGTTGGGTGGAAGGGGATTGTTTGACGGTCGGAGTGATATGCGAATGCGCACTGCTGGCCAAAACTTGGGATGATGCACCTGCACTTGGTGCTGAGAGTTGTACGGATACTGGCGCGGCTTTAGGCGTGCACGGCGTGTTATAGGCTGCGCTAACACCATTAGCAGCCACCTTTTCTTGGCGCCTAAAGTGTGGCTTGCGCGTCATCGACGGCATCAAAGGCACCATGAAGCCACCATTATTCCAGAAGAACAGGCACCTGGCAAAAGATGAAGTCCCACGGGCAATTCGATCACTCGTCAATGGGCGATGCCTTTTGAGAAGGCCGCAACTTTGGGTTGGCCAATAGGTAGCTTGAATGGTCGTGGTCAACTGATCAGGCAGCATTCATTCCGTCGTAAGATGCAACTGGATCCAATGTCTGAGATCACGGTACTCCGTACGCCTCTTACAAAAGAAGTTGTTTTGAATTGCTCAACACTATCACATATTGGTAGCTTACGGAAAAGAGACACATGAGGTGAGATGAGTTGCACTTGCTCGTTACTAGTCAGCTTTCGCCCTCACCACCTAAGGTACCTGGTAGGTAAGGGTCCGGTAAGACGTATCGTATAATATCATTGCATATTGAGTGAAATACAAGATATTGAGCTAGATCTAAACCTGGCAGCGTCGGCGGCTGCTGTCCATATTCCCTTTCCCATGCGGGCACAGCCAAGGCTTGCCATGTTCAAAGGATGAATGCTCTTCGTTACCCCTTGAACTCTCCCTCTGTTGTAGTGTTGCTTGGTGTAAGCCACCTACAAGCGAACTCCTTGCAATGCAATGTTGTGTCCAAAACTCTATACTCTGTGCAGGACGTTGATCGTTAAGGATATGGTTCCCTCCACAAACTCCAGAAACAGCACCTACTCACAGTACCTACAGTGTTGATCTCATGGCGCTCGTGCGACCAGAATCATGCCGCACAACGGACCTGTTGAGGGTGTTCGAGATACCATCAATGGGAGACAATGCGTTTGTCCATCTAGAAGCTGAGTCAATTGGGGCCTCTGTACAGAGGGTATTCCGGCTTACATTCGTATTTTGCGGTCATCACCACCAGACGCAAACATGGAGGCATCTCTGGGATTCCAGTCGACCGTCGTCACACAATCCTTTCCGCCTACACCTCGACCGTGGCCCGACAGTTTCTCAATGAGAGCTTCGTTCTCCTTGTGCCACACGTAAATCATACCATCTGCATCGGCGTTAGCTCGAATTTACCATGTCAATCAATGGTGACACACCTTCGGAGCCGCTGACCACGAAGTTTTCGGCTGCTCCTCCAAAGCAACTCCGAATCACAAATTCTCCCTGCTTCTGACCCCTAAACCTGCGCACAACGTCTCTCGTGACGAGATCGATCATCTGCACCTCGCCGACAGCGAGATTGACGAGGACGGTACTGCCATCACGGCTCAAGCTGATGCTCGTCATCTTTCCCGCACTTTTTATGGGAGGCTCCTCTCGGTAATTGTGCAGGTCGAAGATCCGTATAATGTTCTGGGGATCGAGGGCGACGAGCCAGTGGCCGTCATCTGTAATAGCGACGTCCTGAACCCTAAACCCCTTGGGCCAGACATAGATAGGACGCTCGGGCTCGTCCGCAAGAAGACTCCAGTAACAGAGTTGGGAGTTTCTGTCGTGGCTGGCCGTCACAAAACGCATTGAATCAGGAGTCCACGCTGCGGCAGTGATTCCATACGTTGGTTCGGCGGACTCGTGTTGCAGGGTCACCCTCAATTTGCCCGTTTCGACATCCCAGACTCTAGCTTTGGCGTCCTGAGAACATGAGATGATCTTTGTGTCGTCAGGACTCCACGCTACATAAGTGACCTCGGCTGAATGCTGTTTCAGTTCGTGAAGACGCTTGAAAGTAACGGTCTCGTAAATGTTGACAGTCCTGTCCTGGCTTGCAGTGGCCAATTTCGAGCCGTCATGAGAGAATTGAACATGCCAGACCTCGCCGGTATGATCCTGAAGCTCTATTGATGTTCGAGCAGGGAAGTCTTCTCGATCACAAAGATGATCTGAGTATAGTGACGGAGGTATCGAAGTGTTATGATATAAGCACTGGTTTATCTGCGTCTGTTTGACTTGGTCGAACAGCTCGGCTAGTCTGTGATCCCGAATCATAACAGACGGTGCAATTGACCGCGAAAGATCTTGAAGGAGCATCTTACGTGACTCGTCCACTGTCCCCGGCCAATGAGCCTTAGTCCTGAGATCTTCTGGAGGACACATTAGTAAAGTTGAGAGAGCATGTAATTGGTGTATGTCGTGCCCCAAGGGTGTCAGCTCTTGTCTGAGTACCATGAGGGCCATGCTGAGATCTCTCCGGTCCAGTAGCTCCAAGAACTTCTGTTGTCGAATCCAAAACAGCATTTGACCACGGTCGGCCCCTTCAGCAAGCACTAGACCTTCGCCGTGTTGATCATCGCCCATATGCAGGCCTTCGCTTGGGTCAATCCGGCGTGATCCTAACAGGATTGCTTCTGCCTCGGACCAGGAGCCGTCTAAAATTGCACTTCGGAATGCCGCCACGGAGGGGCTTTCTAGTTCGTAACCACTCTCACTGCTCAAAACACTTGCAGCGTCTGAGTATCCCATGTCAAGCAGACCCTGTATCAGTATCCTGACCACCTCTTCCCGATTGTGACCCCGATATGTCGGTGACCGCACCGGTGAGAGCTTCTTGACAGCGCCATTCGTGAAGGAGGAACCTGAGCCGTTGACGTTACCAGGGGTGTGTCCGTTGACGGCAGTGTGGAAGGACTTTCGAGGAGTGGATCCATTTGAGCTGGCAGTATGACCGTTAGAATATGCTTGCCCTTGATCGTCATCAACTCTCATATTGTGTCCGTCGGTTCGCCTGCGCTTCGATCTGGGATTTCTTTCTGGCGGGACAGCTTCACACGACGTGAGACTTTCTTGACCGAGCTCTGAGGAGGAAGAGCGTCGTCTCCTTCGTCTTCCCCGCTCTTCAGAGTCCTGCACCTGCTCTATAGGTGGCTGGATTGAAACGAGGTCGTCGGAGGTAGTCGCAGGTGGGTCGGCGGTCGGAATCTCACGTGTGATGAGTCTTGATGGATGTGGGGGTTGGGCAAAGGAATCTGTGTAAGGAGGAGGAGTAGGGTGGTTTGAAATGGATGGGTCGTCGGTAGTGATTAGGTTGTCGTCGGCAGAAGGGTGGTGTGCCAGCTCGTGGTGGCGGCCAAAGCCGCCGGTCTCTGAGTAGAGACTACTCGAGCGGTACCTCGAAGGACGCTACTGTGATTGCTTGAGTGAAGAGTCAATCTGAAGGTTCAGATTGTAGTCACGGCTGAGGACGTGGACATGCAGTTCTGGCCGCCGGGGTCTATGCACCAAGGCGATTAAGGAGGATGTCCTGATATTGAGTAGTGCCTAGAACGTATGTCCGCAGGGTCGAGTTAGAGAAGGAGGGCAGGTAGATTCGTCGTTTAGCAAAGACGACACGGGTATGGAACGGCAAAATCCTCGAAGCAATGAACTAAGTAACGCAGATGGAAGGATATTGGATATTGGGATCGTCTCGGGAGAACAGCAGTGGTGGTCGTTGGTGGTCATTGAGGCAGAGGACAAGATGGGGCATATCGGAGGGATGATGCAGTTAGTCGGAGAGTTGGTCGGTGCGTGTCGGGGCTAGCTTCAACTAAGTTAGGCTTCGCCTGTTGCTGTCCTTGCTCTCTACCGCCCAGCAGAATGCCCGCATGATCTTACTCTGGCATTTTGACCTGTCTCGACCTTCACAATACAAGTCGGTGAATGGTGCCAGGCATGCACACATAACACGCCGCTGTCTAAGGTACGATATCCACTGGCTCTTGTTTCAGTCCGTCAGACCTCTGCTACTAGCGAGTGAAGCAGTGTGTCCATCATTCCCCCCGGAGAACCTCGACATCCACTGTGTTTGAAAGAGCTTCCTACTTTCCAACAAATTCATGGCATGAGGCCAGGGGATCAATCTGGCTTACTTGTGAATATGACCACTGCCACAAGTCCTCACCTATTCCACCTGCTCTGTGCCAGGACTGGGCGAAAATGGTCCTCGAGGCCGGGGGAGCTGATCATTGTCCCGAGTGGGTTATTGGCTGGAACTGGGTTGAGTACGGGTGTACCTTGCGTGCCTCGGGTTGTAAGCACGATAATGCGATCTGGAGTTCACAGATATGGCAATGCTCATGGATCCCCCAATACCAGTATAGTAGTCTCTTCACAAGATACATTTCAAGCTGTAGTCGTTTCGGCTTCTAATAGAGACTGACGGTGGCTGTCAGCGTGGGCGGCCGATCCTTGAACCGTAGGCGCAGGCGCAGGCGCGGCACAGGCATCTGCTCGTGTCATTGTTGCGGCAGCTGCCACACACCAGCAGCGACATACCCACCTGCCCGTGCTCTCGAATTCTAATTAATAGGTTCCTTTTAGTGATGATTTCATCTTGAATGCTTGGATTTCGGCCGCGCCTATCTCGCAAAAAGTCTCTAGTCGAGTTCATCACCGGAAAGAGCATTGACGATCTCTCCAGTCTCTCCGACCTCAAGTATCTCCAGCTCCAGCTTGGCCTCCCTGATCTGATCGAAGACGACGTCGAGGAAGAGCTTGCCGGTCCCAGCTCCATCAACACCTCCGTCTTCGCCTTTCCGCAACCACTCCAGACCCTCCACTCTACTGCCCGAACTTACACAAGGATGCCTGCTGCAAAAGAGAGTGGCATTGGCCACGAGGACCAACATGGTCTCGTCTTTTCCATTTCCGGTCCCGTCATCATCGCAGAAAACATGATCGGTGTGGCTATGTACGAGCTTTGCAAGGTTGGCTACGACGAGCTGGTCGGTGAAGTCATTCGGATCGAAGCCGATAAAGCTACCATCCAGGTGTATGAAGAAACAGGTATGTGATGAACAACCAAGCTCCCCTGACTCAACGCTGACTCGTCCCTAGCTGGTGTCACCGTTGGAGATCCCGTCCTGCGGACAGGCAAACCCTTATCAGTCGAGCTCGGTCCTGGCCTGATGGAAACAATCTACGATGGTATCCAACGGCCCCTGAAGACTATTGCTGGTGAGACAGACAGCATCTACATCCCTCGTGGTATCTCCATCCCCTCGTTGGATCGCAAAAAGAAATGGCCATTTACACCTACCGTGAAAGAGGGAGACCATATTAGCGGCGGAGATATCTGGGGAAAGGTCGTCGAGAACAGCTTGTTGAACGAGCACCGAATCCTAATGCCACCACGAGCAAGAGGCACCATCAAGAAGATTGCCCCGAAGGGCGAATACACGGTCGATGAACCTCTGCTCACCGTCGAATTCAATGGGGAAACCAAGGAATACCCTATGATGCACTCATGGCCTGTCCGTGTTCCCAGACCAGTCAATGAGCGACTCCAGGCCGATGCACCCTTTATCGTCGGTCAGCGAGTGCTCGACGCTCTGTTTCCCTCTGTTCAAGGTGGCACTGTCTGCATTCCTGGGGCTTTTGGCTGTGGCAAGACTGTCATTTCGCAATCCGTGTCCAAGTTCTCCAACAGCGACATCATTGTCTACGTCGGGGTACGTGTCTTTTGCTTTTCTCCACTCCATACCGGTACAGCTTTCTGACGATTCACAGTGTGGAGAACGAGGAAATGAAATGGCCGAAGTGTTGATGGACTTTCCAGAGCTATCAATCACCATCGAAGGCCGCAAAGAGCCCATTATGAAGCGAACGTGCCTGATTGCCAATACATCAAACATGCCTGTGGCTGCACGAGAAGCCTCTATCTACACCGGAATTACAGTAGCAGAATATTTCCGCGATCAAGGCAAGGCCGTCGCCATGATGGCCGACTCATCCTCACGATGGGCCGAAGCTTTGCGAGAGATTTCAGGCCGTCTTGGTGAAATGCCTGCAGATCAAGGTTTCCCTGCTTACCTGTCCGCCAAGCTTGCCTCTTTCTACGAGCGTGCTGGAAACGCTATTGCTCTTGGTTCTCCTGAACGTACCGGCAGCATTTCAATTGTCGGAGCCGTCTCACCTCCTGGTGGTGATTTCTCAGACCCTGTCACTTCTGCCACCCTCGGTATTGTGCAGGTCTTCTGGGGCTTGGACAAGAAATTGGCACAGCGAAAGCACTTTCCCAGCGTCAACACTTCGTTGTCATACAGCAAATACACCAACATCCTCGACAAATTCTACGCCAAAGACCATGCCGAGTTCCCCAAGCTTCGAGACCGCATCAAGGAACTCCTCACCAACTCGGAAGATCTCGACCAGGTCGTCCAGCTTGTCGGTAAATCCGCCCTTGGTGACTCGGACAAGATCATTCTTGACGTCGCTGCCATGTTGAAAGACGACTTCCTCCAACAGAATGGTTACAGTGACTACGACCAATTCTGCCCGCTGTGGAAAACAGAGTACATGATGAAAGCGTTCATGCAATTCCATGACGAGGCGCAAAAGGCCGTCTCAAGCGGCATGGCCTGGGCCAAGGTCAGAGAATCCACCAGCGAGATTCAGCATGGCCTGCGAAGCATGAAGTTCGAGTTGCCCGATAACCAGGAGGAGGTCTCGAGCAAGTACGACAAGCTGTTACAGAGCATGTCAGAGAAGTTTGCTAGCGTTAGTGATGAGTAGAGGATTGAAGACGTCGCTTTGCGAGAGTCAGTGATGTACCTATACTGGGAGGGCAGTAGGTAATCACATTATCAATTAGCTTAGTACAAGAACAGAATGCCTTGTGACATTATGATAAATTAATGAATCGTCATGAGAAGAGTACTTTCGCGAACCATTGGCAGATTTGATGCTGACGTCCTTGTCCCTATTGCCGTTTCTCTTCAGGGCTCATGAGAGCCACCCAAGCTGGTTTCGATGTGTAGTTCTTCTCACGACCATGATGCAGAGCACTGATGCTGGCTCGATTGCTTTCATTACCCACGACACATCGCAGAGAGCTTTGTCAGTACAAGTAAAGTCGCCGTCGCCATGCCTGTTGACATTACAGAAAATTCAGGTTTGCAGGGTCGTCTCTCTCTTCCCCTCAGCAGCGACATTTCGTTCCGACGATCACAACTTTTGGCCATGTAACCAGTGCCAGCAATGACCTGACTGGTAGGACCGGCAAGACTGGTTAGGAACAAATGGGCGAACTCAAACCATGAGCCAGTCTCCGAACGAATCGCCTACCTATGGCTGCGGCGCAATGGCTCGCGGCGCAATACTCGGCCGGCCCACACTGCGAGATCTCTCATCCGGGCCCAAACAGCCAGACACGACCTCCTGCTCGTGTTCAAAGCCTCTTCCCTGTGCGCACCATTCGACAATCTCCCCGTCAGTCGCGAGGAGGATGCTCTTCGGCCCGTCCCTGACCCTCACGATCTCAGCACAGGTCACTGGTGCGGCGAACTTGTGCTCGTTGAGTGGACCCTTCAACAACTGGCCGCTGGTCGCCGACCATACACCGACGCGGTGGTTGCTGACAAAATCCGTCGACGCGCGGACGACGACATTGAGTTCTGGATCGTACGCGAACCCTAACCCGTATTGATTCTGACGTCGGAGTTGAGGGACATTGAACGTCAGCGTAGGCTTGGTGTGTTCGTAATTGTGGCGGCGGTACTTAGCCTTCCGCGACAAGGGGTGTGTTGTTGTTGTTGTTGAGGCGGCGCCGCGAGACAGAGGAGACGGGGACGGCGCGAAGCGTAGATCGTAGATCCTCATGTCACTCAGCCCATTGACCAAAACCCGATTGCCGTCCGGCAGCATGGCGAGACCACTAATGGCGCTGGAGTGCTGGATGCGGAACGTGACAGAAGAGGCATCGAGCGATCGTGTATCGCAGAGCATCAACTTGCCCGACCGGGTCCCGCTCATAATCACTCTCTCGTCCTTGAACCCGACCACCATTTGCTCGCCCTGGATGTGAGTCTTGAACATATCCCCATCATGACCGTTGCAGAAGTCAGGAATGATGGAGACGCCCTCACTTGTTGCAATAGCAGCCATGGTCCGGGAAGGCGAAGTGGCCAAATCCAGAATCCGCCGTGGGATTTGATACGTGACTGCGGGCAATTCCGGGCGCGTACGATATCTGTCTTGGTTGGCCGTAAACGCTGCTTTGGTCAAGTATGACTGCTCGCTGCCAGGGTTGCGGTGCGTCCACAGAACAAAGCCCGGTCCCGCGGGCACAATGCAGTCCACATTGCGTGCCGGATAGACCACTGACGATTTATCGAAGTCAAAGAGGTGTCCGCAGCTGTCCTCCCGCGTGCAGACCGGCCAATATTTTGAGTCCAAATATGAGCCATGTCCTCGTAGAGGTCGACCACGGCGAGGCAATGCGAGTATCATGAAGCCTGGAGTATCATGAGGCCGCTGTGACGGTGTGAACGCGAATGGCGCCAGTAGAGCTCCGCATTCTGGTGCGATCGCGAACTTGTAACCAACTTGGCCCGTCAAATCGCTTCCCGGAATGACGTCCCAGGGTGGGAATTCGCCGAGTGCATTGGCGCCTCTGAGGCTGGCGGCATAGTAATCGGAGACAATTGAGCTCGGGCGGGCGCGGACATTGCCTAGGCGTCGATCGAAAGAGAAGAGAGGGTTCTGCAGAAGCCGTGAACGAGAGACTGTAGCTGCCTGTTCACTCAGCTTCGAAGCTTCTTCCAGCCGCTGGGTTTCCTCAATGGCTTTCTGCGCATTGACTGCCTGTCGACTATAATTGGCACCAACGGGAGCGATGTGGTTGGGCTGGATCTTGAAGTAGCGGTTCGAGGTGGCATCGAAGTAATAGCCTGGTATTTCGGCCGGCATCGTCAAAGAATGTCAAGCAAAGCCTCGTGTGCCAGGATAGTGATGGAATCAATTTCAGGATATGAAGAAATGTGAACCAAGATGAAAAGGCGACAAGGCGACCGCGCTTCTTCTCGCGCCGCAAATGCCGCAACCCATAGTTGTGAGGAGTGTGCTCAAGTGTCTAAATCTACAGTTTGAAATATATTCACCCTAAGATCCGTATATAAGACGTCGCGCGATGCTTCAAGGAAGATGGTTGAACCTCAAAATAGGCCGCTCATGATCGACGTTGGCCAAGATTTACAAATCCGGGCAAGCGCAGCCTCGTCCTTGTGCTGCGAACAAGAAGGCACAAGACTTGACATCAAAAGGGTATTCCTTTAAAGAGAGGATCCCACAAAACTATATGTAGGGAATTGGATATTCTCTTCTAATTGACACATCTCTATTGCTGAGTTATAGCACAACGTATGTTGATCACACATCCTGCTCAATCTCGTACTCACTAACCCCCATACCCCATACATGGCCCATATCTACAACCCAATCCCTACCGACATTGACCCTCCATTTCTCTTCTGTAAAATCATCGGCAGCAGCAGTGCCCGTGGTGCCCGTCGCTGCACTGGCTCCATGAAGACCTGATCCTGTAGTCCGGACAACCAGCCGAAGCTTCTCCAATTCGCCCAGCTCACGATATACTCGATCACTCACGACGCGGCCAGGCCGGTTTGGTATGCCATGCGGGTGGACAGCGCGAAGAATTGCCAAGACTCGTTCCAGGCTGAAGGGCCTCGGGATACCGAGGTTCGCATTAGCAGCGAAAATCGATTTTGTCCGAGACTTTGTTTGCGTTGTAGCATCTGGGTTCGCGTTTGGCGTTGTTCCCGTCTTTCGTTTCGTAGGCGTCTGTCTGAGTCTTCGAATCTTCTTGCTGGTTGTACTTGAGGCGGAGCTCAGGCGCGAGAAAAGGAGGATGTCATGTTTGGGCGCAGTGTGACTGGCTAAGTAGGAGGATATAAGGACAAGCGTAGGGAAATGCTTTAGCAGGGGTGGTCGCCGTCGTTGCAGGACTTTCGACGTAGGTATGCTCGAAGTCGGAGCTTCAGTCCAACCAGCTGCTCGTTTTGATGGTGTCGTGGGTGCGATCATCGTTTCTTGTGCGGTTTTGGTCTGTTGTTGCGGCGATTGAGCAGGAAGTGTATCATGCAGGGCATTTTCAGCTTCCGAGTGAAAAAGTGCACGATTCTTTACGAGTAGTTTTGCAAAATCCCATGTTCGGTCCCTCCCCGAACCTGGCGGTTTCTCACCCGTCAATACTGGCCGAATGAATGTGGGCCATAAGTTGTCGCAAATCTTGCGAAATGTTTCTATGGACGTGGAGGAAGTAGCGGAGATAAGAGAGTCGTAGATGGTTATAGCGAACTGCGCGTATATCTTCGACATATTGACCACTCCCTTCTCAACATCTGCTTGGGGAAGCGGCGACAGTGGTGAGGTGATTATCTGAAGTGCTTCGGACCGCGAATATGGAGGAAAGTGAACATATGGGACGCCGGCTCTCTGCAGCATGAGAGGCTTGGGCGAATTCGAGGTTAGGAGGACCGACAACCCAGGAATCTGCGCGAGATGTTAGCGTCAAAATTCGGTCCCTGTGTCGGCAGAGGCGTATACCTGATCGCCCAGTCGTGCCAAAGCCGGCAGCAGTGTCGGTCCGGCGTGCTTCAATTTGTCAATTCCCTCAATGACAACCACGAACCTTCTCTGTCCGGCTCTTTCAAACAGTTTGCGTAGATTCCCAAGCAATGCATTGATGCTGTCGATTCTGTCGTACTGCCCGGTTTGTGATTCTTGCTCGAAGGCCGAAACGCAGGATGCAAAGATCTTGGAAAGGAGATGTCGCTGCGTGAGACATTCTCTGCTTCTGAGAAGCGCATGTGGGATTTCCCTCTTATCTAAGACGTTCAGAATCACCTCGCTCTTGCTCGTGCTCTCAAGCCCGTAGGCGACGAGAATGGGGGGACTTGGGAACAGGTCCTATTCGGCAAGGGTTAGATCATTGGGTTTGATTTGCACTCTGCTTGCTCGGCTGGGGAGATTTCATACATGGTAGTAACTTGCAAGTTGCCTGATTTGGGTCTCTCGACATGGGCAAGTCTGCAATAATGAAGCGAGTATATGTGGCGGGAGGAGAGCCGTCATTGCTGGTATGTTGGTGGAATTATAGGTGCAGACAAATCCAACGCGTCTTTCTCTATGACGACGCGCTTTCCCACGCGGCCTTCTCCACGGTTTTGACGAGGCTGCACAAGGCTTCACTCTATCTAAATAGCACAGCAGCAATCGTCCAACTTTACTCACGAACAGTACTAGTATTTCATGCCAGAACATTCCTACAGATGAGCTGAGAGCTATCACCGCGGCAAGGTAGAAGGAGGATCATTGAATAGTTCCGAGCATCGCTCCAGGAATCACTTTTCTAGCTAAGGGGTCTAGCCTCTGTCTGATGGTACAGGTTCAGTCGCCCTCTAAGGGGTACCTAACCAAGAAAGACCTGCTGACTTCAAGTACACAACCAGACCCTCCATGGTAACAAGGCGCTCTTCTTATCCAATATGAGCATTGCCAATCTGCGCAGCAGACAGCTCGCGCTGCATTTCAATGCTTCTAGGTACAAGCTGCCGCTCCAAGACCCATGAGGTATGTGAGATGTTTTGGCGTCTTCTTTCCAAGAATAACATAATCCTTGCCAGCTATGATGAAAACCGAAAACATAAAGGAAAACTTGCTGTGCAAAACCATCATCATGCTAGTCCTCTGGCCTCCTGCCAGACTGATACTGGACCGGTAGCTGGCCTTGAGGCATAATACAGTGAACATGTTGGGGCCGTGATTTTGTGTCATGAAAAAACTTGAATTCTTTTCCGCAGGTTGGTACAGTCGTCGCAAGAAACATATCCCAAGATAGAACAGTGGTGGTCGCTGTTCTTTGAATGTCTTGTCGGAAAGGGAATGCTAATGGTGGTCATTATGTCGTGACTCGTAATCGCATAGAGAGCCGGATTGTGGTGAGCATGCATGATCAGAGCATGTTGTTGGGTCCATTGACGTAGCCAGCATAACCATTCTGGCCAAGGTCGTTTCCGTAGGTGTTGGCATTGTACATGTGTGGAGCTGCATCGTGGCGAGACATGATGCCGTAGCCGTTAGTATTGACATTGTCATCTGTGTAGCCGTTTGGAGTGCGCATGGTATTGAAACCTCCACCAACAATCTGAACATTGCGACGACTGTTGGCGCGACTTCCACTGAAGCTGGCAAGGATGTTGTCGTTGGTAGAAGTGGTGCCACGGCCCGGAACATCGATGCCCATGATCTTGCTCGCAATACGGCGACCATGTGGAGTCTGCTTGATCAGTGGAAGGATTGGACGGATGGCATCGACAAGGCGCATCTTGGTCTGTGGATCAGCGAACTCCAAGGCAGTCTGGACGACGTAGTTGGCAAACGCATCGCGAAGCATCTTCTCCAGCTCACTGCCCATCATCATCTCCTCAATCATCATTTTCTTGGTGTCAGTATCTGCAGTGCGCAGACACTTCTCAATGACGTTGGAGCTGAACTTCTGCTTGGACAATGCAGGGATCCGACTGCCGAAAGTGTCGCAGAGCGGTCTGGTGAAGGAAGGTTCGTCGAGGTCCAGAATATACTGAACAACGTAGTTACCAAATGGATCTTGAACCAGATCAAAAGCACAGTGAGTGATTCTGCCGATGAGCTGAGCACGCTGGAAGCCCTGAGCATGGTCGATGCAACGTTGCAAGACACAGCACCCATGACGATGAGTACCGACAACAACACAGAATTTGCCAACGGCGTCGTAGATGAATTGAGAACGTTCAGCTCCGAGTCGAGTCAGACACTTCTGCACGACGTGGTTTCCGTTAAGATCCTGGACCAAGTCGACCACTCGTGGAGTCAATGACTTGATGATCGTCTCGACTTGTTCTGGAGTATGGACGAATTCAATCATCTTCTGAAGAGCACGGGTGCCGTGTTGGTTGAGCGCAATCGTAGTGAGAGCAGGAGATGCGGCATTGATCAGAGTGGTACGCTGCTCGTCGTTGCAGTGCTCGAACAACTTCTGACAAAGATAGTTGCCGAATGGATCTGTCATGAGTTCAATGATGTGAGGGCATGTCTCCACAAAGATGGCCTGGATGTGTTCTTCGTCTCCGTCTTCAAGTTTTCGCTGGAGGTAACGGCAACCATGCTGATCTTTGCAGAGTTCATAGAGACTTCCACGGTAGGACTCGAGTGGGACGTTGTTGAACCGAGCTTCATCGTTGTGATTGCGTCGGCCTGTGCCAGAGCGTTGCAGTTGGCCATTGTAGACATTGTTAATGCCGTACATGCCTTGACCCTGACCATATGCCTGAACAGCTCCACCAACCGGGGCCGATGGATTCATCTGACTGACGTTGTAGGTTTGCATGTTGTAGGCGTATGGCTGAGGGGCTACGGCGCCGGTTGGGCTGCTCATCGCCATCATAGATGAATCAGAATTCGCAGCGTAGGAAGTGTTGAATGGGGCAGCGCTTGCGTGCAGGTTTGAGATCGATGATGTAGGGACGAGAGACTTGTCTTCGATCTTGGTCGCACCGTTGGCCACTTCTCGACTCTGACGGTTGTTCACTGCGTTAGCAGGGATGCGTCCCAAACTGACGTTGTGGTTATGGAATTGCTGGTCAGCTTGAGTCTTGGAAGGAGTCAACACGGTATCCAGCGTCAAGGACTTCTTGACGGTTGGGACGTCGTTGGTGGAATAGGAAGTTTGAAGAGAAGCTGGACGAGTTACCGAAAGACTCGATGATGGTAGAAGTGAGGATTCTTCAAAGGTCACTCCCATAGAGTGGCGCTGCGACTTGCGTCTGGTCAGATCCGCTGGGCGATCCGCTGGAGGACTGTTGATGTTTAGGTTGCTGAGAACAGGTCTGTACATAGACGAATCTGTGTGTGGCATGCTCTGGTGAGCTGGTCTGTAGCGAGAACCAAGGGTCCAGTCAAGATCTGGATCTCTGGAATTTGCAAGATCCAGAGCAGCAGAGTTGGCGGAAAGCTGTGAATATTTATGAGCACATTCCCAAGGTGGGAAAAGAGAGAACGCATCGCACGACGTACCTTGAGACCGTCACTCGTCAAAGTGGGGAATGTGTCGTCACCCTCAAGCTGCGCAAAGGCCTTTGCAACAGGTGATTTCAAATCAATGGCGTTCAAAGACAGATGCTTGTCATCGTCTTCAGGGTCGAAGAAGAAGCTGGTGGAAACAGGACCATAAGAGTTATGTGCAGTGCCGCTCACGCTCAAACGAGGATGACGATTGCTGTTGGCGGGCATAGAGAAGCGGTTCAACCTAAAAACAAAGAGTCAGAGATGTAACAAAATAAAACAAAGATGAAGAGTGAATAGTAAATAGTGAGGGTAAATTTGGAAAAGGCGTTGAGTTGAGAGTTCAGTTTGTTGTTGAGGTGAGGCGAGAGTGAATCACGTGTAAGGGGAAATCTCAATCACGTGGCCCTTTCACAAGGGGCAAGTGAGGCGAGACAAATGCTTCAGAGAACAGTGACAGGCTAGGACAAGCACTTACATAGCAGCAGCCCGAGTGCCGGGTAGATCCTCAGGGTAGTATTCGTCCTCGTCAGATCCGCGACGAGAGCCAGGGACTGACTTTGCTGAAGGCTTCTGAGATTGGCTCAGCAGACCGTTGCCGGAAAGGCGATTGGTGGGAGGAGAGGTAATTTGAGAGCTGGACTGCGAGATGCGATTGCTGAGGCCGGGTGGTGACATGATGCTGTTCATGGACAGTCTGCTGGAGCGCGAGAAACGGTTCGAGAAGCCAGCTTCTGCATACTCGGGAGGAGTTGTAGGCTCACTGACAGGGCCGGTGAAGCTGATTCGGTTCAATCTCGTAGAGATCCGTTCGAGGTCTTGACCATTGCCTCCCATCTGCAGGCTTCGTTCTTGCAACTCGAGAAGACGAAGTTGCTCTTCTGCCTTGCGCTTAGCGGTTTGAATGTCGTCGTACATCTGCTTGTTCTTCGCCTGCGAAGAAGGATTGTTAGCCGCCATGGCAAGCTTGAAACGATGAGGAAGATGACAGAGCTCTTAGCGATGGAGGGTGTTGGTGAGGAATCCATATGAAGCGGCTCAGGACCATCTTCACCGAGATATTTAGAAAGCCCCACTCCGCAAGTCACTGGACTAACGAAACTTCCAGCACACAATAGACTATTGTCTCATCCAAATACAATGGGCCAAGCTCTCAACGGTGTTACACAAAAACATGCCTACATACCGCAGTTGGCGTCATGGAAGGATATTGTTGTCCGAAAGGCCTTGCAGCAGGCATCTTGCTCGAGTCGGTTGTAAATCGTCTTTGCAAACTCGCACGCGCATCGTTGGACGAGGTATGTACGTTTGGAAAGAAAGGACTCTGTTCCCTCGTCGAAGAACCATTGGGGCTGAATGCACTGTCTGCGTCGGGCGATCGTAGGTTCGGAAATCGCAGCTCCTCCATGCGGCCACTGAGCGTGTTCGGGAAAGCCATATCGATGATCTACATGGTGGCCGACTTGTCAGTTGAACTTTCTCGATGTCATATAGCAGATAGAACTTAGAAGTCAGGAGGCTCGTGGACCCCGTGGCCCTGGATTTTGGCAGGTCGCTTTGACCTAGGCGCTAGCCATACAGCAGGGACAGAAATACCGTGCGTCGGGCCCGACCCAATGTTCTGTAAGGACACGTACCTGGGCAGGCTCGAGCGTTCCCGAGAATACTGCTCGTGTCTCTGAGTCGGTTGCAAATGACTTTCGAAGCTCGAGCTTGGGAGTGATGTTGGGGAAGATAGGCTCGTTTTCGCGTGGTTCAGAAGCGCCGGCAGCAGGGAGAACAGCGAGGTGCAGCGACGCTGCGTGCGCTCTCCCGGTAGCGAAGATATGCTATAAAGACAGTGAGAAAGACAGACGCAGCTAGAAAGAAAATGATGTTGTTACAAATGTGCAGAATGGGGAGAGAGACCTCGAGTAACAGGGTTCAAATCTGTAGAGTAGTAATGGAGGTCGGAACTCGATTCTTGGGCTTTTGGGTGGTCATTTCGGGCAAGCGCCAAAGTTAAGCCAGCGTGCCCAGTGGGTAGAGGGTCTAGACGAGGTTGTTAGGTGGATTGTGAGCCTGCTGCAACTCGGCGTGGGCATTGTTGGCTGGGGACCTTGCCTCTACCACTCAAGGACGACAACTGGAGCTTTCTCTGGTTAGCTCTTCGGGCTAATCCCAAGTGACCGGGGGTCGAGCGACAAGGACCGGGTCGTCATCGCAAGGTCGAGGTCTTGACGGAGGGATGATGATCGACTTCAGATCCCCTTGCTTCGCTTGGGACCTTAGCAGCCCTTGCTCAAGCATATCAACGATAAATATATGCACACCGTGGCATACCCAGCTCACACAGATGAACACAACCTCGGTGCACGCGGTTCGTTGCTGCCAGCGTCCACCCTGGCTTCATGGCGAACCCCTGGAATCCGCGTTTTAGGTTCCGCGAGGTTAACTGCTTAGCGGGGGCTTCACGATCCGTTAGTGGGCTCGCCGCCCGAGGGGCTGTTGGTAATTGCCCCTCGACACCAGACCCACGACGCATAAAGGCTCCAAAAGACGAAGCTGCGAGACAGTAATGGACAGGTCAAAGCACCAAGACATCTGCACACACCATAGCCTTCTGATGCTGCGGTGGTACTCTCCAAGGGATTCAGAATATAGTGTCCCCCTGATGTAATACCATGCTTGAGTCAGCGCCTCTTGCCACGCAGACGATGGTTGCGCCAATGGAAAGAATTCTTCGCTGTGCATCAACGCCATGGGCTTGGTCTCCTCCCTTCCAGGTGAAGCTCAACAATTCAACGACCATTTGCTCGTCAGACAAGAATGGTCATGATGTGGGGAAGCGGCGAGCTTGGTCTTGATGGGCGCTTTTTGGTCCCCCAATCCAGATGGTTCAAAGACCACAGGCAAAAAGGCGGTCAAGAGAAAGGAAATAAGGGGTCCGCTCCAGGTTGGAGCACCAGGAGCACCTCTCCAATCGAATGGCTGGTACCGCCAGGAATGGGCGCTCCCGACAATCGAGATCAGAGCGCACGATTATCTTCATAGCTTTTTTGCCTTGTCCCCCCTCGTGTGGTGGCCTGTATGGTTTGAGAGTGTTCGGTCGACCTTGAATCGCGCAATAACCCAAGGCCAATGTCGAACATTAGCATTTCTGGAGAATGTACCCCACGGCCCGGCCGAGGTCTTAGACATCAATAATGCTAGCTTTACGCATTTTGATGTACCCGAGACAGACACCCTGATGATCATACCATGGGTGAGTAGCACACGGACGAAAAGAAGGCAGTTCCTCATTCTCTCTGGCCTGCCTGAAGGTCCAGGATTATCCCAGCCACCTTATGTTTGATTTCACGACGGTCAAAAGTATCCGTGCTAGTTTTCCTGCCGAGGAACGCCCATCACCAAAGCGCCCAAGCAAGGTGCAGATGCAGGATGATGTCGCCAATTGACCCTGCATGACGCCCTGGGAGTATAGAGAACATTCCTGGCGGTCGTCCAGAAGAGCAGTAAGATCGGATCCCATGTGCAAAAGAATTCAGCTTAAGTGAGCGCTATCGCTCAAGACTGAGGTGACGTCCTCTGATCTCTTTAGAGCGACGGAAGGGGGGATCATCTCTTAGACTCGAAGCCACGGTACCAGTACAGGAATGAATGCCTGGATCCGACCTGCATCAAGGATAGCACGGGCGGTAATGCAGAGGCAGCCCGCTGCAGTCCCCTGCATAAGGAAAAAGCCTTTTAAGCAGAAGCCCCGCCACTCCGTATTGGTCATTGTGCGAGGATTCGGGCATACCGTGGGAGTGTGTGGGCAATATGCACCTTTGACTTTTCCGCTCCAGCCAAGGGGCTTTCTTTGAACTGTGGTTTGGCACCTTTGGTCAGCTGTGGTACGAGTCACCAAACGACGATACCCAAACGGCCATCAGAGTGCTTGCATCCGGACATTTTCGTCCGCTGGTTCTTCGATGTATGGGGCATACGTTGCATGCTGCCTAGGCGAACAAGGCACTTTCCTTCCAGCGTCAACACACGTATGGAGTAGTGATACGGATACTCATTCTGACCACATCGTTGCGCTCCCAAAGAGCCCCCTGGGTGGCCTCCCATGCCGACCGGCCTCGCCGGCAAGATCGTTTCCACGTGACTCGCTTCACCTTCCCGAAATCGCCTGCCCCGCCTAACACCGCCTACCGCATAGGGATCATCACGGCTGCGGTGGTGGCAGAACTTTTTATGTGCGGCGGGAAAGTTGCCCACCGCATTGCCTGACCTTTTGAGCCTCATGGTACTTACACAGAAAGATTCACTTCTGAAGTGCCACCGCAGATTGACGATGTCACGGTAGAGCATGCGACTTACCCTCAATCCTCCTATGCTGCCTCTTCTGGTGACATATGACAATGCCACCCAAGAGAAAAGCCGACGGCTCTGAGGCCGCGCCTCAGCAAGCCTCCAGAAAGCCTGCCGTTGCCAAGGTGGTAAGTATCGACTCGTCTTCACGGTTTGGAATTCAGATGGGCCTGACTTCGGTAGAAAACCGTCCCACCGAAGCCCGTCTCCAAAGAAACCCCGACCGAGTCGGCGGCTGTGCTCGATGCCCGCAATGCGGAAGGTGACTCCAAAGCTGAGAAGCATGGTCGCAAGCCCTACCACCATGCAGATAGCTTCGACGCTGCCCTCGAACCCTTCTACTATGACAAGTCTCTGACGGATCCCATTGACACGGCTCGTGACAAATGGAACTTGGTGCCTGCGTTCCTCAAAGTCAAAGGACTAGTAAAGCAGCACATTGAGTCTTTCAACCACTTTGTCGAGGTCGAACTGAAGAAAATTATTCTTGCTGAACCGGTCATCACAAGTGATATTGACCCGGACTTTTACATCAAGTATGAAAACATTTATGTTGGCCGTCCACGACGACATGATGAGCAGTTTATCAATGATGCCAAAGACGAATCTACAGTCACACCGAACGAGTGCCGCCTACGTGACATGACATATGCTGCTCCGATTTTGGTGGATGTTCGATACACAAAGTCCAAGATCGCTTACCGGCGGAGAGGGATGCCCATTGGTCGCCTCCCAATCATGCTACGGAGCTCAAGATGTGTGCTGGGTGGCAAGTCGGAAGCCGAGATGTGCGCCATGGACGAATGTCCACTGGATCCTGGCGGGTATTTCATCGTCAATGGGACGGAGAAGGTCATATTAGTTCAAGAGCAACTCAGCAAAAACCGTATCATTGTCGAGGCCGACCCCAAGAAAGAAGTGATAACGGCTTCGGTCACCAGTTCCACCCACGCCAGAAAATCGAAGAGTTACATCGTCCTGAAAAAAGACCTGTTGTACATGCGCCACAACATCTTGAACGAAGACGTGCCTGTCTGCATCTTGCTGAAAGCAATGGGCGTGACGTCTGATCTGGACATGATGGCTATTGTAGCAGGCACCGATAGCGTTTTACAGGACGACTTCGCCATCAACTTTGAAGAAACCATCAAGCATCACATCCATACGCAGCAGCAGGCGCTAGATTATCTGGGAGCCCGTATCAAAATCACTCGAAAACCTACACCATTTGGACAATCCCGCAGAAATTATGTCCAGGAAGCTTTGGAGGCGGTCAGCAACGTTTTCATTGCCCACGTTCCCATTGAAAACCTCAACTTCAGACCAAAAGCCATATATATTGGGCATATGGCACGCCGTGTCTTGATGGCCAAGCAGAACCCTGCGCTCGTAGACGACAGAGACTATGTGGGCAACAAGCGACTAGAGCTGGCCGGTCAGCTACTGTCGCTGCTTTTCGAGGATTTGTTCAAGAGTTTCAACTATGCTGTCAAGCTGAATATTGACAAAGTGCTACGAAAACCCAACAAGACCGAAGTAGCCGACCCCTGCAATGTCATGATGGGTCATGCAAATCATATCACTCAAGGGATGAATCGAGCTATCGCAACTGGAAACTGGAATCTTAAACGGTTTCGAATGGACCGTGCCGGTGTCACCCACTTGCTGAGCCGACTTAGCTTCATTGCCTCCCTTGGTATGATGACCAGAATATCAAGTCAGTTCGAGAAGACTCGAAAGGTCAGTGGTCCCAGAGCCCTTCAACCATCGTCTTTCGGTATGCTTTGTCCTGCGGATACCCCTGAAGGCGAAGCTTGTGGCTTGGTCAAGAATCTTGCTCTTATGACCCACATCACGACGGATGACGAAGAGGCGCCGATTAAACGCCTCATATTTATGCTTGGTGCAGAGGACATAGTCACCGTGGGCGGATCAGAACTTTATGCTCCCGGATCGTATCTTGTTCTTCTGAACGGCACTCCTGTGGCTACAACCAGACACCCTTCCCATTTCCTGACCTCATTCCGACATCTGCGAAGATCCGGACGTGTCTCAGAATTCGTGTCAACATTCATCAACCATCACCATAGCACAATCCACGTCGCAACCGATGAAGGACGCATTTGCCGGCCACTTATCATTGTTGAAGACAAGAAATCCAAAGTGACCAAGCGCTATCTGAAGTCTCTTCGCCAGGGGTCGATGGACTTTGACGACTTTTTGGCCAGAGGCCTTGTCGAGTACCTCGATGTCAACGAAGAGAACGACAGCAACATTGCCCTGTATGAGCCCAATATCAACGCAACGACCACACACTTGGAAATCGAACCCTTCACGATCCTTGGTGCTGTGGCAGGGCTAATTCCTTATCCTCATCACAACCAGTCACCCCGGAACACGTATCAATGCGCTATGGGTAAACAAGCTATTGGGTTTATTGCAAACAACCAGTTCCTCAGAATCGACACCTTGCTATACCTCATGGTATATCCACAGAAGCCGCTTGTCAAAACCAGAACAATTGAATTGGTCAAGTACGACAAACTTCCGGCAGGACAAAATGCCACGGTGGCAGTCATGTCATACAGTGGATATGATATCGAAGATGCTCTTGTGCTTAACAAAGCGTCAGTCGATAGGGGCTTTGGCCGTTGTCAAGTGTTGCGCAAATATCCGGTGAGCCTGAAATTCTACGCAAATCACTCCAGGGATGTAGTTGGAGGACCTACCATGGAAAACGGTGCTCCGATAAAAGCACATGCTTTGCTTGATACAGATGGTATCGCATCTGTCGGTGCCAAAGTTAGCCAGGGTGAAGTCTATGTCAACAAGCTGGTCCCTGAAAATGCCAACTCTTCGGGCTTGTCAGATACTGGCTCCAACAATGCTACACACATACCACAAGCCCAAAAATATCGACTACCGGATCCCAGCTACATCGACAAGGTCATGGTGTCTGAAGTCGAGGCTGGACACCAGCTTATCAAGGTACAGACTCGACAGACAAGAGTACCCGAGGTTGGCGACAAGTTTTCCTCGAGACACGGGCAGAAGGGTGTCGTTGGTATCATTGCCGAGCAGGTCGACATGCCGTTTTCCGATCTTGGCATCACTCCCGACATTATTATGAACCCTCACGGTTTTCCCTCTCGAATGACTGTCGGTAAGATGTTGGAACTTGTATCTGGCAAAGCTGGTATTTTGAAGGGCAAGTTCGAATACGGGACGGCATTTGGAGGTAGCAAGTTGGAAGATATGTCCAGAGCCCTTATCGAGGCCGGATACAGCTACGACGGGAAAGACTACCTCACTTCTGGTATCACTGGCGAGCCTCTTCCAGCTTACGTCTTCACTGGTCCGATCTACTACCAGAAACTCAAGCACATGGTCCAAGACAAGATGCACAGTCGTTCAAGAGGCCCCAGAGCTATTTTGACAAGGCAACCGACTGAAGGTCGATCCAGAGATGGTGGTCTGCGTCTGGGAGAAATGGAGCGAGACTGTCTCATTGCGTACGGTGCCTCGCAGTTGCTTCGAGAACGCTTGATGTTGTCAAGTGACAAACATGAAGTCGACGTTTGTGAATCTTGCGGTTTCATGGCGTTTGGACGATGGTGTCAGCGCTGCAGTACAGCGGGCGAGACCGGATCGAACGTGGTCAGAATGACGTTGCCATATGCCTTCAAGCTTCTGCTCAATGAGCTGGGAAGTATGAACGTCAATACGAAGCTGATTGTGTCGGATGAATTTCCTTCTGACGGGTCGAGGAGGGCCTAAATCACCTCATGTCTTGGGCGAAAGGGGTAGCGGTGACCTGGGCGGTGCAGGGCTTACGATGACGAGGGCACGGGAATGCATGAAGAGAATGATTGTTCATAGCATGACAGCACAGCATAGCGGCGGGGACATATTTCTACGTAAGCCTGTATCGGGCTCCCGTGGGTCACAATGCATGAGCGAAAGGCGCATTATCCTTGTCGTTTGGTCACTGAATCAAAATTTTTATCTGAAGAAGAAATTGTACAAAACACAAGAACACAATCCGAGAAATAGTCCATCAATACTACCTCACGCAGAATCCAATCGCAGTCTTGGATATGCTTGGCCTGCATAGGCATATGCGGTGTTTCGACATCCTTCGCAGTAGATAGAGGAGCCACTGCGATCAGCCCGACGCAATGCCTGCCCTCGCATTTGGGGTCGATAAGTTGCCATCCTCCTTCTAGCGATCTAGATCACTACTAGTAACTTGATGCTGCCCGACACCGGCAAGCAGATTCGGCGTGGCTGGCTCCTAGGTCCACGCGAGGCTGGTTTGCGGGCGGGGGAGGGTTAGCCTGTGCTGGAGAGGTAGATTTGCGGTTGGTAGATTCGCTTGCCGATTCTAGTTCTGGTTCGCGTTTGCGTTTGCGTTGGCCTGCGGCTGCGGCTGCGCCTGTGGCGGCGCCTGTGGAAGGGGATCGTTGCACCACAAGCGCCCACTCGCCGAGTGGTCATATAGCCGCTTCCAGTTCCCTACAGGCTGGAACAGGCTTTTCGGAAAGTGTCCATACTTGGCCGCGGGCAATTTGAGGCTACGCACATCGTGGTTGAGGAAATCATCGGTCACGAGTTTATCGACTTCGCTGTGTTTCGGGCGGAAGCCCGCGTCCCCAAGGGGCATGTCGTTGATCTCGTGGCCTTGGAAGTACAGTTTCTCGGAGTGCTCGGGAACGTCGTTCTGGTCGGCGGCGGCGGCGGCTGCGTCCTGAGGAGGAGGAGCGTTTTCGGGGTCCGCCGCGGCTCTTGCTTCACGACGGGCTCTGCGCAGGCGGCGCTCGGCGAGGCGCAGACCACGACGGGTGGCGTCGAGGAGTTCGAGCTGCGTGGGACGTGCGTCCGGGTTGGGATCGATACATCGGTGCACGAGCTGGCGGAGGCGGCTGCTGTAGACGCCGGGTTTCTTGGTGCGGACGGCGGAGACCTGGTGGTTGCCCTTGCGTACGTATTGTTGGTGGGATTTTGCGCGGACTAAGACGAGGTGACTGTCGCCCCGGAGGGTGATCACACTATACATTGTCGCTCCGACGCCGTAAACCTGGAGGTTTGTTAGCCAAGGTGTAACAAAGATCAGGTAACATAATTTAGGGAAGACGGTGGTAGCTCACATTTGTTGCATGGTGGAAATGGACGTCATCTTTTGTTCCACTGCGGTTATCAACCTTTTTTTGCCAGTATTTGGCGTGGAAATAGTCGGTCCGACGGTTGTCGTCATCAAAAGCTCTTATCCAACCCCCTGTTGGGTTCCATGTCCAATGGACACCATACGATGTTTGTTCCTAAGTAGCAGTTGTTAGCTGTCGTAGCGTACCAGAATAGTCAAGGGTTGGCCTTACCGGGGGTGCGTATGAAGTGGTCCGCCGCCACCAGTGGTCCTTCGGGTTAGTTGGGTCTTCATAGGAAGAATACAATGACAACCCGTAATCGGATAATTTGCCTTGAGGGAAGTCGTGCTCGTCAGGGTTCTCCGGAGCGAAATCCAGAAGAACGTTGGATGGCTTGATGTCAAAGTGGAGGCAGTACCCATACTTCCTGTCTTCTGGGTCAACTGCTCTTGACCATGCCAAGCTGTCGACCGCCGGAGAATCGTGGAGCGCCTGACAGGAGATTGCCAGGCGATGAAAGACGTGCCAGACGAACACCTCGGGGAGGTGCGTGTCCCAAGCGCGGTACAGCCGCCACAGGCGGTCGAGAGAGTCATGCGGGCAGAACTCCAAGTAGAACCTGTACTTCCCTGACGTATGCGCAACGTCCCCCGAGATGAATTTGTACCGCCGCAAGTGCGGTGCCGCTCTTTCGTCATTGCCATTGAGCTCGCTTTGAACCACAGCTTCTCTGAGTAGTCGAGGATATATCTGCTCGTCGGGTTCGAACCTGGTCCTTGGTTTTACATCCTCTTTCAGGGCGAGTTCATCAACGGCATTGTTGTTCTCATCGCGCTTCTGCCACAGTCCAACCCGTCCATAAGAGCCAGAGCCCAGTACCCTGACAGGGCCCCATTCTGCATCCTTGGTTGGATCGGCCTCAAATAATAGCCATTTGAGCATGAATTGCAAGTTTTGATAAGTCCTACCAAAAGCACCCCTGTCGTTTCGTTCAGCCGACCACGCGTCATTGAACGGGCGGTTGTCATGATGCCGAGGATGTGGAGGCACAATCCATGAGTTGCCTCCTGCGAAGTCGGGTCGTTCTAGTTCACCTGCGGGTCGAGCCACCCGGCGCCAGCGCATTGTGCTCGATGTAAGTTAGGAAGAGGGAACAAAAATTATAAGGGAAGGAGGAGTGAGCCTTGAAAGTAATGGTTCAAACACAGAATGACATGTTCAATAGTCCAATATCGAAGAAATTGAGAAGGGGTGTAGAGTAAGCCTTTTCTACCTTTATGCCGCATGCATCACAGCAGAATTGAAGGACAAAGCCATCTGTCAAAGAGGGAATGCCATAATACATCCACCTTTGCGGTGAAGAAGTCATATTCGAGGACTTTGCAGGAGTGGCTGCAGTGAGTGGTAACAGGGTCTGCAGCTATGCAACCGATGTCCACAGGCAAAGCGCATGACTGCACAGCGGGTGTCAGCATCCTGGTTTTGCCGTTCACTTACCAACTATGTTATGCAGAGTCCGCTTGAGAAGACACACAATCGACAAAGCAAGAAGCATGCAATAAAGAAAACACAGACTGGCGTTGCTTGAGGAAAATAGCAGCGTATGCCGCATCAGTACTAGCGTGTTCTGCCTTCATGTGTGTCACGTGTATGTTACTCTGTACCCCACGAACAGAAGGTCTGCCGAGGTGTAGCTGAGCTGATCCCGGCTGATCACAACGACTGATGTTCATTCCCTGGACTTCGAGGAACGTGAAGATGTATCGCGAGCCTCAGGACTGGACGCTCCTTTATGGCTACTAGCAATGACAGCCTAAAGATGCTTGTAAAGCAATGAGCAGCTAACAAGCCCGAGGCTAGATGACGGATTAAGGCCACCAGTTTGTCGAGATCAGCCTGGGATCCAGGCTCGTCCAACAGGGCCATCCGCACGACTTGCAGCAAACGATGTTGAAAGGACTCCCATGCTCTTGTCCGCCACCTGAACAACCGCATGGCGGAAATCGGGCTCGTGGGCACAGTTGTGGGCCTGGCGAGCGCTGGTGTCAAGCTGTCCCTTACACTGTACACGTTCTCTGAGACGGTCTCTTCAGCTGGAACGGACATCAAGAACATTGCTCGCGATGTATCTTTGACCTCTTCGGTGCTCAAGGAATTGGGCACAAATCTAGAGCTAGATGACCAGACAAAATTGTACTCGAGTTCGGCTCTCCAGACTGCCCAAGAAGTGGTTCGAGAATGCGAGAGCGTGTTCATTGACCTCGAGAAAGTGATGCAGAAAGCCATGGAGAGGACCTCGAAGAAAGCATCCAAGCCTGGGAAATTGACGTTATCGGCGCTCGACAGGCTGAAGTGGCCCTTTTTACAGCCGAAGATGGAGGTACTGAGAAGCAATTTGGAAAGGTTGAAGAGCACGCTGGTTCTCATGCTGAATGTTTTGACGTATGCAAAGGATCTGAGAGCTGAGTATGCAGTAGTACTTGACGGCTTGTTATTGTACGGGTGATCTAACCTGTGCAGGAAGAACAGCGGCGGCAAAGACGATGGCGGTTATCAGAAAATGCTCATTGAGAACTTGATTCGAGCTAACCAGGAAGCCACGAGGAATTACGAAACTTTGCTTAAAACCATAGGAGCTCGAGAGAATGCTTTGAGTGACGGAGCCAGTGGGACAAGAGAGCCCGAAGATGGAGCTTCAATTGCTGGAACAACCATCAATATGTCCTCAATCAGCGATCTACAGCCACCGTCGAGCACCATTGCGATCAGCAATGACGACGCTGCCATGAACCTCGAGCAAGCGCCTGCTTACAAGGGTAGTGAAGTTGAGTCTACAATCAGGGCCTGCCTCAAGCGCATCGAAGACACTCTTCTCCAGTTCGAGCAATCAGATTTTGCTTCCACATCTGAACCCCGAATTGCCGTCCGCATTGAACTGGAGAAAGAGGTCGCCAAATCCGAGTCGGAGACTCGCGAACTTCCAAAGCCATGGGTGGTTCTGTCCATAGTTCGCAAGGATGTCCTTCCTCCTGGAACGCCATACATCGCGCTACAGGACGATATTGACAATACTGTTGCCGTGATGCGCCAGAACATAAAAAAGGCGACTCAAAGAGGCGAAAGACTGGATTCCGCGCAGAATACGACGGACAATCTTGCAGTGTCCGCCCAACGGTTCCGCAGAGGAGCAAACCGTGTTCGCAAGCAGCACAATCCTTGGAACGTGAAGAACTGGGTCTATACAGCCGGCGCAGCTGTGGCGTCAGTCCCGGAGTAAGTCTTTCAGGATTCTGCAAAGCCAACGGCTGAAAGCTGATCAAATCAGGTTGGTTAGCAGGGCTACCCAAGGGTTCTTTACAGACGAGGATGAAGCCTTTGAGGATCCGGGCACCGTACTCGAGTATGGTGGGAACCTCAATGTCGGCCCTTCGCCCAGGCCACCCTCCAGATCACCCACGTTCGATGACATTCTTCAGCCGGTGTCACCTAAAGCTCAGGCTAAGCTTGCAACTCTGCCTGAGATTGTTGTTCCGACTCCAAGAATGAAGATGGACTCGACAAAAGATCAGATCGAGGTCTTTCCTGTTCAACAAAAGCCTGCTCAAGGCGGTGTTCTCGAACTGGACTCACGTGAAGATCAGCCAGACCACGGGGTCGCTGAGGAAGACAACAAGGTCGATCTCTTTATGATGGATCGAGGTGAAGATCAGCCAGCCCATAGGATCGCTGAAACGAGCAATGGAGTCGATCAGCTACTGAGGGAGTGGACGACACTGTACAACGACCAACCATCACCTGCTACCACCACTTCAGATGAGCGAAAATAGCTGCCAGCAACTCCATGTCCTATATCGTTCTTGAGGAGCCTCCAGCCATAGCATCATCATCATTCACGCCAAGCACAGGCACTCCAGTGAACGATACCTACATGTGTCTTCAAGTGTCCACCCCGCCCACATTTCACAATAGCCTCAGCATGACCCGAGCAGAATTGAGCCATCACAGAGGGGAAAAATTTCCAAAGAGACAAAAAGATGACCGCCCGTTCACGCGGATGGAGACAATCGACGGCATCTTTAAGGAACAGATTGGCCACCCGAGGCGGAGCACCGTAATGCTCTTTTGATCCTGGGATTGTGTGCCAGCTTCGGAAGGAGTTCGTCATGAGCTAGCCAACCAGACCATCTATACCTACCTGGAAGGCAACCAAATTTGGGTGTCTAAAAAATATAACCCGTGAATGTTTGCGTCGCAATAAATAGTATCATGTGATCAGGGCGGTGTTAACGCAATGTCTTATGTACCTGAGTAGTACTTAGTAGTTCGAAGCTGACGCTGACTCTATGCAGGCGAACTGGAATGATGTCCGCCGGCAGGCAACATGGCAAGCGGAAGAGAATGTTTCTCCCTGGTGGGATTTATATGAATAGGTACCTATGTGTCGAAGTTGTGCGATTGAGCCTACGTCTCTCCACCTCCTCTTCTGCTGTCTCATTTTTATATCTTCCCACTTTCTAGTGTTGTGAACGCAACCCCTAGTACAGGGGCAGCTTGTACGCATCCATATTGTAATGCCACGTGTCGATGGAAGCTTGATCGTACTGACACTCCATGGTCGTCCCATTGTTCGACCAGATGGGCCTCAGTGGCCAGGCGCATATCTGGGCATTCTGTCCGAGATTCTCGCCCGCAAGGTACGTGGCATTCAGGGTCGTAGGCACGGTGCCATGCTCAACCCATTCTATCAACACTGCCAGATTGGTCTGAGGAAATGGCCCATTCGGTTGTAGCGTGTTAGGTGAACAATGAGCCGCTCCTGGGACGAGGAACAGGCGGTACCACCCATTCAAAGACGCAGCACTCTCGTTGTAGGTTTGACCGGGGTACATGACCCTCCGAACCGATTCCCAGTATCGGACGGAAGATGCTGTTGGAATGCTGTTGTCTGACTCGCCGTGGTAGTGGATGACTTTGCCACCAGCCTCTTGAAAGGGCGTCAGATCCGGCCACGTGGTCTGCAAGACGTCTTCATACCGCTGCCATCCCTCAATCATCCATGCCGTGAGCGTGTCGTAGGTGACATTGTCAAGACTAGGTAGATTCGTACCGTTTTGGAGGTTGAGGAACTTCTCAACCCATTCGCCACCTAGAGATGATATGTACGGCCCCCAGGAGCTTGTTGTGTTGTCGTACGCTGTCTGAGCGTCGGCAAATGTAGCAGCGGGCTGATACGAGAAGTAAGCACGTCGGTTTTGAGAATCATGAAGCCCGTCGAGAATGGCCTGAGCCACGGCCACGCCTTGCGCTGTGACAGTTCCATTCTGCACGGGTGTAGCTGGAGCCGGAGGGAAAATGTTTCCTGGTTGAGTAGCTGGGCAATAATATGGCAAGCCAATTGTAGTATTAATGTTGAAGTGCAGCATACAAAGGTCGGTACGCGCAACGACGCCGTCAGTCTTGCCGTCCAAATGGTCACATGCTACAATGGTCTCGTTGGCGATTTTCTGCAATTCGCACGGGGGTGGGAAATAGTTCAGAGTCTGCTCGACTACTCCCGAGTAGAGATGCTGGACTTGTTGCTGGCCATATCGAAAGGCCGGGGCGCCGGTCACAGCACCGTCCCATTGGTCCGCGAACCGCTGAATCTGACTCCAACCTTCACGGCCCCCTTCCGAGCAGCCTTGGTAATAAGCATACAACTTGGATGTAGACATGTTGAAGAAGTTCTTGGTCAGCTGTTTCCCAATAAGGGTCATCTCGTGGATGCCTTCATAGCCGAACATGTATAGAGTATCCCTGTTGATTGTGCCATTCGCCAGCAGAATGACTTGGTCAGCATTCGTACCGAAGCTTCCGAAACCTTTGGCTTGCGTCAGTGAGAAGCATGGTAGGCACAAAGAAGTGACTTACCTCCATCCGTGGCACCAGCGGCCGCTCCGTAAATAATACCTCCTGGGAGGGATCCGTTGCCCGAATTGATGGCGTACCCCCCACCTCCTGTGGAGAGAAAGCGGTTCTTGAAGTTGTTTGGGGTAGGCAGCCAGTACCAGAGGAGAACCTGGTCGTTTCTGCCGTCGTGAGAGTAGGCGAACGAGACATTGCAATAGTCGAAGACAGCATCTGGGTACATGGATTCCTTCGTGACTTCGGAAGCAGTCACAGCATTGACAACTACTGAAGATGAATCAATGGTAATGCCGGTGAAGGAGTCAGATGACGGCAGTGAGGCCTGTACATAGGATGGTGTGCACACATCCTGCAAGCTCGCAGCATCAGCGACCGCAGCCACCGCGGCAATCACTTCACTCCAGCACAAAATCCGCATCATGGCAGGGTCGACGATAGTGTTGCTAGTCAAGAGACGATCAGCAAATCTCACCTTTCAGATGTGAACCGGTTCGCCCTTGGATGGCTCAAACATGATTCTTATTATGTCCGGCTCATCGAACCGAATAGGATCTTGCAGCCTGGCAATAGTGCTTCAGCGGATTTTCAGACTCACAAACCGCAAGTGTGGAGTGAAGCACGCTATCCCCACACAATCGCGGTGATTGAATTGCGGAGTGCACTACGTAGGCTTGATTCGAAAGCGAAGGCGTAAAGCAAGGTAGGTCTGCATGGAGGAGAACAGTCCGCCTTGAGCTGGCCGCTCAGCAATAGCTTACCGTCATGTTCTGCCTGCTTTGTGCCAGATTCCTCTCCGCCGGGTGACGGTGTGGGGATGATTACTGGGGGAGGATGTGTACCACAGTACGGAGACGGAGTGAACAAGTTGTGACTGGGATACCGGTGGAGATCTGGGTGCCTCAAAGACTGGCAAAAGAACGAAGCAGTCGAGCAGTGATCCCACGTCCCCACGCGCGTTGTTGAGAAAGGGGGAGAGGGACTCGAGGGGATGATGAGGGCCAAGGAAGTCAAGCTCTTTCTGGCCGTCAAACAAGCCTTTGCCAATGCCGCTTTCCGATGGTGACGTGGATTCAAAATTGACCTCCTTTGCAGGATTGAACCGACACAAAGTCCATCAACCAGGAATCACAATCGAAAGGTAGCCCTATTTACTCGTCTATCATGCTCTTACCCGACGACTGGCCGGCAGAGGCATCGGATCGACTTCACAAGTGAATAATTGCCATATTTCTTACCCGAGCTTGTACTCGAGGCAAATGATCTGCAGATGGAACCTGGAACCTTGAGACCACCGGACATTCGCTCAATGTGATGGCATCTCCGTTTCAAGGATCTTCTTGTGCCAACCGCCACTACTATGATACTGCAGGCAAGTCATGAGTCCCCAGCATGCATATCGCTTAATCATTGTGGATGTGGCTAACCTGGAGCAGCATGGCTGTTCAGCTCGTTGCCGGCGCTTTACTGTGGTACATTAACTCGTGCAAGCATGCACTGTGTAGACAACAAGGATGTGCAACCACATCATATACGAACAATCATTCTGAACCACCCGCATGGTCCCCACGATCCTCGACCGCATCTCACTTGCCATCCAGCCCTGCCTAATCAACACACCCGCCGCGGACAGTTGGATGCATACTGTAAACGTTGCGTGGATCGCCATGCGGATCCCCATCCCCACAGGCAACTGTCATTCGCCTCTGTTTCGTGGTGACTTAATGGGTATTGGCGCCGTTGAGGAGATCGTCGCCGAGGCCCCGGACACCACTGCCCCGGAAGCTGCACAGACGAGGTCCATCAAATGCACATAAACCCTTCTCTCCCTTCGGAATGACCCTGTGCTGCCCATTCTTCCGCACCAATTCAACACCGACCAACATGGCAGAAAGAAACAAACCAGAAGACACACAGTCCAAGGCCGACGATTCCGTCCATGGCGAGGCACAGAAGGAATTCGTCGATCCAGTTCGACCGGCTCACACACATCTCGATCGAGAAGAGATCGATTTGCTGCCATCCGAGCATCGCGACTATCTCCTCGCCCGCCATGGCACGCTTGATCTCGACCCTGTACCTGACATGAGCGATGCGGACCCTTACAATTGGCCGCATTGGAAGAAAGTGGTCAATCTCGTCCTCGTTGCGTTCCACGCAATGATGGCAACGTTCACTGCGGCTTCCATTCAATCCGCATTCGAAAACATTGCCGAGGATCTTGGTTGCAGTCTGCAACGAGCCTCATACCTGACGTCTCTTCAAATTGCCATCCTAGGTGGCGCTCCACTCTTTTGGAAGCCATTGTCCGATCGCTACGGCAGACGACCGATTTTCATGATCTCGCTCATTTGCTCCATGGTCTGCAACATTGGCTGCGCATACAGCTTCTCCTACGCGAGCATGGCTGCCTGTCGTGCTCTCGTTGCCTTTTTCATCAGCCCTGCCGCTGCAATCGGTAGCGCTGTCGTAGCCGAAACCTTTTTCAAGAGAAGACGAGCTCGATACATGGGTATCTGGACATTGATGGTGACTATTGGAGTGCCTGTCTCGCCCTTCCTCTTTGGCTTCGTGGCCTATCGTGTCGAGTATCGATGGATCTACAAGGTCCTGGCAATTGTAAGCCCATGTTTCGCAAAATCGGGAGCTTTTCAGCCTAACTAACATGATCTCAGACGAATGCGGTGCAATTCATACTCTATGTATTCTTCGGTCCCGAGACTCGATACCTGCGACACGGTGTGCATCATAAAGGCTCCGCCATCAAGCAAGAATACTTCCAGTTCCGCCGCATTGATCCCACTCCACTCCGACTTTGGGATTTTGTTCAACCTCTAAGATACGCCGCTCGCCTCTGCGTCATGATTCCCGCGGCTGCTTATGCCATGGTCTTCCTGTTTGGCAGTGTAATGATCACCGTTGAGGTCCCTCAGCTCTTCGGCCCGTCTTTCCATTTCAACACCCAACAAATGGGTCTCCAATACATATCCATGTTGGTCGGCGCTCTGATCGGGGAGCAAATTGGTGGCTTCATGTCTGATGCTTGGATGAATCGCCGTACCAAAAAGATCGGCACCAGCCCTGCGCCCGAATGGCGATTGTGGTTGTCCTATGGCGGCTTTCTTCTGACCATTATCGGTGTTATTGTCTTCCTTGTCCAGCTTGGGGAGATAGGCACGCATTATAACGTGACTCCGCTGGTCGGCGCAGCGATTGCCAGTGGCGGCACTCAAATTGTCACGACTGTCCTGATCACCTACTCGGTCGATTGCTATCGAGAAGACGCGGCGAGCGTGGGAGTGTTCATTACGTTCGTCCGTCAGATTTGGGGCTTCATCGGCCCCTTCTGGTTCCCACAGATGTTCGAGAATGTTGGTCTTTACGGCTCGGCGGGCATCACCACTGGCTTGTTGGTGGGAGTCAGCTTGCTACCTACCATTTTCTTGCAATGGAAGGGCCGCGCCTTGCGATGATGACAGTGACACGACTAAGGGATAAGGGACCAGAGTGTATGATGGTGGAATTGTTAGCCTTTGTAAGACTCCAAGTTAAAATACATTTCAGCATGCCTCGCTGACATACCTAGGTATCCTACCTTTTTATATCTAGGTACAAAAAGTACCAACATTGCGATACTAACAACTGTGAAGTACAAGTTGGTGTTACCTCGATTACGATTCAGAACCATTGGTATACAAGTAGTCTCGCACTTTATGCAACCTATGCAGCAGTCACCGCGAGGCCACGAACTTAGACGCTGGCCTTGTCCTTGTCTAGCTCGGCTTTATCCACCACACAAACCGCCTTTCCTTTCATCTTGCCCGAGTGAGCCAGCTCGACCATCTTGGGCACTTGGTCCAGCCCGTAGAACAGATTGGTCTCTACCTTGATATTGTACTTTGCCACATCTTCCAACATCTGCTGAGAATACTCCTGGCCCGCGATCAACGTGCCCTTGACCCGGATATCCCTGAAGATGAGCTCCGGGAAATCGATGCACACTTTATCAGGCTGGGCAACCTGCACCATGGTGCCGTGCATCCTGGTCACCGCGCACGCCGTCGTGGCTGCGGTCTCGTGCTCGGACACGTTGATTGCGGCATGGACGCCCAACCCATCGGTCAAGGCTTGCACGCCCTTGACGAGCTTCTCCTTGCCTTGTCTCGCGTCGAAGACGTGCATCGCGCCGGCCTTCTTGCACAATTCGAGTGCTTCATCCCTTGCATCGATCGCGACCACATTGATCCCTTTCGCCTTTGCGAACTGAATACCCAGATGTCCCAGACCTCCTCCCGCGCCAACAATGGCTAGCCACTCACCTTCCTTGGCCTCGCTGACGATGATGGAGCGGTAGATCGTACACCCGGCACACGCCAGCGGTGCGGCACTCGTGAAACTGACCTTGTCTGGGATGTGGCAGCTACTCCTGCTGTCCACGACATGATACTCGGCAAAAGCTCCGTCCACGAACACGCCGATGTGTCCTTCGATGTTCTCGCAGTACTGGTGCCAATCGTTGGGGCCCTGGCAGTTGTAGCACGTCCCGCATGGGTTACGGGGTAGACCGGACATGACTCTGTCGCCGGGTTTGAAGTTGGACACGTTTGACCCAACGGCGACGACGATGCCGGTGCCTTCGTGGGACGCAGTGCAAGGGAGTTTGGTGGGGAATTTGCCCTCGACGACCATGTTGTCGGTGTGGCAGAGCGATGCGACGACCGTTTTGAGCAGGATCTCGTGCTCCTTGAGCGAGGTTGGCGTGGGAACTTTGTGGATCTTGTAGGGTTTGTGGAACTGTCATCCATCAGCTTTCAAAATCGCAGGAAGAAGGTATAGGACTGAATGAGAGAAACAGACCTCGACCACTTGGACCGCGGTCATTTCTTTGGGAACGCCTTCGATTGCCATTGCGATGTTGCTGCGTTGTATGATTTTCGTCAAATCTACACTACTGCTGGGATTGTACGAAGAGCAATGGTACGTAGAGGAGGAAGTGGGAAGCAATTGAGATCAGATGTACTCTGATTGATATGTCACTCTGCTTGGATTGTTGTAGTGTGAATGATGTCAACCGACTGGGCGTTCAAGATAGCCGTGCATAGCTTCTGGTGGTGGAACTCTGATGCCTTGGGGTTGACGGGGTCTTCTCCTCGGCAATACTCATGACAATAGTTTGCATCTTGGAAGTGGTGACAGCCGCTGCCACCTTGCCGGCTTCTGCATGTCTCAATGACCAGCATGCTAGATAATCCCTTCTGGTCGAGTGCATTCCAAGTTTACAACTGTAGATGATTTTCTGGCCCTAATGCATTAGGCACGATTAGGCGAAGAGCAACAAGCCTGTTAACTTAGTGCGGGGTAAAATTTTCATATCGATAAGCGAAATCATCTCGTACTCGGCAAAGCACCATCAGTGATCAGTCTGCCAAGTTCTAACCATCTAGTCACTCGAGAAACCGTTGTTCCACAAACCCGAAAGATTGCTGCTGGTTTGCCCGGTATATCTGCCATAATGTCCTCCGCAACTGACACTCCCTCTGCCGCCGAGCTCCCTCTACCGACCGATGCCAGCCTCTCCCACGGCTCTCTCGCAGATCTACTCCCGTCACATTTCACCACAGACATCACACGGTGGCTCGCCGAAGACACACCGTCCTTTGACTATGGTGGCTTTGTGGTTGGGTCTTCTCCCAGAACCGCTCAACTCCTCTGCAAATCTGCTGGTGTGCTCGCTGGCGTTCCCTTCTTCGACGAAGTCTTTCGCCAGCTAGACTGCACAGTGGATTGGCATCACAATGAAGGAGAATTCTTGGATCCTGCCAAATCAGGAGGCAAGATCAAGGTGGCGACAGTCAAAGGTCCCACTCGTAAATTGCTCCTGGGTGAAAGAGTAGCACTGAACACACTTGCAAGATGTAGCGGAGTAGCCACGAAAAGCAGAAAAATGCTCGATCTCGTGCGGGGCGCAGGCTACACGGGCATTCTGGCGGGTACGAGAAAGACAACACCGGGGTTCAGATTGGTGGAGAAGTACGGCATGCTCGTTGGTGGGATTGACGGCCACAGGCATGACCTGAGCAGCATGATCATGCTGAAGGACAACCACATCTGGGCTAAGGGCAGCATCACTAATGCTGTAAAAGCAGCACGCGCGGTCGGTGGGTTTGCACTGAAGATCGAAGTCGAAGTCCAATCTGAAGAGGAAGCCGACGAAGCTATTGAGGCCGGAGCCGACGTGGTCATGCTGGACAACTTCGATGGGGAAGGGCTCAAGATTGCTGCGAGGAGTCTGAAGGATCGATGGCGTGGGAAGAGGCAGGTCTTGCTGGAAAGCAGTGGTGGGCTCACCGAAGCGAATGTCAAGGAGTACATCAATAACGGTAAGTTTGTGAATCGTCACCTGCAACTACAACTACATCTGCTGATTCTGGTCCACAGATATCGACATCATTTCTACAAGCGCAGTTCACCAAGGCGTCGCGCATGTAGATTTCTCGCTGAAAATTGACCATTGATGAGAAGTTGCATTCTTCACTCTTGCTGGATCAGACTTGCTGGATCAGACTTGCTGGATCAGACTCGCTGGATCAGACTTGCTGGATCAGACTCGCTGGATCAGACTTGCTGGATCAGACTCGCTGGATCAGACTTGCCAGATCAGACTTGCTGGATCAGACTTGCTGGATCAGACTTGCTGGATCAGACTTGCTGGATCAGACTTGCTGGATCAGACTCGCTGGATCAGACTTGCCAGATCAGACTTGCTGGATCAGACTTGCTGGATCAGACTTGCCAGATCAGACTTGCTAGATCAGTCTTGCTGGGTGCTTGCGGTCCTCGGAGCCACGTTCTCGTGTGTCCGTGCCAGATGTGCACGAGCCTCATGTTGGCCAGTTGATGGTTGTGTTGGAAGTGATCAACACGAAATCCGCCCATTTCGCCGAGGTCAATGCGGATCCACCAGCGTTTCAACCAACCGACTCTCACCCATTCGACGGTCCTCAAGATGTTTCAGCCTCACAGCCTTGTCCACTATCAGATCCTCTCCGTATCATACGTCGAGTTCAATGTACCATGCCATTGTGAGGACCGCCACTCCATCTGCAAACCTGAGTGAAGTCACAACCAAGACATATGACTGTTCGATCCACGCTCTGGAAGTCGATGGACGCCTGTTTCAGGTCATCGCAATCGCTTTCTCTGAATTGCATTGGACGAATGCCCAACACCCATCTACTGATCTTCGGTGCATGCCATTGAGTCGTCCAGCCTCTTCTATCTATATTTTGAGGCATTTTGTGATGCAGGCGGCCTACTGGTCGATTGACCCTGACCATGTTGCTGAGTTTCTGGTACAGGTCCTGGCAGACGCTTCCTCTGCACGCATTGGAGCGACTTCCAAAACCGACCCATCTATCCCATCTACTGACGATGGTTATGCCAATGAATCGTCCACCCACTACAACCTACACAGGTGAGTCACTTCTTACGCAGAAGTCTATCTGCTCCCTCGATGGCGAGTGCAGTTTCTGCAAAGGTTCGTACTCTTCGAAATCCCATAAAGCTCTGCTGCCTCCCATCTCTGCTCTTTCTTTCCTTTCCTTTTTTTCCACAGCAACCTCCCAGCTCCCACTGTAAGTCTTACGTACCAAACCTGCAAACATGTTGCAGGAGCCTTCAGAGTCAATGCTAACAGTATGAACAGCAACATCCCAGCTCTCAACACCACCATAACTCTCTTGCTCCCACTGTAAATCTCCCTTGTCAAACCTGCAAACATCTTGTGGGAGCCTTCAAAGTCCAATGCTAACAATATGAACAGCAGCCTCCTCACTCCCAACACCACCAAACCTCTCTTGCTCTTTCTGTAAGTTTTCCTTACGAAACCTGCAAACATCCTGTAAGGCCTTCAGAGTCCAATGCTAACAATGTGAACAGCAACCTCCTCAACCTCAATCACGATGGTGTGCTTCCACCTCGAAACGCTCATCAAGCGCATTTTCGAAAAACAGAAGCAGTATGCTTGGCGTCCGAGTTCTCAAGAAGAGAACGAGGAGTGGGAGGCTGCAAAGCCTTGCCCCAAAGAGTGTGCGTGCTCTTTCAAAATCCCGCCCGTTTATACGGCGCCACCAGAACAACCACCGAGAGTTGTACAAGGCCGCAAGTTGACTCTTGATCTTGCTGGCCGGAAACTCGTCTTCGCGGACTATACCAATCCGCCAAAACCTAAAGGGGCTTCGACAGTATACAAGCCGCCGAGAGTTCGACGAACTCGACGCTAGGTTTTTGGACGGCAAAGCGAAACGGTGGACGTTCTTCTCGCTCCGCATTTTCAGGCTGCAATCATCGATAAACCCCCTGTGGTGATTTCGATGGGTCTGCTCATGCGGGCACGGCTGACTCGGGACTTGTCCTGTGTAATCACCGGACGGTTGTCAAGACAATTTACCAACGACCATACTGGTGGCAGGCAGAAATCCCCAGCCATGGCTGACTTGCTGAGATGTCTGTGGAATCGTTGGACAGTCGACAAGACAACCTTCTCACGACTTGTACCGACGGCAGACAGATCTCGCCAGCCATCAAAACACAACCAGTCAATCCTGAAGAGCTTCCCTACATGGGCACTCAGGACGACTTCTCCGACCTCGAACACCTAAGATTCCTACAACATCTTCGCTGCCTTGTGCAGTTGTCTCTTTCTCCGACTCCGACCACCTAAGATTCCTACAAAACATCTTCGCTGCCTTGTGCAGTTGTCTCTCAGCTCAGCCAATCTTTCTTTCCGCTCCGCCGCCTAAGAACCTAAGACTTCTTCTCTCTTCTTCTCGGCACCTAAGGAGCACGGCAATGAGCAAAGGAATCGGTCACAGCCAACCATGCCAACCAAGTCAATTCAACCGGGCAACCGGCCGGCGGCACCCAGCAGTCAGGAGCATCAAGGAATCTTTTGGTCAATATGTCAATCAAGGTGTACCATGCCAGCAACTCAAGACACTTCACAAAACTGGTCATTGGTATCATCGGAGGTCACAAACAAACACACTATCAACTCTGTCAATCTTCAGACAGTCACGCTGCTCGATGGTTGGTTGTGGCATCAACAGCAATACAAAAAAGCCCTGATCAACACACAGCAGGTGTACAAGTCAATCTCATCCTGCGTCAGGCACTTCAAACAATGGTCGCTGTCTCGCCACATTGCAAAGACAGGCGTACCTCAATTTCAATCACTACAATCTTTGCCCTGAATCTCAGGTGCCATATAAGTTCAACAAACACGGTCATTGTCTTGCAAAATCAAGCATACCTCAATCTCAATCAAGACACTCGCTGCCTTGCTAAGTCGGCACATAATCCATCAACTTCAATCAGCCATTCTTCGGTGCTGGGAAGACACCGTCGAGAATCACACTATCACTCCTTGTGGTGTCTGGGAAGCACCAACAACAAACTTCATTCTCTCCTTCTCTGGTGCCTGGGAGCCGCCATTCAATAACCTCAACTATCACCACTCTTTTGGTGCTGGGAGCCACCATACAAGCCTCAATCATTATCAATCTTTTGGTGCTGGGAGCCATCATACACGTACCTCATCACTATCACCACTCACTTGGTGTTGGGAGCCACCATAAACCACCATCAATCACTGTCACTCTTCTGGTGCTGTGAGTCACCATTCACAAACCTCAATCACTATCGTTCTTTTGGTGCAGGGAGCCACCATTGAACTCGACTGCTGTGTGCAAGAAAATATCTTGTCAGACCTCATTCAAAATACCACCACCACTATCACCACCTCATTCATGAGGCAATCATGGCAAACTTGCCTCACTATCAAAAGTAATGTCGACTTTCGAGATTTCTCCATTGACACTGCTGCCTTAATCAGGCTTCGGGCTTCACAAGGAGTCTCGCCACAATTCTCAAATGGCACAAGCCTACCAATAATTCAACCTACCTCAAAATCATCAATACCTCGGCAAATATATCCAAGCCATACCTGTTCTTCCTGCACCCATCACCCAAACAGGTCTTTCAACACGTCGACCCAAAAACCCATCATTCTATTGGCCATCGACGCTGCTGTCGCTGCTAAGCAACCCACCATCACTTGAGGGTGCTCGTCATCTCTGCACAAAAGCCCTATACGCACCTCAACAGAGCTTCCCACAAGAACAGCTCGCAGTTGAACAACCAACCACCAAGGAGTATTACACAAGAACCTCCTTCAAAGCAAATAGGGCTTCCCACAAGAACAGTCCTCCATTCAATGACCCAACCAAAAAAGAGGTTGAGGCAAAAACAAAAAAACAAGGAGTATTACACAAGAACCTCCGATACAATATCAATGCCATTTATATGCAAATATGAGTTGTCAATCTCATTTGCTATCTCTTTTTCATCATGCCTCAAGCCTTGTTGCTTGTGCCTGGAGAAGAAGAATCTAGCATTGCACTCCTATTTGGAAATTATCGTCTCCATCTCACCGGCCTACTCGACTGTTATCGACAACAGCCATCCACCTAGTCGAAGGCTGGTCCTGCCACCGAGATTTGCTCGTATGTACAGTGCTGTCAAATATCTCAAATATTCATGCCATCTCAACTTGTCGGCTCGGCGGTAAGGCAGTTCATTGGGCTTCGCAATCACTTTGTACCAACCCTGTCAGTGCCCATCTTTGGCCGAAGCATTCGAGGAGAATCCTCGTCCATTTGCGATGACATGATATTGCCCTATACAGTAATTGGTTTGCCTGTTTGGCAAGTGCCTTTTGATTTGATCGACCACCAACGAGCAACTTCCCAGTATATATTTTCTTTCGCAAGTTTTCATTTCCCTTTTGTATTATATCCTGCCGTGCCCGCGAAAGACGCGGTCTGCCGCTCATTTGAACCAACCCATCACAGCTTCCTATTGCAACTTGTTTCCGGCGCTGAACGAGGCTTAATATTCGTACTTGCTTCCTGCCTCCTGCTTGCACTGTCTTCATTCCCCACGCTCAACACCGTCGCGAGTCATAGCCAGCCAGCCAGGCATTCCTTCTTCTGCCCTGCGCTCACCATTCCCACAGACCCTACTCTTCGATTTTAACGAGCTCATCTCGCACACTTGCTACCGCGTCCTTCCTTCTTCTAACCCAAAAACTTGCTCTGCTTCCGAAAATCGAGAAGCCTACCGCAGCTGCTGCTCTTGCCCAATTTTCGTGCCCACCGAACATAAAGCCTCATGAAAGCCTCAGTCTCCTCATCTCGAACCACCATCCCACCCAAGCGAGCACCGCATGTGCCGCGAAAACCATGACCTGTGGCGAACCCTCTCCAAACTCCGGATCCATCCACTTCGTGCCGGGATAAAGAATCGCGCTCAACCCCGTCACCCAGTATAACGTCCCGATCACTGCAGCCGTCGTTATACTATCTCTCTCCGCGGCAATCTTGACTGCTCTACTAGTACCAGTACTAGTACCAGCAGGTGGAGAACGCCACGTGAAATACGCAGTCAATATGCCCAGACACAAACCCATGGACATGGTCTGGCCATTGTGGAACCTGGCATGAGGCGGCCAGCGGGGGTTCTTGACGTGTGTTTCGTTCCAGTCGGCTAGGTAGCATGACACGGAAGTCGAGAGGGCAACGAGACTGAGGAGGCTACGGCCGACGGACGGCATTCTCTAGACACTTTTTGTTTCTTGTAAACTTTTCGACACCCGGTTTGCAGGTTTATGTTGGACTTGGGACAAGATTGAGGCGAATGGATATGGGACAGTGGAAATCGAAAGGTCAAGGGGTGGCCTAAACTGCAAGGCGTTGACAGAAAGCACTTGGGGGCCAACAGAATACAGTAGATAGAAAAACTTCTCGCTGCCGAATAATGATGGTCACTACTCTATATCTCTCTCATTGCAAGTCCGAATTGAATTCTCGACCGAGCTGGCTGGTCGGCCTGACCTGCTGTGTAGCCACGAGGTCCCCTCCGCAACGAACGAATTAAACAAGCAACAGCAATAGCACAAGACCGCCCTAGTCTAGTGCTTGTCGAGTCGATCCGGAAGTACGAGTACGAGTAAGCGGACTTGGTTGTAGCGAGAAATGCGAATTGGAGCGAATTGAGTTAATGACATCAGAACATTTCCATCGAGCATCCCTATATTTGCAGCCAACACCCAACACCCTGTCCCGGCCCGGTGAGTTTTGCATGTACGTACACGATATGTGCATCGTAAGGGATCGAATTACACTATGCCTTCTCACGACCTTTAAATATCAGGATGATCTTGACATAGAAGTAGCATTGGCTAACTGTGGACTGTGGACCGTGGAGCATAGGCTTGCAGACAATCCGTGACACTTCAAACTTGGAGGCTATTCCGAGCGCATCTCATCTTTCTAGTACCACCCTCCAGGAGACTCTTCGACCAGTCCCCGCCTCTGATCTCTCTGAAATGACAAGTCCTTCTATCTCTCTAAAACATAAAGTAAAAGACTCTCATCGGCAGACTTGCGTTCCTTCTCTTCTCGACCTCCTTGTGATGCGCCTCCCAATCAATCTCCCTCCGTCCCGAGTCGAGATCGACCTGATCGAGTCTCAGCCATCCCTCTCGTTTCCAGAGATAGCCGCACGCCCAGAAAAACATGACCACAGGTAGAGCGAGGTACGACTTGAAAAAGCCCTCGGCGTCATTGACGCCGCCACCAGGAGGCCAGATCGCGACGTAGAATTGAGCGATCAGGACCAGAACGATGAGGATGATCCCGACCCAAGACCCGTAGACGCCACCGACCGCCTTGAACGGGATGTCGTCGAGTGAGCGACCCTGATGGTGCCACGCCGAGCGGAATCGGATGTGTGCCACGCAGATTGACCCCCATGTGAAGAGGGCAGCGAGCCCGGACAATGCAAGAAGCCAGTCAAAGATCTCGATACCGGATTCAGCGACGCCAAGGTAAGCCAAAGCGCCAAAGGCGATGATGGTGATCGTAGAGACTAATGGGCGACCGGCGCGGTCGACGTAGGCGAAGATCTTGGGCGCGTAGCCTTGCTCAGCCAGGGCGGTAAGTGTTCGACTGCCACCATAGACACCACTGTTGCCGATCGAGATAACCGACACGAGAATGACCACGTTCATAAACGAGTCAAACCCAATGAGTCCAGCATCCCGAGCAGCAAGGACAAAGGGGGAGGCTTGTGCGTCGACGTAAGGATTGGCACCAAGGAGACGCTCGTCATCAGAACGGACGAGCAGTCCAACGAACAGAAGAGACAGGATGTAGAATAGTGTGATTCGCCAGAAGACTTGCTTGACAGCCGACGGGAGCGATTTCAACGGTGTTCTGGACTCGGCTGCGGCGAGACCAACAAGTTCTGTTCCGGAGAAGGCGAAGGCGGCCGTGACGAAGACTGAGCAGAAGCCCTTGAAGCCGTTTCGGAACGCTCCAGGGTCATACCACAATCGAGCGCCCCAGTAGCTGTCGTAGATACCATCACTTGGACCACCGCCTAGGACGAGGACAAGACCAATGATCATGAAGATCACAATGGCGCTAAGTTTCAGTGCACTGGACCAGAACTCTTCTTCGCCGTATCCCAGGACGCCAAATACGTTGATGATGATGATAATTGCCAGGAACATCGAAATCCATACAGCCACATGGACGTTGGTGGTCCAGAAGGATATGGTAAAGGAGGCCACAGTAATCTCAAGCGGCAGCACTATTGCCCATTGGAACACATAGTTCCAACCCATGGCAAAGCCCCAGGAAGGGTCGATGAACCGTGTGGAGAACGTGTAGAAGCCGCCAGAGATAGGATACATGATGCAAAGCTCCCCAAGAGCAAAGACGACATTGAAGATCATGATACCTATGATGCCATAATCCAGGAGAAGCGAGGCAGGCCCACCTCTTCGAAGCGCCGAACCAGTACCAACAAAAAGACCAGCGCCAATTGAGCCGCCTGGTTGAAAGTTAATATCCAGCTGGACCAAAGGTGCACAGAAAACTCACCGATGGCAATCATATGCAAATGGCGGGAACGCAAAGTTTGGTTGAGTTGATTGTGCTTGTCCGTAGTACTTCTTTTCTTGAAGGACTCCGGCGTGCATCCCATGCGAGTCCAGAATGGTAGCTTGTAGGGCTCGTGGTTGTCGGCAATCTTGACTTCCTGACTGGCGCCAGCCCCATGGGGAATACCAGCGGCATCCCTTTTCTCGGGGTCGATGGCGTCTCCATCGTTGAAGACTGGCTTCCCGTCCATGGTGTACGGTCAAATTCAAGGGGGAAAAATGGACAGGATGGGGATCGAAACTGACCGCCACGAGCTCGATATTTAACGTCGAGCACTGGCATCGATGCCCGGCCACTTGGGGCGTCATGGATCATGGATACTTTCCTTATCTCTTGGGTGACATCGAAGATGTGCACGCGATGATACCCTGTAGAGATAAAGATCAGACAATTAGGCATTGGTGCAAGATACACGAAGGTTTCTGCATTGTTTGGTGGGAACAGTCAGCCAATGACGACTGCTGCATTCCTCAATCGGAATAACGGCTCTTGAAAGTGCTTCGTAACACAAGAAGCATTGCCACCACATCTAGAGATCTTGTGGACGCCATGTCCTTTCAAGACTGTTGATCCGGCGAGAGCTTGCAGAAGCAAATCAAGGGTCAGGGAAGACTGCAACGCAGCGCCCAATACCTCCAGAGCAAGCGAATGACGAATGACGGATAGCGTTGGTCAAGCCGGATGCTGGGCGGGAGCGACGGATTTGGTGACGAAATTGATTGCTCTTGGTCTGCTGGGCGCCGGGGAGCCAAGGCTCGGCGGAGCAGATGCCAAGGATTCCCGCTCCACGACCTTCATTTGGACCTACTTCATTGGGTCTAGAAACGCCATGTCATTGCTGGGCGCATCTGGTACTGCTTTTCATTCGAAGCGTATCGTGTCAAGAGTGCTTCAACGTGTCCACTTCTCAAGTGCCACCCAAGTGCCATGAATTGAGGCGTTGACCCAGCTCAGGGAGATCGTCAACAAGTAGGCCAAGAACGAGCTGCACAAGCAACCATCTCGTGCCCTCTCACCTTCTTGCCCACTTTTTCGCACATCCAGAACGATCCTCGAATACCCCGGTCTTGGCCTGTAGCATCGAGGCTGACCACAGATACCGGCCGAGCTTGGGAAAGGACGACCGCAAATCCACAGGCATCCCAGATAGGCTGTAAGCCCGAAAATGCAATTTGATTATCGTGGCTTACACATATCGCCATGCACGAACGTAGTGAAGCCCGACCACCTCTGGCGCATTGTCAGCTGTTTGGTCTCGTGCTCGGGCCCGCATGACTTGTAATCTGCTGAAATTGAGAGTTTCTGAACAGTACGTACTCTCTGAAACCCACGAATGCAATTCGCGGTCAACAGCTCGCGCGTATCGTCATCCTTTGAAAGAGATGTTGGTGAGAGAGTTCCTCACGAGATTACTCAAACCGAAGGTGTAATTGATGGAAAGCCACTGAAAGCTTTGCTTCGCGCGATTGTCGTCGGCCCTCTTCTCCCTTATCGATAAGTAATAACCGAGGTGAAACCGAAATCGCAGCCTCGCGATCTTGCCTCTCCACAAGCCTGCAATAGTCCAATGCTCGCATTTTCGTTGTTGTCAAGACTAATTCAAGGCACTTCCAGGACTCGTCCTGCACCCGACACATGTGCATAGAGATGGAGACCTCAGAAAACTCACAAGAACCATCAACCTCCACAAGTGAGCCCCTGGATCCGACAACGGACTCCGTCTACCGGTCATTCTCAACCTACCCATTCGACGCGGACCAAGAATATCAATCCGGCCTGGCCGCCATTCTAGGCCACCCAGAAACTCCTGCAACGCATGAGGAGCTTAGAGACAAGTCCGCCCTCGTCCTGCAAGCGCAATGCTTCTACTTTTCCAGGTATGTGCCCCTCGGTCTTCTCTTGAGCGCATCGACTAATATAATGCTCGCTTACTAGAAAATTCAACGTTCCAGCGATAGATACGAGCGCATACTCGTCTTGGGTGCAATCACAATCTCAGCAGCCAGCTTCTCAACCACCGCCACAAACCGGAGAACCACTGTCCGCCGTTTTCCCCTCCACGACTGAGCTCTCATCGACCACCTCTTCCGCCGCCCCGGCTGAACCACCCTATCCGACCTCCTTCGCGCACATAGTCGACCTCATAACACGCAACATCCCCGTTCCAGGTATAGAGGAGATACCCGACACTGTCCTCGAGCCTGGGACTAGTAAAATAGACAAGACTCCGCGCCGCAAGAAACCCTGGGAAAAAGACTCCGATACCGACCCCGGTCCCGCTACTCCTTTGGCTCTTGACCCTTCGGCGGAGGGTCAGACGCACGAGGACACACATGCTGACGCCGGCACCAAAACCGACAACATCGATCTCAACGGGCATAAAGAGACGGGCCAAGGTGTGGTGAATATTCTCAAACCGAACGCTGTGCCGGACAGTGGGCTTTTAGCTAAAGATTGAAACACTGTCCCGACAAAGCCAAACATTTTGACAGTCCCAACCAAAGTGCGGTATTTGACACCCTCTGACTGCGAGAGAGGCCTCAGATCGAACCCTCTGCTCGACAACGGCCCGCAGGCCAAGTTGTCGACGAACATAACGAAAGCATACACCGCGCCCCATTATACCTTCTGGGAGATGTGATCGGCCGCGATCATATCGATGTGGAGAACCTGATTAGAGGCCCTTCCGTCAAGGAACCACGAGACCATCACACAGCATGGACCATAGATCCACCTCGGGTTCTTATGCAACATAGGCATGTGTGACAAGGCTCTAGAATTGCTGGACGCCGTATAAATGGACCAATGTAGCAGTGCCCTTCGTCACCGACCACGTGTTGCTCCAGACCATCGGCCCTGGATGTCTTCGAAGCTTTTGACACTGGGAGATTATGACCCTTAGAGATAGGCGACTGGTCTGTCCAAGGGGTTTAGGATATTGCCAAGAGGGTACGCAATCGTGCTTATAGGGAAAGCTCATTCGATGGATAGCTAACCTTCCTAGTCAAGGTGGAACATTTGTTCAGCTATCATGTGCAATATTTGCTACATTCTCTTGATCATTCTGATTCATGCTGTGGCTAAATAAATTCCGAAGTTCCTGCTCTTCCGCCTCGCAGGACAAAGGTAAAGACATGACTGGATACAATCCTGATGAATATTGAACAAGAGTTCGGTAATGCTGTAGCTGTGAAATATTCCTGCCAACAAGGAACGGTAACTCCAATTTCAACACCCTCCACGCTCATGCTGACCGTTCAGGAGGATTTGTCGGCAAGATATGAAATTTCATGTCGATATGGAAAACACATACGCTTGAATCATCTCGATAGACTCGTTCGTTAAGGTATGCGTTGAAATGGAAAAGCCAAGAGTCCCAGCCAAAGATGGACTGTGGAACTTCCGTGCAGGTCCTAAGCTCCATGCTCTTCAGTCAGGTCGGTATTCCAAGCAAAGGGGACAGACCCTTCAGTATTGACAGTCTGTAGAATACGTGCAGCTTGACATGAGATGACTCATAAGTACATGAGATGGTCGACTTCAAGCAAGCGTGTAGGATACCCGAGTCACGGTTCTCGTTCAGCGGAATCGTGGCCACTGGCTGCGTGGCTGACCTGGAGCGCCAAAGGGGTTGACAACAGCACCAGGGCCTGGACGAGTGACAGAGTTTGGGTTGCAGCAGAGCATGGCAACACGAGATCCAAACTTGGAACCTCGCAGAGACACCATATGCTTGCGGATATGGATGGCCACTTGTTCACGCTGATGATGATGAGTATTCATCAGAATCCACTGGATCAAGTAGTTGCCGTACTGGTCGCCAGCAATGTCGATAAGAGGGATGCGTGGACGATCCGGATGAGCAGTTGTGATCACACCCAGATAGCGATCTAAGAATTCCGATCCTCCAATCTTGAGACACTTCTCCACGACCTTGGAAGCAAATTGGTCAATGCTGTAGCTGTACGAGTTGGCGAGAATGTGGTCAATAACGCGGCGCTTGTCCGGAGGAGAGCCATGCTCACACAAATGCTGGATGCACCAATTTCCAAATTGGCCATGGGCGATAAGGTCGATGTTGGCAATGACTTCTTCAATAGCAGGACGTTTTTCTTCCTCGATACAGTTTTCGAAGATGTTCTGGACGACAAGACTGCCGGTTTCACCCAATGCAACCTCATGCCACATGCCACGAAGAGCTTTGTTGACTTCCAGCATGATCTGTGGTGGTTCGCCACTCCATCTGAGCTCAAAGAGTTTCTGCCAGACATGGCAAGCATATCGATGAATGACGGTATCTGGAATGCGACGAAGTAGTTCTCGAACCATAGCAGCCTTGTGATCTTCCGGAACGGAATCAAAGGCTTTCTGAATGACGTGACAACCGAAAGGATCCATGCTGAGTGCAATGACATTGCCATGAATGGCATTGGCAATGGCCACAACTTGGTCAGGTGTACCATGCTCGAAGCACCGCTGTACAAGGAAGTTGCCGAAGCGATTGACCATCAAAGGATATGCTTGGGCAACAATGGACTCGACGATCTCAAATTTCTGCTCGGCCGTGCCCACTTTGAGCTTCTGTTGAAGGAAGATGCTGGCTTGTTGGTCATTGTTACAGACGATCTTGTCGACGATATACTTCCAGTCGCATGAGACAGACTTGTCGAGAAGACGACGATAATTCATTGGCTCGAGAGGAGTAACATAGGTCTGTCCGTTCACAGAAGTGGTCTGGCACACATAGTTAGCAAAACTCCAAGTTAGGTGACAATTGCTGACCGGAATGGACCATGGGTTAGCAGCTCCTTGAAGGCCACTGGCTGGGAACTCGTTTGATGCTGGTGTCATAGGTGTTGTAAGTCCACGCTGATAGTTGTACGGAGCCGGAATGCCCAATGGACTGATGGGTGGTGGAGTCAGAGCTGAGGCAGCATTCGGAAAATTTCCATACGCGGCCAACGGATCGGTGAGAGCTGGATTGATTCTCAACTGTCCTGTATTTTGTCTCATACCCATGGGAGGATTGAACTGCATCATGTCGTTGCCTGTACGCATGTCGTAACCAAGAGGAGCAGTAGGACCTGGGAGATTGCGAGGCTGAAAAGTGGCTTCGATGGGCGACATCGCACCACCACCGTAAACGCCATTATAGGCTTGGCCAGAAATACGAGCATCACGAGGGTTGCTGTAACCCGTTGTAGACGGATTTGTAGTCAACAGGTCGGTCATGGGGGCAGAAGGATTGTTCCAGATGCCTCGACCACGTCCAAAGTTGGCAGTACTCACAGCGTCAGCGTGCTCCTGGCGCTGTGCCTCTTGAGCCACCCAAGTGTCGTTGCGTGATGTAAAGGGACGAGCAGAGGCGTTGAAAGCACTCTGGAGGTGGCCAATGGTTTGCTCGGTGATGTCGTTTGGGGTTCCAAAATCAGCTTCGGATGGAGGACCCATGGCTTGATCCATGGTATGCTTGAGACTGCGAGTCTCAGCAAGCTCCTGTTCCTGGCGAGAAATGACCGATTTGGCAGCCTCAAGTTCTTGCTTGACGCGCATCATCTCGGCCAAGTCAACTTTGCCAACAGCTGGTTGAGTAGCAGGCTTTGCTCCGCCAAAACTTTCAGTTGTTGGTACGCAGATGCCAGAGCCAGAAGAGCGGTCATCGCCTTTGTGATGTTCAGCCTCCATCTCATTCTTGAGTTCCTTCTCTTGTCTCTTCAAAGTTTTGTTCTGGTCTTGTAGGTTGTTGACGAGTTTGTCAAGAATTCCAAGATCAGGCTTTTCAGTTTTGACATCGGCGGCAGGAGGAGTGGACTTGCGAGAGTCATTCAGTTTGAGGCGTGAAAGAATTTCCTCCATGGTGCTCATGGTATTTGTTTCCCCAGCCTCTGGTACAGCCTGAAAGTGGAAAAGACGGTTAGCAATGGCAGAAAAGAGGGTATGTGTAAGAAAGAAGGGGAATGACGGCGATACTTACTTTGTCCTTAGATTTTGGTGGCTGAATGTTGTTCAGTTTGTCAGACTGCAAGACAGTGAATGGAGTGCGACTTCCAGAAGCAGCACGCGAGGTTGTTGTGCCCTGTGAAAGGGATTAGTAAGTCAGAGAAGCAGGCAGAGGGCGGTGAAGTTACAGTGACAGTATTCAAGGAAGCACCGTGTGCATCATCACCCTCGTCTCGCACCTTGATATTGGGAGTGGACTTCCGACTCATCTTTGGAGAACCCGTTGATATCCCAGCTGCCATCAGCGCCTGGGAGTCCACGATCGTTGAAGCGCGAAGTATTGATATACAAGATATGAACTAGTAAATTAGTGCAGACAAGAGGAACAGGACGATCGTCAGGACGACGACGATGGAGACAGAAAAGTGTCTGCAAATGTCAAGATCCGCCGATATGGACAGTGCAGGTATGAGGGAACGAGAGTGTGAGGAGGTGATGGGAAAATATGATGGAAAAACAAGCAAAGAAGGAGATTAGCAGGTAGCAGATGCCGGGAATCGAGAGTGAATGCACCTTCTCTCTCAGATGCCTTTGAGAGGAAGTGACACTTGAGCCCGCCGGCACTGTAGGTGGTAACGATTGCACTTACCAGAGTAACTAAACTTCACATTGCTTGTGCGTCAGTTACTGTGCAGACGGGTCTGCCTTGTACCCGATATACTCCATGCTTTCTCCCGAAACGATGATGTTCTCTTATCTCATCCACTGTAATTCAACGCCTTCCCTTGCGCCATGGCTGATCTATGGAAGGTAAGAAGCAGAGGAGATTCTCCAATTGAAGTCAAAAAATCCCATGGCGATAGCACCTCCATGACCCTTCCATCTTGCTTCATTGTCCAATATGACAAAGTCTGGCTGTCCAGCTCCGGTCAATGTGGGGATTAGCCTTGCCGCCTGTTGCAGACCAATGTTGTCACAGCCCCAGACAACAAGTTCTAGTCGTTCATCAGGAAGAGGACGTAACCACACTCCGCCCATCCCTGGTTTTAGGGGAATGGAGATGGACTGGGAGCGTTTTGTCATCAACAGCAACCTGTCCTCCTCCACCTGAATTGGGAACAAAGGGAATTGAGCTGACGGTAATGATTTGCTGAGACTGATGGTGATGATATTGCCGTCTCTTGACAGTGCATCTTTGTATGCATCCCGAGAGCCAATGTTCGAATCGGCTCCAAAATACTGCAAAAGATTCCGACTTGCCTGCACTGCGAGAGGAAGGCTTTCGTTGGAACAATACACAATCTCAAAGGCGGCCACACTTCGGAGGATTGAGTCTAGAGCACCTCTTTGGCGACCATATCGCTGGTTCAAATTCCTCCAGTCGAGAGACACATCCCATGTCCATGTGTCGGAGTCCATGAGTACGAGTGACCTCAAATTTGTCGGATGTCGAACATCGAAGACATGGGGCACATCATCAAGCAGAACTTCTTCAGGTCGATGGCGAATCTGGATAGTTGGGTCAAAACGTAAGCGACGTATGTTATGCGTTCTCAAGTGCCAACGAGTGGCAGACCCGTTCCGCATTACGCAGACCTTGATATGCCCTAACCTGTCCGGGGAGAGCAGTTGATCGACGACAATGCTATACCTGGAACCGACATCATCCGAATTCGGCACAATGAACACAAATTCATCCGGCACACTCAATTTATCATCTGAAACCTCCAGATGGCTCGAGTAGAAGTCTATCATTGAAGGAGTGGTCATCGTTCCGTCAGTCCAGTGGCCTCTGTCGAGCATTTCAGCGTACTCGGCTGCATTACCAGCCTCAGCTAGCAACGTGTTCATCAAGCGAGAATGATAAGTTGGAACGTTATCATCTGCAGAGCCATGCTGTTGAAAAATAGGTAAACCCACAAAGTTTTTCGCCAGCAGCTCATGACGATAGTTGCTCCTTGCAATGTTGAGGACGGCACTCTGAAGTGGATCTGCCTCATTCCAGTACAAGTATGGGACATAGTTTTCGATAGACGAATATCCGGAAGCCGCTGCGGCACCAAGGACACGATCTGGCTGATGCGAAGCGAAGTACCAGGTACCTTGTCCACCATTTGAATGACCTACAACCAAGGTTTTGTCAGAATAAAGACCTGGTCCTTCCCAACCCGTCGAGTTGATCCAGTTTGGGATGGCAGATACTGCAGCTTGAGCGTCCGCAAAACCCCATGTGTGCCAATCGTCACCGCTCCATGGAGTCATCCCTGTTGGAGTAAGAATCCATGCCGGGAGTTCAGGCGTATCATCAAACATGTGCCGCGCCAGATCGCCATCCGCATCTACTCCTGCACCATGAAGATTCAACAGCACTGGCATGTTTCGCTCAATCGAAAGGCCCATGGGCGGAGGTCTCAATGTTGCATAGGATACGGCACCACTTGTATGAAGAAACGTCATCTTCTGCAGAGATGACGGGTCAGTATGACTCAACTGAGCCTCGAATGCTATGCTGTGTAGGCGCTGCCCAGCGAGTGCATAGTTGAGGGTAAATGTTATGGTTTTCGTCAACACCCTTGGAAAGTCGAACTCCATTTTCAGGGGACGTGATTGACCTGGAGCAAGTAAGACCCATCGGTCCATTACGGCAAGTTGCTTGCCACTGAAATTGACAAATATTCCACTAATGTTGATCCAGGAATTGGCTTGGCTTCTGACCACCACGCTAGCATATCGGGTCACGAATTGGTCTCTTACTACGTCTGGTAGCAAAATGCTGTCATGGACGACCTCGATAGGTTCAGCAGCGACCTCGGCTCGAAGTATGGCATGGCATTTTGGTGGGAACGAGCCGCCCATTGACCGGACGTCACGTACAAGGCGGACATTCAGCATGTTCAGGCCAGGATGGAGATCGACCACCAGCGGAGCGTTGCCAAACGTATAGAAGTCGCCTCCAAAGACGTGAATGTCGCCGATCCAAAGTTCAAGGATGCCTGCTGGGTACAGAGCCACTCTGCGATGGATGTTGTCATGGTTCCAGATACCGCCTCTCAGCCACGCCTGGTATTGGAATGCGGACCACCCATAGATTTTCTGGGCAAACACCCAGTCGATATCTAGAAATTCGACGACCAGTTCGACTGAGGTTGCGGTTTCTGAAGCAGCAGGTGAGAAAGATCGGCTATCCCATTGTACTGTCGCGTTTCTGGCAAGTGGACTATGGTAAGATGTCGCATCATTGTCATCGAGTTGCCTGACGCCTCCATATTGCTCTACCGGATCGGCACCCCATATTGCTTCTGGTCGCACATCAACGAGGGATCCAGAGCTCACGCTTGTCTACATACCTCGCGTTCCAATCCTGAACGGTCCGAGCACACTCCAGCTACCTGTGAATTCTATGCAACCATTAGTCAGGAGGGCATGGTCCTGGAGGACCTCCTGAGGCGCGGAGCCTATGACATAGCTGTGTAATTGTATAACCGCAAACAGGATCAATTGGGACACAATGCCCAGCCCCATTGTCCTACATGAGGATGGAGGGTGATTCGTCGTCACGCACACACGACGTTGAAGTCGAGGGTGACACGAAGATCCGGAGTCTCTTTTTTCCGATACGGGATTCCTCGTGCTCATCACTGGCACCGCCTTCTTTTCTAGGCCTAGCGTAGTAATGCCGCGCAATAGTGTGATGCATGACCGGACTGCTCCCGATCCTAGTCGGCAATCGTCTTCGATAATGGCTGGCAGTACTCTGCTCTTTGCAGGCCCTTTGAAGTAAGGCAGTCAACAGGTCCTCCCACACATTCGTTACGCAAACATGTCGCTCCGTATGCGGACATCTTAGAGCAAGGTTTTGGCAAATGCAGTGCAACAGGGTGAAGATTTTATCAAACCCTTCGCAGCATGACGACGACCATGACCCAAACTCCTGAGTCGCGGACTGGCACCCAACATCGTTCCCTCTCTCCTCACAAGGACGCGAGACAATCAACCTCCAGAGAAAGATTTCCTTCCTTTGACGCCACCCTTCCGAACTTCACCTTCAACCCTGGAGCCGCACTGGTTGCGGACAGTCCTCTGGAAATCTCACCGGGACAACTCCCCAACCACGAGATAAAATGGCCGGCGAGAAGAGAGAGTCAAAGGTTGCGCCATGCAAGACCTTCAGGAATATTTGGCCACCGACCCAGAAGAAGTGTTAGCGAAGCACTGAACAAATTCCGGACACGTCAAGGGAGTGTGAGCGAAAACGTGGAGGACCTTGCTGAAGCACTAAAGGCGCCGGTGTCCTACAAGCTAATAGTAGGTGATTTGTGTACGATACAGCTTATCGACGTGGCTAACAAATACAGGCGCTGTGCATGGTCTGGTACTTGACTTCAGCTCTGACAAACACGTCGTCAAAGTCCATCTTGAACGCCTTGCCGAAACCTGCGACCCTTACTATTGTCCAGTTTGCCTCAGTCTCGGTCTGGTGTCTGATCTTGACGGGTCTATCATCCATCTTCCCATCACTGAAGAGAGCGGTGCCTGCGTTACGGAATGGCCTCAGGAAACCTTCGTGGGACGTCTTGTATACGGCCTTTCCACTTTCGATTTTCCAACTGTTGGGTCATCTGCTCAGCTCGTATGCCACCTCGAAGATTCCAGTTTCTCTTGTTCACACCATCAAAGGCCTGTCGCCGTTGTTCACAGTCCTCGCCTACCGCCTTGTATTTCGCATCCGCTACAGACGGGCCACCTATTTGTCCCTTGTACCACTTACATTGGGAGTTATGATGGCGTGCTCTACAGACTTTTCGACCAACTTCTGGGGCATCAGTGCCTCCCTGGTGGCGGCCATTGTCTTCGTAACCCAGAATATCTTTTCGAAGAAGCTATTCACCGAAGCATCTAGAGCCGAAGCCGACGGACAGACACATCTTCCTCGAAAATTAGACAAGCTCAATCTGCTGTGCTATTGCTCTGTGGGAGCTTTCATGCTTTCAGCCCCTGTTTGGCTCTACACCGAGGGGTTTGAGCTTATGGAGGACTTATGGAAGGATGGCTCCGTTGACCTTGCGACCAAGAAAAGTACATTGGACCACGGAGAGCTTACGTTGGAATTTCTATTTAACGGACTTTTCCATTTCTTTCAAAACATCATGGCATTTGTCTTGCTCTCCATGTTGTCGCCGGTGTCTTACTCGGTGGCGTCGCTGATCAAAAGAGTGTGGGTGATTGTGGTTGCAGTGGTTTGGTTCCGCAGTTCGACAACCTCCATACAAGGCGTTGGAATTGCACTAACATGTCTTGGGCTTTATCTCTACGACCGGACCAGCATGGAAGATGCTGCTGAAAGACGGACCAAGACAGATCATTTCCGCCATCGGGCAGCGTTGTTACCTGTTACTGAGGTCAAGACTCCTGGGTTTACAGAAAGCCATGCATTGAAGGAGGATTATGTGGGCGATATGTCGGATTCACACCCTAAGAGGGATGACAGTCGAGGTCGACCACATGACTCGACCTTCTCATCGGGATGGCTACCACCTGGAACCAAGCAAGAAAGTACTTGGGAAGCGAGAGGCCAGAACGAAACGTCATAATTACATGTAGCATCAATGAAACGCAGCAACGGTGCTTGGACTTGGTAAGCTTAGGTACAATGTACGAGAGGATCCTTCCAGGTGGATTTTGAATGATTGATAGACGGAACAAATATGTCGGCGCCGAGGACAAGCGGCATTGATTGCTGAACATGAAGAATAGTAATGAAACCATGTTCTCGATACCTATACGGATAGGTAGGTAGGTATGTAGCGTCCGTCGGTAAAGGAACCGAAGCATCATTGAAATCTTTTTGCCAAAGCAAAAGCATCCTAGCAAGCTCCAGCTACGGCGCATGATCTGATCTCGGATCACGTTGTAGAGGAGGAAGAGATTTATGCTTGAGATGCAACCCTGGCTCCTACAATAATCATGTCCGATGAATGAGTTTTGTACTGAAGGAAAGAAAAAAGGAAGAAGCGCAACAGCACAAAAAAATGTCAAACACGCAAAAGTGGCTGTGACAAGCGCTAAGTCCCAAAAGGGAATGGCGTCTTAGGATGCGTCCGGGAATGGCGGGCGAAGCGCATGCTGAGTCGTGAACAAGGTCGCGGCACCTTGGACGCTCACTTTCTTTAATTGCTTTTCAAAGGGTTGTCGTCAACTTGATCTCATCCTCTTCTAAGTCTGCTAACTCCCAGCGGAGCAGCGACGGCCAAGATGTCACAAACGAATGTTGTACACACCGACTCGATACACGACGAGGACCCTCACAATGAGCCATCAAAGAAACAGAAGAACAGACGCCCAGCCAGTATGACCAGCCTCCCAAGACCGGGTCGACAGTTTGCTGATGAACTACTCCCACAGATACCGCGTTTCGTCAACAAAGATTGAAAGCATGGCAGTAAGTCTAGCTGGGTGGCCATATCTTTGCGCAGGCGTTTGCTGACTCTCCTAGACCTATCTTGACCCCCAAGACGGTCTTACCTATCTTCTTTGCGATTGGGATTATATTCGCTCCCATCGGTGGTCTCCTCCTCTGGGCAAGTGCAAGCGTGAGTGCCGCAATAGCCTGCTCGTGGCCATGTCCATGTTGACACGAGATCTAGGTACAAGAGTTAGTGATTGATTATACCGACTGCAATACCACTGCAACAACCTCCTTCACAGCCATCCCTGAAAGCAAAGTCTCAACCTCCTTCAAGTCGTCCAACACCGTTGCACGACCACAGTGGAGAAGGACATTGAACACGACACACCCTCCCCATAGTGTCGAGATACCGAACACACCCGTCTGCACCTTACAATTCTCGATTCCGAATGACATTGGCCCGCCTGTCTATCTATACTACCGTTTGACCAATTTCTACCAAAACCACAGAAGATACGTCAAGTCTCTTGACACAGATCAACTGAAAGGGAAGGCCCTCAGTAACGACACGATCGGAACCAGTTCGTGCAACCCGTTGAAACTGGATCACAATGGCAAGGCATACTATCCTTGCGGCCTGATCGCGAACTCCATCTTCAATGATACCCTCAACTCGCCCGTGGCAGTCAGTACTTCAGGTGGTCAGGAGAGTCAGCAATACCGAATGACGAATGAGGGAATTGCTTGGAGCTCCGATTCCTCTATGTACAAGAAGACACATTACACAAACTCCCAAGTCTCGCCTCCACCCAACTGGCACAATCGTTATCCAAATGGATACACAGATGAGAACCCGATTCCGGATCTGTCACAATACGAGGAATTCCAGGTGTGGATGAGGACGGCAGGATTGCCCACTTTCAGTAAACTTGCTCTGCGCAATGACAACGAAACCATGACTGCGGGCACCTACCAAATGGACATCTATGACTGTAAGTCTACACTACTGCAAGCACACATCTCGTCTGACAGATTTAGTCTTCCCTGTCACGGTGTATTCCGGGACCAAAAGCATCCTTCTCTCAACGAGGTCCGTCGTTGGCGGAAAGAACAACTTCTTAGGCATTGCCTATGTCGTTGTGGGTGGTCTATGCATTGTGCTTGGAGTTGTCTTCACCATTGCCCACCTGATTAAACCAAGGTATGTTCTCCGTCGGAGCTCTAGGATGGCAGCTGATTCGGGCAGAAAACTTGGTGACCACACCTACTTGAGCTGGAACAACGCCGATGGACCTTCTACGGCCATATCCAGCGGCCGAGATATGAGGCCCGGAGGTGCCTAGTGACACGAAAAGTGTATGAGTTTTAATGTTGACGACTTTTGTTCTGCTATAAGTTACAGGAGTTGGGCACTGGCGTTCCTGGATTATGGCAAGTGAGGCTCACAAGACACATTTAGTCTGGATCGATCCTAGAATCTATCATTCGCCTTCGTGTCGGGTTGAATTCTTACTGAGTGCAGCTGGCAAGTCACGGCAAATGGAATTCCACATTCCTTGTTACTTTCATGTCGCCATGCCGTCAACCGTGTCCGTGCTCCATCGCATCGTCTTATGATACAAGAGAACCGTCATTTCCGAAGCACAACGTGTCTCAATCTTTCTCGTAAGAGTCTTTTCTGCCATGTTTTTCGACCGCGGGTCCGACTATTCCCTATTACATCTGACCGTACTACTACTTCTCGCATCACTCCCCTCAACTATTGCAGGCCTCCCAAGATACAAACCCATCACACGCTCATGTGGCGCTCGGGACCCATCGGCGAACCTCACGAATACACACAGATGGCTTCAACAGACTGAACCGCTCGAAAATGACCTCTGGAACGCCACGACCGTGCAGGAACGACATATACCCTCCAATCGTCGCGTCAAAAGACAGGCCCCCTCACCCCTCTATACGATCGACACCTACATGCACATCATTGCCGACTCTTCCACGTCCGACCCAAATGCCCCCAACTACATCACAGACAACATAATCCGCAATCAGTTCAACTATCTAGCCAGCGCGTACGACAACGCCAGCATCGGTTTCCGGCTAGCCGGCGTCGACCGAGTCACGAACGACACATGGGCTGCGAACGGCGACGACGTCGCAATGAAGCGCGCCCTGCGTCGGGGCACGTACGCCAGCTTGAATATCTATTACCAATCTCTGCTCCAGGCGAACGCCAATACGCCCGGTGTGCCGCAGGGGAGCACGCTGTTGGGGTTTTGCACGCTGCCGGAGGGTGGGATCACAGCGGGCATGGACAGCGAGGAGTACGTGTTTGATGGATGTAATGTGCTGAGCGGGACGATGCCGGGTGGGAGCTACGTCGGGTATAATCTCGGCGGGACGACGGCTCACGAGGTCGGGCATTGGAATGGCTTGTTGCATACGTTCACTGGCAATAGTTGTGCCGCTGACGATTTTGGGGACTGTGAGTTTTTCTTTTCTTCCCGCAATTTTCAATCTCGTCCGCTGGAGCGACGGACGTGAAAATTTTAATCTGGACACGAGCGCAGGGTTTGGGACGACGTACTGACTTGTTGTGATGGATAGATGTCGCGGATACACCGCAGGAACGGACCAGCACAAGTGAGTTTGCCGCCCTATGTCTGTCCTCTTCCCTGGGGGCTGGTCGAAACGATCCGCTGTATAGAGTGGGAGGAGGCCTTGGATTTTCGCACTCGGCCAGCCAGCTCGACCTTGGGCACCATGAGACAGTTGAGGCCCTTGGTCGTCCTTTCTGGGTCGCAGATCCAGAGCGCAGGACAGTCTTGGTTTCTTCGATGTTGTTATGTCTACATTTTGGCTAACCCGTTTGTTTGCAATCTTCAGATGGATGCCCGATCTACAAGGACAGCTGTCCGGCGTCCGGCGTGCCAGAGATTTATAACGGAATCGGAGCCGAGCCATACGGACCGCAGGGCTACAGCGGGCTGGATCCTGTCCATAATTTCATGGACTACAGCTCTGATGCGTGCTATGCTGGGTTCACACCGGGCCAGGGGGCGAGGATGTTGAATATTTGGAGGATCTATAGAGAAGGCCTATAGGCCCCAACAAGCACCGTGAGATGGCACGTCGTGCAAGACGCTGATGGCGTGGTGGTTGGAAACGAGCGAGTGAAGAAAAGGCAGCTGTCCACCTTGAGGTAGGTGCCAGCTCAATCGACTGGCCTCAGTATTGTCAAGGACATGAAGACTTCTCGTGAACGGCCAGCACGCAAGGCTGTGGTGAACATGCCGGTTGAGAGCCTTCGTTTCTGTCCACAGGCTACCACATGGCTAGTAGTCTGTGCCCGTCACCTGTCGTGCCCGTCATATACCCCATGCTGTCTGGGAGCGGCCTCACAATTCCATCATGCATTCCGTCCTCTTTTCACCGCCTCGTATGGCTATTTCCCAATGACCAAAATCCCGAAATGTGGCGCCTCATGATACCCAGTCCAAAACGCCAACGCAGCATCGTACTCCCTTCGGCTCTCCTCGTCTGTCTGCGGCAGCCGGATTTCCTTCCACTCCAAATTCCCTTTGAGTCCTCCCTCGCGCGCACAAGCCTCATAAATGCTTCGGTCAAGATGGTAATTCTCGAACGAGATCTCCCGGGGCTGTACATGAGCGGTGATCTTGGTCCGATAGCCATACCCTTCCGGTATGCGTCCCGTGTAAGCCACGCTGACGCCGTACCTCGCCTGGTCGCGATCCGTTTTTTCGGGATCAAATAGCTCCGCGAATTTGTCAAGGTCAATGGCCGGATGAGGCGTGATTCCGACGAAGTGCCCGCCTGGTCTGAGATGCGAGGCAATGTTGGCGAACATGCGCGTCATTTCGGCCCGTGTACCAGCATAGTTGAGTAGCCAGGCACCTAGCACGATATCAAATTGTTCCGTTGTTGATTGTCGGAGAGTGAGCGGCTGTGTGCAGTCGCCGACCTCAAATACCAACTTTTCCGATGCTTCAGGCGGTGTCTGAGAGCGCGCGGCGTCAACCATGGTGGGTGAGATGTCCACGCCGACGACGCGAGATGCGCCCCATGATAGGAGGAGGCGGGAGTAGTAGCCCGTTCCACAGGCGAGATCGAGAACGCTGGTTTCGGTGTTTGCATTCAGGAAGGGTGTGACGGTCGCTCGGAGGTTGGCACGTTCAAGGGATGCCGCTGGCAGGCGCTTCATCGATTCATAAGAGAGACCAATCTCGTCATACTGTGTTGACATTTTTCACTTCCCAAAGACCGACCCGATGTTATCGAGGGTTTGTGATTGGCATATCATGCTACACGATGGACATAGCAGGTACAATGCGCTTGCCCACCATAGTTTGTACAGAGGGTGTGAGGTCCTTGGGTATTAATGAGCGTGAAAGTTGCGATGCTGACATGTGGTATGACATGGAGTCCGGAAACGACGTGCATATTGAGGAGAAACCAATCAGAATGTGGGTAGGTAAGAGCCAGCCGTTCTCAGCCGGTCCCTTCATGCGCTTCCCCCAGATTCCACAACGACGATATGGTGGCCGGCAAAGGCAAGCCGAATGGGCTCTTGTCAACGCACACGAACGGACCAAGGTCAGCCATGAAGACGGAGAAAGAAGGAGACATGGAGCGAAGTCAGTAATGGATAACCAGCTCGTTTCTGGGAAAGCAGAGCATGGCGCCCAAGATAGTCAAGATTCCATGAGCTCTCAGAGACCCCACGCTTAACCATCATCATCCACCCTCGCCCTCTTTCTGTCCCTATCACTTGGGCCAGCTTCTTCCAAGCCATATCTCTTCTTGCTCTCACCAGCATGTCTGCCCGAAGCCTCTCCAATCAGAGTGTCAATGCCGAACGGATCATCCTTATCCTTTTCAAACTGAACGGGACCAGCCTCTCGTTCCGCAACATCAGCACCTTTGAATCCCTCCTTCGCCCTACCGAGCACTTCAAACCGATTCGACTTTTGAATCTTGCCCATCGCAGCATCTGCATCGCCCTCGTCTTCATCCTCTTGATTCGCTGTCGGTCGGTAAATGCTGTTAATCGCATCGTGCGCAGCAAAAAGTGGCTTGTCGTACGCCTGGTCCTCGTTAAAGCCCGTGTCGAATCCAGACGTCTGGTTGAACAGTCTCGAGTCATACATAGTCTCCTTATTCTGCGTGGGCCTAGCCAAACCAAGCGCGACTTTTTCTGAGATATCACGATTCTGTTCTCTAGCCATCATTTGAATCCGTTTCTCTGTGCCCATCCTGCTCTGGCGGAGTTGCCGTTCGTTCTCTTGTCTCCGTTCTCGTCTAGCCCGCTCCCGTTCTCGGGCAGCTTCTTCCCCACTATCAGACCGTGAACCGGAAGAAGAACCCGAGTAGGATCGCGACCGTGACCGACGTCTCGAGTCTGAATCCCTGCGACCACCAGCAGCCGACTGTCTCTCTTCTCTTGCTTTGCGCGCCATCTCTCGTAGGTGCTCTTCCTTGGCCAGTTTCTCCTTCTCAGCCAGTTTTTGCTGCATCTGTCCACGGAGTTTGACTTCTTCTCGAGCATGACGGTCTGCTGTAAACAATGCTTCAGCAAATTGTGCGAACTTGTCGTTGATCGTGACATCTTGCAAGCCTCGTCCATCCGCTGCCAGCCGCTTATCTAGCGGAACAGTGTAACCCTTGGGGTTCTTCCAATTACTGATCGGGGGCGGAATTTTCCAGGCTTCCTGGTCTTCTGCCGTCAACTTTCGTGGTGGCGAATGCATAACTGGAGGTGGAGGGCTGGGCGGGCCTCGAGGGATCTTCTTGTGCTTGAATTTGGGTGGCTCCATTGGGTCTTCTTGCCGCTTAACAATCTTGAATATCCGATCATTCTTCTTTGAATTGTCGCCCATCTGGTTGGCTGGTGTGTATCGCACATACGTAGGCTCTTCTCGGTTGACGCCTTTCACATTCTTCGGCTTTTGAGCAGCGACGGCGCCAGAGACCAGCTTTTCAAGCGCGAGTTTCGTCTTTTCGGCAGTTGCTTCTACTTCTTCTTGACTCGGTCTGTCGAGGCTGAGGTCACCGGCATCCGCACGCTGTCGCAGAGGTATTAGATCTTTGAAACTGGAATGTAGGATTCGGTTCTCGTTGTGGCCCTGCCTGGCAATGGCATCATATTTGACTTTCCCTTCTGCGTCGACTTGGATCGCAAGCGCATTCGAGGTTGAGGCTGTTCCTTTTCTGCCCATGTCTAGAGGATATTGTGCGACGGGGATTTCCGGAAAAGCACCCCCATCGCCGAAGTCTTCTGCTGATCGAGGCCGCCATCCTGACCGCTGCCCGTATGGAGGAGGACCGGAGCGCTTGAAGTAGAATAAGTCAGTGCATTTCCCCAGATCGGTGCAGGGTACACTTACCTTCAGAACGATTTGAGACTCATCAATCACACCGGGACCAACAACGCGAGGCCCCTTCGGTTGGGCGTGCAGCGGCACTTCTTCATGTTCGCCAGTATATTTGGGTTTCGGTAAGGAAGCGAACAAACCGGTCGCCATGGTTGCGGGAGAGGATGATGTAGTGGAAATAAATTGGCCTCGCAGCCTGTGTTGAAGAAATCATGCAGACTGCGGGCAAAAGATTAATTGTTCCACCGTAGAGTTTGGTACGGAAAAGCAAAACTAGTAAAGTGCAAGGCTCGGTAGAACCTCCATCGGCAAAGAACGGTGCAATTTCCGATGGTAAAAGAAGCCCAGCAACTTCAACACAGTCGCATATCTAAAAGAGTTGCTTTTTGGTCTCCCGTCCACGCCAAAGGACTGTTGGAAATTGTGGTGCCTCAACATGGGTCCTTCAAGATTATCAAAAACCATCCAAGGCATAACCGTCACCGGCCTTGCGACGGTCGGCGCTTTTTTCGTATGGACAAAGCACTGCCATATGACACCACTGAATCAATTCACACCTACGACAGAGCCACTATTTCAGAGTTCTTGGTACAAGAAATTTAATCCACTTCAAAATCCAACGACACACGACGAATGTGTAAGACGATTACCATTGTTTAAGATACGCCCAGAGTTGGTTGAGGATGCTCAAAAAGGAGGATCCAAGCTGGTCGAGGCGTTCAGTCAAGGGATCTGGGGCGGTCCAGGTACGTTTGTACTCCTTCTTCTGTCTCGACATCAGCCGCCTTCTCTTTCGACCTACTGTCCCGGTGTGCCTATCTCACTTGGACTCTTCTCAAAAAAACCAGCATCACCTGATATGGTTCTCCTTTTTATATCCGACTACCATTTTTCCTCTCAATGCGGCCGTCGTGTGAAGCAGTATGTCTGACATCGGCGCTTTACAGGCTACACCATTCAGAGGCTATACTTAGAACGAAAGTATCGCAATGATACAACGACCGCCCATCAACTATGGACACCCCAGGATCTCAAGACCTCGACGTACGAGAAAGGGACCGAGATAACGGACCACTTCGTTGTTCTCGAAAAATCGCCAACGTCCATCCTGATCAGATGCGGAGACTCGCCGTTGCACAACCCAGATACCAACCGACCCTCCGACGGGCTCTTTGAAATCAGCGCCACCACGGACTTTGACAAAGGTTTTGCCGAGTTCAGACTCAAGAGTATTTTCTACCAGGGAGAAGGTGAACCTCAAGACAAGACGAAGGCCCCTATGTCGGCAACCATGTCAACGTTGCACCAGCTTTATACTAAATTGTGGATGGAGAGTGCTATGAAACACGTAAAGCAGTGACCCGTCTGACGCATGGTGTTGCGATTGGGATAGGCTCAATCATCATGACGCATAAACATAAGAGATGCTCAAATTCAAGATTTGTGTAATTGCTTCTGTGATTGACTAAACAATAGTTGTGTAGCTCGACTCAAGTTCCAGCTCTGAATTGAGGAAATATTTTCTCTGCAAGAGCCTGGCAATCGTTAAGCCCCCAGTCTCGATCATACTAGCCAAGCAGCATCCCTTTCTGTGTCATGTTATCGCTGGAAGGCTGTGTCATAATGGTTTGCGGCAGCTTTACTTCGATCCACGTCTTCAATCATTGCCCATGGTGTCTTCGAGTCTACCTCTCTGCTCCATCTCTACTCTTTTAGCTGCTGTGACGGACGTAGTAGTAGTAACCGCTTGTTCCATGACGCTCCCAACGCCCTGGTGGAAAGTCGCTCTTCAACGTGTCGTTGTACTCTCTCAATGTCCAGCTACCATCCAACTCTTTGCACCAGAACTGTGGGCTCGAGCCGGGTTTGTAGGGTGCGAGCATGGTCGGTTGTGACTGTCCTGCGGTGAGATTGGCGGCGAGAATCGCATTTTGAGCTTGCATCTCAGCGGCAGTGGCTCCGACGAAGAACGCCGGTGCATTTGGCATTTGTTGAAGAGTAGCGTTGGCAGCTACGGCGGCGGCGGCTTGAGCTGGAGCTGAGGTCTGCATCCATGGCGCGATGCCGGTCATGGGGAACGACTGAGGTGCTGTGTAATATGGTGAGTAGCCGTACGCCGCAAAGAACGAACTTGCAGCAGGGGTACTGGAGAATGGGTAACAAGTGTAAGGCCAACCGGATGTTGCATTAGGTGCAGAAACACCGTGGTAGAGGCCATTCGCGTAGTAGCCTGCGGGAGCAGAGGAAGTACCCTGAAGGGAAGAGTCAGTAAGGCGGAATTGAAATGTGGTTGGCAACCTTACAGCGAGGTAGTACATGCCTGGCTGTGCAGATTGGTTTGATTGATAGACAGGTGCTGGAGGATGAATGCCCTGTTGGGTTCCGTCAGCTGAGACGTAGTAGAAAGTGCGTGGCCAGTCTGCAGGGTTCTCCCAGTGTCCGGCGTTTCTTGGATCGTTCAAAGAAGAGGGATAGAGGCTCTGATAGTTGTAGAAGTTTGGCATGATGGGCGCATTGATCGCATCAAGTCGGGCGAGATGTAGATGTGGGGATTTGCGAAGAGTCGATAGGGTGGAGGTGCTAGGAAGAAAAGTGTGATGAAGAGGAAAGCGAGGAAGGGTTGATTCGGTTTAGGTGGCAGATGAGAGGAAGGTAGGGTGCAAGTATGAGTCAATTAATCTTCACTTACAGTGCGTCGGTCTTCATAGAATTCGACATTGTCGTCGAGAAAGATGTACTCTTGTTTGACAGGCTCAGCGGCAAGCTGGAGAGGCCGATTCCATGGCCACGCGCAGTTGAAACACATGGTGATGAAGGGTGCAATAAGAGTGGTCAACGACGATAGAATGGATGATGGCTGAAGAGGAATGAAATTGTTTTGAAGGGGGTAGCAGGATATTGAATATCAGGAAAGTGCGCAGGTTGAGATCGGCTTGTAAATGGCTTTGAAGTGGCCGCCGTGAAGAAAACATCGATTTTCCTGCTCGGCCTTTTCATCAATGTACTCGATGAGGCCTCAATACAACCTGAATTCACCTTCCCTCTGGCCATTCACTTCTGTCCATTCCGGAAAGCTCCTTGACAAAAGACCGGACCACTGAATCAGCAACTTCCCGTCATTCCTGCACTCTCTACGGGAACAGCGATCAGGCCTTTTCCTATGGCTACGCATATACTTCTCAATGGATTTCAGTGGCTGGAACAGTTTGGAGCTTGACGATACATGACTAAGAATGAGACTGGAAGGGGGGTTTGGTACGCTGCACTCACTCAGTAACAGGTTGTCAAGACTATCTGCAAAGGCTCTCATTCAGGCTAACGACACTGCACTTACCGAGGAACGGCTCAAGGGTAAGTCTTTCCCAGAAGACTGACGGAACAAAAAGAACAAGTCTGATACCGGCTACCTCTATGTAGTCAAGGGGTAGTAGGAAGCGTACAGTCGAAAATTGTAGAGCTTGCATCTTAACGAGAAGACCTGGGTTATGCATCTTTGACGCGGACCAAGAGTTTAGAAACTGGGCAGAGCTTTGATTTCAGGCAGTATCTGAGGTATAGTCCACGTCGAGCAGGTCATCAGAGTTCCTCAGCACACGGAGTAGATGAGACATGTTCAGTGGAAGTCTCTGGGTGAACGTCGACCCGGAATGCGGAAGGTTCCCCGAGTCCCCGGGTCATTCTGTGATTCTTTAACCTGGGACCTTTCTTTTCCATTCTGTATCGTCTTATCCGGGTCGGAACTATCATACAGCAGCTTTTCAGATCCAGCAGTCTGAGTCAAGCTCGGCCAGGCCGTAACTCGTCCTCGCTGGCAGATCTAAACAGAGGTTCATGCTAGCCTTGGCGCTTTGAGCTCCCGGCTTGCTAGGCAACCAGGCCCTGGTTTGTCAAACTGCCTTCTCGGAGGCTGAAGACTCCCGCTTTCTTCCATTGGCAACAGTAAGCTCACGCAAAGTGGTTTTGGAAACGCCAACATCGCCCCGAAGAGTTTGGGATGAAGTAAATGCCGAATGACTGCAGAAACGGAAGCGAAGAGTCAATTTCATCAGGTGAGACACCTCATTCCAGGCACGGTCAACCCGTTCGATAGTGGAAAGTCATCAGCAACTCGAAACACTGAAACGGCCTTGCCAAATGACATTGATGCTTTGGAAAATAACTATCCACATCACGCTGTGCTTCTTCGAAGGTCATGTTTTTAGGAAAGACAAGTGAGAATCCGTTCGAGACCAGAAGACTGAGCTTACAGGAGTCCTTGTCAAGATCCCTATTCGAGACTGCAACGAGCTTACAAGTCCTGTATACAAGACGAAACAACCGGCATATGCGATCACTCATCCGCCGAATGCCTCATTCCAGCCCTTGACAAGCATGAAGCATGTTGTCCTATGCTTGAAGTCAGCCTCGAATAGAACTGACATGATCTCTTGACAGAAACACGGGTCCTTTCTGGGCTACCGGCGGCCATCAACACTGACATTGAAGCTGATTAACCCGATCACTCCCGGACCAGCCATACTCGAGCGGTTCCCAGCACCCCCTGTTCCGGCCCTGAAATCTTTTGATGTATTGAATCGAACGTTGCAGCACTAACATCGGACCTTTCTCATGTTGTGGCGAATTTCAATGTCTTCTCGGTCGTTGGGCCACAAGACGATGCATCTTACTTGCAGTCAATGCCAAGAAGGCTGCAGACGCCTGGCGCCAGGCACAATCAGGAGCCTTGCCTAACTGTGGTGTCTTGGTGCCTCCATGCACCTAGGTGCCATGCAGCATTAGATAAGGTGTCTTATGCTGACCGACTGGTATTGTCTCGTGGGTGCTGTCAACGGGACTCTATGGCTATTGAGTTAGGAAGGTAACAGGCTGGAAGCTGGGCATTACTCATGTGAGGGTGGCCTAAGTCAGCATCTACGAATCATCTCTCGCAACGTGCCATTGTCAGATTATTCACCATCCGCGAACTGAAGGCCATACCTCATCACTTATACAGTGGGCTGGGATCCCCACCTACGCCAGAAGATGACGGCCCAGCTCTGTGGAGAAATATGCAGGTCCTAATCAACTCGATGTGGATCTAGGAGCTGTAAATCATTGATGCTGCTCATTTCGTTGCAAATGGAGATCGGTCAGGTCACAACATTCCAAGGGTGCTGAAGAGGTCTCGACCGAGGAGTGAGCTCTGCAGATACGGTAAGTCCATTGTGCAGCCTGATTCAGGAATATGGGAATATCAGGGTAGTTCTCATTTTAGTGCAAGGCTCGCTCATGACAATTGTTAGGAATCTCCTTTCTTGCCCTCCTTGCGAGGCCACAGTTTCATAGGGCCGGGCGAGGCCAGTGAGGCGAAGTGGGTTTAAGCCTCCGCCACTTGTCTTGGAGAGCTGGATGCTAATCTTGTGCGGCAATGCCTCGCCGCACCATCTATGCTAGCAGCATGGAGTGTGATACTCGTATGCTTCAACTACTTACACTTCGTAGTATGAAGTCTCGTCTCTTGCTGAGCTGGAATTTAACCAGAGAGTGTCCTCCCATTCATCTTTCAAAGGTAGATTGCCCATCGCTGGGACTCCCACAGTCTCTAGAATCCTCTGATGACCAAGATTACATACTACGGGTACCAGTTTGCCCGCCTATGGGTGCCATGGGTGGCCCAAGAGGCTGATGCGGCACTAACCCACCCCAGAGTAAGGCTCATCATGGCTGATCCTCCTCCACAACCATCCTGCTTCGTATGAGATCCTTGTTCTGTGAAACCAAAATAGCAAATATGCCATCGGATCCCTGTCTCGGGCTTCTTGTTGTCAAACTCGTCAAACTCGTCAAAGGCCTTGTCCTGAACGTGTCCCGCCTCACACCCTCTGCCATCCACCTACTCGATCTCGTTCGATTAAAGTCGCTCTCTGAGGTTTAGTGCCTGTCTTGAATTTAAAGCTCGTTCAACAACATTCGGGTTTGTCCTTCCCCGTTGGCAGCCCACAAGTAGTACGTTCCGTTGCTTTTAAGGCATCTTTGATGACATTGTATATAGACTTCTTTGGTCCATCTTTCGCTTTTTTCTCAAGGCTCAGCATTTCGATCGTTCTTTCCCACAAAAGTCTCAAGTCGAGACGTACTTTCTTTTCGTCTCGAACTTGATCGTCTTGCATCTTTCGTTTTGCTCCGATTGAAGCAAGTTGCATAATCACTAATTGGTATCTCACTGCCCAACATGACCAAAGCTTTTCTATCTTATCTTCCTTTGGCGCTGTCGGCTGTCGTATCACTGGTACAAGCTGCACCCAGTCCAAAGCCGTGGGGTCCTACTCATCACTGGCCCAACATCGATGACTGGACGAACAACCACTTTCCTGAAAAGTACCAACAATGTACCGACGACAATATCAAGATCCGAGTCGACTTCGATTCCATGGCTCCTCAAGAGCGCAAAGCCTACACCGACGCCATCAAGTGCTTGATGACCAAACCATCCCAGCTTGATCAAACCCTCTACCCTGCTGCGATCAACCGCTACTTCGACTACGCTGTCATTCACACCAACTTGACCCAACAAGTCCACATCTCAGCCTACTTTTTGACATGGCACCGATACTACCTCCATCTTTTTGAACAAGACTTGAAAGACTCGTGTGGATATACTGGCGCTTTTCCTTACTGGAATTGGCCGGCTACTGCGGACAATCTTCGTGGCAGCGCAGTCTTCGATGGTTCCGATTACTCCATGTCGGGTGACGGTCTCTATACCAACAACGACCCCGTTGTTCTCGCCCCACAGTTCCAACTTCCTCACGGCTCAGGGGGCGGTTGTGTCACCACGGGTCCCTTCGCCAATATGCAGATCACAATGCAACCAATCTCGATTGACAACCTCGTCCAGGGCCTACCATTACCTGCAAATGCGTTTGCTCTCAATCAATCATGCTTGACGCGCGACCTCAACACGTACGCTGCTCAACGATACTGCAATACGTCTGCGCTTTACGAGGCCCTTGACACCACTGACATCGCCGTCTTCACCGAACAGATCAATGGTGTGATTGGCTCACAGGAGCTGGGTTTGCATTCAGGTGCTCACTTTACTGTGGGGTCGCCAGGCTCAAACATTTTCGTGTCGGTACAAGATCCAATCTGGTGGCCGTTGCACACATTCCTTGACAACCTGTACACCTCGTGGCAAGCTCGTCACCCCGACATTGCAAACGCGGTTTACGGCACACTGACCGCTAACAACGCACCACCGAGCGCTAATGGTACCCTTGACACGCCGCAGCCGGGTTGGGGTTATTTCGACCCGAATACTTACACGATCGGAGAGCTCATGAGCACCACTTCCGGGCCATTCTGCTACAAATATGATGTTTCGTTGTAAATTAACAACAAACATGCATTCAGATCCGGCGGTGGAATTCCAAGGGTCGTTATTTCGATGTCACAGATCTGGCGCAGATGGTGACTGTACGAGTACTATGTCGTGGGATGACGGCAACTCTGCACATTGCAGAAAGCGTTGACCGGGTGCATTAGCGATGGCCTGGTTCGGCCTCATGCATGCAGACCAGCGTCAACGTTTGCTTGCTGTTCTATTACTACTATTCATGACTTTACGATAGTATTGGAGGCGTGATTATTCACACTAATCAATGCATTTACCCCTGTGCAGCATCTGATTTCTCATTTCTCTTGCTTATCCTCTTGTGAATAACTTTTGCTAGCGTCGAAGGCATCACGAGTCAGCATTGCGAAGGGTAGCCATGGAGTCCGTAGCACCGGGTTGTCAGGAGTCAAGTGCTTATCTCACACTTGCATGAGCGCCAACCTTGCTGCAGGAATTCATGACCCTTAAGGCCTCCCAGCGGCATGATGGGACTGGAGAATGGCTGGCTGGCAGTTGCAGGGGACTTGACCTTCATCGGAAAGGCGGGCCTTGATTGCATTCTGAACAGCGGTTTTAGTCTTACGTTGGAAATGAGGCAAAACAGCACGTTGTTCTCGACGGGAACCCGATAGATGCAAGGAGCTTTGCTAACGGAAAAGCCGATATGGTAGGTTTTCCTTTTCTTTTTTTCCGTTACATAGTCGCTACCTAGGCTTTCCTTTCGCGTTCATGTTCATGTTCATATTCATTTCTTTTTCTTCTTCGTCTTGTCGTCCACAATCACCCAGCGCTTGTCGACACCTCTTCTTCCTAGTTCCTTCTCGACCACATCTCTCTGATCACCCTGGACCAGAATCTCCATCATCCCTGGCTTGCCGCCGACATGTTGACCGACACTTGCACTACCCGCACATTTCTTCTGCAGTTCTGGGCCGAGGATCTGCGGATTTATGCCGAACACTTCGAGCCCGGAGATCTTTGTGGCCACTTTGGTCCCCGATCGCTTTTCGAGAACGATGCTCACATGCGGTGGTGGGCCGGATCTCGGTTTCAAAGCCGGATCGGGATTGTCCGGGTCGTAGGTCTGAGTATTTCGTAGCAGAAGCCAGTGCGGTAAACAGAGATGTGAGTCCTCAAGCACGCGTTTCAGAAGTGCATCCCGGGCTATCTCTCCTGCAGCAAGCGCCCGTGTGTCGCTGGCCGAGGGATTGGAGGAGAGGACGTTGTTGGCAATGAAAGGGTCAAGTTTGACATAGCGTGGAGAGGAAGTATCTGTTGTTATTTCGGGATTGTTTTCAATGTACTTCTTCAGGAAACCGGAGATCTGCGAGGACGTGTAAAATGTCGTTTTGGAGGGAATGAGATCCGGCACGAGTTTGCCAGAAGCCCGGTAGACCGTTTGTATGCTGAGCTTTTGGCCCAGTGATGGATCAGCACCGCCATTAGCTGGTGGCTGAGCGCCGTCATTCATAACACTCGTATGCTGAAGCTTCGGTTTAGGGAGTTTGTATGGTGTGAAGCTGCGGATCTTTTCGTCATCGAAGTCAATGTCCAGAATGACCGTCTCGCCGCCATTCCTGTCCTTGGATTTAACCAATAGTGTCTTGTCCAAATATTTGATGAACTTTTTGGTGTTCTTCCATGATGTCTTCTTGATCGTGTAATGCTGATTTGGAAAGCGTAGATGAGGCTGTACCATATTCGCTATCAGAAATGAAGGCTGGATGGGAAAATCGATCCCGTAGTGCGGAGGTTCACCTTCCTGTTTCGCGTTGTGCACGGCGTAAATGAAGGCTTGGAGAAAGGCTTCGTCGACTTCTGCGGTGGTTGGCTCTTGCTCGGGCTCTTCTTCGGCCCCGTGGTCTTCCATCGACCCATTAGCCGCATTCTGGCCAATTTGGTCAGCAACAGTTGTAGGATCCAGGGCAACACCTCCGTCCTCTTGGGCATCCTCATCCTCATCGAGATTCAGGTCCGCCACACCCTCTTCGGCGCCTTTGATCTCCAGCTCCCAGTCTTCGATCCTGTCTGGTGCAGCTCTTCCGCCACTGCCAGTGTGACTCCAGTTCCAGATCTCATCGCCTTCCCAATGGACTCCTTCGACCGCGGCACCCTTGGCTCCCTGTACTCGACCCAAGCTGGATATATCGATCTTGCATGTTCCCACCCAAACCGGTACACTGGGTCTTTCCAATGCAGCAACAGCCACAACCGCTCCTGGTTTCGCGGCTTCTGGCCATGGTGGTCCACCGAAAAGACCTGGAGTCATCAAATCTGCGCCCGTTCGAAGTTTCTCAACCACGAAATCTGGCGTGTGTAAGAGCGGTACTAAGCCTGGATTGTGCCATAGTGTGTATACAGTAGGATATAATCTTGAGTCTTTGCCATACTGTATCCATAATATCCTCTCTTCTTGTCCTGGGTAGGCACCAACATACACCGTCCCTGTCACCAAGGTGGCGTTGGCACCGGCATGAGTCGTGAATCGAGCAGAGAGACACGTCTCGGGGACGAGAGATGTTCGGATCGATGAGAGGGCTGGAGTAGGATTGCTCGAAGCGGTGGCTGCCTTGACTTCCTCGGAGGGGGCAGAAGGATCGATTTCTGCTAACGTCGGAACATGCACTTTGTAGTCTGCGATGATCTGGTCGGCTAGTTTTCGACGATCCGAGGATCTCAGAGGAGACAGGTTCTTGATCTGGGGCTTCTTCTTGAACATCTTCGTTTGGTTTTGACCTGCGAACGGGGCGGAGTGGTACTGCAATTCAATGACGGAAAAAAGAAGGCGGTTTCAAGTAGTCCGTGGGCGTCAATAACGTGCTGAGATGCAGTGAAATCTGGCTCCTGCCTGCAGGTATGCCGAGGAACCAAAAGCGATACAATTAACGCAGACGAAGCCGAACGCTGTGGTGGAATGATTGACGAGAGTGAAAGAGTAAGAGTACCTTAATTAATGGTGTGCCTCGATGGACGAGGCCGCACATGTAACAGAAAACTACGTCATTTCAATTTAAATCCTTGAAGGACTTACCGGTACCTTAGGTAGTCCTCTGACTAGACCGCCAGAAGTTGGGTATTCCACAGTGTTCCCATTCTACCAATCAACACTTCTTCATGCTCAGGCATTGCACCGCCGTATTTAGACACTTGGCCGCAAATCTCGGTTCAAGCAGCGTACAGACCTCTCCTGTTCAGCTGTGCGTCCTTCCACCAATTATCAGCATTGGGAGGTATGCCCGGCAAGGGTATGTGCTCTCTCAACTCCCGCTTCTTCGCTTGATCGATGCCTTGCTCCTGGTTTCTCGGAGCCATAGCCTTGTCGACATTGAGTTGTTCCCAACCGGTCAACGAGCCCATCAGTTTGGGTGGTCCTAACGGCAAGTCGTGGCCCTTGTCGACTTCCCAAAAGTGATACAATTTGCCATACAAGCCGACGACTTCTTCCATTGCCTTGGTCTCGAGCTCATCCCAAGCGTCCTTGCGGTGCCGATGTGATTCTGGGTATGGGAGAACGAGCATGCCTGATTTGACTTCAAATTCATGGGAGTGCCCTAGGTGATACAGGTCAGTGTCTCGTGGCAAAGGATCGTGCCATACTAGCAAGGCAACAATGGTAGTTCAGGGGACGTGAAAGAGAAAAACTGACAGTATTTTTGTTCTTCCGGATCAAGTTGTTCATATTTCTCCTTTGGAATCATGAACTCGACACCAATGAGGCGAGCATCTGGCTTGCACGAGTCGTAGATCAAGCATTGTCGAAGATCTGATCCAGAAATCAGTCTGCTTTTCTTGTCTGCATGTACACGGCCTAGGCGCTCACCTTTTCTCACATGAGAGCAGAAATGATGTGCACTCACGGTCCTCACCTCACCCCGACGCGCTTCATCCGTGTAGATATGGAGAGCGTGCAGGTACTCGCAGATGTTGTGAAGCGGTTTCATTTCAGGCTGGGTTGTTGTTCCAACATGTGTCTGAATCCCAAGATACAAAAGCCATGACTTCAACCAAGCCGAAGGACTGAATTTGAGCAGCCTCGCAGCGACGGTCGATATGGCTGGAGCTGTCACCTGATTTTGACTCATATTGCACTCAATCCGCTTGGTAAGTGATGTTCCTGCTGAGCGACTGTCGAGGTCTCAACGATGAGAGCAGCAAACAGATATTGTCGCCACGAAAATATCACGATTGTTCGGTGATTATGAGCCTTGTTCGGGGTGTGATGTCATGTTTGGTTGGCGCGTGTTTCATCATCACCTTCGGGTGCAACTGCAGCATTTCCTGGTCATATCTGGCGGACAGTGAATCCGGGGCTTTAACTGGTGTGATTTTGTAGTCCTCGTCACTCACTGTAGTCTCAGACGTATCTTTATAAGCAGCATGGTACCGAAATCGTGGCGACGCCAAATATTTGCATCCGGATACAATTCCCGCCGCGGTATCCGCAAGGCTCACAAGGCTGAACATTCGGTTCCCCGCATCTGCACGGCGCAAGGCTGAAGAGAACGAGGGGTTTGACATGCTGCTCGGCTGGTATATTGACTTCCCTCGGTTGATGTCCCCCTCATGTTCGTCGAGATCGGAGCCATGGCATCCACCTTCTCCATCGTTAGAAGAAAGTGTAATATCCTTCGGCCCTCAGTCCGATGGCCAGAGCCCTTCTCGACCCGACGACATAAATACGGGCGATTCCTACGACAACTCATGTCCATGATCTCCACTTCTACCATCACCTCTCTAACCCCCAACCCCCCAAATTCTCAAGTACAACACCCCCAGTGGTCGTCAATATGCCCGGTCGCCTCGAAGGCAAAACCGCCATCGTCACCGGCGGCGGCAGTGGCTTTGGCGCCGGTATCGCCAAAAAGTTCCGCCAGGAAGGCGCCAACGTCCTCATCTGCGACCTCTCCACGGAGAATGGGACAAAAGTCGCGTCCTCTTTAGGCGCCGAGTTCATCACCGCCAACGTGACCAAACGCTCCGACTGGGAGGCCGCGCTGAAAAAGTGCATCGACACCTGGGGTGGGCTGGACATTGTGATCAACAACGCGGGAGCATGCTACCCCAACAAGCCCACCGAGCAGGTCACGGACGACGAATTCGACTTGTGCTACAACGTCAACGTCAAGAGCGTGTACCTCTCGAGCAGTGTACTCTTGCCGTATTTCCTCGAGAACAACAGGCCGGGCTGCTTTGTCCAGATCGCATCGACCGCTGGCATCCGTCCGCGCCCCGGGCTGACATGGTACAACTCGAGTAAGGCCGCGTGCAGCAATGCGACCAAGACGATGGCCGTGGAGTATGCGCCCAAGAAGATTCGGTTCAATGCCGTTTGCCCCGTTGTTGGTAGTACTGGAATGTAAGCCATCCTATGCTCCTCTACCTGTCAGTTTCGCGTCCGAGGGATACCTTGCTGATAATGTTGATCGTTCAGGACGCATCTCTTCCTCGGAAAGCCGAACACAGAGGAGAACATGAAGGCCTTTACCGCAGTCGTGCCGATGGGACGTGGGACCACGCCGGCGGATGTTGCCAACGCGTGCTGTTATCTTGCTAGTGATGAAGCCGAGTTTATCACAGGCGTGAATCTAGAGGTTGATGGTGGTAGATGCGTCTAGCCTCAAGTTTCCGGATGAGGTTTGGGCTTTCGGAAAAGTTGAGGGCCTTAGATCAAAACAGGGGACCAATACTAGGATTATTTAGCCTGATCGGCCGCGTACTGAAAATCTTCATGTGATTCTGTTTGCACGTTCGTTCACCACCTATCTCTTTTCTACCTCATTCCTCGCTTCTGCCGAATGGGCTCCTATTGGAAAGTAGGATGGAGCCAATGTGAGATCTACGCAGCTCCTACATTCTTGACAGCGACAGCATCGCAGGCTACCATCAAGGCCATCCCCATAAGCCCCCACTCACATAGCTGCTAGTCCGCGAGCCCTGCGTAACTCTTCCACGTCATTTGGGAACCTCCTCGACATGCGTCATGGTCGAGGTCTTGATTGCATCGGTTCCCATGGCGCCCGCAATACGTCTCTACTCCGCCTCAATTGCCTCGACTGGTCTCTGCTTTTGTTTTGCTGGCTTGTTGGATATAGCGATGATCGTTGAGTTACCAGAGTCCTTGTCGAAGTAGTCGTCGAGGTCTTCGAGGGTGCGGTTGGCAGTCTGTAGGTGGAGTCAGCGTCATGGCGCGATACCCAGTATGATGTACCTTACCTCTGGGTATAAGAAGTACACAACAGGAATGAACGCGAGATTAAAGCAGGCAAAGACTGAGGTTGAGGTGTCGTCAGTGATTTGTTCCCACGGGAAATAAGGGGCAGCCACTCACTGATATAAAACCTGTATGTGATGTTTTTGATTCCGACGGGAGTAAATTGCGTGCAGACGAAGCCAAACAGCCAATTGGTAGCTGTGGCAGCGGCGGTACCTGTCGAGATAAGTATGCTTCCTCCAAAATCTGTGTTGGTCTTTCTCACCTGGTACACGACCTTGAAGTGAGTTGATTTCTGCTTGGTAGACCTAGGGCACCATTCCCCAGCTAAAGCCAAAGACGGCGTAATAGAAGAAAAGAAAGGTTATCGCCACTGCTCCCCACTTTGACAGGTCAGTCATACAATGATAAAAAGCTATTCAAAAAAGACGACTCGCATTCGCTTACCTGGGACGGGGCATGAGACAGGAGAGCCACGGATATAGCAACCATGACATAGGCAAAGAATTGAAAGAAAGCTCCATTCATCATTAGAGACCTCCTGCCAACTCGATCTATCAGCCAGAAAGCCATAGCGGATGAGATTGCATATGACGTTGCATTGCATCCGGTCAGAATTCGTGCCATGAGCTCTGACATGCCCAAAGCATTCTCAAGGATCGTTGGGAAATAATAATTCAAACCATTGATACCTCCCCACTGTTGCACAAGTTGTGTTAGAGACAGCCTGCTATAGTATTGACTCAATCATACCTGCATGAACTGGGTGCCACATCCTAGCAAAATCCTTTTGAGGTGGCCGGATCGATCTCTTTGGAGGATCACGTCCTTGAAGCTGAGCTGCGTCTTTCGCTCAAGGGCAAGGGCCCCTGAGATTGAAGCCAGTTCATTCAGAACGAGAGGGTCGCTGCGGTCGAGATTCGTACCCATATATCTTCGTAGGGCATCCTGGGCATCTTCAACGCGATCGCGTATCAGAAGCAACCGTGGAGAATCTGGCAAGAATTGGAGCATCACAACCATCACTATACAGGGAACAAGCTGTTCGCGTTGGTAAGACAGAATTTCTTGTGGCCCTTGGAAACTCACCTGAAGCGCAAGAGGTAATCGCCGTTGGAGACCATTGTCGAAGAAGGAACAACCGAGGGTGAGCCAGCTAGCAGCCATGTAGAAAATCACATTGTGCAAGACCACAATGACACAAAGCTTTCCTCGGCGATGGCTTCTCACAGACTCCGCCTGATAAACTCCACATGTGCTGCTTGTCATTCCTGTGTGATTTCAGCATCGTCCATTCTACTGTTTGAGCTTCTTACCATTACCAAAGCCTTTGATCACACGGCCAATGATGAACTGTGGAAAATGCCACGACAGAAATTGCAAGATCGCCCCAGTTGTACTCAGGGCTGCCCCTACACGTAGGGTGTTCTTGCGACCAAGTTAGTCTCCGAAGAAAGCTGCGAGAAGACACCCCACCAGATTTCCGAGCTTGAGGCTGTGTTAGATCTTCCCGCAATGGATAATGTCGATTCACTGACCGAGAAACAGCTTGCGGTGATGCCCTGGATGTTTGCATTTCGAGTCTGAGGGAACGTGTTCAGGAAGTCCTCGCCGATAAGGATACCTGATATAACACCCTTTCAATCGTTAGGATTGACAATATTTGTACGAAAGCGTATTTTCATACCTGATCGTAGCCATACCAAGCTTGGGCAGCCGCGTTGGCTGTTGTCAGCGCAACCTCAAGAGCTTTACCTTCAAGCATTGTCAAGAAATGTGATTATCAAGAGTGAATCAAGGCTAACGAGGTATCACTTCTGCAAAGAAGCAAGGTGTCAGACTCCACGACTTTCGCATAGAAGGATCTGCAGGATCTTATACCTCTTGCTACCTCCCGCAATCGGCAGGGAGATCGGTACCACAGTCTTGAAACTGAGAACGACGATGGCGTCGCTAGCTGGGGTCGAAAGATGGAGGTGGAGCCGAGGCAGCATCACGGAGACACGGGGCTGGCCACGAGGCTGCCGTATCTCGAAAGCACCGAGACAAGAATGATTGGCTTTGACATTGTGACCACGGGCCATGTAGCCATGAGCAGGAACATGTCAATCACTGCCATGCTTCCGGGTACGCGGCAGCAGGTCACCATGAAAAAGATTGAGTCAGCGGCCAGTGTTGAGATGTGACGTTGACTTTGGTGGAAAAGGGCAGCTTGCCGTGAAGGGTGATTGGTATCGGCGGGCAGCCCTGACTTGACCCAGTCGTAACGGCTCATGGCCCGAACAAGACCGAACTCGCTCGTCGAAAAGCATCGTCCCCTCCTTTACTGCTTTCTCCAGAACGACATCTCCAACACTGCGCAGCCGGGCGGTACTCATTCGACGACGGCTTTATCGAGCGCGACACGGCCCTGCGAATCCACTTCATTGCTGAGGTACGGTAGCTCCATTACAACATGTGTGTGACGATCTAGCCCAGTTATCTCGTGCCGCTGTTCAACGTACTCGCGGACAGGGAGAAGCTATGGGGAACAATGGCCTCATGCACAGTCCTCTCACTTGATGGCCCGTACTGGTTGTTGCTAACTACTACTTGACGGGCCGTGTTCTTCCCTCTCCTGGCGCGGAGGGGTTCATTCTCTACTGTTTCTCCTGTTCAATGCCATGATGGACAAGCCGTCTCACGACTCAGCTCATCGCACACGGAGCAAGACTGTGTACGTCGAATTCTAGAGCTCGCTGACACCATTGACCAATTACAGATGCCAATCGTGTCGCCAGAGGAAGGTTGCCTGTAGCCGAGAATTTCCTCGCTGTGGATTCTGCTTGAGGAACAACATCGAGTGCCAGTATGTCACTAGCCAGAAACGGCCTGGTCTACGGGCAGGGTTTGTCTCGCTGTTGGAACAACGGATAAGTGAGCATTCCATAACCACCAATGAAGCATGGCTGACCTGGCAGTTGACCTGGAGAGCCGGGTAAAGGATTTGGAGGCCGAGAAAGAAAGTCTGAATCCCCAACTTCTCATTCGAAGTTGCTACTGACACGACAAGGACTCCTTCTCAACAGCCATTGACAATTGCTGAGTCCCCTGAGGCGTCGCTGGACCGAAGTTTTGATCGTTTCAATCCCTCTGCAACATCCACCAGCCCTAACAGCAATGCCAGTGTGGCGTCTACAGTCTTCAAGCCTCTATCGCCAACCGTTCTCAACGAACTATGCAATACTTGGTTTGAGAAGTACCATCCATGGTTCCCTATCCTGCACCAGCCTTCCCTGTTGGAAGCCTTGCAGACCTATCCAGCCATCGATACTTCCACTCACCAACTGGTAATCAAGGCTATTGTAGCTGTGACCGTGCTGTACTGCAGAACGGCTCCGTCAACGCCATCGCAAAGTCAACAATGGTCAGGAACATTACGAGACAGAGTCATCATGGATGCCATGAAACAAGTATCTCTACAGTCTGTCCAGGCACTGCTTGTTTTGAGTAATCTCGACTACGGCGGTGGTCAAGCCCATCAATTCTGGAATTTGATGGCTCTGTGCAAAAGGTGCGTTCGAGTTGAACGGCGTACTTGCCCACTCCCGTGGCTAACTGACAGACCTAGGATGAATACTTCCTTGGGCATGCGAGACTTGGTGACCAACCAAGGTGACAATTTCAACAAGCTCTCCACTGTGCCTCCTAGGATGCTCCCTCTGCCGGACACCATCATCGATCGAGAAGAACGTATTCGTGCGTACGGGATGACAGAGATCTTGGACGGCGCAAGCACACTGGGTGTTGCTTGGAATCTGGGAATATCACCTCCTGAGGGTACCGCAATATTGCCCTGCAGTGACTCGATTTGGAAGTTCCCACAGCACATTATCAGTGTATGGTCCTTTGGTGACTTCCACTTTTCATCAGCATTCTCCCTCTGCATCATTCTTGTTGCAAGTGAGCTGTGCCATGTCCACCGCTTCTTGCAGAAGTCGGTCGACACCCGTGTACACGACCAGCGTCTGAAATGGCAGCAAGAATCTCAGCAGCTCGATGAACGACTGACGGCGTGGCGGGGAGAATTTGTGGCTGCCGTCTGCCTGATCAATGCCGAGTATGTTCAGGAAGAGAGGGCCGAGTTTGACCCCAATATCGTGCTGACCAACTGTATCTTGGACACGTAAGTATGGCATCCAGACATTGGAATTGCGTTTTTGACCATGTCAGAGCTGTCATTGCACTCTTCCAGCGTCTGGCGCCATCACCAATAGGTATTGACAACTACTACGAGGCAGTAAGTCGTCTGAGGAATTGGAGTGAGGTTCCGCTGTCTGACAGAACTATAGTGGCCGTATGCAACGAATCGATGTCTCTATGCCTGCGACGATATGACAGCAAAGATTCGGCAAGTGCGTGACAAAGAGCTGGAGAATAGCAGTCCTCACCTCATATACTCTATGTTTGTCGCAGCGAGATTCTACCTAGGTGGGTAAGCAACTCGTAACCAGAGACGCAAGCTAACAAAGTGCTGTGAAGTCTATGCCAAAACAGTGGCAGCAGATATACCCCGGAATTTGCACCTGTTGGCGTATGCTTTGAGGATCTGCGGAGAGCGTTGGGTGCTTGCGAGACGATATGAGACTGTGATTCGGACAGCAGTCGCAGAGCACCATATGCCTATTGGCGTTATGTCTTCTCTGCCAGTTCAATTCTTTGATCTGCAATATTCGACGCTCGACATTGACGAAGCGTTGCGAATATGGGTGGCTAACATAATGCCCAGCGGAGCTTCGGGTCCAGGGATGGGCGCGTCGGGTGAGCTGAACGGCGTTTCGTAGCTATTCGAGACGCTTGAACCGCGCGATTATGCATTGACTGCAGCTCAATGGACAAGAACAGTTCCAATCTCAGGGCAATAACACACACCGAAGACACATGCTACCATACAGACGTCCAGCCTAATCGCAAGTAACCAAGCGATCCGGTAGAGTCGGTCAGATGAGCCCTAGTTCCCTGGAGAATACATCCAAAAACAGAGCTCTGAAGACTCGTCTGATGCCGGGCTTGTTTGCCCGCAGAAAGTCATACTTCGATGCACGATCCACACCAGCAGCCATACCAGTAGTATGCCGAATGGTCGACGGAAGTCCATGGCCCGTTCGCGGATACGAGTATGAAAGCTCGCGGGCCATGGCGCCGCCGACAACTTAGTCCCACAGCATCCTGTAGGTCGATCGATTGGAGATGGCCCAACTCATCCCACTCCTTTCTGTTGGCGGACACGTGTTGACATCGTTTCGTGTTGACATCGTTGCCGCATATCGTTCACTCCATTGTCCCTCGCCTTATCGGCGTCGGATTCTTCGGCCTACCTTACCATCAATGACGGTTGAATATGTCGTTTGCCGGTTGGGCGAGGTACATGGACTGGAATACTTGGCGAGTCAGCGCAATTTGGAAATGCATCCGCACAACATCATCTGAGTACATGATGTACCAGTTTAAAAGGCATTTCATATCGTACCCTCTTCCTGAGCACCGAAAATCTTCTCCCTCTCGCCTGTGTCCATTCATTTGGCCATTGCTTCGGTCACTAGCAGTCTCTTATTGCCCATTCCTAAGTCAACAATATGCTGGTCGCTCAACCCCAGGCCCATGATGTCTCTTTGCACCTCTTTCAACAAACCCGAACCAAAAGTCACAGTCAAGGAGACGCTCTCTGTTAGGGATATTGCACAACAATGGCTTGACAAGTTCGCATCTGCACTCTCCAAGAACGACCTCACCCAACTCCCATCGCTCATTCACACTGAATCCTGGTGGCGAGACCACCTCGTCCTAGAGTGGGACTTCCATACCCTCCACACCCTCCCAACGATCACATCCTTCTTGCAAGGCCGGCTAGCGAAATGTCAGTTGTCCAACTTTAAGCTCGCCGAGTCTAGCCAATTTGCTTCTTCGTTATCGACTCCGATCGAAGGACTCGAATGGATCGAGAGTATATTCTCCTTTAAGACCGAAATCGGCCGAGGCAAGGGTATAATCCGGCTCGTTCAGGGCGAGGACGGCGTGTACATAGGCTATATGCTACACACATCGTTGCAGGAGTTGAAGGGATTCGAAGAGGTCTCGGGCGCCAGAAGACCTCACGGCGGCAACAACTCCTTGGCCGGAGGCGTCAAGTCAGGCAACTGGTTCGAACGGCGACAAAAAGCCGTAGAATTTGAAGACGAGCAGCCCAAAGTCCTCATCATAGGCGCAGGTGAGCTTTCTTGAACCCCAGATCCTTGCAGCCCATGTGATGTGGAGACGTCTCTCTGACTTACAAAATTTCCCAACTCTTGCTAGGCCACGCCGGGTTGAACATGGCAGCTCGCCTTCAATCACTCCGTATGACGAGCCTTGTCATCGACAAGAATGCTCGCATCGGCGACAACTGGCGCTCTCGCTATCGGACCCTTGTCACTCACGATCCGGTCCAATACACGCATATGTGTGGCCTTCCCTTCCCAAGCACATGGCCTCTTTTCACACCCAAGGACAAACTGGGCGATTGGTTCGAGGCGTACGCCTCACTCATGGAGCTGAACGTCTGGACGAGCACGAAGGTCGGATCCGTTGACTTCTCCGACAGCGAGAAGAAGTGGACAGTCACCGTCTCGCACCCGGCAAGGGGCAAGAGAACATTGACGTCGAGTTACCTGGTCTTCTGCACTGGCCACGCCGGCGAGCCCAAGATCCCGAGCTTCCCTGGCCAACAAACATTCAAAGGCACAGTGTACCACGGGAGCCAGCACCAAGACGCTACCCAGAACACCGGGTCAGTGGCTGGGAAGCGCGTAGTTGTCGTCGGCACCGGTAACTCTGGCCACGACATCGCTCAGAACTACTTTGAAGCAGGAGCAGCTGAGGTCACCATGCTCCAGCGTCGGGGTACATATGTCATCCAAGCCTCGAAAGGGCTCTTCATGCTTCACGAGGGCCTGTACGACGAAACCCGCCCACCGATCGAGGATGCAGACGTGTACGGGCAGAGTCTGCCGATCCCGGTCCAGTTCGCGCTCAACTTCGGACTCACCCAGCAGATCAAAGAAGCCGAAAAGGACAACATCGAAGGTCTGGAAAAGGCAGGGTTCAAGCTTGACTTTGGCCATGACGGCTCGGGCATCTATCGCAAATATGTCACCCGTGGTGGTGGCTACTATATCGACGTCGGAGCTAGTCAGCTCATCATCGACCGGAAGATCAAAGTGGTCCAGTCACCCGAAGGCATCCAGGGCTTCGAAGAGCACAATCTCATTCTGGGTGATGGGAGGAAGTTGCCGGCCGATATTGTTGTGCTTGCAACGGGGTATGACAACATGCGAACGACAGCAAGGAAGGTCCTAGGGGACAAGATTGCCGACCGTGCGAAAGACGTCTGGGACCTGGATGAGGAGGGAGAGGTTAACGCTGTAAGTCAGACTTCCAGCCTCGCCTAAAGTCATGGTTCCTCTTAGAACGGCATGAATGCACGAAGCTAATGGTTTTTGCCTTCAGATTTGGCGCCCCTGCGGCAATCCTCGCTTATGGTTCATGGGCGGAAGTCTGGCCTTGTGTCGGATCTATTCGCGCTTCGTGGCGCTGCAGATCAAAGCGATCGAAGAAGGGTTGGCGGACGGATAGTCGTGCTTTCTTACAAGCCTGGAAAATGCAGGACCGAATTGGCGGCATATGCGACCATGAACATGATGGCGGTGAGTAGATTTGAAGATAAGGATACAGGTTCTTCAAATATAGGGAGGTGCGCTCACTCACCTTCGGATAAAGGCTTCTGGCTCATATGATTTTATGCCGCCTGTTGTCAGCCACCACCTCGACGCACTAGAAGCATCGCGTTAGCTGCTCTCCAACGGCCACCTTCCCACTGGACTCCTCCGAGGAAAAGTGTATATGACCAGTGTTTGACCTCGAGCACAATGAATTTTTGTAGATATCACTAACCTTCTACATCCAGAGCATCAAGGTCTGCCATATTCCATTCGGACATGGGGAATGCTTCGATGTCTCCTGCAGAAATCCGCTGAACACATACCTCCTTGCCCACGAAATATGATGGTCGCTCAGAGACCAAATCCGTGGCTGACTGATTGTCATTCGACCGACTCAAATCAGTGAAGGTTGGGACTGTCACTGGAACAACCAGAAGAGTACCTTGCAGGAAGGCCACCCAGCAGCTTGCACTAAGGCGTTTCAACAACAAGTCAACAACAAGAGTCTTGTTCACCAAGGTTTTGACGATTCCTGCAGATAGATCCGGAGAAAAATGATGATTTCTTGTCTAGATTGGGCTGGATGTTGAGGTCCTTGGTATGGTTACTGTCCCAACCAGAGTATGACAAGGAACAAGAGTATCACACCACGGGATGGTGAGCAGATGAAGTTGCAGCCGTCTTCGGTCTCCGGTCTCCGTGAAGCAAGTACCCAGATGTCAAATTGACGGCTGACATCTTTGGGAACCGTGAACCGAGAAATAATGATCTTCTTTCAATTTAGAATTTCTACCATTGTGCTGCCGCAATCGGTAGTCCGGGAATGAACCGGAAATAATCCAGAATCCGAGGCCAACCACAGCACGCTGGATGGACCTACTGTGTGTACTCGTAGCTTCGGGTACCTAGATTGCAGATGGACAAATCTGCACTGCATGTTCATGACTTTCTGCAGACACGTTACCTTGATTGGGCGGACCATTGATTGGCAGAATAGATGGAGCTCAACGCAGCCAACCTGGAGAAACACTCTCGTGGTCATCTTTTCGGCCAGCAGAAACCTTGACAACCCAAGAGCAGTGGTTGGGAGTACAGTAAGACCGAAATGCAGTCCGAAATGCTATCTGTTGCATAACACAGCAGTCGCGGATGGATGACGACCTCAACGGCTGGCCGGACCGCGATTCTTCTCCAATGACTGCTGATTTCCAAGATCCGGACATGCATTAGTCGGGACACAACGTCGCTGTCTCAAATTCTATACGATATTCCAGAATGGTGTTCGTGGCAATTGATTCGTTCAGTACAGTGTATGGCTGCAGACTATCAAATTGGCCGGGAAATTTCTGGGCCAGTCATTAGCATCACGGGCGTAGAGGGACTGATTCGCTTGCAATTGCTTGGTGCAATGGGCACCAAGAGATGCGTTCCAATGTGTGATTGTGTGACGTAGAAGGGACCAACAAGGCCATTCCGCTTTGAAGGCTGCAAATTGGCTCAGGACTCCGAAGCCAAAAAAAATCTGCATACACAGGAGGACTGCTGTGGACTGTTGTTGTGGGCGGAAGTTGATATTCCGATGCCGAAGACTGTGGTCTTTGCACGGTGGCCGACACATGCTTAAAAATGAGACCAACGTCAAGAGCCTGGGCTAATCGCATTCGAAGTGCAGGTACCCAGAGGTTGATCTTGACCAACTACAGTCGATCATGTCCACGATGATCGGCTCTTGTCGGAACTCTCCAGAAGATGTCATGCACCACCTCAAAGGTTGTGGAGTGGACCAGAGTGCACCTGCTGAGAATGGTCCGACCAGGTGAACGGAGAGGATATGTCTCTGAAAGCATTCACAATACCTCGTACAACAGTCCTCCGGTAAGAGGCGCGTGAAGGCTTTCGCCATACGGAGTACGGAGTACCATAAAGGCACTGCGACCAGATCCGATCACGCGTCCAAGGAGATTCTACCTTGGAAAATCTACCGTGGGACCACTCATGCAACTAGAGGTAGAAGCGAGGTTGGAATAAATGTCAATCCATGGTTGGCGTCCCTGCGGCATGCTCTACCATAGTAGTTACATTTTAGGCGAAGGAATCCTACAAGTATTTATATTGCAAGTGATGACAAAAGCAGAGCATCATGAAAGATGGCAGTCGTGGTCTTCACTTTTGGGATCATGATGGATCAAGGCCTCATGCAGGAACTGCGAGGGCCATACGGAGTAGGGCAGCCACGCACCTTGAGAAAGCATGTGGAAGCCAAAGCAAGTGGAAGTATAATTACGCGTGGATTATTCTTGATTCTTGATTCCTGGTACGTACGGAGTACTCGTACGAGTAACAGGTTCATTCAGGAGCTGCTGGTGATGTCCGGCTCTCAACGTCCGGCCTTTTGGCCTTCATACCCCGGACGGCATCCATGACGGTTTCCGAAGAGAAACGGGGCCTGAACTGGGTTCACTGGTCTGTGCATCTGCTAGCCTAGTGGCCCAACCGTTGGGTGGCCGTGTGGGTGACTGTGATCCTTCGTCTCAAGGCCGTGCAAGGCCTAACGAAGATGGGTGCCGACTTGCCGGCCGTCCCCGTCTCCAAGGTGCCGATCTCTTCCCACTGTGCGATTCATGTCCGAGACCTGCCTGCTTCAGAAATCTGGGAGTTCGGGTGCCGAGACCAGGCGCCCTGACGTTCCTCTGGCACGTTCTGGCCCTTACCGCACCTCCTATCGAAGTTAGCGCTGTCAACCTAGCCTACCATAGTAGTGAGCCCTGGCGCCCGGGGCCAGTCATTTCTTCTGCCGGAGCTTTGAGAAGTTCCCACTGCCGTGTCCTTGGGCCTGTCTGATGAACCGTCAACCACGTTGAAGGCTGTTTGGGATTATTGATGTGCCAGCCTGAAATGTTCCTCCTGTCACGCTTCCATTTTGGTTTCCATGCCCATCGTGATCACATATCGGACTTTTGTGCAACGCTCGACCGTTTTTCCAGTCCGGTATATGTTTGCAGTAAGAAAACGACGGCTTCTTGCCGTATTCAGGTAGTAGTGCAGAAGCTGTGACAGATCAGTGTCGAATTCCAAGCGATGGGCAGCCCGAGGTGCTACGTGTGTAACAAGCCTCTGGGGCTGTCTTTTAAACCCATGTCGAGGCATCCTCAGCATTGTTCTTGATATGGTGACCTGTCAGGTCTGTGCTTTGGTGTTCCGTCCTCTTGATGACCTGACGTTACGTATAATGCATCTTGCTTCCTCTTGTGTCCTCAGCTCAGTCGACGCACATGGCATGACAATTTCATTGCACGTGTTTGGGGGCTTCTCGCAGCTTTCGGCCATGGCCACCTCTGTCCATGAGAACGGGGGAGCAACTGCGTGTGCCGGTAAACCTCACCCTGTCGAACAAGCTTGATAGTGAATATCGAGCCGGATTAGCTTTAGAACCGGTAGTGTGATAACATGAGTAGACTCGCATTAGCGGCTTCAAGTGGACGTTTGCTGGAATTTGAGCTTGCAGACATGGGCGGGGATGATGGCCGCGAGGGTGTGGACATTTGACATCTGCAATGGCCCAAAGAGTCGATGGCGTCCATGCGCCCAGAGAAAGATGTTAAGCGAAGGGAGCGTGCACCACCGAAATCCTTGCTTGCAACTGGAAGCGAGTAAGGGCCTGCGCCAGTTGACAGGACCGCCTAAACTGAGAAGAGCAAGGGCTCGGAGCCAGATGAGCCCCTTGGTGGGTGGGAAGATCGAGGGGGCCACCCGACCACTGCAGCGCCTATGCAGTCAAATCCCAGCCGAGTTGCTCTTGTGTGCCACGCTTTGTCGCCACTTGGTTAGTTTCAGCGCCAGGCTAGGACAGTATGGGCATCGACTGTTGAGCTTGTTGTGGTACGGGCCCAGATGGTAGACTTAGGCGTGATCCGCAGATGGATGATGATGGCAACTGCTCGAGGGCCGGTGGGTACCAGTAGTACCAGTAGTTGGGAGTACGACCCAGTTTCGCCTGGAGTCTGGCTGCGTGGGTGCGGCCTCGATCAATCTCATCGACCTTCTCCTCTTTCTCTCACCACCGTTGCACCCATCTTCCCTTTTCCCTCGACTGCACTGTTGCTTCCCTCATTGTTGAGGGTTTGCTCTGTATGGGGTTCTTGAATTGTCACATCAACTTCTCTTTCACTTGGTCGTGCCTTTAGCTGTGGCCCCGTGTGGTGTTCCTTTGTGGCGGTATCGGCGGGTCTGGATTTGAGTCTAACACCGCAGATCGCTTTTGTCCTTCGGTTCTACCATTCTGCGACAAAGACGAGTTCCAACGGCTCGGTGTCCCTGAGACAGTCTCCGGATTTTACCTTTGCATGCGCATCAAGCATCGACACAGCTGCCTGACCTCGTCACGCTATCCTATCGTCATCTTGCCTCGATAGGAAAAACCATCCCGGAGTATCAACTAGCAAGAAGGCTGTCGGGAGTGCAGAGTGCGATACACCGACTCTGAGACCAACAAAAAGAAGCGTAGGGTGCGGAATTAGAACTCCTTGGGATAAACTTCGCCATTCTCTGGTTGCGCCGTTGAATTGCGAGAAACAAGACGACGACTTCTAGTCTCAACAAAGAAACGTGGGCTGGGGGAAAACGCCATTTGTCGGAAAAGGCATCTACGAGGCTGAAGAGTTATAATTTTGTCTTTGTCAGCCTCTGCAGTATAGGCTTCTGGGTGGAGGTCTCAAACATTGCATCAAAGGTTAGTGCATTTCCCAGTACTCACCACTTCGGATCGCTGTGGATGGCTCTTTCTGCAACAACTTGTCGAGTTACCAGATGGCAGGAAGATCTTGCCTTGAACTGACGGCATCGGTCGACCTATGAGGAGACTCTTGCTTTCAAGGACTCACTCTCCGCTGCCCAACCATGAGTCCGCCGATTCGGGCTGGCTTGATTTATCTTTCTCCCATCTCCCACATTATCTCTCCTTTTGTGCACTATGCTGCACCTGCATCACACCGCAATCATGACGCGACTGCCCGCGATAGGAGATCTTGTATTAACTGACACTATGGATAGCTCAAAAACAAGCCTGCCAGAGCCCTCTACCAATAAAGCCGAGTCGGAAGGAAGTCGGCTTCTTCCTAGTCTGAAGGACACCGTAGGATCGGCCTACAGCGCACAACGACCGCTACAACCCCAGCCAGACCCTTCTCACCCAGTTCCTGAGCTCTTCATCCCCGGTGTCTCGGTCCTCTACCTTGACGACCTGCCTATTCGAACATACACCGTCGGTGGTTTCCGGTACAACATGGCACAACCAAAAAATGAGACCAAGAGCGAGTTCTCTCGCAAGACCGTAGATGGTAGACAAATCACATATGCGCTGGAAGTGGTGCAGCAGCCCGAGAAAGCCAGAGCTTGCGGCTCAGGCGTTAAATGTGAGTTCTGTCTCCACATCCAATGGACCACTTTTCTGACCCTTCCCTTCAGCGACGCAGGACCGCCGACCTGTCGACCCACCACCAGTTGTCCGATTGAGAGTGTTCAGTGGCAACGTGGACATCACTTCCGTCTACGATGCGACGTTCATGCTTTATGCGAGCTTGGAAGTTGCTTGACCGATAGCTGCTGGCAAGATGCATACTCCTCCAGCTATTCCAGTCTTGTCGGGTGTGGCCGTTGCCAGTGCTGCTTACCTGGAAAAGCCTAAAGCAGCCGCTTATTTTATCTTCCCGGACCTTTCGGTTCGACACGAGGGCTGGTATCGACTGAAGTTCTCCCTATTCGAAGGCATCAAGCATCAGTGTGATGCTGATGTTGAGAACCCATTCGTCCGTACTTCGCCAGCAATGGGAAATGCAGACACAGCTCCAGTTCGTCATGAGGGCATGGCAAATCGGCTTGAGGTCCAAACGGTTCCATTCCAGGTCTACAGTGCCAAGAAATTCCCCGGTCTAAGTAGTAGCACCGCTCTCAGTAAGCTCGTTCAAGAACAAGGTTGCAGAGTCCGGATTAGGAGGGAGATCAGACAGAGAAAACGGCCACAGAAGCAAGAGCCGGACATGGAAGATGGCCGCAGTTCTTACCAGGGCACTCCTCAGATCTCTTATCGCACGATGGAACACTCTCGATCCGTCAGCCGGAACAGTTTCGGTAGCCAGGGTGAAGCTGAGGATGCGAGAAGAGCTTCGATGGACAGCATCTACGGCCGCCCACCTAATCCAAGCCGCCAGTCCTCCATCGTCAGCATGCCCGGCATGCCTATGACAAGTCCTTCCTTGCGGAATATCACACCAACACCTTCCATGCCGCCTCCTCCACCTACATTCAATCAATCATTGATCCATCGGCAAGCACCAGAAGTCCCAACCGCTCCAGCACCATATCTGCCTGCTCCAGCTCCAAAATCATATCCCCCGACTACTCCTACGATTAGCCACCCACCATCGTGCATGAGGTCCATAACACCAGAGCAGAAGAACGCGCTGACTCTCCCACCTCTTCAACTTGATCGCGGGGCGGGAAGGTCCTTCAACTCCATTACTCGCCAGTGGAACTTGCCTGAACCATTGCCCACAAAACGGACTCGCAGTCCGCATGGTTACAACTACAGCGCGGCTATGAAAGCAGGCGCTCGGCCTGACCAACCCCGTAATCAGACATACTCAGCTCCACTTCCTGGTGCCAACGATATCATTGAGCCCGACACTGAAGCTGATGGTCACGAACAAGACTACGACTATGAAGATCCTGCCATGCAGAATCATTATTACACCCGTGCAGATGGCACCACTGGCTGTAAGCCTTGGCCTTCTCCAGCACAGACGCGTGTGCACTATTGAGGCAACGGCTAGAGACTTTTTCAGTTGTTATTTTTTGTTGTACTTGGTTGGGCTTGGAGATAAGATGTATGGAGTGCTGGGGTTTTACAGAACCACATGGGCGCACGCAGTATACCAGCTTTGTTCCAGGCTGCTGCCTTCTTACAAGACAAGAGGGTACCGTTTGGAATTGGGCATGCCTTGATTTTTACTCCTCTTGGAGATCGTCGACGACCACTAGTCGTTTGTTTCAGTACATATGTACGGAATTTTCTACCATCTCAGACTCCTTGCATCCTCAATGACCCTGGAGTCTTCCGGAAGTTTATCTGCCTGTTGCATCCCCAAATAATGATGGTGCCTCTGAGACCTGTATCATTCTTCGTCATCTAGATTGTCATCTTGACGTCCACCGTGTATTCAGCCTTGTCGCCCCGGCCCTTGATTATGTTCCTATAGTACCAAGCCCGGTACTGGAGGTCGGGAAATGGAGAGCTTGCATTGAGCCTGGTGGGCGTGATCATGAACTCGGCAATGTATCCGTCCTCTTCGAGCTTGATACTGACTCTGGAGAGGTCTGGGACGCGCCCGGGTGGACTGTTAGGAGGATAGAAAGTCGATTCGACCATGTCTGCAGCCCCCGACGCCGAAGTCGCCAGTCGGTCGCAGAATTGGGAGATGGTCGGACAGTCAGAGGCGTGCAAAAGGAGTTCTTGGCTGGTTTGGGTGTTGCCAGTGGCGATCTCGAGCGACACGGCCAGACTGACGAGCCCTGGATCGCGGACGGGCGCTTTCATGGGCGGACCGTGGTGTGTTGGTGTAGTAGGCGGCGGTGGCGGTGTGACATCGTCGCTAGCGACAGATGAAGGAGAGGAGCGGCAAGAAACGAAATCGTCGTCCAAGCTGTCTGCGTTGTCGTCGTCGTCGCCGTCTTCGTCGGGGTGGATACTCATGGAATGAAGCTGTTTCAGTGCTGCTAGCTCGGTCTCGAGGGCAGCATTCTTCTTCTGAAGCTCGGAATGGGCCGCTTGGAGATCGGCATGCTGCTGCTGGAGCTCGGCGATCTGGGATTCGAGGCGAGGCTGCGAGGAGGACATTTTGGTTATGGAGATGGGGGTCTTTGCGAGTATCCCGCGGGCGATGGAATGGCGTGCTCCGACAGCACAAGGGGAGGACGAGCAGTGGTATCACAGCGTGCCACAGCAAAGGAACATTGTCGCCGCAAGCAAACGAAGAGCGAGCACGAGCACGAGCACGAGAAGATGCGCAGGTGGAAGTGCTGCTGGGATAAAGGGAGCAGATCGCGACAACACAAGGTCGCGACAACGAGAGCATTGTAGCCGTCTGGGTTAATGACCACATTATTGTTTATTGAGAAAGCCCGGTTGGTGAATTCACAGGATATTTTCCGCCGCCGGAGTGATGGTGACAGAGTGGTCAATGTCGCGAGTATAAACATTCACTGCAGGCAGCGGACAAGGCTGTGGACATTGTTCAAACCGCATACCTTCACCGTGAGTAGCCGGCATGGTGCTGTGATGGACAAGACGAAGCACAACCGCCAGATTGGATCCGTGCTTTCATGTTATTAACCTTGGAGTGCGAGAACGTCACCCTTGTGATGGCTTTTGTGAAGGATGTACATGGCGGGAGACATGTGGACAACGCAACTGCTTTTGCCGAGTCTTGTGCTGCCTGTGTTCAAACAGGAAATCGTAGTCTTCTGGCCTCATTATTGGGCGGCAGAAATGTGCCATTGTCAAAGGGTGTTGCAGCCTCGTACATAGAGGGGTGTTCATTCGAGGCGCATTAATAGTGTTTTCGAAGGATCTGGACAGTGGCGCCGTAGGTGCATCGCCGCTGTTGAGGTACGTTTACCATGAGGAGGATGTCGCCTGGTAGAGGTTCTCTGGCTGCTCCTGTCCAACAATACTAGAAGTAGTCCCTGGAGAGGTGACGGTGCTCACTAAAAACGTATCAGTACTGATATTTTCTGTTCGCCAGCAGCGTGTAACATAGCATGGGGCTAGCAAGCTCCTCGCTCGTAGTCGAGAGGTTGTCAGCATTTTGTAAGAAAGCAGCAAGTGAATGCGAGGTGCGGCTCAAGACTGTTCCAATATGCTGCTTATGTCAGCGACGTGGAAAGCTGATCACGTGATATCGCCTCTTCTTGTTGGATTTTTATTCCGTTCTCAAAAATTGACCCTTGCAACTCCTGACTTGCATGAGCATCCATCTTGCTCTGGCCGACGTCCGGCTTCCGTCACGATGCGGTGCGCTGCCCAGCACCCAGAAATTGTCCTGATCCAATGAAGCTCGCCTGGAGAATCAAATCCCCTCCAATAAACAGCGACGGAATAAAGATACGGGTGCGGTACCCAATGGGCAGTGTTTCTGGTTTGCAATTCCGTCAATAGCGATCGTCGATCATGCAAGCCATCTAGACCATGCCTGCAAATCCGCCGCAGACACTTGGGACAATTCTCCTGACCTGGATTGCCTGGAGAGACCTATACTCGTCCTCAACTCATAGTCAGCTGGATGATCATGGTGCAATGTTAGATCGCGCCCTTGGGCCAACCGATATGCTACAAAGAACGGACAAAAGTAGCACCTCGCTCCTGCTTCCACTTACCCCAGATTCTGCATCTTCTCCAGTGCACATGGCCTGAATTGTAATTCCGAGCTTTCTGGGATATCATCATAAAGATGCAAGCACCATCGCGCGACTTCAGACACACAGCTTCGTCACCACGGCAGGAAACATACAGTCAGGTGACATCGCGTGATAGCAACGCGCGGATGCCACGACAAATCCTTCCCCGCCCTCAGGAGGCTTCGGCGGATGTACCGACATCATTACTCCCAGCAGAGAGATTCCTGCGTCGCTACCGCACCAACGTGACCGTGGCTTGCGACCATTGCAAGATCAAAAGGGTAAGCAAGATGATTCCACTGCCTCAGGTTGACAGCAGCTAAATCCCTCACCAGGTAAAGTGCGACGGAAAGAATCCTTGTTCGCGGTGCGTGACCAAGTCGCTCGCCTGCAGTTACGGCCAAGGCAGCGACGGCCGCCGTGGTCGAAGCTCATCGAGTGAAGTACAGGCTCTGTTGGAAAAGGTCGACCAATATCAGCGCTTCTTCGACATCCTTCGCACCGTTCCGGCCGCTGATGCCGTACGAATCCTGCACCATTTGAGATCATCTCAGCCAAACATGGCGGATTCGCTAGATTCAACGCACGACGCCGCTCTTGCGGGAGCCTTGCAGTTCCCCGAGTCATTGGCGTCTTGTCCATCCACTCCGGATGGTAATCTGCCTCCCTCCTCACTCCACGCATGGAGGCAGCCGATATCCCTGCTCACCGACAACCCATCGACGCCCGCTTCATCTGACTATGGCGCGCATCACCAAGCACCTCTCGCCTCGCCTATTGCCAGGGGTGGCAATGCAGCTGTAATGGATCCACAATATGCCACGATATCGGTAAGCCCTCACCTCGTCCTACACGTCTCCAAGTTCGAAGACGGGCTGGCAACCCAAGCGTACTTTTTTACTAGATAACTAACCAAACACAGGACCAGTTCGACGTGTTCGGTCTCGGCAGCACCCTTCCAAGCGAAGGCCAGTCGACGTAAGTTATCATTGAAGTGTTTTGCAGAGAGAGTGGTTAATGACGATGCTGACAGATGCGACCACGAACTCCGGCCTCAATTCGTCGACTCGACAGGGACACTGAACAGCATGCCTGTTCCGGTGTCGCCGGCAAGCTCGGAGCTCACCGCATCGGCCCCCTGGTATAGTCAGACGAACACCAACTTCCATCAGGCAAGCGCCTGGCTGAAGCAGGATATTGATCAGATGAGTCTCTGCCTCGACTCAAGAGCCAGGCAAGACAAAAAAGGGGACAGGCGCCAAGGCAGGTAAAATGTCATCTCCCACGAGAAGGCGGTAGAGTTGATGTGTTATCTTTGCTTCGCAGGCCGCTTCTGCCACTATGGCGTTTCGCTTCGCTTACGATCGAGATGAGCGCATGAATACTGTAGTCATTGACCACGCCGCTAGCATTGCAAAAGCGGTACCGGCAAGCCTCATGGACTGACGACTTCTATAAGGCATTCGATGGTTCCTGACGTGAACAAACGGTTGCATCAAGAGGAGTATCCTCGCACCGACATGAGGTCTTTATGGGATGTGTTGGGGTTGTGTGATATCATAGTGCGTCTACTTGCCTTTTGGGCTTGCTTGACCAAAGGTCCCACGCCTCGGAGAACACGTCAGTCTGCCCACATACATTTGTTGCGACCGCTGGCGTGTAAGGGAAGGGCAAGCGCTTCAAGGGCTGGACCTTGATGGTTCGCGCGAGGACAAGGTCATTTGTGATATTGATATCAAACCTTTACGGGCTTCCCAATTCGTACCCTGGCGCCCCAATGTGGCAGAAGCTGGGTCGGACAGGGCCATCGATGGGGGTTCCACACACTGAGAGGTGTAGCCAGCCAGAAAATGACTGTGAGTCTCACAGGAATCAACGAAAGGGCTTGTGCATGCGAAAGGGCGACAGGACGGAAGCCGGAAGGCTGATAAAGATTCCGTGGGAAACCCATGTGGGAAATTTTCTGCACGGAGGACATATGTTTCTAATTTAGATACACTATGTCGTAGCTACACCACCGAGCGAGACGTAACTACCTTAGTCTCGTCGTCACATATTCCGGTCTCTCGTCTGCATCTATCAAGAAGATATCACTATTGAGCCAAGCAACGTATATTTTCCCCATTGAGTCACTTCACATAACCCCCACGGGCTTTTAACTTCGTGTAGATATTCATTCCCATTTAAGCCTTCGTTGCCGCGCCCGTTGATGTACCTTGCTGAGCAGCGCCAGCACCGGCGAGACGCTTCTTGCTGACAACTCTCAACCCGCCAACCAGCATGATGAGCAGTTCCAAGCCGAGAATGACACCAAGTGTGACCATGGCGCCGATCACGCCTGCAACAGCCTTGGAAATGCCACCGCTTCCGCTACCGGAGCTGTTGCTGGAGCTCGAGGATCCAGGAGATGAGCTGTCATCCTCGCCGAGCGCGGCTGCGCTGCACTGGCCGGTCGAGTTACCGCAGGCCTTGCACCAGTCCTTCTGCGAGTAGATGGCGAACTTGTCCATGCCCGCGACGAAATCCGACCAAGGCAGTGGCGACTGGGTGCCACCGAACACGGGGAATTCGGTGGGCTCGCTGGTGTTGCTGGTCGTGCCGTTGTGGAAGTAGAAGCGCACGCTTATCTCGTCGGTGGTCGGGAATGAGGTGCTCGACACGCTGGAGTTGGTCACGAGTTCCCAGACCAGGGTGGAGGCGTAGTCTGCCACGCCGTAGAAGTCGCTGCTGGCGGATGTGAGGTTGGCCAGGCCGAAGTAGGACATCATGCCGGCGTACGCGCCGAACTGGATGTTGAGCTTGTTCTTGCCCTTGCCGGCTATGGTGCCGTTGAGAGCGTCGACGACTTGTGCCGCGATAATGGACCCGGTCACGGCGCGGATGGGCTCGGATTCGTTGTACGCCAAACCGAATTCGTGCTGGTCGGCCAGCGTGCGCAGTTGGAAGAATGTCTCGGTAGTCAAGAGGTCGGCATTGGGGAAGTTGTCGGACGAGTTGTGGATCGAGGCGACGTTCAGCAGGTCGAAGATGGTGTAGGCGTTCTTGAAGCTGGTCTGCTTGGCGGTGAAGGTGCGGTTGATCATGGGTGAGACACCCTCGTAGAAGGACCGTGTGCGGTCGAGGGTCGCGAGGTATTGGGCGCTGGTGAAGTAGCTGTTCGAGCTGAGTTGAGCGTTGGCGCAGTTGGTTGAGCCTTGCAGCCAGGCCGAGTTCTCGCTGTTGGTGCCGGTGGTGACGGTCTCGAGAGGGATCAATTGGTAGCCATTCAGTGGTGATTGGACGACCGTGCCGTTACGAAGGGTGTTGCTTCCAAGCGACTCGCCAACTGGAGGGTACAGCCCTTGGAGGAAACCCATGGCCGAGTTCTGCAGGACAGTGTCGGTGGGTGCAGAGGCTGTGATTTGCGACTGCTTGACAAGGTCGCTGTTCATGCCATGGATACGGCGGGTTGCATCGCTGCTGATGTACCGGCTGCGGTAGTAGGAGCCGGATGTGTAGACTTCTTGATAACCCAGATCCGTCAAGTTTGCTGGTGGCGTGGACTTTGCGGTACGGTCGCCATGTCGGCTGAGGATGTAGACTCCCAGCACATTCTCCGCGGATATTTGGCTGCTGAGCAGGAGAAGGAGAGGCAAGGTCGTGTAGTGCATGATGATGGGATGAGATCGGGATCGAGTCTGCAATGGTCAACTTCCGAAGCTGCGGGGTGGAAGCGAAGCAGCCACAGCATTCAGGATAGGAGTTCGTACCTTACTGTATGCCCGATATGATACAGAGACACTCCTCTGAAATCGATTGACAAAGCCTTGTAGCTATAGCTTCCGAGTCAATCGAACGCAGAAGAGAACGCTCAGGAATGCTGGGAGCTGCAACCATAATAAAGTCTTCCTGGTCCATTGGGAGCCCAACAGTGCTTATCGAAGGGCCCCTCTTACAAACATTTTTCCGCGCGATGCGATGCGATGACCCCTCCTTCATGACGAGCGGGGATGGCCGACAAGAGCTACCTTACCCTGTGTGCCTATGAAGCTTGGGCTACCTCGTACTACCTAGGTACGTTTAGGTAGGGATCTCAGATGATCAAGGGTGGGCTTGAGCAGCATCAAGCAAATAGTCGAGTTCCACAATGGGCGGCAGAGAGTTGGCTTGGTGGTTTGCCGGAAAAAGGCTTACTCGAGACCAATAGAAAAGTCGCACGGGCCGAGATCAGAGCAGCGAAGTCGGCGATTCCAAGGGGCACGCACCTAAGCACCAGGGGCGGCAGAACTTAGCTTTCGGTTCCATCAGGTTCCTATCCAACCAACGTCGCCTTGCTTATTTAGCTCGCCGTCAGGTCTTTGATGCGGATGAGTCTTCCCGGATTTCCACGGAGGACGCAGCCGGTCAATCAGAAAGAATGGGAAACTGAAAGACGGGTAGGGTTGTTCCTCTGAACGGTGCATTGCCGCAGAGATGACGTTGAGCTAAAACAAGTGACATTGACTGTAGAGTCGCGCGCGATATAAGTCTATGCTACTAGTATCTGCACTGTCTCTAGAAATGGCGGCGGCATGGCTCGAAGCCGCTTTCAGGTCTGCTTGATCTGACTCGATCCGCCCCAAGTATTCGACTCAGTGGACTTCCTACCAGCATGGACAGTGGCCCTTAGTCAGCCCTGTGCATTTGATTCATCGCCATGGTCTCACCTATACCGTGTTGGACGAATTTCATGCGAGAGATATATCAAGTGGAATCTTCAGGTAGGTGTTTGACTCACCAAGTGCCTTCACGCTAACGAGGAAAAGCCCTCGTAGCGAATGCCTTCCTTCATACGCTTCTTGTTCTTAGGTAGGACGATCGCTCATGAGCAAAAGACTCTCCTCTATACAAAACAAATGCCCTGGTCCAAACGAGGAAGCCCACAAAGAAGAGTCTTACCCGTGCGCCTGTCTTCCTTCATGTTCCTCTTCACGATATCTTCTCATGGCTCATCTCTTGCTGTAGCTCGATCTTCCTACCATCCCTCACACTTGGTCAACCATTGGAACCTCGCTTATTCATCCACGCCCGAGGATAGAGATGTTATGATAGTCGCCCTGAAATCTTCAGCTGCACGGAGTGCTCTCCAATGATGAGAAGTGTCATGGATATCTCCAACTTGGAGAATACGGGTTTGGAGGCAAGATCGGGCTCCAGCCGGGCCCAGTGGGCGTGAGTGGGCTCAAGGCTGAGCAATTCCTTCACAATGACTGGCCACGCCAAAGCTCGTCCTCGGAAATTCATTTCGAGACGCTTGCGATCTCGGAATCTCTTTTCGAGATCCTGATGTCTTATGCACATTTCGCCAACCCTTCCATTGAACTCTTTGATTGTATTGTCTGTTGTAGCGTGCAAAACCATGTTCTCCAGCTGAAACCATGACCAGCTCGTCTTCGCCATAATGAACACATTCACGTCTGCGGTTTGTAACGCAGCTCGCTTGGCTCGAGCCTCGTTGAACATCCGCCACTCTCAGGGTCCCATTCACCGATCGTCAAGATGGATATCCCGGCCACAGGCACGAAATCTGCACCAAAGACGCCGAGCGACGACTTCATCCGTCCATGCATTCGACAAGAAATTTGATGTGATTGATCACCAATATGACGCTGTTATTATTGGAGCTGGAGGCGCCGGTCTACGTGCCGCAGTGGGCCTGGCAGAATCTGGCCTAAATACTGCGGTTGTAACGAAACTGTTTCCCACGCGGTCTCATACTGTCGCAGCCCAAGGCGGCATCAATGCTGCCTTGGGGAACATGCACGCAGATGATTGGAGATGGCACATGTATGACACCGTCAAAGGGTCCGACTGGCTTGGCGATCAGGATGCCATTCACTACATGTGCAGGGAAGCCCCAAGAGCCGTTCGAGAGCTAGAAGAGTACGGAATGCCATTCAGTAGGACTCAAGATGGCACAATCTATCAGCGCCCACTGGGTGGGCAATCACTGGAATATGGGAATGGTGGTCAGGCACATCGAACAGCCTGTGTGGCTGATCGGACAGGCCACTCCATGCTTCATACATTGTATGGCCAGGCGCTCAAGCACGACTGTCAATTCCACATTGAGTGGTTCGCGCTTGATCTGATAATGGACGGGAAGGATTGTATAGGCCTAACAGCTTTGGATATGGAGACAGGCACGTTGCACAGGGTTTTTGCAAGGAAGTAAGTATGCCCTGTTGATCTCACCAGGCATGGTGTTGGTGGCTTAGTCTCGCTCCACATCGCATCCAATGCTGACAACCTCTAGTACAATTTTAGCAACTGGAGGCTACGGCCGGGCCTACTTCAGTGCAACGAGTGCCCATACTTCCACTGGAGACGGTCTGGCGATGGCGAGTAGGGCTGGACTTCCCCTGCAAGATATGGAGTTTGTACAATTCCATCCTAGCGGCATATGTAAGTTTCACTTGCGGCTGAAAAGGGACAGTAGGCCTGCAGGAGCTTCCCTTCGTACCGTCCCCAGTCTGGACAGATTGTTCTGACCATGGGTAGATGGCGCAGGTGTCCTCATCTCAGAGGGTGCCAGAGGAGAGGGAGGATACTTACTGAATGGTCAAGGCGAGCGTTTCATGGAACGTTACGCACCTACCGCGAGGGATCTTGCGTCAAGAGATGTCGTCAGTCGAAGTATGAACATGGAAATTCGTGAAGGTCGAGGCTGTGGTCCAGACAAAGACCACATCTACCTTCAACTATCCCACCTGCCAAAGGAGATTCTCCTGGAGAGACTGCCAGGCATCGCCGAAACTGCTAGCATCTTCTCAGGAGTGGACATCACTAAGGAGCCCATCCCAGTTATACCGACAGTCCATTATTGCATGGGTGGTATACCCACGAATTGGAAGGGCCAGGTCCTGGACGTCAATCCCGAAAACGGAAAAGAGACTATCGTCAACGGCCTGTATGCCGCTGGCGAGGTCGCGTGCGTTTCAGTACATGGGGCAAATCGTTTGGGTGCCAGTAAGTCCTTGTCACCTTCAAAACCCGCGGCAATAGCATCAGAGCTCTACTTTTTGCTTTTCCCGATACAGCGGCAGTGCTCTGACCATGTGCTAGATTCATTGCTCGATATCGTCGTATTTGGCCGTGCAGCTGCCGGCCACATTGCAGAGAATAATGAGAAAGGGATGCCCGTCTTCAGGAATGGCGGCAACATCAACCCGGAAACTGGAATCGAGGGATTCGTCGACCTCGAGCGCTTGAGAACTGCCGATGGAAGCAAACTGACTGCCGAATTGCGCTCGGATATGCAAAAAGCCATGCAGACGGATGTTGCAGTGTTCAGAAATGAGGAGAGCCTGTCAACTGGATTGCAGAGACTGCAGCAGGTCGAGCAAGTATTCAACACGGATGTCTGCGTCAAAGACAAGTCTTTGATATGGAACTCGGATCTTGTGGAAACACTGGAAATGAGAAACCTCTTGACATGCGCAACACAGACAGCCAAGAGTGCGCTGGAACGAAAAGAGTCGCGTGGTTCTCATGCAAGAGAAGACTTTCCGGATCGTCTGGATGACGAATTTATGAAGCACAGTTTAAGCTGGCAGCAGGACGTTGGCCAGGAGGTTTCGATAGGCTATCGCGATGTGGTGTTCACGACTTTGGATCAGAACGAGTGTAAGACTGTGCCGGCCAAGAAAAGAACATATTAGACTCCGGATGGAAGATCTTCAATCGTGGCTGATGGGGTCCTGACTATCGCGATGAGGAGTGGACAAGCTCAGAGCTCTGACGTCCAAGACTAGAAATATAGAGGCTCTTGATCCTGCCAGAATGAAGTCCATGATGCTAAAATCTCAGCTTCTAAGCGGACGAATATCGAAACGCGCTAAGAGCCCTCTGACCCGCAGTAGGTCTAAGCTAGAGCGGACCACGCGACGTACTCCCACAGCAATTCCTCGACTTTTTCCAGCGAGGTCGCGGATGCGATTCTAAGAAGCATCGCAATTGAACACACTAAACCGATGCGAGCAAGCTCTACCTTCGACCTCTGAATCCTAGACTAGCTCGTCTTTCTGGCCATGTCTTGCAAGACGTCGTCTTCCGCTCGCATCTTCGTGGATCTACTACGACCAACTCGAAGGCGGACAAACTGCGATTGCATACACACCCGATACCTGAACAGCAAAGTCCCTCGACAAGCTCGACATGTCTCCACAGCAGCACCTCAGCAATCCGAAATGGAAGTCGATTCAGATCGCCTGCCGCGCTGGGCTACCACGCCGGCCGGCATGAAAGCCCCTGTGCGAACGAGACCAGAACGACCGACCATAAAGATCAACACGGATCAGCGGAAACTCGATGATGTTTATGTGAATTTCCTGGGACGAGATGGACACAAGTTGCTATCAGAAGAGACAAAATGGCTGGCTGTCACGAGCAAGAGCTTTGATCACGGTCGCAGAGGGTTTAACGATCGGCTGGCATTTTTTGGTAATAGCTACCTCTGGTATCTGTTGGGAGTTTCGTCGCTGACAAGAATAAAAGGGAAACGTATCGTCGAATTACAATGCTCACTAGGGCTTCTGAGTGTCTCCGACTCTACATACTTCCTAAGGAGCGGCGACCAAGATCCTCACGACCGAAAACCCTTCCGACACCCTGCGATTGAGGCTGTGGAATGCCTATCAGGAGGAGCGCATGACTATTTCACACATCATAAAGCGATTTCAAATTTGGCTACACAGTACGGGTTACCTGAAGTCGTTCGGTGGCATCCCAGATTTGTAAGTCGACTATTCTGTTCCTGCAATGGCACAATCCAAGTTCTAATCTATGATTGCTAGCCCGACCGACTCGAGGCATCCGGCGCGGATCTGGTCTACTCGCAGGCTGTATTCGCGATCATCGGGGCACTGGCGCTGGAGCAAGGAGGCGCAGTCGCGAACCGCATAGCGAAAGAGAGAGTGTTAATACCCATGGGCATGAAGAGGAACTGGACACCCAAGGTCGCGGCACCTGAGAGCTCCTCCTCTTCATCGTGAGATTGGAAATTCCAGGCATTAGTGTATAACATTTCTTTCAAGCAAGCCATTGCATTGTACAGAATTAAAGGAAAAGAATGTTTGGGGCCTCTGACACCGCCTGAGCAATTTGAAAAAGTGCTCAGCCAGCTCTTATGGCACCGTCATTGAGTTTTCGGTCTCCGCGTCTCTGAATCGCAAGGTCTAACAATTGACAAGCCGTGGAATCATGGCAAAATGCCAGAAACGCACGGGGATGCTGCATTGCACTGTCTGTTGGGCGCGTTGGAATTGTGAAGATCGAATCGAAATTCGGGCGGAAAAAGTAACTGCACAAATCTCCACAATTTCATGGCTTGGCAATACGCGCTGCTGCTTTAAGATCCATCTCGCACCTCCTGGCCGATCCAGGAAATATTACCCTATGATGCAGACTGTACATAAACACGAACATGGAATTTAGTAGATGTATGCTGCTTGCACGGCTGAGATAGCTACAAGGCCGTGGACTCTTGTAATGAGACCAGTGCTCGCCAGAACCTCAAAGTAAAGACAAACGTCGAGCGGGGGGCATCATGAGTTCTTACGCAAGAGGCCTCTAGTGAGAGGACATATACTGGACATAGGTTGTTGAGAGAGACTTGTGACAATGATATATCAAGGTCATGGATCAGTGGATGCTTGAGAGAAGTAAATAATGTGAAAGGTGTTGCGGCGGCATGATTTCCATCAGGGGCAACACGGGGCAAGCGCAGCCTTGTTGGTCGGGCGCTTGGCATAGCATCTGCGCTTGCGGAGTCCTCCATAGAATCAAAGTGGCATCTGTTGCGACGTGCATTCATCCAGCCCTTACTACCCGTCCACTGCAATCACCTCCTCTTCAGCCACTTCTCTATACACACCAGCATGCAGAGAGTTTGTCTATGATTGTCGAGCCCCGCGTTTTCAGTCAATAATCGTCATGGCTTCGGCCCTCTTCTTCCTCGACTTGAAGGGCAAGGTGAGCGTCAGCCACCTCGGCGAATGAGTCTAGATACTGACATATTCAGACCCTTCTTGCTCGAAACTATCGGGGTGATCTCCCTATGTCCGCTGTTGAAAAGTTTCCCGTTCTCCTTTCGGAAGCCGAAGAAGAGTCTTCGGCCGTTCCCCCATGTTTCTCTGATGAGGGAATCAACGTAAGTTCCCCATACGAACAGTAAGGGAACTGGCGCTGATTATCACTTCAGTATCTCTATATCCGCCACAATAACCTCTACCTGCTTGCTCTAACGAAACGAAATACCAATGCAGCAGAAATCCTTCTGTTTTTGCACAAAATCGTGGAAGTGTTCACGGAATATTTCAAAGAGCTGGAGGAGGAATCAATACGAGACAACTTTGTCATTATTTACGAACTGCTAGACGAGATGATGGACTTTGGGTATCCTCAGACAACCGAGTCGAAGATTCTACAGGAGTACATTACCCAAGAGTCGCACAAGCTTGAAGTCCAGGCACGACCACCAATAGCCGTCACTAATGCGGTGTCATGGCGAAGCGAGGGGATAAGATACCGCAAGAACGAAGTCTTTCTCGATGTTATCGAGTCCCTCAACCTGTTGGTGTCTTCAACCGGCAACGTCTTGAGATCGGAAATCCTGGGAGCTATAAAGATGAAATGCTACCTGTCTGGCATGCCAGAACTCCGGCTGGGTTTAAACGACAAAGCCATGTTTGAGACCACAGGAAGGGCTACACGGGGCAAAGCCGTTGAAATGGAAGATGTCAAATTTCATCAGTGCGTAAGGCTCTCCAGGTTCGAGAACGACCGGACGATCAGCTTCATTCCACCAGATGGAGAATTCGAACTGATGAGTTACCGACTGAATACCGCCGTCAAGCCGCTAATATGGGTCGAGTGCGTGGTCGAATCCCACTCCGGATCCAGAATCGAGTACATGCTCAAGGCGAAGGCACAGTTCAAGCGGCGGTCTACCGCCAACAATGTCGAGATTATCATCCCCGTACCGGACGACGCAGACACACCAAGATTTCGAACAAACATCGGCTCCGTACATTACGCCCCCGAAAAGTCCGCCATTGTTTGGAAAATCAAGCAATTCGGTGGCGGCAAAGAATTCCTGATGCGAGCCGAGCTTGGCCTCCCAAGCGTTAAAGGCGACGACGAACGTGGTGGCGGTATGACTGGTGGCTTCGGTGGCAGTATGGGAGGAATTTCGGGAGAGGGCAAGGGGAAGAGGCCCATCAATGTCAAGTTCGAGATTCCTTATTTCACCACCAGTGGTATTCAGGTCAGATACCTGAAGATCATCGAACCAAAGGTTGGTCGTCCATCTGAACTGAAAGCCGTTGTTTTGCTTACTGGTCACAGCTGCAATATCCGTCTTTACCCTGGGTTCGATACATCACCCAATCCGGCGACATTGCGGTGCGATTACCTGACGTGCAAGGCTGAGAAGCCGATATGTGCGAGAACTGCTGCTCTTAGGCTCTCCAGACCTCCTTGACGACAGCAAGCTTGGATCGGTCATGCTACTGGATGTGGCATTCCACCCGACTACCACCCGTAGGCCTGCCGAAACATTCCATCGTACTCGTGGTCGGTGCCCAACCCTTCGCCATCCAAGGATCCCTTTTCCGCACCCATGCGGTCACACCTCTGCCGTGGTCACAGCTGACCAAAACCCAACCGGGGTCTTTCAGGTGCTTTCGTGCAACGTATAAGGCTTCGAACGATGGGATATGTCAGCGGGTAGAAGAACTTGGAACCGGTGGCCTGTTGACGATGTATCACGCCTATGGTGATATTCAAACACAAACTGTCGCCAGAAATGATGTACTACTGAGCGCAAACGAATTATCTGTCCTAGCTTGATGGAATGAAACATCCCTTCCAATTCGATTCCGATTTCATATCCATTGAGTTGACGGGTTGAAGGAGAAATCCAATCAATTGAGTGGCTTTGGCTGAGAGGCGAGTATGCACTGTCCCGATTCAGCTCCCTACTGCAGTCCGCTTGTCTACTGCAGGCTTCGTCCCGTTCTGCGGTCAATCCTACAACAAGCAGTAGGGGTTGACCCTGCTACATTCGGTCTTCAAATGTACAGACTCGTTGAAAGCCTAATACTTCAGATGGACATCAAAGGCGTCTGCTCCATCTCATGGAGACTAAAAGACAAGATAGCCGCATTGTCCCGGGCTATCCTCTGTCATCGAGCAGGTCGCTAACGACCAAATCCAGGAGCAAAAGTCCAAAACCTTTCGCTGGTATCTGATTCCTGGATGACCCTTGCTGATCGCGAGGGGCTGCTATCCGCGTATGCACTAAAGATGCGATCTCAGTTGACTGAACCTTGATCTGGCAGAAGCCTGAGCAATGCTTCGCTGCGAACCGAGCGACTCCGGCACCCACAAAGCACACAAAGCGGCTTTCCGGCGATGCAGGCTGGTCTACGGAGTACTCATTTGAACTCTGTTGTTCCTAATGTGATATCTTTCAGAAAATACTGTCACATCCAATGGCTGCCCCTACCGACACCAGGCGCACACGGGACAACGACTAACTTACTAAAGCCAAAGCACCCAATGCGAGCTATACCCCTGGAAGAATTACGGAGTAGCAGTGGTGATTGCTCTCTGGTTGGGCTACGTGGCGGCACCTCCAAGCGCCACTCAACAGCTCAAGCGAGAAGAACATGTGCTCCGATCCTGGTTTTAGAATCCACCACTACTCAACTCCGGAGGAACTTTCCCCTTTGATGTCATCCACTCTCCGTTTTCGCGCAACACGATAAGTCGACCATTGATTCGGTGGGCAAAGGACGGGTATGCTTGTATATCTCGCACCCTACTATGTATGCCTCCCCACCTAATTGCTTCGGGCGCCGATCTGATTGTACCTCCAGCAGTCGTTCCAAGAAAGTCGAAATGGCGCAAGATGGGCCAGCATAAACTGAGTTCTAAATCCCGTTGCTTCGACAGAGCGAATCGCTGCGTTGTGGTCGCTAGCACATTTGAACATTGACCTGACGATCCGCAACGGGAAATGATTCCGGCGTCACTTTCCGTTTGGGCCAAACGTACGGAGGCGTGCACCATTACTATTGACCGCGCTAAAATTTAGTGTGGACAGGGGATACAGCTTGGCAGCCCTCAGAGTTGCGGTATAAGGATTGCCTACCATTTTGTATGGCGGTTTTTAGTACTCGCCTCGAGATTTTTGTACTCTATATATAAAGCCTATAATAATTACATTTTTAGTATCTATAATTAGCCTTATTTTATACTCTATTTCTAGTCGTTACTTACCTAATTTTGTCGAGCCTAAAGGGTACGCTAAGCGAGCGCGAGGTAGATAAGAGATATATCTATAGATACGCTCTTTTTCGATAATCTATTAAACGATTAGTCTTTACTATTATACTTTCTTTTATCTTTTATTTTATAGTAGAAACTACTAAAGATAAAGAAGTATAATAGCCGCGCTAAAAGAAACTCTCTGGCATGGAAAAGCCGTGGCAAAATGGTGGAAGATGTATGTATGAGGGAAGAAGCTATGGAATGGCCGAAGGCTATGTCTACCTATCCTCTTAGCATCGCCAAGAGGTAGTCACGTGTCGCTACGTGACTTAGACGTGGTCTAGGTGGTCTATAGGGGCATCCATAACACCTCCCCTTTATTTGCTTTTGAAAGATACGGCCTCGCATCAACGTATCAATAATCTAGTCCCGCTAGTTATTCTATAAGAGAGAAAAATATATAGAAAACACCGTTGCCCCTTCCGCCTACGGGCCTACTATCCTAGTCTAGCTGGGTACTTTCAACGTTATCTCCAAAGCTATCCGTCATTGAATTCTAAGGCTAACTTAAAAGAAGAAAGAAAATACACTTAAAAAAATATACTCTACGGCTATACCGTTATTATAAAAGAAAAAGGCTATTACTATAGTCGTTAGTATTTATTCGATTTTAGGAGCTCTATACTTTTAAATCTAAAATAATTAGTAGAATAGCAATAAGGGGATAGCGATAATTATAAAGATATAGAGATAGAAGAGAAGAACGAGTTTAATACGAACGCTACTAACTAATTAGATAGTCGACCTTACTTTTTTTAGAAGTGCTATAGTAAACGAGACCGAGGGTTTAAATACAAGAATAGATATAGATAGATAGAATAGATATACATAAACGGAATACCTCCTAAATCAATAGAAATATCTTGAAAATCAACACTATGAATCTCTATACCAACCTAGCCTTGCGCGCAAATAGCGAGGCTACGACGGCGGTATATTGCTGCAACATAATGCCATTGTGTTCATTCTATATCAACTGCTCACCTAATTTTGGTGAGGTGTTGATGACATCTGAATACCCTTGCAATGCCGAGAAGCTAAATTTTAGCGCGGTCAATAGTAATGGTGCACGCCTCCGTACCGCGCCAGATGCTGGACTCAAGCGGCCTGGTCGCTGCTCCTGCATGGTTACCCCTGTCAGGATTTTTAGGCAGCCAGAACGTCGTCGGACACCTCTCGACCGCATCTGATGAGCAGAGGCACCCAGCGGCAGCCAGGCGCTCCGACGCAATACCAATCACAGCCTTCTTGAACTTCACCATGATTTGAAGCTGGCTTTGCGTCTCCCAAACAGCGCATGCTCATCTTGTTTGTGAGTTACAAGTATCCAGCCGCAATTGAGCTGCTCTTTTGACAGTTGAGGCAATCACAACTGATAGCATCGTGCAACAGAGCCGGAAACCCTTCAGCGTGGGGTTTGATTGGTCGCCCAGAAGCTTTGAGAATGCTTGGAGGATTCTCATCTGGCCGGAGGTCCGCCCGCAGTGCAGGGAGTGCTCGATCTCGCAAACCCTGTCACCGGGGGATGGGTAACCGCATATGGTACATATCGAACAATACAATTACCAACTCCTGATCCCCTATATCCACCGTGATCTCATCCTACCCAAGAACCAAGTCGGCTCGACCTGAATTGCATACGGCTACCCGGCTTCGCGAACACGTCGGAGAGCTTTACGAGTACGAACCGGCCTTTTCAGATTCCTTTTACTGCTGCTTCTTTCCGTCGACGTTTCCTTCTGCTCAGCATGGGTGCAAAGTCAGGGGTCCAAGCGCCGACTACAGACAACGCGTCTGGACTACGGCGGCCTAAAGCCCCCGTTGCATGTGTGGTCTGCAAGTCCCGCAGGATCAGGGTGAGTCCGGATCTGCTATATTGTCGCAGGTCGGTGGCTGGAGAACCTGACCTTGTTCTGACGCTCCAAACAGTGCTCAGGAAAAGCGCCTTGTCAAGCATGCTTGACATTGGGCACGCAATGCGTCATTGACGAGACACTGGATGGCCGGAGGAAAGTGGCCTTGACGCGTAAACTTGATGAGCTTATTCATCACAAATGGATTCTGGAAGGATTTCTGATTTGTCTACGATTTGCACGAGGGCCGTATCTGGTTGACCTTCTGGAATGTGTGAGTGAGGGTGTGCCGTTGCGGTCTCTAGCCACGACTGTCTCTGCTGGGCTTTCGAAGGCAGATCTTCCAGGCCCAGTACAGAGCAGGGTGATCGAAATCGAACGAGAACTCAAGTCGTATATCAACGGCAACCCCCAGCCAGAAACTTATTCTTCGAATGACTTGTCAAGACACTCGAAGGCTTCAGCTGTGCAAACTGGTGACTCTGAATCCCCGAGTGGCACACCCCTTCCAGGAGGAAGGACGGAATCCTTCAGTCCTCAGCGTCAGAGGGCAGACTGCAAAGCAGGACGGTCTGGCAATGATCACACAATTCCGAAGCCAGTTGCAGGAGGCTTGGCTGTCAACATGAGCAATGGCTATCATACTAGCGCTCTCGGCCATTCGACAGACCGTGGAACGTTGACTCACAGTTCAGGAGGTGGGCTCGACGAGATTCTGCAATTCCTGAATGCTCCACGATCTCCTAGCAGACACCAGTATTCCCCGGAGATGGACTTTGAATTTAGTAGAGGTACGGCCGAAATGCAGATTGTCGTCCTGGATGCTAAGAGAGGTTAGGTCAATCCACGGAATCTGAGTCGGGGAGTCAGCGATTTTCGTCGCTTGCCCCAGATCTGGAGCTAGACATGCACGGATCCTTCAACAAGGCAAGTGCTGGACACCTGACTTGAGGCTCTTCTAACCGTGTAGGACCATCTCACCTTGTACACTGACGGCTTCATGGAAGTTGTCGAATCAAACTCAGACATGAGAAGGAGAAAACACTCTGCCACGATCATCCCAACAGTTCCAGCAGCATCAATAACACCTCTTTCTAATCAATGCTCATACCTCCCTTCCAGTGGTAGCGACTCGCGGAGACTTTCAATGACCTCTTCAACCCTTATCGCAAGCTACGATCAATCGCCAAATACCGAATTCGGCCAAAACTCGTGGCCGGAGCCGCCACAAAGGACTCGGCCACTAGCATTGCATATGGCCTTGCCTCGAATCGAGGTCAATGACAAGCCCATGTCATGCGCTATCACCAGCTACTTGGAATTGGCTCGGTCGATGTTGTCACAGGGGACACCTGTGGAGCAGGTGTTTGGTCCCGACAGGCCTTCGATGGATCTTCTATTTCGACCTCGAAAACCAACTGATTCGCACTCGGTATGTCACTTCGTCGCTGAGCTGTGTGCTCGAATCAAGGGCATGGAAACGGCATCCAAGTTAGGCATAGCCGTCATGTTCGTATACTTGATCAGGGTTCGTTGTGCTCCAATCTCATTGGGTGTGTCGATGCTGAGATGTTGAAACAGTGGATGATCTTGTCGTCGCAGGAGAACTATCAGAGAGTCCCCGAGCTTTACCGCCCAACACTTGCCCAGCTTGAAATCCCGCATAGCGCGGACATCGAGTTTTGCCCGTTTCCTCAGTTGCGAGATGCACTTTGTCACAGGAACCGAGATTTTCTTCCGGGTGTAGCAAGGAATATTCGGTGCAACTGGCCCCATACGTCGATGGAGAGTTGCGTCGAGTGGAATCAGAAGACGGGACGGGTTTTGCCTACTGGGGAATTTTGCAGACATATTCTGCAACCCGACCACTGGACCCTCAGACCCGGGATATGCGACACATTTCCTGAGTGTCGCAATCTTGTCAGGGCTGCTGGATGAAGCCTTGAGCATGATCAACGTGTGGTGTCTGCGGGTGATTGTTTCCACATTTGCAACCACATTGGCGGCCGCATTACGGAGTAGCATGGAATATCTTTGCAATAAGCCGTCGGGCAGGAGTAGGCATATTGTTCGAATAATGTCACTAGCACTAGACAAACCGTGATCGCGATGCTGATGTTGAAGACCCATGTTGGATCTGTTTCCCACCTAGCCTCATGACATGGTTACATACTGCATACCTAGTAGGATAGCTATAGTAGCTGGGTGGTAGTGAGCCTTGCGCCTCGCAGCCTCACAGTAGTTTGGCCTTGACAGGTCAAATGACGTCATTTAGGAATAATTTTAAGAAATAAATTCTAGTCACTCTCTATCATGCAGACGACAGCGAACAATAGAACAAGCACATTGTACCATCCTGCTGTTCACCACTGTCATAGCGACCTTCGCGATACCGTCATCATGCCCTCTCCACCTCTCCCAACTCCTACCCCCGACGAACTCGACGACCTCATTTATTTCTCTCGTACCGGTGACTTTGACTCCCTCAAAGAACTCGTAACAAACGTGTGCGCAAGCCACTCCAGTCCTCCATCCGTCATTCTCGCATCGGCAATCGATGTCGACGAAGACGGTCTCGGCTCACAGTCAAGTCTGCTACATTACCCTGCGGCGAACGGCAATCTCGAGGTGGTGGAGTACTTGATAAGCTTGCTTACACCGTCGGACTCGTTGGGTGGGAGTGTGGGGGCGACGACGGCAGATAAGTCGGCATCCAGTCTGGTCAACCATCGCAATGTCAGTGGGAATACGCCGTTGCACTGGGCGGGCATGAATGGGCACCTCGAAGTGGTCAAGGCACTGGTCGGCGCAGGTGCGGATCCCGGAATCGCGAATGCTGCGGGTCGGGATGCTGTTGTTGAGAGTGAGTGCTCTGCGAAGGATGGGGCTAGGGAGTGTGCGGAGTGGATGTTGAGGGAGTGCGAGGGGTTGGAGAGGGGTGTCGGTGGCCAGGGCAGTGCGGGTGAAAATGAAGCTGAAGAGGAGGTTGATGCAGATATGGATGGAATGATGTTGAATACTGAAGGGGAGCAGCTGCAAGATGACGCGAAGGAGCAGGAGACGTGAGAAGACGAAGATATGCGGGTCGAGAAGGAAATATTACGAAAGAGACATCTGCCCAACGACTTTGCTGCTACAAGCGACAAAAAGTTCTTGCGCTCGAATACGGGATACGAAGCTGCTATGAGGACATGTTTTTTTGGGAAAATCAACGCTCAAGTTGAAGGACAGACGACTGCCAACGAGCTGCAACTACCTTGACCAGATGCATCTTGCCGCCATAAAAGACCGCAATAACCGAGCCACATTTTCCGGGGTTGCCACGCCTAAGTCTCGACTTCGATGTCCCCAGGCATCGGCTTTGACCTCGATACTGTCAACACAATCGGCGACCTCATCGCATTTTGACGAACTGTCTCAGACACAGGGTATATCCAGTCAGTCCGTGAGTGGCACGCAATGACATTGCTCGCCATCTTTGTTACTGAGTGTGCAATACAGGGTAGGGCAAGTCTGTCCGGTCTCTGAATTGACAACGCATTGTCCATTGTGGCAGTGGCCGGTGTTTAAGCGCTGGAAATGGATGTCAGTTTACCTGAATCAAGAGCCATGTTCGGCCTAGAAAGGCTGAAAGATACCTTGTCAAGTCTGCCATCCCGAATCGGTCGGAGACACGTTGACTCTTCAGTGACATCTGCTGGTAGAGGGCTGCTGAGCGTCGACGGAATCAGGAGCGCCAGGCTGGCGAGGAGGATGTTGCTTAAGAGCATGTTGGCGGATCGAAAGTTCCTCACTGAAGGTTGGGGAAGTGCTGTTCAGAAAGTCCGACTGTTTCAAGATGGAGAGTTCTCGCAGTCTGGTGCTTGAAGATTATTTTACTTCTATGAAGGGAGCACAAGACACAATTCTACTGCCTACTCTTTCTTTCAGAATGCAGGACACGAGGTCGTCTTATATACCCTCCAACATGTTCCATTCAGCGCGACATGACCAGCATCGTCATACCGAATTGAACAGGAGGCCGCCCAAAACGTACGTGAGCAGCGTGATCCAAAGTCAGCTACGACAGCCACGGCCTGGCCACGAATGGCTTTGCATTTTCCTACTCAGGCGTGTCTGCGGCGAGACCTTCAGTCAGCCATTTCTGAATACAGATCGGGAGACGCGGATGGAAGTCCAATAGCCGAGATGGCTAGCACCACGGCTGGGGTGAGTAGCCCGCAAGCCTTCCACATGGTTGTTGCTGGGGTGTTGTGGCTTGCATATGCCACTTCATGAGTGGGAAGCCAGAATTTCGAAAAGGTGTCCAGAAAGAGGAGCTTGAGGGAAGGGCTGGCTCTTTGTGGAACCACGAATATGGACTGTTCTCAAATATGATCGCTGCATCGCTGCCCTCGGGAAACGGTTGCCCGCTTTTTGTATTACTTGTCTACAGGGTTGCCTCCTCAAGTTCTGGAATGTGTGTGGTGCAAGACTTCGTGTTCGTGTTCATGCTCGTGTTCGGCAGCGAGGCTTACCTGAGTCAAGCACTGAGCTGGATAACCAGTCTACTTTAATCTCTCCAAGGAGGGAAGCCAAGTAAAATTTAGTTCCCTGATATGTCCACACGTCTTTAATATGCTGGGTTCGTGTCTGCGCGCAGCCTGGACGTCAGCGTAAGCTTAGGTACCTTAACCTTGGGCACGAAGCACAGGGATAAGTATCCTAAGTGCTCCGTGTCGAAGAAACCCTCCAGAGTCTCAGAAGGTCTACGGGAAATGCGGGGTACGAGGAAGACAGACGGAGCGCATACCAGACCAGACCAGACAAGACAAGGCGACCTGGTATGGACCGTAGACAGTAGGCTGTAGGCTGATCTTGCCTAACACCGGTCTCATCATCGCAAGAGTCCATATGACCTTGACCTTGACCATATGGAAAGAAAGCGGAAAGGAACAAACCTGTCGTCTTTTCAGCTCATGTCAGCTCAGACTACGACTCAGACTCAGCTGAGTACAGATTTTATACGTCACGAGTTCGATGAGGATACATGCTGCGCGGACCAATAGGCCAAAGAATGCGATACGAAGAGGCTGCCAATTGAGCGGAGAGAGCGAGAGGGAGAGAGGAAACGCCTGCCGAATCCGGAATATTGTGTAACAGGTCTCGAGTCCACTGGCAGTCCGCATGATGCCTCACTCGTTGGAGCAGCCACGTCGTTCCGTCATGCGTCTGTCATGGTCCTTGACTGCAGGCAATGATCTATCCGACTCATATATAGCCAAAGCAAAGACAAGCTAAGATCAACAAGTTTCCCAACACCATAACCTCCGCACCTTTGCTGGACGGAATCAGTTGTGACGAGGTCCGTTCTGCATGCTAAAATATGCCTGGACGCCTGCTTGCTAGATGGAAAGGCAGGACGCATCACCTCAGTTCGATCTTGTCAGTACAGAAACACTCTGGAGGCTGAAGACCTGACCCGATTGAATTTCCTGGTCTTTCTCTCCGACGTTGTATGTTGCCCATCCAAGACAGGACTGAAATGGCCAACATTCATATTCGAAACAGACTGTTGTGCCTCGTCATAAGTGAGTGAGATGGCAATATATTTCGTTCATATGCTGCATATCGTCGCAGAGGCTCTCAAATAGTTGTCAGCCAGCATTGATCGTCGATGTTGACCAGCTATCAGAAGGAGAAGATCATCAGCGCGCGTACGCCTCGTGAAGCAAAGCCGGCACCAGCCCAACAGACCCCGGTGGGCAAGACACAATCGCAGAGACTTCACCATGCCTCTCGTCTCTTCATCCTGACTCTGACCGGCTTGACCGGATTGACGGCGCCAGCGCCCATTTTCCTCCCAGGATGAACCCACTTGCCACCATTCCCAACTGGCTCCATATCCCATTGCATGATGATCGCCGCAGCAAACAGAATAACTTCCCTCTCCGCGAACGTCTTCCCTTTACACATGTTCTTCCCACCTCCCCAGACCCTCATCGTCCCATAATCGACCCTGGCACCACCGGGATCATCCGGACTCGCGCTCTTTTCATCGCCTTCCTTGATCCAGAACCTCCTGGCATCAAACCTCATCGGATCACGAAAGTACTTCTCGTCGCTCTGATGCACGCCATGGGGCACGGCCACGTAGTCGCCTTTCCTCAACAAGAACGACTGTGGGTGGCTCTTCCCCAGCATTTTAGCATCTTCGTCCGTCTCAGTGACCACAAAGTCGTCCATGAGCTGTTTGTACGACATACTCGCGGCCTCTAGGCGCATCGCCTCGAAAAAGGCGCCTTTCAACAGCGGACACTTCGCCCACAGCGAGGCCAGGTCGATCTCCAGCTTCGGCGCTTCTTTGATCGGGAGACCATTATCCTCGGCGTGCCTGAACCTTACATACGGCGCGATCTCCCGCCTCAGTTCCTCGAGCAGGCACGCGTCACTGAAGACGTACCATATCAACCAGAAGACCACGGGGTTGGAATTGATGTTCATCGCCCACATCACCGTGCCGTTCCCCGTGCACCATCCTCTAGGAGAGGCCCCAGCCTTGCGGAACTCGAGCGCTCGCGTGACGATCACGGCCGCCACGTCGGACATGTCGCTCCAATTCGGGCCCGGATCTTCTCCGTCAAGGTACTTGAACAGCGCGTCGTGATGCTCTCCGATGGCGGAGATGACACGTTCGCGCGCCGCGGCGGGGCGGATCATGCCCGGGAACCACCGCGGCGTGCCGGCAACGAAGAGGTTGAATCTCGTGTCCATCTCCCATAGGTCGTGCATGATGTTTGGATAATTCCTCGTGAAGTCACGGCCCATGAGGACCGTGGTGGCAATGTTGCCAACGAAGTACCGCACAAGCTGGAAGAGTTCGGCTTCGGCGACGAAGCTGCCGTCGTCACAGTTTTGGGATACGATGTCGACGTGGGCTTCGCGCTCCCATATCGCTTGGTCGACTTCGCTGGACGCACCAGAGACCAGGTTCCACGTATCGTGCTCGAGGGCCTCGACGGTGTCCTTGAGCGCGCTGGAGACGAAGTCCTCGCGCAACATGTCTGAAAGCGCACCGTGGACCGACCCCCATAGTGCCTTGGGCTCTGTGGCTCTCGTGGCGCCGCGGTCGTCCCAGAAACTCTGCATGACGTGGTAGATGAACGGCTCCATCGTGACGGGGGCGTTTTTCGATATCAGTTGGCGCTCGATGCCCGGCACGGTGACCATGTGGTGTTTCGAGTTGGCCATCCACAGAGTGTAGAGGGAGCCGTGGGCACCCAGAGACCGCGCCGTTCGCGTTAGATAGTCTGTGCCACCGAGGGCGAAGTTGACGCCGTGGCCGAGCCATGGGATCCAGTACGGCGGGATAGGGGGTTGTGCAGCTGCGTCTCCAGGACCATTTTGCGAGGGTCTTTGTTGTTGTCGTCGTCGTTTCGAGATGCTGGACCGAAATCTGATGCCTGAGCGGATTCGCGTGATGATACAGATGGAGGTGAAAAGTGCCAGAATGGACAGCAAGGGATGATTGGTGATACTCGTGATGGTATGCTGCAAGATCGCGACGCGACTCTGCCGGGTGAGGTCCATGGTTGCTAATAGTATTATTGGAGAGTTGCCCAGCACCCCTCAAAATTGCACAGAATTAGTCATAGATATATATTTGAGATTTCTGCCTCGTACCGCGGTCGGTTGGCGGTGTGGAGGCTAACTTTACTTCAGGAAACTGGAAGATTGCTGAGACGCGATGAGTTGTGGTGGTTGGAGGCCTTACATAACTAAACTGCTTACACCCTGTCATCGGCATTGGCATGAAGGATGAGCCTCGCACCAGCATGTCGACTACAACGCTTAACAAACCTGGAAGTCATGCTGGGCTGCCTGCTTATGTTTTTGGTTGTGGCCGTTGAGGATGATTATGGACTATCAAGATCCCTCGTCTCTTATCCAAGGTACTAGTACTGTACGCCGTTGCACATCGTTGCCTGGGGTATATCTCATAGTATCATACAACAAGGGTTGAGTAGAAGGATGATCCAAGTACAGCCACCACGACAGATTCCTTCGCCCACTAAAATTTGTCCATAAGCACCTTCTTCAACTTGCCGCTCTCGGCTTCGTAATCCTGTATCTTCAACTGGCTACCCATCACCTTGGCCAAACAATATTGAATCCGAGGTTTCAGTTCGGCTGGTGTTCCTGGCATTTCGGCGAGAACCTTCAATTCATTTTCATACTTTTCCACGTTCTTGTTTTCATTGCCAATCAGCTGCGAGATGATTGCCAGATCTAGTCGCGCCTTGAGTACCTCATCGTCAGTAAGATATTCGAATGCTGACTGATAAACAGGTTTGCCAGGCTTGATGCTGTAAGGTCTGCCATTGTTCGAGGTGATGGTGATCAACTCTGCCTGTTCAAGTGCTTGGAGGACAGCTTCGCCATTTGAGAATAGCGGGTCAAGAAGCAACTCGTTATACCGCAGAACCTCGTCGGAAGCCAGTTTTTTGACCAATAACCATGCTTGCTGGGGAGTCCAGTTCCGACTGGCAGTATCAACATCAAGGAGGTACATTTTCAAGATCTCCGAGGCTGACTGTTCAATGATTTGTCGTACGGCTTCTGTAAAAATGGTTAGCATGAAGCCACAACATACCAAATTCGGTGATGTCACTTACTTGCTGGCGACTCGCCGGTCTTAATTCTTCGAGCGAGGAATTCCAAGTCTGTCAACCGACCACCAAGCACTTGAATCACACCATCGAGTTCGTCAATGTCACTTTCTAGTTGCGCAGGAGTGACCTTCTCCTCTCCCTGGGCCGCGTGAGGTTCGTCGCTTTCGGCGTGGAGGTGCTGAAGAACAAGCTTCTTAGCCACTTCAGGCGTACAGTCGCTGAGGGTGATCTGGCGGAACACCCTATCTGGCAAAGCTTTGCTGAGTGACTTAGAGAAAGACACGTCAGTTGTGAGGAAAATAACATGCGCGACATTCTGTGTTGTCAGGGCAGCAGCCCACTCTCCCAGTTTGTCGTAAACGATGCTGGTGGAGCCCTCATTATTCTTGTGCAGAAAGTTGTCGATGACCACCACCGGTCGATATTCAGGATGAGCTTCCAGCCATTCATCGTCAGCCATCTGAGCTTCCTTCTCGTCTTTCTTATTGCGGTGTGACAGCGCAATCTGCTTCAGCGCAGTGGTAGTATTGCCCCAAATCTTGGCTAATTGCGTGTCAACAGTTTCAGAGAAACCGGTCTTGGTCCCAATGGTACCCATGGCAGCTAGATCAATCATGCTGCTGATACTGTTCATCCAAGAAAAGACGGGTCTGTAACCAACTTCAGCGGCGGCTGCAGCAATAGTTGCACTGTCCCCTCGGGCCTCTTGGATCTTTTTGCAATCGATGATCAGCTTGTTGGGCCTGTCCTTTAGTGCCTGATCCACAACAAGCTCTTTCTTGCCCGCTCCCCGAGGACCTTGGACGACAATGAATGTGTCAGCTGTCTCGATCATCCATGTCTGCAACTGGCTGATGGCTCCTTGACGATCTTCCCAAACAATTTTCAGGCTGTCATTCTCAGCCTTTCGGTTGCGGAAGCGGAGGTAGTCGTATCCTCGATTAAGCCAGCTTTTGGCCCATCTGTACAGTGGCTGGTCGTCCAGATGGAGGCCGTGGGTTATGTGCATTCTGATGAAGAAAGTCCTGATTGGGTCAAATACCGCCACAGAAGCTGCAGTGAGCAACGCGACCGCAAGAGGGAGCACAATTCTTGGGTGACTGGTGATCCAGCTCCATATCCAGCCTGCTTTAGCTCTCGGCTCATAGCTGAGCTTTAAGAGGGTCCCAGCCTTGCCTCCGCCTTCCGCAGTTCCCACGACATAGCCATGCATGCAATTCTTCGCCATGGTAGCGAATCTTAATCTTGTGTAGTCGATATATGCATATCTGGGAAGCACCTTTGAGTCGAAGGGTTCTGGGACAATCTCGGCGAGCTTGCCATATCTGCGGAACAAGGAGTAGAGCGTCTCTTGGGTCAATTCAGCAGCAGATGTTTCAGGTGAAGTTGGGAGAAATTCAACTTTCACCCTCGAGCTCGGTATACGATACAAGTCTTCGATCCATGGTTTGCCACGAACAAGGGATGCCCGCACCTGTTGAAAAGGATTGAACCATGGCTTGATGGGTTTCTCTTTCAGATATTGTTTGAGTGTATTCTCGAGTTCTGTGACTGTGATTCCTTCATCGTGTGTGAATTTTACAAACGCGCCTCCTTCTCGTAGTCTAGGCAAGACTTTCGTGACTGTAAGCGGCAACTTTTCTGGTAGAGCTCGTTTTATGATACTCGACGGTTCGGCCAGAGCCAAATCTGGGTGGTTGACCTTCTTGAGAGACTCTGCCAACAGCTTGTCTGGGTTGAGAAAAGGTATGCGACTCAACCATTGGAGTTTCAAGGGGAAGACACCTGGTCCATGGTCAGTATGGATGCCTTGCAACTTCCAACGAGATGCGCACTGTCAAAGAAGAGTATTCCTTCATTCGGTCTTGTCTCAATGTGGCCGGTGTCATTGTCGCCGACCTCGGATGATTCCCTCCTCTTGCCTGAGGGGATTGCTGGCCTGGCAGTTCTTGGTCGCAAACCATTGGTAATGTAGAAATACTGTTTCCTCAGATTGGTGACCAATGGTGACGATGGCCGGGCCAAACAGCTTCGGGCACTCCTCGAGACTAACATGTTGCTGTGGTGTCCAGCAGCATGCCTCTGGGAGCAGTCGAAGTTAGTATAGCTGCATTTGGTGCACGCTCTCTGCGTACCGACCGAGTGTCGCGAAGAGCAGAAGCACCTTGCTGCCTTCGTAGATTGGCAGCTGTTCGCGATTTATTTTATGACGTAGGAAGGGTAAATGTGTGGCTGAACAGGTGTGGCTTAACAATGTCCGTTGCTGTTTTATTTTTTGGGATCGAATTCCCGCATTGTCTACAACTGTTTCCCAACACGCAACCTACATTCTTTTTGAGGTGATTCGATCAGTCATGGGCTGGCTCTGGCGCTCCGAACCTCTCGCCAGCAATGAAACCCCTAAACCCGACATGTCCGCTCTGGCCGGATCAGCAACACCCACGATTGCTCCTGCCCATTCCCCCATCGCTGAGCCTGCAAAACAAGCCCTTTCCCGAGAAGAACAGGCCAACCAAGAGTTCTTGGAACTTGTCAGAGAGCTTCAAGCACAGACGGAAGTAGAACCGGAGCAGAAACCACGACCACAGTTGCCTAGGACATCCGTACAAGCTCTTCCTGTTGAGACCGACATCTCTCCTGATTCTCTCTATCCTACCGAGATATCCTGCCGATCCGCTTTTGACTATGCCATGTTCTGCCAAAGCTTCGGTGGGCAATTTGTCAACATCTACCGTTACGGCTCTTTCCGGTCGTGTTCGAACCACTGGGACGACTTTTGGCTGTGTATGAGGACAAGAAACTGGGACGCGAAAGATCGATCGAGGGCAATTCAGGAGCACTATCGCAAAAAGGCAATCAAGTGGAAGACTGGGCCTAGCAGTGAAGATGTATGGGACGTAAGAGAACATCCAGTAAAGGATCCTTTCCAAGGCAACCTAGACAAGTTGGAGGCAGAGATTGCCGAGTGGAAGAAAGCAAATCCTGGAGTCCCTGATCCCTGGGGACAACCAAAACAGCCGGCGTTCAACACTCAAAAAGTTGTGTGAGGCCATACAGCTGTTGACTCCAATGGTAAGGGCGCCCTCCCTACCTGTCGAATGGGTGAATGCATGAGCGGCCAGTCACTTCGAGGTGAGGCAGTTTGAGATGCGCGCATGCGACGACAGCCGTCACTTTCTTCGTGTCTATCCTCCATCACGCTCCGCAACTCTCTAATGTACCCCATTTCGAACACACTCAAGACGGACGAAACGAATCATGGACAGAGCAATGCCGCAATTCCTACTGAACATTTCCCTTCCTACTACTCCGCAGCATGCATTTGAGCAGGCCGATACCTTGTTGCTCCAGGCTGCGGACCTGAGAAATGAGGCTGCAGCACTCCAGGCGCAAATTGACATTCTGAATGCGAGGGCCAACACTCTGACTACGACTGCTGAGGGGCTTCAGACGATTGCTCTACAAGATCGCCAGAGTCTTCAATACATACTGGATGGAGCTTTATTGGTGTTCGAAGACCGCCTTACTACCTACGAGTCAAGACCTCAGAAAGCAGCGAAATTGAAGGACGTCAAAACTCGTGTGGAAGATGGCATGGCCACACTTGAGGAGGTTGAAGATATACTCCAAGACCTGCAAAGTTCGCAGGCAAGACATCGATCAGAAAGATCCTGGACGCCCGAACCCGAGAGCCCACCAGCCTCACCAGGGACCCTGGCAACGGCTGAAGACGAAGCCGACATTGACAGCAGTAAAAATAGTGTTACCGACAACAAGACATTGAAACGAAAGATGCCAGCCGAGTCGGAGGGTGATGGAGAAGCAGATATGGACTTGCCACTAAAGAGAGCGAGGCGTGGATCCACAACTTCTGACAATTTTCATGGGAATGGTGACACTGATAAGGATCACTTGGCTAATCAGTTTGACATGCTCGACGATACCAAGGATTCCTGGGATGATACTTCTCAATCTAGAGTCACATCTGACCAGACCGCTGATTGCGAATACCCTGGAGAACAAAACCCTTTCATGCAGAACAACCCTCGTTTCATCGATTCAGCACCTCATGGCTCTGACCCGGTCTACAGTGGCGAAGCCTCTCGCGTGTGCCTCAAAAACTCGGCAATCGAAACACATGTTCAGGGCTCACGCAAGCTCAATAAGCAGGCGATATCGAAGCCGAAAAGCGAAAAGTCTCGACAGAGCAAGCGCGACAAGAAGACCAAGAAGGCCGGGCATGCTGATCGTGAAAGCAAGTCGTCAGTGCTAGCAGGATTTGCAGGCGAAGGGCAGAGATGGACGAAGTCGAGAATTGGTGACGCGCTCAACAGAGTGTCAATGCTGGAACCTGGCACATATTCTTGATACTCTCAGGCTTTGTCTACACGGATGCTCATGATCATTACTGAGAAGAGTACCACCTTGACCTGGGGTTGGCAAACCTCTTGAGGTCATCACTGGAAGCAAAGCCTATGTCTCGGCACTCGAACATGTACAATTCTTCGAATATGGAAATGAATTCAGTTCATTCTCACCTCACCTCCTTGCACTGTTCGGGCTCCTATTTCGCCGACTCCTTCTTCCAACTTTTTCTACAGGTACTTTTCTACATTGTTCCCTCCCGCTGTCACTACCCTACTTCCATGTCGCTCATGTCTCTGCCTTTTGCCTGGACAGCTCTCCTTCTGACATTCCGGTGTTTCTTATATCTTTGGTCATCATGGCATCCAAGTCTTCCTCAAGTGACTTGCTCTACCGAGAGGCAGACTTCGTAAAGCACCAGGCCGATCTCATTCGAGAAGTTGCCAACGACATCCACACCGCTGCTGGTATGGTCCAGTATAGAGCCTACGACTTCGAAACCCGCGCAGTTTGTCTTCGCAAGGCAGCCTGGGACTCGAAATGGGTCGATGACCTCGGCGTCGCTGCACAAGACATGATCGAGGAAGATCAGCACAGACATTGGAAGTTGGTAGAGCATGCCGCTGAACTGATGGACGCAGCTCAGAATGTGAAGATCGGCTTGCACAAACTGATTCAAATCGCCTACAGATCGGGACTTCTGGAGACCACTCACGAAAAGGAGTGCATGGATTGTGGTAAAGAAGAGCACGATACCTGCTGTCAGATCGAGCGAGACATTGCTGCCTCTTCTCAACCAGATCTGTGTGCAGCTGTTGGTTCGCTGACCGGCCTCAACACTGGCTGCTCTCTTCCTGCCACTTTCGTGGATCCTTCATCGCTCACAAAGAACCCAATCAACCTCAGCAAAGCCGCAAAACGTTGGTCAGTCGATACCGCAACCACCTTTGTTGAGTCAGAAGACATATCCATGGTTCTCGACGATGAGACAGGCGGAAGCTTGTCCAGATCGACCAGTATGATCAGTTCAAGCACCTATTCCGACATGGAAGTCACCAATGCTATTCTCGAGGACACCAACACTATCCAGTCAGGCACTAGGTCTGATGATGAAATCAAAGAGGACGACGACGAAGAAATACTGAGCTGGGTCCCACAAAAGATTGACCTCTCGCGACTCAGTGTCCAGTTCACCGCAAATAGGGTCGTCCAGTCTGCGATGGCGGGCGAGAAAGAGAGAATGCGCAGAGAGCGTGCGTACTAACTTGGCACAAAGATCAGGATTGCGCAAAGGGAATGGGGTCTGCTTGGAGCGCCATGCTTGGAGAGCCTTGGGAAGAAAGGCTCTACACGAGAGCTGCATGGTTGTTGAGGAACGCGGTTGAGTGGCTTGGGTCTTGAGCTCAAGACATATGGATTTACGATCATCAATGCTTAGGAAAGGGCAAACAAAGAGCATGGGCATGATATTGCTGTCCCCAAAGACTGACTGGCACAAGATAAACAATCTCCTGGACCGGTACTTACCAGGTAGTCTGGGATCATACAGCCTTGAGACATTCGTTCAATTGATGGAGTTAATAGCAGGCTGGTCCTAGGTCTGGTTCATGCCAGCCCCTTTCACTCAGAACCTGCCGTTGTTCTCATTATCGCAAATCTCGTGACTTTTCTCTCCTTGTTATCGCTTATCTGACTGTCTCTGAACATTCACTGAAAGGTGTCATATGTCTTGCGTTGTGCTCAATTGCTGACACAGGCATATGTATTAGACTGGCTCGTGGAAAGAGATCAGGCTGCTCCACCACATTGAAGTGTGGGGAAGATTTTGTTGTGGACTTCCTCTTCAAGCCCGTCAAGTCATTAATCATCGACATCAAAAGGATTCTAGCGATACTTACCGCAGGACTCTGACCCGGGACTTTCTCTCGTCCTGACCTTCCTTTTCCTTTCAATTATCAGGCCGATGAAGACACCCGCGCCTCCATTACCCCGACGGCTACCTAGAGATGCCCAAAGTCACCTCCCAGCGGACGTTTACGGCGTGTTGGACCTGTCGCCGCCGAGGTCTCCGTTGCGACAATCTAGTTCCCCGGTGTACCCAGTGCGTCCGCTCGCGCCTAGCCTGTGAGGGCTACGACATCCGACTCGTGTGGGTCGACTCCGAGACTGGGGCATATGAGCCGCAGCGGCGACGTGCCTATCCCTGTGAATTGACCTGGGACGGATATCCGACCTGGACCCTGAGGGAGGTGGGCCATCTGATCACGGATGCAGAGAACAAACGGTGTCGATGTCCACTGCACCACCAACCCAGTCCGTTCGTTACTTTCCCAGGCTATAAAGAGAATGATGCTTCGTCCGCCCAATTCCAGAAGGCGACGCCTCCGGAAGAAGGTCCACACTGCATAGAAAGCCCGCAAACTAAACAGTCAGAGATCACGATCCCTACCACGTACACACCTCCTTCGCCACAGACAACCGATTGCAGTGACTATGCAGATCTTCGCCCTCGCGCGATCTCGATGCCGGCAGTATTATCGACGTCTCTGATACCAGATGGATCACGCGAATATAACGAGCTCTTCCACCACTACATTTCCAACGTGTCCGTGATGATGACCCCGATTAATGACGATTATAATCCGTGGAAGTCGACATACCCCTGCCTCGCTGTGCACGACGAGACTTCAACCAGCACTCGCTCTCTGTTCCACGGCATTCTGGCCCAGTCGGCATTTCACCTCTCCAACCTCGGTGTGCCAAACCCTGCAAGCTATCGCAGGTCGGCCACCCAGCACTTCGGCATCGCGTTGCGCCACCTCCGCCGCAGCCTGGCCAGTCCGACGGAGAACTTCAGCAGTACGCTGGCGGCAATGCTGACCGTCACGCTCGCCGAGCATGTCTTTCATGGCCAGTCCAAAGGGTTGAGGCATCATCTCCAGGGTTCTGTCCAGTACGTGGCGCAGTATCTGGGGCAAAAGCCTTGGGTTACTTCTCATGAGGCGTGGATAATCACGCAGAGTTTTGTTCTGCACACGCTCATGTCCCAAATTGTGGGCGGCAGCGCGACCGACACCTCCAGTACGGCCACGACGCTCCATGAAGTATTAGAAGACGTCACAGCCGACCCTCGGTTCGCATATACGCTCGGCAGCACACCTCGATTGATGAAGGCGTTGTACCAGAGCCGCCTCCTCGAGGAACAGCTAGCCGCGAGAGGTTCTTTCCGGGGCGGCAAGCCAGACCTGTCCGTGGACGAACTGCTTCAAGCCAGCAAGATCCTCGTCGCGCTCAACACTCCCCTGGACGCAGAGGTCGAGCTCTACATGAGCAGACAGCGACCGATGAAGACACCGGCACAACAGCGGAAATTTATCGTGTCGAACTTGAATCTCTTCGGCTCCGCTGTGACCATCTACCTCCTTCGCGTGGTCCTGCGTCATCCACCCTCGGTGGTCACGGAACAGGTATCCCAAACCCTGTCCGCGGCGGTGGCGCTCCTCGAAATGGACCGCGCCGCAGTCTCGATCTGGCCCATCTTCATTGCCGCCGCCGAAGCCTACACGGCCGAGGCGCAGGCACTGGCGGAGTGCGTCTTGAGCCTCTCGACGAGCTTTGGTGCTGCCAACCGTGCAGTGATCCACCAGGTTGTGAAGCAAATATGGAATGAACGCGAAGAAGCTGCTGCGCAAGGGGGATGCGAGGTCGGCGACGTCCTCGTGGATTGGCGGGAGGTGTTGAAGAACCTGGACGTGGAGATTCTGCTGCTCTGAGATCATTCCAATGCAGTCTCCCGAGGTCAACACCGTCGGACAACATTCAAAGCAGCAACCTCCTTTCCGCTTCTCCGCTCGTTGCAATGCGCATGCAAAGTGGAGTTTGGTCCTCTGTTGCTGCACGGGCGACCTCTGTAAAAGCGATCAGGTTGTATGAACAGCATCTCCTTTCAAGCTAGCACGCGTTTTCGAGTATAGCCTTGCATTTTCTAGCAAAAGGTCCCTTGATGAAGGGATTCGAAGATAACCTCGCGGTCTCGCGAGCATTACAGGTCCGGCTGAGCGGGCATCCTCTGCCAGGCGCAGACAGTCGGTTGGCTATCAATGGAATGCATTGTTTTAGCCTCGGCCAGCTTTGATCTTTGTCCTCGAAAACTGACAAGCGTAATCAGTGAAGCGCCAATTCCAGGTCCTAGATCTATCGTTATTAGGTTTGGAGGCTCGCCGAGAAGGAAAGCATTTGGTAGGGGCTGCAATCGAGGACCCTATCCCCACCCGGGGAAGGCTTCGGGCTCCACTTTTGGACTCATGGAGAAGTCCACAACGAAGGGCTAGACGTGCGTGGGCCTCCGACGCTACAGACCCCAGAGAAATCATGTAACCCTGCCCAATCCTGGTTCTCACCGGATGCTTGGGTGATACAAGAGGGCAAAGAATGACGGTGGTCAGAGCGGGTCAATCAACGGGAGCGGGTCAATCAAAAGGTGCTCGAATGGTTCTCGCAACTCTCTCGACCTGGTTTCATCATTTACAAAAATTCAACCTGGGCGCAAAAGATGGCGATACCGCCCTTGAAGTTCGATCCACCGATAGACGTTGATACCGTGACAAGGCCATGGAAACAGCCACGCCACCAGACATACATTCTCACCAACGCCCATGTGATTGATCCCGTCGACGGGAGTGTACGGCACAACACCACGGTCAAGTTGGAAGGGGGGCTCGTACAATCTATCGGGGACGAGAGTGGAAAGGCGACTCACGATGGAGACATCCTTTCCATCGATCTTGAGGGCAAATACATTTTACCCGGCCTCTGGGACTGCCATGTGCACCTGGCGGCAGTGCAAGGCTGCAGCAGCCTTGACGAGATCTCGAAACTCTCCTCGGACACGGCTCTTCTTCGCCAGCCGGAGATCGGGCAAGCGATGCTCGACCGGGGCTTTACCAGCGTGCGAGATTGTGGCGGCGCCCTGTTACCGCTGAAATTGGCATTCGAGGAAGGCATCCATCCTGGTCCTCGGCTTTTCATTGCAGGTCGGCAGCTGTCGCAGTCCGGGGGCTGCGGGGACCTGCGTTCTACTTTCGATGATAGCCATTGTTGCGGCGGCGCCAAGCAACTCTCCTGTCGAACCGTGGACGGCGTGCCGGAGTGTCTGAAATTCACGCGAGAGGAGCTCCGCCTCGGCTCTGATTTCATCAAGATCATGGCCGGAGGAGGAGTGTCCAGCCCACGCGGCGGTCTGGGTGATATCGAATTCACCGAGGACGAAATCAAAGCGATCACGATTGTGGCTTCAAATGCGGGAACGTTTGTCACGGCTCACGCATACAACCCTGCTGTGATACAACAAGCGGTGAATTGTGGTGTCCTCGGAATAGAGCATGGCAACTACCTCGACAAAGCGACCGCGGAGCTCATGGCTCAGAAAGGGGTCTATCTGACACCGACCCTGGTGACATATGCGGCAGCATCGATGCCCGAATTCGGAGCCTTCGTGAGCCCAGAGTCGATGGCGAAGCTCAACAACACTCTCGAGTCCGGGCTCAGGGCCATCAAGCTGGCCAAGGAGGCAGGCGTCACCATATGCTTCGGGACCGATTTACTGGGACCCATGCACTTTGCCCAGACCAAGGAGTTTCAGCTGCGGAAAACTGTACAGTCTAGCTTGGAGATCATCCAAAGTGCAACAATCAACGCGGCCCAGATGATGCGCCGAGGGGACTCTCTTGGAAGAGTGGCGCCGGGCTTCGTGGCGGACATGTTAATCTTAAATGCCAACCCGTTGGAGGATATCACCGTCCTTGACCGACCTGAAAAACACCTGTTGGCGGTGTTCAAGGAGGGCAGAGTTGCTTCTTCCCGTTGGTCACAGCTGGAGACGAGGAATCGGCGACCTGCCAAAATTATATAACTTGCCGTATGTACCTGGGTGTTGGATAGCCACGAAGTCATAGGGATGTTGGGGGGATGTTTTATGCAGACGGTGTTTGAGAAGTATGGCAATGATGATTGATGCTGTTGAACAGAAACTAATACTACTTGACATGTTGCTTTTCTCCTTTTCTTCCCATTTTGGATGCTACCAGCCGATCTCATTCAACGACCACGTCTTGACTCGTGTCCAATTCCTCGAACCTTCTGAGGTCCATTTCTCCTTCCAGTAGGGGTTTCACATATGGATCGAAGGTCTTCCAGTACGGGTTCTCGAGATGATATTTCTGGCTGCTTTCGTGCTCGTAGCGTTCCACAATGGTGAAGTCCCGTGGGTCATGGACGGACTGCATGACGAACCATGAGACGGTTTCCTTGTCCTTTGAGTAGACTCTTGAGGCTTCGATCAATTTGTTCTTGAGCTTCTGGATGACGGTGGGATCGGAGGATTTGGCTCGCATGTGCACTGTGATTGTGTAGACCATGTTGGCGTTGTTTGACCACGAAAGTAAGACGACTGAGTGTGTGACGGGATATGCTGGCAATGGTTTGGATGTGTTGGAATAGTTTTGTTGTTAATCCCGTAAGGTATATTCCTTTGTTGTAGTAGCTCCCCTCTAAATCTTCCTTACTAACGCCTAAGTACTTAGTATTTGGGAGAACCTAAATCAGTGATTACATCACAAGATTAGGTCCTTTAACAGGCCCTTCTGAGGACCCGCAAGTACTACTCGTATTAGGTGAACGAACAGAATCCCAAAGCGGCGGCACCTACTGCCAAATTAGTGAGATAATTCGCCACCACTTGCCGTTGAACTGTCAGCAATATACTGTAGAATTCACTGTGCTCCGTATGGCTTTGTCAGACTCATTATATTCCAGTGTATGCCGTATATGACTCAAGAAATTCTGTCTGACAACAACTTCCCGGGCTTTCTAGCTCCTCGTCTTATTCGCCTCGATGATGCTCGTCAAGGCACGTGCAGTAGCGAGGCCAATCCAGCAACTCCAGCAAATCTGCCTCCACCTATGACGACGGTTCCTTTTTGTTTTCTTCCAGCGCTCTGGGTGGATATGTTCTCCGTACCGTGCGGTTCTTACTCTGCTCCATGGACCAGACTCTTTCATGCTCGTGCCCCTTCGTATGCTCTCATCTTGATCTTATAATTGCGCTCGCTTCGGACTATGGTTAGTATGTACTCGACAAGTAAAGCCTGTCGGTTCAGGACATGAAGTTCGCAAAGTACGTGAAGACTCTTGTCACTCGCTACCCGAGCATGGCACTGATGAACTCAGGGAACTCGAGGACGAAGCCGTCCCAGAATGGAGGGTCAAATACCTTAATTACAAGGCAAGCATAACATGCTCACTCTTCCCAACCGTCTACTGACTGCAACAGCAAGGGAAAAAGAAAATCAAAGCCATCTCCAAAGCCCTCCGCAATCTCAATCGAACGCCGACCACCCCTGCTCGTCCTGTGCTCGTTCCAGAAAACTCCTCTGACAGGATCCCTTTCACCCATTATGACTTTAATCCGCCACGGCCTACCACGTCCAAATCTTCACAGTCGCTACCCGAGATCGAAGAGGTTGCACCGGAGGATGAAAGAGTCCAAGCGCAGAGACCACCTCTTGAGCACAATGAGAGTAGAACTTGGTTTGCTCAGTCACCGCCAATTCTCATCCCGGGCGCAAGCAGTCAAGACGGTCCGACACCGGAAAGAACACCATTACACGATGTACAGGCATATCCAAGCAGACGGCAGATGAACTATGGGAGCTTTGTTGGTACGCCCCCTTCAGAGGAGACTCCTGGACAGTTTACGGCGCTGGAACTTCCTGATCCTGCAATAAGTCCTGTCGCTCTAGCCCGGCAACGACCGGAACCAGAAGCGCTACGAAGCCAATCAACTACAAGATTACCAGAGCCTGCTCAGGTGCCTCAAGGTCCGGATCCTTACCATGTCGGTGAAACAACTCAGCAACCCAAACGAAGTCTAAGAGGCAGCCTCGCCAGGACCATGTTTCGGAGACATCATACAGAGAAGAGCATGAAAAGCCAATCCCTATCCCTTCCACCAGTTCACACATTTCCGCGATCACGGTTAAGACGATTATTCTCGGCGCAGCTTCTCGATCAACCTACGGTCAACGATGTGCAGTTGGAAGCTTATAGAGAACTTGACGCGAGACAAGCCGAGTTCTTCTTCTTCTTGGACAGTGAATTAGACAAGATAGAAAGCTTCTACAGAATGAAAGAAGAGGAGGCTTCTGCTCGCCTGCAAGTGTTGCGAAAGCAATTGCACGAAATGAGAGATCGGAGACTAGCCGAAATCTTGAAGCAACAGAAGAAAGAATCGACTGCTCATCAGCAGAACATTGCCGATCAGTCGTCTGCGAATGGCCACAATCCGAAAGAAAATGGCCAGTCGAACGGAGGAGGACCGAATTTCCTGAAGAAGCCCATCGAAGATGCTTTAGGACGTCGCCATACCATTGGCAAGACAAGTCAGGCCATGCAACAGCTAAGTTCGCCTCCAGGTCCTAAAGCTCAGAAACGCATCGAGGATGCGAAGCAAGACTATGTGAGGCGTAAACCGCAGGACGACGTACCCTACAGGTTTGCAAAGAGACGGCTCAAGCTGGCTTTGCAAGAATTTTACCGCGGACTTGAACTGTTGAAGTCTTATGCTATCTTGAACAGGACTGGATTTCGCAAGATCAACAAGAAGTACGACAAGGCAGTCCAAGCCCGGCCACCGCTTCGATATATGGCAGAGAAAGTAAACAGTGCTTACTTTGTGCAAAGCGATGTCATCGATAACCACATAATGGCTGTTGAGGACTTGTATTCTCGATACTTCGAACGTGGCAACCATAAAATCGCAGTTCGGAAATTACGGTCCAAACTAAGTGCAGGAGACCAGTCTGGCACCACATTCCGCAATGGCCTCTATGTCGCAGCCGGCGTCTGTTTCGGTGTCACCGGCCTCGTCAACGCCTCTCATCGACTTTACGGTCCAGATCCTGTCGTCCGTACAGAGACGTCCTATCTTTTGCAAATCTATGCTGGATACTTTCTTGCTCTTTTATTGTTCTTGTTATTCTGCTTGGACTGCCGGATCTGGACACGATCACATATCAACTACGTCTTCGTATTCGAGTACGACACCCGACACGTCCTTGATTGGCGGCAATTGGCAGAATTACCGTGCTTCTTTCTCTTCCTCAACGGTGTGTTTCTCTACCTCAACTTTCAAGTTAGCTCCAGCGAGTCATTCTTCCTTTACTGGCCGGTCGTATTGGTCTCGATCACTTTACTCATAATGGCTCTGCCGTTCAAAGTCCTGTACTATGAGGCACGACGCTGGTGGGGATACTCGAACTTCCGCCTCCTCCTGGCGGGTTTGTACCCGGTCGAATTCCGAGACTTCTATCTCGGCGACATGTATTGCTCCGAGACCTACGCCATGGGCCAGATCGAAGCCTTCTTCTGCCTGTACGCCAACGACTGGAACAATCCTCCACAATGCAATTCCAGCCATTCCCGGCTATTGGGCTTCTTCACCGCCTTGCCTGCCGTCTGGCGCGCGCTACAGTGTCTGCGCCGATACTACGATTCACGAAACTGGTTCCCCCACCTCGCCAACTTCGCCAAATACTGCTGCAACATCCTATATTATATGACGCTGTCGATGTACCGGATTGAGTTGAGCAATCGTATGCGAGCAGTGTTTATCACCTTCGCCGCGATCAACGGCGTCTATTGCGCTTTCTGGGACGTGTATCTCGATTTCAGTCTTGGTAATTTCTGGTCGAAGCACCCCTTCCTTCGCGACCAGCTGGCCTACAAGAAGGTGTGGGTATACTACTTGGCCATTGTGGCGGATGTGGTGCTCCGGCAGCAGTGGATTTTCTATGCGATCTTCATATCGGACGTACAGCACTCTGCGATTATGTCGTTTTTCGTGAGTCTGGCGGAAGTCCTGCGCAGGGGCTTGTGGAGTCTGTTCCGCGTCGAAAACGAGCATTGTAATAATGTCGGCAAGTTCCGCGCCTCAAGAGATATCCCGCTACCCTATGAGATCGCCGAGTCACCTGAGGTGACGAGCAAGGCTGCCTCACCCGAGGAGCAGAGACGGACGCCTGCTACACCTGCTGCAGCGGAAGGTTGGACCGAGGGATATCTGGCGACTGGAGCGGATCTGGAGCGCCAGGCCACGCGCGACTCGTCGCTGAGGCAGCGCAAACCGAGAACGCCCGGTGGAGGAACGCCGCTCACGCCGGGGATGCAGGCTTTACGACGGGTCGGCACGGTGATTGCGTCGGCGCATGCGCAAGATTTTGAGAAGAGGCGGAGGCCCGAGGTCGAAGGGCAGGCCGAGGATGGCTCGTCATTTCCGGACCAGGCTCAAGATACTGATGATGAGGATGATGAGGACGAAGATGATGGAGGGGAGGATGAAGTTGCGGAGTTGAGAAGACAGCAGGCTGAGGATGAGGATCAGGGTCATACGGACTTGCGGCAGGCGCATCGGTTGACTGATAAGGCCAGGGGCAAAGGGCGGTAGGCGTGTCTATCAGCGTAACAAGACATAGAAGACAGGGAAAAGTGCCTGCTCCAGTTTCGAGAGGACGATTGGTGGTCTGATCGCCGCTTCGGGTTTGAAAAGTGAGCGAGAAATATATACCTAGAGTCTTTGTGGGATTGATGATTGATGAATGAATGAGCGTATATATGCCTGAACTGCGTTTACAGTTACAGTTTAGGTACCTACCTGTATGTAAGGGACATAATGGGCTTGACCTGTGGCCACCATAATGGGAATTTACTTTGGAAAATTGCGGATTGAAGATGTTTGATGGCCACCATGACTATACATATTCTTCACCAAGTTCAAGGTATGTTGTGTCTTTCCCGATTGCAACGCACGAGGCTTGGGGCTCAGGGAACTGACAAGTAAGTACGTCGACGCCTTTCTTTCTCCTGGCCCAAACCACAATCGCTATACACATAGTATGTTTCGAGCGCGAACATGAGAGCGCTCTTATTTTTTGTCTTGTCCATAGTCTAGGTTAGGCGAAACACCCCGTCTGTCCGAGGTACTTTGTTTGCACTTCTTCGCTGCTCCCTAGGCGCAACAGGCCGCTTCTGTACACCACGCCGACTGATCGTCATCATGCCCAATATTCATCCAATCCGCCCAGCGTCTAACCACCATATGAGACCTGCGGATCTGGCTCACCGGGCGCGAGGTAGTTCGTGTGCGGGTCACCAGTTTGCTTGACAGCGGAGCATCGGGCCATGGTGGGTGAACTGGTAATGTCGTTGTTAGCATACCACGGTCCATAAAAAGAAGAAGGGCGCATTCTGCAAAGGAAATTGACACCCGCTGGCTGGAAAGACATACCTTCGTGAAATAACGTCTGTCTGATAAAAGTCCTTGATCGGATTTTTCAGCGGTTCGCCCGTGGCTTTTGCCCCCTTATGAGCGTCCACCAACTGGACTTTACTCAAACTTGACAAAGCGCTCTGTTCAAGATGGTCATACCGTCTGAGTGTTGGACTGACTTCTTCCATGCGGTCTCGCAGGACTTCCAGATCGTCATAGGGCAGCGGAACACCGAGGAACTCCGAAGCCGCCCGAATGATCTTCCAATCTGTTCTGGCGGCACCCGGGAGTGTAACAGCAGCGCGGGTAAGTTGCACACGACCTTCCGTGTTGACATACGTGCCCGACTTCTCGGTATACGCGGCGGCAGGCAGAACGACATCAGCCAATTGCGCACCAGTCTCGCCGTGGTGGCCTTGGTAGACCACGAAAGCATCTTTGGGGATATCAGCTTCCGAGATTTCGTCCGCACCAAGCAGCCAGACCATCTTTGGCTTGGTCTCTGCGACCTTTTGCGATGGCGTGGTGAACCCAACTTCATATGCACCAGCTCGTGAAGCCGCACGCTGGAGGACGTTATAACCTTGCCATTCAGGAGTGTTGAAGTTCGCCTGGTTCTTGTCCACAAAAGCGCCGACAGTCTCGAAGATCGAGGCCGCATCAGGGTGTTCTGCGACGGCGCTACCTACGATGATCATAGGCTTCTTCGCAGACGACAGCTTTTTGCCGAATTCGCCAGACAGAGCTTTCTTCACGGCAGCAGCGTCGGTACCCAGGTTGTCATACTTGAACGTGCTCTTGAAGTCCTCGCCAATATAGGCGATGTCGAGTGGCGACCGCATCCATTGCTTTCGAATCCTGGCATTGAGAACAGCAGCTTCCCATCTAGGATTGCTACCAATGATGAGCATGCAGTCTGCGTCTTCGACACCGAATATCTTGGAGTTGAAGAGGTAATTGGCCCGGACATCAATGCCGTGAGTGATGGGCTCGCCACCACGAGGTTGATCAAGGGCGAGATTCTCGGAATTCAGTCTGTTGGCAAGATCTTTCATGGCGACCAGTGATTCAACTTCCGTGAGGTGACCGGCAATAGCTTTGAACTCGTTCTCGGCTGGCTTGAGTTTATGGTACGCATTGCCAATCTCCGTGAGAGCTTGTTCCCACGTAGCTGGCAGGAACTTGTCGTCCCTTCGAATCAAAGGCGTTGTTAGTCTCTGCGTTTTGAGACCATCAAGAGCGAATCTCTGCTTGTCATCGATCCATTCCTCGTTGATGTCGTCGTTTAATCTGGGTATAATTCTCTTGACTTCCAACCCCCTGGCATCGACTCTGATATTCGAGCCCATTGCGTTCAGTACGTCGATCGACTCGAACTTGATGAGTTCCCAGGGTCTGTAGCTGAATGCACCAGGCTTCGGCAGAAGCGCCCCGACTGGGCACAGGTCTGCCACATTGCCGGACAATTCAGTGTCCAGGTTTCTCTCGAGGTATGTGCCGATTTCCATTCCATTGCCTCTTCCTGTAGATCCCAGTTCTGGTGCTCCAGCAATCTCATTGGCAAATCGAATGCAGCGCGTGCAGTGAATACATCTGTTCATTGAAGTCTTGATCAAAGGTCCAATATTCTTATCTTCAACCGCACGCTTGCCTGTGACTTCGTGGAACCGACCCCGGTCGGCGCCATATCTCATCGACTGATCTTGTAAATCGCATTGGCCACCTTGGTCGCATATGGGACAATCAAGAGGATGGTTGGCGAGCAGGAATTCCATTATACCTTCTCTTGCTTTATGTGTCATGGGCGAGTTGGTCTTGACGACCATACCGGGTTGGACAGGCCAAGCGCAGGATGCCACGGGCTTGGGTACTCGTTCGACTTCGACAAGGCACATACGACAGTTACCGGCGATGAGGAGTTTTCTGGCGGCAGATTGTCAACACAGACCGGCAACCCAAACGCTGAATCAGGACATACTCATGGTAACAAAATCTGGGGATTGTAACGCCAGCCTTCTCGCAAGCTTGGATCAAAGCCGAGCCAGCTTCTATTGACACTTTCTTCCCATCGATTGTAAGTTCGACTTCGGCGGGCCGTCGTGCTGAGGAGGCGAAGGATCGTGTCGCCGAGGAGGTCAGCGGCTTCCTGGAGCGCGCGGTGGCGCGAAGAAGCCGAGACCGCATATTGACGTGTCGAGCTGGTCTCAGCTGCAGAATGTGGATGGTGTTGAAGAGAGCGTAGCGTCGACAAAGAGCTCTTGAATTCACAGAGCGCAGCTTTCCTGACGTCCTTGAATTGAGACTCGCAAACTAATGCTCACCCTCTGATTGGCTGAATGCGGACTTGGCATTATCGAATCGGCTTGGGGAGGTCCGAGATCCTGACACACCTAGCGAGCTAGGTAGTGTACCTAGTACTTCATGTTCGCTTCAGATACAAGATATGTGCTGAATTGATGCAACCTTGGAATCGGTGTGATTGAAGTACAGTTGTATACCTCCGTGGAGCTTCGCTATTATGATGATCGAAGAGAACGAACGCCCACGGTGACCCCGCCCGGGTCACCCATCTCAATGAACACCCTACCATGAACACCTACCGACCGGTAGCTCTACGCTCCTTTAACCAGAAAACAATTCTTTGATCGATCAAATCAGCCGTGTCACCGCCAAAGTATCCGTCTGGCCATCGTCCTCCCCTGGCCCAGCACCTGCCAGAATCTTGCCCAGCACCACATCGCCGTCCTCAACGGTACCCATGCCAACCAGCCCCTGTTCAGATCATAACCGAGTTCTTGAGCCACCACATCGACCATAGTGACCATAAAATCTACAGCTCCATTCTCCCTGAACATGGCCTGCTTGTTCTGCATCGTTCGCTTCTGATACTTTGTCGCACGGGGGAACATCTCCTGCTCATACTTCCTCACCGCCTCATCCACATCGCCATTCCCTCCACCCTTCAATGCACTCTCAATAGCCTCTGCCACCTCCAGCGCATCCTTCATAGCCTTGTTCACTCCCTCGCCGGCGAAAGGCGTCATCAAGCTTGCGGCGTCTCCAACCAGAGAAAAGCCCTTTCTATGCCCCCAGAACTGGCCGATAGGCAATTCATAAAGAGGCCACGGTCGGAATCTTGCTCCAACCTCAATCCATTTCCTCATTTCGGGAGCCCAGTCCTGGAAATCCTCGAGAATTTTGCTCTTCAGCACTCCTTCATCCCCGCCATACGCAGCCATCGTATCAGCAGGATAGCTTTCTTCCTTCATGACCCACACCGCAGCCTTCACACTCCCATCGCCCATCCTCTGCGCCGTCATGCTCTTGCGGTCCGAGTACGCAAAGTAACTGCCGCGCCCGACCATTTTCGAAACGTCTGGAAACCTCTCGTTCACCTCATCGATATGGCACTCGAACCCACACACGCCGGAAAATCGCGGCCTCAGGCCCGTCAGCACAGTCCGAACCTTCGACCACGCACCATCGCAGCCGACAACTAAATCAAATGGTCCTGCCGTCGAGCCATCTCTGAACGTCAATAGCCCCGTCCTGTCGTCGATAGATTGCAGTGTCTTGTCCCACCTCAAGAGTTCCGGCTTGACACTGTGCAGGAGCAAATCCTTGAGCACCTCACGGTCGATCTCGGGTCGTGCATAGTCGACCCCTACTTCCGGCATTTCATCCTGGTGGAATAACACTGTAGCGTTTTTGTCGGCAACGGAGAGTTCCTCGCCTTCATACCGTAGATACTTGAGCGCTTGCTCCCATAGCCCAGCTTTCTTGAGCGCAGCGAGGCCGGTGCCATTGTGTAAATCTAGCGTGCCGCCCTGGTAGAATCGTGACTTTGGCGAGGCATCGCGTTCGAAGATCGTGATCGATACGTCGATGTTAGCAACTTGCAGGAGGCGAGCAAGGGTGAGGCCGCTGGGACCGGCACCGATGATGGCGATGCTAAAGGGCATTGGTCCTTTCTTTGAATATTTGATTGAACAATGATATCTGCCGAGATTCTGAAGGAGATATTGTGGGATTTGAGAGTGTTGCGCTGAGCTTTTATCACGGATTAAAGAGCACAAACATTGAAAGTACGAATCACTTTGGCCTTATAAACAATGCATCGATAAACTGTACTCCCCACAAAGATACTGACCTCATCGTTCTCGAGAGATGTACTCTCGCGGCTTGACAAGAGGCCGTCAATCTCTGGTGTCGAGCTTCGACGTCGGCGCCAGGTTCGAAAAGATCCAGAAGCTGTTTTTCGGGTCCGGATGGGAGGCCTTAACGCACCGACCGTCCGATAGTCCGCAGCTCACCAAGTAAGGGGCACGACAGCGTCAGCGAGCACCAATCACAAGCACACAGCCCCCTTCTATGCCCATTAACTCTGACGCATGGCTTGATGCTTCAGTACATACAACACAGTATGTTCGTGAAAGGATGACAGATGCTCCAAGAATGAATTACGTATGGCAATTACTTTCATTACATCTCATTACATGATGGGGATTCTTAGCTAAGCCATCAACCAACCCATCCCCAGCAAAGCCGCCACGCCCAGCTCTCCGGTCATGCCATCCCGCTTCTGATTGACAGTGGCAGCACTGGAACTGGAGGCGGACGAGGAGCTTTGTGTCGGACTAGGAGCAGATGAGCTCACAGCGGTCTGACATTGAGAACTGTCGCATTTGGCAGCAAGCTCTGGGCCGGGCACAAAAGTGCCGATCGCTCGTGTGCTGTTCTTCAACGGATTACCCTCGGTATCAATGCTCTCCACGATACTCCAGGGGTGATACTTCGGTGCCGTAAACCTCGTCTCGAATCCCGTCTTCTTGACAGTGTCGATGATGCTCCATGGGCCATCGCGAGAGGGGCCAGAATAAATCCGCCATCGAGCTACTTTCGTCGCTCCATTCCAACTCATCCAGTACGACGTTGGTGCGCTGTCATTGTGTGCGTACGTATACAGGGCAGGAGCGTCTGTTGGATTGGATGTAAAATTGTGCTTGAAAGCGCGATAGTTCATCGACCCGGTTGTCGCGAAGTGGCCTTGCTGGACCATCCTTCCGTCCGGTGTGTACTCTGATATGTAAGCGTTGGAACCCCAGCCCAAGAACGCATTTGAAGTCCGCCATTCCTGGCCCAACAACTGTACATTGCCTTGAGAAGCAGAGATGAACTTGAAAGGTGCTACAAACTGCTGGAGAAGAGATACGGAGTTCTTTGTGTGGTCCAACTTCAGTATCATACCTGACGAATAGGCAGATGTTTGATTGTAGCCGTTTGAGGCATTGTCGAATAACGAGATGATGGTGGTAGTCTGGTTCTCTTCGCGAAACCTGGCATCATGCTGAAAGCTGAAATTCAGACCAGGTGGAAAGGTAAAGTCAGACATGCTACCGCCTAACCGCCATATGATGTGGCCATCTTGTCCAGACACTTTGTAAAGGGTACAGGTATGGCGTGCAGAGACGAGGTAATCTCCGTCCGTGTTGCGATCGACGCTGTTGATGTGGAAATAATCCCATGCACTTGTCGGCGTCAAGCCATTACCAGATACCTCGGTTGAAGCGGGCTTAACGAAGGTCTCGCTGATTGAGACATGGTCGATGGCGGACCACTCGAAAATTAGTCTGTTGGTTCCAAACTCAAGATGCTGAAAGTAGCAATTCATCAGCCATCCCTGGCCGGACACGTTGTAGGTGGACAAGTCGTAATGTTCAGGATTGTACAGGGTAAAAATGGAAGACTTGCCATCGTCCAGTACGTTGAATTCGTGCTCGTCGAAATTAGCCAAGCCGCTTTGTGAGCGGATGGATGTCTGCGTGGTCAAAGTGTCGTCCAAGACCACAGCGTAGCCTCGACCGTACCCAACATTCTGCGCCGCTGTGATAAAGCATAAATTATTGGTGCCATTGATTGAGCAGACGTGGAAATTGTGTGATGGACCTCCGCCTGTTTCGCCAAAGCCGCTCCAGACCAGGTTCTTGTACTGTTAGCTTTTCCTTCCTTCTTCACGGGTCTCTACTGACCCCTCTGTTATCATAAATGTGGACCGCCTCTTGAAACGTTTGATATGGTCCCATGAAAATGTAGCCTGGAGTTACAGCATTCTCGTCGTACAAAGAAATATTCAGAAAAGGCGCGTAGATATCAGGTCTCTACTTCAGTGTTAGCAGCTGCTCTCCAGACATTCCTGTAGAAGGGACGTCTTACGGATTTGAATTGGGAAAGAGGGCCCGTCCCATTGGTGTTTGTAGGTGCCAGGCCTTGTGTTTGCGCGCACGGCAAAAGGCACGATGCCACGAGCGCGGCTGCAATAGCCCGGGGCGAAGATCGCATGGCCACACTTACAAACTCGCAGTCGTCGGTCACGCAACGAGTGCCTTCAAAAGAAAAGTTCTCTTTGGGAAGACCCAAGGGGAACTCCTAAACGACCTCTTAATAGAAAAGGTGCCATGCTCTGTGAGGTGACACTGCGAAAACAGCTGACGAAAACGCTTTTCAAGGCGGCGGACGGGGCTTCCCCGCGGGCCAGAAGGCGGCTGAAAACGATCTTCGTTCAATTTTTAGGATTTCTGGTAGCGATGCGAGATCAAGCACTTGTCAAACGGCCCCGAAGGCAGATCGACCAATGCTTGTTGGGCTGATGACATGGCGGGATGTAGCGAGCAAATGGTGTTGAAGAATCACATGTTCTGCCCCTGTAAATGACGCCTTGGGTCCATCCGGGGTGCATCCTTCAAATCTTAGGCGATCCGGCGAGCCGGACAATTGGAATTAGGTCTCGCTGGTCACCCATGGTCACCCACGGCCATTAGCAACCTCGTTTGCGCAAAGTTCGCTTTTCTCTCAGTCGACCAGATCAGTTCAAACGGCGTGCGAAGGAGAACCAGGTGAAATGCCATGCAACGCAATGTTTGGTTTTCGCGTCGAGCTTCAGGCATTTCTGTGCTTGATTCAGCCTTCCAAGCTCGCCACGCTTTCCGCCCATTTCTGCTTCCACTTGCTGGCTCATTGTCAAATCCTACCATCCCAGCAAAAAGGCAACTTTGGGCAGCAATGACCAGAACCCGCGATGAATAGTAAAAGACTACCTAGGTAAGTTTCACTTCAGCGAACTTCGTTGGATGACCCAACGTCGGCGAGGCTGCGGTGGAGCGCTTCGTATTTCGTCTTCGTTGCAAGGCTATACCCACTAGGACTGAAGTCTTTGGATTGAGCACAATATGTTTTGGCGGTAATTGGCAAGGCGCCAGGTCGTGGAGTCGACAAGTTGCAAAGGCAGATCACCAGACAACTGCGAAGTCCAAACTGGCTTTGTAGGAAGGATAGCGGGATCGACCGGCTTTACTTGGGCAGCCTACAAAGCCAGTTTGAACTTGACGAAGAGAGCCTGGGTTTTGCAGATGTAAGCACGTCCTACAGGCAATGTTCCAAGAGCCGCTCATTCCGGCACCAACTCGCTGATCACAAGAAAAGCAAGATCAGACCTTATAGTACTTCTCATACAACGGATCTTTGTCCCCTTCTGCAATCTCACGCCAGTCATACTCCAACTCCTTTGCTAAGTTTCTCGACACATCTTGGCCACCGTAGTGGTGAGCAATAAATGCCAAAGTCACATCCATCTACGAGCAGTCAGAAATCATCGGGTAAAAGCTCAGAGATTGTGTATGAGAGCAGATTTAAATGACACGGACAGACTTACACCAGCGCTAATTCCTGCAGAAGTCCAAATCTCAATGGGCGTACTGTCCTGCGCCTCGGAGGGAATGCTGCGGACCCATCGAGCTGCGGGCTGCCACGAGACGCTTGGGTTGCGCTTTGCAACCTCTGCAAAGCGCGACATGTTTGTTGTTGCGCGGCGGCTGTCGAGCAGTCCCGTTTGAGCTAGCGCATCGGATCCAGTACAAACGGTTACGATGGCAGTGCGAATATGAGGTGCCACCTTTGGTATGAAGTCGAGCAGACTCTGAATATTCGAGCTTTTGCTTCCGTCTTGGTGCATGCGTTGCAGTCGAGTGCCTATTCCACCAGGGATAAGCAGTACGTCGACGGTTGGGTTGTTCACACCCGACTCAATCGCTGTCAGAAACTCTGCGTACGTGGTGTCCGGCTGGAGATACTCATTGAAGGCAGAATTGACTTTTCCGCCGCTCTGTGGAAAAGCGCTTTGTAGGTCGAAGGACCAGTTGGCGGATTTCGGCACAATAGGTTTCGATGGGACTGGATCAAGCGACTCCGCGATGAACTTCAGAGAGAGCTCAGTGTTCTCCGATATGATTGAATGGAGATTCAGTATGTCCAGCGGCCCAGCCAGGTCAAGGAGCTGAAAGCCTGGGAAGATTGGCAGAAGGTAATGGATTGGAGGAGAAGCCATGACTGATTGCAGCTGCATGCATGCCCTGGCCTGGTTGAGATCAGTGGTGAATGCCTTGGTGAAACAGCTTGTGCACGTTTCAAACAAGAGCGGCCATGAGAGGATATTGTCGAGTTCATATAGTTGTGCTGCTGTGCATGAAGTGCATCGATAGGGCGTGACGTGGAGCATGACTGGAAGTGATGAACTTGCCTGTTTCGGTCGGCTTACCTATTCCTAAGGCGGGGAGAAAGGACGAGACGGCCTAGCGACCTGAGGATGAGCTTGACGTGGGTGCTGTCCGACGGCCATCCTCGGTCACGGAAACTAGAACAGTACGACGGCGGTCAGTGATGATTGAGCGCAGTCCCTTGGAGTTGTCACTGGTTCCAATTATTCAGGACTTTAAGCCTCATTTAGTACGGATACAAAGTTCTTCGAGAAGCAACTTTCCACCAGAGCTACCCAAGAGCAGAGACACAGGCAGTTGGCTTTGGACAGCACGTGAAAGGCCAAGGCACGCAATCCGCCAATCAACAGCCAGTGGATATTCGTCTGACTCACCCAAGCATGCCAAGACCATCAGTACCAAACTATCACGTGAATGGATTTTGCCTGCGCTCCTCAATTCCATTCCTTACTCTTCCACCTGACTCTACCACCTCTACAAACCGGTGATTTTCTCATGTGCCTCTAGTCCATCTGACTGTCTCGCCTGGCCAGTTCGCACCTACCAAACGTTGCGCCACTCTAGCCATCAGATAATCACACGCTTGATTGTGCTTGTGTTTGCCTTCCAGGTTCTTTTCGCCTCCCCCGTGGTCACGATCAGCGAATGACGCACGCTGGATTCCGTCTCAATGCGAGGATTCTGCTCTTCTGCCGCCTCCAGGTTGTCTGCCTATCCCATTGCGTCCTCACAATGCAATACAATTATTTCTTGCCATTGACCATTCTATTGTTCTTTTTTGCCTCTGTACAGATTCATTCTCAATGGAGCCTACTGACGTTGCGACACAATATCCCATTCTCCCATCTATTCACCCCATTAAACACAAGCATATACACTTCTCCCGCTATCTACAGGAACTTCGGTCTAACCTCCCCTCTTGCCATACACTTCATACTGGGGACTCGGCGCGCTATCGCTGTTGTTCGAGATCCACTGACGCTCTAGGTCGAGGAACTCTTTTTCCGATCAGACTCATACTCTACTAGGCTGTGTTGAACCACGGTTGAAATCTGAGTCCGGCGTTGTCTGCGTCAGCAACGCGCGCGTGCCCGACCGGTCTGAGGACCTGCACCCAAGAACCAGTGTTGCGCTCTTCGAATCAAACTTTGACGGTGACTCCTTGAGCACCTATTTTGCAGGCTCATATTTAAGATTCCTCGCTCCTCGTTCGCAGAGCATCTTCTCACCAAATAATCGGACCCTGAGGACCCGCACCCTGAGGACCTGCACGCAGAACCTGTGTTGAGACAGGCTGTGCGAATCAAACTTTGGCGTTGAGGACCTTCCGTGCAGGCTCATATTCAAGATCCGCCCCTCCTCGTTCGCAGAACTTATATACTAAACGATCGTGCTTCATTGCACAATTCTGCTTCCTCCAAGACCACCTCCTACATCGAAACGAACCATCATACTCGAAGCTTCCAGCAAGAGAAATCACCAAACTCGAAGCCTCTAGCAAGAGTAAGGCAGGTCATACACCATGAGTGCCTGGAGTCGCCATATGACACCTGAGCAGTTCTATTCTTTTACTGGAGTGGCCTTGGAAGTGTGGAGGGCCTATTCAGAACACGAGCAAGAGGCAGCTGTCGGAATGTTAGATCTCGCACATCAGAAATGGAATAACCTGACCAACAAATACAAACTGGCCAACAGGCACAAATTTTCCCACAAGCACAAACTGGCCAACAAGCACAAAACGGCCAATGCTGCCAGCGAGGCGGGCGTCATAGCCAAAACATCTGTCACCCCACCCATCAAGGACGAAAGGGGTAGCGATGGTGCAATTCAGATGAACGTGAACCCCGAAACAGCTCTCGCTACGTCCAACACTCACAAAAAGAGTGATGTTACGACCCAGAAGGACATCAAACGCCAAATCTCTGGACCCCAGATCTCTGGAACCCAAACCAAAAAGCGCAAGAGGGACGACGATGCGAAGGACGTGGCATCCAAAACGTCTGGATCCCAAACTAAAAAGCGCAAGGTGGACGACGATGTGAAGGAAGTCGCATCCAAGGGCAAGAGACTACCCCACGCAGTGAAAGAGCGGGATAATAAGCAGTCGAGTGTGTCCACTTCTCTTGGCCACCACTTCAGAAGGGCTGTGAGAGCCCGAGAGGAGGGTATGAAAAACAGCGACTATGCGGTGGTCAGGGATGCAATCTTGCCTGACAACAGCCATGCAGCCAATCTCCGCAGACCTGAAATCGATGTGCCCACCAGTGTCACGCCTTGGGAATCCGAGGAAAAGGTGGGTGATCTGACCGGCCTACATCCCGAGGAGATCTGGGTCTGCCAACAATTGGCCATCACTGGCGACGTCTACCGTTGCCAAAAGGCTCAAATCTTTCTCGGCCTGGCTCTCTTCACTGAATACAACCACCAATTACATCAAAAACAGATCGAGAAGCCAAGCTTTTTGAGGATGGGAAAAGCACAATTTCAGCTCTTCGGTTCCATAGATGCCAACAAGCTTAGTGCTCTGTTTGACGCCTTTACGGCTTGGGGTTGGGTGGGTGAAGCGAAACAAACCTGGAAATCCACTGAAACGTTGTGCGAAAGATTTCCAGAAGCCCATCGTCGCAAGCTGGTGCAGGAAGTGTTTGACTGGGAGAGACGAACCTTACCTCGAGAATCTTGGGTGGCTGATTTCTGAGCAGGGAGCGTTGCCAGGGGAGGAAGAACGTGAGGGAACTCCGGCCTGTGTTGTAACGATGTGAGAGATCCAAGGGTGCCGGCACCGTTGGGTCTATGAAAGTCGTGTCTTTCCGCACGACTAGGCTCTCGGGACGAGAGATATGTAGCTTGGTTATCTTCAACCTCATGGGGCCACGGTGGCTTCCGGATAGACTCAAGCAATGATACAAGTAATTGAAAGTGGCCTCTGGGATCCCAAGTGATATTAACTGCCAAACACGTTTGATAAGTGATTACTCCGCTGGATGCAGCACACGAATGTGTTTCCACATCGACAATGCCTCTGCAAAGAAAAAAGTGGTATTGTTTGACAGAGGACACTCCTGTCTCATCATGTAGGCTTTTTCTTGGCCTCTTAAGTCGATGGTCTCCTGGGATCCTGACAGGGAGCACTCGTCATAATGTGTTAGAGACGCAAAACTCTCAACGTACAGCGCCGTGGCATTCTGAGGTCTGACAACTCCGGTGCTACTGGTAGTGAACGGTCTATGTCCCTTTCGATATGTTCTTCTTATGGGAGTCCGCTAGATGTCCATGCCTAAATATGACCGCAGTGGTTGGGCTTCTGATGATGGTTGGTGCAGTGGCGTGGCGTGTCGCACAGGGTGTTCTCTCCTCTCGCATCTCTCCAGCTTTTGAGGTTCGAGCGAAAGTCGAGGCAAAGAAGGGACCATCTGGGCTGCGCATCAAGGGCATGTAAAGGTGCAGGTTTTCCCAGCATTCAACATTGGGCTGGAACGCAGATTCCCAAGCACTGAAGTTGAGGTCCGTCAGGGGCAATGGACAGAAGTTGGAGATTTGCGGATGGGAGAGTGTGTTGGGATGGACCGGTATGATAGTTCACGAGCGAGCAGCTTCGACATTGGCAAAGATTGACGCTGCGTAGTCCGAGGCATGGCGTTGGAACAGGCTTGCGGGACGGCAGGGGTGTGGAGTAGTCATATCAAATAAATTCCGACAGTCGACGTCAAAGAAACACGAAAGTGTTCCGTGAGAAGGGAGCGTAAGATATTGCCATCCATGTAGCGTCCGGACGTTGTTGAGATCCATCTCTTCCATGGAACATAGTTGTATGCGGCCAAGAACAACAGAAACAAGAGGGAATGCATGCGAGGAAAGGCAAGAAAGCGTCAGGCGGAGACTGATTCCCAATGCGGGCTTGCGTGGCCTGGCCGAGGTCGCCAATACGGATTGTGATGCTCATTTCCGCAGGTAATGCGTCGGCTGCTGGAGGATGCACTCAACGGACATGCGTCAGAGGCATGAACAGGACTCCCGAAACCAAATAGTGAGGTGGAGGATGAAAGAAGACGAAGGGCTCCTGTTTTGTTGGATCTTTGGAGAGGTTCAACGTCAGTCCATTTTCAATCCGCTTTGAGCGACCCGCAGCGGTCGTGGCAATCACGACTTGCACCGCATGTATATGATGGATGTCATATTGAGGATTGGCACGCCATTTGCACATGCTCGCGGATTCCCAGGTATCTTTCAAAGGACTGGCGGTAAGTGTCATACTTCCACGGCAGCGACCGTGGTCTGACCGGCCAGCTGTTCTTTGCGCTCGTAATGGGGCCGTCTCTTCGTAGTTGAGGTCCGGCTTGGCAACTAAACGAAGCAAGCATTGGAGAACCTCGCAAGCCCTACAGGATGCTGTGGAAAAGGTTGTGTTTGTGTCATGCCACTGTCGTTACTCTCCCAGTGTACAACGCACGCCTCCCGGGGTGGAAATGCTGACCACAACGAGGCGGAAAGCCGCAGGCGAATGCAGCTCGGCTGGGCTGAGAAACATACAAGGCCTTGAAAATCCTTACCATGTTCATTAGACCGACGTGGCCGATATACGGCGTGACCAGCCCCAACGAAGGGCCTGTAGGAAGCCAGATAAGCCTAGATGAGAGATATCTTTTGCCACCCATTAGGGCATGAATGCATCTGGGCTTCAAAGGACACGCTGCCTGTTCGGGATGTGTTGGGAAGGAGCTCGTCTCCAGCACGGCAGGGAAACAAGTGATGTCGAGAAGTGTCTTTCTCTTCCGGTCTGAACGGGGCTGGGCACACACCGCCCCCAGCCCAAGATTGCACTGCAGGGGGAACTGGAGATGAATCCATCTGCATTGCCTCGAAGGCTTTTCGTCTGTTGCTTGCGAGAAGCTTTCCTCCGTACGCAGAGAGCGCCACACTAGATGCACGGCTCCTCTGCGCATGTAGTGAACGGAGGGCCTGAGAAGCAGGTTGATAAAGGCTTCGTCGAAAAGACCTGACTGATCTGAGATGGCCGCGGCGACAGACAAGGAGTACCCTTTGTGCCGAGACATGGACCCCTATCGCTTGTGACCCGTGTTTTCCACCACGATGTAGCCACCATAGAAGTACACGAGACTCAGCATCTTCCTCTGTGCTTGGAGCGACTGGAGCACTTTGACGGCTAGGCAGGGCCAATCAGGGAGATGCCGGAAGGCTCGACGACTTGGAATGTTAATGGCCTCGCGTTGGGAGCACAGAGCGAGGTTGCCCGGACAGAAGTCGAGGCGTGATCCCACCTTGTGGAACATTCATTGCCATCTGAGTGATCACTTGAGTTTTGCCCTCAGTCACTGGGGCATGAAGCATTGGCTCCACTTCCGGATCGTGGTCATCGATGGCCCTGAAAGCGCTCAAGGCGGTGTCCTTGCCCGACCTAACTCCTGAAGAAATCATGATCGGCCGCTGATCGGTGACTGTGACTGGGTACCACTAAAAACCACGCCGAAGTGCAGGATTTCAGTATCAGGCTGAGACATCAAAGAACCCCACACCAAAAGCCCTGAGATCCAGTTAATGGACCTCAGACGTCAGAACGAGAAGAGTGGCCTCTCATGCCCGACGAGCGTTTTGCGTATGGGGACCGGCATCGACCTGATTGGTGGCAAAATAATTATTGTTGGGCCGTATGCGTGTAGGGTAGGACAGCATCAGTAGCCGTACGACCTTACGGGTTAATGAATCCTCTCCTTACACTGACTGCCTCTGTCAAGTCTGGACCACGTGGCAAAACCCGAATACTGAGCCAAAGTATTTGGTACATGAGATACTCGAGTGACAGACCACCATTGCACTTGCTGGAATATCACGACTGCATCTGCGCCGACAGCAATGATTGATGAGATATGGAACTCGGAGAGGCTGTCCGCCCGTCGGCTAGTAGTTCAGTTTAGAGATCTGCAATTTTATGATATGGCGATCTCGGTGTCGGTTGGAAGGGATATCCCAGATCAAGATCACGGATAGCGTACCGCGACCGTAGATTGAAGATTTCATCTATGGCTCAGTCAGTGGTTGGTAGTTGAACAAACTTGACACGACAAGACACTGGCCAATGTGACCAGACACTGCAGAGACATCCATGGATGTGCAGAAGTCCCCCAATCTGGAAATTGGGTACTGTCCAAACAGCCAGGGATGTGAATCATCCGGTGGTTCGCAGCCACTTGGTTGTCCAGACTCCGCACCCCCGGCCACCCCAGAAGATCGTCAGCGCCCGTATCTCTGCGGACTGAAATGTTTCCATCCGATTTAGAGACAGAACAACGACTAGTGATCCACAAAGCTAGCCGTATGTGGGTATCGGTAAGGTGCAGAATGACATGTAAATGTGGTGTGGATGAACAAGTGTCTTGGAGGAGAGAAGCATCACGAAGAAAGAGCAGAAAGAGCTATGGGCAGGAGGGTGGGATGTCGAAGAATCGAATCACGTGGCTTCATGATCACGTGAACGTCAGTCTTCAACTGCTGCTCCTCCAAGAGATCGGCGACCGAATTTGACGACGCCTTTTGCCTCTGCATATGCAGCTTGTTGATTGTCTAAACAAATCGAAGCAAACATGTTCCAGACTAGTGAATCTATCTCGTCAAGCTGAGATCATGCTTCCTTTCCTTCTCTTGTGGATGCTTTTTCCTTGCTCTTCGGTTCTGGTGGTCAATAGGCTGCCTGAGAGTGACCAGGGCCGGAATGCTCTCCTTTGGCACAGTCGGTCTCGGACGTCTCACAAACTTGAGACCCCCTGGTCATCGTGAACAACGTGTCCAGTGGTGAATACGAGGGTGAGATTCTGATTGGCCCAATAATGCTCTCAAGACGCTGGTGAGGTGCTCTCAACCAAAGACCAGGACAGGCTAGATGTCTCTTCGAGATTGGAGCTGGCTTCCCCGGGGCTTGATCGCTGAGAAAGCAAACCCGTTGGTATGCACCTAAGGACGCTGATCCTCGCAGAAAGGAGCGGTCAGTGCTTCTTCAAGCATCATGATGCAGCCGCTGCCCGAACCTGCTTTCCACCAAATGGCACGCCCCGGCGCCAAACATACCTCGACATTCGCGTTACGAGATGCCGTTTCGTTTCTTGGTCTCTGAGCTCGAGCAAAACCGATGAGTGCAAGCACCGAGAATCCTAAAATTGGGCGGTGTTTCGCTTCAAGGGACTCCGCCGGCCCGATGGCGACGCAAGTGTGTCGCGCATATGACAGGCTACTCGTCAGAGGTCCAGAAGAAGCGAGACGGCTCGATCCGAGAGCTCTGCGACGATCAAGGGCTACGGCAAGGCGCAAGACAGCAAGGCTACCCAGATTCAAGCCAGAGAGAATCAAGCAGTTCTCCATTGGACGAAGCCCCAGGTGACGGAAGCATCGCCACCTCTCTTACAAACAGCGCCTCGTCTCTTTCTCGTGCATACAAGCCAGGCCCTTGCCCTTTTGACCTGGCAATCCTCCCCCTGGGCAGACCCCGCCCGTTGCCGTTCTCTCAGCCGATGTCTGGCCATTTGGCCAAATTCTTATCTCGCCTCCACATGAGCTGGATCACGGACTTCAGACCCTGGTCATTCGATATCCGCCCGCATGCTTCTCCTCTCTTGGAGTCCATCCTTCCATCGCTGTGTCGAATATCAAGCACGCACCTTGCCGTAGTCAAACTTCCAATATTTTATCTCACTTTCTGTTTTATACTGGATTTCATATCAGAGACTAAGCAACTATTCTGTCTCTCAATATTCTGTTCAAAACCTGTTTTTCCGATCAAGCGGCTCAGCTTCTGCAAGGTCATCAGCTCTGAAGACCTTGCATCATTCGTTTCCACTCACTCGCTCAAGTCTCCCTGTTCGTTCAGGTTACAGAAGCACTCGACAAACCTGATATCATACGCAGTTGCGTCCAGCAACTTGTCAGGTCACCTTTCGTTGACAGCTGTGACAGCCTTGAGGCCTTGACGCTCGACCTGTATTCATCCGTCACATTGGAGTTTGACTGGCGTTCTCTCAACTGTTGCACTTCCAAGAATGACCGACTATGCGCCACGAAGCAGTCAGGATTACAACACCTTCTTTCACAATCAGCAACTCGCCATGTCGCATTATTCCAATGGCAGCGGCATCAGCTACCTCTATGGCAATGGTCAAATTCAGTATCAGACCGTTGATACTCCATGTCCAGCATATTCAACCACTTTCAATCCAGCACAGGGTACTCATTCCAGTCCTTTGTATATGGCCAATGTCTCTGGCCTACCAATTCAGTACCCTGTTCCAAGCAACAGAGTTCCTACTCTACCTTCTCAATCTCGTGCGGTCCCCCAGTCCTCCTACTACACTACGTCCTCCTCCAACCATAGGACCGCCCCTCACCATACACGCCTCATGACGCCTCGAGACTACAGTCACATAGATGGTACGGAATGTCAAGACTCTCCAAATGAGGACACGATGCTGTCGGAGCCAGTCTTACCTCCTCTAGAAGGGTATCCTAATGTCGGTGACTTTGACGAATTAATGAAACGGTAGGTCGCCTGTTTACGAGACTAAGTGAAAGCTAATTCAGGGACACACAGTTACGTTCAAGACCTGTCTCCAAAAAAGCAAGACAAGGCCTTGATTAACGCTCGAAGAGCTGCCAACATCCGTCATGTCCTCATCGACAAGAAGACCACCTCCATTGAGTCGGCGCAGTTTCGGTGCGGCATGCCAGACCTCTTCCTCCGTACGACTACGCAGCTAACCCCTTCTGCAGGTTCTGGGTGAAGAAAATGTTCACCCTTCAGCCAGCTGACGGCAAACCACCTGAGGTGAGAAAATCACCCCCTCTGAGAGGGCCTCGGTTAACTAGGCCTGTAGCACAGAAAGATCTGCCATGAAGGCAAACCGGTAGCAGTGCGAGAAAAGCTGTTCAAGATTCTCACCAAAGCACACAAGCAGTGTCAACACGGAGGGCGGGACAAGACCTCGGCCCAAGTCCGGCGTGTCTACTCCTGGTACAGAACAACTGGGATCGCTTTAGCAAGAGACCATTACTGATGCGGATACACAGGGTTCCAAAAGAGCTCATCTCGAGATTTGTCAAATTATGTCCCACTTGCCAGGTCAGGAGAGGCACCGCACGCAACTCACCGCCCGAGTCGGAGAGGAGCCCAGACGCCCGAATGAACACACAGTCGCCAGACGCGAGCGGAGTACTAAGTTCCAGAAAGAATTCAGCGTCAAGCAGACCAGCTACAGTCAATGTGACTCTGCCCCTACAGTCGGCAGGATTCACTAGCAGCGCGGCTTTCCAGCAACAGAACCGCTGGATGACTCCACTGCCGCCTCAGCAAGTACAGCCTGAGCCTAGTCGAGTGTCGACCAGCAGCACAGTCAAACATGAAACCTACAACACCATTCCACCAATGCCCATGAATTGCGCGAATGGAACGCCGCCTGGCATGAGTTTCTCCTCTGTCAATACTTCATTCACGAATCCTTCAACTGCATATAGTTCGAACTCTTTGTCTCAGCCGACGCATGGACATGTATTAACAGACCACAACTACGACACCAAACCTGGACATCACTATCTCTAAGCAGACAGAAGCCTGGTCTCGGCCGAGTTGTGTTCTTTATTTTTCCCTACGACTTACCCCGATGCAACTGACATAGGGGTTGCGCGAATCAATCACAGCGTGATGCTTGACACGAAGGCATCAGAAGATGACCTGATGACCTGTGCATATCTTGTCGAAGACCATGTTCAGGCAGCCTCGAACAGCTTGCTAGCGTAATGAGGGTTCTCGTTACTTTTTTTAGGCTTCGTGGAGGCGGTGTATTACTATTATCACGGATATGGGACTGTCGATTGAGTGAGCTTCACTCCTAACTTGGAAAGACAGTTCCCACCAAAAGCTCTTTTGACGACGATCATGAACGAGACCTCAGATTAAATGACCAACCTAGAACCATGTACCTCCCATGGAAGGATGATTTCGGATTTGCATTCGGCTCCAGGGAATTGAGGGCGGGAAGGAGACTGACATCTTTGGGATGCTTCAGGTCAGGAGAGTTGATAGATGGACTAAGTAGGCTCTTGGGAAGAACTCTATACGGGCTCGCCAACGGCGTCCAGATAGTGTAATCGCTTGAAAGCAAGAAGACAGCCTTTTGAACTTGCGTCCTGCAGCGCGTATGAGTACGGAGGAGACCACGTAGTAGACTCACTCTGCCGAACCCCTGTCGATCGATGCACGTGATTTTTAAGTACAGTAAAGGGGACCATCATTCATGATCCCTTCTCCGCTCTCTGCCCTCTGGTCTACTGTTCCTGCTCTCCGAAAAAATGTTGGCTCTGGTTTGAACAGCCTGGCACTTCGAATTCCACTGTTTACTTTTTCTTCATTCTTCCCCATTGACTTCGACACAGCGCGTCGATCCACGATTGACTTCATCTCAGCGAATCCAAAACCACCATTCCCATATTCCCATCGACCTTCAATCATCCCGCTGCAGCATCCGGCTGCGAAACGCGCTTTCAACATGAATATCTTCAGGTTACTTGGTATAGAGACTTCAACACGTTCATCTGGGTGCTTGATTTACTGATCCGTCTTGCTGCAGCTGACCTGTCTCACCTCTTCTCAATCTTCATCCTCCTCCACAAAATGCGAACTACCAACGTACGTGGCCCTGTATTCGGTTGAAATGTCAATGTGCTAATGCCATCTCTCGAGACAGTCATGTTCCGGAATATCATTCAAGTCACAAGCCCTATACTTCCTCGTCTACCTCACTCGATACCTTGGTTTGTCTCGGCTTTCCGTGGCGATAAACGCGTCACGCTGACGTCCTTTCTCACAGATCTCTTCTGGACATTCACCGACAGCGCATGGAACACCATCTTCAAGATCATCTTTCTCTCCTCTTCTGCATACACTCTTTACGTTATGCTGAACGACTACAAGCCCACGCACGACCCGAATCTCGATACCTTCCGCGTCTCCTACTTGACAGGCAGCTCTGCCGTCCTTGCCATACTATTCCCATACAAATGGACTCTTCCCGAGATGCTCTGGGCGTTCTCGATATGGCTGGAAAGCGTTGCCATCCTGCCGCAATTGTTTATGCTCCAGAGAACTGGTGAAGCCGAAACCATCACAACACATTACCTGTTTGCTCTGGGCATTTACAGAGCCTTGTACATTCCCAATTGGATCTATCGATATTTCGCAGAGGGACATTTCGACCCGATCCCGGTCATGGCCGGCATCATACAGACGATCTTGTACTCGGACTTCTTCTGGGTCTACTACACAAAGTAAATACACCACCTGGGAACTTTAAGAGACCGGTTTGCTGACATATTGATTGATACAGGGTTCTCAAAGGAAAGAGCTTCAAACTTCCTGTCTAGGCTTTTGCAGTCGGATATACCCATGATAATGTCCAAGGTCCTGCGTGAGATCACGAAAGTCCAGCTTTCCATACCGACCTTATAGGCAAGCATGCATCACCAGGAGCGATTGCGAAAGCTCTACCGATGGAATTCGAGCTCAGAAATATCGAGACTCATAACGTGCTCGTAATATACCACCGACAGCAGTCGGAATCTACGAATTTCACAAGGAAAGATCTCCGTGCTCACTCTTTGTGCCGTTCGGACCGTTTCCACAAAATGAGTACCGTCGGAGCAACCTGCAGGTCCGTTTTGGCACCTACTGCAGCACATCGTGTGGCAGGTCTGGCCCTGGAGGTTGGGGAGTGGCTGAGCTCTCGGACAAGGCCTTGTTGCGCCGCGCTGAAGCATCAAACACCATGCTGAGCTGGCGTGGAGACTGCCGTCGAATCTGCGATCTCCCTTTCACCCAATTAACATATCTGCAGATTTTCAGCTTTGGCTTGCTGCTGAAAAGGACGGTCTGAAAGTAGCTCTTATAAGTCACCATCAGTCAAATAGCCCTTGGACTAGGTTGCACTAGCGGGACTGAAGAGTTTCACAAGTTTGCAGTTGTTCATCCTGACTGCAAAGTTCCGCTCAGCAAAGCCTATCTGCTGTCTAAGAGTCCTTCGTCAAGTCTCGCTGTTGGGTGATGGACCGCACAGCGAGCCACGGGTTCCCTTAGAATGATGGAGGGCCGCACCAATGGACAGACCTGTTACCTACAGAACGGCAAGGCGCTCTCTCTCCGCTCGAGCATGGCGCCATGCTACGAAAAATGGCGACGAACCCTCGTCCAAAGAGCCACATGTGATCTTTTTGGCATTGATGGTCAGGAACATTCCAGCCACGCGTGCGGGCCGGCAATGCCTTAAGACTCCTCTTGTCAGTTACTGTGGTCGAGTTCTGGTGATGGGAGAGTCTGTACTCTGTAGAGACGTTGGCTTCTGGTTCCTCTTTGGCAGCAACGCTGCCTCTGTCTTAGGCGGGAGAAACAGCTTTCATCAAGATGACAGGTTGTGGCAGATATACCCAATTGCTACCTAAATACGCCTTGCTGGTAGCTAGGAAATGTAGACTACGCTCGTCCACATTGATCATGAATCTGATTTCAGTCCATAGCCACTTTCCAGTATCTAGGCAATGGTCGCCAGCGCCATGGCTCGCTTGTGTCTTGTGATTCTCTATGTCGAACAGCCCACCGATGGCTGCGCGTTTCTCTGGCCTCACTCCCCTTCTCAATCACGCTTCAGCATTGGAGTGAACCTGGGTAGTAAGTATCGAATCTGGTGCAACGGATGATAGTATATTGATTCCAAGAAGAAAAAGCGAAAAAGTAACAAAAAAGACAGATGCATGCAATTTAGAGATTGTGGTCATCGGCCGTTTCAAGGTCGAACAAACGTCCATCCCTCGAAGGATCAAACGTCCAAGGATGAAGGCTACGTGGATTACAGGAAATAAATATGTCGAGAGAGATGATAGATACCAACGCCCGCTAACAGTGACAGAGTCAGGGTATAAGAAGCAAAAAAAGAGCCTCCGCAAAGATCAGAATAGATCGAGGAAACATAGCCACCACACATCTCAGAACACTGCCCGCAAATATCACAAATGCTATGTCAAAGTGGCTCCCAGTGGTGATCGAGTCTTCCTTCCCGGGGCTGATTCAGTGCGCCAGTGTCTGCTGGTCAGGGCATTTCCGACCGAGTTCGAAAGGTCTACCAATTCCGCTTCGTGCCCAACACTGCCAGGACAATGATCAGCACACAGACGACCACGCCGACGGCACACATCCAACGATTCAAGTTCCGCCACCATCGGGCATTTTGGAATTTCAGCTCCGCCATTCCCGCCAGATGTCGTTCCGTGCGCAGTCTGGCCAGAACATCCATCGGCTCCCAGTCCGACAGACCTTCGTCGGGTTGAGAATACCGCTGGGACGTGCGTTGCTGACCGTTGGTCGCTTGCGCTTGCGCATGAGCATGAGCATGGGCGTGAGCGTGAGCATTGGCATAGGCTTCCTTCTCCAAATCGTAGTAGGATGCCGGGCGTTTCGGCAGCGGCAAAAAAGCAGCAACGAACCACGTCAACGGGACAACGAAACCCACCGCGAAACAAGCGACTTGAGCGGTTCGGAGATCCGTCCGCGCGACGAAACCGCTGGACTGCGTGATGATGCTCGGTGCAGTCCAGCGTGATCTGGTATTGAATGGGAACCCGAATCCTCGCGACACACTTGAACCGGTATTCAGGCGCTGGTCGTGATGCAGATGAGGTGACTCGGACCAGTGGCGCGTAGTACCCTGCTGTGCGGCGCTCGGCTGGTATATGACGGACTGACTCTCGGATGGGCTGACGCTGTAGGTGTAGCCATTGCTCGTTCGGCGATAGTGGTGGTGGTGGATCGTATAGCTTGATCCTTGGCCATTGCCGAGCGGTCGCTCGTGGATTTCGACAACACCAGCCCAGTGGGCACGAGGGTCTACGAGGGACAGCGGCGCGGAGATGGAACGGCTGTGATTTTGGCTGGCCGGCGACTGCGAGCGTGGGACAGTGTACGATGACCGCCTGTCTGCCAACGCTGCTGTTGCGGGTTCTCGGATCGGGTTGGATACTAGGGGTCCTATGCCAGGGAGGGTGTGCGATTTCCTGGCTTCCAGCCTTGGACGTGATCGAGATTTGAAGAGTGCCTCGACCCGTTCGGTCATGGCCTGGTGGAAGCTGCGCGGCCGGCTGGGGCTGCCATTTGACTTGGACGTTTGTGGCCGTGATGTTCGCGTCGGCGATACGGCTAGGCTGTGGAGGCTGACGTGTGAGTTGCTGTGGTACAGGTACTGGAACGAGTCGCGGTAGAAGCCGGAGTAGTACCGCTTCGCCCATGTGGGTAGCGGGAGGGCATTGGTGGCGGTGCTGGTGCTCGCTGAGGAGGATGGCCGAGAAAGGAAACTGTTTTGATGTCGTAACTGCGTAAATGATCTCATGGAATTAAGTCGCGATTGCTGCGACGAGGTGGGGGAGTAGATGTAGCTGCCACTGCCGGAGCGGGCTAGTGGTGATCGGTAGACGTCGTCGCTCGATGGGAGCGCTGAAACTTCGTCCGACGCTTCGTGGGTTTCGGACTCGTGGTCCCGAACGATCCGAATCTGGGATGGATTGTAGTCCTCGTTTATGATGTACGCCGAGGCCGGAGCGAGGTCATCCGAGTGCAGATAGTCGTCTACGTCCAGCTCGAGGTCAGACGAGGCTACGCTTGCAGACCGCGTCTTGATCCCCCGCGAGGTTTCTGAGGGCACCGCCGATAGGCGTGACGTGAAGCTGGGTCCTGCGGCGTCGGTGGACATGGATCGGGACGTGCGCTTGGGGACCAGCAGTCCTGCTTGTTGGCTTCGAGGGGGCGCGCGGACTATTGGGTATTGGATTCGAGGGGGACTTGAGCTGAGAGCCGCCTGGAGACTGGCGTGCGTGTCCGCCAGAGAGCTTCCATCGGAGCTGGGCAGGTCACTACTCGCCAGTCTGCGCACAACGGGACTGGATTCATCTTGCGAGTCTTCGACGTGGCGGATGCTTTGGGGTGCAGAAGAAGGGAAGCCCCGGTTGTCGGGGGAGACGATACTGGCCGCGGCTGAGGTTGGGATGTATGGGTCCAAGGGGGGACTTGAGGCCAGAGGATTTCTGGCGCCGGCTCTTGCTGCGAATGTCTGTGTACTTCCAATGGTGTCAGATCGTTTGCGCTTTCTCGATGAGCTAGAAGACGATCGCGAGATACTCGAAAAGGCTGCAGCTCCAGGTCGACTGGCAAACGGCGATGATGTGCCCAATTTGATGACATTTGGACTTGACGATACATCGGCTGGTTGAAACTGTTCTGTACTAGAGGTATGTGCAAGACGAACGATATTCGGACTGGAAGAGCTGTCTTGGACAATGCTGGAACTTGGGTCTTCCTCGAACTGGTCATGCGCGACAGTGACGAACTCGTGAAGAGTTAGAGCTCTGGGGCTTGAAGTGACACCCAAGACTTGATAGTTCGGACTTGATGTAGCTGCGAATCTCTCCGCGATTGATGTGAAGGATGTCCTAGGGGAAAGCCTCCTCGGCGCATGGTTTCCTGAGGTCAAGGTCGGTAGCAATGCCAGATCATCGGAAGAGACCTTGCGAAAAGATTCCCAGGAGAATGCCCCAGACAGGCTTTCACTTGAGCTGATGCTTCTCAATCGCGCAGAGCTTGCCGTGCTCGGTCGAAGCGGAGGCGACGTAGCTGTAGAAGGACGAGAAGTGTCGTCCGCTTGGGCTTCATAAAGATCCCTTAGTGCCTTGACCGATCGTTTTAACCTGACAGTAGGCTGTGCGCCTCCTCGGAGAGTCCGTTGCCCTTCATTCCTCCTTCCCGTCTCGATATCGAAAGGAAATCCAAAGACCTCGGCGGCCGTGCCAGGTGCGCTTTTCTTCCTCTTGATCGAGCTCGGAAGGAGAACGTGAGCTGGTTTGGTGGGAAATGGTGTGGTTGTATATATGCTTGTGTTCTCCTGATCGGACCTAGCATCTTTGCTTAACCGCGACGAGAGCTCGTTGGCCTGGGATTGCGTCCGCTCCTGGAGAGGGGTTCTCTTGGGAGAGGTCCGCTTCGGCGATCTCTGCTTCACCGACGAAGGGGACGAGGACATTGCTATCGCATTGTCGATGATGATTCAGCCAGCAGAATTCGGCTGCAAGTTATGGCGGACGAGCGATGACGAAATCGCGGACACTGTTTAAAGGACGTTTGAGTCCAGGTGTACGAAGGGCAGTTGGTATAGTAACGAGCGACTGAAGGTGAGCTGTGCAGAATCAACAAAAGTTCTGAGCTCAAGAACAATGAAATGTATGTGCGGGCGTCATTGCATGCGATGGACCAGGATGATGACTATGGGGCCGAGGTGCATATGCACGCCGCAGGGCGAATTGGATTGTCTTGGTTGACGGTTGACGGGCGGATGGCTTGCATCTGACAGTGGACGCTGGAGATTGCGATGTTGATACTTGAATGTGTCTGAGGAATGTAGAATATAGGATGTTTTGGGTCTGAGCTCGACTGAGGCTGTCAACGTCTGTTGGTTCAAGACAGCCGCCGAAGAGTAAAGAGAAGGCCATATCGATAGCCTCCCACCGTCCGTTTGTAAGATGCTACAGGATCAGGGGAGTACTGTGCAATGCCAATAGTGGCCTTGTTCTCTTCTCGGTGGAGCGAAATTTCGGAAATGGGCGCTGCGCAAGGCTCCATTGGCGAGAGGCGCAGTTTCTATTGCCTGCTTGTGTCAAGGAGTCGCGTTACGTCTTGATCGCGTGGCAGACATTGGCAGATTGGGAATTCCCCCATTGGCGAGATTTCATGATCCATGTCACGAAATTAACGCGTCAATCTGGCCGTTGATGGAGACGGACAGGGGGCGTAGATGGCGGCCGGCGAGTCGGCACCATTAGAGCAGATGAGGCTCAACGTACGGAGTCAGTGGGAGTCCTTGCCTTGGGCTTCGAACGGAGAGGCCGATGAAGATGACAGCGCAGCAGAAGAGGAAGAATCGATGAGGAGAAGCAACGAGAAAAGCTGGTGTGGGCTGAGGTCGCCTGTAAAGGACACCCAACTAAAGGGCACTGATGGACCAGGACTGAAGGGCCAGGACCACCTGAGGCACCAGGACAAGGACGCCTGGACCTCATCTTACTGTAGCCATTTTTCGCTACTCACCACGTCTCTCCTTTTGTATGATTACCTCAACCTACTGACCAACTACACCGCAATTCTTCTGCCACAGAATCTCAAATATCGTATCTTGAGACCCTACCCCGTCCTCCCGCCACTTCTCAATGGCGGCCGTGGCTCTCCTGCATAGACTGAGATCAACTTATTTCGGCCACAAAGGTTCGTTGTCCGGTTTATTGGCTCATAATCAGCCCGATGCCTGCGCACTTGAAACTAGTTCTGCCACACACCCTCGACCAGCTGTTGTCTTGCTCTCCAACCCCTCCCTCTATCTCGGTTTTGTCGCTGCTGATTTCGTTTATCGATAGCTGCTGATATACAATGACGACAGAAGAGGAGAAGCCCGTCATCTCAACCACTACGGCGGCCGCTCTGTCGGTATGTTAAAAGCACTTCACAGCGATTCATGTCGTACCCTAACCTTCTTGCAACCAGGTCGCCTTCACCTTGATATATGTGATACCATTCTATCTGTCAAGGTCGACCCGACCGTCACCGACGCTCAACCGAGACGCACCTTCGGTCATTCGAGCACGTATACGGACCGTCACTTTGGCCTGCATTGTGGCCTCCTCAGCAACCTTTTATTTACTTGTTGTGACGGCCCGGCTGACACCGTTTGACGCAATCCACTTGATGGGATGGTGGCCGATCCAAGCAACTGACGTGGTCAAGTGTTGCGCACTGACTCTACTCCTCTTTCTTGGGCCGGTGTTCGAGAAGCTCTTTGTTGAAGGCCATCTACAGGACTTGCGTCGTGGTCAAAGACTTGTCGAGACCCTCAAGAGCTGGCAGGGCTACCGCAACTATGTCGCCGGTCCCGTCACAGAGGAGGTCATCTTCCGATCAGTCCTGGTACCCGTGCATTTGCTGGCCAAGGTATCCCCAACGAAAATCGTCTTTCTGACACCGTTATACTTCGGGATCGCCCATGTGCATCATTTCTATGAGTTCACCTTGACTCATCCGCATACACCTTTCCTGCCCGCTCTCTTACGGTCAGTCTTTCAGTTCGGGTACACGACGCTTTTTGGTTGGATAGCAGATTTCATCTATCTCCGGACAGGCTCGATCTATGCTTGCATCGCCATCCACACCTTTTGCAACTGGGTCGGCCTCCCACGATTCTGGGGCCGCGTTCAAAGTAGGGAGGAATACCCTCCCTCCCCCGTCGCGATGAGAGGCAAAGATGATACCGATGCAGTCCAGGCTCAAGGCACAGGAGGACCATCAGGGCTGAAGTGGACGGTCGCTTACTATGTCTTATTGCTGGCCGGCGTATTTTCTTTTTATGCTGGGCTCTGGCCCCTGACAGCATCATCCCTTGCTCTGGCTGACTTCGGTGGTAAGACGACACATAAATAAAAGTAGAAGAGAAATCCCATGGCTCATGGAAGAGATTTATTGTGGTTGATCATTTGCTCGGCCAGAAAGTTGTTATGCCCGAAAGAGCGAGCGACGTAATTCCGACCTCATGCTCGAAATTAAAAATCATGACTGCATCGAACCTCTTTAAAACCGCCGCCACATAAAGGGCCGGACATGAACGACTTGTTGACCTTCCTCCTTCCTAATCTTTACATGATTAGATGTCTATCAGACCTCCTCCAAAGCCATGCCTCTACTGAAGCCGTCCCATCTACGGCTCGCTCAAATCAGCAGTCGCAGATCAGCACGGGCAGCCCTCTCTACCCATGCCGCACCTTTCCCCGTGATACCCACCTGTCCGGACCCTACATGTCCTTGTTCTTCGATCCCTGCGGGTCTTGACATCGATCGAAAACAACAGCTCTCCGGGTCGATGTCGCCGTACACCCAGCACTTGATCGTGTCGACTGGCCGCTCAGACTGGACAAGCAGGATAGAAGATGAGAAGGATACTGCAGTATGGGGAAGGTTCACGGCCGACGTCAAAGCTTCGCTTGGAAGAGGAGGCGAGTTTCATGATGTAGGTGCTACACTTCCATTAGCAAATGCTCTCAATGTGGCTGCTCAGAGAGACTTGGGAGACGAAAAGGCTGACTTACACTAGCCCGGAGATCTAGCCATACAACAATGTCCTTGTCAGCATGTCATCATTCACACCGCTGGCCGACCTGCAAAGAAATGGTGAAACACCCCCAGCTGGTGTCCAAGCATCAAAAATTGTGGACGCTTTAGTCTTCCCAGCCTTTCGACACTTTAAAGAACTCGGCATTGAGCCGCAGTCAAACACCCTGCGGAAGTTCATCAAGTCCTCACTGTTGCCAGAAGAAGGCAAAATTCATCCCATCTACAAAGACCGATCGGAATCCGAACGAAAAGCCAAGACGCGAGATTCATCACTTGCTACATCGCTTGACAGCTCATTCATAGAGACTCCCACGATCCTGATATGCAGCCACGGCCAGCGTGACAGCAGATGCGGGATCCTTGGGCCTCTTCTGCATGCCGAATTCACTCGATACATCAACCACCGCAAAACCAGCGACAGGGTCTCGGGGCCCATGTTGAAAGCTACTGCCGGCGCGTTCGATCCAAGATCGTCCTTATCTCCTGATTCTACATCGAGTGCCGACTCCAGCATCAACGTCAACGTCGGCATGATCTCCCACGTTGGGGGGCACAAATGGGCAGGCAACGTGATAATCTACATCCCACCGACGTTCGAGTGCTTGCCATCCGGACCCCACCCACTAGCAGGATCTGGTATTTGGTACGGCCGTGTCGAGCCGCGCCACGTCGAAGGCATTGTCGAGCAGACCCTCTTGAGGGGCAAAGTCATCCAGGACCATTTCCGCGGCGGGATAACCAAGGGCGGCGATATTCTGAGACTTTAGGCTTGCCTGACTTACCATCGACCTGACACGACTCGAGCAGCTACAAACCCTCAGCTACTATGCACAGACAACTGAGTGCGTGTTGATGGCCGTTGCCACACCTGGCCCGAGGCATTCGAAACAGAAATGAAATGGAAAGTCTCTCACAGCAACGAGCGACACATCGAGCACATCGATACCATTCTCCGGACAGGTACTAACGGAGTCTCGGTCAGAATTCTTCCTCTGGCAACAAGACTACCAGACTGAAGGAAGGGATTTGGCTTCGGAAGCTGGCCACTGGGACAGACACAACGCCTTCTGCAAGAACCTTCTGCTTCTGCCTCTGTCCCACTGTGAGCTCACTCTCAAATGCAAAACACCCGGACCGGACCAGCGTGGACTATAGTCGATGCTGCAAATCGAACATGGCACGTTAAACCTGCACTTGCATATGCCGCTTCCGACAGACAAGCCCCGTTTCTGGGCCTTCTTCTGGACGAGGCTGGGACTTTTGACCACCAACTGGTTTGATGGGGTCTGACAAAATCAGTCCATCTTAGACATCGATGCCGGAGTGGACCGAAACAGAATAGACCATCCTGTTCGTGTTGACACAATGCGATCTATCAACTCGACTCGACTCAACGGAAAATCAGGACCAAGAACAAGAGGACAATCCGCACGATGTCTTGCTGCTATTATGCTTCTGCATCAATGTAACTTACAATAGGTTATAGCAATGCATAGTGGAGATGAATGCCAATATAGACATAGAACATAGCAAAGAACAACAGGAATAAAATCTGTCTCCACTCATCGGTCATTTGGTCATTCAGCTCATGTCGATCTATATGTGCATTGAATAGTTTCCTGAAAAGCAGGTACCAGTACGCACCCATGCATAAGTGTCGTTGATCAATCAACAAAGCACTTGCTCAGAGTCATGCTGATCCTTTTCTACTTCCTTCCTGTACAGCTCTTTATGTCTTTACAAATCGTCGGGCAGGGCGAGATAAGATGCGAAACTCGTGTTCAGCTTCAGGTTCAGATTCGGGTCCAACTTTCGTTGTCACCGCCAATTCCGATCCACGGCTCTATTCCTCCTCGGTTGCTCCTCGAGCACAAGCTCGTCCAGATCCTCATCGAGCTCATCACTATCCCACTCGTCCTCCTGATCCTGCTGCGCGAGCTGGAGGAAGCGTTCTAGCCCCATTGCTCGGACAGGACCAGGCTGCATCGCGCCACCGGGGTGATTACCCTGGCCGGGAGCGGCATATGGGAGGACAGGTGGGGCGACTTCTTCCTCGTGGCCATTCACTGGGCCTGCCGCATTCTGCGCTCCCACCTGCTGACGTCCTGGTGCTTGTAGTTGAGGCCGAGGCGGACCTGGAACTCGCCCGTCCCCTGCAATTCGAGCCGGCTCGTTCCTCATTACGCGCTGGCGGTTGGCTTGTTGACCATGACCTCTCCGTCGGCGTGCTGCTCTGGGCGGGTTCGGCACTGCAGGTGGCGGAGGATCAGCAGGTCGGGGTCTCTCGGGTAAAGCAATGCGCTGTGCATGATCGCCTCCAGGCCGGGCGAAGTTGACAATTTCTATGACGTTTCGATTCCGCCGCTGGTCTGGCGCGGGTTCCTCGTCATCGGAGGACTCCTCTTCATCCGCAAAAGGTCGGGCGCCACGAAATGCCTCGAAGTTTTCTGGTGGTAGGTCGTCTTCTGAGTCCGACTCGGCGTCAACTACCTCATCCCACTCGGCAAGTTCGGGATGATGGAACGCTTGAATATTGACACCCTCGCCATCGCCAGCCTCGAGAACCCAGAGTCGCATGTAGCACGAACTTTTCAAGTCGTTGAAATGGGTATATGGGTTGTCGGGCATGAGATAAGCTGAACAGAGATAGCAGAAATGGGATTTGCATCGGAAACAGATCATGTGGTTGCAGCCCATGGTCTTCTGACAGGGTGCGTTGCATGTCGGACATGGTGTTGAGTACTTCTGCATGTATGCCAGGGATGCAGCCTCCTCTTCGTCAAGTTCTTTTTGCCGGCGTGGGCTGCAACGAGCCAACTCGCCGTGCCATCCTTTGCGGCAAACGCAGCAGAATGCGTAGTTGCAATCCTCACAGACAGATAGACGCTGTGACATCGGGAGCTCCTCAAGGTCGAATTTCTTTCTCCTCTTGGTTTGCTGTGGAAGCTCCTCGTCTGATTCAGAGCTGTCGTCCGCAAAACCATTAGCGGGGTCAATTGGTTTGGGGTGCTTCTTGGATCGTGCCGCACCCTGACACCATTGTCGAGGACAGTAGATGGTGTTTGGATCTGCTTCCAGCCGCTTCTTGCGTTTGAGACGCACATAACGTTGAACCAGTTCTTGCTCAATCGGGATTTGTAGCAGCTCGCTAGGATTCAGTGTCCTGTCGTGTTTCCGTCTCTTTAAGGGTGGTCCGTGAAGGCCACTCTTCTGGGTCTCATCTTTCCCGCAAGTCGGGGAAAGACACTTGACACTGTCGACATCACCTTCCGTGATGCAACTCTTGTAGAAATCCTGCAGACACGCAGCGCAGAACACGTCTCCGCACTGCAACATCTTGTGGCAATTAACACCCTTCTTGGGCTCCAGACAGATTCCACAATCAAACGTCCCTTTCTCAAATTGCTCGCGCTTAGCCTTCAGATCGAAGTCCAACAATGCTAGCTTGAGATCGCTGGAGATCTGGAAGTCTGGTGCTCCTGCAAGACCAAAAGCATTCTCCGCCTCTTGCTGAACGTGGTCGATGTATGTGTAAACCACTTGATCTTTTCCTAGCTCTTCCCACAGCCTCGAGCAGTCATCTCTCAACTTCTTGAGCACTGGTCGTGGCAGCCATGGGGGACTGACAGAGACCGAGACGGTAGGAGCCTTCTCCGCAGGATAACCTTTTGGCAGGGATATCCGGAGGGACAAAGGAGGCAAATGTGACAGCTCGTGTGCATCAAGTTGAACCAGTTGTTGAGTGGGCGGCTTTGGGGAAGGACTGCCTTCGTCTTGTTCAGATGAAGTTGGTGGCGTTAGCAACGCAGGCGGCGCTCCGCTTTCTGCAACTTTGAAAAGGATTCGTAGCGGTTTGACAGGCGTCACGGCAAGTTCGAGGGTTGCCACATAGGAGTCATTGGGATCGACGACAAGTTCTGGAAATATGGCCGCGATGGAAGAGAGTTCGATGGTTCTCTCATCCTCCGCGGCACCTGGGTCATCTTCCATACTGAAGGGAAAGTATGGCGGCGGGATTCTATGAAGCCGTGAAGCGCCCTCCTGCTCCCGGCATTCAATTTGAGTGTTAGAAAAGAGGAGAAGAAGAAAATGTGTTCGAAGAAACAGAATATCAACGAAGAGACTAACACCTAGTGACTAAGGTAGATTTCTACAGTAAAGTCCAGACCATCGAACCGAGACTGAAAGAGGCAACAATGACGCCAGAAAAAGAATTACGAGCTAGAGAATCTGGGGAAATTCCCGAGAAAAGAGCCAGATTGACAGGGGCTGTATCTTCAAATCTTGCCTTAGGCTCTTGCTCTTTGCTTGTACCATATCTCTTGTCCTCTTGTCCTTCTTATATTCCACGAGCGTACGTTGCCTTTGATTCCTGTTGGTTGTACGTTAAACCGTCCATTGTTCGGCGATTGTTGCCGATTGTTTGCAAGATGGACGATCCTGCGCTCGCATCATTGTCATTGACACATGTTCGATATGTACGTACCCTCCAGGATGTCCACTAAAGCTATTGCGGTGAGTCAACGCTGATTGCTCCAGAATCCCAATGATCCCTTCTCGTATGCTTCAGCCTGGCTGGCTCTTGTCCCGCAAGGTCTGTGTGTCACTTACGTGACTTTGATATGGGCTTCACGAGAAGTGGAAATTCTCCTCATGTTCGCCGGGCAAATGGCCTGCGAGGCTCTCAATTTTGGGCTTAAGAGGTTGATTCGAGAAGAGCGTCCTCAACGTAAGGATAACAGGACTATCTTCGACTTTGTTATTCTAACCATTTCCAGAAATGCATGGCAAGGGATATGGGATGCCCTCATCACACTCCCAATTTGTGACGTTCTTTGCTCTATCACTCACCATGTGGCTGCTATTTCGACATGTACCCACATCAACCACGAGCTACTCGCCTTCGACACTTTCGGAAAGAGTACTGTTGTCACTGCTGGCATGCATGGGAGCTGGAGCTGTGGCTGCAAGCCGGGTTTATCTCAACTATCATACTCCAAAGCAGGTATTGGTTGGTGTGGCTGCTGGAGCTGTCTTTGCTATCATCTGGTTTCTCTTCACGACTTTGCTAAGGAGATGTGGTGTGATCGATTGGGCTTTGGAGACCTGGATATCACGAAAGTTTCGATTTCGAGACCTGATCACAACCGAAGACATACAAGATGCTGGTTGGGGTCGGTGGGAGACTCGTCGGAAAGCGAGGCGAAGCATTGATGCGAATGGGTTGGGTAAGAAGAGTAGATGAGAGTGATCTGGAATGCATGCTTTATACACCTTCCACCCACCTCCCGCGTACAGTGAGTGCTAGTACGTACTCAACAGAGCCCAGATTGTCGAGGACCACAGTAGAGGCAGCCAAAGCTCCAGCAGAGACCGAGGAGCACGCCGTTTGAAAATATTCTGCGGACCAAAGTCTTTGATTTCTAATTTTGTGTGTATTATTACCTGATCAACTAATAATTTACCCACCTGTCTTCGACTTGTACTCCTCGTACCTCGCTACTACTCGCGCACCGGTCGGTGACTCGGCTCGCGCCTGGTTAAGCTTTGCTGGTGATGATGCGTGTGATGCATCGCTTGCGTCATGTTAGAGAGCAAGCAACAAAACATCACATGTGCGAGGCAGAAGCATCGACCTGGCCAAGACGCTAGTAGAAATGCCCAGTCAGCCGCAGGTTTGAGGGTCGCGTGTGTATGTTTTTAGAGGATGCCAGTCTGACCAGTGAATAAGTGGCAGGCACTCATACAGAGAGTGATGAGGCACTGTGAGGCCACCACGGAAAGACGGCACCCGCAGTAAAATCGTCGTTGTCAGACAATGAATAGTATGATCTGCAGCCGGATTAAGGGCTGAACACGTCGCCGGGACTCGTATCCAATGCATAAAACTAAAATTGTACTCTGTTCCGGCGCATCCGGGCCTTGACACTCTCCTAAATCCCATGAGGCACAGCACACCGCAGGCTGCCTGGCCTGAGGGTCACTGTTGCTGTTTCTCGTTGCTTTGTTACGCAACTTGACCTGACTTGACCCTTGTCCTGTCACTATCTAATCATCTTCTCTTTCCTTTGTCTTATCCATCTCACCAACAATCCTGTACAGATCTGTGAATCAACACGACAACACCATGCATCTCGCACCAGCGCTGGTCGCCTGTGCCTTGTCCTCGAGGGCTTCTGCATTCCTGCTGCCCCTCGAGGTCACTGAGGCTGCAGAGCGCGCCGACATTCAAGTCAAACCTCCCCCAGGCGTCGTTATGACCGGCGGCTCGGTCGATCTCGACTGCCCTCACTGTCCGTACTTCGGTCTTGAGAATCCGACAGAGCCGCAGTTTGGTGTCGACAGCAAAATCGTAAGCACGTGCCTATTCGACAAGCAAGGCCCCAGGCTGACCGTTTGACTCTAGCAACTCGAATTTGTTATCGATGCCCAAAACCGCTTGACTATCAACGACTTTCCTGTCTTTCCTCATGATATGAACGCGGCCGCCTCCTCCCCGTTCGTTGTGACGACTCGTCAAATAAGGAGAGAAGATGGCCAGGAGACGGACCCTGTTCAGATGGACTTTGCTTTTGAGACATTACAACCCATCAATTCAGTCCAAGACCCTGCAGTCACCGTTTTGCCCACTCGATTCACCGTTCTAGGTCTGCAAGGCCATCCCGTCAAGGTCGACACAATTGCCATTGACCTCCTTCAGACACCAGATCAGACTGCCATTGCCAGATTCGTCCAGATACCCTTCGAGCAAACTCCTGGTGCTACGACCTGTGACCCTTCCGCCAAATGGTCTCTGTGCCGTCTCAGAGCCATCATTGCCGCTCGCCTTCAAAACATCATGTCAGCTGCAAAGGCACGTGCTCATGGGGCCAAGGGCTGGATGAAGGACGGAAAGGGCTGTCATGGCAAGAAGTTTGGAGGCATAGCCAAGCATCACGGTCATAAACACCACACGGGAGGCTGGCATCGTCACCATCGCTTCCACCGTCTCGGCCACATCCTTCACCAGACACTTCGTTTCTTCGTCATTCCTGCTCTCCTTGGCATCGTTGGAGGCTTGATGGCCAGTGCTGTGGGTATGCTTGTTGGACAAATGATCTCGTACCTCTGGATACGCTTCCATCGTCGTGGTCAACGAGGCAGTGCCAATGTCCGCGTGGTCGAGTTCATTATCACCGAGGACGAGAAGGATCCATTGATGACCGAAGACATCCCTCCTCCACCAAAGTATCAGGATTTGGAGGCTGCTGCTGAAGGAGTCGAGGCTGTCCGCGACGAGAAACACTAAACGAATAATCTGCGGCCGAACCGGATACCACCCGGCCAAAGCAAAATAATGAAAGTGACAAACAAAGAAGAACAGGCTTAGAAGTCTACAAATACCCAAAGCATTGCAGGTGTTATTAGCACGACAGTCCAATCGTGCGGAGAGGGAACTATATCGTTTATGGACATAGGGTTGGATTGAAGTCTTACATATGAGGAGAATGGATATGTATGTTTCAGTACATGCTACAATATGGATATCCGACGAGGGAAGGCAAGAGCCAAAGTGTCAGCTTATACAGGTGCTTTCCCGTTCCTTCATTGGAAACTTCTGTTGTGCTCAGTGTGTGCGTATTCGGTTCTTTATGAACAGCTAGTACAGTATCTACTCAGTCTCGGCACGAGAGCATTCTATTCACATACCAAGCCTGGCCCCCGTGCGTTGTCTGTATACAATCTTCCAGGTTTCCTCAATTGGAAAAAGCTCCTCGCTGTCATGGTGAACTATCTTCCCACTGCATCAATCATAACCGTGACATCAAACCGTACCTTGTCGATGAATCGACGTATACCGGGGCTGAAATCAAGATGCGCCGGTCCTGTCCATTCTCTCGTCTTGGGAAGGACGTGGATTTCAGGGCTAGCCCTGGATTTGGCTTTTGCTTTCGCTTTGGAACTGGTACTGGCATTGGTATTGGATGGCCATAGTCGTGTTCTTTCCCTCAGCTCGTCTTCATGGTTGACGTCGACATCAAGTTGGAGGCCTGCGCTGGATTGTTTGGTATCGTTCGGCTGTGGTATTTTGGTCTGCATGTTTCTAGGACCGTCGGCGGCGTCGGCATCGGCGTCGAGTCGCAGATCAGCTGCACTGGTCTGGTTATGTTTAACCTGGTATAAGGGTGGAGACGGCGATGTCGTGAGGATCCAGACTGTCGTCGGTATGTCGTTGTTCTGCTCGTTGCCGTTCAAGCCAGGAGAAGACTTGGTGGTGGGCGATGGAGACATGCGAGTCGATATTGGCCGTCTTGGATATGGGTTGAACGCCTTGGGCATTGATGCGGTCATGCTGGGTGTTGTGTCGAAAGAAGACATTGAACCAATCGGCGGCATGATAATACCTGACTCTGAAACCGGCGATGACACAAGGATGCTTGGAGTGCGTTGGCGAAGAGCCACAGACACAGTTAGATTCCACACAGCAGCCAACAGTACTCCCAGCCAGGCTTGAGCCATTTGCCAAATGCCGCCGATGAGTGGCGCCGCATGGACTGATACGATAATGGCCATGTCCACTGCTATGTAAAGCAGAAGGATGGTCAGGATGAAGTAGCTTGGTCGCCGATCGAGGATTTGTTTTGCAGAATAGTTAGTAGACGAGCGGGCCGGTTGAGAGCCATTCGGTGATGGCAATGGCAATCTAGCGCGTGCCGTAGAACTCGACATTTTGGAGCGTCTCGTGTCTGGTCCCATGTCATGAGGTTTGGCGTTTGTGTATATCGTCCCATCGTCACGATCCCGTTCCGAGTCGGTTTCGAAATCGGCTTGGTAGGATGTGCTATGCTCGTCCCTGGAGTCTGACTGACCTACATCATCTAGCACCGGTGAGCGCATCGTCCCATCAACTGAAGCTGAATCTGACTCCGATTCCGAACAGCTTTCGACATATGCTTGACGGGGTTGCCTGCTCGTTTCGCTCCCGCTTTCCGATCGAGTAGATGCCTTTTTGATGTAATCGTTGTTTTGGAGGACAGGCGGCTCGAATGCCGCTCCAGATTCTGATCTGTGAGATGTGGGATGCTCGCCCTCGACGTCAGAAGGGGTTCCCTCGTCTAGCCAAGGACCTCTCTTTTCTGACGCGCTTGGTGACTCGCTGAGATGTACACTTGCACCACTGGATTGACTGTCATTGTCCAGAATCAATCCCGCAACGTCCCATTCCGAGAAGACACTGGACAAGCGCGTTGAAACAGTTCCGGGGTCAGATACACTTACGATATCAGACATCCAACCTTGGACGCTTTCACAGATATCGCTAAATGAGTCGATGCTCGAGTTGACCATGTCGAAAATAGAAGGGAAAATCTCCTCCTTTTGGACGGTCTTAACTCGGGTCCTGCGGCGAGAACGAGGAACCAGCCTTACGATCTTGCGCGCGAGAGGATCAGCGGGTCGAGTCTCTTCTTGACCAGAAGCAGCAGACGAGCTGTTCAGAAAAGGATGTGGAGAGTGCTGACCATTCGCAAAGGACCGCTGTGAACCTCCATGGGTCGACTCTGGCAGTCCTGTCACACTCGAGGTGTTGGTAAGAGCCGATGGTACGTATGACGAGGTATGCAGCAGACGCTGTCCAAAATCAAACACCAAACGAGGCACTGACACCTCATCAGTTCCGTCGCCGTTGCAAGCAACGCTTGGGGGGCCCTGCAATCCATTGCTGCATTTTTCTGTCAACTGCAACGACGTCTGATTTGCTTTCAGATCCCATGAATAGGGTCTGCGATGTCTTAGGCCCGACTCATTGATACTGTTTCCGGGCCGAGTGAGACTTTGAGACCTTGAGATTTTCGGCCTCCCATCACCGAATATATTCGAGTGGAAAGTAGTTGAGTCCGTTGGTCGGTATGCATCGTTGGTGTAGTCCTCGATGGCCGCTTCGACTGGAGAGGCATCCGCTTCGAATTTCTTTTCCAATGTTTCTGAGTCTGTTCGAGAGGGTGGACTTGCAACTGTTTGCAACTCTTCACGATCGAGTAAAACTGGGTTTCCCACAGATCTCGGTGGCGATTTTGGTGGATAAGAGCCGAATCTTTTCCTCAAACCCGGACTTTGAGGCTGTCCAATGGCACTGCTGGTCGCCTCGGGGCTTGGAGCTTCGCGACCCTGTGTTGAATTCCCTCGAACGACAGACTCCTCGGCCTCGTCCAGTTGTAGAGACTGGCCCATCCCTTGAAGATTTAAAGTATCGATAGCTTCACCCCACTTGTTCACGTTAGGGCCAGCGTCGTCCTGACTATTTGCCCAAGAGTGCTTGGAGAAAGGAGAAAGACCGCGTGGTCGACTAGAATACTGCGATATCGGCTTATTGTCACCAAGCTGCGATGGAGCCGTCCCAGGCCTTGGTATCCGATCAGAGTTATCTTTGCCTCGCGATATATCTTCCTTCCGTAGTGGTCGCTGTATGAGAGCAGGCCTCTTGAAGACTATGCCGTTTCTGTCCGTATCTATCCTTGGCTGATAAAACAGATCTTGACCAGGTAAGGACTCAGGCCGAGGATTAGATGCCGCCAATGGAGGAAGGGAGAGCACTCTTGATGGGTGATACCTGACTGCAACAGTACTGGACTGGCTGGCCATGCTTTGGCGACTTGAAGGAGCAAGTTCCGAGGGCGTCTTGACCGATTCGCCCAGGCTCTGATATTGGTAAGGCGATGGTGGAATGGATTGTTGAATGCCATACGACTGTATTTGGTCGAGAAGTCTAGTCATATGCTGATCGCAAAACTGCACCACCACAGGATAGAGGAGATGCTGTTGCGCCCGCTGCTTCCCTAGCCATTCCATGATCTTACTCAATTCCGCCCGATGGCGCTCACTTTCTCTCTCTTGTGCTTGACGTGCCTCTTTTGAACGATCCTCCGAAGCTCTGAGCGGATCCAGTTCTGTCTGCAACCCTTCAATTCTTGACCGCTGCTCCGATATTATCAGCTCAGCATCCTTGAGCTGAGATTCCAGCTTAACTTGCTTGTCCCTCAGCTCCGAATTTTCCTTTTCCAATCTTACAGTCGTTCTTTCAACACTGGTTATCTCAGCCATTGCGCTTTCAGAAGCGTCTTCCAAGTACTTCCAGTCCTTATCGCGTGCGAGTCTTGTTTGGATATTTTCGTTTTCGACAGCGTGAAACCTTTTCCGTGCCTCAGACAATTCCTGGACCCATTGCGCATTCTCTCCTCGAAGCGTGTCTACGTCTTCCAGGAGCCGATCTCTTTCACTTTTCACAAGCTCGTACTCTCGAAGCACTTTTTCCAATTGGTCCTTGGTCACCATCTCTTTTGCGGCTTGGTTCTCTGAAGCTTGCTGCGTTGCTTGCTCTTCTTGATCGGGTTGCTGCTCAAATCCCGTCTCTCCCCGGTCTCGAGTTTTGGCCCATATGCTTTCGTCCGTCGAAGATCTCCTGATGTCTTCCCCATAGTCGCTCCCTTGAGGGTCAAGCAGGCCCTCACTCTTGCCTTGGCCATGGGAGATCGGAGAATCAATGTTTCGGGTAGGAAGCCAAAGGCTCTGCGTGGCTGGCGCTTCCTGTGCTTCCTGCTCTGCCCGGTCGGGTTCACTGTCAAGGAAGAGTGGAGAAGAATCATTGGCGTCTGGCGAGGTATCGCCACTGGCAGAGCCCATGTCAATCTCTTGGCTTTCTTGATCCTTTGGCGTAACAACCTGTGCTTCATCTCGTGTCTCAACGTTCAAAAGAGTTGGGTCGTAGCTTGTTGAGGTGAATAGCCCAATAGCTTCGTGCCCTTGACCAAGAACATTCTGAATGCGAGATACTGGTATGGGGCTCATTCGCTCGCGCTCAATGATATCTGAATCAGAATCGCTTTCAGCATGGCTAGTTGAGGGTGAGGTTGCGTTGCCTCCTAACCGTCTCCGAGGTGCTGACGGTCGTTGGAATCTGGGAGGCGACGCGGTTGCCGCCAGGCCAACATTAGTATACCGTGTAGTATCATCGAATTCTGTATCTTCTGCTTCTTGAAGCCCTCGATCAGAGCAACGATCCGCATCAGGCGACGAGTCCATTCCGGCGATCTCGATTTCGACGTGAAAACTATCCTCGAATGCTGACCCGTTGTCTCTGACTCATTACATGGACATGGCTGTGAGTTGGTAATGGGACTTCGTACTGTTGTTGTCCATACGTATGGTATATCAGTTCTGTGTCTTTTGTTGAGGCGAATGGACGTGTGATTGCGCAGAGATCGAGAAACGAAGCGAGAATCCTCCTCACTTATGCGAGTATAAAGAATCGTTAACCACAGCATAAAGGTCGAAAGCGGCCAATGAAGATGGATCAAAGGAATCCGTTTTCGGCAATGTTGCAAGGGAGGCTGAACAAAGAAGAACTGATATTGCACGGACCACTCAGCATTCCAACGGGTATTGTTGCAAGATGGGCGTCAATAGAACGAAGAGTTGTTGCAACCCTCAATGACGAGTCGCATTGTCTCTGAAGCCACCTATCACTCATCTTCCATCTTGAGTTCCAATTCAATTCTCCTTCACAAAACCGACCAGCAACATGAAATCTTTCCAGATGCACCAAATTGGCTGGTATCAAAATAGCCAATTCACTCTTCCCGACCCTGCCTGGACTCCAATCGCTATGCATTCATCCGCTGAAACTGAGCACAAAGTGAGCATCGAGACTGGTGTTCAATTCGAGTTATCAACAGGTGGCTCGGATTTCCCTTTTTTGGGAATGTCATCCATAGTCTCTCGAGCTGCTGATACCTGACGACGATCTTTGCAATCGACCTGAACAATTTCCTGCCTGCCGTCGCCATCCACCACCAAAGCGGTGAGTTTTCCCCCCTTGACGCAGCCAGTGTCAAGTCCTTTGGTGTATTTTTTAATCTTCAAGCCTGTCTTAGAATCATGTCCGTAGAGCACAGTCATTGGCTTCTCGGCGGATTTTTTCTTGCCGAAGCTCTTCAGGCGATTCCAGCCCTGGCGTGTGGGGAGTAACTGCTGATGCTTGTTCCACAACTTGTACCAAGCCTTGCTTTTGCCTCCTTTTCCTTCGTGTTTCTGCGACGGTACGTGGGTTTGCATATCCACCGTTCGCATGTTCATGACTGACACCGGGTCTTGTTGCTCTAAAGGGATGCCCAGGACCAGACCACCATGGACCGCAACAGTTTCTCCATGGAACGCTTTCAATTCTCCAATGCGAAGGATGACAGGACAAGATTTGAGCCACTCAACCTGAGCTGCATCCAGAGACATGGCCAGATTCCTCACAGCATTGTCCTTGTTCAGTGATGCCTGGGTTGCCGCGTCTGAGGCAAATCTAGCATTCTTCTGTGAGGTAAGAGATGTGGAATGCAGATCTTCGACAACCAGGAGGAGTCGATCGTCGTGGTTGCCGCGCACACAAGAAGCATTATAGCCACGCAACAGGTCGATAACTCCGGGTGAATCAGGACCTTTGGAGACGATATCTCCCAGAGCGACCAAATGATCCGTCACCGGATCAAATTGCACTGCTTTCAACAATGCTTCCAGCTCTTTCTTGCAACCATGAATGTCTCCAATGAACACCAATCTCTTCTTGTTTCCAGTTGCCGAAGCCTGGGGTTTGGCTGCTTGTGGGAGAAGACGGGGATCGAGCGTCTGCACTTGAATCATCCCGGGAAATTGAGGTCGCACGTTGATCCCAAATAAACCACCAGAGGCCGAACCTGCGTTCTTGTTCACCGAAGCTAATATTACTCTTTCTTCATTGAGGACTGGCCAAATCTTGACGCACAGCACGAGCAAGGCTATGGTCGCCACGATGATTACCATAAGAAGCCTTCGAAATTTAGGGGCCTTGACCACACTGACTGTATTGTCCCAAAGGTCTTCGAGGCAATCGACAAAGTCGTCGGAGTATGTGGCACGTTCAGGTGACGGTTCGTAACGATAATTTGGTTCGTTTCGCCACTCATTCGTACAGTATTCCACTAAAGGACGGCGGATTCGCTGATCTGGATCAAAGCTCCGACGGTACATGGGAACTCCGGTACTCGACATCTTCTCTTGATAAGTTAACGGCTGCAATGTCTTTTGCAGGTTGAGGACTGCCTGCACCACATCTGGGCACGCGAAGGCTGTTGAAAACAGTGGGCTCGACTCGAAGGGATCGCAAGAGGAGAAAGAGGGATTCTGCTTCGGTTGCCTGATACGTAGGGCCTCGAAGCAGTCAAGATATACGGAGTAGTCAGGCCCTCAACCCAGAGGAAGTGTCCGCAGCATTGGGCAGGAACGAAGACTTCACCACGGCTCTTGCCAGCGAGATGCGTTTCTTTGCGGACCATCAACCATAGCCGCCCAATGGTCCACCGAAAGCAAAGATGGTCTGGAGAAACAAGCTATTGTTGCAACAACGCCCAGACCAGTCTCACGTCGATCTTGTTCACTGAGGCTGATGATCGCAATTGCGCAAGCCAAGCAGATCAGGCGCGCCCGCTAAAGGCTCGGCGTTGAAAGAGCCGTCGTGAGCCGTCTCGCCGTCTATGCAACATTTGTTGTGGCCATCACCTATCCCAGATACCTCCCGACCTGGTAGGTAGGTTTTTAGTCACCAAGACGCATTTGCAACAAAGGATTAAAATTGGTTTGTTTAGGGAGTCGCTACTAGATCATCCCTAGTGCAGCCACAGTACTAGAAATGATTTGTTCTTCCATGGACTACAACGCCAAAGACAGATCAAGAAACAAAGCAAGAGAGGTTACTTGCGCGAAGAGAATCAGAGATCATTGATGCGTGCTGAATATCATGTCCTGGTCGCTGACCATTTACAAGGCAAGCCCTGCCATGACCAATCCCAAGAACCCGAGACCAACAGTGCCAACGCGCAGGCCGCTGGAACCATTGTCTGCCGAAGTCGAGGTTGCTGAAGCTGAAGCAGCTGTGTTTGAACCCGAGGTTGCGCCTGCGAGAATGTTAGCAGGTATCAGGGATCTTGAGTTGGTAACCTACTGGATCCTGACGAACCTGTTGTGGTCGCAGCACTCCCTCCAAACGTGGCAGAACCGCCTGCGCTTGAGCTGGCGGTCGCCACCGCGGCAGTGGAAGAGAGAAAGTAAGAGCTGACGCATGATGCTTGACATTGAGCATAGGCGTCCGTGTCCGCAGCTGTACCATTCCCTTGCGGGCACTTGGCCTCACACGCGGTCGTCGCATTGGCCTGACTTTGGCTGGGACAAGGCACATTGACACATTTCGCCTGGCAACAGACATCGGCGGAGCCACCTATAGCACCATTGTCAACTCGTCTGATATTCTGATATTACACTTGCATGCTCACATTTCTGCAGACAAATCACTTGAGCATTGAGAGACGCCGTCGAGGAGGCGGAGCTGGAGACGCTCGTTGCACTGTGAGTCGTGTTTGTTGTGTTTGTTGCGTTTTGTCCGGCAGCCAAGGCAATGATGCCGAAGCCTGTAAGAAGGCTGAGGAAGCGCATGTTGATCGAGAATCCTGAGACTAGGGTCGGCGAAGGCGAGGGTGAGGAACGGCGGTGTCTACACGAGTGATAACTGGCAAAAGAGCGAAAGATAGAAGCAGATGGTAACGAATGTGGTAGCCGTGAGACTGAGAGACTGGGTAAGAACAGTGCCAGCACGGTAACGGTGACGGAAAAGAACGAGGCGCGACCGCTGGGTAGATATAACGAGCTGCACAAGGGAATCCATCGCGTGCAATTATAATCTCCCCAGAATTTGTTGTTATACAAGGTTCAACCTGTTTCGGGTGGCTTGTAGAACCTTTCTCGTAAGTGGACGGAACCCCGGTCGATGGGCGACTGTAGGTCGTTTTCCAACCGCATTTCCCTTGCCCATCAAGCAACTGGCGCGTTGCAGCTTTTACTAGCATGAAAAGAAGCCACTGGTGTTCCCCGTCCGGTTCTTGGCTCCTTTGGCGATCATGGGCCGGTCCGACAATGAGGTTTGATTCGCTTACCATCAATCTCCGTAAGACGAGCACTGACGAGGTGCCCGTCGAGAATCCGCTGACAGGCTAGACCCCGTCCACTATCCGACGCGCGCACTGCATGTCATGGTCAATTTTCGTTGCCTGAATATAACACATATGCGTTCACAGCTCTTCTTACCCTCAAAGGCCGTGGGAAAATGTGGGGAGACATTTGACACTGGCATCCATTACTTTGTCGATCCAGTCGCGTGGCTTGCTGTCATTGTGGAACAATTTTTTCCCACAGAAGGTCTAGCCTGATCGTGCCTGACCTTGCTGTCGGAAATTGCCTCGTGGCCTGGCGATGTTTCAAGCATCGGAACTGCCTCCCCATGGGCGCCGTCGGTTTGGCGCTGTGGCTTCCAGGAGTGGATTTCCAGTTATCGAATCCGTACTCCGTAGGATTCCTTTCGAAAGCGATTGCAGGGCCGATGTGTGCTGAGGGATTTTTGGGCCGGACAAAAGCAGCTGCTTTCTGGGCTGCCCTCCAAGCACTGTGGTAGACCAATGACTTTCCGATATTGTCGTCTCGTCGTATATAGTAGTCCGGTCTTGCAGGGCGCGTTTCAAGGAAGCAGAACGCGTCGAGGTACGAAGTCATCTGGAAGGCCTTGACTGGCGCTCACGAAGAGACAGAATAATTAGTGTCACGTGGTCACGCGTTTAGCGCGACTTTCGTGTCCTTGCTAGCACGTCATGTTCAGTTTGGCTTCAAAAGGCGCTCATTATCATGTAGCATCAACGAGATCCATCAGCAATATGGATTTCTTAGAAGATGAGGCTGAAGTCAGCTCCAACGATGATGTTCTCGTCCCAAGTTCTCAGACGGACGACAATCCTCGAGCACGAAAACGTCAGCGCAAGAACCGTCAGGTTAGCGACTCAGATGAAGGTGTATACGACCTACCATCACCTGAAAAAGCTGGCGAGGAAGGCGGCGACAAAGAGACTCGCAAATCGAAATATGAAGAACGTATCCACGTACCTTTTGCGGAGCGACAACCAGATACATTCGTAACACAATTAACCCAACAATGGTCGAGCCCGTCGAGGATTAGAGGAGCACGCTGGATGAAGCCTCACAACAGCCCGAGCGCTCCAACACCAAGGCTGGTAGCTCAAGCCATGTCTGGAAACGTCGTAAGGTCGTTCACAGATCATTCCGCTGATGAATTTGAGGCCGAGGAGGATGATGATATTGCTCTGTTGGCGGCGTTTGAGGCCGTCGAAAGTGCTCGGCTGGTCAACAGCAATGGCGGCAACACAAACCGCGCTTCTGTGAACAGGGAACCCCCTGCTCGAGGAGGTCTTGTAGAAAGGTCGACTTCATTCCGCCAGACTACTTTGCATGGAATTCACACAACCCAACAAGACCCTCCTCGAACGCAGTCACAAGCCCGGGCACATAATTGGCCTCTAGCCAAACGCAATGAGCCGCCTACACATCACAACATTGACTGCGAGGCGATGGAGACCTGGGTCTATCCAACCAATCTGGGCAGAATCAGAGATTACCAGTTCAACATTGTTCACAAAGGACTATTCCACAATCTGCTAGTTGCTCTTCCGACTGGTCTGGGGAAAACGTTCATCGCCGCAACAATCATGCTGAATTGGTTCAGATGGACAAAAGACGCTCAGATGGTTTTTGTTGCGCCCACCAAGCCTCTAGTGTCTCAGCAAATTGACGCATGCTTCAACATCGCCGGCATTCCACGCTCTCAAACGACAATGCTGACAGGCGAAGTATCGCCCGGTATTCGAGCAGAGGAGTGGCAAGAAAAAAGGGTATTCTTTATGACACCCCAGACTCTGATCAATGACTTGAAGAATGGAATGGCCGATCCAAACAAGATTGTTCTTGTTGTGATCGACGAAGCACATAAAGCAACCGGCAACTACGCATATGTTGAAGTGATCAAATTTCTCAGACGATTCAACACAAGCTTCCGTGTTCTGGCCTTGACAGCCACACCGGGAGCGACCGTGGAAGCGGTACAGGAGGTAATCGATGGTCTTGGAATCGCTAGAACCGAGATCAGGACCGAAGACTCGCTCGACATTCGCGAATTCGTACATACCAGAAACGTCGAGACCCAGGTTTTTGACAATTCGGAGGAGATCGCCATGTCACTTGAATTGTTCTCTGCAGCTGTGCAGCCTCTTTTGAATAAGTTGAACTCTCAGAACGCATACTGGGGGAAGGACCCTGAAAAAATCACACTCTTTGGCCTGAAAAAGGCTCATGATCAGTGGAAGCTCTCCGAGCCGGGTAGAAGAGCCTCCCATGGTATAAAAGGAATGGTCGCAGCAATAATGGCGGTGTTGATGAGTTTAGCGCATAGCCTCGAGCTCTTGAAATACCATGGAATAGGGCCTTTCTATCACAAGATGAAACTTTTCGCAGACGGGGAGACCGGCAATGGCAAGTATGCAAAGCAAATCATCGAGGACGATAATTTCAAAAAACTGATGAACCGCTTGAAAATATGGATCAACGATCCCAATTTTGTGGGCCATCCGAAGCTGTCATACTTGAAGGAGGTCGTCTTGAATCATTTCATGGATGCTGGAGAGGGGCGAGGAGGCACTACGCAGCCATCAAGCACCCGCATCATGATCTTTGCACACTATCGGGACAGTGCCGAAGAGATTTCACGAGTGCTCAATCGACATGGGCCGATGATTCGAGCACACGTCTTTGTGGGTCAATCTGGCACGAAGGGTTCTGAAGGCATGGACCAGAAGACCCAGCTTGACATCATCAAAAAATTCAAAGCCGGTACTTACAATACCATCGTTGCGACATCGATTGGCGAGGAAGGGCTTGATATCGGCGAAGTTGACCTTATTGTCTGCTACGATTGCTCCAAATCGCCCATCAGGATGCTGCAGCGCATGGGTCGTACCGGCAGAAAGCGAGCCGGTAATATCGTACTTCTGCTGATGCGTGGGAAGGAGCACGACGACTACTACAAAGCAAAAGACAATTATCGAGTGATGCAGGAGAAGATTGAGAATGGCAAGGAATTTCAGTATCATGAGGACCTGTCCCCACGAATTGTACCTATGGAGATCAAGCCGACAGTGGACAAACGTGTCGTGGAGATTCCGATAGAGAATTCACAGCCTGGTCCGTTGGAGCCGAAGAGAAGAAAAGCAAAGAATCCCAAAAAGCCACCGAAGAAGTTTCATATGCCAGATGGAGTCGAGACTGGCTTCACTTTTCTTGGTAACAGCAAAAAGGAATCAAAGTCCAAGGTCCCGCAGCCCAGTAAAGACAATGAAGTTGCCTTGCTGGCCCCACTCGAAAAGGTCCTTTTGACAGCCGCAGAGGAGGAACAACTGGATGAACGATACGTTAGGTTGACAGGGACTGAAGATGAGTACATTCGGCACGTAAGGTTCGATGCATTCCCAGAACAACAGCAGCGCCTGGGCAAGACAACAGCCGTCAAGCACTCGAAGGCAACCGAGACGATTGTGAAAGCTTTCAAGGCTATGCGTGATCCTTTTCAAGACTGGGAGCGACCCGCAGAAGATCAAGAGCTCAAGGATCTCGACGAGAATGGAGCACCGACTGCGGAGAAGGCTATCGCCACGCGCAAGCGAAAGCGCCCTGCAAAGCAACCAAGGCAATCACTCAATCCACCGTCTTCCGCGACAAACGGATCTCCAGGTGAATATGACGGCAACGACAGCTTCATCGACGATGTTAGCTTGCCTCGATCCGATCTTGCCGCAGATTCGAGCGATCGAGACATCTCACCACCAGAACCATCGCCTGTGGCCGACAAGCCATTCTGGATCTCTCAAGAGAGTATTGGCATGGAAACGGGTGAAGAGGACCTACCCGATATCACGTCGCTTTTTGAGAAGAGTCAAGCAGCCGACGCATTTCCAATGAATATCCCCAAAGCAAAGGCGCCAAAATCTGGCAGGGCACGGCGAGTCGTGGAAAGTGACGATGAGGATGAATGATGACCTGACAGATCTAAGGGTGTCGGTGAGGCACTTATGGCATAGTGACTCGGGTAATTCAGGATAGGTGACTCTGGGTAGGCTTGAGCTGTATGTTCCGTGAGTATCACGATGGTGTCAAAAGGTGTTCAAGATGTTAGAGGCATGTAGCGCTCGTACAGCGACCCGAGGGTGTAATCCCGTGCCGGTTCGGAGTACTGCTCTCCCATTTGGAGAAAAACAACACGCGCATGCATCCATACTCACAGCAGCTCTACGTCACTTATCTACCTTAAGTTAGGATCGCTCACTACGGCCTTGGATGCTATGGTATCAGACGCCTCCAGATATTGTGCTAAAGGCATGCCCTGCCTGAACTCGATCAACAACATCATCACCATCCTCCTCCCTCTATCTTCCCAAAGTCGTACCACCGTCCGGACAGTCGCAGTCACAACATCTCGTCATACAGCGCAGTATCGAATGCGTCTTGGAAGACTTGAAGCCAAGTATCAACTTATCATGGTTTGACCCGAGATTTTGGAATGATAAGCCTCCATGAAGGTCCAATATGCATACCCACTCTTCTTGTCGGCAGGATTGACGTTTGGACACGATCAGAGGCTTCTTGCCAAAGAGGATGCTCTACACGCGGTAAACAGTCTCTCTTGCTTTTGGCTGAAATCGTGCGGTCCATTGACATTGGAAAAGTGCAACAGCCTTGCCGACGACTTTCCAGGACTGGTCGTCTTCCCCCACGACCCGGAGTATGCATCACAGCAGAATCGGTATTGGGCGTCAAATCAGGCAGACTCGCAGCCAAATTGCCGTCTCGTCCCCAGGACCAGCGAAGATGTCAGCAGTCTCATCTCTCAGCTAGTTCATCTGGAAGAGGGCGTGAAGTTTGCTATAGCCAGCGGCGGCCATCATACCGCAGAGGGAGCGTCGAACCTGGATGATGGCATCACCCTGGATCTGTCAGGCCTCGACTCTATCGCCCTCGCCGCTGACCATTCGTTTGTTGAAGTTGGTACAGGTGCGCGATGGCTCGATGTTTATCAGTATCTTGGGCCTCGCGGCCTCATGGTCAGTGGAGCAAGAGTCGCATCAGTCGGAGTCGGCGGGTATCTGCTCGGTGGTAGGGTCCACGCCTGGCTCTGTGTATCCTAGGTTGATCCGCTGACCTTGCCTAAGGCGGCATATCTATATTCGCAAGCCAGTATGGCTGGTCCGGTGATATGGTCGAAGCGATCGAGGTGAGCGCCATTTATCTTTCTTCCCATTGAGACTCTGGGCTAACACCAGCGCTCCCAGCTCGTTCTAGCAAATGGCACTATTCTAGAGTCCAACGAGACACACCACGGCCGACTTTCTACTGCTCTGAACGGTGGCGGCAGCAATTTCGGCATAGCGACAAAGTTTCGTCTCAGAACGTTCCCAGCTCAACCACTGCATATGGCGCTCCTCGCTTTCTCTCCGGAACAGGTTCCTGTCCTGCTCCACGAGCTGACGACTTTCGCAAGAAATGCCCATGTCGACCCTGCTACCTCCGTCGACCTCTCCATAGGATTTGACGGTGCAGCAGCACAGCCAGTCTATGTCCTTATGCTGACCCACTTCGGTCCTCGTCCCGACGAGTCGTCGTGGAAGCCGTTCCTTGAGATCCCAGCCCTATTCCGGTCCATTCAGCAGGCCAGTCTGACTGAAATGGCCGAGATGATGGAGGTCAATAACCCGCCTGGGTTCAGGTCAGTCCCGTCGAGCATCTCTCACCTGTCCAATCATGTTCTCATGCCTTGATCAACACGCAGGCAGCACAAAGTCACCTTCACAGTCCACAACGACGCTGTCATTCTTCACCAGCTTGCCGAGCTTTTCACATTGGCCATGCAGAACAGTTCACTCCAAGTAGACGGCTACTTCCGAGCAGGCATTCTCGTTCAACCACTCACTCTGCCTCATATGCGTTACGCTCAAGAACGCGGTGGTGCCAATTTCCTGGGTCTCGATGACGAGCAGGAACCCCTGATGCGTATGTTTTGTTTTACTTACTCCTACTCTATGGCATTGGGCCCTCCATTGTTGAGGGGCCCTCGACTGACGTCCCCTTCTCTTCTCTCGGTGCTGCAGTTTTGTCCATCGAGTTCCGATGGCTCTTGAGATCCCATGACCAAATCTACACGACTACCCTGGACACGCTCCTGCGGCGATGCGAAGCTATAGCAACATCCGGAGCCCTGCTCCATCCATTCCGATACATCAACTACGCAGCCGCGGGTCAGGATGCGTTCGCACTCTTAAGACAGCGGGGACACGGGCACCGACTCGAAGAAGCGCGAATGCTGAGAATACTGTACGATCCGACGGGCTTCTTCGACAGGCGGTTGAAGAGCCCTTTCAAGATTTGATACTATGGTCATGCTGCGGCACGGCGGCGAGAGCTGGCTGTCGTGACTTAGGCAATTGGAAACAAACCAGCGCACACGGGATGTAACCTTCAAACGCGTGATATGACGACGAACACTCGGCGGCGGACTGCTATCCCCCCAGGCGTTGTAACGTGAAAAGACTGCGTTGCGACCAACCACCCTTCGCATTACACCTGCGTTGTCCATGGGCAATTTCGGAATGCGTGGCCCTGAAGAGCCAACGAGAAGTGATGGCACAAGTGACGGTAACAGTCCCGTATCCCTCGGGTATCATGTAGGAATGCAATCTTCAGCACGTTGAGCCATCTTTCCCAACTTTATGCTATACAAAAACATCCGATCTTTTCCAACGTACATTCATGACTCGTAGCTCATCTGAGTTAGCCACTCCCAGCCCGGAAACCACGTCCTGAGATTTGCTTCCCGTTGTCCAATTACGGGATTCTCTTTTTTTACCCGAGCAAATAAAACTCTAATGGAGTCGAAATGTTGTGAGATGTGGAATCCGTGCTGGCCTCGAAGGCACGTGTTGGAGTCCCTTCACAGGTAAGAGGACGAATGAAGCACGGCAGAAGAGGTCTCTAACCATCTGGACAGAGGCCACGCCATTCTTGAGCTCCCCAGCGCCATGTAAAAATCTCTGTAGCAACGCCGAGTTGTTGAATCTTGCACCAATGAAGCCACAAGTTCCCTTCGATCATACACATCCTTCAAGGTGCTACTGCCTTGTCCTTGTCAGGGAACGACTGCTTATCCGTGTAAAACCATGTCACAAAGGAACGATTACACCAATTAAAAGCACCCTGCTGTGACTGGTGCTGCTGGTGCTGAATGATGACTGTGCAAGGTTTCCGTACATTGATGAAGCTGATTCGGTCCACAATCATAAGTGGTGATTCCAGCCGACGTGAGCTTGTAACTGTCTTGATTTGAAACCATTCAAAGTCATCTTTCTCAGAAGACCTTTGATAAGCTAGGCAATCGGAGTTCGGGTATCGGCATCGTCCCTCTGAACCAGGCGTCGAGATGTACCAGGCCCCGTCGAAGGTCATTCCACCGCCGTCTTGCCCAGTCTTCGACTTTGCGCTCTTTATATCCCTTCCATCTTGCCCAGAGTATGAAAGCTAATAGTAAACCTGCGTCCAACATGATCTGCCGTATGAAGATCCATGCCAACCATTTCGCCCAGGCGGATATCCGGTAGAATATTCTCCGTCGTCTCGATGTCAAAGAGGGTGAGAAAGACGAAGAAGAAAGAAGATGGTTTGCTGAAAGTTGTTCTCGCAGTGCAGCCACCTCGGTCGACAGATGCTTCAGATGCTCGTCGATACGGTTCCTCCATTCAGGCTCCGAGACGGCGGATTGTGTCGTGTGGATAGGACCGATGAGGGCACCTGTATCAGGATCCACCTCTTCACCTTCGACGATTCCATTGCTATGGCCCTGCGAGACAGGCGATAAGACCCTCAGATGGTTTGAATCGGACTGTAGTCTGCTGAGAACCTGACTACCTCGACCGGACCTGCTACTCTGGCCAGGCTGCATGCTTCCGAAGCTCTGCGTCTGCTTCAGCCCAGCCCGTTCAAGCCGTCGGCTAGGTGAGTCGGCATCTTCGTCCTCTGAACTCCCGCTCTGGCTTTTTATCTGATTCCAGACAAACTCCAGTTCCGAAACCAGTTCACGCGCCTCTTGTGTGCCACTGGCGTATTCCTTCATGGTCTCGATTAAGGTGCTTATGTAGCGTCTCTTGGCTTCTGTTCGTGACATGCCTGCGCAACTGTGCCATGCATCCCACTTCTCAATCTCGGCTTCGGCTTCTCGTATCCGAAGGTCTCGCGAGGCATATCGATGGACATTATTCGACTTGGAATTGTTGGGATCTGGGGATACCGAGGGGAGAGTCGGCCGAGGGAGAATGGACTCGACATCCCCTTCCATAGACTGTTTGTAGAGGCCATAAAGACGTAAGCGCGCTGAGGGAGGAGGCCTCGATGATCCTGTTCGTGGAAGGCGGCGGACGGTGGCTAGAGCATGTACGAACACGCGATCTGGACGGCAAAAGTAAGACGAGAGCCGGTAGCAAGTATTCGGGCAGAGAGATGCATACCGACAGAGTCCGACATGACGGCGATATTGCCGTAGGTTGAGGCGTCTCTTTAGCCAGAGGTTGATCAAAAGTCCCCCTCAAGGGTGGGATGAATATCGAGGAGAGGGTGTCATAGATGGGCTCGTGCCGAAGCAATTATGTGGAGAGCTTGTCAGTGAAGATAAGTATATCGTTGGAGTGGTTGGAAAGACGATATGAAGAGGAAAGATATTGCTAAGGATGGATGCATGCTACATCGAGGTAGTTATGGATTTGCATCGAGGGTTTTATTGACGGGTGATTATACTCATATTTGGAGGCCTCTGAGGCTGCGTTGCGCTTTTCCACATCCTCGGCAATGTTCTCACCGGCGGAGCATATATACAGATGGTGCATATTTGAAGCATGCGACCGACCGTATGGAGGTATCTTCGTGTGACAGCCATGACCACCTACAGCTACTTCTCATATCTTCCCACCTCACTCTTGCTGTTTTTGTTGTTCTTGGGATCCGTTCTAACGCCCGAACCTCCTGTTGTCTCGGATTGACCACTAATCTCAGTAGACTCCTTGGCCACACCTCCAGGCTTCTCTGGCGATTCGTGGTCTGGTTGTCGATTCCTGGTTTGACCGGCTGGTACCTCTCCACCATGAGAGTACTTTTTCAGGTCTTGATACTTGAGGACATCCAAAGCTCGGTCGTGCGACGCGTGAAGATGGACCTTCGGTACTGCTGACTGGGCCAATTCACCTTTCTGCGCGGCATCGAATGCTTCTTTCCACCTGCTAGCACATAGACACCACCTCATGCCATCCTTGACACCGGCCTTTGCCAGATTGTTTCCCTTGGAGTTTGTGAAGTCCAGAAACTCTTTGCTGACAGTTGCCCCTACAGAATGGTTCCCTGAATCATCCGGTCCGCTTCTGCAGTAGCCGTCGCGGTAGTGTCCAACAGGATAGTCTTTCGTGAGCATCGCTAGGGGCCCGCCAGCCACTGGTGGGAATTAGTCGAGCTGAAGTCAGGTCTGCACTATTAAACACTCACCATTTTTGTTCTTCATCATCTCCTTGCTCGACTGCTGATTTGGTAAGCCCATGTTGGCTGAAGAAGCTAGGGTGCCGAAGAATATCTCTTTGAGAGTCACTAAGAAAAGTCCTGCAATTTTGGCCGGGTAAACTTGAAGCTGCAGAATGTGGGAGTTAGCTATTCGGAGGAAAGCGACCCAAACATTCCTAGGCGCGAGCTCGACATCATTTTAGCTAGCTGCCAGGGGCGAGGAAGTCAAATCCGGGGTCGCAAGTCGCGGTCATTGTATGAATCATGACGTTTTCTACTGGTTACATCATGTCGTGTAAGGTAAGTACAAGCTCGACAGAAGCCGATCGTGGAGTCGATGGTCGTGAAGGTCACCTGCAGCTGAAGTGTATGGACGGCAAACCTCGTTCTGCCATAGCTAGACATTTACCTAGGTAGGTAGCCAGGGTGCTGCTCATAGTGATGTTGATGAATGAAGAATTTCGTCGACTCCCAAGAAAACCCATCAACTCATTGCAGACTGCGGGGAAGCGAGTCTCGGCGGAGAGATAAGATAAGATATGCGTTGAGATTAGCAGATTCTGTCGGAAACAATGTCCGTTCTTCCGTTGTTACTGACCCCCCTCTATGGTCCTACCTGCTATCCCTAACTACTAGGTACTAAAAAGCGCATAGAGAGAGCGTGCCACACGTAATCAGGTGCTTTGGATTCAGCCAAAACCCCAGGCACTCAAGCGCGATGCTGAGAGTGACGTTGAATGGTGATGTACATGGCTTTCCAAATATTACTCGACAGCATGTGCAACCACAATCAAAAACCCAATATCTCACGCGTAATATGGTGGGATTGAGCATATCGCGCCAAATTGACTGGCTTGAACAGCACATACGATCAGTGAACATACACAGTATGTATTATCGCTGCGCTGATCATCTCTCTGTTTGATGACCTCGGTCAAGTGTCCGGCTATGCGGAAAGGAACCGCGGGGAACGAGCCATTCAGAACTGCAACATGGAAGCAAAAGTCGGCCTTTTCTCCCCATTCTATGCAACATCGGCTCAGTCACTGACGCTGATCGTCAGTACTCGAACTGTTGCGCTCAAATTCGTTTCCTAACCTACCATGTTCTGCATATTCTGTTTGTCTCTTAGTATGCCATCTTGTTCTATAGATGCAGGAGGCACGATTCAGTATCCTTTCACAATCTGCTTTTGAGCTCTGTTGCGGTCCTTGCCATGCTCGATGAGCATGACCGAATCCAGAATGAAGGTTCTTTGGATGCGGAGGTTGTAGTCCCCAAACCAGAGCATGACGACGACCCCCAGAATGTGCCCATATGTACAAACACACCCACGACAGCAAGATCTGGCTCGCCTCACGAAGATGTCCGGTACCGGTATTTGACTTTCGACTCGGAAATCCCTATGAATCCAGCATTTCCACCTGGTGTCGAGACTGAGTATCCACCATGTCCGAATCTACGCCACTTTGATAACCCCTTCACATGGTCCAAGACCAGGAAGAACTGGATGACCTGGCTCTCCTGCTCCGCGAACATCACAGCTGCCTATTCCGCAGGGTCCTATGCTTCGCCTGCGTTCCAGCTCACTAAAGAATGGGGAGTATCAGAGGTTGCATATAATGTCGGTATCACAATCTTCACCTGCGGATTTGGAGTTGCACCCATGGTTTTGGCTCCGTTCTCAGAGATCAATGGGAGAAGGCCAGTATTTATCGTGACCGGAGCACTGTTTGTTAGTAAGTTGTGTCTTTGGGAATGTTGCGGAAACGAGCCTGACAAAATATCTCTAGTATGCCAGATGTGTTGTGCTTTGACCGATTCCTACGGAGGCATGCTTGCCGCTCGCTTCTTTCTCGGCGTGGGAGGCTGTAAGTCCGGATAATTCACTATGATTGCAACACTGACCGACCTCAGCCACCTTTTCGACAATGGTCGGAGGCATTCTTGCAGATGTTTGGGTAACAGCCGAGAGAAATACCCCCATGGTGCTTTTCACAGGAGCAACTCTGCTCGGCACGGGTGAGTTTTTCTCTGTCCTATGCACTTGGCTCGCCTCATTACCAGGACGGCCTGCTGACAACTGTAGGCCTCGGTCCGTTGGTGAGTGGCTTCGTGGCACAGAACTTGTCCTGGCGGTGGGTCTTTTGGATTCAAGTTATTACTAGCGGCACTCTGGTGTCTCTCGTCACCATCTTCTTCCGAGAGACCCGTGGGACCATTATTCTGAGTCGAAAAGCAAAGTTGCTCAACAAATGGTACGTGGAATTGGAACAAGCCGGCGCAATTGGCATGGAAATCGACGCTGCTGATCTGGAGAAGAACGACAAGAAGTGCTGTCGCATCCGTTGGAAAGTCAAGGCCGACGAAGAACGATCATCTCTCGGCAGGATGATAGCTGTGTCCCTGTATCGACCAATCCATATGCTCTTTACTGAGCCCGTGGTCTTCTTCTTCAGCCTGTGGATTGGATTCTCCTGGGCTGTTCTCTACCTTCAGTTTGGGTCGATTCCCCTGGTATTCGAGGTCAATCATGGCTTTGATCTGGAACAGACCGGGGCGATATTCACTGCCATTTGCGTCGGAGGCATTCTTTCGACAATACTTAGCATTTACCAGGAGAAATGGGCTGCGAAGCATTACCCGGTCAAAATCAACGGCAGTCCAGAAGGGCGACTTACATTTGCCTGCGTCGAATCGGCCTTGATGCCGGTTGGGATATTTATCTTTGGGTGGACTTGCTATTCTTCGATACACTGGATCGTCCCCACTATAGGCATCACGATTGCTACAATGGGCATATTCAGCATCTTTCTGGCGACCTTCAACTACACTGCTGATGTCTACCATATATATGCCAGTTCGGCTCTCGCTGCTTCAGGACTTTGTCGGAATTTACTTGGCGGGTCGTTTCCGCTGGTCACTAAACAGATGTTCCGCAACTTGGGGTTCCAAGCTGCAAGCAGTTTGTTGGGAGCGATCGGGGCTGTATTGACACTTGTGCCGTGGGTTCTATTCTTCTATGGGCCAAAGATTCGGGCTAGGAGCAAGATTGCAAGTGCTTTTACGTGATGGCAGTATCGGCAACGATGCCATCTCCTGTTCGGAAGGAGAATGCCTCATCGGTACACGCCCCATAGCACTGGCCCATAGCACAGGATAATAGCAGTGTCCATCCTGAATATATGGTCATCACTGTCCTGATCAACCTTGAGTCTCCCATACACTTGCAGTAATAATCTTCGTTGCTTTTATATTGCTATGGCATGCCCCCTCCTGATGCTTAAGACGTTTGTCCTGGGGGCGCCCGTCGCGCGTAAGGACGAGGTATGCACGTACTCCCATGAGTGGCCCTCTGTACCCAACCCCAGAGCACTCCAGAGCCCTCAATGACACATGTGGGTAAGGTAATCATACAAGGTCATGGCCTTTATCTGACCACGAGGACCAAAGCAAAGCCCCGTTGCACGCCCTTTATCTGTCCCATATCCTCAATTCTGCGACAGCTCCAGTTCCAGTTCCAATTCCAGTTCAGTTCCCCTGCGATGCAAAATCGTATCGTTTCTCCTATTCAGCAGCTTTGGTCGCTATGTGAGGATTCATTTCGCCTGCTCCGGCAAATAGGCACCTCCTGCAATGACGAGATTCATATTCGTGAACTTGGTGTGGTACACGGGGCTGTGCTTGGTGAGAAAGGCACTGATCTGATCGCTCGTGACCACCGCGTCTTTTCCTCGTTTCTTGTGCACTCCTCCCGCTCCCACACCGGGCGCTCCACTCGCAGTACCAGAGGTCAGATTGATATTCGACGTCGGCGCGCTTGCTCCCACACCGGACATGGCACCCGCACCATCGGCCTTTCCTGCAGTTGCTGCGCCGTCAGGCTTGCTCGTCGTTGTTGCAGACTCCTTCGCTGGACCCGTGACGTCCCATGCGCGAACCGTACAGTCTGCCCCACCGGAGACGAGGACCGTGGATTCAGCACTCCAGCTAAGTGACCATATGCCGCCCTTGCCGTGGCCGCGCATTTTCTTGAGCAGTCGTCCAGGACCCAGGTCCCAGAGAAGGATCACGCCGGTATCGTCCGCACTCGCAAGGATCTTGCCGTTCCGACTGCAAGCCAGCGCCGTGATCATCGACGTATGTCCCGTGAACATGCGCACCGGGTTGCCATTGTTGAGCGCCCACATGCGCACCGTCTTGTCGCACGAGGCGGTGAACACGTAGCTACTGTTCGGATGCCACGCGACCACGTCCACGTCATCATCATGTCCACCCATCAGACGAACTTGCCGAATGCGGTCGGTCAGCCAGACGCGCGCGGTCTTGTCGTGGCCGCCGCTCACGAAGTAGTGACCAAACGGCCCCCAAGAGACGCTCCACACGGGCCCGACGTGACCTCTGTACACGACGACGCAGGAGAACAAATCGAGACTCCACAGGCGAATGCTGCCGTCGGCGCTGCAGGATAGGAGCCACCTCGCAGCCGTGTCCCCAGAGTCGGGTGATGGTTTGTAGCTGGAGGGAGCGAATGCCACGGTGTACACGGGACCTGAGTGACCGATGAGACGTTGTGAGTTTTGGGGCTGGCCACCGATGGCAGGACCAAGCTGTGACCCGTCCAGCGTCCATATGCGAATGTAGCTTTCCGAGAAGCCGGCAGCCACGAGATTCTGGTCACCGCTGAAGTCGAGGCATGTGATGCTGTCGTGCGTATTGTGGAAGGTGTACATTACCACGCTGAGGGCAGGTCCAATTCCACCGGTGCGAGACTCGATTTTGATGCGATCGCGGTGTTCGCGGATCTTTTGGACTTCGAGGGCCACGTCCCGGGCTGTGGACGGCGGGAAGGGAATTTCGGTTCTGCTGGGTCCTTCGTCTTCGTCTTCCTGTTTGATGTTGACTTGTTCGTGGGTTTGGACGAGGGATGGTTGACCCGGCGCTGGGGGAATTTCAAGGTCGAGGTCCATGAGGTCGCCGCGGACGTCTTCCTCGCAATCTTTTTCCATTGGCAATTTGCCTAGTTTGAGGTTCGCAAGGTTGTTGCCGACATTAGGATCTGTGGATGACACGGCGTTGCCAGGGCGGTGGCCAGGTATGCCTTCATCCTCGGCAGGCATGTCTTGGCCTTCAATGCCGCGCTGGATGACGGAGGCGAAGCTGAAACGGTCATCGGCGGCACGTTCGACTTGGCGGAGGTCCAGGTGTTTTTCGACGATGTCAATGAAGAGCTTGTAGCCGGCCTGGGGCAGACTTTCGAGAAATTGCATGAAGTAGATGAATGCTGAGTTGCTGAGAGAGAGGCGATATTTGTTATCGCGATAGAGCTTCGCTATCTTGTTTTCGCCATGTTCGGGGAGCGTGATGTGCTCGAGGCCTCGTAGGTCGTACTCGTGTTCCTTCTTGAAATCCTCGGAGAATTTCTGGAACAGCTTGGTTGCCTCCTTAGGGTAGAATTGCTGCACAAGGTCGAGGTATGAATAAACGAACAGGGGCCATAGAAGGCGCCTGACTTCTGGCTTGTAGATGTCGAGCGCATCGTCAGTCCAAGCTCGCAGGCGAGCAAACATTTCGTGATATCGAGGGGGACCTGTCGGTGTAGGCTTGACGTCGCCATCTTTTGGGATCTCTTGGTTTGATGACTCTGCTCTCAGAGTGGCTTCTGTTCGGTGGTAGCCTTTTTTAGCGAGGTAATCAATCACCTGTTGCGGTGATTAGCCATCAGAGCTCTGACTTGTCAGTCAATAGCAGGGAAAGCATGCATAGATTGCTTTGGCCAATTCTTCAATCTCCGGGCCCTCCTTGACGCTTCTGCGATCCTGCGCCATGCTTGAAACCAGTTTGTCGACGTGATTGTTTGCGGGCGAAGAGTTGTTGGTAGGAAAGACAAAAACATAGAAATGAAAGGGACTTGCTCACAATTTGATTGAGATTTTGTTGGGTCATGCCACCTCCACCGCTCCCTGTTGTCGCAGGCGCGGGCACAGAAGCTCCAGCAACAGAAGCGCCTCCCACGCCATTCACTAGGGGTGCAGAAGTCGGAGTCGCGAGGGGTCCATTTGGTCCTGTGCTGGCGCTCCGTGGCGCTGGGCTGGGCGCGCTCTGCCCCGACATGGCTACTGTACTCTCATGCACGGACTGTGAGGGGCAATGTAGGATGGTCTATTCCTTGATCGCGACAGTGAGGTTGTCAAAGCGTGTCGGACGATTTACTTTGATAAACAGGATGCGTTGATGACAAAAGTGAAGGCTCAATGAAACCAAGAGTGAGGCTGGAGATGCAGATCGACTTGCCAAGCCTGATATTGCGCTTTTCCTTTTTTGGAGAAGTGCTTCGGGTGACTTGCCCGTCACCGGCATGCCCAGGTCACCGCCTTCAATGCCATAAATGCGCCGATTGCAACATCTGCGCAGGTATCCTTTCTGAGAGTGTCAGTACCCTGGGAGCGGAGAATGAAAAGCCATTGCTGCGATAAATATGGACACAGATGAGCCTGCTTCTGCACAGTCCCTCGCCTTCACTCCAGCAGATCGAATCACCGAACTGAACGAGATCGATCGGTCTATTGCTACGCTACTATCTGCTGCGTCCGACGCTATCGGCATACTGTCGAATCAACCGAATGGCGAGAAGCAAGAAAGGGCTTTGCAGAACTCTGCAACCGCGCGCACGGCGTTCAGCGCAGCCGCGGAGACCTACTTTTCTACCCTGTCCTCGATCGAAGTGCGACTGCGACGGCAAGTCTACGCTTTGGAAGAAGCCAACCTCATTAGACCGGGCGATGAGAGAGACAGCAGAAGAGGCAGGGTGCTGGGCGGCGACAGCGGTCCATCTAGAGTCGGAGGCGGTCCACTAGACCCAAGCTGGCTGAGTGCAAGGGCGAGCGGAAAGGTAGACGCCGGAATGAAAAGAGAACTCCTGAGTCAAGCACGGGAATTCGTGGAAAGAGCAGACAAAAGCACACAGGACTGGCCTAGCAAAATTAGCAATATCCAAGACCTTGACAAGGACATGGGCTGAAATACTCTGGAAGCCTCTGTGATTACCATACGAAGGGACCAAGTCTCGCGGAAAGTGAGCTATCCAGTCACCGCTACTTTGGAAAACAAATGAGTCCTGCTCGGCTGCGATGCAATCTGGACAACACAGCTAACAGACCAGAGTTGTCAACGCGCTGCAAAAGGTCACTGTCAACACTGACAAGGAGCACTCCTGCTTCATGCTTGTAGCTACGAGCCGCGTCTGCCGCTTGACCTGCCTAAGAGCTGGATGTTTGAATTTATCACCAGCACCGAAGCGATTGCAGCGGGAACCACCACCCAAGCTCTTTCTGTCTTAGATGAGTCTTAGGATATCATTCAACGTCAAGGCCTGATACCTCGGGCACAAGCTATGACTGCAAGCGCATCTCATCCGAAAGACAGTTCGTCAGCAGGTGTGGACCGACTACAGCCACTCAAAAGGAGTAGATCGGTTACTTTGACGCAAGATCCAGGTTAAGGGGTCTGGACACTGGTTTACGATGTGCGTATTTGAAATTACTCAACATAGTTGTGACCGCGAGATATGGATTTCAGAAGTATCAAGCCATCCCATAAGATCATGTTTCGTATAATCCAAAATTGATCACCGTCCTCGCACCTGCTATATATAAATTGAAGTGTGTTCGGAGCCAATAAGGAAGGCGCTTGGCGGATCAAGATGAGTAAAAAATGCTCGGAGCTCACGTACGACTCACCCCGAGCGTTGTGATTACCAAGGCGCCAAGTCTTGTAAAGACAGGGCCTCTGGCGACGGCGGCGGTAATGCCTCTTACGCTAGTACGTAGGTATAGTCTAATATCTCGCCTCGAGATGTCCTAATCCCACAAGACCCTTACGTTTAATCACAGCGTGCCGCTTTCAGGATCAATCACCCCCCTCTTACCTTTCGCACTCATCTCGCTCACCTCGCTCACCTTTATACTTACCCTTCATCCTGAACTAGCTCCACCGTATGTAGCGCTAACGATGACCCAAAATTCGCAGTGCGTCGCCCGTTCCCTCTTTGACGCCTTTTTCGACTTGCGACCACTTTTTCGTCCCCTCCCTCGTTCGCATAGAGACTCTCTCTCCCTCCTAGGCAATGAAGTACAAAACCCCCCTCCCTACCCCCCGGGGCTGCCCAACTTTCCTCCTCCTTTCCTTCTCCACCACCGGAATGCGATCTTCCTCGAACGACGATCCTTCTATTGTCCTCATTACAACCGCTCCCCCCCTACCCAACGAAATTATAAACTTCTATTACTTCCACTAGAGCTATAGACTAGGTAAGTCAGCAGTAGTTTACGGCGGATAAACTGCTACTTGCTCGTGCTGAAGCCAACGGTTACCAGCGAGGAGTATATAGAGAGGCCGATAGAGTTTGTAGCCGAGAGAAGTATATCGCGAAGACGAAGAAGAACCAAGATACTACCCTCCGACGCTATATCTTGTAAGAGCTGTCCTTTTATCCTTTACGCTCTCTCTTTTACAACCTTCGCCGCCTAAGTTCTGACCTAGTACTTAGATGGCGTCTTAGTACCCTAAAAAAAATCCGCCTAGGAAGGCCTATCCCCTTACGATAAAGCGACGGCTCGCCGACAATATCTAGGATAGAATGTAACTACCCCCGATCTTGCGACCGTCAAAGACTTTATTTGATTCTATATCGCTACAAGCAAGCCCCAGCTTAATAAGAAGGAAAAGAGATCGACCGCCGACTCTATCAATATCGCGGCCGAATGGTTCTTCGTCGGCTTTACTCGTGTTATAGAAATCGACACTAATAAAAAAGAACGGGGCGAAGTATACAATATAAGATTAAGTCTACCTTCTAAACCAGAATATATGGTATAGGGTAACTGACACATTTTCTTAGGGGGTTGGATAGACCTTAACCCGCGAGGGGATTGTCGTGAACAAACACCGACCGAAACATAATTTCACCGACCGCGATCTTGATCGTGTCCTTCTGACCCTATGGACGCGAGATGATCTTATCTTCATCCCGAGCGATATCGAGTCCAGATCACCTTCATTATATATATGTACTACTGAACCGGGGCCCGAATCGGTGCATTCGACGCGAGGGAAAGAGGCTGCTCCCGACAAGTCGAAGACCGACTTCGTCCGGAGCCTTTATCTATTAATTCTGGAACGGTCGCCTCGCTCAGAAAATGGCCGCCGATTATGCCTTAAAAGCCGGCCGAGATACAGCAGGCCCTACAGGACCTCTACACTTTATACGTACAAGATTTCATCGTTCTCTACCTCCCTAAGTCGCGCGCCGTCGACGGGGCTTATCCCGTCAAGTGCTATCAGCTTCCAATGGATACGTAAGCGCTCTCCCACCCGGACTTATATGCGTATAGATATATAGACTAACGGAAGTAGTCTACCTAAACATCAGCGTAATCAGCATATCCAAACTTGTATACGTTGGGAGATGGCACATCACCTCGGCGGCCTCCAGTCAGACATCCATTACTGCTATCAATGTTTCGACTCGGTCATCGGAAAGGAGTGGGAGCCGCACTGTCAAGGACACCTCGCAGCGCCAACCTCCAAACAATGTGGAACCGTTACCTACTGCCATACGTTGGTACGACCAGGCTATTGTCCATTGTGTCCCAATGAGCCGGGGTTCTCGCGTCTCAGCAACTGAAACCATGGTCCCGAGATCATAAGTTGTGGTGCCACATCGACGACGTGCATCTCGTCCATCGCCGCTGGCCCCTCGTATGTCGCCTGTGCGACGTACCCCTCAAAGACGCGGCAGCACTTCAATGTCATTTCGCGGACGGACATGGACTCAACCGTACGCGTCCCGCCGTTTCGACGGCCCTAAATTCCCAAGATAAGAATACACCACTCGACAAAGAGGCGCCCAGTGCTAGCCCAAGCTAAAAGCGCAAACCGCCGAGCAATACTAAACCACTCGAGTGGATACCGCCCCAGTCACTCGAAGGCGCATCAGCGTATACTGAGGAGCCATCTCTACACCGTCCTCTAAAACGCCCACGCTATAGCCCTCCAGCTATCCGCCCGTCGGCTTTATCCCTAGATGAGGATAAGTCTTTCTTTCGTGATCGGTCCACCCACAACATTACGGACTCGGTCATACTCGCTCCTCATTATTCACCGAGCCTCGAGGATAACGAGCCATATACCGACCTCGAGTGTAATCTATTCCTATCTCGGCGGACGACCCTCGGCGACGCGATCGATCCCGTCGTGCCAGGAGACGTTGATGACGACATTATATTTGATCAGTATTTACATACACCTTCGCCCTCGCCCTCACCTTTAGCGGATGACGATGCCAGCAAATCGAGCGGAGCAACATTAGTTAACACTGAACGCTACTAACGTAGTGGCGGCGAAGAGCCGTCTAGAGAGTTATCCAGAGAGCTCTCTCCAGACTAGAACTCCAAACTCTAGATCCGGCACACGCGCCAGAGAAACAGGAGGCTAGGTATCAAGGAGACATTGACCAACTAAACAGCGGCACCCGAATTCGATTGCGAGTCAGTCAGCCAAAAATTACGCTCCGCTTTAAACTGGCGGCCACAAAACAAGCCGAAATAAACAAGAGCATAGGAGGGAAGACTAACACGGGGAGGAAGGGCGCTCGACAGGGGAAGGGAAAGTACGGTATCAAGAATGGGAGGGTAAGAAAAGGAAAGAGATGAACGATGCAGGTCCAAAGCCACAATGAATGACTCGCTGTGGATTCCTTAGGTATTCAAGCATATCTGGTTGGAAATCCAATCTGCTTTTCACAAAAACCGATGAAGTAGTCTCAGCTTTACAAGGTTGGGTAAGCTAGTTGACTCGAATATAACTAACGATACAGTATTGAAATATTAGTCCTGTACTGGAATAGGAGGTGTGATCGTTATAACGAGGATGTTTAGATAAGCGGACGGAACAATACGAAACGAGTCTCTCGGAGTTAAAAGGACTAGAAGGGAACAGCTTGACTCATAGTGGCTCGAGGCTATCAGAAATCGATTGACCGCAGAGCTTTCTGATGATAATGAATATATACTCGAAATGCAGAACCACACGAACCGAACATAGGGTGCTTTTTTGAACTGACGTACCACGAACATGTCCTGTGCTGACATCCCATTGGTCGATATGCCCGCCTTTCAACCCTGCTAGGCCACCGGTGAGGCCATGCCAGCGCACCTCAGCCGCAAGTGCCCGACGCTTTCCATTCAGCCTTATAAATGTACCTTATCCTATGATCACTGAAGTAATTTGACCATCGCTCTAGTCTTGGAGGAAAAGATGGACATCGAAGCCAGTGCAGCTTCTGTCCAGGGCACTACCGCTACCAGCATACCGAGTCATGAGCATCCTGGAACCATCATCGCCTGGCAGACGAGTCCAGCCCCACCAGCAAATTCAGGTCATGTGCGTCGACGTGGGCTAGTGAAGGCTGGTTCAACAATGGAGAGGACGAGGACCGAACGCAAGGAGTACGGATCCACGGACGCTTTTTGGCAGCATTTCGTGCATCGCAGGGAGAAAAGTGGGAAGGACCACTGCGTGTTGGTAGCATGGAGGTCAGGCGCAAGCGCACATATATTTGACGTACCAGTGACCGACCCGGAGGACGAAGAACTTGTCTGGAACCAAATCCGCGCACACTATTACGCTCGAAGAGGGATTTGGAGAAAGTACATCAGCCTTGCCGACGTCGAGAAAGTCGAACGTGTCAAGGTATTAAGCGTCCACCTAAACCTATTTGGGCAGCTAAGTAGCTAACAATACCTGATAGATCCGCTTTGCAGGGTTCAATAAGCAGAAGGATGCTTTCATAGGCAAGTTCGAGCCACTTGACACCTCTGAACGGCGCGAGAACCTCAAGAAATCCGCTGAGCGATGGAGGGCCGGTGTGGACCCAAATGAGGGGCCGGGATGCGTCTATATCCCGAGCACAGACACCTGAGAGCATGACCAGCAAGATTGCCCTTCTAGGTATTCCGAACCCGAGCTGAACGGACCGTGCCCACTGGAGAGCGAGCAGAAAAACCTGCGTTGTTTGAAGATCATGGAGGGACTCTGGTACTTGACTCATTGCTTCCACGATCCTTCGATGGGAGCGCAACAGAAGTCCCTCAATCTCGAGCCGGATGAGCCTCTTATACTACGCTACAGGTTGGTTTGCGGCCTGATTCGCATCATGACCCTTTCGGCTAACGCGGGTGACAGCGATTTCAAGAGTATCGGCAACTATCAGCCACGCGATGCAATCTTTCACGGTCTTTTACTCTGAGAACGTGGGGTTGGTAGCATGTTTGTTGTGTCTGGTGTCATGTTTGAAGGTCTTGTGTCGCTTGTGACGATGCTGCTGACGCTACTTACCAGTTTTTGGTCGAACGACTTTAATATTGGCCTCTCGGCTGGCAATCTCTTCGTGAATTGGATATCGACTATGCATCATCCACGCCGGCCAAAAGCAAATCCGGCACACCACAACTCTTGGTAAGGGAAGGAAGGTGGTAAGGGCGAGTAAACGGAGTAAGAGCCCGCTGATATGCCGAAACAATGAGTTTCATTTATTACAGTACGATATAGAAACCGCCTTTGTTTGTTTGATTTTATAGTCTGTCCCAGCCGCCTATTAAGTAGCAGCTATGCAGCCGTACGACTATAAGTAGGGATAGTCCTACCGACAATCCTAATATCTGTTCCACTTGAAACTCAGAACTGGGAGACAAGTGTGATGATTCCGGAACTACCTATGAGGTATGGAAGTTACTTATAGTCATAGCCAGTGTCCTCGGGCACTGGCTAGTGCAGCAACTGCCTGGTAGGCAGTTGCCACTAGTTGTGATGTTGCTTGAATTGAGGGAGGTGCTTTTTGTAAGAAGATCCAGTACATAAGACAAGGTATTTGCAGGTGATGACTTGTCCAGCCGTTGTGCGGCAGGTCCACTCTTTGGATTCGTCGCTCCAGGTGATGCCTTCAACTATCGTGTTGAACATAGCGTTTTTGTAAAGGCCCAGGACTTCTGCCGCGTGGTGGAAATAGCGACGCAATTCGACGTGGTCGGGAAATCTCTCGGTGAAGTCGAAAGTGTTGTACACCTCTGGGACCGACAATTGATAAAATGGGACCTCGGAATCAACTCTGGCACCGGGATATCGATTGTGGTGCCAGGTCCCTCCAAAGTTGCTGCCAGCTTCCACCAGCTTCACCGGGATGCCCAACTTTTGAAACCTGTGTAGGGCATACATTCCTCCAAAGCCACCCCCAACTACCAGCAGTTCTTTGAAGAAGTTGGGCGAGCTGCTCTCTGCAGCGACTCCGTTCGCCGCCATGACTGAATACTTACCGTCAAATTTGCTTCGTTGGTTATCTTGTTCTTCCTTCTGTCGGTCCATTCACGTTCAGTGCTTCAAACGTGGATGTGCGATCGAACATAAATATAGTGCTTTTCACCAACTTCCAGAAGGTATGAAAGCAGCGATAGGCCCGGGGGAAAGGAAGCAGTGACCAGATCCCGACACAGACCACGACACATCAACGGCAGTCAGAAATAAACCACGGCACGCGAGTAAGGCTTTCGTAGATCGGAAACCATGCTGACAACGAAGGAAGAGGCAAGGGTGGTTCGGAACGGAATTCCGAGCCCCCACCAAAGGTGGACCATACGCTGGACAGATTGGCATCTACTTGCGTATTCTCGTCACCGAAGCTTCGGGAATCCGTCACCATTGGCTACACGGAGGTCTTCGACGAACTGGTGCGTGTTCTTCGACGAACTGGTGCGTGTTCTTCGACGATTGCCCAGCGTGGGAGTGAAATGGATTATTCGTCCGGTGGAGATACCGGTTACAAGGACTTTACGGGCATTCCACTTTCTCATGCCTGACCTCCTCGAAATTCGTACATTGTTATTAGGTATAGTTTACTACTAGAGGGCGAGACGATCAGTTAGCTCCCTATATCTCCGCCTCCTAGCCTAGAGAGATCGCTGAAATAATCGGTACGCGCGGAAACTAAGCCCCGTCTCGGGATAATAATCGGACTCTAAAATTTTGAAAAGGCGCGTAGCATTTAGTACTACTATATTATAAATCGCTCCACGCTGGGCTGTCACGAGACAAGGGTTCCTTAGCAAGGAGGAATTATAGAGTGTATATCTATACGAGCACGAGTATATAAGCAAGTCGCTATACTAGAGCGAAGCTAACCTATAACCAAAAGGTATAGGTATAGTTAAGAACGAAGTTAACTATATAGTAAAGCTATAAAATAACGAAGTATATATAATAGTAGCCGAGGTAGTTGTGGCCCTTGCACACCCTAGCCAAAGGACAACTTATTGTCTACTCGAAACAAGCGCCAAATCCCTCGTGGGCATACAGATCGATTATAATCACATTGCGCAGCTGAAAGGCTGCGGAAGGACTGATCGAATACGAAGCTTTACGACACTAGCACAGAAGTTCAACAGCAGCGGGATGAATTCTTCAAATTCTGTAAAGATTGCAAGAGGGACATCGATGCCCTGGGAACCGCCTTAGCTGGTCTCTATACCGTAAAGTAGAGGTAACCCGAAGGGTCGAGGAGTGTCCGTTCATCTGTCTGTAGAGACCAAACTAGGAATGCTTACGACCGCTTTGAGAGTGCTGCAAGACCTCTCAGAAAGCTAATCCTGCGTCTGTGGAAGAGCAAAAGAGACCAAACAGCACGTCGGCCTCATAGTCAATTGGATTATCGTTTTCTAGTAGAAAGTCCTCGTTGGACTGCCAAAAGTCATCATTTTCGAGGAAGTTTAGACTCGACTCATCGAAGATATTAGGACCGATCGCATCCGGCGTGCGGCAATGACTTCCTGTCTGTCCAGTAGAACTGATTTGCCCTCGGACAGCTCTATCCTGCACCGGACGTGGATTGTCCAAGTCAATTCCCGCACGACTGAAGAGGTTTCGAATGATTATGATCGGTTTTTTGAGCCCAAAATTAGTGCCACGCTGCACTTCTTTCAGGGCCTCCCAGAAGAAATTGACGACGCTCAGATGTGAGGGGTTTGTCTCCAGGTCAACCGGGATTACTGTGGCGGCAGAGAACAAGGCATAGCAGAACAGGTATGGTGCTTTGCGTAGAGTGAAAGATTCCCGATATGCTTGAGCAAGCCTGTAAATGTACATGGCCGCTGAGATACAGCGTCGTTTGGCCAATCGCTCGTCGATGCCAATACTTGCAAGATGCCCGCCTGATATAAATGGTCGGTATAGAAGAATGTGCAGCGTGTGATAGGTCGAGCTAGCAGAATTTAGTCCCCGATAGCTTTCATGGAAGAAGATCGATCAAATAAAGGGAGGGTGGGAGGGAATTGCAGCCTTACTGTGGGTAGAATCTGTGTGGTGGGGGGGCAGGATCCTTGCCGGGTTCATATTGTAAATGCGTTGGAAGTTGTTGGAACCACAAATCCAACTTGGTTTGGATAGAGTCGATGGCGTGTAGAGCCTGATCAAAGGCGAGCTTGGTCGTGCTTGGGATGTAAAACAACTCAATGATTTCCGACGTGAGGTGTGCCAGCTTGAGTAGACTATCTCTGTTGCTGATATTGTGCTTCTGCTGTGGTACGTAAGTCGGTGTCGGGTTATACTCGTTGGAGGCGCTAGTATCTCGATGAGGGCTCCAGGTCTCTAGTTCGTCAAAAGTGTCTAGCAACTCCGTCGGGGGCTCAAACCCGTGGAACAAAGATATCTCGGGCCGCCTACCGTAGAAGAGAGATTGAAACCTATCCTGCATGAATGCGCCCCAGAACACACGGCGTTGCTGCTCAATATCTGTCGCCGTCAGGTTATAGGTTGTCTCCTTGGAGATAAACTGAGAATGGTTCACCTTGTCCGGATCCAGGTGCAATCCCAAGTCGGCGATCATCCGAAAGGCCATGCCTGAGTACATCCATCCCAGGGTCTGTTTTCCTCTTGTAAGGACTGCTGAACCCATCACAATCAAAGCAGCAATCGTCGGAATAGATGATATTTCCACCTGTGACGATACCAGCTGCTGGAACCGTTCAAAAAATCGGCTTCCCAAGGTTGCTGGATCCTTTTCCTCATTCATCAGGCTCTCATGGCCACTTTGTAGAGCCCCGGTGTAGAACAAAGAGTTCAACAAGAGCTTATTGCAGTAAGGTCCTCCAGTGGCAAGACTGTGCATAATGGCCGGACGATATGTGACGAGATATGTGTTATGTTGGTGGTTCCAATAAAAGCCCAACAGGTTGAACGCCAGGGTTGGATCCACGCCATCCAGGTCGGTATTGCCATGAATGATGTGATAGTATTCTTTCTGTCTTTCTAGGGATGTTTGCGCGAACAACTGGAGCTTCCAGTCTTTGAGGTTCCTTTCCTTTTCTAACGCACTCGGTGATACGCTCTTCACTCGATTCGGTGAAGAACGCGAGGAGAGGAGAGACAGTGGGGGACGTAGGGATGACGTTGGCCCGTGGAGGGATAAGCCGCTCTCGCTGTGGACAAGTGCATTAATCTCGAGGCTTGATGCGTTCACTGTAGATCCCTTGCTCGGACAGTCTACGGAATAGTGTTCTTGATGCCGAGAAGCTGACGCGGTGTCTGACAATATATGGTGGTCATTCTGCATGGTGACATCTGGGGTTATTCGGTCTGCTGACACCGCACAATCCGGAGCCAGAGAGCGTCGGACATCGAAGGCGGCATATTGAGAAGAGGAAGACTCGTCGAGCGCTTGGTGATTTCCTGCCAACCCACCCTGGAGAAGGGCATACTCCAGATCCGCCATTTTGTTATTGATGGCTTGGATCGCCTCCTTCGAGACCCGGGCATTTGGCCTGCCGTCCTCGCCGAAGACGCAATGCCGACCTGACTCTCGACACTGCATACAATGGGGCCGAGAGCCATCACACTTGATCTGATCAGGCTTCAGCAATAGTCTCTTCTTGCACCGCAATTTCTCTTCGCGAAGGGGCATCAATGCGAGACCGGTGCTCAACTCACCTTCCGTGCGCGGCAACATTCGCAGGCCTTTCGTATCCGTTTTCCGATGTGATTCATGGCTGAGACTGGATCGAGGCTGGGCTTGGTAATGGGAACACGTTTCGCCGTTTCTCACGAGACGTGACGACTGATGTTGCTCAGTCATCAAGCGCGGGGAACCCGAACCATGTGTCTGGTGCACCATCAGAGGGGCCCAGCGAATCTCAACAACAGCCTCGGTAACGTCTCTTGCGCAGAGAAAAGTTCTTGTCCGCCACGGTCATCTGCACGGTAAGGATCAATCGTCTCATGGTCCACTGCAACTATTTGCTTGTCGACAGACCAGCGTCAAGCGACTTTATCGAAGACGACGACTGACCTTTGCCGTGCCTGACTTCGATAGTCGGACACCGCAGTCTCACCCCAGTCCAGCTCCTGAGACCCCCCGGGCTCCCCCAACTGGGGAGCCGCTAACACTCAAGTTTTGCAAGACCCTGTTCTCAGCTCTGCACGAAAGGCTCCGTGGTCCGTTAGCACCCAACAGGAGGCACCCTACAACATCTCCATCCGCCACAGGGTGTGTCGAATCGAGAATTGGCATTGTCGGAATGATCGGAATGGCCGGAATGGTGATCATTCCAAGGCTACATGTGAAGATGCCGCGGTGGATGCCTATTCAAACTCCGGTTTTGAGTGCAGAGCAAATTTCGCCAATCTTGACAGCTCAATCGCAGTGGCCTCTGCTCTGATTATCCCCTTCCAAGGGGAGCAACACGCCGTTATTATCTAGAATAGGTTCTATGCTAGGACCTTGAAATAGTACTATGCTCGGGGACGCCAGCTAACCATTTGCCTACCACCCAGCGTCTATAAACAACTCCCATCACCATGAGTACTTTCTACGACTGTGTCCGAATACGCGCATGGTGTAGTAGTGTCCGTACCAATTTTCGCGTGTGCCTCTGGTGGGCATGCTAGCTGGGTTTCACTGCCTGCCCAATTTCCGGTCTCCGAAGTCGAATTTTGTCGAAGGGGGAATTCGAGCCGAAGTCGAGCGGTCTTAACGGTCCATACAGATGGGCTTTTCAAAGCGCGGAGATGTGACGGAGGTCATGTCTCCGTGCCAAGCAGAGGCGTCGCTAACTTTGGTCTTCTGGCAAGTATGGAGTGATTTGTTTAGTAGGAGGCAGTGGCTAGACTGGCGCCGGCTGGGGAACTTTCCACTACCCCAGTCTGTTTCCCCGGCATCCCACAGCCCTCTCCACATTGGCGCATATGCTCTCGCTTGGGGGGATATCTTGACCGGCGATAAGGACTCCGGATCCTGGCCTCTTTGGGCCTGTGCCTGTTCCTGTTGGATGAAAACGCTGTGTTATAAACACGACTAGATATAGCCATGATTTAATCTTTCGGAGTCCTCATCGAGCCTTAAAACTTCTTCAACTTCGATTAAGTTTGCTGCAATATTGTACCTTACATCACTTGATCATGGACATCGCGGATAAGTCCATTCAACCAATGCATTTGGAGGAAGTGGGCGCCGACATGACTGGGAGCAAGGTCAGAGAACACGGCGAAGAGCAGAACCGCTTCTCACCAAAGGAGATTCGTCACATTCGACGCAGGATCGACTACCGCCTCGTTCCGGCCCTGGGTATGCTGTTTGCCATTTCACTCATGGATCGGAGCAATATCTCTGCTGCTGCGATTGCTGGAATGCGGGTCGACTTGGAACTGCTGAGCGGGTATCGATACAGCTTGATCACCCTTTCTTTCTTCATCACCTATGTCATCGTTCAAGCTCCTATGACTATTGTCTGCCGTAAAGCCGGGCCTCGCTTTTTCCTTCCAGGAGTCTGCATACTCTGGGGAGGACTCATCATTGGCTTCGGCTTCGTCGGCAAATGGACGACTCTTGTCGCGTTGAGGCTGATCCTTGGTTGCTTGGAAGCTGGGTACTTTCCAGGCTGCATTTATTTGTTGTCGACCTGGTACACCAGATGTTAGTCCATTGAAAGTCGAATTTCGGCCCTGTTTGCTAACACCCACACAGATGAGACCAACCAACGCTACTCTTGGTTCTACTTGATTTCCGTCGTCGCGGGCGCTTTCGCTGGTGTTCTTGCATATGGTCTAATGCAAATGGATGGTCTTGCAGGTATCGAAGGCTGGCGATGGTCAGTATATGGTCCTATGCTCTGCGGGGTACGGTTTGGTTGACTTCTAGAACTAGGATTTTCATCATGGAAGGCGTTGTTAGTTGCAGAACAGAATTGTCAAGACTCGTCATGCTAATCTGGAGTTCTAGATTACCTGTCTCATAGCAGGACTTGGAATGGTGGTGTTGGTGCAATTTCCCGACCAGGAACGGCAGAGTCCATCACCTGCGTTTCTCAAAGCCGAAGAACTTGAATGGGTGATTACACGGCTTCAAGAAGACCGCCTGGACGTTGAGGCGGAGCCCTTCGCTTGGAGAAGATTTTTCAAGCCTGCAAAAGATATAGAGATTTGGTGCTTCGCATTCATGCAATTGTAAGAGATTTGACCTCCATTCATATTGCTGGGGCAATCCTGCTGACTACTGAGCTAGTTGCATGACCACGACTTCATACGCATACACTTGTGAGACGAGAACACTACTGCTACACCAAATATCTTTGAGCTGATCTGTTCATCCCAGTCTATCTTCCTATCATTCTCAGAGATACCCTCCATTTCAGCATCGGGGCGTCCCAATGCCTTGTCTGTCCACCATATGTTGCTGCAGCTGTGCTCATGTTGTGTACCGCGTGGTACGGTGACAAGCACCACGTTCGAGGGCCCCTATTGATCATGAATTGCATTATTGCTTTGATTGGTCTGCCAATCGCTGGCTTTGCTAGAAACCCTTGGGCACGCTATGTCGGCGTCTTCCTCGCCGTCGCCGCAGTCAACAGCAATGTACCCTTGATCATGACATATCAGGTTAGTCGGTTTCCCAATCTTGCTAGAACAACTCCTGCTACTTTCGAAGCCCTGACTAAGATGCGATGGAAGGCGAATAACATCCGCGGCCAATGGAAGCGGGCATTTTGCTCCGCGACCCTGACCGGCATTGCTGGGGTTGGCGGTGTTTCAGGTGCCCTCGTCTTCCGAACGCAGGATGGCCCTGAATATGTTCCAGGACTAATCGCCGTCATGACGTAAGTCCCGGCAGTCTTCTGTGTTCAGCTTCTGCCTTGGCTGATTCAAGTGTTACAGTTGTTGTGGCTGTGCCATAGTTACATGCCTATTCCTCATGTGGTACCTCAAACATGCCAACAAGAAGGCCGACCGTGGTGAAATCCTTATCAATGACTTGGCTGGATTCCGATACACCATCTAAGACCAACCCGGGCTTAGCTGGATGGTTCACCGCCGCGTTTTGTTCAGTCGGACAAAGTGAAGGTGAGAACTCTCTTGATGGTACTGAACGAGGAGGAGATCCAAGTGTCGAGGATATCATGACCAGGGTTGTCAGGATTCGATTCTTCCAGTCCGATCCCGATCCCCGGCTCGCCGGTCACCTAGGTGGGGAATAATTCCGGAATCGATTCCCTGACTAATCAAGCTACGCTATCTGATTGGCTGGAGTAATGTTGTCTCTGGTGGATAAAGACAGGCATAAGTATATATACACTATCACGTGATTTCTTAATCTACTATTATGGCTTCTTGAACATCACCGAGGCTTACGCCGCATGTGGCGCGCTTTTAAGCCATGAGAATTGATTCCCTATAGAACCAGGGAATCGGACTCGAATCCTGACAATGCTGACCATGACACTGACGGAAGATGTCTCATGGTGTAGAGCCTCATGGCGCAATATGGTGATGCCGTTTTGCCCGTTGCGGCTCGCTGAGACTGTCAAGACAGGCCTCCGTCTCCTGCCTCAGCAAGCTTCCACACTACCTGAAATTTTCGTAATTTCCACGTTGTTGCCCTTCTCCACATAGGTAGGATTGGAAACCAGATCTTCATAGCGAGGTTTCCAGCTGTACACTTCTACCATCAAGGTTCGGATTGCTTCTCGTCGCCCAGAAAGAAAAGTTGGTTTGATAGCAGCCTTTTGCCGACTGGTTTGAAGCCGTTGTGCAGAAGATTACAGCACAATTAAGAGTTGTAAGGGGCGTCAGAATATTTGTTGAACTGTCAGGGTCTGGGCGCGCCTAAAGATGGACGCTCCAGGCACCACTTCAAGTATTCGGTTCACAAATCACACATTATGGGACGGTTTTCAGTTTTACAGCATATACAAAGAGACAGACAAATTGGTTCTGATCAATATTGGCGAGAGGCCGGAGACCTCAATGCATTCAATTCTATCCTACAAATCAACAGTATTCTTCTAGGTCATCTCAATCTTACTCCTGCCTTTCATCTTACCAGATCCAGGGACTGCCTATTCAGAATGAATAATAGTCTTTTTTAAATATATTTTTAGAAGAAAGCAAGAACATTGGGCGGTGATGCAACCACCCCTGTATAGTTCAGTGGAGCAGAAGAGAGAAAGAAGGTCCAGCGATTCAGCTCCTTACATGTCTGTGCAAGGGCATCGAGGTCAAAGAGTTCCCCGATTGTGGTGCCCCAGCCTGCCAAGAGGATTGGATGTAGGAAGTACTTGGGATCGACGGGAGCTGTAAACATGTCAGCCAAGAAGTGGAAGTGTCAAGTTGGAACGGAAACACCATGAGCCCGTCAGGAAAGAAACACTTACGGACGCAATCAAAAGCAGGGTTGTCGGCTGCCACGGCCGCAAACTGATTTTCCCACAGCCACTTCACGGTCTCGGATGATTGGGCGATTCCAGGCCAGCTGTGTGAAGTTTTGTGCTCCTCTTTGGCTTCTGAGCTTAGTTGTCCATACGCAGAGGTATATCCTGTTGGTATTGTCAATACACTTACGGTAGTTCCGAATATGATGCGATGCATATACAGGCTGACTCACCAGTTCGAAGCATAAAAATATCCCCGGTCTGCAGATTGATGTTCTTCTCTTTTATAATGATCTTGATATCGTCTAGAGAAATCGCATGGGCTTGGGTCGCGTCATATCCTTTACCATTCTCGTTGGCCCAAGAGAAGTAATCGACCAAGACTCCCCTGCCCGCAATCCCCTTGGCTGCCCATGCATCGATGCCGTTCACAGTGGTGTCCTCGGAAGCGTATATATCGTCTTGAGTCACTCTGGGCAATGTTTATCAGCGAAGGAATAGTAGCTGCCACAGGAGTGAGCTCGCATACCCATTATAAAACTTCTTTTCCGCTTGATAAGCGAAATGTCGAAAGCTATCCCACTGGGCACTTCCCTGTGTGTTGAACGTTATCTGTAGCCGATCAGCAATGCCGTGACCAGGGAGGTGGTGAATTACAATATCATCGTTGATGACCCGCGGGGCCTTGTTGATCATTGTGTGTTCAAAAGCGACTCGGCCGAGTAGCGCTGGCTTCACGTAGTCCAAAGGTAAACTTTCAAGAGGTCAGGAGTGAATTCGAGGGAGAGTAACTTGACATATATTCTTTGTACACTGCAGGGAGAAATACTCACTTCAAACCAACACGAATTCCTGTCTGAATTTCTTCTTTCGCAGTCTTCCGGACGACTTCATTTGTTAAGTAGTTGAGTGCTCCCAGCTGTGAATTTTCCCAGAGCCCCCAAGCAGAGAACGGAGGATCGTCCTTACCCAAGGGCAAATCCTCAAATCTAGGAAGAGGTACCTTTGTTACCGTGGTCGTCATGTTGGGTATTTGTTATTTTGCTTCTCGGGAGACAAAGTTCAATGTTTTGGAAAACCAATATGACGTATACAACCGTTGAAATGTCCTTTAGGTGGTTAAGGATAATGTATCTGGGCAATGCATAGTCCAGAACTTGATCTGATCTCGGTCGAACGGGGCTATGAACAACTAATACCAAGGGGGTAAGATCACGGAGAACTGAACGCCGTGCTTTACCTCGGCGGTAGGACATTTGCTTCCCCTGCATCATCTCATTCCATGCTGCTCTGGTCGGGATCTTCGACCTGCAAGATTTGAGCATTGCAATTCCCCATTGATAGAATACAGTCTTGGCCACCATTTCATTCAGAAGAAAGTATCGCAGTCTTGCTGATTACCGCATTGCACACCATGGTGGCCGGAGCAATATTGTTATACATCGACCCTCGGGATTCCGCAGACAGTGCGGCACTCGATGCCTGGCAGCAAACAATCCGAAGGATAATTCAGGGGGTCCAGAACATCGTAAAGTACGTTGCCACAGATGAGCCCGGGCTCGGTGGCAAACCATATCAACTCCAGTACTTCATCCCCGTAAAAGATATTGGCAAGGTTGACAAAGCCTTGATCGAGGTTTTGAGGAACGATCCAACATATCCGCTGAACAAGTCCGATTGGAACGTATTTGAAAGGATTTCTTACGACTTCCGTCAAGATGTCGATGGCGAAGCGTACCCACCGGGCAAGCAGGTGGTCCAAGTCGGCATGTCGCCAATCGACCAACCGGAGATCATCAAAGACTACCACAACTGGTACACCCAAGAACATATGCCCCGCTTGGCTACAGTCAAGGGTTGGCGTGTAGGCACGCGGTACAAGCTACTCTGGACACAAGGCGATCAGGCAGAAATTGTGGAATCTTTTCTGGCTCAACACCAGTATGATGAAGTAAATGACCTTGGAGGACCAAACTGGAAACTATCTGTATCGCATCCTTGGACGAAGAAGGTTGGACAGAACCTCAGCCGACCAAATCATCGAAGAACATGGGTCATTGAGACATGAAGACTGTGTTGGAGGACCCTGATTCTGAGGACGTTGGAACGGCTCCAAGACTATGGTAAACTTAAGCACTAGAACGCAATCGATAGCTAAAACAAACACTAATATCTAGAGGTGTCAATTCTGGTTGAACAAGCGATGCACTTGAGGGCACCACAATAGCAAACACCACATTCGGAGGTCCGGATCAAGAACTGGGCTATCTTGAGCGTGAACGTAGATTGCCTGATGATTCAAGGTGATGCGCTGGGAAGACCAGGATACCCAAGGACATGAGGGATAGCCGTCCCTTGGAGTACGTGCAGAGAGATTGAGGGATTCCTGTGCACCAAGCCTCGATGGAGGTGCCTAGTGCTATAGCGGCGGGAAATTAGAGCTCCACGGGTCCACGAGTCGAAGATGGAGATGAGATGTCCGGAGGCTAGTCATCATCTCCAGATCTGTATGTCCGTCTATCACGACTCTAAGCCGAGGTCTCTGTGTTTGTGGCGTGAGCGAGACAAAATAGACTGTATTGCAAACCCATTTTTCGAGAAAATCAAGTCGCAATTACCAAAGCCGAGAGTCCTAGTACAGGTTCCAGATATTTGCTTTAGCTACGGAGTACAGTTCTGTGATATCACAGCCAACACCGATCTACAAAGTCCTAACTTACTATTACTATAGACGCCAGAAACAATGGGATCACTGGCCCCTGATCCAATGCCGGTCACCAATCGCCCTATCGGTACTCACCGACCGATTCGCATTATCTGCATTGGAGCGGGCTATTCCGGCCTGATGATGGCAATCATCGCTGGAGAGAAGATGAAAGACCACAACGTCGAGTTTCAAATTTACGATAAGGAGAATGACCTGGGAGGGACGTGGCTTGTGAATAGGTAAGCACTTTATTCGACGGTCCCTAGTAGTAATTTGCGATACACGTGGTGTTGACATATTCGCGACCAGATATCCTGGCTGTCAATGTGATATCCCAGCACACAACTATGGGTATAGTTTTGCACCAAACCCAGCATGGAAAAACTATTATGCCACTTCAGATGAAATCTACGATTACATGAAATGGGTTGCGAAGAAGTACGACTGCGAGAAGTATATGGCCTTCCGCCATACTGTGACTGCTGCCGAATGGAAAGAGGATGATGGTAAATGGGAGATTACAGTTCAGAACGAGACGAAAGAATTCAGAGACGAATGCGACGTGCTAATCAACGCTGGAGGCGTCCTGAGGTAAGCTAGACCTTGGTAGAAACAATACGTTTACTTCGAGATAAGCTCATCCTTGATATACAGCACCTGGAAATGGCCCAACATCCCCGGCATCAACAATTTCAAAGGCAAATTGCTTCATTCCGCTGAATGGGATCGGTCTTACGACTGGACTCACAAGACGATTGCTGTGATCGGCATCGGATCTTCTGGTGTTCAAATTCTACCAAAGGTCGCCCCTGGAGCCAAACATGTCGACTTCTTCGTGCGCTCGTCGACCTGGATTGCGCCTGGGCCTGGTGCATTAAAACCAACAAAAGAAGAGCCCGAGATGGATGCTGAATACAACTATGCAGAGTCCGAGCTCACGCGCTTTGCGAAGGATCCTGAGTACCTACGACGACATCGGCAGGCATTGGCCAACAAAAGAATTGATTCATTCAAACAGTCCATGAGCGGACCCGAAGCCCAGCATCAGACAGATACCTACTTCAAAGCAGAGATGCTACAACGGCTCGGAGGTTCGCCAAAAGCTTCCCGTATAGCTGAATGGCTCCTGCCAGACTTTCCTGTGGGCTGCCGACGAGTGACTCCCGGACCCGGTTTCTTAGAGGCCTTGGTGCGTGACAATGTTGACAGCTGGTGGAACAACATAGACCACATCACTGAGACGGGGATCCGCTGTCGAGACGGCTCTCATAAAGAGGTGGATGCTATCTTCTGTGCCACGGGCTTCGATACCACATTTAAACCCCGATTCCCTCTCATCGGCCGAGGTGGGGTGGATTTAGCTGACAAATGGTCAAAAGATGATCCGGAAGCGTACTTTGGAATTACTGTGCCCGGGTTCCCAAACTACTTCACCTTCATCGGGCCCAATAGCCCTGTATCGAACGGTTCCTTGGTGCAAGCCATTCAGATGACCGGGATCTACATCTACCAATGTATCAACAAGCTTCAAACCCAAGGCATCAAGTCGATGGAGGTGAAGGCTAGTGTGACCAAGCAGTACAATGAGTATCTCCAGGCTATGCTGCAGAAGACTGTTTGGGTAGCTCCTTGTCGAAGCTGGTACAAGCGCGGCACTGTCGATGGTAAGGTAGTAGCGCTGTATGGAGGCAGTTGCTACCATTTCGCGGAGGCCTTACGAGATCCGAGGTGGGAAGATTATGAGCTGGAAGCTCTAGACTCGCAGAAACCCTGGTCTTGGCTAGGCAATGGCTTCACGGTTCGGGAGCTCGATGGTCGGAGTATAGGGGACACGCAGACCTTGGATTTCCAGGAGTACTGGAATTTGGAGGTGCTGCCAGAGATACATTACTAGCACATATCTTGATGCACCACTAGTTAAGGAATGTAGGGAGAGACGGTGGTATTGAGGAATCAACGGAAGCGTGAATCAGCTTTAGCTATCTTCAGTGTACTAGTCGTACACATCCAGACACTCAACATCTTGGAGGTTCTCGGAAGGCATATTGTTACACTGGTTTTCATGTGGAAATGACGAGAATCAGCCTTTGAATTCACAATTCGACATGAAAACACTTTTTGAGAATTTTTTTTCACCTATCAGCTAGCTATATTGCACGTCTGTTTAGACTGCTACACCGCCACTTATTGAAATTTAATCATCTAGATCAGCCACCAACGATGTTGATGATTTGGGCAGACTATCTGGAGGATTTTGTTCTGCTGTGTTCACGGGTTTCGGAATCGGGGTTTCCGGCACTGTTGGGGTGTTTCCCTTGAACTTCACATTCAGGCGCTGCGCAATTGCTGTGACTATGTCTCGCAAGACAAACAAGTCCTTTCTCTCAGCACCGTTCAGCATCATCCCAATCATATGGTTTTTCAACTGTTCCTGGCAGTCTATGCCGTGGAGAGTTGCGATGATCACCTGGCCCGTTTCCAAGGGTCCCAGAATCTCATCGAAAGAGAAAATGTAGCCGTAGAATAGATCTGAAAAGAAATAGGGCGCGGCTTCGTCAGAAGGCCATTCTACCAAAAAAGGGAAAAGTGGGAAGAGTTTCAGAGCTCACTTGTTACAATCCACGAGTAGTCGGGCGCAGCGGCCTTGGTCAGTGTGCCATCATAATCAGGATTTGGTGCATAGATGCTGCGGATCATTCGCTGTCCTCGTTGTCGCGCCTCCTCGAATGTCTGGTCGGCTCTATGAGTTGATGATCTGCGTCAGTATGTAGCGTTCAGAGAATATTTTCCCCGGTCAACAGACCTGTAGACTTTGTCATCTTTAAGGTGACCAGGGATTGCCGTGGCCAGGGCACGAGTTGCATTGCCAGTCTTTGTCAACGGTCAGAGATTGATCAGGACCGGAAATTCGCACACGATACATCATCGTCTCGATCAGTTCAGTTGCGTACCTTGGCCGCCCCTTGAATGCCGCAGACTTTGGTCAATCCTTCGACAATCTTGCGCGTTTCCTTCTTTTGCTCCGCTTCGGGAATATAGCGCTCCAGCAGAGCTCTGTAGAATCCAGGTATCTCCTCTGGATAATTAAGAGCACCGATTGCCACGACTGCGGTCAAATACCAACGGAATCTGCCTTCGACAGGCTTGGCGAGGCTAGCGAGAGACGCCATGAATTGTTCGTCGAGAAGAGACATGGTCGCTTGATGCTTATGCGCATTTAGAGGCAAAAGTGATATATCTTTCGGAATATAACCCCAACCTGTTTGACTCGACCAAACCGATGATGGCGTGCAGCTTGTCTGCGATTAACTCGGATGTTCCAATTACTTCCGTTTCAGAATCTCACGGGACCTATAATTTGCGCGGTGAGAGATGGGGTCGGAGATCATATCGCCGGGAAGCCCCGGCTTTCTGAGCGGAGATCGCTCAATCTGCCTCCGTTTGTCAGGGGGTTTCGATGGGGTTAACAACCATTCGTGAGGGAGGCAGTAAAAGCCAATGCTAGTTCGAACCTTGCTCAAAGCGCCAAGCTGTTTAACTTGAAGGCTTTCCTTGACGGTTTATGTTATTGCTCTGAACGACAAAGACCGAATGTTTGATGCAAATGCTCCTGTATCGAGGAGAATCTTGATGAGACTGGGATAGAAGGAACAGACTGGCTGACGGAAACCAGCCACATAGCCTGTTGTCACTGGCAGCATGGCATTCGCATTACCTCTGGAAGTCCCACTCGCTACGGAAGGGAACAAGGAGAGGGTATGTGACTAATCTATGGCCTACATAAATATACCTATGCAGAGAACTGATTTTCCTGCAGGTCCTCGGGCTATTTAACGCCATCGCTCGAGAAACATTCACAAATGAAGACGAGAACATTGCTTACATCTGGTACCGCAAAGCAGATGACAATGATCGTGAAGGAAACCTAGTCCATGGACTGGAAGTGTAAGTGCGATTCCATGGAGCACTTGGGCCGCTGACGACATCTGCTGTGCATCACACTTCAGAAGTACATCGTTAACCAAACAACTAGATATCAGCGAGAGCAATCCCTCGTCCAAGACCACCGTGCCGGTAGCGCGTACAAGAACATGCGTGCAGTGGGAACCAGTAAGAAGTTATTCATACGCCCGTCGGAGCTGATTTTCTACCGGCCTACCCGGTCGAATGGTTCTGCCGGTTTCTTGACCCGAGGCGAGACTGACGTGCTCCTTCACGACGTCACGCAGTTGGCCAGCTACGCAGTCTTCACGAAATATTACACTTCGGCGAGGGACGTGCGGGACGCACTGCTCGTACAGCTGCAAAAGTTGGCCAAGATGTGCGAGGAGGATGAGCATGTGCAGTCATTCTACCCAATGGTCAAGCGAGATCTTTCTGGAAAAGACGGTGCGGCGCCAATCGTCGTGTTTGAACGCTATGACTCCAAGGAGGCTTTTGAGGCAAGGTCGGCCGACGTCAAAAAGCTCAGCGACGAAGTAAGGGCCTCGGCGGGGAGGACCGAGGTGTCGGCGTGGTCAGATGGCATTGGCCACATCAAGGGCGGCAAGGTCACGATATCCTGAAACATCCTTCAAAAGGAATTACTTTATAGTTTTAAGTCATCTTTCCTTATGCTCGAGCTAGCCGCTTCACCGCAGCAACATGATCTTCAATCCACTTCCTTGTCGCATTAAGCGTCGTATATCCTCGAAATCCGTGAGGCAGTCCTGCATAGATATCGACAGTGGTCGGAATGCTAGAAATTACAGGTCATTCAGTGTGAGCAAGCATTCTCTCCAAGTTCCATGCCGTGACAGTAGGGGAACTTACCTTGCTGATCTAAGCCTTTCAGCGAACAGGAGGCCTTGGTCTCGCAAGATATCGCGTCCAGCAACATGGAAATGAGTTGGTGGGAAACCCTTCAGGATCTCTTCGTCCGCCCCAAGGACGTTATAGGTTGGATCATGAAGTGCTGCGTCACCAAGAAGATCTTCGAAGAACTGGAGTCGCGCTAGGGGTAACAAAGGTGCTAGCTTGCATTCTTCGAGAGAGAGCTTTCCCGCCTGTATGCTAGAAGTAGGAAACCGAGTTGAGTTGCCGAGGAGGGGAATATCGAGAATGAGACCGCAGAAACGGGATGAATTTCGCTGTTTGTGGGAAGCCCGATAACGTCAGTCAAAGTCATTGTTTGTGGCGGGAAGGAAATCCATCACAGAATGCCAGCTCCACAAGAGACAAATGTTACTGGAGAGGCCTCAAACACTGACTGTGTAAATGTCTTGGATGACTACCGCTGCTGCCAATAAGGAACCGGCCGAAGCCCCAGCGACAATCACACGGGTTACATCGCGTCCCAAAAGGTCCAGGTTCTGGAATACCCATTCTGTTGCTGCACAAGTGTCCTCTCGCTGAATGGGCCAGACATACTCCGGCGTGTGTCTGTAGTTGACACTGACAACTACGACGTGTAGATGCCGGACCAGGCGGATGCAATGCGCGTCTTCCGTACCCAATGAGCCGAAGAGGAATCCACCACCATGAAACCAGAGGTAAGTCGGCGCCTGATTAACAGTCTCCGTCTTATCCCAATCAGAGGGCTTGTACATCCGTAGGGATACTTCTTGTGTATCGCCGACGGGGAGAGAAACGTCACGGAACTCGACGTCATCTGAGGAGAGCGAAGTCAGAGGAGCCCAAGCTAAGAGAGCAAGATAAAAAGGGTGACTTGGTTAGATAGGGAGGGCCACTTGCTCGCAGTATTCACGGATGGGCTGGATGCCTCCTCTCGTTGTTTGTTGGTAAGAGCTTGGAGCTCTAACATAGTCAGGTGGGACAAATCTGGATCGGCTTCGAGATTTAAGGCGAGCCAATCTGGATCGATGCCTCCATACTGGGAATAATCTGCCATAGAGATAAATCGATGCAATTCAACTTTGAGTGCAGTATGGTATGGAAATTGACGTTGGCCTGGATGGATTCACTCAAACGAAAGCAAGTACTACTAATATGGGGAAGGCAGGCCGAAAGCAAAGTAATGGTCTTCGAGCCTTATAGACGTATCGGTGATGTGAGGTCCGCTTGTGATTATTGGGGGAGGACTTGCTGTTATTCAACTAGAGGCGGCTCGTTAGGCTATATAGAGATAAATATAGGTTTCGAAGCAGTACTAGACACTCGAAGGCATTAGGACTAGCGTAAGAGTGTCTTTACACTCCTTGGCGCCTCGAAAGACAGGTCAGAGACCTCAATTATCACACGCTCACACACCTACGCCCATTGCTTCCGAGCCTAATAGCAAAGCATGCCAGTTTGCACAGAGGGACACACTGTCTGTAAAAATATGACCAGGTTGTTCTCGAAACCAATCGAGATCACCAATGCAGTAAAAACATAGAAGAGTCGGCAGACTCAAGGGCGTGGCCAGACAAGGCTCGAGTCAAGGGACAGTCAAAGAACCCCCTCCGCATCTTAAGCGACGCTGTTGGCATATCGAGCCTCTGCCCACACCCTATCATGATGATACCCGAACTTCACCTTTTGTGACGATGGCGACATTATCATCGGCGAGACTCCCGTAACTCGCGATCCTATCCTCCGCACAGTACCACCACTCAGGCACAAGTTGGTCTTCACACTCCCAACACAAGAGACAATGACAGGTTACGAGGGGATTTTGGGCATGAAAGTGCACGACGAAAGATCATGCGGGAGTGGAAAATTGTGCAAACGGTCCTTCCTCAGACAGCGAGTGCAAGGCGAGGTGTAGTTTGCGGTTTTCCAAGACGATCGTTGCCCTTTCTACCAACCGGCAAACCCTGAATGCAGTGTCCAAATTCCAAGGATGGATAGGCGTGGGACAATGCAAATACAGCCCCTTCCGCATTGGGATCGTTTTCAATAGTTTACGCGACAGAAGCTCAGGGCATTTATTCTAATTGACGAGTAACGTACATGAACAAGCTTCGTTCTTGAGAAGGCAATACCACTAGTGCAAGATGTTGCCAGGAGTCTTGCTACTTGCTATCGAACGACTCCGCGTTGTACAGGATCAACGCTCTCACAATGCCATCAGAGCCGCGAACACGGTAATACAGAGAGCGCAGAGACTGCCAACGTGTAATTTGCCGGCGTCGTTGGGTTTGCCTCTGTTGGCTGGGTTGAGATCCACTGGAGTGGTCCCATTCTCACTGCCACTTCCACTTGTCCACGAAGATACGAAATCCGTCACATTAGTTGGATTGCCATCGTGAAAGAGCGTGGCATTACCACTTAAGCTACTCTTGTGGTTAGTACTACCGTCCACACATAATGAGTAGGGCTTGGTGTCGGTCACGCCAAACGCTTGTCCAGCCACGGTAACCCAGATTTGACCTGCGTTAGACAGATGCTCGAGCGTGTAGAACAGTCGACAATCGGTGGCTTCGTACACTTCCGTCCGTTGATAGTTGAGAGATACCACCAAGACAGGGTCGCGACATAGTTCCGAAGTAGGTATGCGACTCTTAGGTCGAGATTAAATAAGGTCAGCGAGGAAGGATGTCTCAAAGGACATTTCAGACAGTTATGGGTGGCTGATAGGCAGGGAAAGGAGTTGCCCGTCCACTGGATCCGCCTATATCGACATGATTTCGTGCATGGCCCCCTGCCAAAATCACAGCACGAGGCCAGCCTCTACAGCTCATCATAAAGACAAGACTCCTATCGTCTTGATCGTGTAAAGTAGATTCTGACACGTAGTTAAGCCGAAACTGAACGATTTTTGCTGTAGTTGTGTTGTTGCTGCCTTGCAACTGGTAGCTAGAGTATGAGCCTCTGAAACGTCTTCTTTTGCCCGCCCTGAACTGCAGTGTCCCGCCTCCTTGGAGGAAGCACTGATGCCTAGATCCACGAAGCCAGGGACACGTACCGAGCCCTTGGGAGCGCATCCATGTCGAGATTCCTCCTTGTCCACGCTGTCACCTTCAACGCCTCTTTCTTTCTGCATGTGGTCTCCGCTTCTGCGTCAGCCTTCGGCAAGGCAGATTCCAGGCCAGAGACCATGCCGCTACCAATACCACCGGAGGTCCATCTTCGACAGCCCCTCCCATGAATATGCCGCCATGTCCACGGTAGCGCAACTCGCTACCCCAGTTGTCTCAATTCATTTGTACGTTGGTCATTCAGCTCGTGAAGTATTTCTGCCATTGGTTCTACGCTGGACGTACCCGCGGATCACTCCATCGGTGGTGCAGTGTGAGGCTGCGTGCCAGTGGGCCTCGTCACGACGGCGACTGCATGGATTTATGGTGGGTCGTTGTAGAGTGTTCAAGTTAAGTGATTGGAGTCGCAGCCGTTCTGTTTCTGTTTCACTCTGTGCCGCAACAGAGGCATCTCGCTCATAAAGAGGAATCTAGCCCAGGGTCTCGTAGATAGAGGCAGGTAATCGGCGTAGACAGGGCTTCGCGCAGCGCTTCGTAGGGCGGACAACCTCATAAAGCCTTGAGCGAGACTGAAAACTCGGAGGAGGGTATATCATGGGTCCTCGAAACAAACATGCGGAGGTGAAAGCAGAGACAGATCGGGGTCTCTGTCTACAACTCAAGGCGAGTTGAGTGTGGCAGGACAACCTGCTTGAACATCCGATATCGAGCAGTGGTGCTTAGAACGACGCTGCTTTCGTACGGCTTTACGCAGCTGGGATGTCCAATGAACAAAGGGCTTAGGGATGTATTATCTATCAACCAGGCGTCAGCGTCTCACCATTACACCGCCAGTGGACAATCGCGTCCTACCTAAATCTCGCCCCCACGACCGGCGAGTCGAGGGTGATCGCTCACCCGGCTCGCGCGAGCCAGGGGTGAGCAAGGGCGGCATCACCCTGTTTCCCGATCGGGGGTGAGCCGCGAGCAGTTTTGACTTATCTTGGCGGATCTCGTTCTGGAGTGCTTCGATTGTAAGTCCCATCGGCCTTTTCACTTTCCCATCGATTCTACACGAACATAGCACAATATTCCCGCCATTATGTCTCCATAATAAGCGCTTGATTGTACATTGATTGCCAGTGGGAGAGGACTTGATGGAGATGAGGAATACAGATTGTTCGGTCGGCGCTCCTCAATTACCGGTAATCTGCATCCATGGCCTCCGATCAACCGAGCGACGAACTCCCACAACCACAACACTTATTCGTCAGAGCTGATGAAGTCGACTCGGGAACTTCCATATTGTCCCCTAGCACGGGACTACCATTGAGCGCTCTGAGTCCCTCTGATGGTGCTCCTGCCGTGGGCACCGCTAAGGCACCACCACGCCCAGCCTTAAGACGCGAGGGCACTGCACCACCACCCCCACCACCTTCTCAACCGCCACCAGCTCCACCAGCTCCGCCAGCACAACCAGATCCGACAGACTCACTGAGTTTACCACAATTAAGGCAGCTGGTCGGCCAATTCCCGAAGCCCGAGCAGCAAGCATACGCCTTTCAATACAGCGATGCTGAAGACTTCGAGCACGAGGTCGACGAGTGGTTCCATTATACGGAGCTAGAGCAAGATCGTGATTACCTATTGGCGTCTCGTGAAGCGTTCGAACAGCGATGGAAATCTTTCTGTCAGGAAGAGGAGATATCCGAGGAGTCGACTTTCATTGCCGTGAATGACCGTCATCGGCAGCTTTTCCTTTCAAACCTCAGAGAGGAGCTGGCATATACGTACTACAACACCCGTCTGGACGCCCTCTGTTGTGTATTCTACATCTTGACAGGTGTGTGGAGTGTGACCTCTGGCATAGAATCGAAGGATGAGGTGGGTGATGTTGAGTCACCGTCTCAACCGGAAGCTGATCGAACCAATGCGGTCCAAGTGCAGTGGATGCACAAAGGAGCAGACGAAATCCAACAAAATGCGCTCATACCCCAACTGTACGCCCGTCTGGTCCAAGCTGCGAAGGCTCCTGATTCTACCCGTGCACCTCAGAATGCCGATGGCGAGGATTTGAGTGACGGAGCCTTTGGCGAGAGGGAGTATCGGGAACTCAGTCTGTGCCTCTCATGTTTCTACCTCCTGCTTGAGTCGGCAAGAGTTAGGATCAATACACCCGCTGGAAAAGACTTACGGCAGTCGATCGCTTCATTACAGCCTAATTTTCTCGTGTTTCTCACCAGCATTATTTCACGATTACGATGGGACGAATCATACAATATACCCCTAATGCATGCACTACAACTGCTTTGGAAGTCGATCCTCGTTCTGTTTGGCGACCTGACGGAACATTTGGAGAAGATAAAACGCATCCTGCAACCACGGGTTGACTCATTCTCTGCTGATGCTGCGCATCCAGTCCTTACCGCATCTCCTCTGGACTACCATCAGTTCAGGCAAGAGATAACTTCGAAATATCCTGCTTACAATCCTCCACTGCCATTAATACCACTGGAGGTTGATCAGAAAACAATGCTGCCGCCATTGGCGCAACAGACACGACCAGAGCCGGGCATAGCGGTACAAGCTATGCCAGGTGCCGCAACCAGGGGATCCATCTTTCATCAACCTGTTCACATTGCGACTCCGGCCCCTTCCCCTCCACCATCACCAATCGGACCAGGTGGCAAGGCCGGGAAGAAACAGAACTATCAGACGAATCAGAACTTTCCTTTCCTTTATCCTCCCCTAGATAGCTCAAGCAACACCATTGGCGGCAAGGGTTCGACAGAGATACAAGACCTGATGGTGGGAAAGAAATGGGATGGGAGTGATATTCCTTTCTCAATCATCGAAGCTGGAGAGTTGTTCGCAAGTCGGATGAGGATGACAAGGGCGATGCGTCAGCTTTGGAAGGAGCGAGATCTCTTCATAAAATATGAGAGGGGCTGGCGTGCCGACCAGAGCGGTGTTTCCAATTTGGGTGATGGAGGTGCTAATGAGGAAAACGAGCTTGACAGCTTAGAGCCTGATCTACGCTCTCGTATGGATGCCGTGGAAGAGTTTTTCCAGCAAGCTTTGCCTGATCTGCAGTCGTTGGTAATCGTCATGATGAAAGTCATGCTCACCAACGTACAAGACATTGCTGTTAGGAACGGCGGTCTTCAAGACTCGGCGCAAACAGGAGGTCTCAACCGGTCCAAATCGAACTCCAATATGGCCCAAGCCCAGACCCTGCCGATGCCACCACCACCGCCACGTCCAGCTGACATGACTCTGGAAGATCTTGATAATGTCCGGTCTCGAGAGATCAGCCAGAAAGCGGTGTCAGGGGCCATCTTTTTGCTACTGAAATGGATGAAAGTGTCGCACATTCTGAAGTTCGAGTATATGACACAACTACTGCTGGACTCTAACTACATCCAGCTGACGCTCAAGTATTTTGCTCATCAGAATTTGGAAGATCTCGTGGCCTTCAAGTACGACCGAGACGACCTTAGCGTGTGGCGTTACTGTCACGTCCATTCCGATCATCCTCCACTATCCCCTACGAGTCCGGATGACAGATCGGAAACCTCGAGCGCAGACGAAGCAATGCCCCCTCCTATTTCGCGACATAGAAGGTCTCCGACTTCCAAACCTGATGGACAACCTTCTGAGCCGAATCCGGCACAGCAAGGAGCGGATGGACAAGCACGTCCCTCGGTCGATGAACTTGGTAATCCACTCGGTCCTCTTCCAGCCACGCCAATCACGACCTATTCATTCCGCCAGTTTCAGACAGCTATTCACCTGCTTAGAGTTCTCCAGAAATTGACCCGCGGCAAATCTCACCGCATCCTCTTCCTTGTACAGTTCAAATCATCTCAGATTCTCCGCCGAGTCCTCCGCGTGCCGGATCCTACATTGCGCCTGTACGTCTTGAAATTGTTCAAGTCCCAGGTCCCCTATTGCGGCCGCAAGTGGCGACAAAGCAACATGCGTGTCATCACGGCAATATACCTGCATTGCCGCCCTGAACTGAGGGACGAATGGCTGGCAGGCATGCACGACGCCAGCGTCGAGGGCGAGGTCGACGAGGCGGTACCGCTGGAATGGGCCTTGAGAGGTTTGACATTCTGGTGGCAAAAACGCGTGTATCCGGGAGTTATGAGGCGGGGAAAACGAGGCAGCAAGGCAAAAGCAAAGGGGAAGAAGCCAGCAATGGATAAGAGCAAGGGGCCCGTCATGCCAACTGCCACAGAGGATGAAGAAGTTGATGTTGAGGATATTGAAGTCGAGATTCCAGATCGAGATTCGGACACTGACCAGGACGAGGACGAAGATGAAGTTGGCCAAGAGATTGACGACGATGAACGAGACTTTTTCCGGCGTGAGCTTGACGCCATAGGATGGGGCCTGGCTGGTCTGCGTATCGGCGATGGAACGGACGACGTTGCGTTTGGCGAGGAAGCCATGGGTGTTAATGGTGGGTCTTACGCTGGCATGAATGGTGTCGGCGCCGTAGGAATTGATCAGGGACAAGTGGCAGGAGGAAGCGGCACTCCGATGCCGGCACCGCAACCGCAGTGGATAACGCCAGACGCGACGAGTATTGAGAATTGGCAGAACAGTTAGGGGCTGACATTGTCAATATCTCGGTCGTTTAAGGAGGGGCCTGAGTTGCCGGTTGGACCGTCGTCAGGTTATGATGCGGAAGAGCAAGAGCCGAGACCAGGGGGTGTGACTGAGGTTGAGTATGTCGAGGATATCGATCTTGATGGCTGGGAAGGGCCAAGAAGAGATTGATAGTGCACAGGGCTCTTGGGGTAGGGTGCTGTCCTGTGCCGTTGTTATCAGGCATATCGTTGGAATTGAGGGGATGCGGTTCGAAAGCATAAAATGATCTGATGTGATCTTCTCACCTTATCAACGTGTTGACCATCAGAGCAGAGAGGGGCGATTGGAGTTGACGAACAGCACAGACCCAACCAGACAAGGAATCATGCCCCTGCAGTGGTATGGTCCGGGTGTTTCTAGTTTTTGTGTTCTAGCGCATGGATATGGAGAGTAGGAGCGTGGAGCACTGACAGAGAGCATAGGTATAAGTCAGCCAGTACGATTCATAAGTTTCTGGTCTAAGGAGAATTGCACATACTCCAAAACTCCGTTCTTTTGCCCATAGGAAAACCCTTCGACTCCTTGAAGAAACGCCAGCCGCTTGAGATTCGCTTGCATGTGAACACTCTCAACATATCAGCTGACATCCACTCGCTTGACCATTTACAGCTTCGCCCCAGACTTCCTCTTGCCCCCGCCGACACCAGTGACTTCTGCCCCAGAAAGAATGAAATCCGGGTACGCGAAGTCACCGCCAGGTGAGCCACCACTCGTCCGCCACGCACCGCCGTCCACGACTAGATTATCACCCGTGATGTAGTTCCCTGCATCACTGAACAGAAACACCGTTGCGTCGGCGATCTCCTTGATAAACCCCCATCGACCGAGCGGGATGCGCTTGGCTATATTGGCACCGCCGGATTTGTGCTCCTTGGACAGCCTGTCCATACCCTCGGTGCCAGCTATGGGTCCTGGGGCGATGATATTGCTTGTGATTCCGAGGGGTCCGTATTCGATGGCAACATTTGCGGACAGCGCGTCGATGCCGGCTTTGGCGACTGCGACGTGTGTTTGCATGGGCAGGCCGGTGTAGTGGATCGTGGCGGAGACGTAGATTATACGACCTCCTGGGCCGCCGCCGCTCGAGGAGGAATGCGGCAGCGACGATGAGGAGTTGTGTTTCTTTGCAGAGGCGACGAGGTGTGGGAGAGCGAGTTTCGTTACGTTGTAGGAGCCTAGGATGTCGATGTCCATGACCGATTTGAAGGCATTGGGCGACAATTGGGAGAGAGGCGCGAGGAAGTTGCCCGCTGCACCGGCACTACATTTTGCAAAGTGGTGTGTCAATGTGGTGTCGGGCATCGCGCGTGGGGAGCATTCAACGGGGGCATCATGGGGTTGACAACTCACATGAGGAAGTCAATGCCTCCGAGCTCTTTGACGCAGGTGTCTACTGACTTCTGCAGACTCTCGACATTGCGTACGTCGACGGCTCCAATGCCGAGGACTTTACTTCCAGGACGGGCGGTCGCGATGTCCTTGGCCATGCGTTCGGTCTTTTCGACGTTGCGGCCAACGATGCATGCGTTGGCACCTAGGTGGACGAGCGCCCGGACCTGCGCGGAGCAGATGCTCCCATTTCCACCGGTGCAGAAGACGACTCTGTCGGTGAAGATGCCATCCCGCCAGACGGACGAGAGGTATTCATGTTTCTGTCGAGGCATGAGTGCGGAGGGCGCGTGAGAGATGGGGAAGTCGAGGGTCAACAAGGGCCGTCGGACGCAGTCAGTAGTGGAGTGATGATAGAGCGCAGGAAGAGTGCAGGCGGATGTGGGCTGGACTGATGCAGGCTGCGTCGTATTATAATATTCCAGACAGATCCAGCAACGGCCGTAAACACTGATGGTAGCAGTGAGATTGGTGTACGGAGTAATTGACCTTGAATGACACGGCACCGAGGCAGTGACCGAGGGAGCAGGAAAGCGTGGGGAAGACGGAGAAATTATCCGTGCCAAGGGAGCTGACAAGCTGATTAGTGAAAGACTCACGTGATAAGGACGATGACTGATAGGGCACCACGTCTGGCTGCTTTTACAAATATCAAAACAAACGGACCGTTTCTTGCATCCTCAATCGCAACTTTCGTGCACTTTGATCCTGAAATGTCCCCGACTCTTCGGCACAAAACAATCGTCCCAAATCATGTCTTTGTCAATGGTCTCGCAGATAGAAAGGTCGAACCGCCGAAAGAGCCGCGCAAAGGTAATATACAGCTCCGCATATGCCAGATTCATGCCCAAACAACCTCTGGGTCCGCCAGAGAAGCTCAGCAAGCGCCGCTCCAGTTCGGAACTGTGCGCCTCTTCCGACCATCGCTCTGGTCGAAAATCGCCCGCGTTTGCAAAGAGTCTCTCATCTGTGTGGTATATGTAAGCACTGGATGCTACGCTGGTTCTTCCTGGAATACGTTGTCCGCAGAGCACGGCACCCGAGTCAGGGACGATACGAGGGACGCGGCCAGGCACACCGTACCCAAAGCGAAGTGCCTCTTTGACCACTCCGCGGAGATAAGGGATACTTTCCAGTGCTGCCCACGAAGGTGTTGCGTTCCTATCGGGCATTGCTTTCTTCAATTCCTCCTTCAATCTTGCTTGTATCTTTGGATCCCGCAGTACATGCCAGGTCCCGTAGCAGAGGGTGTTCGCGGTAGTGTCCGTGCCTGCTACAAACATGAGGAAGGCATCGTCGGTCAATCCACGTTCACTCGGCGTGTATTGGCCCTTGCTGGTATCCGGGTTGAGCATCGTATCGAAAACAGTAGGTGTTGAAGTGGATTGGTGCTCGGGTTGTGGAATTTTCGGCCGTCCCATAAGCTCAAGGATGCGTTCGCGACATTGCTGATGAGAATGGTTAGATTGTTTAATGTCAGGATGGCTCCGACAGTGTCTATGGGTAATACTCACGTTTCGGATCCACAAGGTGGCAGCCACGGCAGGTGCATTCTTCTTCAGGACCGCCAGCGGCAACCGAGAAATCACTCTGTCCAGGTAGTTGAAGAAGTTGGGAAAGTACCTGGCCGCCTGGAGCAACGCGAAGAAGTCCTGGATGTGCTTGATGGCTTCAAACTGAAAATCCGGCGCCTCCAGGGCTCCGAATGTCCTCTGGTAGCAATAATACATGACAATATCTCCCGTAAGGCACGGAAAGCCTAGCGTCAGATCCACAGCCTTGTCTTCGTCGCTGGCTATTTTCAACTTATCAAGGAAAATGGTGATCTTGTCTTGGATTGAAGATTCCAAACGCTGGATGGCCCCGCGACTGAAGAACGGCTGTAACATGTCTTTGCGAAGTTTTGCATGTTGACGGTTCGTGATTTGGAACAGAGAATACTCGGTCCCGGGGTCGCGGTAGAAAGAAGGATCTTTTTCGAACTTTGAGCCTGGTTTGTATACCCTGGGAATCATTTAGCCGCTGAGCCTTCTTTACCCTTTGGGGTGCCCTAGGAGTATGTGATGGCGTACTGATGCCATGCGTCCAAATCTCGAATGTGCAAGCAATCTGGCCAAGCTCTCACAATGGGACCTGGAAGATGTGGTTAACGGCAACTCAAGACCAACGGAATAGGACCTGGAGTTACCATATATATCGTGCAGCTCCACCAGCTTCTTTACATACGAGCTGTGAGGAGGAAGGTCATAATATGCTCCATACAGCGTCGTGATGCTCGCAAGCTTCGGTCCCGGAAATCCGGAAAGGGGATGGAAGTAGAGCCGGTACAAGGTTTTGAGGACGAGATACGTTGGGAGCACGAGCACAGCAATGCTTAATGCCGATGATGAGAGTATGAAGGGAATAGAGGAGGACATTGTCAGGAAAACAGATCGAAAGGAGGGATGAGGGTCGGTGACAAAAGTCTCACAGTGGGCGGAAAGCACATATTTAACTCTACCGTCTACGAAGAGCGACCTTACTGACTCAAAATCAGTTTCTTCGACTTGAGCAGACCGACAGGAGAATAGTTCCTCTGCAACGCTCCATAGATTGACAACAGGTAGCGCGAAGCTGACGCGGTCACCCATCCGACTCTAGACAATGCTCGATTGAGAGATGACTGGGTTGTGATCATGTCCTATTCAAGAACCTCAGTGTGACCGGCAGTTGTAGCGTTCATGACATGTGGATCAGATGTTCAATGATAGGCATGTTTTATGTGACACTATACTGACGGGTGTGGTTGTAAAAAGCAGGAGTTCTTGTCCCCAATCGCTGACAGGACGTGCTGCTGAGTGCTCACCGGGCGCTTCCCGAATTATGTAAGGAGGAGATTCCCGAGTAGTGAGATTGATCATAGACGGACAAAGGGCAGGAATAAGCATCGGTATGATCACCGATTAGCAAGAGCAGCCTTCCGGCCGTTAGGTGTTTCGTTTGCTCTGCCAGAGGCTCACAAAGGGCCATGGATTCCTGAATCGGGAAGAAGCTTTGCTGACAAGGCGAAGCCATTCGGGAGTCTCTCAAGCTTGACGCATCGGCTCTGCTTAGACTGCCTGAGATGACTCGTCAATGTGGACCTTCATCTGCTTCGATGCCATGGCGTAGCTGTGCGCTACGGCCTCGCTGGCATATACTCTCATTTCTCTCTCATAGGCGGCCGTCACGCCGTCCTTGTTTCCACCAGCTTCGTGCAACAACCGCCCCAGCAATGCCGAATCCCGCACGGCTGTATTGGCACCAATTCCACCAGCTGGAGTCATTGAATGAACAGCGTCTCCAATTAGCGTCGCTCTGGGTTCGTTGGGCCAATCTGGAACGCCGCTCGGAGTTGAACAAGTTATCTTCCAAAAAGCTGCTTCCGACTCAACCATGTTGTCGAACAACGGCTTAAAGCGAGGAAGCCAAGGTGCTGTGAGCGATTTGGCAATTTCAGCTGCAGTCTTTCCGATGATCGTGTAGTCGTCGTTAGGAGCTTTGATGACACCAGGCACGCCCGCGAGGGTCCAGCCAAATTCGACATTCGGGTCATCCATATCGTTGGGACGAACGTTGGTGATGAGGGAGAGCCGACCCTCAAGTTTTGTATCGTCAACCAGCCGGAAAACACCCTCCCCGAGACCTTTAAATGCCGTCGTAGGTGCTTGCCCATGTATGCCTCTTGCACCGGTGTCGTAGACCTTGAGCCGACCGCCGGACACCTGCTTGGCCACACTCGATTTGCTACCATCACCGCCGACCAGGAGAGACCCCTCGACAGATTTCGTGCCGTCAGCAAAGATGGCTCGAATTCCATCATCAGTCAACTCGTAGCCCTTGACGTGCTTGTTGAAATGCACATACTCCTCACATCCTTCCATAAACAGACTTCGCATATCTCCTCGGGCGATGCCTACGATTTTCCCTTCCCGCGAACCGAGGTTTTCGCCCATCTTGTTCTCCTCCAGCAGCTCGCCTGTCACAGCGTCAAATCCTGCAAACCCGCTGCCGCCTGTTTTCCCGCAGCGATCGTAGAAGCGCTGAAACGCCTCAGGGTCGAGGACGGATTCGATTGCATCAAGACCCTCGGACGAAAGGCGTAGGCGGTAACCCTGGCCACGGAATTTGATAGATGCATCGCGTTCGAAGACTTGGAAAGCGATATGAGAGCGTAAAAGAGATCGAGCTAGAAGAAGAGAGGCCAAGCCAGCACCTGAGATGAGAACGGGTTTCTGCGTCATGATGAAGACTATGTCGTTATCATGGTGAGAGCCGCCTTGTGTTGATTGCGTCGAGGAATGTAATACCTTTGAGTGCTACACGGACGGAGCGCACAAGTGTCTACTACGGAGGAAATAGCAGCATCGATGACAAAGATATTAATTAGAGATGGTCAAATTTCTAAGCAAGAGTCGGCTCACGCTGTCTGATGGTGTCGACGCCAATGTACTTTGTCACACTTGTCAATGTCGTCAGCGCGATATCGGCACCTTCAATTCCGAGTCCGACCTGTTACACAAGTAAGTTAGCCGAGCCATGATCAGTTTGATGTCGGTCGCCTTACACAGTCCACGCTCCCTCTCGATGCTGACCCGGAGCTGACTGGCGACGAATGTCGGCTTCTTGAGACTCCGAAGGATGCCTGACTCGGTGCCAAAGGAGCCGACCTTTAGATTCACCAGTCACCCAACCACCTCATCGTTTGCGGTCAACCTTCACACGTATGTGTCCAATGACCCCGGCCGGAAGACCAAGTCAGGCGCAACTGTAAAATTCAATTACGTCGCAGTCGGGGCTTTGATATTCGATTCGTCTGAGCCAGAGCGTATATTGCTCGTCCAGCGCGCCCCAGACGACAGCGCGCCAAATCGTTGGGAAGTTCCCGGAGGCGCAACTGATCCTGAAGACCCAACGATTCTCCACAGCGTAGCACGAGAGCTGTGGGAGGAGGCTGGGCTCACTGCAGAGACTATCGGCCCCGAAGTTGGTGAGGGTCAGGTATTTCTCACGAGGTCGGGCAAGTTAGTCTGCAAATTCCACTTCTTAGTGGAAGCGAAAAGGGGCACAAATGGTGCATTGAACGTCATGCTAGATCCACGCGAGCATCAGAACTATGTATGGGCTACGGAGGAAGAGGTCAAGGCACGACGTGTAGGTAACATGGAGCTCCAATTCACCGGCCTACAGCAAGAAAACGCTATCCTGCACGGATTCCAAGCAAGAAAGGCGTCGAAGGAGGCAAAGGGAAATTGACGGCAAGCTTGCGCCTTCAGCCAGTAGAGGTCTCAACACCAAAACAGGCATTACGCTAGACAGAATGAATCAGCCTCAACTCTGGCTGCGATAGCTACTCATACTTGTGCACTCTGTCCATCTCACAGCACGCGGTCCCATCGCTCGACAACGCGCAATCGCTAGAGTACCATCTGGTGCAGTTGCTCGACCATAACACCATATATCTTCAGCTCTTCATTGCTCTTCTCGATGGTCTCGTTGCACTCCTTGATCTTCTTCTGAAGCTTATCAATTTCATCTTGATGCTTCTCGTTACAGTCCTCGATCTGCTTCTGAAGTTCTGCAATTTTCTTCTGATGCTTTGACGTGATGAAATCTTTGTCAACCTCCAACCACCGGTTCTTCTCCTCAAGTTTGGTATTTTCCTCTACCAATTCTTCCATTTTGTCGCGATCATAATAGACGTCCTCATCGTAGTCGATGTCCTCATATAGAGGGAAAGCTGTGGAGCCAGCAGGAGCTCCAGTAGATACGGCAAGGCCGAGGGCGATAGTCTCATCAGTTTCATCACCATAACTGGCTGTTGCAATCTTGCTTTCCTTTAAACTGATGTTCTCGTGCTGGACAAGGTCTTCGAAGCGCACCGAGTCACCGTAGGCGGCGGCAAGAGCCCGGAGAGTGCTCTTTCTGAGATCGAGTTGGATCTTAGGCCATGCCACGTCTTTGAAAAGCTTCTTGTAGTCATTTGCCCAACCATGACATGCGTACCGCCTCCGTCGCAAGGCGGCCAAGACTGCTGAGACGGAGAGACATTCGATTTTCGGTCTTGCGGTGACCCCATCTCTGAATTTCAACTCCTGGCCCTCAATCTCTTTGATCCCATATTCTGGCTCTAAGTGATATTCTGGATAAGTGGTATCCAAGACGACCACCTTAAAAAGGACTTCCTGATTTTCGCCAACTGCAGGTACAATCTGAAAAACTGCACGGTCGAACGCTTTTTCCAGATCTTTGTGAAGTATCAGACCATTTCCCGGGTTCCAGAGTGCTTCGTAGCCTTCCTCGATCGGTAATCCGAACAGGTACGCACAGTTCACCTCCCCAAGAGAATACGGTATCAGGTGTGCAGCTTTCACATCAGCCTTTTTGAACGTCCTTCCTGCGTACAGAGGAGAAGAAATAGGACACCACCGACGATCCTTGTCACCGCATCCAGGCTCGTAGATCTGATGCAAGCCTTGCCTGAAAGCTTCTTGGTCAATATTTTCTCTTCCAGATGGCCATAATTCTTTGTCGATGCCATACGGCACAATCTCCTTCATGAGAGCCACGAGTGCCATGGCATAGGCTTCCGACAGTACTTGGTGACTTGCTCGGAGCGTGAGTGCAGCGAGCCGTGGTAGCTGCATCCTCAAGATGTAAGCTTCTCTCTCGATCGTCACAAGCGCCTTGACGTTGGCTTCCAATTCTTCTGCACTTATCCCTCCTTCTAACTCTTCCAGCGCTTCTCGTGCCAATTTTAATTCTTTGATCTTGGACGCACAAAGCTCTAGCTTATTCCGGCAATGCTGTTTGATCCTCTTTCGTTCCACCTCTTGACCATCATATGTGGCATTTTTGTGTTCGTCTGAACTATTTTTCAGTCGTCTAGCTTCGATAGCGTTACTTTGGGTAAGCTGGCGAAGTTCAAGGTTGTAGGAGCACGCTCGCTCTGGAGCAGCTGTTGAAAATGCTTCACTCGTCATTGTTGACGCAACCTGGAAGCTTGCCTTGGAGTGGTCTGTTTGATTCTGGCGTCGACGCTGCTAAGCATTGAGCTTCTTCTGGTGCTGCTCAATGTGTTTTTCCAGTCCTTCACTCATTTTGACTGAAGGAACGATGGCACGCGATTAAAGCGGGTAAAGTTCAGGAAGATAGAAGGTGACTCACAGGTGAGACAAAAGGTTCCCTGAGAAGTGTGTTGGTAAGTAAGACGTGGACAATCTTGGGTCAACAAATGGCCGAGGACCTGCGGCATCGAAAGTTTGTGAAGAAAACCGGTAGATTTGGGAATCAACGCCACGGTAATAATGATCTTGAGGCAAAAATTCGATAATAATGATCTTGAAGTGAATCTTCTAAAACCCCCCGGCTAGTAGCAGGGCGGTGGACAATATTTGAAGAATCCCAAGACTTACTGGGTTGATTTGCGATAAGCTTGCGAGAGAGACAGTCTGTACAATTCTTTGGACAGGGTGCAATTGTTTCTAGCTTCCGACGTACGAGAGTATGGCACACGCAGAGATTATCGGCAGGTTATGGTCTCGAGGCCTGACTATCTGACCATGGCTAATAAGTCAAGGTGCCCTAAAGGGGCTCCTCGTGAGCCATCACAAGAAAGTAGTCAAGGAGCGCGGCCTTGTGGGTATCGCTCAGCTGCAGTTGCGACGTGGTCTCATGATGAAAAGTCGTCCAAGCCTGAGGTGAAATTCCAAGCCACTATCTAACCGTTCATGATTCATACGGAATATGCTTTACTTTGGTGGATTGATCTGCTCGTGAATCAGGAAAAGGTGTGACTTCGGACTGTAGGGTCAATAGTGGTGAATCGATATCCCGAATCTCGTAGACACGCCACTCGACTGTTGGCATTATGAAGCCGTATGCTTCGCCGGAGTATTCTACGGTTGCGTTTCTGTGCTATTGCGCCAACCAGGATCATACAGGGTCCGGTTCTACGACCTTCTCGACATTGATTCACGAGTTGTTGCATAGCAGTCCTTCGAGACCTCTCAAGCTTGAGCCTGACTATGCTTGAACGGCTATCACAGTGATCCTGCTGCATCACCAGGCATCGTCAACAGTGTAAAAACTAGGCGACCATCAACCTCATGAGGTCCGCCATCGCATAGCTACGTCAGCTCTTTTCCGCCACATCTCTTCAGACCACCCTTCGTCCCCTTTTAACAACACTTCTACAAAGATGCCTTGCCCGATAAGCATCACCAAATTCGTCGGGACTATATCCCTTGGTCTCCTGACCGTAAGTGTCACTTCAACGGCTGATGCCCACCGAGTCCGCGTCCTTCTAACCTGCAGCAGGGAACATCCTACACTCTTACGACCATAACCCTTCCATCCCTCGCCCTTCTACCCTCTGCTTCTCTTGCCGCACGCACACTCGCCACGATCCAGACACGATCGACCCGACATATCCTCACCCTAGCCTCCATCTCATCGCTGTCACTCCTCACAGCTTTCACGCTCGCTTCCCCACGTGGCCGCCACCCCTACCTTCTCTGGACAGCGTTGGTCGCATTTCTAGGTGGACAGGGTGTGGAGTACTGGTACAACGGATTGTCCAGGTTCCCGAACCTGAGAGCTCGATCGAGCAGAAGCAAAGCCAGCGTCGCCAGAGGCACAAGCCCCGGCGGCTCGGACAGCGGCTATATCGAAGTAGAAGCTTCCGGAAGCGAAGATCAGGTCAATGGAGAGAAGGTTGAGATGGAGATGAGCAGGGAGCGCAAAGTGCAGAAGGTAAGGAGCTGGATTGCTGGTGTTGGCTTTGCTATGGGGGTGGTTGGTATCTGGGGTGATGGTGCTTAAACGTCCTAAATCATCTGGGCTTTCCGATTACTGGCAAATCCAGTGAACTTGTGCTGGAGATGTCCAGACAATTTCAATCACACCTCGTCGCTGATGCCTCGAACCGAAAGACGAAGAAATGGCCACGACAACCACATCACGAAGTGCTGACTTTGTGCAACATGCGTGCCAGCACGATCAGCATTGTCGCTACTTTTACGAGAACCTACTACTACTACTTCAACGTTCACGACTCTACTCGATCCAATCGAAACACTTCCCGGGCTTGGCTATGAATGCATGTGTAGTGTTAAAACATAGTGGCTTCCAAAAGTCAAAGGGACGGCAATTTTCTGCTCAAGACTTCTTGTTCGATGTCCGTGTATTTTCCCTTTTTTCTAGACCTTACTCTGCAGGCACTGCTGGCTTGCACATGCAGATGTCCGACCTATATCGCAAGCTAGTTGAAACCGTGGAACTCGAAAACCATTTACCACATAAAGTGACCCATGACAAGCGCCTGTGGTAGTAGCTTCAACAAGAACGCTGAGGAAGATGAAGTGAGATGTCCTATGAATTCCGATATTGTCTCTGGTACGAGTGTGGGTTATGAAGCTGAAGGAGGTCATGAGCTTACTCTGCATGGGAACAGTGGGGTCGCAACTTCATGTCAGTACGAGGCGCCATCAAACTCTCTCTTTCAACGCCAGCCTCGAACCTTCCCTTTCAAATGCTCGTCTGATATTTGAGCAGGATGGCTATTGAATTTCTCGACCCAACGAGGTGTCTCCGTGCTCCCGATAGTGCACACCAGCTCCCCGTCTCGATGCGTAGGACTCTACCTGAGGCTACATCCAGAACTAGCATCAACAGAATCTGAGGCTTGCTCGGGCACGCACGCACACTATCGAGGGAAATCTTTACCGACCATCATGGCATCCCCGCCGGTCAAGAAGGCTTGCGATGCCTGCCACCGCCGCAAAGTGAGGTGTTCCGGAGAGCAACCCTGTACAAATTGTGGCTCAACCAATTTACAATGTACCTACCTAGCAGTTCCGCAGAAGAAAGGTCCCAAAGGCTCTCGGGCCAAGGTCATATCTGAGATTCGACACACGCAAAGGCGAGCAAGCCCAGACCAGAACACGCCGGCGTTTGGCAGAGAAGCCAGCTCTTTCAATTTCAACAGCCCTCCAACATCTCCCTATACCAGAAATGCGGCCCTGCTCTCACAGGAAACCATCGTCAACTGCATCGACTTCTACTTCACCAACATGTGCACGACAGCTTGGATCCTTAGTCGACAATTTCTACTGGATTCTGCCTCCTCACAATTGTTGGATGATCCTGAACTCTATTGTCTAACAGCCTCCTTATGTGCCTTCGTCCTGGTTCAGCCCGGGATGAACCTAGCAGTCGCGCCGAGTAGTCGCTACCACGGCGAGCCTCCTCAGAATCGCTATGGCTACGCAAAAATGCTGCTGGACGACATAATCCGTGTTCGTAAGAACATCAATTACATCGAATCTCCTACCTTGATTTCTGTCCAGGTATCGTTTTTCTTGTTCAGCTGCTATTTCGGACTGGAGAATCAGAATACCTGCTGGTTTCATCTGCGAGAAGCGGTCACACTGGCTCAGATCATGGGCATGCACGAAGAGTCTTCCTATCTGGCGGGCGACCCTATTGAGAAGGTGTACAGAAGGAGAACGTATTGGCTGTTGCTGGTGACAGAGAGAGCGTACGCAATGGAAAGACATCGGCCACTGACTCTTCATCCGACCATTGAATTGCCCACTCCAATCAACGCGCAGGAAGAAGAGGTCATTACAGGTTTCATCTATCTCATTAGTCTGTTCCGATGCATCGACGACCAGTTCATGGCGTTGTGGAACAAAGCAACAACAAACTGCTCGGCAGCTTGGCTATCGCAGCTTCAACAACAACTTACCGACGCACTACCGCCAAAGCTAAAGACTACGGAGAGTCAAGTAGCAGACGTTCGGGTTACTCTGCATTGGTTGAGAATCATGGTCTGGCAGCTCTCAATCACTCATGGATTTCTGTCCTCCACCTCGCAGCATGCATCGATGACATTCAAATACCCGATCGAGGTGGCCAAAGACCTAATTGAAGATATCAAGAGCTTGTCAATGAACTCTATGGAGCTTCACGGAATCGGCTTGATTGAAAAGATATTCGATGTCGCATGCACTCTTGCGGATGTCATCTCCTGTGTGCCCTTGAGTTCATCAACAGAATCGAATGAGCAGGCGCCTCACGACTATTTGGACGCATTTTTGAATCTGATCTCCCAGCTCAGAGGTGGTGCGTCCCGCTACCTGCCCCTACTCATTACTAAAATATCGGAGAATGTACCCAGCATGGCTGGCCGACCAGGTCCGACGCGCATGAGCATCACTCAAGGATATGCCGGTGCTAGTGACAACTTGCCCACGCCATCACCACCACATGGTATGCAGTATATCACGTCGTCGGCTATGGGCACTTTTGGACTGGACAGGCAGCATCAGGCTGGACCGGTGGTCGACACATACAGCCCGAGTACTCAAGGGAGCGATACCATTCCCACGCCTTCGCACGTGGTGACATCTCCTTCCATATATCCTGCTGGCGCAGGGCATGAAGCTCAAGTGCAGAGATCGCAGATGCCGTTGCTCCTGCCACGGAGTATTCCGACGAACATGGTGACTAGTCTTGATGGGCAAACGTGTTGATCTACTGCAAAGCTTAACGGGAATCCCGAATAGTGAAAGCAATCCCGAGTAACCTGAGTGGGCCGGGAGATATATTATGGTATCATGGGTAACCGTGTAATGAAACTCGCTTAACCAAGGTGCAAAACAGCTGCCGCTTGAATGGTCGAAGTAGCAGTTTGGCACCGCATTGAAGAGGAGGCCTTCCTACCACACATATTGTCCTCGCTGCTGTTTGTCGTCGAATGACACCCTAGCGCCAAATTACACGCTTTATCCACGAGACAGTAGTACGTGTATATATAACCGAGGACAGTACAGGAACGCCTGGAGCACTTTAGGCTATGTAGCCCACAGAGAATGTTCTTTGTTGCTCTACAGATTTGAACATCCGTAGCAAGCAACCGTGGACCAAGTCCGCTCGTCTATTGGCCCTATCATATGAACATGAGCATTCCCCAGGTCTTGAAGACCAGTGTCCCAGCCAGTCTGACATATCCGAGCCTGTCATTTCCACGAGCACGACTCCATACTGTAGACCGTTCATTCGGATACCTCCGCCTCGTGAATGAACAACCCAACAGCCGTGTCCAGGTTCGTAGATGGAAACTGAAGCCAGTGATGTCCAGCCCGGGACGTCTTCCCCGCCATCGGCACAACATTCGGTATGTTTATCCATATGCATACCTTATGCATGAGAAGCTTTGCACTTCAAACTTGGAAAATCATTTTCCGCCCATACTCGAAATGACGTCCCTCTGCGCCTGCCTGTCCCTGTTCACACCCGTCAAGAGCGCCACGCTCCGCAGATCGCCCACCACATCCTTGGCCTTGCCAAAGTACACCTCCTGCAACATATTCCTCATCTTGCCCTCCATGTCTTCGATCAGCCTGCCCGCATTACACACGTGGCCGCCGTCTTTGCCCTGGCCCCCGACATTCTCCACCACAAGATCGGCCTCGACCTGCCTCGTCATGCTGCCGGCGAGATTCAACGATCCTACCCCTTCGCTCTGCCGGCCCAGATGCAGTATCACCGTGCTGGTCAGCTTGTAGTGGCACGTGCGGCCACTGCCGCGGCGCTCGTCGACCTCGAACACGTGGATGCTGTCCCAGCCGGCGGCCTCCTCGTCCTTGCCCGCGGCTGATTTTTTCTTGAGCAGCACCACGCCGGCGAACCCGTCGTCCAGGTCCCAGAGGTACACGCTGCCCGTGCCGCCTTCGTAGTACATCTGCCGGTAGACGTCGAACGCCGCGTTCGCCTCGACTTCCATCTTGCGCACGCGGTCGGACGGGTACGTTGCGTCGTCGAGCGGGGGTTCGAATTCATTGCTCCACGGGGACCGGTACGAGTCGCCGTCCCGGTTGTAGTCGCACAAAAGGTAGTCCCTGCCTGTCTTTTTGCAGCGTGCCGATGTGAGTGGCTGGTCGACCGAGGAGAGGAGGTCTTCGGTCAGATCGGGGACCAGCGTGGTGATGGCGTTGAGGTTGTCTGTTACGCTCAACGGGGAGAGGCGGCGGAGGAGGTCACTAGAGAGAGGGGAGAGAGTCCGTTAGTACATCAAATGTCTCGACTTGTACATAGTAAGGTAAATTGAACGGGCAGAGGACAGGCGCATAGAGGGGAGTTGTCGAATGCGGGACAACTCACAGAGCTGCGTCGAATTGGACTTCGCTGGCCATGATGTCGACTGCAGCGGCGAAGCCTGCGCAGTAGAAGAGGAGACGAGTGTCTACTGTACAGAAGCAGGAATATGTAGAGAAAATTCCTAGGGTCTATGGCCAGAAATGTCGGTGTTGACGGTATGGAGTTTGCATTGGAAGTCAACCGTGGTCAGCCCAACTTGCAAGTACGAAGTCAACTTCAGCCTCGTGCAGCCTCGTCCTCACCGCAGGTCGTCAGCTCCTCCGTCATCACTTATTGTCTGGCCGCACCACCAACTACAATCGCTGTTATGGTTCGGAACAATGGACTAAAACCTCCAGCCTTGCACGCACCAGTATTGAGTCACAACGACCTGAATTCAATCGGAAGAAATGCACCAGGGCTCGAAGCAAAGACAATCCGAAGTTTAGAAGCTCAATCCAAGTCCTTTTGTGGCAGTGCAATGCTCTCTGCTTTCAGCTACATTCGTTTTCATGACCGATGTCTCTGCTTTCAAAGATCGTCATGCTAGAGAGGAATCTCGACTGTGGTGCCCCCATTGGTATCACACCAGTTCGTGTCCCATTTCTGCATCAGCGTGCATTCACTCAACCAGTGATGAAGTACCAGGCGACGCCAACCAAACCAAGGGTATAGTACACGCGCTTCCCACCCTAGCCTTGCTGTTTCGCTAAAGCACAAAACGTTCCAAGTTCATAGACGCCCATAGGAAGCTGGCCGTTACGCACAGGAACCTATGACTGCGCAGCAGTCTGGTCAGCTGTCGTTTGGGCCTGATCCTGGCCACTTCGACCTCTGCCTCCGCGATACCCATAGCCGCGATTTCCACCCCGGTATGTGCCACCATATGGGCGACCTCGGCCATAGCCACCCCTGCCTCGTCCGCGGTAACCACCATCCACATTTCCTTGGCCGAATGTTTCAATATTCTTCTTGAACTCGTCGCTGCGGACCTGTCGGGCATGCGCTCGCCCATCGGCTCCTCCTTCTCGATCTTTAGCCTCTGAAGAGATGTTGTCGAAAAATGAAGTTGATCTGTTGTATGCCGAGACACCTGTGCTGAGGCTATCCTTTCTCTGTGGAGTAGCATTCGCAGCATCTCCGTCTGTAGGCTCGGCACTCGCATCCTCTTCAGCTCCAGCAACTGGTGGAGAGCCCGTTGCAATGGCCTCCTTGATCAGATCTTCCTTGTTAAACTTCGCATTGGAGGACTCGAAGTCAAAGTCGGACTTCGGTATCTCAATCTTCTTTGCTCCACGTCCACGGCCGTAATTGCCGCCTCGTTCGCCTCTGAAACCACCTCGTCCGCCTCGCACGGATCCGTTCGTAGGAGCCGAGGTTGACAGTTCTGCTACTTTCATGGTTAACGCATCAACAGCTGCTGTTTGAGGCGCTGCCTTGTTCTGAGCTGCTCCTGCTTGGGGATTCAACTTCGCCATCGCTGCCGCAACGGCCTCTTTAGCTTGTCTAGCTGCCTCGTCCATCGCAGCTTGAGACGGCGCAGGCTTGTTGTGCTTAGCAGAAGCGCCATCTGCTGACGGCGCATCTGATGCAGGTGCAACTGGAGGATTGAATGATTTCTGGTTGACTGTGAAGGGTACAGCGGGTGTGACTTTGTTACTCTTCGGACCTCGTGGTGCGACCTTCGAAGGTGCTGCTTTCGTAGTCGGTTGCACGGGTGCTCTGGCAGCGATTTCGGCGATAGTCGGTTTCGACTGAGGGGCTGCTTCTTTAGGCGGTGCAGGGAATGCGGATTGAGGACCTTTGTTGTCAACCGGTAATTCCGAGGTCTGGTTGTTGTTGGTCGCGGCAGGTGCTGATGGACGAGATGAAGGGGTCTGTTGGGGTTGCGGAGGCGGTGGAGGGCCATTGTGCCGCTGCCCGGGAGGTCCGATGGGAGGTGGCGGTGGTGGGAAGGACTGAGGACCATGTCCTTGTGGAAAACCTGGACCTGGAGGGCCAAAATATCCAGGCGGAGGTGGACCGTACGGTGAGAATCCTGGGCCAGGTCCAAATCCTCCAGGAGGCGGGCCATATCCTCTTCCAAACTGACCAGGAGGAAAGTAGGCGCCGAATTGAGGATGTGGAGGGTAGCCGGGAGGGGAGAAATGGTCTCGTGGTGGACCGCCAAGTGGTGGGCCTGGTTGGGATGCGTTCTAGAGGTATCACTCAAGGTCAGCCACGAGCAAGCTGAAATCGGCTGAGAAAAAGATCCACTTGAGGAGGAGATTGTATATCAGAAGGAAGGCAACGGAAATATCCACATGGCTTTGCGCATTCAGAACAGGTCTGTGAATTTACATCCGAAATGATTCATCATGAAAGATGGTGGTGTTGAGTGTATGGTCTTGCAACGTACCAGGATAGCAGGGTCATTTGGCATGCTCGGTGGTGGGGATGGTTGTGGTTGTTCCTCTTCTGCGATCTTGATGTCTTTGACGTCGCTACCGCGAAAAACAATGAAGCCATATTTTTGCTGTGAGGGAGGCACGAATTTCTCGGCTTTTCGATCTTCGGTACCGAAGGAGTAGACATTCTCGAGGGCAATGGTGGATTGTTCAGGGTTAATCTCGTGAAGGGTACCTATGTAGCTGAAGATGTTAGCTTCGAGTGTTTGTGGTAGATCGAGGCCACATTTACCGAATTTCACTTTTTGAAATGAGGTTGAACCTCTGTCCGATCAAATGATCCATATCCATAATGGCGGAAAGAGAGCGCCGCTTAAGAAAGAAGGACTGTTGTTACATGGAGGCAGGGAAAGGAAGGTGTGGAAGGTTGCTTTGGAGTTCGACCTCAAGGAAGAGAAGAGAGAGAGATTTCGAAGTTGACTAGTGGCTGCGATGGCGAGGGTTTTGGTGTACATGTCTCGCCGTAATGCCTTGGCATTTGTACTACGAAGCAAATCAGTCTCAAGTGCGGAGACTAAAACTAGCGGATTCCGGTCGGCTCTTGATGCAAGATCCTCAATACCTGTCCATGCGCAATGGCGGGCTTTGGCGTGTCCGATCAACCAGGCAACTACTTTCAGACCGAGTGAGTTGTTCTATTCGACTTATATCTTGCTGACACTAATACGACGACATCAGTTCATCATTGGAAGAACGTGACCGGAAAGGCCGCAAAGCCGCAAATACGCAAGGGAATCCAGTCAAATTTCCCTCCAAGATCCTAGCAGTGGGCGTCAACTACTTCTTTGACCCCAGCGGAGATGTTGTTTTTGTTGCCGAAGCTGGAGGCTCAGTGACCGGCTTACGGTTGTCTACCAATGAATTATCGACTACTCCAAGAGGCCCCCAGGCGCCATTGACAAGCCTCGCTTTTCATGCCGTCAAGACGCCTCAGGACCCTTTTACTACCATGCACGTCTTTGCTGGTTGCTGGGATAAGTCCGTATGGAAGTACACCTTCCGGTTTGCCGAGGGGACCATGCAAGGACGGACTGTCACCGACTACACTTCATTTCCGGCTCATCGAGATTTCGTCAAGTGCCTGGTTGTGGTTCAGACTCCAGACAAAACAGATATTCTGATAACAGGTGGAACTGATGGCGATGTACGATTCTGGTCATTAGATGGACAATCTATTGGATTTATCAATCCCGACTGTCGCGCTATTGAGTCTCTCGTCATGGACCCTCTGTCTTCACCAGATGCACCCATCGTCATGTTCTCAACCTCTAAGCAAGAAATCTTCTCCTTCACAGTTCCCAGTTTATCTGACATAAAATCCTCTAAGATCCAGCTGTCCGGGCCAATTGTCGCCCACGAAACAAGCGTGTACAAGTTACATTTTGACGACGACGGAGACTTATGGACAGCGTCCGCGGACAAGACAGCGCGACAGCTGTCCCGGGATGATGGTTGGAAGCCGGTGACGACCCTTCAACATCCAGATTTTGTTCGAGATGTGGTGACGCATGACGCATATGGCTGGGTCATTACCGCGTGCCGGGACGAGGAGATACGTGTTTGGAACAAGGCGACCAGTGACCTCCACCACGTATTCTCCGGGCATTACGAGGAGGTCACTGGCTTGGCGCTGTCGGAAGATGTACTTGTCAGTGTGAGCATTGATGCAACGCTACGAAGATGGAGCCTTGCACCAGCCGATCTTCGACGGGCGGTAGAGGAGGCCAAGAACCCTGCACTGCTTGAAGCAGACCCGGAACCCAAGCTTGACATGTCGCTACTGACTGAGGAAGAAGAGGCTGAGCTGCGCGCATTGATGGAGTCGGAAGAGCAAGAGATACTGGAGAAGATGGTCCTTGATGAGCAATGATGGAGATGTCCTCGCTAGGTTTGATCGAGGTGGATCTACCGTAGTGCTGGTAGTGGTATGCCGAACTCTTCTTATCACGCCTCTAGCTTAGATAAGCCAATATGGTGATATCGATTCTCGCCTCTGATTGGCTGCTTTGCGACTGTCCTGCTCGTGCCTTCTTTTCCCTCTTGCAAAGAAAACTCTGCTGTAAGCCGTCTCTGCTTCATCCGAGAAGTGCCTCTTGAGATTTGCAGCATTGTCCAAGTCCTACCACAAGTAATCCCCCGTCCGAGAGTCCTTTTCGCCTTCCCTGCATTGAGCCGGCAATTTCCGCTCACAAGCGACAAACTTTTTCGAAGCCTTGCGGAGAATCAGGCCCACGTGCCCCAAGCAAATCTTTCGGGTCTCATACCTCGCTCACTTTACCCTCGACCGTGATCTGGCGTTGGAGGTTTTCATCAGGACGGCGACTACCAATATTATCAGTATCTGACGATTACTACTCCGCAGTTAGCAGGCTCGATGGTTGAAGGAAAGTCGGAACTCCAGCTAAAGAATGCTCTGGCCAACAGCCCGTCACCTTATGTAAGTCATTGCGGATACGAGTTGAACTCTACTGACATACTCAGGTGCGGGCGCACAAGGACAATCCAGTAGCCTGGCAGGAATGGTCAGAGGAAACAATCGCTCTGGCAAAAAGGCACCAACGCTTAATCTTCCTCAGTATTGGTTACAACGCGTGCCATTGTGAGACCACCTCCTTCCGTTGAGGCTTTACCAGACTAACACAATCAAGGGTGCCATGTCATGGAACGAGAATCGTTCAGCTCTCCTGAAGTCGCTGACATACTCAACAATTCATTTATCCCGATCAAACTTGATAGAGAGTCACGGCCCGATCTGGACGATATCTATATGAGTTATGTCACCGCAACCACGGGCTCGGGTGGCTGGCCGTTGAACGTCTTTCTCACGCCCGATCTGAAACCCGTCTTTGGGGGCACATACTGGCCTGGGCCTTCTCCGTCGACAGATTTCAAACGAGCCGCGCCAGGCGACGATGCGCCGGTCACATTCGTCGATATTTTGCACAAAATGCAAGATGTATGGACGACCCAGCGCGAGAAATGCATGCAAACCTCGGCGGACATCACAAATCAACTCCTCGCTTTCGCTGCTGAAGGCATACACTCTCACTCAAGTGTCCAGATTCGCGAGACCGAATCAGATCCTCCGGAACCATTAGATTTGGACCTCCTAGACGATGCCCTTGAGCACTTCATATCCCGTTACGACGCCGCTCACGGGGGGTTCACCGCATCTGTAAACGCCCCGAAATTTCCTACTCCATCCAACCTCACATTCTTGCTGCGCATTGGCGCTGCCATCGCTCAACCCTCCACGCACACCCGTTTCGGCTTCTTCAGCCCAGTTCCCGGCATACTGGGACAGTCTTCCTGCCTCAAAGCCGCATCAATGTCACTACACACCCTCCTCGCCATCTCCCGCTCTGGGCTGCGCGACCACCTGGCCTATGGCTTTCATCGATACAGCGTCACTCCCGATTGGAATCTGCCACATTTCGAAAAGATGATGTACGACAACGCGCAACTCCTCGGCTGCTACTGTGACGCTTGGGCGCTCGGTCGCGACCCAGAGATCCTCGGCACCATCTACAACCTGGTTGAGTACTTCACCAATCCCGACTCACCAATCGTCGCACCCCAGGGCGGTTGGTACTCCAGCGAAGACGCCGACTCGCGCCCGACAGTGTCCAAACTCGCCAATGGTGCACCGGCCTCCGACGACAAGAAGGAAGGCGCCTACTATGTCTGGACATATAAAGAACTTCAAACTGTCCTTGGCGAGCGCGATGCTTCCATCGTGGCACGCCATTTCGGCGTCAAGCCCGACGGTAACGTGCCGGCCGAGCACGACATGCACGACGAGTTCCTCACGCAGAATGTGCTGCACATCGAAGCCACGCCATCGGTGCTGTCCAAGGAATTCGGCCTCTCCGAGGATGAGATCGTACGCGTCATAAAATCTGGCCGGTCCAAGCTCCTCGAGCACCGCAAGACGAAGCGTGAGCCGCCCAATGTCGACACCAAGATCCTCGCATCATGGAATGGCCTTGCCATCGCGGCGCTCGCCCGTGCTGCAAACACTCTGGCCACAATCGACAAGACCCGCTCCCGTGCGTGCCAGGAGGCGGCCGAAAAGGCGGCTACATTTATCCGAAAAGAGATGTACAACGAAAAGAGCGGTAAACTGTATCGGCTTCCTGGCTCAAAGACCGCCTTCGTTGATGACTACGCATACATGATCCTGGCGCTCCTGGCGCTGTTCGATCTCACGCTTGCGCAGCCGTACCTCGACTGGGCGGTCCAACTTCAGAAGTATCTAGACGGGCACTTCTCCTCGAGTACGGGCGGATATTTCCAGGCCGAAGAATCCTCTGAGCAGATCATCAGGCTCAAACCAGGCACAGACAATGCAATGCCCTCAGCAAATGGGATCATCTGTACTAATCTACTTTACCTGGATTCGTATTGCAACGACAGCGCTACTCTGAAGGAGAAGCGTGACTATCTAGGCAAAGCCCGCGCCGTTCTGGATGCTTTCGCTGTGGAGATCATCCAGCATCCCTTCCTGTACGTCAGTCTGCTCTCGGCTGTGGTGATGGAGCAAGTTGGCGTGAAGACGCTGATCGCGCCGATGCCAATGCGTGATAGTCAGCTACGGCGACTGAAAGGCTGGGGACGCACCGTGGTCAAGGGCCTCGTGCCGGAGGTCATGATCTGTACCAGGGACGGTGTGTGCAGGCCCCTCAAGCAGAGTGATTTGGAGGATGTGGATGATGATAATGCCGAGGATCGTGGGACCGGCAAGGGCAAGTCGGTTGTCGGTGCGGCGGACAGTTAATGGGATATGGTTCGGCTTGCGTTTGCACTGTGGCATGCTATGGGCAGTATGGGTTTATACTTTAACTTAGGTCTCAACGACGGGTGACATGGTGTCACAGGGTATAGTGATGATGTTACATAGGCTAGATACGAACGGAGGGGACATTCAGCTGAATCGATACGGAGCGACTCAGTGCACACTGCGAAGCTGTCAAACGCGTATAGTCCCAAGGTCTTCAGTACAATTGGTTCCGATGATGCTGGCGTCCGTATTACGAGCATTCCGAATTCCAATACGAAGTGGTAACTGGTGACTTGGGAGGAACGAAAGCCTCTTCTACCACTCCCTAGCGTGGTGTTGGCTCCTGCCGAGCCTGTTGGACCCTACTGAGTAAGTACTTATTGCACCTTCGACATTACATCTCTCTTACACCGACACATATCTCACGACTACCTTACCCACCAATGTCAGCACTATCTACGTGCGAGTAGAGACTGAACCTGAACTTGTACTTTGAACTTTGAACTTGTACTTGAACCTCGAACTATGACGCTACCCTCAAAACCTTTGGGTTAGTGAAGCTGTCTCTTGTGGAAGAGGGAGTGGTTGTTGGCTCATGCCGCGCCTGTTCTTCGACATTACATCGCTCTTATACCGACACATACTATGTATCTTACGAGTACTGATAGTCCACACCAACAGCGGCCTAGCGCCTCGTATTCAGTATGCATCAACACAGTCGTCTCATGAACTGACGTGGCGTGATCAAATTCAGCTCGGTTTGCATACATACAAGAGCAGAGAGACGCATGTTGCGCAGCGAGATTCTCTCTCGTCAATCGTGCGATAGCAATGGAGAAAGGCAGCGTTCAGCAGATCGATTTGGAAGAGCAAGTCGGACGGAGACTACCAAAGCTGCAAAACACTTCGATCAGCATCCTAGACCCTGCAATCTACATTGCAAGGAGTCGCAAGGACCTGGATATCAGCAATAACCATGCCGATGACAAGAAGTTCTATAACACAAGTACTAGTAGTGACGGGCAAGTCAAAAGCGAGCCAGAGTGGGACTACCTTCACTTCAGAGCCAGTTTCACGCTTGAGGTCGAGATTCTAGGCTTCGAACGCGCGTATGTATGCTGAAACGCCTGCTGGACGACCATTTTGCCATTCAGTTGCTTCCGCTACTAACAGCGCCCAGTCACAAGTATAACAAATTCTTCGACTCCATATCCATCCGCTACCCATATAAGCGGCAGGAGCGCCATTTGTGGTATCCCGAGCGGGATGAGCCTGTGGACGTCAATGTCACCAACGAGACTACAACATCCACGAGTGCCGGTCTGAGTGTGGCCGTGGCTGGAAGCATACCAGTCCCCGCTCCGGAAGTCCACGTACAAAAGGACCGCAAATTGACTGTTGCCCGTAAGATGCGTAGTCGGCGCAAGGGAGTGTCTATGGAGAAATGTGAGTTATGCCTGCATAAGTATCCGCTACCATCTACCTGCAAGTTGTCCTAATATGCACCGTTCAGTCCAAGCTCATCCTAAACGAGTACAACAACGCCCCGTGTGCCCGGTTTCGGTCAGGTCTCCCGGCGCACAGTCAATTCGTCAGGAAGAGCCCTCCTGCCAGAGGAAAAGGGACAGAGAAGACTATACGGAATCCGTGCATTGGGATTACCAAGTCGAATCCAAGAAGCATACGTAGGCTCCAGAGGTATACGAGAGCGTCGCAATCCCAATAACCGTCGAGCGTATCGTTCCGATATGCCGGAATGAGGACGCAGGGCCTCCTCACCTTGCCGACGATGAATGTGCACGTCTGATGCACTTCGACTTTCAGATCAATACAAGGCTGCGTTTTATAACCCCTCGTTGCCCACTCTTCACTAACTTCAGCAAACCCGCCGAATACCGATATGAATCTACTACAGGCCAGCGTTTGCCAGTGGATCATTATTCGGTCTGCTTGTTCGGCGATTGTCCCGTAGCATATTTGCCTAAACAGTCGACCATAGATTTCGACGAAGCTATCAAGACCTTTTATAAGGCGGTGAGAGAAATTTCTTTTACATACCATGTCTGCGTGGTGCTGACGAACTGGAAAAGGCAAAACAGAAGGAGCTCCACAACCCGTTCTTCCTGCCATCAGATCAGATTCTGGAAAATGACTCCTTGTATCCTACGAGAATGGCCGCTTTCAAGAAGCGGCGTGAACTCGCAGATGATCGCCGCACGATGAGGCGTGAGACGCTCGAGAGGAAACGCGAAAGACGGATAGCGGAGGATCGTTCTATTGAGATAAAAGAAGCGAACCTTCAGGACCTAAAGCGACAGAAAGCCGATCAGACACAGATAGCGGCCGCTGTGAATGAATTGGAGGAAGCAAGGCGCAAATTTCAGACACATAGAGAACAGTTTGGGCCGCCACAGCCTTGTGACGACGTGAGCGAGGCTGAGGAGGAAGAGGAGGTGCCGGTGCCCGCAACAATAGTTCCAGCCCCGAAGCCACCTAGTGTTCGCCGTCCCGAACTGTACGACTACGTGCATCATGAGCAGGCTATCTTAGTTCGTCCCAGGCACAATATTGTCGAACCAATGCATGGAGGAGGAGGTATAGTAATTCGGCACAAGGTCAGGAAGCGCGTTCGGAAGGGAGGAACGGGAAGAGGAGGGATTGAAGTGGTAGTGGAACGGCGAAAGGAACAGGAACAGTCTCCTTCTCGGTCACCGCGTTCAGGTTCTGCCAAGTTTAATACCTGGCTATTTACCTAAGTAGTTAATGAGCTGTATTGATCAAAGCTTCAAGCTACCTTACTAGGTTTACTGTTGTTCATCTTCCGTTCTCTGTGGGCCACCCGGTCTAACTACGCAGGTATATAAGGAGAGGGCCCCGTCGAACCCACTACGGCCGTCGAGGTAGGAGCACTCTTTATGTCTAATAGTAATGGCCTTCCGCTCATAGAAGTAACGTCCGTCATGGTCCTATTCAGCTCAAGAGTAGAGTCGAGGCATTATGCGTTGTGCAATACGTGTCGTACTAAGGCTGTCCGGTCGCCCTTAATAACGCCTTAAGGGGGGCTCGATTATAATCACCTGCGTTGAGGCAGGAGTCTGCCCTATATCAAACGCGGCGTGAACCTCCGTGTTAGTATAGGAGGTCGACAGGAATGCATTTCACAAAAACAAGTTCAAATTTTTGGGGGGGTTTTCAATTTTCAATTTTCACCATGTCTAAATTCTACCATACACAACTTTTAGGCCTTCCTGGCCGCTTTTCTCGAGGTACTCTCCACATTCCCACCTAAACACACACGAGCCTCTGCTCCCCCCTGCTCCCCCCTCTCCTAGAACCCAGGAGACGCGCCAATGTTGCGCAATTCGTTGGCGGCAGCACGACCAAGCCACTCTCGGCGTTCGCGAGAGCGAGAGGATGATGGTGGGAAGGTGCACGCTGGCACGCCGGACGGACGGAAGGATCTTCTTTCTGGTCCACGACCACGTCGTGGCTCGTTGCCATCAGACGGTCCTCCGCGAGTTGGGTAGTCTCTGCTGAGACGCTGGCTTCTGGTATTGACTCGTCGCTCGCGCGGAGACAAAGAACGATCTCTCGGTATACCATCTCTTGCCGTTCGGATATTTCTTTCCGTTGTGATAATGTTACGGATCGCGTCCTCTGCTCGAACTGGGGGATTTCGGGCGGCGACGTGCGGGTGGGAGTGGGTGGTTGCTGCATCATAGTTGATCTGGGGAGCTCGTACAGCCTGCAATCGATATCGAGGTGTGGCGAGTATTGAAAAGCAAAGTGTACCGAAGAGAATTGCATACAGTTTCTGCAGTGGATCGAAAAGTGGTTGTGTGAACATATTCGGCAGTCGTCCGTACTGCGCCGGCAGACGCGGTGGTGGAAAGAACACTGGATGTCGTACCGGTCTAAATTGCTCTTGTCCAAGAGGCAGACTCCCAAAACGTCGTGGTGCGAGAGATTGTTGAGCGAGAGCCTGTCTTACAACGGGGTGTATTCCAAATAACTGGTCAAGAAGAGGCTGTGCTGCGGGAACCTGTTGAGCAATAATTTGTTCAAGGAGAGTCGGCTGGCCGTGACGCCGGACCTGACGCTGCCATTCATTAAGTTCGGCGCAGTCAACAACTGGATAATGGATCATCATGTGTTGACCTGGTGAAAGAGATCCCACAGGAGGAAGGCGTGGGCCCTGGAGTGTAGGTACAGGTGCAACGTCGAGCTCTGTGAGGGCCGAAAGCCGGGTCGCGAGATCGGCTCGGAGCCGCGTCGAGAGATTGCCGTATGGTCGCAATATAGCGTGCATCTCGCCAGCGATCACTACCATGAGAGTCCCGTCGATCTGCATGCCTGTCTCCTGATGGAGACGGTCTCTGAGCCATAGCAGTCTTGCAGGTTGCAGCTGCGGGCCATTTGAGTTGCGAAGATGGAGCATGAGGACATACAAGGTGCGACGATACAGCCAGTTCGGGATTGCTAAACCTGCTGACAAAGGGGATCGGTAGGGTTCCTCTCCGGGAGCTCCATTGAGAGCTCTTATCGACGCGGCCATGGTTGATTGATTGAGGGCATGTTCTACTCTATGTGACGTCAGCTCAAGACCGCAGATGTGATTTGCAAACGCACCTTGCCAAAGGGTCCAAGAGATCCATGATGAATTGAGTAATATGGTCAGAGTCCACGTTTCCCAAGGTTTCCAGAATCAGAGATTGCTGGAGTTGGAGACCACTACCTCGTAGCTGTGTTTCAAAACAATCTTTCCGTGGGTGCGAATGTCGTGGTGGTGATAGGCACTCCCTGGCTGCGACTTTGTTTTGATTGCGGAAAGTGAAGCCTCATCACACCGCCCGTCCACAGTCCACTGGTGCGGCACTAAGCTCGCGGTGCCAAATCATTCTTTGGCACTTCGCAGGAGATGCCTGTTCGAGCGTCATTTTCACCCCTCAAGTCCCCGGCTTGGTGCTGGACGGTATGATCGAGGTGTTTTAGACCCCTCGTAAAGACAATGACGCCGGCTGTTGGATCTTCAATACACCGAGCATCTCGAATGAGCACAGAGATTCCCCTGCTCTTGAACTGAGGGTAGCTGCTATCTCGGATGACTTGGTTTGGGACCCGTTCCTTGGTTGGTCAACTGAAGGCAGAGGCAGTCCAGTCCTGCTAGGACAATGACCTCGGAACCACGGCCTCGGTCAAGGCACCGGAAATGGTTGACCCGGCATTGCCAAACCACCAATTCGAAGCCAATTCAGTCCCCAGGTCATAGCAAGCTCTTCAAGGCATGTCTGCAGATTGTGTCTGATGTCCATCAAGCGGTCGGTTGCGTCTGTCGTTACAGGTCGCATGTCGGGTCTGTAGACTTTCACATGGTAGCATTCGAGCAAGCTTCGAACCCAGTCCGCTGATGACGTGTTAGGTTGTGATCACGGCCAGGACTGAGGTATCTTACGGTGGAATAGTAGCTCTTTGAACTCGAGCACGGTCTTTGGGAAGTGAGGATGAACCTCCCACACCTCCTCGTCGCGGGGTAGCATGGTTGGGTCTTTGTCGTCAACTGGCTTCGCACCTCTTCTCTCTAGAAGGCGTTTTCTCTGGGCGTCAGCGAGACGCTTTGCTTCTGGGGTCAGCGTGGCTATTGGAGCAACAGAGTGATTCGGTCTCCAGATGAGCGCGTTTTTTGACTTGGCCTCATGATTTTTCAGTCTCTCTTCCAAGACCGCCAGACGGAAGCCTAGTCCAAGCGTCGACCGGCTTCCCTCCCGGGATAGAAGCTCGTTTTGGATTACCTGGAAGACGTTGAGGCCCAGATCGAGCGACATTGTCTACAACAAACATGCATCCGCATTATTGTGAAGAAGCGACGAAGGAATGAAATTGTTTGGCAAGGTTGGACAACAACGACATGGTGAAACATTGCTTTGTGATGTCACCTCTCATCAACAATCTATATACAGGAGGTTTGCCGAAGTCCCCATCTGCCACCATGAGCACACCATCAGTGACCGCCTTATGGACTGTTTAGTACAGAGTACCAGCATCGACATTGATCAACTTGTACGGACACCGATTCATAAGGTCCACAACCAGATCAATATTGTTCCATCCAACTCATAAGGCTACTCCGGGTACTATCCCTTTAATGGCCTCCGACAAACATATGGAAGGCAGTTTGCTACAATTCGTCAGGGGTACACATGAACACTGAATGGGAAGACACAAAGGGTCGCAATTGATTGTGGCTCTCTCAAACTTGATGTCTATCTGGATACGTTGCCCCCTTGTCCGCGAACTCTCTGGCCATCGCCATTGCTGGAGCGTGGTATGTATCACCCGATCCACGACAGAGGCCTGTTACATGGAGACGCTGGGACAGGGAAGCATGTGTTTGGATCCCGCCGAAATCAACAAATGCGCTGAATGGACAGGATCTTGCACGCCCCAGGCCGTACAAGATCATCCTGCTGGATACCTTTCACTCCTTGGTCCTGAGTTCTTGGGGGGTATCTTCCTGATTATCCCATCTGCCCTTCTTGAAGGCTTCTACGACTTGCAAGTTCTCCCACACCTTCCAGATATGAGGAAATCCACCCTGCACATCAACACCAAATCTCAACGCCCCATCGATCGCTGGAGCCAGGGCACAATCTGCCATGGTCAGTTCGTCCCCGACGCTGTACTTCCCCGAATATTGCTTGGCCAACTCTTCATAGGCTCGAAAACCAAGAGTCATGAAGTGATGCTGCCAGTCCTTTGCCTCTACATTGAGTGGTTTGATGAAGTTCAAGACTCTGAGATTCGTGACCGGTTGAACATCACAAGCAATAATATCCAACAGTTCGCGCACCTTGGCTCGCCCGACTGGATCATCAAGAGGCGGAAGTAGTTTATGCAGGTCAGGCGTGGTCTCCTCGAGGAATTCGAGGATCGCCGGCGATTGGCGTATCTTTGTCACGATCTTGCCTGTGTGGGTGTCGGTGACGATGAGCGTTGGCACAGACTCGCTAGGGTTGTGGACCGTGTATTCGCGCGCATGTTGCTCGCCTTTCACCAGATGGATGTACTTGTACTCCACTGGAATCCCCTTGATGTGTGCAGCGATGCGTACCCGCGCCGAGCAGGAGGATCGGAAGTAGGTATACAGGGTATATTTATATGATTCAGCCATGTTCACCCTGTCCGAACGGATCTATTCTGGCGGTAATAAAGACGATCCAACAGACTGCTATAAGTGCCTCGACCTTTTGAATATATTCGTCGTTTCTTCTCTCCACAGTACGGAATCTCCGCATATTCGCGGGGAAAATGGAAGCGAGTCTGCAGTGACTCGGAAGGAATCTACAGTGGTTTAACATGTCCTGCAATAACCGAACACAGCCGCCTCCTACTAGGTCGTAAGTCGAGAAGCCTTGCCACTTTCATAATTGCCGTTCATGCTCATATCGCATCTCTGTTCATCAATTTGATGTACATCTTAGAACTTCCAAGAGGACTGTCACGTGACTCCGGGCAAACTGCGGCATCTCATTTATGCGGGGAAGTGTCGATGTGTCGATGTCAATGTGAAGAGATCCTTTATTTTGGCTGCACCATCTCAACACCTACGATCTCCTCTTCATAAGTGTCTTTGTGGAACACGGTGAGCTGTGTCTACTCACCTCTCCAGCCAATTCTTTCCACTTCACCCACGTTACAATGTCCTCTCCTGCCGAAGTTCGTATCGGCTATGTGCCTGAACACTACCTCCTCCCGCTTCACCTCTGCACGAAACACAACCTATTTCCGTCCTCGATTAAAATCACATTAGTCCCCTTCCCCTCAGGCACCGGCCATATGATAACATCACTACGGTCCAACGAGATTGATTTGGCTATTGGTCTGACAGAAGGCTGGGTCGCAGGCCTACTGAACCCCGACAATTACAACAAGTCTGCCGCAGAAAAAGGGTATTCAATAGTCGGATCGTGGGTTTCTACATCCCTCCGTTGGGCAGTTGTTACGGGTCGGAACCGAGACGATATCAACAGCATCGATGACCTTAAGCAACACCGCCGTGTCGGCGTCAGCAGGCTCGGAAGTGGTAGTCACGTCATGGCATTTGTTCTGGCACAACAAGAGGGCTGGCTGCGTCAAACGAAAGATCAAAAGTCAGAAGGTCTCACAATCGTGCCTTTAGGGCCGTTCAAAGACCTGCGAGACGGTGTCACCAGTTCTACGGCCGACTTCTTCATGTGGGAGCATTTCACGACGAAGCCATACTTTCACGGAGAAGATACCCCTTTGAAGAAGATTGGAGAGATATACACACCCTGGCCGAGCTGGCATATTGCTGCCTCGAGGTCGACGTTTCCGGAACCAGCTTCTGATGATACATTGAAACAGATATTTGAGGCTTTTGACAAAGGAGTTAAGAGTTTTGCTGCTGACACGGATTCCGCGATTAAGATGTTGGGCACGGGAGAGGCTCATTGTCATTATTCTGAGGAGGATGGCCGAGAATGGTTGAAGGACGTCAAGTTCGTCGAGGGTACGAGAGGTGTTGACGCCGGAGTGATGAGTGGTGTAGTTGACGTCTTGAAAACTGCCAATGTCATTGGTGGTGACGTCGTTATCAAAGATGGCGATGGAGTGGTGGGCATAGCGAGGTGAGTGAAGCAGAGAGTGAGCCTAGAAAAGACGCATTGCGTATGCAAGATTTGCGTCATGTGTTGCAACTTGAGACGGAAGCCCATTTCTTCATTATGAAGCTGCATGATTACGATCTTGACAAAAGTGGGTGTGACTGTTAGATGAGAAAAGTCACCTCGTGTTAGTCAGCATTTCCGCAGGACTGGGATTAGCGTGGATCGTGAAAAAGCAACAGTGCACGTCCAAAAATGCCTTCGCTATCATCACTGTCTTGCCTGTCAGTTAGGCCGCGAGTGGCCGCGGCGGAGGTTGGCTCGAGGTTGAGTCCTCAAGGCTGGAATCAGCGGAAACTTCCAGGCCTGGCGAGGCTCCCTAGGCGGGTACCCTAGGCTCTGGGGATAGGCTCACCCGGCTCATGGAGGCTTGGGGCTTTAACTAGAAACAGTGTAGCTGCCTCTAGACTTGCTTATGCCTTTTTTCCTGACCTACGAAACTTTTCTTGCTACTCGTTTCGCCTCATCTCCGCTCTTCCATCTCGCTTCAGCTCGTCCAACACCTCTTTAACCCGATCCACCATCTGCCACGTCCGGACACCATCTCCATCACAACGAACAAGACTTTGTACTCCATCTCCTTTCACCGGTACATCTACTCTGCTGTCTTCCGGTCGAAACAATTGCCCAGGCGTCGGCCGGTCCCCGTGAAGCCAGCTCCCAAAGTCTGCTCTTCCAGCACGATTGACTCCACCGACATGCTGACACCGGACTCTGTACATCGATAAGACGATTGTCATTTGTCGGTCGTTCAGTCGTGCCTTTCCGCCGACGAGAATAAAATGACTCCCAATACTAATAACCCATCACCCAGTGTGGGACAGCCTACCCCTCCAGCTGTTCCCTCGACGACTGCCACTACAGCCACCAATGACTCTGATAGCGACAATTCTCCCGAAGAGAGGCCAACCCATACGTCTGAGATTGGGACCCTCAAAAAGCTTCCTAACCATGGTACAGCCTGGCTAGGAAGCTCATCCGGTGTCTATTTCGTCAATACTGTTCGTCGCGCATTTTCCGCCGCGTTTGGTTCTTCCACCCTTGCAGGCCCCAACGCTGTCCCGGCCAGCGAAGACATCCTCACTGGCGAAGATGCCGAAGGTCGGTCCTTCAATGGGCCTCTGCATGAGGGACCGAGCGAAACCGATTCATTCCCCCAACTGCTTACATCTGCCCTTGGCAGGCCTCCTGAGCGGAAGATGGCGATGGAGCTTGTCATGTCGTTTTTCACCTTATGGCATCCGCTGTTTCCCTTCCTTCACGGCCCAACTTTTCTAAAGGACATGGAAGCGATATACCTTCAGCGAAGGCGGCAGTCAAAACCAACCAAAGAAAACCCATCTCCTACGGATCTTCGGAAATTGGCAACGTTCCAACTCATCGTCAACATCGCGGCGCTGGACCGCAGTGATATTCTCCTGCCAATGGAGTCTCGTATCAAGTCGACTGCTGACGTGAGTCGAGTGGCTGGTTGTCTAGCTCTATCCCATGAAATCACCAACATTCAAGCTATCCTTGCTGCCGAACTCTATCTGGTTGCGACGCTGGCTATCCGCCAGGCTAGCACTGTGGCTGGTATTGTCGTCAAACTGATATATCATGCCGGCCTACACCGTTGTCCGTTACGATATGCGCAGCTATCTGGGGAGGACTGCGAGATTCGCAAGCGAATTTTCTGGTCCGCTTATGCCCTCGATCGGCATTGCAATTTGAGTTTGGGCGATCCAAACGTTATTCAAGACGACGACATAGATGTCTGCTTGTCTGGACCGGAGCTGCACAAAGCTGTACGCCAATTGTTGCCCCAAGATGGAGAAGAGGCAATGTCGATGCCACCGCCACGAGCGGTGTCCGATGATCCACGCGTTGCTCAACAAGAAAATGACGGGCCAGAAGCAAGAGAAAAACGACTTCGCGAGGCAGCGTTGACCGCCTATGTGCAATGGGGCAAATTGACTGGTCAGATCATCGAAGTCTTCCATAAGAGCATCAATCACCGTTTCCCTAAGCACCAGCAGATATTACGGTTGACAAGCGACATTGAGACTTGGTGGAATGATCTTCCTGGATTTCTAACTGGTGAAGCTGATCCTGGCCAGCATCATGAGACTGCAGGGAATAACAGCAGCTCAAATAAATACACGTCATCCGACACAGCCGTCCTCCCTCCTCAGCAACACCTAGCTAGCTTCTTCAAAATCCTTTACCACAGACTCCTCCTTCTTGTCAATCGACCACGTCTATCTCTCGACCAATCAACACCTGAATTTCAACATGGCTTACAAGTCTGTATCCGAGCTTCGCGTGGTATTGTCGCCGGCCTCAAATCCCACAGAAGCCACGGCCAGTCAATGTTCCTACCCGGCCTACTATCTGCAGTCTGGATGTCAGGCCTCATCATTGCCTTCGCCTGCCAATTAGGGAAATATGCCAAAGCACGGGCCCTTTCCGATATGCAAGCCTGTCTCAGTCTGCTCGAGAGCATGAACATCAGATGGTACACGGTTCAAAACTGCCATAAAGTTTTGAACTTGCTACTTGTCAATATCCAATCACGAAAAACGTCGATCAACGGGTTCCTCACTGTTCCCAAACCAGAACAATCACCACAGAGCGTGCCCAACGAGTTCGAGCAGATGCAGCCGTCCAGAAAACGACAGCGCACTGGTGATGATCAACCAAGTCCTCGAAAATCATCGATGGCTGATTCGGTAACGAGTTCACCCGTCCAGCAACAAGGTTCCGCGTCCGGGATGCCACGATCCAAACAGCGAGCATCGTCCGCATCCGGGAGCACGCCAAACCACTGGCCACCATCACTAGGTTACGATGCCACGAACCCGTCAGCACTGACGAATCCAAACGGCACGATACCCAATTTCGACTTTCTATCCAACTGGGATCGAGGCCAGCCTACGACGCAGCCACAGATTAACGCTGGACTGGGCAGTGCCATATACGCTACCCCTCAGGACCTCGCGTTCGCCCAGTCCACGATGAACATGAGTCTGCCGTCGAGCAATAATTCAGGCGGCATGCGTGGCGACGGGAACAATAACAACGGCGGTCTGCAGGAGTATTCGGACCCCATGTTCTGGGGGAATATGGACTACAATGTGGCCGATATTTTTGGCTCGGCGACATGGGAGAATATGACGGGCCCTTTCGCGCCGGGCGGTGGGAATATGCATGGCGGATGGGAGATGTAACTTGACCTTGACCTTGACCTTGATTCTTGGCCTTGACTTCTGCTGGCTGCGAGACTGTCATCGACAGGTGGGCGCACACTGCCGAAGACTGCCGATCAAGAGTTTCTTTTCACAGCAAGGTGCATTTCCTGTCAGCGACGTGACTGGTACTTGTTTATGGAGCAGTTGGACTCTCGCAAGTGTGCATGGTGGTACGATCGGCGTGTGGCGCGTGGCGCTTAAGGAAGGAATAAGGACAATACCACCCACAGGATCATCAGCCCGAAGGATGATTTACGAAAAATGTCTAGTGTTTGTCACAGCATGGGATCGTGGTGGCCTCTGCTGACGCTGGATTGGGGTCTGCTGTCGATCTAATACGTTGGGCGTTGCCGGATCATGCGGCGAAATTGCTTGGAATTTCGATCTCAGACCTATGCTGCCGTCTCTGACACAGGGCGGTTACTAGTTTGTACGAGATGTGGTGAATAGCAGGTGGGGGGGGCAGGCAGTATGCATGCCCTCAGACGTTTGGTACCTATAACGAAGCAATGGCAAGGCATGGCCAGATGTCAGACAGAAAGAAAAAAATCAACTGGTCCAGAGTAAACGATTACAAGTCCATCGGGTCATGAAAACTTTCTGCTTACTGCCTAATCAAGTAAGATTTACTACTGTTATAGGCAATATTTCATCTCGCTTCATCCCATCCAGTGGCAGCTCGCCGTTTAACGATGGCCATACTAGTAGTCTATAGGCCATCGTGAGCATGGTATTATGCTACGGGTTTCCGAGACGGTGCGGGCAAGGTGCTTGACGCCCTGCCATCTAGCACCATGGGCGTTCAAACTCCTTTATAAATAAATCTTTTGCGCGAAGATAAGAACTTCTCATCCTGGCTGGTCCTTGAATACCTAGGTATACAAAACTTCAACAATGTTCAACGGCAACTACATCCGCATACCACACTTGCACCGAAGGCTGAAGCAGATCACTGTACACGAAGGTCCGAAGCACATCTCTCGCCGACTTCCAATCGACTAAGTTCATGATCCGAGCTTGTTCGCTCAGCTTCGAGGTAAACCATCCTTGTTGATGTTGTTTTCCACAAGCTTGGACCTGTCCGCCTGCGCACCCGAAACCAGAATCTAGAACTTGAAGCTCGACATGTCGAAGTCATGACAATTGTGACTGCCATGTTCAAGCCGCGTCAAGATACCCTTGCACCTGTTCCAGATTTGCGGGATTGCGTCGTAGAAGTCGAAACCAGGCACCCGAAATTGGGATATCAGCGCTCGAAGCCAGTACAGCGCGGACAAAAGACAACACTGCCGGACCAGAGATTGAAATGGATCTGAACCTGAAGCCTCCTCCGTGGCACCGGCGGCGCGGATATAAGCCCGCACAATCTGCTGATGACAGATTAATACTCTATAGACAGCCACAAATACTCCCTCTCGGAAGGTTTAGCTGACATATGACCAAGGCAGAATTGCTCCCATCTGCGTAACACTGATCGTGTGACCAGAAGGATATCGTGCAAAGATGACTCTGCATCGATCAGCCCAAGCAAGCTGGCATTCCGCGACCAATCACCCTTGGCCTCAAGCCCATCCGGCCTGTCCGAAATCCTTGGTAGTGGCAGGGGACTGAAGGAGCCCCTCTCAGACTCTTCGAGATACCAGAGCTCAGCATCGAACAGAGGCTGCACAAGAAAAATTGCTGCATATTGCGCGTCCATAAAGAGTACGTAACGAAGCATGTCAAAGTCAACTGTCCCAACTTGTCTTTGACCCTGGACGATGGACCGGAGCTTGACTCCATGAGCGTTTGCAGCGCCCCAGTCACCAATAAGCGTTGCACAGCTAAACAGCACCATGATTTGTCGATATACCGCCATTGGTCGACTCTGAGTTCTCGGTCCGACTACATGGCCGTGGCCAGCGTTGACGTCTAAGTCATGCTTCAACGATCTCAGAGTGTCGCCTAATAGGGCCAAAGCGCGGCTGCGTAGCCCCGGCATAAGGAGTGACGCCATACTCGCAGCGCGTGCGAGGAAACCGCGGGCCGTGTGCGGATCATGCAGGACATCCAATGCGTCCCGCGTCGACACTGTGGGATTTTGCCAGAAAGTCCAGCCGCGGAGGGAGACAGCTGACATCCCTGCAGTCGCGGAGTCGTGGTAGAAGGCGAGGATATTGTTGATTTGTGGGTCGATTTCGACTACACCACAGTAAGAGTCGAAGGGGTCGCAATTGCCTTTATATCGTATCAAAGTGATAGTTGACAGTGAAGCACCACGATGAGAGTTCGGCGCACCTTGCACACCTTGATGTTGCAGGTGTTTAGCTCGATCAACTTGAGATTTTTGAAGAGGCTTGGACCTTTTGCGGTAGTGCTTGCCAATGTGAGAGCTGATAATCCGCCGGTATTCTCTTTTGCCAGCCTGTGCAACCGGGTTGTCGTAATTCACGAACACTAGGCCCCTGTCATCCGCCATAATAATAGATGATGGAGCTGCATGCGCTCAATGTCAGACTCGTTACTGTATGCATCGAGTGTCGAGCATGAGAGCCTATGCAGTGGCAGGAACCAAGGTCGCCTCAATGAAAATGAAATCCGAGATTCGTGTCGGCAATCATCAATCAGATCGCTCGTACGGAACGAATCAAGATCGGAGAAAGTCCCTTCCCAGAATGGAAGTACTCCATTCTCCAACCGTCCTGCATTCAAGCTGACATGTGATTCGGCAGGCATCTAGGCCCTCCATTCAATCTTGCAGCGCTGGAGACCGCTGCAAGTCCTAACCGCACAATATAACAATCAGCATCGTATATTCCCACGAGAGCATTTGGTCGGGAGCGGGCTTCCCATCCAGTATCGAGCAGACCGTGCCTGATTTCTCCCTGTTCCCATGTTCAATTACCAAAATAGTCGTCTCTGCATATCGTTCGTCAAGAAGCCGGTATCAATCTCCATGGGTCCATTTTCCATGCTCATGCTATTGCTCGTGCCAGTGCCAGAAGTCAGATTCCCCAGCCCATGATTCAACGCCTGTGACTGTGCCCATGTCGTATCGGCGAAACTCTGAAGAAGAAGAGCCTCGGTATCAATGCCGACCCCTGTAACGTTCGACCCCGTCGGATTAGAGCTCATGCCATCGGGCGACTCTAGCGACGAGAAAAGGGACATAGACCTCCAGTCTTGCTGAAGTTGCGACGTCGCCTGTTGTGGAAAATGTGAAGCTGTTGGCACTGTAGGTTGTGCATGGGAATGCTGGGAAACATGGACCGGAGTGCTCGTTCCACTGCGATAAGAGTCCGTGCTCATCGAGCGGAAAGCTCCTGAATGTGACCGAGCGTGCTGCTGGGTGGAAATATCTACTGAACCCGGGCGAGAGTTGTGAGCGGAGTTGAACGCATTCTTCATGATATCCCGCGAAGCTGCGTCGTCGCCTGGGATGGAATTGTGGGAGAGGGATTGACTTTGAGCTGTTGACTGCAATGTGCAATCTTCCTGCCACTTGCGGATGTTCTCGACCGTATCCAGTGGGAAGGACTCCCAGTACTCGATGCCGGTCTTCTTGTTGAGGTTAGGCGGGCTACGTCGGACGTTCTGGGGTCTCGGAGACTGTGAGTCTCTGATTTTCACCCCGAGGGCGTTCGCTGATGATGGCGTCAAATCCAACGAATCGGTGGCGTAATTAAGCTGTTCTGTGGTGATAACAGGAAGAAGGGCGAGGAGAAGGGATTCGGCCTCGTGAAGACGATGTTCGAGGCCTTCTATGTAGCCTTTGGCTGGACCACTAAAAGCACTGTTCAGTCCTATTTCGGAAGAAGGATGTGCATCTGGTGGGCGGCGTATTTCATTGAGAACGGGGTATGTTTGGTATACGCTTGGGAATGAAGCAAAGCCGAGTGGGCAATCTTACCGTTTTCGTTGCTCAGGCCAAGTACATTGCATGCCGGCAGCCTGACATTGGGTACAACCGGATCTATTCAATCACACAGTCAGCCAAAATCCTGAGGGAACGAAACAGGACGCCAGTAGAATGGAGCCTTTATAGGGTACAGAAGCACAACGGGTTGGACTCCGGTCTGCATAGGCATACAACCGTCAAACAAGTACGCATGATTGGATGAATTGCTCAGCTCAGCAAGTGAAGAAGGGCTCTGGCAATGTCAAACGCCAGCTTCAATTCGTTGTGGTAAAATGATTTAGCCAGACGCCGAAACCCCACAACCAACGCTGGGCTTGTGCCCTGGGATAGTAATCAAAAATACGAGTATAAAGAAAGAGCAACGTCCCCCTTCGGCTGGGGACTTTATGTGTCGTGGATTATTCAAGACAAAGTGGATACGTACCGGTCACCACTGCACTGTAAGTGAAGGTCAGCATACACGACTCAGAAAAGGCGGCTAAGAAGGAATTGAGTGAGGATTAAGCCAGCAGGACTCGTGTACATTGATGTCGACCCTGAGGAGTGGTCTGTGGCTACATACCTTCTGCTTCTTTGTGCGACAACCATTACATGCACCACTTATTCGAGACGGCATGTTGATCGACTCCCACGGGCGAGGAAGACTTCAATATTGGCGACCTCGAAACGGGCCGCGTTTCCAATGATCAAGGTAGTCGAAGGCGATGGACTGTGGCCTGAAGGCTGAAACTTCTGGAATTGTCCTGTTTCCAGTTCAGTAAACCCTAACCAGGTAGTAAGAAGTTTGTCGACAACGGTCAGGGTGTCAAAGTCCGATATGAGCAACCGGGTATGCCACGAAGTGGTCACGATTGTGTTTCTGGGCCTGGGGACTTCGACTGTTTTTCCGCTTGGCGAAGTATGATGTTCCCTCTCAGGAAGTGGTTGGGAGCAGCTCGTATATACGTCGAGACTGAGGGTGGCCGACCTCGACTTTGGTCAAGTCAAGTTTGATAGACATCAACGTGCTCCGGGCAAATGTTCGGAACCCCGTTTAGGGTCCTGGCTCGGTGAAGGTCTCTGAGGTGCGCAACACTAGGCTGATATCGTAGAAGACTCCAAAACACGGGTTGCAGGGGGTGTAACGTCGTTAGAATGGATCAGATGAGGGTGTGGACGACGTCATATGTTGGTGAATAAAGTACATGAATGTAAGACAGCTGAGGACGGCGGATATCCGGAGAGTAGGCACGTACGTCGTTTGTCTGGTGGGACCCGAGATGGGGTTGTCTTCTCGAGATATTCGACCAACGAGCAAAGTAGCGCACAGAGAGACCCTACGTTCGGTCGCTAAACACAGGAAATTTGGGTCAAGCCACGGAATGAAGAACCCGAGTCCTTGTCGTGAGGGCGTCGTAGATCCTGGAGCTTCCAAGGGACACGCACGCCCATTCACCAACAGTGAGATCAAGCTTGCAGCAGGACCAAAGTGTTGGCCGAAAAAAGAGTAGATGGCAGCCAGTCGTAGAAAAGAAGGGACCGGTCGACGCTGAGTCAGGCTAAGGCTGCAATGTACTAGGACTAAAAAAGCGCCGTAAATGAATTTGGGAGTGAGGATGAATGGAAAAGACGAATAAGGGATGATTGGCTGTCGTCGAGATCAAGATGTTGAGATGGTGAGAAGGACGATGAGATGCGGTGCAAACTGGCTCCGTGACCTACAGTAGTGTGAGTAGTGTGGGTGAGTAGTGTATCTGGCTTGGTAGAGAGGCGTGAGAGGGGAAACGACGCCCGGCTGAATGTTTAAGCGATGCCCAAATCGGCTGCTGCTTGAGGGGCTCATGGGGGGTTCATCGAGTGACATCAACCACCAGGGCATGAATTGCCCATGTCTATCATCAGATTCGCTGGACGCCATATGTATACTTAGTCCTGATGATGAAACGTCTATCTCTGTAGTGTACGGATAGTGCTTTTGAAGTCGATACCACCCATTCTTGGCCGGATACGAGGAGAGGCTGACCAATATCTTGACATTACTTCTGTCCATACTCCGTATAACCCAACAAGCTGTCCGGGAACCTCAATTCTCCCTGCGCTCAACACTTGCGCGCGCCCAATCTCCGCGATGATAGTTCATGACATGGCAGAGACTCTCTTTAAAGTGCCACCTTTGCGAAAACCCCTCAATATCCCGGCCAAGTATCCAATCTTCCGTTGCTATCACGTACAACTATATTCGCTGCCCCTCACAGCATGGACACTGCTTTTTTGCATAGTGTCTCCGCGTTGAGAGACGACGCTCGGCGCACGAGTGAACCGGGTGGATCGTCGATGAGAGCCCTAAGGTACCTATCTGTTGGCTTGCGAGCCAAGGGGCCACCAATGCTGTGGACTTGAAGGACATTCAGAGATCTGTCTGGTGCCTTTGAAGTTCTCCCGCCCAGAGGTGTCTCAGACAGGGGTTCTTCAAGACTATGATTCATGTTGGCAACACATCTAGATTCTCGGAGAGTGTGGAGGAATGATGAGGTTGTAGAAACTCCAAAGGAGTATTCGAACGTGTCGGTTGTGGGTTCGCCGATGAAAGTGCCGCAACCTGCAATTCATCATAGCGGTACGGAGTATATTGTGCGGTTTTAGTTCGCCAATAACTGTAGTGCGGAGCTGGATATCTTATTGTTGAGTCGAAGTCGTTGTGCAATTTGCATTGCTGTCGACGACGGGGAGAACCCCTTCTTGTCGACTTCTTTACGTCCGCTGGGTGCCAAAATCCCCCCGATGGATGCCTGCCCAGCCAAATCTCCAGACCATGGGCTGACACGAGTTCCAGAAACAGGATACCCGGTCCAGCAGATCCGGTTCCTGGTGGATTGCGTGGCTTGCAGGCGCAAAATAACGATGCACACGCAACAATGGAGGGCGGATTGGCTGGCAAAATATTGAAGCGGTCGATCTTCCGATCCAAGCCTCAGGGACAAGCCACAAACGGTCGACATCTGCCCGTCGCCCCGAACTTGGACCATCTCTCGTTCGCGAAGGATAACGACGCCCGAGCGACTAAAAGATCTTCCCGGATCTTTCCAAGAAGCTGCAAGCTATCGTAGCAGCTAACCCATTGGGAGCCACCAGGGCTATGAGGCTGGACCTTGAACTTCATATTGTTCTTTCATAGTTCGCATTCGTCGCCCCATTGGTTCTTGGTCGTGCATTGTCGTGCGATAGTATCGCATGGTGGTATGATGCTTGCACTCAAATAAACATTCCCCACGAAGGCTATGCACGCAGTGTGCCGAAAACTCCGTCTGGGCACTTCGATCTTGGTACTAGGACTTCTCTTTACAATGTGAAGCAGCCTTGCGGATACCTTGGCTGACGTCGATCAACCGAAGAGACCGGACTTGCTCGTGGAGCTCATGGGAATGTCAGCTCCGGCTGGGCCTTCCCCATACATATAGTATTGAAATCCAAGATAGCAGTCGCAGCAGGCTTGAAAAATTCCGCACAGCCGGAAAGGCCAGGGAATGTACTCGCTGCTCAGAAAGAAGTAGCTCATCTTCATCGCGTCGCCTGCCAGCCAATTGCAAATCACGGATAGCCGGAATCCTTTGCAAGATCGTGCTTTGTGGTTCTTCACGATCTGTGGGATGGGTAGCATTGCCTCCACTGCCAGTCCGACATAACCGAGAAAAGCTATGTATGCAGGAGAGCTCGATAGAAAGGGAAGCAAGACGTGCACAGCAAGAAGTGTCCCGGCAAAATACGCGAGAAACTGAAAGTAGCTGTAGATTGTCAGCCTATCCAACCAGCCCGATGGAGTTGGAAGTCACCACGCCCGACTTACGGCTTCGAGCCACTCCACTGCCAAAAGTCATAGGGGCGTCGACCAGACATCAGGTCCTTCAGACCATTTTCTGCGGTGTACCCGTGGAATGGTGTGTGGTGGGACCCATCGGGTGCTCTGTTGTCGAGGGCGACCTTCAATAAGATGACTTGCACCACAATCATCAAAGATGCTTGGGCTAGAAGGGATTTGTCATAGTATGCACCAAACCAGTAAAATACTCTTGCTCAAATGTCAGCATCTTGTCCTTGTCCTTGTCTTTTGTCCCAGGTGGAAGCGCTCACTTCAAGATCGAGGCGACTAGCATGATTAGGGGGATATCGAGGGAGAAGCCATCACTCGTCTTCCTGCGGTGGATTGAGGCTATCTGATCCGCGTAGGATGTGATCGGCGACAGAACAAGACTGTACGTCGTGGTCAGTGCGGCTGCACTTGATGGCCAGACGGTGACTTACAAAATTGGTGCGAAATAGTCGACGACATATGAGAGTATGCCCAACATCATAAGTCTTGGGATGTATTCACGCTCAAAAGCAACTCGAGGTAACAGGGCGGCAATCCTGTATCAGACCCTCTTCCTTCTCACGATGGGAACTGACAAGCCATGATACTGGAAGGTAAACAGCAAGCGCAGTCAGCAAGTTCAGGTCTGCGCTTCTGAAATCTCATAGATTTCCGTTGACGATCTCTCCAGGAACAGGGAAAGCGCGAGGAGCCGCATGCCCACGATAATTGGCGGCAGGAGGGCCACGGAGGGCCTTGCCCCCATCATCCCCCAAGTCCGCAACATTCCAGGGCACAAGCATTTTTGGTCGAAATCTACAGCAAGGCGTGTCTATTTCTTTTCTATATCACAAGTCATTGGACGCTGATGCACTTTTGTCAGATCCTTCTTCTTATCGTACAAGCCTACAGCTCAGATTTCGGACTGGACGTCTCTGGAAAAGAAATGGTCCAGTCCGATGAAATGCTCGTTCCTGGACGCCTGATCACAGCCCAGGCGGCCTTGCTCCCTGCCGGTCCATGGTAGATCAGTTCTGCTTGAACACTGCCTTTAATTCCTTCCCCAGTCACAGAGACTTCATTCTGGTCTGACCATGTGGCAGGTGCATTCACGACAATGATCTTTTCAACTGTCACTTCTTTCATGGTCTTCAAATAACTCGCCGTCTTTGCTCCCTTTGCACCAAGGTTGGTACTCTTGAGTTCTCCGCTGGCGAAAGTAAACTGTCGATGAATGGAAGCTCCTTGTTCGTAATCAAATGTCTCCCCATCGTCGGCGTAGAGGGTTCCTTGGGCTTCGCCGTCCTTGTCAAGAACTACGACAAGGGTATATGGGTCCCACTTCATCAATCCTGAACTTTTCCGGGGGCGGTCCTTTCGAGGGATGATGTGCCCACCTTGCATAAGCAAAGGAATCTTCTCGAGCTGCGCAGTTATCTTGTGTGTCTTGGAACCTCCGTTGTATATCGTGTAGTCGAAGTAGTCGTAGTAGTTTTCGTCGTCTGATAGATAGATGTCAACGCTTTCGGCGCCTTCGGCCGTGACGGGCTTGGTCAGCAACCCCGTCGAACCGAGATACAACTGGTCGTCAATGGCGAAACCCTTTTCGTCTCCAGGGTGGACGTAATATTGGGAGCGAACAATAGGAGAGCCATCTGTAGAAGCTTCGTGAAAAGCAGTGTACCAAGCCGGGAACAATGCGTAGCGTAGCCGTATAGCCTTGGCCATGATGCTGGTGTATGGCTCGCCTAGGAGGTAAGGCTCTCGTCTGCGCGTATCGATGTGTGCGTGACCACGCATGAAAGGGTAAAATATGCCAGCTTGATACCATCGAGTTTGCAGTTCTTTGCTGGGGTTTCCAAAGAACCCGCCCACATCAGCGCCGCCGAAAGGGAAGCCACTGACACCTTGGTTCAGAATCATTGGGATAGATGCCGCAAGATGATCCCAATTGGCCTGGTTATCACCTGTCCACATTGCAGCAGATCGTTGCGAACCTGCATAGAATGATCGGGTCAATACAAAGGGTCGACGTACTTCGCCTTTCTTGCGCTCAAGAAGGGCATGATAAGTGGCATTGTGAAAGGTCATGCCGTTGATGTTGTGCACATCTCGATGCTCCCAATCACCATGATGAATGTTGTCCCGGGGCATGGTGATCTCGGGACCATTGAAGACAGACGGCTCATTCATGTCATTCCACAACCAGACGTTGTTCATTGTCCCTTTGAATCGGTCATATGTGAACAGGGACTTCCACCAAGCCCTCGCTGCAGGATTGAAAGCATCGATCCAATGTGAGCTGCCAGGCCAGCACCAACCCTCGAAGATGTTGTTGTCCTTGTTCTTAACAGCCAGCCCCTTGCTTTTGAGTTCTTCATCCACAAAATACCCTCCCTTGTTTTTGATATGCGGGTCGATGATGACCACAAGCTTGCGCTCGGTCTCATCCAGCTGTTGCTCCATGGAGGTGGGGTCCGGGAAAGTATGGGGGTCCCAAGTGAAATATTGCTTGTCGTCAGTGTATTCGATGTCAAGCCAGATAACGTCGTATGGGATATTGTGCTTGTCGAACTTCCGGTCCACGTCTTTTACGTCCTCATCGCTCACGTAGTTCCATCTGCACTGGTGATATCCCAGCGCGAATGACGCTGGTAGCTGAGTGTAACCGGTCAGTTCGCCATAGGACTTGGACAGATCTTTAGGAGTTGGACCGAGCATAACGAACACGTCCAAGATACCGCTCTCTGACATCCAATGAGTATGGGTGTCAACTACACCACCACTTAGACCGAGAGTTAGCGGGTTTCCGCCGTGAGTCGACTTCGTGATGTCCACCCAAGTTTCAGCGGCATTCAGCCAAAAGATGCCCACCGTGGAGTCTGTCCTGTGGGCTTGCAAGAAAGGAATAGAGCCATAGAGTGTCATCGGACTGTCGAGCTCATATTCGAAGATGTCACTGTTGTACATTCGGTATGGCTGATCGTAGTTGCCGTCTCCACCTCGTGTTTGTTTGAGAGACAGTGGCCCAGCATGCTCTGCAAGCCCATAGACGTGGCCATAACCAGGAAAGGTGATGTCCATTGCGACACTTTCCGGTCCCTTGGGCTTAGAGTCTGTGTTACCTCCAAAACTTTCCTCCCACCAGGTACTTTCATCTTCAGCAGGGGTGCTGGCTGCCTCTTGCGTTGAGTTCTCATCTGCCGCAGGCTTATCAATTTTCGGTCGCCAATGCTCGACATTCATGAAGCCACGACCGTTGAGCACGATTTGCTTGTCATCCCCAGACCAGAACTCCATACTGAATGGGGCGTGCTGAATGGTGGCCTTGAAGCGACTGTCGGGTCCCCATGATACCTCGCTAACATCCTTGGAAATCTTTTTGAGTGATGCACTCTTCTGAGACTGGAGACCAGCTCCTGTCAAGGCCCATGCTCCAGCTTCATTGTATCTCTCCTTCCGAGCTACGCTGCCATGCCGAAGCTCGACCTCGCCCTTCCTTCTCTTTTCCTCGTCAATAATCACCCGCACATTGCCCCGTTCGAGGAAAGAGATTGTTAAAGGGAGCTTGACCGGGCCAGTATCTTGTACTGTCTTAATGATGGATCCCTCTAGTCGGCCGTCCTTGAACTTGACCGAAGCAGCGTCTAGCTGGTAAGGAGAAGAGCCGGGACTGCTCTTTTCCGTCATAGAGTCTGCAAGTGCCCTGTTTCTCTTGCAGAAGCCCGACTGGTCGCACCGCTTGAAATCATGATGTTTGACCGCAACTACAGAAGAGTCAGCATGTGTCCGTCAAGGGATCCCTGCGTGTACATGCCTGAAGATGAAATGAGGAACAGTAAGAGCAGGACGGAGAAACAGGTGAGTCCCCATCCAGAAGATCTCCGTGAGGAGCGAGCCATTGTACTGGGAAATGTTCTTGCAGGAAATCCTGCTCAAAGCATTCCAGGTTGTTAGGAGAATGGTTGCAACATTGAGGTGGCCTTTCAGATGCCTCCAAAAATCATGGGGGTTGATACACACACGGCGCAGGCCGACCCTGACGCAGCCATTGTCGGCCATTCGCTAGGTGGCCCCCTGCATCATGGGCGCTGAAACAGCAATGCCAGAAGCGAAGCTGCCCCTCCAATTGCAACCCCACTAAAAAGCTGGCCCTTCAAAATATTTGTTCTCTTCGATTGACGGCCAGTGTTCCTCTTCCCATTGAAAAGCTTTCATATCAGCCAGACTATTCTCCTTTTCATAGCATCCAACTGCATTCAAGATGTCTGACGAACAAACGTGAGTACTTCTGTCCCGGCATTAGGTCTCGCTCTGACCTCTGTGCCAGCTTCATTGCCGTCAAGCCAGATGGCGTCCAGGTACGCGACAAACGTTCTCCATATCCAGTTCTATCGAGCCATTATCCTGACGTTATGAATAGCGCGGACTTGTTGGAGACATCATGTCCCGATTCGAGAAGCGAGGGTGAGCATCAAGCATCAAGGGAAAGACTATCATAACTAAGCGGTGAAGATACAAATTGGTAGCCTTGAAGATGGTCTCTCCTTCCAAGGAACATCTTGAGAAGCACTACGAAGATCTCTCCTCGAAGCCGTTCTTCAAGGGTCTCGTTACATGTATGCAGGAGCTTGTGAGAAGCGCAACCGTTGCTGACGAGATATTCAGACATGCTGAGCGGTCCCATCGTGGCTATGGTCTGGGAAGGCCGTGATGCTTGCAAGACTGGCCGCTGTGAGTCCAACATACTGTGTTCAAGACGAGTCGGTACTAACTCTGCCAGCCATCCTCGGTGCCACCAACCCTCTTGCCTCTGCCCCCGGCACTATCCGTGGTGACTATGCCATCGACGTCGGCCGCAATGTCTGCCACGGCTCTGACGGCGTTGAGAGCGCAAAGAAAGAAATTGCTTTGTGGTTCAAGCCGGAGGAGGTCCAGAGCTGGAAGTCTGCTCAATTCGACTGGATCTACGAGAAGCCATAGATGGTCCACAATAACATGACCGGGAAGAATCGACCTGCGGCTAGCATACGTGCCTTCTGCTCCGTCAGCCATCGCCACATCCAGACGCATGAAATAGCGGATAGATTAACACAATGATGATGATGATGATGACGACCTGCGCCCATTCATTTAGCCCCAGGCTTTGGTGAGTCCGGGGACCACCTTAGCCGTATCAAAGGCACCTCTCAGGTTTTGTTTCTTCGAAACAACGATCTTGTAGCATTTCCAATTGGAATGACGGCGAATCTTGCAAACCAAGGAGAGCCCCATACGCTCACCAATATGCGCGCCGGCAACAGGGCCTTGACCACAGCATAGGCAGTAGCAAATTCAACGACCCATCTGGTAGCACTCTCCCCTCGATCAAACCATCTTGACACATTCTTGTTCTCAAATTTTTGTGCCTTGCCTTCTTTTGTTTGTTCCTCCACCTCGCGCTCGTCACTTTCGCTGATCCATCCCTTCTTTCGAAAGTAACGACCAAATTTCTCTACCCCCGCCGAGATCCAAGCTCCTTCTGCGAAGTAAGGTGGCAGCCAATGCCAATAATGAAAGGCTCCGGCGAGACCAAATAGAGGAACAATGGCAGTGATTTCATGCAGTATGAGGAAGGCCGCAACGTGAGACACCGGAGCTTGTCGTAGTCCATTGAGCGTAGGGTGCAGGAATCGGGGTGTGCGGTGTATGAACCGGTCAACACGACTTCTTGCAACCGCCTGCTCGTCGTGCGGAGGGATTGCTCGTGTAGCATCTGACTTGCTCTTGGATAGCCAGCGTCGGGCAGCGTAGCCTTTGCTCGAAGAACGAGCAGCTCCGAGAAGTGAGGGTAGCATAGTGTAATCGATTCATGTTATGACACTCCAAAGTAAGGTGCGGCTTCAGCGGGCCATGTACTAGGGACCGTGAGCTTCCTGCACCATTATCATTGCACAGAGACTTTCGGAGGCGTGCTATTAATGCCCAAGTCTCATAATGAAGATTGACACGGCGTTGCCTGAAGACGCTCGTTGGTGTTTTGTCATCACCGAGAGCCGAGATCCACAGTGCCTAGGCAACTGTTATCTCTTACCTCCGTCCAGAGAACATACTACTTGGGGATACTCCTTGTCTTCATTGCTCCTCTCCCCTCCTCAGACTTTTGAATAGGATTGCAGCCTGCTTGCAAAAATGCTGCCTTCTTAGAACGACGACGCTTTGTCCTTGTGAAGAGTACAAGCTGACGCAAGGAATGGTCAGGGAAGATATGCGTGCGTCAACGGACATGCTTGTGTAAAGTCCCATTAGGCGGACACGGTATGATATGAATGGTATATCTTTGATGCTGTTGCACACGGCTTTACGTCTCCAACTGAGACAGTCTGAGTTGCCCCTTTCTTCTGAGCGAACGCGGCCAAGTGGTGGCTAAGATGGACGAGCTTCCTGCAGAACTGATCGGGCATCTCTGCCTATTCTTTGACAAAGCATCCTTGCGCGCTCTGCGCCTTACCAGCCATGTGTTTGCCGCCATTGCTGAGAAGCATCTCTTCAAAGACCTGGAGTTCCGTCTCTATCCAAACCATCACCGCATGTATCAATTTGAACAATTGGCGGCCAACGCCTCGATAGCGGCTCGTTTGAGATGTGTAACGTTTGAGTCTGGCGTCCAGCTTGAATATGCTGATTATAAATATTGGCAAGCGCAAGTATACAATGACAAGAGCCGTGCCTGGGAGAGAGGCTTGGCCACCAGAGGAGCAACACGCGACGAATATCTACTATTTCATGAGACCCTCCAATCTCGCTTCACCACCGACGTTCTCCAAAGATATGACCTGTTCCGGTGGCATCTTGATCAGCAGGCAGCTTTGGTGGCTGAGCAAAACGTTAAGAATAACCTTGTGCGAACGCTCAACAACCTCAAGCAATCTTCGCCAGGCTTGCGCTTCAAGCTGGTCATGGCAGAGCCTCAGATTGAGCTCGAAGATCTTGAGGCTTTCAAACCAGAGGAATATGAGAACGACAAGCCATACGATCCCGATCCGCGCCGACGAGTCGCGAATCGACGGCAACACTGCCTCGATCATTTCATCAATTTCCTTGATGCGGCAAACCTGTCCCATTTTGATGTCGATGAAGTCACAGCTTTTGACATACCTCACCAGTTATTGACTAGCGGTGGCCAACATAACAATCAAGTTCTAGAAGAAACATTTCGCAGCTTGAGAAGGCTTGACATGAAAATCAGTGCTTTTCCACATAGCGATTGGCTTTCTCGACTTGGGACAAACAGTATATATGTCGGTGGCAGGAATAGTGCAGCTTGGAGGTTGAAAATGCTATTGAACCAGTCATCGAAACTCGAAGAGTTGGCTCTTGAGTTTCCTGCTGGTATGGAGTCTGAGTACTCCTTTGAGCTCTTCGACAGGACAAATCTTGATCGCTTTCCACGCTTGTGGCTGCCGCATCTTAATTCTCTGGTTTTATGCAAATTTCAATGTTCTTGGGGGGATCTTGAGGCATTTCTTGATGATGCAGGGAACGTCAAGTGTCTTGTGATGAAGGATTGTCGGCTGGAGAGTGGCTCAATGCTCGACCTGCTTGATTATTTCAACAAAAGGCGCGTGCCACAGGTCGAGCTCCGTGGTGCTTGGTTTGTCGACGAGGATTCGGGAGAATGGCATAGCCATACTGAGGACGACTTCACCGCTTGCTCTGCGGCAATTTCTTTCGAAGGGCCTTACGCTCGCTGCGGAATGAGGTCGCAAGTAGCTGACTACATTCGGGGCGCGTCAGGATGTCCATTGACGCGCTGGACGACGGATTCCGACTCTCAGTCGGAGTGGGAAACCACGAGCGATACAAGTTGGCATTATATCAGGATGACAGGACAACCTTTCCAGTGAAGGTCACCGGACTGCCATCAACATGGATTAGATGCAGGGCCACCGCCTTTCGCAAAGAAACACCTGAATCGGACTCACGATGTCGCACACCCATCCACAAGTTTCATCCCACAATATCAGTGAATCAACCATTGACTCTACCAGATTCATTGTGAGTGTGTCGAACGCCTCTATCGTGTTACAAGGAAGGCTGACTTGCATAGGACCACCTCTTTACCCTCAACCGCTCAAAAAAGCACCATGCCACCTGCGCCAGCCACCATGAACAACGCACAAGCAATGATGCCTAGGCGACGGGTCCTCTTTGAGGTCAATTTGGGCAGACGCAGAGTTATGGCTATGACGGCCGACTTTTTGACAGACCAAGAGTGGAGGGGACTCAGGCGCTGGCGGCAGTTTATATTTCTGGTGCACAGCTTCAACCGTGGACTGTTGATATTGGTGCCCATCGTATTGGCACGCTGGATTGCGCATCGCCTGTTCTAGAGGAGAACCACGGGAGCGAACGAACAAGGGGAACTTGGAACCATCCCAGAAAATGCGAAGTATTAAGACATTCACAAAGAACATACCTCTTGCGGAGCTTCGGGCGTTGTTGAAGCGCGGTGAGCGCCGCATCATACCGCATGTGGCGGCTGATCGACTCTGACAAAGCAATCGTCAAAGACCCATAGGGCTGAAAGAGTTTACTGCTTACATCCCCTTTGCGCACAATGTGCTTGTTTGAGCTCTTCCCCCGTTCCTGCCTCCAATCAGCTTCCGGAATCGTCAGGTACAAAGGAGTGACCTGGGCAAATATCACGTTCAATATAAGAAGCGCGATCTTCATGCTTCAGCCATGCGCTGGAAATATCTCAACTTCTCTTTGTATGACTTCGCAGGAGGTTCTTACATTGCAAAAGCTGCCAGAAACAATCTCGACCGTATCTGGCAGCGCCGAGCCTGGGTCTTGTGAGTCTAGCCCTTCGTGGATATTGAGGATCAATGTTTCCATAATCACGCTGAGCCTAACTCTCTGACCAGGTTGACATCCTCCCGAAAGAAGCATTTGAATGTCACAACGAGCACGGAATCTATGTCGGTCATAGATCCGTCAAGGAATCGTGCATAGAGAGCGTTTTAGATTCGTCGTCGTTACCTATCCAAAAGCTCGTCCGTGGATTGGCAATCGCCCCAGGCCACGGTGATCATGGCTAGCAAGTCGCCGAAATGGTTCTCCAAGCTTTCTAGACCTTTTTCCGGTGAGTCCCACGACGATCTCGCACCCAGGATGGCTCCCGATGTGTCACGGATATGGAAACCTTCCTTCCTGCCTAGCACGGGGACCGAGCATTAGTCTACATCAAGGTATTCTGTGACTAACGCAACAGCACACAAGAGGCAGGCCCATCCTCGGGATCCAACGCCCTCGAGGAGAATGTCGAAAAGGATTCTCGTGCACGGCGACGTGATCAGGTCAGACGGGCGCAAAGGTAATCCTGCTCCACTCATCCTTGCCTCCCGGCGCATCACATACCTTGAAATACGATGAACTTAGCTAACCATCACATCCATTTTCGGATCTTCAGAACCCATCGCGATCGCAAAGCAATCTACATCAAGACGCTCGAGTCGGAAGTCGCCAAATTACGCGCGAAAGACGCTGCACATGACACCGAAATCCATGCGCACAAGCTCACGATTCGTCGCTTGAAGGAACTGATCAAGTATCACAACATCGTCTTACCATTGGATTTGGCATCAGACCCACATGTCCGGAGCCCCCAGGCGACCATTGAGTTGGTGGGATCGCCCGATCATGGACAGATGATTCGTGCGCAATTGCCCGAATTATATTCGTACACAGGCCAGATACCTGGTGCGGGTATAACTTCTGGTGCGGCCCCTGCCTCGATGGCTGAGCCGAATGTGAACATGAACATTGCGGAGTCAGGTCAATTGCTCGCTGATATGACCATCTTCGACACGTTTGGAACACAGCGAGGACCGAATACACATACCCTTGCGGGAACTTCGATAGCAATGCCACATCCTAACGACGTGGGAACGACACAGACGGGTGTAGATTTCGTCCTCGCGCTGGAGCATGTCTGCCTTGAACACCACGCTGTGCATAGCGTCGATATGGAGGGGACAGGGCATGAGATGATGCTGATGAGCCCGATCATGAGATGCTCGCCGCCGCTGGTGCAGACGACGCACGCGGGCTCAGGGTTGCCGGATGGCACAAAGTGGAGCGTGCCCGCGGCAGAACTGGAGAAACTGCTGGAATGTGCGGACCGATTGAGTCTGGAGGGAGAGATGACGCCCGTCGAGGCCTGGCAGAGGATACGGCTGCATCCAAATTTCAAGAGTTTGACGAGAGAAGGATTGGAGGAGATCAAGACCAGGCTGGTGCCTGAGGTCAAGTGCTACGGGTAAGTGGTACTTCTTTTTCGGGAGTGAAAGGGAATGCAGCTACTGAAGTCATGGGTGTAGATTTGGCGCCGTCATTGATGGGGCGTACTTTGACTCGATTGTGCTGCAGATACTGGGGTCGTCACAGGTGTCGCTGTGATGCAGTGTGAAGGGAGTCTGGTCGTTGTGGATGTGCCTCTTGTCGTGTCACAGTGTTTCTCAAACTCTTGAGGGTGGCAGTCGACAACCCGGACACTCTCCAGAAACCGTATGCTAGGCTATGGACTGGATGGACCTTGTAGGACACAACCAGTGAGCTTGCAATGAGTATCCCTGAGGAAAGATGGATCCTTTCTTCACATTTCCGCGAAGGTATGGGGGTTTGCTTCATGGCCTGGCAGCAAGCGTTGGAAGCCTCAACTAAATTCCATTTCTATTTTCTCCCCCATGATCTACAGAACCCTTTGAAACTTATTAAGTTGTCGTTCTTTTTGAGATCTCCTAAGAGACTTTCTAAACTCGTATTGAGTCGTTCCCCTCAATAGTTGTGCAGAAAACAACTACTCCGTACTAGTAGTAGGGTTTCCATCTCACCGTCCAAACTTATGCCAAGACTTTAACGCAACAATTTAACCATCAAAAAAGATGTCTAAGGTTCGTTGAGTCATCAAATTCGACGTCTTTGGCTTAATCAGGTAAGTTACCTACTTGTTTAGGAAATATTCGGACTTCTCGACCAAAGACCCTCGATACACTTCTTCATACTCTAGCCACGAACCCTCCTCAATCCTCTCTCGCCTGGCCCGGTACCACAAAATTGTATCCGCATTGGAGCTCTTCTACTTTTCTCTTATTCTTCTTTAGCATTCGTGGGAGGATCACGCGACAGCCTCACTCGCCTCTGCAGCTGACCAATCTGGAAGCCATCCGCGCCTCAAGGTCCATCCATTCTGTTTGAGCTACTGGCCATGAGCGCTTGATGTTATTTACGAGTCACATCCTTGAGTTTTCGTTTCCGCTTCCAGCGCAACACGCTCACAGGGGTCGCCTTCGGAGGCGAGCTGTCTGCAGCTTCCGCATCACACAGTAAGCGATGCCGCCGCGCAAACGCACAGCGCGCTCTTCAAAGAGGAACGCCTCTACGGACGAAAAGAAAGCCACAACAGCTCCAGCGTCGACGACACCTGCAAGAGCCCGTCCCAATGATCTGTCAGCCGCCAAAGGGAAAGGAAAGCCTAAAGTCGCCGATTCCACGCAGGACGCTGCACCTACGGACGTTGGCGACGACAATGATTCCAAGTTGAACGGCGGTGTTCCTGTGACGAACGCAGATGCGAAACCGCCTGCGGGAAGAACACTATACGACCATGACATTTCTTCGGGACCAGGCTCAAAGACAATATCCTGCATCCGCAATGCTGAGCCGGGATGCACTCCGGCACCACTGATTTTCACACACGGCGCGGGCGGAGGCCTTTCTGCGCCGGCTGTAGTGAATTTTGCGCAGGGTGTCGTGGATGCGGGATCGAATATTGTCTGTTTCAAAGGGAATATGAATCTTAAGTCACGGACTAGGATGTTTGGCTCGGTGCTCGAGTATGAGAAGCAGAAGCAGGAGCAGGACCGCGCGGAGGAGAAACTGGCATTTGGTGGAAGGAGTATGGGGGCCAGGGCTGCTGCGCTCGCTGCGCAGGAGGCTGACGATGTGAAGATCCTGGTCCTAGTATCGTATCCTTTGGTTGGACCGAATGGGGACGTGAGAGATCAGATATTGCTGGACATTGGGACGGATGTGGATTTCCTGTTTATTTCAGGGGATGGGGATAATATGTGTGATCTGAGGAGGTTGAAGGAGGTCAGGGAAAAGATGAACGCGAAGAGTTGGATGGTTTTGGTGGAGGGTGCGGATCATGGGATGCATCTCCGAGGTGGAGGTGGTAAGAAAAGGACGGATATGATGGGAAAGGAGACAGGAAGGGTTGCTGCAAGGTGGATTGTTAACAGGGACAAGCAGAAGACCGAGATGATTGTGAAGTGGGACAGCAGTAGGGAGGCTGTTGTTGGCAGCGAGAGCTGGGGGAGTGGCGAGCAAGTGGGCGAGCCAGGGGAGAAGGAAGAAGATGATGGGAAGACTGGTCAGGCGAAGAAGGGCGTTGGAAAAAGGCCAAGAGAAAAGGTCAGTGCCGATGAGAGCAAGGAGATCAAGCCCGCGAGGAAGAGGTTGAGAGGGCGGAAGAAGGCGAGTTGAAATGTCGGCTCGGTACTCGTATACATGTGCCAGTGCTAGGTGAATCTGCACTGTGTGACAGTCTTCATCCCACTGTATAATAAGGCGCCGTCATTGAACGGTCTGATTCCGGAAAACTTGCATGCAAGATTGAATACTCCGTGTTGCGGAATGAAGAGGCGGACCTCGCCGCAGAGACCGTGGCCTCTGCATAGGTAACAGGCAGTGACTGTATCATACTCTGAGAGTGGAAGTATGCTTCCCCCTTGATCAATGACATCGCTGGTTCAGCCTGCTATCAATCATTGAGGTTCGTAAGGGCAGGGCAAGGCTGGCGGTGTCGGTCGAACAACCGGACATATCTCCGGTAATTTAGTGGAGTCAAGGCGGAAGGCAAACCTCTCGTTATCATACCATCGTCGTTTCAAGGACATGTGCACTTCCACTGTCTTATGCCGCTTCTTTTGTGGTCCTCTAGGTTGGAACCTTCTGACTCTTCCTCCACTAAATCAAACCTGGATACAGACTTTTCTACTCCGAGCCCAAAGGACAGGAGAAACCTCATTATCTACAATCTGGAGCATTGATTGCGTTTAGTCTGAAAGCTCCCACCAGGCAAGTCTCCATGGGGGACGTAGGCCCTGGTACCTTGATACGGAGGGTTGCAATTGTAGGCGGCGGACCTGTGGGAATATCATGCACCAAGTGTGTCCACTGCCGTCACGTCCACGGGCAATGTTGAAATGGGACCCTCGGAGCTAACCGCGCGGCAGGTACTTGCTTGCTGAGAAGGTGTTTGACAAGATCGACATCTACGAGCAGCGAGACCGGGTGGGTGGCATATGGAATCTCTCTGAGCCAGTCCGCTCTAGACATATACCAGTGCCACAGGTCAATCCACGATATGGTCATCAAGGGACGGGGGCAGAGTCGTTGGAATTTGAGTCACCTCTCTACGATTACCTCGAGACAAATATCCCCAAACAGCTCATGGCGTTCTCCGACAAGCCGTTCTCGGATGACGACCCGCTGTTCCCGAATCATCAGGCTGTCCTCAGATACCTGGAAGAATACGCCGAAGATGTTAGGCATCTGATCAGATTCAATACTGCTGTGAAAGACGTGCAGCGGATAGTCGACGAAGCCACTGGACAAGAGCGATGGGCTCTCAATGCAGAACACCTGCAGACGAAAGAGACGACGAGGCAGATCTACGACGCAGTGGTGGTCGCCAATGGTCATTATACTGTACCATATGTTCCTGATATCAAAGGCATCGCGGACTGGAACGCCAGGCATCCGGGAGTGATGCTACATTCCAAGGCATACCGGAAACCGGAAGATTTCAGGGACAAGAAAGTCCTTGTGGTGGGCAACTCGGCATCAGGCCTGGATATTGCAACGCAGATCGGGAAGTATTGCAAGACCCCAATCCTTCTTTCCTCGCGCTCGGTCTCAGCTTTCGGGACGATGCCCCCGACAGAATGGCGGGAGGATGTTGATGAGCTTGTGGAGTTCCTCCCACCGGACGCCGGAACCAGGGCCCTGAAATTCAAGAGTGGCAGGGTAGAGAAGGACATTGACGCGATCGTGTTTGCGACTGGATATTTCTATTCATTTCCTTTTCTGTCAAGTCTGTCACCTCCGCTTGTCACCGATGGTTTTCGGACCAGGGGATTGTACCAACACTTGTTCCACATCGACCATCCCACGCTTGCGTTTCCAGTCATCAATCTCAAGGTCATTCCCTTTCCACTATCGCAGAATCAGGCTGCTGTTGTCGCCCGCGTCTGGAGTGGTCGGCTTGACCTTCCATCTACGGCTGAGATGCGGCAGTGGGAACTTGACATCATCAACCAGAATGGAGATGGGAAGTACTTTCATCTCAAGAGGTTTCCACAAGATGCAGCACAAGTCAATGAACTCTATGCGTGGGCTAAGAAGGCGAGAACAAGAGAAGGGCTCGAAAATGATGGTGTAGGTAGGCTGGGGACCCGGTGGGATGAGAGGCAAGTCTGGATGCGATCAAGGTTCCCAGACATCAAGGCTGCGTATGCAAAGAGAGGAGTCAAGGTCAAGACGATGGAGGAGCTTGGGTTCGATTTTGAAGAGTGGCGCAAGACAGCGGCAGAGAAGGATCTGCAGATGTTTCGAGAAGCAAAGTGCTGAGATGAAGACTCCTAGATACCTGGTAGATACGGAGTATAGACTTAGAATTGTACCTGAGTATTTTAATAAATGATCCTCGAGAGTGGATGGAGTCTCAATTGTAAGTGACTGCCTGGTTCTCTGATTTCAAACTTGGCCTGGCTGTTCACCACAAAGAAGCAGGTGGTGTCGACATTACCTTCATTCACTCTCTCTTTGGTTCACCCAGTTCTCTCACACCTTCTTCTTTCTTACAATGGTGTTCTGTGGCTTTCTAGCAGAGAGAAGACTATCACCTCGCTTCCGCCCGGGCCGGACCACCATCACCATCACCACCCGAGGCCTCTAAGAATCAAGCTTAAAGAGACGAAGTCCAGGTCGGCTAAGTTGCCCCCAAAACCACCTGACACCCGAGATTCATAGGCAGTCATTCATTCCCAGCACTTGCCCAGTGAGTCCACCAGACTCGCCCTCCACCCTTTGGTCGTGCAGGGTGTCATTCTCTTCTTGTACGCCATGTTCTCCCTACTGACCATGACCTCCTCCAGCATCTTGATCGGAGTATAATGAAGGACCCCACACGCAACGACTCGGACACTGTAGAATACAAGCCTTCAAAGCGCAAGAAATCGACCGAAGGACCCGTCGAATACTCCACACGAGACCCTACATGGGAAGAACAATTGAGACTGCCGAAGAGGTTTCATGAATTTGGCCCAGGTACTTGGCCGGCGTCACGTATACTAGAAGAGAAGGTTGTTAAGGTTGGGAAGACAAAGAGGAAATACTATCTGGTAGAGTGGGAGAAGCACCCAGAATCTGGAGAACGGTGGGAACCTTCGTGGAAACCCGCCAGTGATCTACTCGGAGCAACTCTGCTTGAGGACTGGGAACTGTGGAAGCATACTGGCGACGAACGTTTGGGCGAACGAGACATCAGCCGACCTACTGCACCTGTCGGAAAGCCCCAGACCAGAGGAAGCGCAGCTATTCGCAGAATACCGGATTCTTCAAGTGAAGCTGGATCACAACAGTCGAATAGACCTCATCGAAGAACATCATCGCGAACTTCAAATCACCCGGCTTTTTCCAGCCCCAAAGACAGCTCCGAGCAAGCCACGAACAAGACTTGGAGATCAGCTTCGTCCCCTATCGAGATAGCCGAGACTCAGCAGGACTCGTCCCAACGCCTTTCTGTATCGGTAGCGATTCCTCCCATCACCATCGACAAGAGCGAGTACGAGTCACTGCACTCAAGCCAAATCAAATCCGACGGAGCTATCAGAGGGCTTTTCTCGCCCGCGCACAGTCAAGCTACTCCTTCTAGATTGTCATCTCAACTTCCCGTCAGTCAGTCTTCTTCCGATAAGGAACGCGCTATCCCCTTGACCTCCTCTTCTGACCACGAGCCTATTCTACTCGAAAGAGGTGTCACGCCTCCAGTTACTAACCGGCCGACGGCCAGACCGACGGTTGGCCACACGTCTCGATCTTCGGTAAACACCAACCGTGCTAAGGCCAACGCTCATTCCAGTCCATCGTCTATACAAAAGCAACAAACCAAAGACGCTAAAAGCCCAACAGAGTATTCTAGACCTCTCACGAGACACATCCCTAGCTCGTCGAGGCCCTCTCGCTCCAGCCTACTTGTCTCGCCCCAGGACGTTCCAAGAACAGATCGAGAGTCCAGAGGAGCCCGCGAATCTAGCGAAGAGCTTGGTACGCCTTTCAACCGGAGAAGTAGTCAGACAGCGAACATCAATCGAGGCGTTTCGTCGCCCCGTACGAACACACAGTCTCAACGTCAGAACGGCTCTACGTCATCGCCTTGGGTATCCGAAAGTCAAGCCCCTATTCCATTCACTGTTGGCTCGGGGCCCGAAAAGCCCGAGAGACGGCTGTCAGAAGGCTTTTCATCCCCAAGACCTTCTCGTTCTGCCATTAGACGGCCAATGGCTTCTTATCCTACACGAGTTATGAGTCCTCCAGGCTCCACGTCTGAAAGAGCCTCGTTGTTGAGTGCAGGGACAGTACCAGGCAGTATTCCGACTGAGTCTGGTCAGCAGTCGTCATCAGGCGACGTAGACATGGCTGTCAGTGCAATGGGCTCGTCTCCGGTGGCAAGTCATCGTCGGAACATTTCCGAACCAGGACTTGTTCCCAGCATCGCTCCGCAAGCGCCAATCTACGATGTTACACTAGGCGGAAGTGCATTGCCAATCCAGAACTCAATCGAAGAGGAACCACAGTCTTCGAGCGGCGAGCAATCATCAGCGGAATCCAAGGCAAGCTCCAGTCAACAGTCTGTCGAGAATGAACTAGATATTGCCCAAATCGACGGACTGGTGCTCCCTAGTTACCCCATTCTTGGCCCAGCAGAGTATGCAGTGGCTTTGCCAGCCGAAGGCAAGATCCAGTCCACGTACTCCGACATCATCAAATCGAAGAAGAAGGCTATTCTCAAATTTCTCAATCGACACGAATCCGTCGGCTCCTCGAATGGCTCTCCCAATCGAACACAGGAGAGAAACGAAATGATGGAGTTGATTCAGCTATTGAACGATACAGTGACTCACATGGATCTGGGCCTTCCGGGGATCTCTACCCAATATTCAATCCAGTCTGAGCAACATGCCGCATATGCGAACTACGCAGGGTCGAAATTCTCGCTACTCGGCCATCTTGTTGACATGTTGAAGCATGTCGAATGCTCGATCGTTATCATGACTCAAGCAGGCACAATCCAAGACTTGCTTGAGCATTATCTGAAACTGAAGCATGTCAGCGTGAGACGGCAAGACCGTCTCGCCGCCTCCAGATCACCGGTGCCGGACCGCGCACCGAGTGAATTCCAGGTTGAACTAGTCAGCACGTTCTCCACCCACTCAGTCGTCTTCCCCCTCAAACCTATCTTAATGATAGCTTTTGATGCGTCCTTCGACACGCAAGATCCGCAAGTCATGCGCATTAGACAATACTTTTCACCAAAGCCTCCGGCGCTATTACCAGTGGTCCACTTTATCGTGTCCAACTCATCTGAGCACGTTGATCGATGTCTGCCGAAAGACATGCCATCCCCTGCGAGATTGAAGCTTCTGGTGCGTGCGATATATCAGGCTCGACCGAATTTGGGAGGCAAGCCAACTTATGTCCGATCCCCGTCAGATGAACCAGAAGGTAGACCTATGGACTTCGCAGACCTCCAGCGAGCATTGAGAAAGAGTCCTGAACGCAAGCTGGCCATCCTTGCCTCAATAATTACCAGGGCCTCGCTGTCACAAGACTGGGACACCAACTGGACTTTAGGGTCAATGCCCGAGTTGCAGTTGACAGAAATGGACATCCTCCCACAAAGATCCAGCGGCGTGCCAACGGTTTCGACAACACCGAGAGAACCTGCTGCTCGATCGAGAACGCCCGCGTCGCGGTCTGGCACACCATCTGGCAAGAAGCGTTTGCTGGAAGTTGACAACGTCCTACCTGCCTTGAACAAGCGGCAACGACTTACTCCTACTCCTCTCCGAGATTCTGTAGAGGTTGGCCATATCGGAAATGACACCAGTAGTCGAATGGAACAGCTTCAAGATCTTGTGAACAAACTCCAGGCTGGGATCCAGGTCGAACGCGATGCTAAGCAGAAAGCGGAACAGGATGCAAGTCGAGTTCGAGAGCAACTCGACCAATGGAAGAAGGACCATTCTGCCCTCCAACGACGTTACGAAAAGCGAATGACGAAATGCCATGAATTAGAGACGTCCAACAAGAAACTTCTCAAGATCATCGAAAACAACAAGGTGCGGCAGGAAAGAGGCACCGAAGAGAATGGTACACTGAAGCGCAAAGTCACTGAGCTTCAGGCAGAGTTGACCACTGTGCGAGAAGAGGTGAAAGCTGGGGTTGGTGACGCGGCAGCCTTGGAAGCCGCAAGGGGAGAAGCCCGTGGTCTTCAGGCAAAGAATCGTTATCTAGACAAATCACTCGAAAATACACGCAAAGATTTCGAGTTTACGCGGTCACAGTATCAAGAAGCATCAAACAAAGCAGCCGAATTTGCTGGACAGGTCAGAGACTTGGAGGCAAAGGTCGCAGAGCTGACACAGCAGGCGGGTGACGAGAAGCGGCGCCTCATGGAGAAGAGCCATACGAACAGCATTGAGAAACATCTGGCCAAGGTTCAGGAGCTTGAATTGGGTATCAAGACCCGGGAGGTGCTGCTTCGAAAACTTGAGGAAGAGAATCGTCAATTGAAGAGGACACGCGGCGTTCAGACACGAGGCTCTAGCGTCCAACCTCCAGGAAGTCCTGGCCTCGATCAGCCAACCAGAGGAACAAGGAGTCGTCAAGCAAGTCCAGCTCCGGGGTTGTTTCCCAATTCTCACCATGCGGGTGCTGCAAACAGGGGAAGCCTCCTTAGACATGAGCGATAGCCTCGCAAGGAGAACCGTGCGAGGGCAGTACCGATCAAGAAGCCTAGGAGATGATGAGTTCGTGTGGTGGCCACATTCGAAGCCTTGAAGGAGGCAGTAATTCTCGGGGGTTGCGCCCATGGTTGCCTTGGTGTTTGTCTTCGGGGAAGAATAAGAATAAATAACAAAGAACAAATAATCCAAGTCAAGTCTCTTTCTTGCTATGTAGAGATAAGTATGTTGCCTAAAAGATACATGTGCGCCGAATGAAGCTTGGCTGCATCATCAAAAAGCAAATTTCAAATTCGTCAGTCGGGAACTTGCTTTTAGCCGTTATTCTGGCGCTTGAACGGACCGAGGTGTCCATCCGATCATTTTCCGTAGCTTGTCCAGTCGATCATACTAGCCTTGATAGCTTCGGCCGTGCTCATCCCCTCCGCAGGCTTTTCTCCCTCCTGACCTGTTTGACCTGCGACAACTGTGTCTGAAGGATTGAGATCTTCTGCATTGCGAGCAGGCTCCTCCACCTGATGCTCAACCGTCTCTCTTGCATTGTCTCCGACGTCGCTGTCCTCCTTCTTGAATAGTGTACCGGCCTTTGGCTTGCGCTTCTTCTTAGTCTCCAGGATCGCTGGGTTGGGATCTCCGGTTGGTCCGACGCCACTGTCCTCCTTCTTGATTCCTGCACCGGCATTTGACTTGCGCTGCTTTTGCGGCTGCGAGACAGCTGTGTCAACATCTGCATCTTGCGAAGTAGGCTCGCTGATCCGCTTGCGCCTAGCAGAAGGAGTAGCATCGAACTCAATGATCTCAGGCTTAGGGTCCTTGATGAAGATGTTGTTCTGAGGATTATTCACCCCTGACGACGCGAACATTTTGGACGAGGTTGTCCCTCGAATCTGGAGGAATGGCGCTCTTTCTCTCATCCGATTGATCTCGCGCCGGACAGACTCGTCGTCTATACCGCTCTTTAGAGCAATGTCACGAATATCCAGCTAGTATACATCAGGACAGATGAATCCAAAGAATGAGAAAGACTTACTGGGACAATGTGATTAACCACTTGAAGATACTGGTATAGTAGTGCCGCATCCGCCATCTGCATGGGATTGAAACCGGACACCTGAGTCAGACCAGGAACTACCTTTGCTGCTGGCTCTGTAGTCACGGCAGGCATCTCCGACTTAACTTTCGACGCGGTTTGGACGGCTTTGTCTGGCTTCTTGGAGTTGACTTTCGACGCTTGGCCGGCGTTGTCTGGCTTCTTGGGCTTGACTTTTGGCGCGGCTTGGACTGCTTCGTCTTTCGTGTCGACGGCTTCGTCTGGCTTCTTGGACTTGACCTTCGGCGCGGCTTGGACGGCTTCGTCTTCTATGTCGACGGCTTTGTCTGGTATCTTCAACTCGACGTTCGGCGCGGTTTCGACACCATCGTCTGCCATGTCGACGGCTTCGTCTGGCTTCTTCGGATCGTTCGGCGCGGTCTCGACAGCTTTGTCTGCCATTTCTAAGGGATTTAAGGTGATATAGGACAAAGATGGCTGGAAAGGCGTGGGATTTAGGGAATAAAGCTGCACGAGATAACAGAAAGGTCAGAGAAGTGATGCGGAAGAGACAGAAGAAGAGGCGGAAGACCGATTGATATCGGTCAAGGGCAAGACTGCTAGCCCGGGTAAAGAGCCGATGAAGGGAGAGTGAGGCTGAGTCGCAGCTACGACGTCAGTATGTGCAGTGAATCCTGAGTCACGGTGTGGCAGAATTGATGCCCAAGTGAATGAAGCATCTGAATGCAGAGGTGTGATGTTATCCATCGATGCTGATCATCTTCTAACATTCTTCTACTTCTTCCCTTCCATCCTTCGACTAAGTCGTCCGCTCTTCGCCAGCACTTCCTTCGACAATGAGACCACGACGTCGCGAGCCTGTACCTATTCCCTCCATCCATGTCCAGAATGCTAGCTCGCGGCGCCCGGTTCGAGTCACTCGCGGCGACGACGCGGTCCTCCTTCGCCTATCGAGTGACTCGATCTCCAGAGCAAAGGACCGTGGACTCGCAATCTTCCAACCGGCCTTCACTTTGGTTGCGAGTCCGTGGTGTCTAATTCGCAGTCTTTCGCTGTGGTGGTGTAGCTTGGGTAGGTTCGCAGCGCTACTGGCAAGTCCCCTGTTTCGTCCATTTTCTGCTCTGAAGTCAGACAACGATATCTAACATTTGTTCTTGAATGGCAGGATACTATGACACGGCTGAGACTGAACCGTCCGGAGTGTGGTCTTTTGCGTTGATGCTGTGTTGAAATGGTGGTAGCCATGGCGGTTTGTTCTTTCCGAAAAGGAGCATCCGCACCTTCCTACAATGTGAGACTGAGACTGCACCCTCTTCCATTACTTGAAAATTTTTTCACTAACCATCATAACCAGACAACCTATGCTGCCCTTTTGTTTTCGATTGTTCGGACTCTACTATCTTCTCGTTTTCTGATTTTCTCCTCGAAACCATGTCTGATGTCTTTCGGACCACACAATACAAAGCATTCAACGACGAGCTAGTCCGCAGAGTCGACGAAGCTCGGACTATATCGTCTCACTTCACATCTATCACGGACACAGCAAAGAATACTCTGAAAGTCATTTTTGAGCAGAAGCTGTACGAAAAGTTCTTCGTCTATACCACTCAATCCTTTATCGACGTCTTCTTAAGCCCAACTCCTCCAACCCTTGCCGACCTCCTACGTCTACCAGCCGTCTCGCTATTTGACAGAGATGTCTTAGACTGTTCTTATGTGGTGTACATTGTGGTATTGATCAAGGACGGTGTCGTCTCCTTTCGCCTATACGTTGGCTCTGCTTCGGACACGAGTTACGGAGCATGGCGACGGCTGCAAGATTACGAAACTGGGAAACAAATGGCTATGCATGTCCAAGAGAGCCTTGACCAAGGGTTCGAGATCCATCACCACGGAATTGCACTCCTTGCATCTCGTAAGCATACCGACGCTACAGGAAACCTTCGTTCATGGATACTCGCACTTGAGGCAGTAGTGACCTACTCTCTCTGGACCCAATGGCAGGGGCCAAAATCGAGACCCCACCAGGATCATTACATGAGACCACTTTGTCGGTGGGACGTTGACAACCTCGGATATCTTGGTCTTAATACTCAGAACCCTCTAGGCGAGCCTGTAAGTAGGGGGGACGACGGTCTGAGTGCAAGTGCACGAAGCTATCGAAAGACAAAACACGCACTTGATCAATACGAGGCTGGGGAGCTTTCGTCATCAGACGAAACAGTCCAGAACGCATTGAGACTTCGGCAAGACCGTCGTAACCGTCAAGGAAAGAAGAAAGACGTACTTAAGAAATACGATGCTGGGGAGCTTTCGTCCTCGGACGAAGTAGTCCAAGACGCAGTGAAAATCCGGCAATACCACCGTGACCGAGATGGAAATAGGAAGGACGTACTTAAAAAATACGATGCTGGGGAGCTTTCGTCATCGGACGAAGCAGTCCAAGGTCCATTGAAAAGACGGAATCAAAAGATCAAGCGTGACCGAGATACACAAAATCTTCTACGCCAGTGGCAAACTGGTGCATTGAAGGAACCAACCCCGGACGAGATGGTCCGCATTGATGGAGCAATCCGGAACAGGAAATCCTCCAGGGCACGATGGGATAAACTCAAGGAGGACAATGTTGTGGAGAAGGCCAAAGCGAACATGGAGAAGTGGGGTATGAAGATGTACGAAAAGAAGATTCGAAAGCAGGCGCGAGACTTCTACCGCCGCGGGGGGTGGTCACCGTCCGAGCGACCGGCGAAAGTGGATGAGGCTATCCGAGAATTCAGACAGCTGGGTCATATTGAATATGCAAAGCTACACGCTGCGAGACAATACAAGATGAAGGGTGAGGGGTCCGAGATGGTGGCTCGTACTGCGAGCTCAGCGAACACGAAGGACGTCCAAGACATCCAAGACGATCGTGTCCTGAGTGAGGATGATGATATTGGCGACGATATCGAATTTGAAGACGAGCATGTCTTTACCGAGGATGTTGATCCTGACGACGACATGGAGTTCGAACACGACATTGTGTCTGCCAATAAAGCATACAATGACCATCGCATGGAGATACCAGACTCGGAAAACGATGATGTCTTGAATGAGGATGATGGTGCTGACGACGGTCTTGAGCCAGAGGACAATATTGTCTTTTCCGATGAGCTATACCGGGAACATCGCATGGAGATACCAGACTCAGAAGACTCCGACTCGGACTGGAACGGCAAGGACTGAGACATTTCCGTCCAATCTAGCAGGGAGGGCTGGATCTTCTCGTGTGCTCGGTCATCTACATATGGGCTGGGATGTTCGTCGTAGGCGCTTCTCAGAAGCCATCTTCACGTCCTGGACACTGAGCCTCCAGTGTCTCCCTCGATCGTGTCTAAGGTAGGCATGTTACGGAGTACCGCTCATCCATACCATAGCCATGATGCGACAATCTGATCAATATGAATGTCTCATTGCATTATCTACAGTCTTTTCCTCTGCATGTCTCTTATGAAGAGCAACTGCATTGAATTGCTCGTTGGAATCGTGGAACATCACCGCAATACTTCTTTTCAATCTCCTCGTTCCATTGCCACTCATCTTGGAACGGGTTCATGGTCATCTCCATCACTCCCTTGAGGATGTCTCGTTCCTTCTTGGTCTGAACGCGGTTAATGATGTCGTCGAGCAACCATCCTCTGGGTACGAAGTTGGGGTTGACTGCTTTCATGGCCTTCTCCCTCTCTTCGTCGGCAGATGACTCGCTGCCCCAGTCTTCCTCGATACGTTCACGCCAGGAATCAAGCCACTTCCCGACCTTCTCGCGTCCAGAGTCGTTGGTCTCGTTCAAGCCCGTGACTCCTTCATGATGGAAAAACCGTTCGGCCGTCTGTTCTCGTTTCTCCTGGGTGTTAATGTCGTCCAATTTCACAGTGGACAGCCGGCGGAAGAAGTGGTTGAAGTCGAGTTCGAGTGCTTCCATAGTGTCAAGGAGCTCGGAAAACAAGGTTTCGAAGTCACCGTCCTTTTGACTCTTCAGGCCCAGGCGCAAAGTCATCAGGCGACGGTACTCGCTGAGGAACACCGCTTTGTATTCATCGCCGATCTGGTCAATGATGGTCTCAGCACGCTTGATCAGTACCGGAGCAAAGTCTTCCTCGACGCCCTTTTCCACAAATACTTGATCGTCGACACGATCACCAGCGCCTATTAGTTCACCTAGAGACTCGCCCAGGCGGACAAGGTTCCACCAGATAATACTAGGTTGAGCCCGGTAACTGTATCGAAGCATGTGATCGTCGTGGTTGGGAGTATATGCAGGGTCAAAGTTGTCCATAAAGGCAAAAGGACCATAATCCATTGACAGACCATAGATCGAGGTGTTGTCGGTGTTGAGGACGCCATTCATGAAGCCGTATGCTTGCCACATGCCGACGACCTTGGCGTTGCGACGTACGATTTCGCGGTATAGCCTGGTGAAACGGTTCTCCTCGGCACCTTCCTTACCCTGGAGCTCGTCCTTTGGCACGCCTCTGCCTGGGTCAAGGTGTGCGTCTTTCGTGTCGGCGGGCAGGACTGCAGGCAGTGACTCCCACCCACCAAAGACATCTTCAGCGACGTAGGTGGCGACTTTTCGAATCAAGTCGCGGTCCCCTCTGGATCTCAGGAGGTCAAAAGTCCCCAGTCGCAACCACGATTGAGCGAAACGACATACAATAGCGCCTGGCTCAAGCTGTTCTCGAACCACGGTGGATTTCGGACACAGCGTAAGCGACAAGGCTCGTGTGGTGGGGATACCAATTGAGTTCAAATACTCCGACACAATGAACTCTCTGATGCTGGATCGCAGGACAGCTTTACCATCAGCAAAGCGCGAATATGGTGTCTTGCCTGCGCCCTTCAACTGGAGTTCGTAGCGGACCTTGGTCTGCGGGTTGATCGACTCGAACAGAGAGATTGCTCGTCCATCACCCAATTGGCCCGCCCATTGGCCAAATTGGAAACCACCATAGCATTGCGCCCAAGGATAGATCCCACCATTTTCTTCATCCCAGTAGAACTTATTGCCCGCTACGACCTCTTTAAGTTCTTGTGAGTTGGCCTCACTATCGGCAAGCCCAATATCGCGCAGAGCTGCTTTGCTGATGGCTAAGAGCTCGGGGTCTTCTGTGGGCTCGGGTCGAACATATGTATACAATGCACCTCGGACCATACGAGGGCCCAGCTTTTGCCGAGGCGCTTTATGTGAGTCGATGGGAGTGGGAAACTGAGGGTCTGGAGGCAGCTTGGAGGTAAAGTTGTTCGACTTTGGGATGTCTGCTAGAGTAGAAGTGGCATCATTTTGTACTTCGGTTCGAGGGCCACTGGTGAGGCCATTCGAGTGGCCATTGGAGATATGGGAAGACATCTGAGCAAGTCTCATGCGAGCGGGCGATGGAGAGGGTCGATAAAGACGGGAAAACTGCCGGAGTAGCATGCGCAAAGCAATCAGGAACAAACAAAGGATGAAGGAGTTATATAGGAGTGGCAACGAGGTCTGATTTGGAATGATATTGAACAAATCTTCCATCATAATCATTTCTCATCTGCCTCCTCAAGACTTCTTCATCCTTCAAGTTCCAGCGAATGAGGCAAAACGCGGACTGATCATAATGACGAGCGAACCTGATGTCATCCCCAGTTTCTCCAAAAAGCACTCCGGAGCATAAAAGCCGCTGGTGCAGAATGTACGGTGACACAGAGAAGAGATGATGCACTTTTGGACGGACATGAATGATGATAGAAGAACCGTCGTTTCTTGCCTCGAGACTGCTGCCTAGGCAGCGCATCTAATCAGCATCTCGAACGTTGTCCACTAGATGCCCAATGCATCTGACTGACGATGTTTGCGTCTGGGGACAGAAAAGCGATCGAGAGGGTCTGCCTTATGGGCAAATGGTGGCTGATTGACGCCCAGACCCTCTGGAATTTAGGCCCTTACTTATAGTAGGTAGGCTCCGGGAGTACCTGAAGATCCCGCACCTGTCAAGTGGACGACTGGACGTATATCCTCCGGCTTGGGTCTTGCTGTGTAACCTTGAAACCCTCTTCTGATCTTGCTGCCTCTTCGGGCTCTCAAGTCTCAACAGATTCGACAAGTTGCATCAATCCATCTCATCCATTGCTCATGCAGTCCCGATATGAAGCATCCTATCGGCGCAGTGCGGCGGTGAGGAACTGCTTAGCGAGCCCTTGAAACTGCGCGACGTGTCCCTCTCAGTCGATTCCCCACCTCTGACTGCTTCATTTGTTGTTCTTTTGCTACCCAAAGAATCAATGCGTGACTGGGGAAAAATGAGAAATGTCCCTATCAGAGCACTGTTTACAGACAGACCTCAGTCATGAGATGAAGCTCTCAAAAAGAGCCAAGTATTGCCTTCTATTTCTTGCGTAGAATCCCCAGCACCTGCAGGATTCACTTTCACTATCAAACTGCCTTGACAATTTTCTCCTTTCCCGCCTGAAACCCTTACTGCTGCAAGGATTGCCCGTTACGATTGCCCGTTGCAGCTAGGGCTCGCTTAACATTTATCAGATATTTTATTTCAGCACGTGAAAGATGGCGTCTGAGAAGCGCCTGCGCCGAATATCGCAGACCAAACTCGGTCAACGTCTTCCTCCTGGCCTGCCAAAGAGGTCCACAAGTCTACGTCGAGCCTACAACTATCTCTTCCATCCCGATTCTCCGTCCTCATCGACCGATCCTATGTTCCGACGAAAGTTGTCACAGCGAGCCTCAGAAGCACCCAAACCAGACCCAGGGAGCCAAAATCAAGTTGACAATCTTCGGAAAGAGTTGCAACAATGTCGTCAAGAACTGGACGAGGCCAAAGACATGGTCATTGCCCAAGAGAAAGAATTGTCGTCTTATGAGATCAATCAAAAGAAACTCGAGGCTCAATACAAGGACAAGGAGGCAGCGCTGAGAAAACAAAAGGCTTCGATAGAAGACAATATAGTGACAGTAGTGGTTCAGCAGATCCGAGATGCTCAGAAAGCCGAACGAGAAGCCGTCAGAGAGGAACTGAGCAAAGAACACCAAGATGCATTGGACAACCTTCACCACAAATATCGGTCAAGGGTGGCCATAATTACACAAGAATTGCAAGACTCTCGATCTGCAAACGAACAAAACAAAGCTACCTATGATATTCAGTTGACAACACTACGCGCCGACCTTGCCACTCTAAACAAAAAACTCGAAGCTGCAAAAACAGTCATTGCGGAGACTACTTCTACGTTGAAGGATGTCCAACAGGCATCCAAGACCGCACTGGAAGACTCGCAAAAGGCAAATGCTGCTCTCCGGACGGAACTAGAATCTCAAATTGCGACCCTGACCGAGCAATTACAGAATGCCCACTTGAGCACACAAGAGCACAATCAGAGATATGCCGATCTTCAAGATACCTCTGCTCAAGCTCTTGAATCTGCCAATCAGTCGCTAGCGTCAACGAAAGAGCAGCTACAAGCCCAGATTGATTCGCAGACGACAGAATTATCTACACTCAAAGATGCTCTGGAGGCGGCCTTCGCAAGAAGCGACACGGACACTTCGGCACATCAGATTGTGAAAGATGAGTTGGCTGCTGCTCGGCAAGAGATCGCGGAACTCACAGTGAGCTTGACCAGCTATGAAGAGTCCAAAGCGGCATTGTCTATTTCCGAGGCCCGAGTGACGGAACTAACGCAGAAAGTGGAGGAGCTTTCTACGACCAAGGCAGCCTTGGGAGCATCTGAAGAGAAGGTTGCTCAACTAATGGTGGATCTGGGGTCTTTCAACGCGCGTAGAGACGAGCTCGCAAGCTCTCAGGCAAAGATTGCTGAAATCAAGATAGCCGACCTAACCGCAAAAGTCGAGGACTACGATCAGACCAAGACTGCTCTGGCCGACGCAGAATCCAAACTTGGTGAACTGTCTGCAGAGCTTGAGGGTTACGCCGGACTCAAGGCCGAGCTCCAAACCGAGAAAGAACGCTCAGCTGGTTTTTCCAGAGAGATCGAAGGCCATGCCAGCATTGTTGCAGACCTGCAAGCAAAACATGAGGACACTCAAGCACGTGCAGTTGATGCCGATGAGAAGCACGGTGCTGTCCTAAGCCAGCTCGAGACTCTCAAGGATGACAGTCGCAAGCTGGAGACACTGAAAGAACAGATGAACAAATTAAATCAAGATCTGGAGACTGCCTTGGCAGCTAAGGAGGCGGAATCCCAGCGGATTGCGAATCTGGATTCTGAGAGAACTAAGCTTGCTGAGGAGGTCGGGACTCTGCAACAAGCTTCTGCCGTTTTCACAAGTCGTGTTGAGGAACTCGAAGCGGAGAAGAGTGAACTTGCAGCCTCTCTAGAAGCGGCTGAACAGGCCAAGACAGCTTCAGACGATAAAATTGGCGGTCTGGAAGAAGAGCGGTCAGAGCTGGCCTCTAAAGTCGATCACCTCCATACCGCTCTGCAAACCCAGACAGATGAGGCTCAAGCGGCTGTTGCAGCTAAAGCCGAAATAGAGAAGAAGCTCGAGGAGACACAGGCTCTTGAGCACCAACGAAGTGCACTCCAAGAACGGGTCGACTCAATTGAAGCCGCCAATAAAGAGCTCGCTGAAAAGCTCGACCATGCTATATCGGCAAAGGCAGAAGCCGAAGGTCAAGCGAAACAGCTGGAAGACGAGTCTAAGTCTGCCAGACAAAAGATGGAAGAGGAGCTCGCAATCGTCAAGGATGCTCTTGCCAAGTCCAGCGAAGAATCAGCATCATCAATGGCCGAACTGCAAGAGAAGCTTGCCACGCTCGAAACATCACATCAATCAGCACAAGATGCCCTCGCAAAAGCTCAGCTGGATGCAGAAAGCTCGACGGCCGAGATGAAAGAGAAGCTGTCGGAAGCACATCAAGCGTACAAAGCAGCGCAAGATGCACTCGATCAGGCACAGGCCGACGCGGCCGCGTCATCGGCTGATCTTGGACAGAAACTTGCCGCAGCGCAGGATGCACAGAAAGCTGCTGAAGAAGCTCTGGCCCAGGCTCAAGAAGAATCCACGGTATCTAGTAATTTGCAGGCTGAGCTTGCGGTGACGCAAGCGGCTCAGAAGTCAGCTGAAGAAGCACTCGAGGAGCTGCAAGCACGGTTCAAAGCCGCTGAAGACGAGCAGGGCAGTCTCGAAGCCAAATTACGCCAGGCACAAGCCGTCAAAGCGGAGGCGGATAAAACTGTCAAGGATGCTGAGGATGCCAGGGCTGAGACGGAAGGCAAGCTCAAGGCTGCCGCAGATGAGAAAGCTGCGGCTGAGGAGAAGCTCGCCCATGTCGAAGCAGAATTGAGTTCCGCCAAGCAAGCGCATGCTGAAAGTGCAGACCTAGTATCCAAGGACCTCGAAGCTAAAGAGGCAGAATTGGAAGCAGCATCGAAGTCAAGATCAGTCCTGCAAGCCCAGCTGGACGAGTCCGCTGCGAGAAATAACTCATCCCAAAGCCGACTAAAAGACCTTGAGTCAGAACTCGAACATCTCAAGGCCAATACCACAGAGACGGATAATCAAGCCCAGGAGAACGTCGCGGCGAAATCTCGAGAGATCGACGCCTTGACCGAGAGCAAAAACGAGACAGAAACCCGACTGAAAGACGCAACTGCGGAACTGCAGGCCTTGCGAAGTGAGGTCGAAGCAGCCAGATCGTCTATCATCGACACCCCGGATCAGAGTGAGGACGACGTCGAGTCAAAAGGACGAAAGCGTGAGGCCTTGTCGGGCAATGTGGATAAACTCCAGGCGGAATTGAAGGATAAAGACGACGAGATTGCCGAACTAAAGGCTTGGAAGCAGAAAGTCGAACAAGAGATTGAAGTTCTTGCTGGGCGAGGACAGTAGTCTTTGGTGATGATGACCAGGCGCCAATCGTGGTTGTTGCGAATGGGAAGAAGGCCGCGCATGGGTCAAGTTGGATATGTTCACTGACGGGATGGAGCTCATGATTGAATGATTGCATTGATTACTCTGGGTAAGGTACCTAGTATCTGGAGACAAGCGAGTTGGGTGCAGACAGAAGCATGTTCCGGCATACACAGTGCCTGCATTGTCACATATTGAATTGGTTGATGGTCTTGAGCAAGCGATTGAGTGTTATCTTGTTGGTAAGCAGAATGGAGGTTGGTAGTGGGTGCATCATTCATTTATTGACATTCACAGCCACCGACCGCCACAGCTGTCATCCTCGCAGCCACCTCCCTCATCCCCGTCCACGCATTGACCGTGCCACTGAGCCTCTCCATATACCATCCACCCAGCCATTCACCTAGGTGGCCCCCCTGCCGGGCTCTAACTCTGGCTTCTTGTCACTCAACGCAGAAACGTGTGATTGGGTGCCAACAAGCCCCGTGGCAACCAGATAATGCGCGATGATCTCATATCTGGTCAACACAAACTTCCCACCAACTACAAGAGCCGAGGAGGAGTGGGAGGTACGTCGAGAAAAAGTTGGAAGTACGCGAGAGCACGTTTTTCATTTCATGGCAATACTCGTATCGTGGGAGGCGTCTTCTTGTTGATTAAAGACTTAAAGTAAAGCTTTGGCGCTTCTCATCAGGAATCTACATGTCCTTTTAATTTTCTTCTGCAAACACTTTTCTTATACTAGAATTCAGAGCTAGACTTGACTTGACTTGGATTGTTATTTCTAATTTTCCTTCCCAAAGACAACCATGGGCGGAACCCCTGAGAACTTCTGCCTCCTTCAAGGCTTTGAATGGAACGTCCCAGCAGACCAAAAGCACTACATCAGGCTGAAGAATGTCCTGCAGGACCTCAAGAGCATTGGCATCGACAATGTCTGGTTGCCTCCCGCATGCAAAGGCGCTGGCGGCACCGAAGCCAACGGCTACGACATTTACGATCTCTACGATGTGGGCGAGTTCGACCAGAAGGGCGGCAAGTCGACGAAATGGGGCCCGCGCGAAGACCTCGACGCCCTCGCTAGTCACGCTCAAGATCTCGGCGTAGGTCTGTACTTTGACGCCGTTCTCAACCACAAAGCCGGCGCGGACAAGCAGGAGAAATGCCGCGTCATAGAAGTCGACCCCAATGACCGCACCAAAGACGTCGGTGAACCCTTTGAGATCTCGGCCTGGCTGGGCTTCGATTTCCCCGGTCGCGGCGACCAATACTCGTCGCAGAAGTATCACTGGGAACACTTCTCCGGCACCGACTACGACGCGTCCAACGACCGCACCGCCATCTTCCGCATCCTGGGCGACAACAAGCACTGGTCGTCGAGCGTGGGCGACGAGTCCGGCAACGCCGACTTCCTCATGTTCGCCGACGTCGACTACTCGCACCCGGAAGTCGAGGCCGACGTGATCCACTGGGGCGAGTGGGTGGTGTCGGAGTTCAAGCTCAAGGGCTTCCGGTTCGACGCGTGCCAGCACTTCAGCGAACGTTTTACGAATGAGTTCGTCGCCAACCTGGATCGCAAGTTCGGCGAGAGCAATCTGTTCTTGGTCGGCGAGTTCTGGAGCGGCAACGTCGGCGAAATGCTCGAGTACCTCGACCAGATGCAGCACAAGTTCTCGCTGTACGACTCGCCGTTGCTGAACAATTTCTCGCAGCTGTCCACCACGGAGTCGGCGGATCTGCGCAAGGTGTTCGACGGCAGTCTCGTGGCAGCACGCCCCGAGAGTGCCGTGACCGTGGTGATGAACCACGACACGCAGCCCGGCCAGACGGTCGCCACGCCCATCGAGGGCTTCTTCAAGCCCATCGCGTACGCCTTGATCCTGCTGCGCAACCAGGGTTACCCGAGCATCTTTTATGGCGATTTGTACGGGATCAAAGGCCAGCACCCGGAGCCGCCGTCGTGTGGAGGGAAACTGCCTCATCTGGTGCTTGCGCGGAAGTTGTTCGCGTACGGCGAGCAGGACGATTACTTTGACGACAACCCGAATTGCTTGGGCTTCGTGCGCAGAGGCACGCATGATCGCCCTGCCGGCCTGGCGTGCGTGCTGTCGAATGCCGCGCCCGGCCAGAAGAGGATGGCCGTCGGCAAGGAGCATGCCGGGGAAATCTGGACCGACGTGCTGGGCTGGCAGACGGACGAGGTCAAGATTGACGACGAAGGGTATGGCGAGTTCATGTGTCCCGGCACCAGTGTGTCTGTCTGGGTCAATAAGGACGCCGAAGGGAGGGATAAGATCGATCATCTGGATTTTGATACCGACATTTACACCAAGGCTTGATTAGACAGAACAGATCAGACTTGACTTGGAATTAGATTGGATTCGGAGGAATAGATTTGGGTGGTTAGATTTGGATTGTTGATTGGATTTGGGTATTAGATGGGTTACCATACTGGACGATATACTAGTACTCAGTTGTTTCTATCTCGGGTCGAATCTGCAAGATGCTGTAGTCAATTACTAATATTGCCAGTAACTATTCGTAGTCTTCAACGACGACATCCTCCTTCAACCCTGAAGCGACCACGCGGACAGAATGATGGCGGCAGGCTCCCCCTTCCGACATGAATCCCGAACAAAAAGGCCGAGTGGCAATTCTATCGGTACTATAAGATTCTCATCGAAGAACCCCCCAACAACCACCTGCAGCTGGAGCAGGGGATCCGGGGATGCAACCACAGACCGGTGCAGGCCAGGGCCAAGGTCAATGCCCAGATCCGAGTGCGCCACGTTATAATGGTTACGCAAGTACTTCGTATGGATTGTCCTGTTCGAGAGGTCCATCAAAGCTCTGGTGGAATAGATAGACAAATATACTGAGGCCGAGCTCTAACTCCGCCATCTTGGTCCTCCTGGCAAACGCAAGAACGACTAACCCACGGAGTAGTCCTCAGCCATACAGGACTTCACAAACGCCGCCAATAGGAACATCCATGACCGCATCGGTACCCTCATTCCAGATCATTTTCCAGTTTGGATACGTGCCGTCCTCGCCGGATCCATCGTGCTGGGTGTGGCCGACCGACCCATTGGCGAGGTACGGAATTGTCGAAGCATACTGATACGCCCTTTGGTCGTGATACGATGACGAACGAGCAGTGCCATTGGACATTTGATTGTGCCTTGCCGTTGCTGGGACTTCGGGAGATGAAGCGGAAGGAGGAGCGGCATGAGCGGCATCCGAAACACGATACGAGGGACGTCGTCGTTGCTTTCCTTTCTCCTTGGCACTGTTCCCACTCTTGGATGCTTTTCTACCCCCTTTTGCAGCAACTTTGGCTCTGAGTTGCTCCTCCATCCTGGCCCGTTCTTCCATCTCCCTGACAAAGCGCTTGCTCCCACCTTTCCTGATCCGGCCGTGCTCGTCGAGGATGGCCACGTTGGCGGCCTCGTCGACCATGCATTCTAGACTGGCCATGGGGAGGGTCAAATATTCGAGGTTGTAGCTGAGAAGCGCGACGTAGATGAATATCAATAGCATGACGATCCAGGCAGGTATGGCTAGAGACCACCATCGGTTCGGGTAGTATGTTATGCCAAGGGCGTGCAGAAACGGAGAAGGCAGATACGACCACAGGATGTACATCAGGAATGTGATGGTCGAGGCCAAGTATAGAACGAAGCCGTAGTATTCGTACGTGGGCACCTTTGGCGACGTGGGCGGCAATGGATGTGCACGGCGTGCGGAATGCGCGACGGCTGCTTCGGTGTCGTTGGGCGTTTCAACGTCCGAGTCTTCGGGTGTGGTTGGTCGGGTCGATGTCGCGGAGCGGTTGAGCAGAGAAGGCGGGCGGAGGAGGGATGTTAGACTTGGTGACGGCGGGAGCGGCGTCGGTGGCCGGTTGTAAAACGGTGGGTAGAGTGGTGGAGGCGGAGGCAGGGGCGGCGGAAGCGACGTGGTCGACTGGGAAGTATGAAGCCCGCCAGCTTGGTGTCCGTTGAGGACATTTGTCTGTAGAGGTGGCCGTGCTGGCAGTGATCGGACTCGCGAGAGCGCATCTGGTCTTTGCGACGACGAGGGGAATTGTCCCCCTCTTCTTGCCGAGACCGAGCCATCTTCATCATGCTCGTCGGCTTGATATTCTGTCTCTGCTTCTTCGGGAGGTATATCCTCATCTTCTGACGAATTGGGCGACTCTTGCCTCGAGTAGTGCGACTCGAAATCATCGTCGTCTAGCGTCACCCCAGCGACTTCGTCGTCTTCTTCTGGCGCATCGGGGAAGTCCTCGTCTTCCGTTCCGTCTCTGTCTTCGCTACCAAGTTCAAAAGCCGTCGCGGCGCGTGTTCTGATCGTTCGAGGCGTCGGTGTCGGTGTAGCACCGTCGCGGTCTGGGATGATCATGCGAGGACCAGTTGGGGTGCGCTGGTCGGGGATCAGTGTGGTCGGAGACGGGAGATTCTCGAGATAGGGACGGAGTGTAGGTGGAAGGGATTCCGACTTCGAGAACGGACGTCGCCCCGGCTCAGGCGACGCGCCTCTGCTTTGTGGTGGCATGTTATGGTGGCATTGAATTGGCGCAGTCTTCGAGACCGAGGACGAAAGTTATAGACGAAATCGCAAGGCTGAGATGCGGAGGAAACATGTTGCCGCTTTAGACAAGACAAGGCTGAGCATTATGGAAACTGGGGACTATTACGATCAATGCTTCCATGGCTGTGAATTGCGCCATTATGTTCTATATACGATCGAAACTTTTCCAAGACCAGGTCAGAGTTTGACGCCAAATTGCCAACCAGACCGGTAAAGCCTCAAGGCTACCAAAAACCCAACGGTTGTCACAAGTGCCAGCCCAGAGAACAGCTGGACCCCAAGGTAGCTTCCAGTGCTTTTCAGGATAGCTCCAGCAATCGGGCTTCCACACAGGGATGCAACGGCGTTGAGAACCGATGACATACCCATTCTCGTACCAAAACGACTCATGTCCGTAGTCAGTGACGCCAGAATCACTGCAGGCATTGATATAATTCCTCCCGAAGTGAAACCCCAAGCGATGGCAAACACCACACTTCCAGCCGGGCCTCTGACAGCAATCCAACTCAAGGTTACAATGGCGCAAGACGTCGTGGCAATCAGCATCGTGTTTATAGGCCCAATCTTTCCAGCAAAGTACGACGGCGTGATTCGACCTGGGATGGAAGCCGCATTAAGGATGGCGACCAGATACAGCGCCAAAGTGCCATGTTGGACGCCATGAGCCAAAGCATAGGACTGCAGGTAAAACACGGGCTCAAAGTATCCAAAATAACTCGCCATGATCGCGCCGCAGTATAGCACATAGGGTATTTCTTTGAAAGCCTGCAAGTCGACCAGTGACCGCCTTGTACTCGCGACTCCTCGAGGACGAAACACGCAGATCGCAAATGCGCATGTTGCCAGGCTGATAAACCCAATGACGCGCGTCGCCCATCCGAAGCCTATCTTTGGCTGCAGCTGCTGGAAGATAATCGGATATAACGTCCCTCCGAGACTGCTCCCTGAGGTGACGATACCGGTGGCGATGGCCCGCTTCTTGGAGAAGTACCTGGGAAGTAGCGCCAGTGAAGGAATGTACAGGAAGCCCGTGCCCATACCGATCAGCACGCCTTGCGAGAGCATGACTTGCCAGTACTTTGTACAGAGACTAGTGAACATCCAGCCCAGCACTATCAGTGTACTGCCTGAGATGACTAGGGTTCTGAACAGACCCATGTCGTACAATGGTCCAGCAATGACACCCACCAGGAGGATCATGAATGATTGAGTCGAGCCGATCCATGAGATTGTGTCGGGAGACAGTTCAGTATAGCCGATGGTTTCGTAGTATGTCTGGTAAACGCCGAATGTATTGATGATGCCCCTGAGACAGATGTTGGTCAGTAAGGAGCGTCTCGTCGAGTGATGACTCGAGTGCTACGCAAAGCTGTGCAAGGACTGACCAGGAATTGAAGAACAGGAGCCAAGACCCAGCAACCTGGAGCCATGCTATGAAGCCGCCGTCCGGAACATGTTTTTGGTCGTTCTGCCCTGCCAGAGCATCTGCGCCGGTGATCTCGACAACTGCTGGACCCTGATCATGCTGCTCGCGTTTCTCCTGCACAGGGTTGTCGCTGTCGTCTTGACCTGGTTGGATCGCAGTCATGGCCGTGTTGCCTCAAGATCATACTTCTTTTCCTCCAGAACAGAGCGACTTGCTGAAGCTATATAGGCACAAGGGAAGGGTGACAGAAAATATCCAAGGCAAAAGGCGTACTCACCACGAGAAGTGGGGGACCGCTAGGACCTATGAGCCTTCGTACTGCGTACATCTTTGTGGATCAGATCCAGTACGAGCTTGTTGCATGCCGATTGCCGGCGGTCGCTTTCCGTCGAGTCAAGAATACTCGAATACTACGCTGGACGAGCCGTTCATGATGATGCCGTCGAAAGAATCACATAGGCGTCTGCACGATACTTACCGCATTGCTGAATCAAGAGAGAGCAAGAACGAAGCCAAGATTGCTTGGTTGGCAGCCAGTGCCTTGTATGGCTCCAAATACGTACTAGTCTCGGCCGAAAGCCCAGCCTCGCATGTGATGAAGAGTACCCTGATGCGATTGAGAGCAATGATAAGAACTATAGCAAGTGAATGGGGCGAGAAAAAGGGTCAAGGAAGGATGAGAGTGGGTCATCTGGGGGATATTATTCTTTATCTGGAAGTCATCGAGGTATTGCGCAACCCTCGAGTAAACGCTTCGCTTTTTGTACATGATATCATGTGAACGCTCACTGCAAATTCAAAGCCAGACTGTCATGACGTCGTGAAGAGCATGAAAATGCTTGCTCTCGTGATACCTGGGATGATATCTGGTATGCTCCAATTTCTTCTGTATGTTCGTGCTCCAACCCCTGTGGAAGCTTGATCGTCTGCATCCTAATAGAACCTTATACGTTTCGCAGTCCAAGACCGATATTGCCACCACTACTGGCCCTGGTGAAGTCCGAGGTAATTGAGCCAGCACTCATGCTACTCGTCCCTGTCCGCGGCGAGGGCAGTGGCGGCGTAGGGGATTTCGCGAGGTGGTCGAACAGCAATTGCCTCTTCGGAGTCGGTAACGCTGGTGGCATCGGAACGTCGTGTTTCGTGCTGATCCTGCCCAGACCTTTGATCGCCTGGCCGATACTTTCGCTGCGACGGCGCAAGTTTGAGAAAGATTTCTTGCGCTGCATGGACCGTGTGTCGTCACCAGCATTGTCCTCGGCTGGTGGTGTTGGGAGAGAGGGGAGCGCCGTCATCAACGCATTTTTGTGGCTGCCAGAACTCGACGTGCTCATTGCGGTCGAAGGGCGTGTCATGACAGTAAAATTGTGCGCGTTGTTGGAGAAGGCCATGGATTTGAGCGTGGAAATGGCCTCGACCCCAGATATACTGGCTGTTGAAGGCCGGCTATGGTGACTGGAAGCATGGGAAAAAGTTCTTGAGTGAGTGGCAGATGTAGGTGTTTTGATCAAGTTTTTGATGCTGCTCATGCGAGCGTGGTTGAGGGCTATCGACAGCCGAGGAACATTTGACCTTCGCAATGTTCTGGCTTTGGACTCTTTCCAAGCGGACGCGGAAAGAGGAAGGGATTCCTGGCTCGCGTTGGCAATGAGCTCGATAGCATTTGCTGGCAGATCTGGGATCTCGAAAAGAGTCGCCTCGGCTGCGGGAAACCCAGAATGCGATGAACTCGACGATGGGCGTCTAGCTGGTCGTTTGGCCGGCTGGGGAAGTTCTTGGGACAACGGACTCTGCGGCGTTGTGTTTCTCCGTTTCCCGCCTTTCGATATGCTGACAATTGATATGAGAGATGGCCTCGTTTTCGGCTGCCGGAAAGAGATAGGCGTTGCAGTCTCAACAGGCGAGAATGATTCATCGATGTCAAGGTCCGCACTTAATGCTTCTGATGGTACTGGAGAGTCCAGAACCATGGAATACCGATCATATCTGAAGTCTGCCCACGATGCCAATGACGCCTGGAGGACTGGTCGTGGAGACGGAGGAACGACAACACGTTCGTCGCCCAGCGCCATCTCTAGGACTCCTTCATCTTCGGGTGTTTCGATTTTGAGGGGGAGCTCAGTATTAGTTTCGTAAGGGTTCGGCTTGCCGAATGTTGCTCTGTGTGGGTGAGGCTCGTCCGGGGTTAAGACACTGCGCTCAGAAGGTGTTTCGACCGACGACTCTCGATCAAATTGCTTCCCATTCATATTCATGTGGTCTGGCGAATTATCCCGTGCATCGTACAGATCATCAGTCGCATCATCGTAGATGACAATCCTCCTCTTGTTTTCTGGATATCGTTCCTGTTCCAGTTCGTTCTGCCGTTCTCTTTGGTGAAATTTCCTTCTGCGTACGGAGGCCGAGCTCATTTTCTTTTCTTTCAACGCTTGATCCATGATTTCTGCAGGGCTGACTTCGGAAGATGATGCATCAAGATGTCCGGAAGATATGTATGCATGTTTCGGAAAAGGCATTGCAGCAACATTGGAAAAGTTCTGAGGAAAGTCTAGAGAGTCTCTAGACGGGGCTGGAGACAGCTGTCACCTGGAACTCTAACAGTAACAGGGTCCGTCTCATGTGGGCAGAGGATGCGACAAAAAGAGTACAAAAGCAACGGGAACAACCTGAACAGGCATGCCAGGGTGGGTAAGCGATCGGAGTGTGAACAGGACCCTCGGTTACGAAGATGCACGAAGTGGATACAGGCAAGCCACAAAAAACCACATCTTGCTTAAAATGTAGGTCACCGACCGGGGGGTTTGACAGTAGCTCGATCCAACCAAGGACCATCGTTTCCTGAAGGAGGATAAAGAACGATTTGCCCTTGCAGGAAGGGAAAGGCGGAGAATAGAGGAGAGACGATCTCAACGCAGAAGACGAGATTGCAGGAAGTGATGTTCTTCTGGTCGGGATTTTTGAATGAAACCGTCCACACCGTCGCCGGTTTGCTGCAAGGTCCAAGGGGGGGAAGTGGAGTCAACATCAAGCCCAGCGTTTCATCGCGAGCACATCAAGACATCTTGACACCTTGAGTAGCGGTGTGATGGAGCTGTTCGCTCTAGACTTTGGCATTCGATGAACAAGCAGCACGAAGATGCCGAGAGATGTCCTCTCGAGTTCTGTGTGTTCACTGTTGACAGGAAGATGACAATGTGACTCTGATATTGACCGCCTGGATGGCAATCGGTGGAGATCAAGGCCGTACCATGGTAAACTTAGTAGTTACGTACTTTAGTAGCAGGGTCGCTTGCATTGCGTCTTCTGGGGAAATTCCAGGGACCGGGGCCGTCCAGGGCCGTGCAGCGGCAGTCGTCATGCTCCAGGCCTGCGAGGTACTTGTACCAACTTGGTGGGCCAATGCAAGCATTTAAACCCGCCCAGCTCAGAGGTGCGCGCGGGAAGACGTGATTGCCAGTGTGACAGAGGCTGGAGAATTGGCCAACCACCAGCTATACGGCACGCGCCCAAGGTCTATAGAAAGACCAGGACCGGTGAGGCTCGAGAAGCAGTCATCCGTCCATGACGGGCTAGCAAACAGTTTGGCTTCTCCAAGGCCGGAGATCATGGGGCCACCAGGATGGTCGGGTTTCGTCCAGGTTTGGAGAGAGCTTCAGATCCTGCATCCTGGTGTCATCTACCATTCCATACTCGTACTCGCAGTAGCATTGTGGAAAAGCCCGGCCCAGCTGTTTGATACTATGGTATGTATGCAGACCACGTGCCAATTGACCTGTCTCGACACTTGTTGGTAGCGGGCTTCACCTTCTCTTTCGGGGCCCTCATGATGGGGCTTTTAGGGGCTTGTAAAAATTCCCAGCCTGTCTCTCCCGGTGGGTTTCCACTCCTATGTCTTCCCGAGCTAAGAAAGGATCTCCAGGACATACATAAATTCGCCGACAATCATCATCTTGAGAGACTGGGTAAAATTCGTGACCTCGTTGCTTTCTTTTTGCCCTCAAGTGCCTTGCCACCCTTGCCAAATTTTTTAACTGTATGGCGCGTCAAGCTCAAATTGCTTCATGAATATCATCGCAGCACACCAAGTGCTAGCACTGCAAGGTAACCTCTCGTCATCTCGGCTACTCGATCAACAAGATCCGTCCTCCGCTGATCGCGCTCATGGTCTACTGAACGGGACAAGCTCTGTCTTACCTCGACGTAAACGCTGTATCACTAAGTGCTGGCGAACCGGACAAGGATGCGGACCACTGTCGCTACTATTCTTGATTCAAGTTGTGCAACTTGAGATCGGAGATCCCATCCTGTTACCACGGAATGCGCTCGATCCGGTATTTGTTTTGGTCGGGATGCTCTTCATATTCGGGAAGTTGACATCAAGGTAGAAATGGATTGTACTTCCAAGGACTGTGTGCGAGCACATTACGCACATCATGCCGTTCATTATGCTCATCAATATGTGGCACCTAGTGTGGCACATTAATGTTGGGTTTCGTTCCACTCCATCATCCATCCTTTGACCACCTGCGCCAGCTGTTTCTGAGCTTGGACTACTGGAGGGGGCGGTAGCTTTGCCGTTGTCTCATTTGGAAACAGTCCATTTTCTTCCCAGTGGTGTACCGCCCCGGCGATAAGAATGACAGGCTCGCTTGCGTTGCTCGTTCGGTTCAATTGATCAGGAACGTCCAGGGTTGCGAGTGGTGTCACAGGACGCCAAGGGTCGGCTTCTCCTCCCACAAGCGCCAGTCGAGGGTATGAAATGTTGAAGCCGCCATACTTGTTGATGGCTTTGACGTCTGGAGGGGAAGTTATGTTGAATGCCAACCGGCAGACAAGCGTCAAATAATCCAGCGTCAACAGCCGCGAGATCAGAGGAAGTTTGTTCTTTGGCACACCAGAACCGGTCTGGATGTACCCGAATTCATTGCAGTATTGGTAAGCCCATGACAAAGCATTATAGTTGTCCAGACTCTTGTCCGTATACATTGGGGCAGATGCATTGTGGTTGTTGTAGCACTCGTTCAGACTCGGTCGATCGCACGACGAAACACCATAGCTGTTATTGGTCCAAGCCATGAAATTCAACATGCTCGTGGTCAACGTCTTGGACTCATTGCCCCAACCTCCAGCTTCGACCAGAGATGACGCTGCTGACGACATGGCTTTATAAGAGGGCCACAGGACCTTGTTCGACGTTATATTTCCACAATAGTATTCGAAATCAGGGACGTTGACTGCTGGATCCCAATTCCTACTCTGCCATCCGCCAATGCCGTAGGAAGCCAGGTTGGCAAAGTCGTCGTTGTGAGTAAGGGTTTCCATCCCGAAGCCTGTCTTCAACTGTCTGACGGTTGCGGTGTCATTCTCCATGAGAATGTTGTCGAGGATGTTGATGAGCTTCATCTGAGTTTCGATGCATGTGGGAGGACCGTATTGGCGGATCGGCTCATAATATTGCCAATAATCATATATGGCCTCGGTCACGCCGGACGAGGAGATGGCGCCGAAGTACAGGTCCGGATACAGCTTGCGCATGAACGCAGCAAATCCGCCGGCATACGAACCTCCATATGTGATGTATGGTGTATGAGGAGCGGTCAAATTCATATGCTCGAGGCCCGGAAAGACGATGTGCGACGCAAAGTATGCTTGATCGGCCAATGCTTGTTCAGTCGTGAGGAAGCGAAGACTCTTTGTCGTCAGGTTTTTGGTCGGAAAGCTTGTGCCATAGTATCGATGCTCAAGGACGACGCCGATGCCGTTGGTCGCGTTGGCTAGTTGTGCAAGGATTCCCTTCTGCAGAAATGGCAGTCGCCCGGTTGCATCAGCTTCGCCGCTCTGCAGGACAATGACTGGACCGCCCGGCTTGTAATGCGAGGCATCGAAGAAATATCTCAAGTTGAATGACGCGTTCGTGTGAGGCTCATATTTGGTTTCATTATGGAAATGGTCCACAGGGACAGAGATATTGTGAGCAGGATACAGCTCAGTAGGATCAATGTCGTCGTGTGGGCGCAGGCTATGCGGCGCCGGCGCAATTATTCTTTCTTGTGTTAGCGATTCCTTGAACGTGACGGGCTCTACTTACTTTGCGAGCGCAGTGCCGCAGAAAGCGCCTGCAATGAGTAGAAAAGCTCCTTTCATGCTGGGATGAGTTCAACCGTAATACATGAGAATGAGACTGAGGGGAGGATCAACGGGCAATATATGAGGAAGAGACCTCCATTGACCAGACGAATACTTCTGTTGACGGTGCATCTCGAAATTTAGGCTCTACTCTTTCGCAGGATTCTGGTTAATGGCGATTAGAAATGTTACCTTGTTAACGATACCTAGATAGCGATTAGGAAGGCCATGAAGCAATGACCGCATTGTGCGCAGCGCGATGCAACGTACAGGGACCATGTCCTTCTAATAATGGGAAGGTGTCACGATGCATTGGAAGTCTGTGGAGGAACAAGGCGAAGGTACAGCCTATCCGAGCGAAGCTGCGGACGATTGACATCGAGCTTGAGAGCGATCCTGTGATCCTTCCTCCACATAGCTCCTCTCTAGAACTGCGGAAGATGTGCTCGCTGGGACGCGCCCGGCGTGGCAGTGGAGGCGCCTGGAGATAAGGTCGACAAGCACCGTCTCATGGGCAGTTGGACCTCGCATTCAACATCAGGCTCTCGTGCCACCAAAACTGTCCTGGCTCCTGTTTGTCGTCGAAAGGCATCCTGGCGCCAAAGCAGTTGAGCCTCGTATTGAACAAGAGGCTTTCCTGCCACACAAATTGTCCTCGCTGCTGTTGGTGTCGAATGGCACCGTAGCGCTAAATTCCACGATTTACTTGTACCCATGAGACCATAGTAAGAATCTAACTCCGTGCCACAACATTCATTCCAAGCATGCTTGTCGGACCAGGGTTGAATCTGAAGTTCCTTGGGAGTCACCACATTCATGATAACTCGAGGATCGCACTGTAGAGAAAAGATGAAGCCTGCAATTGGCGAGCGTGGATGTACCTCGTATTCTCTCCTTCCTAATCGAGCCATGATGCAGCCAAGATGCCTCCGCTCTGTTCTCTAGGTGATTCTCAGCTTAGAGCACATAGTACTAGTATATCAAAGGGCGGATGCTTGCACAGCACACTTCACTTCTATTCTCCCCTTCTTTCTTTGCCATGTTACTGCCCATTGGCCAGTAATACTCGACCACCGTCAACACACAGGCACCGCCCATCGACATAAGCCTGAGTCCCCTGAAGTCAGTACGGTTGATCTTGACCAGACTGAAGGCCAACTTACTCCTGCTTGGCTGCTCAAATATAAGATGGCTCCTGCGATATCTTCCATGTTTCCTATGCGCCCGGCTGGCATTGCTTTGAAGAGCTCCGCAAATTGATTGCCACCCTCCTGGACAGGGTTCATCTTGCTTGGAACAACTACACGAAACGTCAGCCATCATCTCACCACATTCTCGACTTAGGAGTACTTACAGCCAGGGTTGATGGCATTGACTCTGACATACCCTGCAGGTCAAGCCCGTCAATATCTTCTTCGAAGCAATACTATACGCACACCAAGTGGAACTCACATTTTGCAAATTTGCTGGCCAGCAAAGGAACGAGGTGGTCGATGGCCGCCTTGCTAGTGGCATAACTGGTCAAGTCAATGTTCGTACAGTTATGCATGCTCGCACAGCTGCTGGTGATGATCATGACCCCTCGACCTTCATCTCTTCCTTTCCGACCATTTCCAAGCTCAAGATCGCCCGCTGCAACCAGCAACTTCAGCAAAGCCACGGCTAAGAAATAATGCGCCGTCACATTAACCCGGAAAGTGTCGTCCCAATCTGAATGCTTCGATGACCATAAAGATGCTTGCAGTTCGTCTAAAGATGCCGTCTTCACATTGCACATCTGAGGAGGATCTCTCCTGATGCCAGCGTTGGAGCATAAAATGTCGAGGTGAGTCTCATGTTTTTCGATCTCCCGTGCAATAGCGACAATGCCTTCTTTTGAAGAGACGTCTCCTTCAAGTCTGCGGTCGCCCTAGGTCAGTAAAAGTTCTTGAGAAATACCGTTTCACGGTTTACCCTACAGCTGTCCCACCGGACGCTTTGCCGAATTCCAACAATTCAGTCACTGCCCCTTCGATATCATCGGTTGGCAAAGCAGTCACATAGACCTTTGCGCCATTCGATACGAGGCCCTGAGCCTCGTCAGCTTTGAGTGGTACTCTTTATTCCCAGAGTTACCTTTGCAATCATCAATCCGATCCCGCTACATCCTCCAGTCACGAGGGCCACCCGCCCTTTGACACCGAACAAATCCGTCACAGACAAGGTCGACATCTTCCCTACGTTGCTGGAGGACGGATTTTGCAGAGGCTAGACGCGTCTAAATGCAACATTATGCTGGAACGATGATCTGCGATCGTTTCCGCCACGAAATTTCAGGTCGTGCTTCTCCGTCCGGTGGACCGACCCTCTTCGCACAAGTCCGCCCGGCCGAGTTCAGAGGACTCCTCATGTATTGCTCACTACTGTGTACAGTGGATTAACGAACAATATAAACGTGCCCTTGGACCAGCAACTGGCCGCTCCTGCATCTGGGACAGTTTGAGAAAAAAACAACAAGACCCAGAAGTAGTTGCTCACTTTTTCACAGCAACAGACATGGTGCCAACAGTGAGCGGCCTATTGCAGGCTATCAACCATGATTACACGATATGGATCGTTGGAGCAACGCTTCTTGTCTTTGGTCTATACTGGGTCAGTGCCAAGTACTACACACTTGAAAGGCTACTCGACTAACTGTGACAGTGGTCGACGTTGACCGACATTCCTAAGATCAAAGGAATTCCAGAAATCCCTGGAGCATTACCAATCTTCGGCCATCTCCTGCAGCTAGGTCAAGATCATGCTACCGTCTGCGAAGGCTGGTGGCGCAAGTACCGTCAATCAGTCTTCCAAATCCGTCTCGGCAATACTCGAGCAGTCGTGGTCAACTCATTCGAAGATGCTAAGCAAATGCTTATCGGCCACCAAACTGCCGTGATCGACCGCCCTACGCTATACACCTTCCACGGCGTCATCTCGTCCACGCAGGGCTTCACCATCGGTTCCAGCCCTTGGGACACCTCGTGTAAGAACAAGCGCAAAGCAGCCGGCCAAGCTCTCGGCCGACCCGCCATGCGAGGCTACTTCGACATGTTCGACCTCGAATCCTACTGTATCGTCCGGGACATTTTCCGCGACAGCAAGAACGGCGAACTCGAGATTGGCGTGCGTCCGTACATCCAGCGGTACGCCCTCAATACCACACTGACGCTTTGCTACGGCATCCGCATGGATAACGTCTACGACGAAATGCTCCGCGAGATTCTGCACGTGGGCTCTGCCATCTCCCTCCTCCGCTCTGCGTCCGAAAACTTTCAAGATTACGTGCCTGTGCTGCGGTACTTCCCGAACAATGAGAAGAACCGACGGTCCAAGGAACTCCGCGACCGCCGCGACAAGTACCTGAATTTCCTCCTCAACAAGGTCCGGGAGATGATCAAGAAGGGCACGGACAAGCCGTGTATCAGTGCAGCCATCCTGAAAGACCAAGAGACCAAGCTGACCGGCGTTGAAGTCTCCAGTATCTGTCTCTCGCTCGTGTCTGGTGGATTCGAGACCATCCCCGGCACACTGACGTCGTGCATCGGGTCACTGGCTACGAAGGAAGGGCAGGAATTCCAGGACCGCGCGTACACAGATATTATGCGGTACTATCCCGACGTCAAAGCCGTATGGGCCAACAGCTTCCAGGAGGAGAGGGTGCCGTATGTGAACGCCATAATCAAGGAGGCCGCGCGGTACTACACAGTCAGCGCCATGAGTTTGCCGCGCAAGACGGTGACCGAGGTGGAATGGAACGGCGCCAGAATCCCGGCTAAGACGATGATCCTGATCAACGCGCAGGCCGCGAACCACGACGTCGACCACTTCGGACCGGATGGCGCCGTGTTCAACCCGGAGCGATGGCTGAACGACGAGTTTGTCATGAAGCCGTCGAGCGGCGTCGCGCCGGAGGAGAAGCCCGCACAGGGGATCCAGCATTTCAGTTTCGGCGCCGGCTCGAGGGCGTGCAGTGGCCAGTTCATTGCGAGCAGGCTGTTGTACACGGCGCTGATCAGGTTGTTGACGTGTTATAAGATCGTGGCCAGTGACAGTGAGCCGCCCAACACTGACTACGTGGATTACAACCAGTTCAAGAGCGCGCTGGTCGCGATCCCGAGGGACTTCAAGGTCAAGTTGATCCCCAGACACGACGAGAGTGTGATCAAGGAGGTCATGGCCGATGCGGCCGAGCGCACGAAAAATTACTATGCCGAGGAAGATTAAGTAAGTATCGTGAGATCTGCATGTTTTTTCGGGGGTTTCTTGGATCGTTCTGTTCACTGGGTCTATCTAGATGATATGCCATGGGCGCCACGGTTGAAGAGGGAGGAACAAAGGTACCAGTACTAGTATCTAGCATTGATGACATGAATGAGTATAATAAAAAAAGGATGTCCTTCAAACCGACCTGGTCTGGTGTGCGACCGTAAGATTTAGCCACCGGGGCGACGCATCGTGTGCCATTATTCCCGAAGACACGGCTTGCCCACCGAGGCTTAAGTGTACACTGCGATCTCAGATGACGGCCTTGTCTCGACGAAAGCCCTGCTTGTCGCTGAGAATCATCGTTGTTGAGGGACAAGACGGGACGGTACCACCTCCAGCAACAGCAACCTCGGTCGGTGGGTGGCAGGAGTCTTTGGGTCTCTGACTCTCTTGATATCCCATTCCTCTCGAGACAGAGACCGCTCCTCAAGTCCTTCAGTCCGTCCTTGAGACAAGACTTCCGTTGCTGTTGTCCGTTCCCCACAAGGCCCATAACCGTAACGCAACTTTGCACTTCAAGCTCAAGCAAAGCATGCGCGGCTCGTGGGCGACACAGACTCCCATCTCCGGCCCCCTATCCTAGCTAGCAGGCACCTGACAGGGACGGAGAAGGTCTCATCCGCGCACTTGCTCAGACCACATGCAGAGGGTGTTCGTACACAGTGAGGACAGGCCCCAAAACAAAGTTACTCGTACCAACGCCGAAGCTGGTGCTGTGTGTCGTACCTAATACTAGTAGTCCGTGGTCCTACTAGTGAGTGTGGTAGGTATCTGCGGACATTTCCGCGCAACCCCATTTTCTTTTCTTTTGGCCATCTTGGTTCTCCGGGGGGGGCCTGTTACGGTAGTTAGATCTCGCCACGATCTCGTCGAAGCCCGCCCCGAGGGGCGTATATGGTAGTAGTAAATGGGACCGCGCGTGGTGGAGAGGGGGAGGGACTCACTAAACTTAGTAAACGTGTAAAGTAAAGTGTCGTGAACCTGTGAAGTAAAGTGAACGACTAAGTCGTCGGAGAAGAGCACGACTGCCACTCTCTCGCCTTGTGACGCCTCGATGCATTATTTGCTGGCCAGATGCAAGGGACGTCGAATGATTGGCTCCAATCTCGCGATGGGAGATGTGCTTATCATAGTCTCGCCCAGATTTCGCGGGCGATAAGCAATAGCTTCTTGATGGGCAGAGTCGGCAACGGCAACGGGAGGTTGTGCTGGGTGGATATATTCAAGCTTTAGGGCTTGGTTTTATGAGTTCTCGTTGCTGTTCGCTTCTTTCCGCCGTTGGGACCAGCGGCACAGGTTTCCTTTCGATTGCAGAATTGTTGTCGAGATCTTTGTAAGGCTACATCCAGTCCGACAAGACGCCTTGAAAGGAACGACTGACAGAGTTCGCGTGCGAGGATTCAGGATTGGCGGATTCCATTTGCTGGGTTCGGCTGGGTGGCACACCGGACTCACCTTGTACAGGCATTGAGACGGGAAGAAATAAAGCAAAGAAAAGGACGAGATTCCACGTGTGAAAACGTGTTCGGTCAAACGGCACAAAGACCTAGGTACCTCTTGTTCATCCAGACACGTAAACACCGGAGTGCAATTGGAAGGATGGCACCGCCGAACTCAGCGCCCTCAGACCTCGACGTCGATGTTCTTATCGTCGGGGCTGGGCCTGTTGGGCTCAACCTTGCGTATCAGCTTCGGCGATTCTCATCACCGCCTGTAGCATCTGGGGCGAAACCGATTTCCGTCCACATCATCGAGAAACATCCGAAACCGATGCAGGAGGCATTTGGGCGGGCCGTCACTTTCTGGCCTCGCTCGATGGAGATTTTGTCGCAAATGGGCCTCGGTGATCAGATCACTCAGCAGTGTGTCGCGGTACGAACGTCGGCAGCATACGACACGACTGGAACCGAGGTGTTTGGGCGGGGATGGAGTTTCTTGGAAGGCATTGAGGATACGAGATTCACGTTCGCCAGCGTATTGCGGCAGAAGTTTGTCGAAGATATTTTCCGCGCCGAGTTGAAGAAGCTTGGCGTCGAGGTCAGCGAGATGAAGAGCTTCGCCAGCCTCGAGGTCGATGAGTCTGTGGCTCCGGGCGAGAAAGGTAGGGTCAAGGCCACCGTTGTCGACACGAGTGGTGGAGAGGGTAATGAGAAAGAATATACAGTCAGATGTCGCTATGTGATCGGTTGTGATGGCTCCAGAACTGTGGTGCGAGGAGCCGCGGGTATCGAGTCGGATGGTGATCGGACAGAGGACAAATGGGTGAGGATCGATGGTGTGTTGAAGAGCACGACGATGCCGAAGCCGAGGTCCTATGGGGCCATTGAAAGCCCGATATATGGAAACGTGCTTTGGATCCCGCTGGATCATGGAGCGACCAGAATTGGCTTCGCACTGAACGAGGACAGGAGAAAAATGTACAAAGAGCTGACCCAGGAAGTGTACATTCAAGAGGCCAAACTTTCAGTCAAACCGTTCGACATAGAGTACGAGAGGGTCGACTGGGCCAGTGTGTACAGTGTCGGACAGCGTGTTGCACGCACATTCTGGGCGAAGGGAGCCGTCTTTGTCGCAGGAGATGCAGCACACAGTCATAGCTCTGGAGCGGGACAGGGCATGAACGCCGGCATGCATGATGCAGTCAACCTCGGCTGGAAGCTTGCACTGGTCCTGACCGGCGTACTAAAGCGTGACGTGTTGGAGACATACTCTCTGGAAAGACAGCCGAACTCGAAGAAACTGATCAAGTACGATGAGGATATCAGCGTTCTGGTGTCTGGAAGATTGCCCAAGGACTACTCAGGAGACCGGAGCGAAGATCCAAATGTCGTTCTGGGGAAGATTTTGCAGCAGGCGAAGGGATTCAATACTGGACTCACCATTGGGTTCGAGCCAAATGTTGCGGTAATGCGAGACGACAGCGCGGTGGACGATCTATCGAATCTGGTAGCAAAGCGATCCATCATTCCAGCTCCAGCCATTCCAGGCTACCGGGCACCAGATGTTCAAGTCTTGACACCAGCACTGTGGGAGCCTGTGTGGTTGCAAACTCTGATGGCGAACTTGGCCCGGTTTTATGTTTTGGTGTTTGTGGGCAAGTCAGCCAAGGCAAAGGAGCTGTTCATGACGATGAAGATGGATATCCAGAAGAATCATCGCCTCTCACCCAGCAAGGCCCCCATAACGGAAGCAAAGACAAATGGTGTTCACTTGAATGGAGAGTGGTCTCTAGCCGAAGAGTGGCCTGTGGACTTTGTGACCATTCTGCCAGAGAAAGTCGGTAATGCTTGGTTTGAGCTTGGGACGGATCCGTTGGGCAGGGTATATTACGATGGCGACGGCAGCGCAAATAAGAGGTATGGCGTAGATGCCGAGACAGGAGCTGCCTTTGTGCTTAGACCGGATGGATGGATTGGAGCGAGATTCGAGCTTGGGTCGGAGGGCGTTGTTGATGGTATAGAGTCTTACCTTGGAAGGCTGCTTCGCTAGACACTGCAATAGAAGATATTTGTGTACAGTAACTTGGTTTCCTAAGTTTCCTCATGGCATCCAACTTCAAGTGTCCCTGTTAGGTGTTACGGCGACGCGGGTACACGCGTGGGGACGCGTGGGACGCAAGTCGCGTCCGACGAGACGCGTGTCCACTTTAGGAATAGCTTCTAGGCGGACATGGGCGCACTGATGACGGAACTTCTTATCAATATTCATCTCGCCATAGGTTTGGCGCAGTGGGCGCACGGTTTGCGATAGCGAGCTCGGCAAAGTCAATGCGGGCAATGACTTTAGCTGCATTCGACAGAGACGGCTGCAGAATGGGGATCACTTCTTCTTCGATACGGAGTACTCTGTGGCATATACCCTTGTCACGGCATCAGTATGGACGGCTTCGACCTCCTTGTCATCAATGGCATTGTCGTGACAGCCTCTGACACGGCCAACTACGACATCGCCATCAAGGATGGCAAGATCGCCTTGCTGGCTCCGCCGGGCGTGCTTGCGACAAGTAGTGCGAAGAAGGTGATCGATGCAGAAGGCGGCTATGTTATGGTGAAGAAGCTCAGCTATCGGGATTGAGGTATGAATGCTGACACTCCCCCAGCCCGGCGGTATTGATTGCCATGTCCATCTTGAGGAGCCTGCACTGTTTGGAGGTAAAGGAAGGAGTTCGGACAACTTCGAGACGGGTGAGCCTGGACATTTACAAGAGGCGGGAACAAGAGCTGAATCGTGGAAACAGGCACAAGAAGTAGCATTTGTGGAGGAACAACCACCATCGTGTCCGTCGTCACCTCCAATTCTTTGGTCGCCTTCTGACTGTGTCAACCAGAGCGTTTGCGCCTCAGCCAAAGACCATACCCTCGCTCCTACAATGTCTCGAAGACACCCACGCTCGAGCGAAGGACAATTGCTATACCGACTACTCATTCCACCTGCTGGTCGGACACCCCGGCGAGCAAGCATTGTCGGAGTTCCCTCGCCTGCGCGAACAAGGAGTCTCTTCACTGAAGATCTATATGACATATGCCGCACTGCAGCTCCGAGACGATGAGATTCTTGATGTGTTGCTGGCTTCGAGGAAAGAAGGCATCACAACTATGATTCACGCAGAGAATGGGGATGTGTTGAACTGGATGACAAAGAAATTGGAAGAAAGGAAGCTGTATGCGCCAAAGTATCATGCTACATCCAGGCCGCAGATCGTCGAGACTGAAGCCACCAACCGAGCAATTGCCTTGGCAGAGTTGATGGATGCGCCCATGTGAGTTGCAATCGCCATGACCCTGGTGAATCCACAACAGCTAATCCTCCGTCTAAGTCTGGTCGTCCATGTCTCGTCTCCGAGCGCTGCTGCCCATCTGCGGAATGCTCAAACTCGTGGATTACCAGTCTATGCCGAGACTTGTCCTCAGTACCTCTTTCTCACCCGAGACCACCTGGACAGGCCAGACTTTGAAGGCGCGAAGTGCGTCTGCTCGCCTCCGCCCCGAGAATCGGCAAATGACCACGAGGCGATCTGGCTGGGCCTTGCCAATGGCACCTTCACAGTCCTTTCCTCCGACCACTGCCCATTCATGTACGACGATTACGAAAAGGGCAAAAAGTCAATCATCAGCAAGGAATACCCCGAAGGACGGTTCAGCGGGATTCCGAATGGATGTCCCGGGATTGAGACACGCCTTGCCTTGACGTTGAGTGCGAATAGGTTGCCCCTGCAAAAGTTTGTTGAAGTCACCAGCACCAACGCGGCGAGATTGTACGGGCTATACCCGCAGAAAGGGACGATTCTGCCTGGTGTTAGTGATGCCGATCTGACCATCTGGTATCCTCCTGGCGAGTTGGGAACATTCAAGCTCACCAACTCTATGCTTCACCACAACGTAGATTATACACCCTTTGAGGGCATGGAGCTGAACCAGTGGCCGAGATATACCATTCTCAGAGGGGAAGTGGTATGGGACAGAGACAACGGGGGGCTATTGGGCAAGAAAGGTTACGGACAGTTCGTGGCAAGAGGCAAGAGTACCCTTCCGGGACCGAGGAAGGAAGGAGATTGGGATGTCAGTACTTTTTGAATGGAGATCAAGAATCATTCCACGGAACTCGGTCTTTCAAGACTCATTTCCTCCCGAGAACTTCTCATATTGCTCTGATATGCCCAATCCTGGCATTTACGACCGCCGTCTGACCCAATGCAGCGACCTGTGTAATGAGAATTGCTGATGTGTTCCACTGAAGCTGTGACTAAAGCCGAGGCATCATCTTACGCGGGGAAAGTCCTGGGCGGAAGGCCTATGATGGCCCCTCAAATATACGAGTAGAAAGCCACCATATGGCACGACAAAACGGCGATGACAGCCCAGATAGTCAGCAGGACTGCAAGACTTATTTTTGAACTCCCTGTCTCTTGACTTCTCAGCCCTGTTTCCCTTAGTATACCACCTGAAGGCATGATATCTGCCGATACATTCAACATCTATTCCAGAGCAGTGGAAAGGAAACCATTGCCGGATGACCCTACCACTCGATCGGATGTCGAGCACGTTCTGGAACATGGATACGTCGTGATTCCTGACTGTTTCACAAAAGCAGAGGCTGAAGAAGCTCGCGGTGAGATCGCTCGCTTGCTGGGAAAAGACCCTTTGGGAGGCCGAAATAGCTTCGAAGGACTAAGCACGAACCGAATATACTCGCTTCTCAATAAAAGTCGGGTTTTCGACAAGTTTGTCATTTTGCCTCGAGTACTGGCATTGAATGATTACTTTCTCGACCCAGGATACCTGCTATCAGCTTTTCATACCATCTCCATCAACCCGGGAGAAAAGGCCCAGCCATTGCATCACGACGATGGGTATATACAGTTTCCGCGACCCAGACTACCGTTCGGAGCAGCTATCATGGTAGCTTTGGATGAGTATACAGCGACTAACGGTGAGATCACCTGCATGGTCTGGACGTCACCCGGACCGTCGCTGATTGATGACAGGTGCCACGCGAATCATTCCCGGATCACATAAATGGGGCAGTTCACGTCGCGGCAAACCAGAAGAGACCATCGCCGCCTTATGCCCTGAAGGGGGAGTTGTATACTTTATTAGTACCTTGTGGCACGGGGGAGGTGCCAATGTATCGGATCGTCCTCGACAGAGTGCGACGGTGCAGTACTGTAATCCTTATATCCGGCCAATCGAGAACCAAATTCTGGCAGTCGATCCTCGAAAGCTTGACAGGATTCATCCGCGGATCGTGGACATGATGCAATACAAACACATGGAGCCCTTCATGGGATACGCTGATGGCATGGGCCCGCGTCGAGCTGCCAGGAGGTTGGTGAGATGGCTACAAAGTGAGATCGATGAGTCTCCTCCCACCTTCGCACACGAGGCTCGAGACACCAAATTATAGGAGCAGACAATGTGCGGTCGATTGGTTTGCCACTATGGTTGGAGCTCGTAAGGCTGACGTCGCGTGATAACCTTGGAAGGATCGAGGTATTTATTTTGTATTTTGTACGGAGATACCTTGGGTATGACCTATCTTCGTACTGCTGATAAGGGTTCTAATGGGGCATTAGAAGACCGTCCTCAAAGTGACAAACCTGGTGTCTAGAAAAGAGATGCCTCTGATGGCGCAGTCTTCAGCAGGGCATTATGCGTATAGGTTGGTGGTATACACAGTATTCCGTACCTGGTAGGGTGAGCACTGGTGAGGTTTTCTTCTCAGTCGGGTATCAGCGGCTTTTGTCAGCAGGGCGGGCTTACTCAGCGCCTACAGGGGCCGTTGGTGCCCATTTAAGGCACAAATAGGTAAAGAGGGAGCGGATCCCCGGCTACGTAATGGGTGGGTGGGTGATTAGATTAGACACGGGAAGTTGGAGACTTGACAGCGAATTGCGGCTGTCGAGGAGAAAAACAAATGGCACCCAAATGGCATTGATGGCACCAAAGCCTCCGGCAGCAAGGAATTAAGCATCTCCTCTCATTCTTGTCTGAAGCATCCATTCTGCGACGCTCCAGTCTTCATATTCTTTAGGAACCTCTATCATAACTACATTGTCCAGATGTCTTGCGTAAGAATGACCAGAACTTTGTAGAGGTGGATGACTGCGATACGCTTGGTACTGGCCATACCCGAAGCAGACCGATCGGCTCACCTCACAATCTCCCTCATTCTCTTCTTCCTGCTTCACCGATGCTGAACCTGTGAGGCTATCGACTTCTTCTGCGTCGCGCCAATGGCTTCGTCGCGACCAAACTCGCGCCGCTATGGCGCCAACAGCAGCGCCGATACCGAACCTTTCCCTTCAATGCCCGAATCCTCCACTGGCGAGCCCAGCTCCTACTCGTCCCCAACAACGACAACGACAACAACAACTACGACTACCTACACATCTCGTGGCAGACCCTACACAATTACCACTACACAGCCTGCGACTCAGGCTCCCGTGACGGTCACGTCCTCCTCCGCCGGCGCTCCCTTTCCAGGTCCAAGCACGCGCACGACTGTCACGACGCCTCCTCAGCGAACAGTCGTATCGACCTCACCTCAGATCAACCGTCGACCCATTGGTATAAGGAGATTGCCGTCCACAAACCTACGGCAGGATCTTGGTGAAGCGAATGGTGGTGCCAGCGGAAATGTCAGCAGGGCATCATCTGGGCGCGGACGCAGCAGCTCAGCACCGCAGCATCTCCAAGTTAATGTGCAGGGTCCGAGTCTGACCAGGCAGTCAACGAGACAGTCCCTTCTGCCGACCGTGGAGGAACATTCCACGGCAAATGCAACAACAGACAGAGATAGCATGAATGTGGTTGCCGGTACCCCAAATCGAAGACGCAGCGTCAGTAACGCCGCGCGGTCCGTGATAAGCAGATTTAGCGACCATTCAAGAGAACGACAGGAAACTGAATACGACTCGGATGTGGTGGATCTTCTGGATGTGCTTGGTACGTTGTTTCTGATGCTCGAGACATAGTGTGTGCTGATTCTCCGCAGACCCTGAAGTTTCGACCCTTACCTCCCTTACAAACGTCCAAAATTCCTTGTTCGTTCCAGATCTGGGCCGATGGGTCAACAGACGACCGACATACGACCTTAGCAGTCGGCGGTCGACCGTGAGTCGGCGGCCCCCAACAATTGAAGAGAAGGCGCCTGTGGCCATGACCCCCATCGAGAGCGCCGACACCCGGCCTGAAGGGACTCCCGCAGGCGAAGGAGCAGAAGGTGAAGACGTTTCTAGAACCGGGACAATGCAGCGGACGTGGTCATGGCAACGGAGACCCGAGATTGATCGGACGCACAGTATATCTTCAGTGGTGACCGATTCCCACTACGCGGTCTTGCCCCATGGCGTCTCGCTCGACGGCTGGAGCGAAGAGGACAAGGAAGCCTTGGACGACCATGTACGGCATATGCTGCATTCCAAGAAATCGAAATTCAAGTATGGGATGATCGCATTTGGAAAATATGTTCGAAAACGTCAGTTGTATGCTTCCCAGCGTTCAGACACATTTGCTTACCATTGCATAGCCCTTGGATTCTTTGTCACGTTGTATGCGACTCTGATCACACTGTTTGGTCTGGCTTGGGTATTGTTCTTGATTGGTATGTGTGTGTTCATCCAGCGAGCGCGTGGTGGCTGACAGCGATATCCAGGATGGATTTACGTTGGAGATCGAAAATCCTACATCACCGATGTCATCGATAATGTGTTGGTCGCTCTTTTCGCCGTCGTTGGTGACGGACTTGCACCTTTCCGAGCGGTTGACACTTACCACATGTGTTACATCGCCCACTACCACCACCTCACCTGGCGTTTGAGGAGGGAGAAGCAACTGCCAAAACTTCGTGACCACAATGATCTACCGGCCCAACCCGAGAAAGAGGCTGATCCTGAGTCTGTGAAGCCCGACGATGCCGAGTTTTCTGTCCTGAGCCCTCAACAACAGCAGCGGTTGATCCATCACCAAGCCAAGTTTTCCAAGTCCCACTCCTTCTACAAACCGCATGAGACGGCGACTCACTTTGCTTTCCCGTTACGACTGCTTGTTGCTATCGTCGTGCTGCTGGATTGTCATTCACTGTTGCAGATTGCTCTTGGAACATGCACCTGGGCCATCAACTACCATGTTCGACCTCAGGCACTCACAGCGACCATCCTGTCCTGCTCTATCACCGTCAACATCACCGCCGGTATTCTTATCAGTATCGGCGATCGGAGGACAAGGAAGAAGGATGTAGCTGAGAAAATGGCGAGACAGCAACTAACTGCCACGGCCATCGAGAAGGTCGAAAAGCACAAGAGGGATAGAGAGGAAAGTCTTCGTGAGGCAGGGTCGCGGGAAAATTTCGAGGTGATTGACGAAGAGACAGCCGACCAGGTCAGGTTGAACTCGAAATGAGCACAGATACTGCTCACCACTCGCTTTTGATCAGCATTTTGAAGTGTGACGCTGGATGATGTGGCTCCACAACTCTATAATCATGGACCTTGCGTATTGTTTATGGCCATCCGTCTGTTGCCTAGTGGTGTGCTATCCTGGCAGTCTGAATCACTCTTTGGGTTTGGTGCGTCCAATATATGGTCAGATATCACACAATGGCACCAAAATTTTGATCAGAATCCGCTCGTCACGAGCAAGGGTATCATCACTCCATCTAACAGATCAGACAGCTGCCTAACAAGAGAGAGAATTGATCATCATTGCAGGCAAGGAGCGGCATCTACTCTGATGGCCAAGGCTTGAGTATGCCTGATTGCAGTCATATCCTACCTATGGTAGGGATCGAGTGGAAAAGCAGACGCCGAGACATGGTGAACATCCTGCATTGTCAGTCCTGTGATGGATTCGCGAAGACAACCTTCAGGGTCACAGATCAGTCCGTCTTGCTGAGAAGAGATGCAGTGTGGCATAGTGCCATTCCGAAGCGCAAAGAATCCTGCTGAGGCAACGCCCATGGCACCACTATTTCTGGGGTTACGGGCGCAAAAGAAGATATAGGTTCTGATTACATGACAACCTGCTCTTCCCTGACAAAGCTGGAGAAGTCGCACCAACACATCTTATCTCACGATCATGCTATGTCAGATTCCAACACATCCCAACACTCCAGCGTGCCGCGGCCTTTGCCGAGACGTCGAAGTTAGCTTGCCCAGCTCAATTGTCTGATGCCCTATGACGATTACCCGACTGAAAGCTGCCGTTGACTTTTGCGTTGGTTGCAGACCGCAAGCCGCACATTCGACTTCCCTTTCCGCCGCTGGGCCCGGCAAAGCTCTCGTCAGATGTTTTGGTTCTCGGTATCTCCCTATGGGTGCCTAGAGTAGGTAAGCGAATTGGAAGAGGACCCGATGATCAGCCATAGATGACAAGAAGGTGAATGGAATGTCGGCCAGGGAAGACAACGACAACGTTTGGTGTTTTTCAACGGCAATGACTATGTTGCAAACTCCTGGTTAAGACTAGTCTGCATGTGCTCGGAATCGTATTGACAGGTTGTGGTGCAATGCACGGATGATTATGCCTATCTTCGACTATGAAAATACAGTACTGGCATGATGTCCGGATATCCCCTAGTGATACCCTGTGAATCGCAGTTCCTCCTTAACCGACGGATCGTGGCCTGACATGACATGATGAGGGTATCATATGAAGAAGTGGCCTCCATCGATCTCAAAGGCGCTCACATCTTGACATACATCCAAGAAGAGCGTTTGGAGTTGTTCTTTCATGAATCTAGGGCACGAGCATTTTGGAAAGACTGCCTGGCGTATGGCACAATTACTGTGGTGATTCTCTAGGAGAAAGGTGTCAAGAGTCAACCCGTGCCTGTGTTTGGAGGAAGGGACGTTTTAAGCAGAAGCAAATCCCAGGGCATCAACCACCAAGCTGACAACATTTTGTAGCCGGCCAAACTCACTTTGGCGCAAGGCTCTACAGCAATGCCGCACACGCAGAGCGGTAGCACTTCTCAACAACAACAACCGTCGCGGCCTCAGTCTGCTCGACAATGTCCATCAGAGAGCATTTCTGCAACCTGTATTTGCTGCTTCTCGTCGGATCTTCCGGAACTCTCGCTATGGTCGCCAGATCATGATGAGATGTCACCTTCGTGCACGACATTGGCTACCAGTAGCTGTGTCGACACACCCACTTGCGAGGCGTTTCAGCCCATCTTTCTGGACGCATTCCTCAAAGGATCGCCATACCTGCTGGGCATGAATCAAGAAATATCCTGCGTCAACCAAGAGTTCGGAGGCGACTCCTGGCTTTCGGGTGGCGGTGAAAGCTTCTTGGTCGATCAAACAGACTTGAACGTAACAAGTCTCACAACGGTCTCTCACACCGTTCTGGGACCTATCAGCTCTGTGGCCAGTAAGAATGAGGTTAGCAACCCCCTTCACTAGGTCTTCTTTCCAACGACGAACATCCTGATAAGCCAGCGCTAACTTCTTGCATTGGACACGCACAGAGACGAAAAGCGCAGAACCGAGCCGCGCAAAGAGCCTTTCGGATTCGACAGCAAGAGGCGCTCACCGAAGCCAGGGCCAAACTGCGCAAGTTGCAAGACGAGATCAAAGAAGCCAATGCAACGAAGGACCATTATCAGCGCCTTTTCCAAGATCTCACGCTTGAATATGAGAAACTGCTCAATAAATTCGAAGACAGCTTCGGGTCGATGCGCAAGACTTTCAACAAGTCGTGACTCGTGAGTGGGCATGACTTCGTTGGGGTGGCATGTTGGTACTACTCGTGATGTTTTGGCCCTTTGACGGAGTACTAGTACATTTAGTAGTTTCCTGAGGAGGAGTGGAATAACAGTAAAGGGCAAGCGTACGGGCAAGGGCAAAGTCGACGGCAGGGATTCGAAGGACCATGCATCTTTTAATAAGGACACCGCATCTAGAAACAATCCACGAGCAGTGAAAGGTCCGGAATGGTTACTAACGTGAGGTGGAGGTAGGCGTCTCCTTAGTCAGCCATGTGGTGTGCAACAATATCACAGTGTTCAGTTGTTCAAAGAGGCCACACGCTCAAACAGGTCAAAGGGTCATCCCTGTCGTGACTCGTTTTCAGACTTTCCCAGGACCTCTCGTGATCCTTACTCCGGTTCTGAAGCGTGGCTCTTGGGCACTTTTGGCCATTTTGGTGCACGATACGAGTTTACAAGTACTTCCCGTCATGACCCTGGAGTGATTGGCCTGATCGCTGGCCCCGGAGTGCTTTTCAGCACGCCAAATCGTGTCACGGTTGAGTAATCCCGCCGGCAAAAAGGCTGTTCAGTTCGTTGACAATGGCCAGAATCCTCGTGGCATTAAAGTTCCAACTGAGATGGCTTACGAGGTCCCCGCCTTCGTTTTGTTCATCTTGTGGTCGGGCCTGCGGTCAGCGCAAAGCCCATTGTTTTTGTTTTCGGGGATCTACAAGATGCCTTGACTACTAGCAGTGGAGTAAATTGCTGCTCAGAACCGTATTCTGACGATCGTCGTCGTTCGAGAAGGACCCAACAACATTGTCGACCTCGCTTGCGCCTTTACCACGTATGGATTGTGCAACACCAAGATGGAATGTGACAGCTGTGGCACTGGCATTGGCACTGGTAGTCTGATCGTGTCTGTTGACTGGATAGGGAGAGGAAACCCTGGAGCCAGCTTGGCCAGGGGGAAACCCCAGACCGTTCCACTGGATGGTGGGGAAGGCTTTGAATTCGTGCTGATGGGACCAGAGGGTGGGCTCGACAAGGCTGGCATCAGTCAGATCAGGGCGCATACGACGAGGGAGCTGCACAAGACGAGGCGGCAGACTGGACAGGTATGTTACTTTGTACTTGTACTTGTGCTAGTTAGTACTTAGTACTCAGTACTCGTGTCTCCGTTTGTTGGCATATACTAGCATGTCCGCGTCTCCGAGTGGTTGTGTCTAGGGGTTTAGCTGTTGGCAGGTGAGGTCGTCGGTCCTACGCATGGTGTACTGTAAGGACAGGAGTGTAAATGTGGTTGTGAATGTGAACATGAACGTGAATGTGACTGACCTGCCGACCACGAAAAAACAGGCTATCTTGCGGAGGCGAAGAAATCGACCGGCCAATATCTTCTTCGGGTCGCAGTTCGATGCGTTCCAGGCGTTGCCGCAGCTTCCCATGGAGGCGAAGATGCCTGGGATCTTGAATGAGATCAAACATAATGGTGAGCCACCAGCCGATGTTGCTGCTTTGAGAAGCTCTTCCTTGTCCTTGCGGGGGTTGCCTGTTGAATCCCAGTGTTTTTGGGACGCGCCCATGCTCGGAGAGAACATGTTATAACGTACTGACCTAATGGGCGTATAGTGTTCCATGTGTACAACCAAACGGGCATGAGGCAGGTTATATGGCCTCGTGGGACCAAGGACGACACTTTTGTGAGCTTTGCTTCCTCTTCATCTCATCGGACTGTTGCATTCGAGCATGTGTCTTAACCTTTTGCTCCCAACTTCACCGGTACCCGACAGGTACAGTTTTCTGACGATCTGAGTGCAGTTCACGGGCATGCTCCTGATGAGCTCGGTACACCTTGACAGTATGAACACGGCCGGATTCGAATTATCTCCTATCACGACGGCTCTGAAACTAGAAGCCATGAGGCAGGTCCGGGAGAAGATCCGGACACAAGCGGCGGACGATATCATTAGTTGCATTTCGGCGATCGCGTGTCTGGCTACATGTGCCCTGGTAAGTGACAGCGAAGATTGGGCTGGGGACTCTTCTGTTGGTAGGAAGACGGTGTTGTTCGGATATCAGGTATTGTGTGCTAAAGCATGAGGGGTGGTGTCGCTGACATGGTACCTTACTTAATTGTGTACAGGTTCGAGACGAGATCGAAGGCGCCGAGGAGTATCTCATCCATCGCAAGGCGTACGCTGTTCTGATCAAGGAGGCCTTCGAGCAGCAGATGTTTGAGCGGTCACGGTTCTGTAAGGACGTCTTGAGGGTCATCACGGTCATTGCGTATGTCAAAGTACTACTTCTGTACCCCGCTCCTTGGTGTCCTTTGCCTTTTGCTTCATGCATCTGCTGGAGTGGTCAATGCGGTCGCAAGCGAGAATGATGACTGATCCGAAATGAAACAGTATCGCACGCAGGTGTCGCATGCCCACGTCCGGCCTGGCGCCGCCGATTGACTCGGCGACGGCGCTGAAAGAGTACAGGTACGTCTTCGAAGACATGTGGCAGAGCAGGACGCATCCTGCGCCGGAGCTCTTCTCGCCGGTATATGATGGGCGCGAGGATCCGAGTGAGGACCCGCTTCCTTATGTCCATGTTCACGCCGAGCATCTGAGGTTGTTGTTGCAGATGATGCAGTGGGTCGTCAATGCTTGGCTGCGGCAGACGAGGGTGCCGCTTGATGTTGATGTTGATGCTGGAGAGAGCGACACTGATACGGTCGTGTTGAACTCTCTGTGCCCACGAATCCTACATATGCCGTCGGCTAAAGTGCCCGGTCTGCCATGCACTGGTGATTATGTGTATGAGGCGTGTCGGATCGTGGCGGTGCTGATGGTCCAGAGCGCCGAGAGGAATCAGCTTTGGCGGGTCCTCGCACAAGAAGGGAGTGGGAGTGAGACTGTCACGCTGCTGAGAGCCTTGAGATATGCTCTGGAGAAGACGGACCTCGGGTCCTTGTGGGGGAAGAACATAGGCCTGTTGTACTGGGTTGGACTGGTGTTTCATTGTGCGGCGTTTGGATCCACGGAGTACCCGTTCGCCCATGCGCTGCATGTGAGGGCGTGCTTTGAATTGACGTATAGTTATCACGATTGGCATGGCGCGCTGAAGCCGGTGAGTATCCTCCCTACTTTTCCTTTCGCGTTAGGTGGCGGAGGGCGGAGAACAACATGTTGCATGTTGAGAGCAGAACGAGCAGCAACAGATCGCTGACGATGTCGATGCGCAGATGCTGGCGTTGAAGGATATCATGGCTGATCCTTGACGATACTGATGACGGAGAGGGATACCGGCGCCAACAAAGTGAACGGGTCCTGGGAGGACTACTCGTATGTGGATTCAAGCTGGGCTATCAGGAATGCATAGAGCTCTACGAAAACCTGTCACAGTAACTCAGTAGTAGGTGTACGAGCCCGCAGGGCTAGTTAACCTGATGCCAATAAGAGATGACTGCCCAGCCTCGTCAGCCCCTATTGGGTGCCTATGCAGCCTCGCCCCCTCCCGCTTGGGGCCCGTTCTCTGCTGCTTTATGACGTAGACCGGGGCAAACCCAACGGGGAGAAGGAGAAAATTCTTGCCAGCAAGCGGACAACTAGTTAATGTGGGCTGCCCATGATGATTATTGAGCTCGGCAGTTGTTGATGAAGACCAATTTTCGACACATCCCACGATCACCATTTCCCCACGGCGACCCAGATTCGTCCAATCCGAATGCTTCTATCCTGAGATTACGGGGTGGACTAAAGTGTCCAAGGAAAAATCGGCTTGCATCGTGAGCACTGGTGAGAGATCAAAGCTTTTACTTCTTCATAACAGCATCTATAAGTTAGAAATTCAGAAGTCGTGACGTACCGCCCAGTTTCTTCATTACTCTGCAACGACAGCTAGCCATCAACCCGCAGCATCCTAATTTGGCATCAACATCTAGCATCAACATGCCTTTGCCTACAGGAGTCTACCGCGCCGACCAGGTTGGCTCACTTCTTCGACCAAAAGAGATCCTCGCCGCCCGTGAGAAGGTCGCAGCGGGAGATCTGACCAACTCGGATCTGCGCCAACTTGAGGACAAACACATCGCAGATGTCGTGCGCAAACAGCTCCAGGCTGGTCTCCGATCAATCACTGACGGCGAGTTCCGTCGTGCCTTCTTCCACCTCGACTTCCTTCAGCATCTCGACGGCGTCGAGGTCCAAGGCAGTCTCTTGTCCACGAACAAGTCCAAGGGCGGTATGATGCCTCCTCGACTCGTAGTGACAGGCAAGCTCGGCCACAGCAAACCCATTCAGGTCGACGACTTCAAGTTCCTCGAGCGTCAGATCGCCGAGGCAGGCGGCGAAGGCACTTTTGGTAAGGTCAGCACGAAGGTGGCTATCCCTAGCCCGACGATGGTCCATTTTCGTGGTGGCCGAGAAACGATCGACATCAATGCATACCCTTCGTTAGACGATTTCTTCGAAGACCTTGCGCGGGTGTACCAGGAGGAACTGCAGGATTTGTATGACGCTGGCTGCAGGTTCGTCCAACTTGACGACACGAACCTGGCCTATCTGTGCGATCCCAAGATGCGGTCTGAAGCGGAGACCCGGCATGGTAGTGATGCGAAGCAGTTGGCCAGCCAGTACGCCAGCTTGATCAACAAGGCCATTGCGAAGAGGCCGAGTGACATGACGATTGGGATCCATTTGTGCCGCGGGAACCACAGAAGCCAGTGGTTCGCGCAGGGCGGGTACGAGCCTGTGGCGGAAGTGCTATTCAAGGACTTGAACGTCGACGTGTACTTCCTTGAGTATGATGATGCGAGAAGTGGTGATTTCAGTCCACTCCGACACTTGCCGGAAAATAAAGTCGTTGTGTTGGGTGTGATGACGAGCAAGACGGGCGACCTGGATAATAAAGAGGCCATGGTGCAGAGACTGAATGAGGCAAGCAAATATTGCAAGCGCGGGCTGGACCAGCTGTGTCTTAGCCACCAGTGCGGGTTCAGTAGCACGATGGAAGGGAATGAGCTGAGTGAGGAGCAGCAGTGGGCGAAGATCAGGCTTGAGGTTGAGATTGCAAAGAAGGTCTGGGGCGAGGATATTGCGCAGTAAAGAGGGATTGCAGCATTTCTCAGGCCACGAGCGTGAATGAATATTCAACCGCTAGAGGATATTGAACAGGGGCCATCCAGGGGTAGCATTTGCATCTAGGAAGGAAGCATGACATCGCACTTCAACAGTGTGACAAAGCAAATACTATTGATATTGTACAATTATGAGCATCATTCATATGGCCAATATATTGGATAGTTCCTGATGCGACGATGGTATGGAGGTAGCTAAGGTAGGTAGGTATATTCGGCCGGCGGTCGAGTCGAACTTCCGTCGGCAGAGATTCCGTCGGCTCGGGCCATCAATATTGCGATTGAGCATATTAATACCTCGACCATCTTCTAGAACTTCGAGATTTCGACTTCCAGCACATTGTCAAGCGTCAGGGATACTCGAATCAGCTATGACTACGACCACAATAACACTGTCACCGACAACGACGTCGCTGGCGGCTTCCAATGAGAATTCCCCAGGAAACGGCATGGCATCCAGGCCTCCACCGTCGACATACCTGACCATTGATGGTCTACTGCGGAAACATGCTTCTGAACACGGTGAGATACCTATGTTCGGGTACCCAGCGTCTGGTGCTTCAGACTATGAAGTCCATACTGTCAAGACGGTGGACAGATACGTCGATGCTGCGTGTTGGTGGTATCAAAAGCAGGGTTTGCAACCAGCAGTATGTCTGATGCGTTGACCTCGTGGCTACTGGCTCTGATAATGAGATAGGATCCGACACTGACGAAAGCACCTGTCGTCGCACTTCTCACGCCGTCATGTCTAGATGCAATAATCTCCTTCTTCGCCCTGAATCGATTAGGATGGGCCGTCCTCTTCCTTTCGACCAGACTTACAGCACCGGCCTACGCCAGTCTGATGAGACTCGCTGACTGCACGACCATAGTGGCACCCCCCATGTACGAGGCCGTCATTCAGGAAATGCGCTCTGAAATGCAACTGACTTCAACACCACGAATTCATCAGAAGGACTATCAATCGGCGGTCAATGTCCCCAAATTCCTCCGCGGCTGCGACATGGAGAAAGAATCCAAGAAAGTCGCATGGATCATCCATTCATCTGGCTCTACGGGCTTCCCTAAACCAATCTTCATCACAAACTTCGGTTGTCTCGCGAATTTCCAGAAAGGTCTAGGCTTCAGATCTTTCACTGTCTCTCCACTCTTCCACTCCCACGCACTCATGGAGTTCGGACGCGCCATCTACGCGAAACGGCCCATGTTCTTCGGCAACCACCAATTACCCGTGACCAGACAAAGTCTGCTGGCCGCGTTACGAGTCGCCAAACCCGAAATGGTCTGCGCAGTCCCCTACGTCCTCAAACTCCTCGCCGAGAAGGACGAAGGCATCGCGGAACTCGCAAAAGCCAAAGTCGTCATGTACGGCGGCAGTGCATGTCCCGACCCTCTCGGTGACGAGTTGGTCTCCAAGGGTGTCAATCTAGCGGGGAACTACGGCGCCACCGAGACGGGCTTCATCATGAACTCGTTCAGACCGGCAGGCGATACTGAGTGGAACTATCTCCGTCTGCACAAGCCAGTGGCGAACCACGTCCTCATGGACGAGATCACGCCGGGCATCTTCGAATGTGTAGCATTAGACGGGCTACCCTCGAAAGTCGCGACCAACACCGACGACCCGCCCGGCGCGTTCAGGACGAAGGACCTGTTCATGCGCCATCCCGACCCCGGCAAGTCAAATTACTGGAAATACGTCAGCAGGCTGGATGACCGGCTGACGCTAGTCAATGGGGAGAAAGTGCTACCACTGCCGATCGAAGGACACATTCGCAAAAGCGAGCTCATCAAGGAAGTCGCCGTGTTTGGATTCCAAAGATCCGTGCCGGGGGTGATCGTGTTCCGAAGCGAGCAGGCGGCAACACTCGACGACGAGGATTTTCTCGACGCGATATGGCCACGCATCGAAGAGGCGAACAGGCAAGCGGAGACGTTCTCGCGAATCCCAAGGGATCTCGTCATCGTCCGGGCCTTCGATGAAGTCTACCCGCGTACGGACAAGGCCACGATCATCAGAGCGCAACTGTACGAGCAGTACAAAGATGTTATCCAGCAATCATACGACAAATTTGAGACGGGAGCGACGACCGGCGGCGGACAAATGCTTCAACTTGACGTCCCCGCGCTGGAAGAGTTCTTGTTGTCGAAATTCCGCCACGATCTCGACGTGCCTCTGGAATCCGCCGAGTCTGATATCTTCTCCGCAGGCGTCGACAGTCTGCAGACCACACGTGTCTGGAACATGATCAAGAAGGAACTCGACCTGGGCGGCAACCAGGCCAAGCTGTCGCAGAACGTCGTCTTCGAGCGTGGAACGGTCCGGTCGCTGGCACGGCATCTGTACAATCTTCGACTTGGCATTGACGACGGCGATGGTGACTCGGACCGAGCGGACATCCAGATCATGCAGGACCTGATCGAGAAGTACTCGATGTTCACGCCTCATGGCTCCACGGACAAACCCAAAGTATCCACCAAGACGGTCTTGCTGACGGGCGTGACCGGCGGCTTGGGCTCGATCCTGCTAGCCAACCTCCTCAAGCGCGACGATGTGAGCATGATATACTGCCTCGTCCGCGCTGCCAATCCTGCATCAGCGAGATTCCGTGTCCTGAAAGCGCTGAAAGCTCCTCGAGGTCTCGCCCAAGATCTACCGGAGAACTTCAAGGCCAAGATCGTCGCATTGCCGAGCGACCTCAGCCTACCGTCGCTCGGCCTGGACCGGGTCGTCCTTGACGAAATGCTCAGCCATCTTACGCATATCATCCACAGCGCGTGGGCGGTCAACTTCAATCTTCCCCTGCTGTCGTTCGAGCCGCAGCACATCCGAGGCGTGTACAACCTTTTGGAGCACATCGCTCTACGGACCACGCACAACAGACCGGCCCAGTTCTACTTCTGTTCGAGCGTGTCAGCGGCGAGCGGGACGCCGAAAGCGAGTCAATCGAGTCAATCGGCGACCAGCACCAGCACCAGCACTAGCACCATAGTAGCCGAGACGCAGATCGCGGATCTCTCGCACGCGCAGCACACGGGTTATGGACGCAGTAAGCTGGTGGCGGAAAGAATCACGCACGCCGCGATGCAGACCACCGGATCTATGGCGCGAGTCTTGAGGATCGGCCAACTGGCAGGAGACACGAGGCAGGCGGTTTGGAACGACACGGAGGCGATCGCGTTGATGATTCGTTCGGCCTTGCCGTCGAGTGCGGGCTGTCTGCCGCGTCTGGACGAGAGGCCGAGTTGGTTGCCGGTCGATCGCGCCGCCGAGGTCATTGAACAGTTGGCCTTTTTCTGCGACAGTGAGGATGAGCGTGATGTCGACTTGGCCTACCACATCGTCAACCCGTGCACATTCCATTTCGCGAGAGATCTGCTGCCCATGCTGCGGGCTCATCCGGCCATGCCGAGTTTCGAGGTCGTCGAGGTGAGAACGTGGCTTGACCGGCTCGGTGCGAGTGAGGGTGATGTCGCGAGGAATCCAAGTCGGAAGTTGCTCGAGTTCTGGGAGGGCAAGTATGGGGAGAGGCGAGTTGCACTAGGCACACGCACACAGGATGATGGGGAGAAAAGTCAGGATGGTCATGTATTAAGCGCTGGCAATGGCGAGGGCGAAGAGGAGGAAGCAAGGAGCAACAGCCAGGCGAGCCACGGTTTGACGTTCGACACGACAGAGACGGTCAGGCACAGTGGGGTATTGGGCATGGTCAGGGATCCGGTCGGTGATGGGTTGATGTACCGGATTGTGGATGTCTGGATGAGGAAGTGGAAAGGGGGAGCTGGAGGTGCTTGACAATCAGAAGCAGGCGTAATGCTGGTGTTAATAGCAAGCCAGATAGAAGATGTAGCGCGAGCTGCAGATTAGAGAGAACGTCTTGGACAGTGAACTACGAAAGTCCGTCCCTGCAAGAGGTTGAAAAGACTGTTGAAAGATAGTTTGCAAAATCGCCCAATAGCTACTGGCCTTCTTTCACGGCTTCCCCTTCCTTCTCTCACAATGACTCCAATGAAGCATCAAGAAGCCTCTCAGCCTTCAGTCTGGTCACAGTTTGAGGTCTACAGCCGAGATTCTCTAGTCCCGTCACTGGTCGTGGTTCCGGTGGAGCTCTGGCCATTTTCGAGCTGAGAAGATGACGAGAACCTGAACCCCGGAAAGTCATTGTTGATCTCCCTTTCACACTCTTGAACATAAGGACCCACGCCGCCCAGCCACAACAATGGCTCGATAGGCTTGCCCTCCACATTGGCTCCAACAAACCACGAATTGGTATCCTTGGCACCTTGCGGGAGGACGGTCGCATTGAACACGGCGTTGACCTTTTCTCGCCAGGTGTCGGCTGTTTCCTTTTTCGTATCCATCCGGGCATGCCCGTGGTCACGCATGTACAAGATGGTCCTGCCGATCCAGTCCGCCGTTTGATCGACGACAACCGGGATATTGGCGAAAGGAGACTGTGGCCCGGTCATCATGAAGAGGTTGGGAAAGTTTTCAACCATGATGCCATAGGCGGTGGCCATTCTCTCGTGCAGCTGCTTTCCGAGATCCTGGCCTTGGCTTCCGCGAAGGTCGATTTGGGCCAGGGTGCCTGTGATGGCATCGAACCCAAGGGCGTAGATGATCATGTCGAACTCATATTCAGTGGTACCGGTCCGCAAGCCTGTGGGCGTGATCTCCTTGATGGGATTGTTCTTGATGTCCACCAGTTTGACATTGTCCCTGTTGAAGGCTTCGTAGTAGTAGTGACCCAATGGCGGTCGCTTAGCAAGGACAGGATAATACGGACACAACAACTCCGCTGTTTCCTGGTCTTTGACAATGGAACGGATCTTGCTTCGGATGAATTCTGCAGCCAGATCGTTACATTCCTTGTTGGTGAGCATATCTGCGAAGGTTTGGAAAATGAAGCGAAAGCCGCCAGTCTCCCAGCCATACTCGAGAACTCTCTGGGCTTCAGAGTCACTTTTGAGGTCCGTAAAGCGGTATCGAGGGTCTTGGAAGTCCATTCCGAAGACCGACGTTCTGACGCGCTGGAACATGTTGAGACAGTCTCGCTGCAATTCGGCTTGTTGATGGTCTGTGAGAGGATGGTTGCGCGCGGGAAGCACACAACTCGGCGTCCGCTGAAACACCGTAAGGGACTTGGCAGTGTGAGCAATGAGCGGAACCATTTGGACGGAAGTTGCACCGGTCCCAATGACTGCGACCCGCTTGCCAGCGAAATCGACTTTATGCTTGGGCCAGAGCCCCGTCACATACCATTCGCCCTTGAAAGAGTTCAGCCCTGGGAAGGGTGGCTTGAGAGGGGTTGCAAGAGGGCCGGTGGCCGTGATCAAGAATGTACATGTGTATGTGGATCCTTTGGAAGTTGTCACTTTCCAGATATTGTTGGTCTCGTCACGATGGGCCGCCGTAACACGAGTATTGAACTCCATGTCCTTGCGAAGATCGAGATGATCAACGACGCGGTTGAAATATTGTTCCACTTCCGGTTGGGTCGGAAAGCGCTCTTTCCACTTCCAACCCATGTCGATCTCTTCGAGGAATGTCAGGACATAAACCCAGCTCTCGCTGTCAGTTCGTGCACCGGGATATCTGGGGACAGTAAGTACTTGTAAAAATGTCGGGTTGTCGTGTTTCTGTAGGATATGGTTCGGGTGTTCGTATAAGTCAGTACGCACCGATTCCAGTACCACGTTCCCCCAACGTTGGAGCCTGCTTCAAACAATTTGGCGGTGATGCCGCGTTTCTGGAACTCGTACATCATGCGAACTCCACCAAATCCTGCTCCGATGACAATTGCATCAAAGTCAACTGCAGGTCTGCCATGGGCCGCTTCGGGACCGGTGGCTGTGTTGTCTGTCATTGCCATTGCTTGTCGTCAGGGATTCAGCTTGAGAAGCAGGATATCAAAGAGCGCAAGAAGTGACAATAAAAATGCAGATGGAGCGAGACATGCTTTCTCTGTCGCCTGGTTATGTGTAAGAGAACCCCCTAAGAATCGAGTGCAGTCTCGTATTTGGACAAGGGTAATGCGGAGTAAGATCAGACTACCCGGTCAGATTTGTGTCGCGCCTGATGCGCGAGGCCATTGCTGAGTTTCTCTGATCAGTGAGCATTTTTCCATCGAATGGTCTTCAGGAAAAGTTACTGGGTTGCGAGGGCCATGATGCTGGTTTGCTTACGGCTGATAAATGTCCAAAAGATGGTAGACTTCTTGTCATTGGGTCCTGACTGTTTGCTGAAGGAGACCTCGTGCGTAGCTTAGCTCCCAGGTACTAAGCTGATGGCAGCTTGTATCTCGAGTCTTTCCTTAGCGTAGCGGAATCCTTCTCGGTAGGTCTCACGAGATATTTGCGAGATAAATCGGAGCGTAAAGTCGTATCGGAGGTCTGGTCGCGTATTGAAGCCATCAGTCAAGATAGTCTGACCTGCTTACAACTTTGGTTTTACTCTGAGCCACAGACCCTCCGCTGTAGCATGCACGTCTCCAGTGCCATTTTCCACCATACCGGAAAGCCATACTTTTCTCGAAGCATGAACCTTGGTGATCTGAGCACGAATCATGATCGTTCCTGGAGTAGGCACTGGCTTCTTGTACGAAACGTTGAGATTCACCGTGAAGAGTGGTTGCAACTCTGGCATCTGCTGAGCAATAATATTGCCCATGGTGCTGTCGAGAATTGTTGCTATGACACCGCCGTGAAGCAAGTTGGGATGAGCATTCATGCCTCCTCCGAAGGTATAAAATCTCCGGATCTCCCCAGGCTGTCCAGTCGTCGCATTTGGTGGTCTGTACAGTGACAACAATTCCGCAATCGTCCTATCCGTGTTCCAAGTCTCTCCCATGAGGCTGTGACCATCGCCAGGCTGAATGATTGTTCGGGACATGTTCACAATGTAGAAAGTTGGGTCGGAGAGCAGTGCAGCGCACCATGGTATCCTTTGGAAGTGGTCGATGGTCGACTGCGGGACGTTGGAGCCTTTCTGAATTTTGGCCATCTTCATGAACAAGTACTAGTAGAGATGACTCTACCAGACACTCTCAATGTCATACGGAGAACTTGGAAGGGTAGAAAGGACATATGTAGGTACTGAACAGATACTGAACAACGCCAAAGAAAGAACCTCGGCTCACCGTCTTGGCAGGATTGAAATCCTCGAGGCGTTCGATCTCCTTCAGCTTCGTTCATTGAGTTAGACGCATGAATGATGGGATACGGTACTGACGCTGTGTCTACGAGAGGCCAATACCCATACCATACTTGATCATCGGCGAGTGCGTCAAGAGTAGGTAGGGAGTATCATCAGAGCCGATCCCAGAGTCATATCCCCCCTCTACTTCGCAATCTTCCGCCTCACCAAGCGCAGTACTCCGCGTGCCTATCCGTCCAGAGAATGGGGACTTCCATCAGGTAGTGGTTTTATGTCAAGTATCCTTCATCCTCATCTAAATCACATCATTCACAATATATCATCGACCTGGTCCTCGCGCTTTCATACGGCTGTAGCTAGACCATCATGATTGCCAAAAACACATCTCGTCGCCGGGTTGCGATCATCCGGAACTACAAGCTAGACGGCCAATGGGGTCAAGACATGCTCGACTCGTTCAGCAAACTCATCCTCGCCGCCGAGCCCTATGCAGTTGTCCAGCACTTCCAGCCCATCGACGGAGGCCCTCTCCCAGAAGCGTCCAACTACGACCTCGTCATACTGACGGGTGGAACTTACGATCTTACGCAGCCTGAGGTCGATATTTGGGTCGCGGCACTTCTGGACTGGATCAGAAATACGGTTGCGAGCAGCCCGCAGACAAAGCTACTCGGTATCTGCTGGGGTCATCAGGCCATTGCACATGCGCTCGGAGGCAAGATAGCTTATCGAGAAGGCGGGACGTTGGTAAGTTTGACAGCGCGTATTCTATCAAGGAACTGCGAATCCAGGGCCGTTGACGTTCCCAACAGATTGACGTTGTCGACATTCCGCTCAATCAGGATGGCCAAGCGTTCTTCAAAGACTTTAAAGCTCTAGTAAGTGCTGCCTTTGTGCATACTCTCGGTAATTGCGATTGACTTGGGCTCAAAGCGGCTCCATAAATTCCATAAACGAATTGTCATCGAACCGCCTCCAGGCTTTCACTATCTCGCGGACAACTATGAGATATCCATGTCTGATTCCAACCAAGTCATGACGTTCCAAGGTCACCCCGAGATGACGGCGAAGATCGCACAAGGCATCGTTAATGCCAGAGATCCCTCCTATCTAGGAGATCCAAGTCCGGAGGGAATCGCCCGACTCCATAACGATTTAGAGAAGATTGAGGATGGAAAGAAAGCCTTCTCGAAGGTGATGTCCTGGGCTTTCGCTGGAAACACTCTTGTGACTTCATGAGTCATCATTGATCATAGATTTTGGCCTAGACTGTCTCAATATATCGCTTAAACTCCCTGCGAGTACACTTGTCAGTTGGAAAACTTGAAGAGCAAATGCAGTGGCGATATTGAACTTGAAAGTGGGAAATTTTCTTACCAATCAGTCACAGCTTCCTTGTACAGCCGAATCTCATGTTCTCGTGATGCAGAGAATAGGTCGATAAATTCTCCAGAGAAGATTTGCCGTGCAACACTCTCAGGCGCTTTGAACCGGGCGACCGCCACATCCAGGCTGTTCGGCAGGAGTTCTGGTTTGTCCTTTCGCATCAAGGTTGGCGGCACAGGGATCTCGAGCTTCTTCTGGACTCCACGCCATCCAGCTCCGAGCAGAGCAGCAAGAGCATAATGAGGATGCATATCTGCGCCGGGAATCCGCACCTCGAATCTCGTAGCCCCGGGTTTGGACACAGGAGGTGCAATCAGCCTGATTGACGAATTTCGGTCTTCCAAACCCCATCCTAACGTTGTTGGTGCCCAGTAATTCTCGACCAGACGCTTGTAGGAATTGATTGTCGGTGCGAAGAGTGGCATCAGATCAGGGATCGCGGTCAGCAGGCCAGCAAGGAACCACCGTCCGATGTCCGAGAGCTCCTCGAGATCTTTCCACTTGGCGTTTGGATCTGGCGACTTGCGTGCGAACACATTCCTCCCTTTCAGATCAGTAAGCGATATGTGGATGTGCCCTGAGCTGCCGGCTAGTCCGTAAACAGGCTTTGCCATGAAGCACGGAGTGATGTTGTGCTCGACTCCCAACGACTTCACAAGTAGCCTAAACCGTGTTAGGTGCCTCGCGTCTCGTAAGTGGAAGGGTGCCTACTTAAAGAGAGCCACTCTATCTGCCATCTCATCGATCTCGCTCGCCTTCAGGGCCTGTTTGATTTGTTTAGCTAGAGTAATTGGACGCTTTATGGATGTAACACTTACAGCTTCGAAGACCCCTGGACCAAACTCGGTATGCCATCCCTCGATGTTCGTTCTGAATTCGACGCTCCTGTCAAATATTTGGTGGAAATAGACCTTGTTGGCCATTGGTCGTGTTGTGCTGTACGAGAAGATACCGGAAGTCAGGTGCCGGAGACTGCTTGGAGCGTTCTTCGCCAAATACGCTGCAATGTTTCGAGGGTCCCCGTCGTTGCTGTAGCCATTCTCGGTCGGCGTTTGGAAGTTCATAAACTCTAGTTCAACTACAAGCATTTAGCCAGTAGGATTGACTGAGGACACAAGGGCCGTGACTCACCCCCTGCCACGGACTTGAAACCATCCTGAGCAATCTTCCGGCAAAAAGAGCGGAGTATAGTCCGCCCATCTGCAGGCACGGGCGCCTTGTGCACCTCGAATCGAAGCAAGAAGAAAGGGATGTTGTCTTCCCATGGTATTCGTCTGAATGATGCAATGTCGGGTATGGCCACGAAGTCACCGTAGCCTTCTTGTACCGAGGTCGCATTCGGCTCCGTATTGAAGAGCACGTCGTGCATATCCCATCCAAAGAGCACCGAGCTGAATCCAAACCCGTCTTCGATACTGGATAGGAACTTCTCCTTATCCATGATCTTGCCTCGCAGGATGCCATCGCAGTCGACACCAGCGACCTTGACTTTGTGATCATGAGTCAACAGTCGGGCAATGTTGTCCTTTGTCGGGATGTCCATCGCTAGTTCTCCCATTCCGCCGGACAGCGATAATGGAGGCAGACAATTCCAGTGTGGGATGACCGGTCATAGATGTATTGAAGAGTCGGCGTCCAAGTCAAGATGGGATACGTGTAAACTGTCGGTAAGCTGATCTAAGTGAGGCGTCCTAAGCAAATCACCACACATCAAGAAATTGCAAGGTGCTGGCGGCTCGACCAGAAGACATCCTCACCAATGATTTGTTGTGCCTGGCTCTGTTAAATGCTGACTTGAAATGTCGAGCAGAGGATGGTCATCCGGAGATATGCGAAGAGTGCCTATGAGCAAGTGGCATGCAGAGATAAGCAGACATCAAACTCGCCTACCTGTTCGAGACATATTGAGCTACCCCACCAATTCAAGCAGGTTGATCAATCAGTAGATCACGGTCCGCCCAGTCCGTGGCAATCCCACAGAAATCGTTCACTGACTTAACGAGCATATCGCCATGGACGAGTGGACGAGGTAGAAAGCACATCAAGAGTCTCCGGTGGTGGTTACTCTGGAAGGTGGGAGTGTTAGGCCATAAAAGGATGTGGGAAGGTCCTCCGTCTTCTTCGTGTCTGGGTGCCTGTGTTCCTCCATTTAGCCTGCTCCAACCGTCATTCTGGCTGGGTGGCTGGTAAGTACTTTCATCCTCCTACAGAAGTGTACAACCAGGCCAGAATCCGGTCCGAGAACATCGCGATGGGTGGGATAGCTTGGGTCCTCGTGAACTTCTGCCGGCACTCGACAAATCAACAATTCAAGAATTGTCATGGTAGACGACCACTTGCTGGCTTCTGCAACCTTTAGCGACATCAGTGACTAAGCTGCCGCATCCACCGATCCCAGATAGGGATACGACAAACCCAATGACGGCCTAGAAGTGTCCAATGGCTGCAATGCAGGTGGTCGACGGATGAATATCGCGTCCTCTGACTGGGCGTGGCCCCAATGCTTGCTGACTGTTCGTGGTAGAAGTATTTGGCATTCCGAGAATGCTCGTGTAGTGGCGTCTGCTTAGAAACGTCGACATCTTTCGACGTTACAATGAGTACTTAAGCAGCATGAAGTCGCTCTGGAAGCCGGGTCTGATCTCTGCGTCAACCAAGTCAGCATTCCAAGCTCACCGTCCCTTTCAACCACTCTAAGCTAGTGACCGAACTCACCACATATCAAGACAATCATTATGCCTCTGTCGACTAACGAGAAGACAAATGAGACCGCGGCTGCGTTGGTCAAGACGCTCCAAGGCGCTTTCCACACACCAGCAGGCTTCAGACCAGGTTAGTAGCCTCCACCTTTGTCACCCGACCAGTATGAGGCAGATTGACAACTAACTTTGCCTACTTCAAGCCCATGCCAGAGGTATCCTCACCAATGGCAACTTTACACCCACTCCCGAAGCATCCTCCCTGAGCAAGGCGACACACTTCAACCAGAGTTCTACCCCGGTCACTGTGCGATTTTCGAATTCGACCGGTCTCCCCCAGATCCCCGACAATGCCAATGACGCCAATCCACGAGGCATGGCCGTGCGCTTCAATCTTCCCGAAGTCAACGGCCGCCGCCATCACACCGACATCATCGCTCACTCGACGCCCTTCTTTCCCGTCCGCACAGGCGAGATGTTTCTAGAACTTCTCGGAGCCATCGGAGCTTCGTCCGCCCCTGACGCCTCCAACCCCTCGCCCATCGAGGTCTATCTCGGCAAGACGCCCTCGGCCAAGGCGTTCGTCGAAGCACCCAAGCCTACGCCGGCCAGCTTCGCCACCGAGAAGTATTTCGGCGTCAATGCCTTCAAGTTGGTCTCGGCCGAGGGCAAGCAGACATTCGTCCGTTATCGAATTACTCCGGACGCCGGCGAGTTGCACTTGTCCGAAGAGGAAGCCAAATCGAAGGACCCGGCGTTCCTGCACAACGAGATCCAGACCCGGATCATCGATGGTGGTGCATCGTTCTCGATTTGGGCTCAGATCGCCAACGAAGGAGATACCACCGATGACGCGACTGTGAGATGGCCCGAGGACCGCAAGGTGGTCAAGCTCGGCACGATCAAGCTCGATGCTGTGGTGGGCGATAACGACGAGAAACAGCGGACCATGATTTTTGATCCAGTGCCTCGAGTCGAAGGAGTTGAGCCGAGCGATGACCCGCTCATTGATATGAGAGCGACTATTTATTTGATTTCAGGAAGGGAGAGGAGAGCCGCTGGGCCTCACCATTAGAACCGCACGTCAAGGTTTTGTGGTCGTTGTGCAGGGAGAGGGTACTTTTGCAGTTAACGAAATGGCAGTCTCAGCAATGTCAAGCTCAATTTAATACCATATCACATAAGCATACCTACTACGGAGTAGTGGTCTATTGTCTTTGTTCAGCACCATATCCTGACATCCGTAAAGGACTTGCTGACCCGAATAGGAAGAAACAATGTACTGAGTATCCACGTTCGATCCGTGACAACTCATCGCATTCAGCGAGAACATCCCAAACATTCGCTCCACATGTGCAGCATTGTCTCGCCCATTTCGACCGCAAACCCTACCATGATCTCAATGGTACGGAATACTCACTGCTCTGATCTCTGCTGCTTCAACCGTGGATAATATTCCTCTACAGCCTGGCCTTCATAACGGGAAGTGCAGTGCAGCCCACCAGCCTTTCACAACCAATTCTGCCCTCTCGTCCTCCTCGCCTCCTTCTCACCTTTGTACACACCTTTCTTACTCGTCGGGATCCCCATGCCCACCAGACTAGTCATCATCAACAATCCAGCCTCGACGGAGTCAATCACATTCACGGTCCTCCGCCCATCCTCATCGCGCACACCGTCCTTGGCCGCGCGAACCAACTCAGTCATCCCCGCGCATCCAAGAACGATGGTATCAGCGCCCTTTGCCACCAGCGCCCTCGCCGCATGCGCCATACGCTTGGCGACCTCCTCGCGCGGCCTGGCCTCGAGCTCCAAGACGCCCAGATGCGTGGCCTCGCTGCCGACGTAGAAATGTTCCAATCCATATGCGGCGACAGCATCGTCCTGCATGATCTTGGACCGAGCCGCTGTGGCGATGATGCCGAACCGCCCACCGATCATGCGCGCCGTATACAGACTCGCCTCCATGATTCCGATGATGGGCACATCGTAGGACTCCCGCAGGGCGTCGATGAGCGGGTGTTTCGAGAAGCACGCGACGATCATGCCGTCGTAGTTCTGGACCGTCTCGCCATTGCTCGCGGCGTACTTGGCCAGATCGCGCAGCACGGCCTCGGTCGACATGATGGCGTCCGTGGTGCTCTCGATGGCCGTGGGTGCAGGGTACGGAGCCGTGTAGCCCGTCACCTCGACGCCGGGGGGCACCATGGGCCGGAGGGAGTTGAGACACGCGTCTGTCATGGAGCGCGTCGAGTTTGGATTGATCAGCAGGATCTGCTGCGGGCGTTGACGCGGCGGAGAGGTCATGGGCGTGGAGAAGGGCGACTTGGAGCTCGTGGGCCGTGTGCTGGGACCGCTCATGTTGGCGTTGGCGCCGCGCGAGACTGGGCGGGATGACTGGAGCTGGTGCCCGCTGTGCTGGGCGAATAGTGGCTGCACGGTTTGCTGGGGCGGCGACAAGGGCAAGGGCGGTTGTTGGTTGCCGCCGAGGGCAATGGGATAGTTCTGCCCGATCGTGCTGCTGCGTGAGCGGGAGTTTTCTGTGAAGGGATTTCCAGAGGGCGCGCCGGGTTCGTTGGTCGGGGATTGAGGCGGATAGCTTTGGCTGGGGAAGCGAGCGCTGTTGCTGAAGCCTTGTTGCGACGGTGGTGATTGTGATCGCGAGGGGCCGTAGTTACTACCACCAGGTCCTGTTCCGGATGGATTGCGGGGTGGGTAAGAGCCTGGCATGTCGTCCGAGGTTGCGTCGAAATTGGCGAGTACGGTTGCGTTTGCCTGTTGGGATTGCGGTTGGGATTGCGGTTGGGATTGCGGTTGGGATTGCGGTTGGGATTGCGGTTGGGATTGCGGTTGAGGAGAGGAAGATCGTGGAGATGGGCCGCCTGGTCGAAGAGATATGGGATGATACTGTTGCTGTTGCTGTTGCTGTTGCTGGAAGTCGGCCATATCTTTTGGGGCGAGGAGAAAGTGCTACACTGCTAAGCGAGGTTGTTCCTGATTTTCTTTTCCTGGGCTCGAAGCCGGATCGGATGGATTGGCGCTTGGCGGTTGGCGATTGGAAGACAAACCGACAATCCGGGTGTGCCACAAAAAAAGTGGTGATGATATCGACCAAGGAAGAAGCCTGTTTTATTCTCCGACGCCTGCTGAAACCCTGGTGGCTGTTCAAGCGAACGACAGGGATGTCTCGATGTGAATCCGTTTGTTTGGGAGAAGGATTCGAAAAGGATCTTTTTCGTATACGAGAAGGTGTATGGAGTAGATGAAGTCGAGGTAGATAGAAGTTAGATTTAGGTGGTAAGCATCCTTTTGGGAGGACTCATTCCGCCCCATGATGGCTCTCAACGAACGATTCTCGGTGGCTGGTTCCCGGACTTCAGCTATATTTATCACATCCTCGGAGACGTGCACCAAATGTAGTTGCCGCGCTAAAGTTGAATGACGAGGACGTCAAAAGACCATTCATTTTCTTTTCCGTTGCTCCGGACAACGTTCCCCGGAGATATCGGAGCTCGTTCCTCCGTCCCTAACTCTTCCCTAACCTTTATCACTAAGTCGCCTAAAGTATATTATCTTTAGTTAAGACTTTAGTTAAGACTTTAGTTAAGGCTGCCTAGAGCAAGAAAAAAATCTATCGTCAAGTTGTGATCCTTCGTCATTCAATTTTAGCGCGGCAAATACATTTTGTGCACTTCTCCGTTAGGGAATTTAAACTAAAATTAAATCGTTAAACTATCAGCCCTTTCTCAAGGCTCCGACAAAAACACAGTGCGTTTTCTACTTCTGGAATGCAAGAGAGCCATACGAAGTCCGACTCTACAACTTCTCAACAGTGTATAAAACTCGGGATCATGTTGAACTCCATCTCAAACAATTTAAGGAAAATGATGACGTCTCATGCCCGGACCCTCAATGTCAAGCTTCCGCCGTCGTCCTTCATGGGCATATGCACTTCAAGAACCATGAAGCTTGTATGCACAATTACGATATCTTTCGGAAATACGGCTAATCACCAAGCTCTAACAACTCCGATGTGACTGCGTATTCCTAGAGGAACTGTGAGTCGTTGGTCTTCCTGACGGTCTGTACCACCCTCGTTATCCCGAGGGGGTGGATTATGGATGTTTCATTCTTTCCAGAAGGATTTGTAAGTGAGACTCCGAGGAAAGTCTGACGGGGAAGTTTCTATGAGCGGTGACTACAGTGTTGACTAGGTAGACGCCAAAAGTGTGTGGGCAACGAGACAGGAGTGATGATTTTGTTCCTGAAGAAGACTTGTAATCCACTAGAAATGCTATCGTTAGACGACGCTTTCAACTCTCACCTGAGCGTATTCATCTTTGTAACACCCTGCACTCAGCTTTTCCTCGTTAGGCTCTGGAGGATGAGGCTGACGGCCGCCGTTCACACGAGGCCAGTTTCGAGAAGCCCTCCAATCCTGGGAACGGCGCGTACAGCTGGCAACTATCCCGAGACCTAAAGGTCTCCAGGAGCCCGCACTGTGCTTCCGCTGACTAATTAGAGGAATCTCGTACACCTAGGTCGGGAAGCCCAAATCGGCTCAGGGAGCCCGAAAGTGCGAAAACCGGGTTAATATGGGGCGCCTATTAGGTAGGATAGAACGAAAAACCTGCCCTCCATCACGATGGAACCCGTTTGAGATGCTTGAGATATTGCTGTGCGATCCTGAGCTCTCCCTGTCCTGGGAAGCCTTGAGGACTACCTCACACTCTCGCGCCATGCCCTGAGGCAAACATAACATCATGAATACAATCAGTGCCGTATTCATGCCGTCCTTTTTCTAGCAGCTTGGATTTTGTCAATGTACACAACGCTATGAGGAGAGACAGGGTCATGTACCCATTCAGTGGCAGACATTTTTAACATCCCAGGTGGATAAATGGCGCCCACTTCCAAACAGCTGCGCGATTGTCTTGCCTATTCCGGAAATTCATCATGGCATGGTGAAGCGCATGTGACACGCACAATTCTTCTGACTTGCTGTCCTTGAGCAATTCTTCGTAGAACTTGCCTGCAATGGCAACAGCGGCGGCATCATCTGCACCCCACAGTGTCCCTATAACGTGTCGGAATCCGCTGAGCTGAAAAGCGCTGGCGAGATGGATACTCTCGTCAACGAGATCTTCGACTTTCAGCTCAGCGGTCGAACAGGCCGAGAGATCCGCAATTTCGGTGTCATCACGACTGACTGTGTCCAAATCGCCTAGAGTGAGGCGCTCTTGCTTCTCTCTCCCAAGAAGGAGAGCACTTTTCGCGGGCTCTACCGTGTCTGCAACGCCATGACAAGCAAAGTGGGCTATTGTGCAAGTCTCGAACTCGAAGAGGACTTCTTCTTTAGTAAGCCGCTCCAAAACCTTCGTTGACGCCCATGAGCCGACCTGTTTCTTAATAGCCGCGACCTCCTCCGCCACGTTGAGGGAAACGTTGTGGCTTGGTGTGCTAGGCATTGAAACAACAAGGATTTTTGGCTGTACTTCTCTACCCAATCTTCGAGGCTTGTTTCTGGTGAATTGAAGCATTTTCACAGTCGTGGCATATGACGAGACGACGTGACTCAGTGTGTTCTCCGTGGATCCTTTCGAATGATCACCAGCTGCATGAATCGGTACCTGTGCCATTATCCCACCTCCAACCCACCAGACGCGTGGTAACTTTTCGCCGGGGCTTACTGGACTCACAAGCCCCAATTTTGAGAGGACTGGCTTCACTGCGACTTTCCACAAGGCTGACAGTTCAGTTGACACATTTGGAATAAAGGACGTTTGCTTTTGGCCTCCAAGAAAAAGAGATCCATCCCGTCGCGCCAAGTTTCCTCTTGAAGCACAAGTATCAATACATCGTCGAAGGTTTTCTTTCTTCAGGTCAGGGAGACACAAGACCCGAATTTCATCTGTAGTTATCAAGAACGCCTCACTGCTGACATCACTGACATTAAAGGAGACAAGAGGCCCGTCTCGTGACAAATCCATCATCTCCTTCTCAGAGAGAGGTAACAGGAAATTTTCATATGCCGGACAGGCGCGTATATCGTTTTGTATATCAGACAGGCTCTTGAACAGCCGCTCACGCTGAAGATCGTGTGATGTGTAGCCTTTCGCTGAAATATCCCGCAAAGCAGAGATTCGAAATGCATTCGCAGCTGCGATTTCCTGCCTTATTTTGAGATATTGGGACCGCTTGTCATTATCTTCCTCCCTTAGCGAGGGCAAATCGGTTCTAAAGTCCATCATTAGGCTCGAAATTATTCCTCTGCTCCGCTCGAGCGCTTGAAATGCTTGGACCGGGGTCCTTCCAGCTTTCAGAAAGACGGAGCCTGTGAGGGATGCGAGCCCGAAGAGCTGTCGAAGAATGTGTTGCAGATCGTCTCGAGCACTTGATGGCGGTGTGACCTCGGGGAGAATGTTTAATACCTGGTCCAGTAATTGAGCTGCCTTGAGCCAATTCTTCTCCGTGATCCGATGATATACAGCTGATTGTCCAGCAAGTATCCGAGTTAGTGGAAGTCCGCTTGATGTACCAAGGCAAGATTCATACGACGATATCGCCTTCTGCAAGTCTTCTTCTTTTTTTCGACCATTCAACTCGTATTTGTCATCAAATAAGCTCCCCAGATTACTTAGATATGTCGAAAGATCCAGAGTATCGTCGGGCATCTTGCAGATAGCCTCTTGGCAATATTGAATAGCTTTATCGACTTTATCCCGGTCGGCTAACTGTCTGGTGCATCGGTAGGCATCCCCAAAAAGAAGGCCCAAATTGTTCACGCGTCCTGCATAATCCCAATCATCCTCCTCGGTAGCTTTGACCGCGGCAAAGGTGACCCGAATAGCTTCCTCAAGGATAAGTGGTTTGTCTGCCTCCGTTGAAGTTCTCAGAGACTTTTGCCTGAGGAGAACGCCAAGGGTGTTCAAGCGCCTCGAACGGTATGGATGATTATCAGGCGTCATATCCAAAGCCTCGAGTGCGTGCATAATAGCGCATTCTATGTCCTTTGTTTGTGATGAGTCTCTCAGATCCCGCTCGGCCAGTATATTGGCTAAATTGCTCAAATATATCGCACGTTCTGGCTGATTCCGAGGTGTTAAATCAACCGCCTGTTGTGCGAAACTTAGCGCTTGTTCTAGATCCCTCTCTCCTCGCTTTCTCTGGTATCGGTCTCGGAGTAGACCCGCAAGGTTGTTCAAACGGATCGCATAGTTTGAGTCGTGGGTTGAGGTCAATTCCATCACTTTTTGACATTTCTCAATTCCCAAATCGAGGTCAAGCGGCTCACCAGTATGGAGATATCGAGCTCCATATAGTTCTGCTAAATCATCCAAGAATTTTGCTTTATCCGGATCATTGTCAGATGTAACGTTCACCGCATTCTTGGTGTGTTCGATGGCTTCATCAATATCAACATCATTTCCTAGTTTCAAGAATCGATCCCCTAGAACGGTTCCAAGACTGTTGGAAACTCTTGCCGGAATCGGTTGATGTTCTGAATAAGTGTTCACGACTTGCTTGGTGAAATTGATGGCTTCATCAATGTCCGTCGACTCATCAGTGACCCGAAATCTTTCATGGTAATAGATTCCAACGTCATTCAGGAACGTCCGACGGTTGTGAGAGTCTTGGGTAACGTCGGCAGCTGCCTTTGCGTATCTGATTGCAGCCTCGATGTCGGCGATGTCATCAGTCATGAGAAATTTGTCTTTAAATAGACTCCCTAGGAAACTGAAGCGTTTTGGCCTCATCTGATCCCCCTCAGCAGTGATGTCCCTGCTCTTTACTATGGCTTCGATAGCTTCTTGAAGGTCATCCAGGTTATTCGTGCGTTGAAACCGCTCTCTGTATAGCACTCCCCGTTGATCCAGAAGCCTCAAGTAGTCCGAGTCATTTGCTGAAGCCGCATCAATATTCCGTTGTATGGCTTTAAGATCCTCTTCCGGTTTCTCCATCCTTTCAAGGCAATTTCAGATCTATATGACAGATAGAGCTGCTTCAAATGCCAGAAAGACAGAGTGCACGACTTTGGAAATTAGGTCAGAACCTAGGGTCAGAAACGATCATATTCGGTTTTGAGCTAATTGATCAAACCTCATCAACGCAGACGACACTTCAAAGGAGAGTGTACTGCCGACGTGGCTCCAGTTACTAAGTGGCATGTTTGCAGTCGTTTCATGCAGCTGCACGAATTCGGCACGACTCCAGCGGGCCATGGCTTGACCCCAACTCGCGGCTGAATCAAGGGTTTCACACTACTTGTTGATGTGTGCAAGGATCTCCGCTCCCGTGTCACCCGTCACCTACTAAGGAGTGCTCTGGCAAACGAGTGGGAGATGGTTATGAGCCTGGAAGCTGATGGCTGCCTAGTAATACGATCTCGGGAATAGCCCAATGACAACTAGGGTCGTAACGGCAAGAGTTCATTTCAATTCCAATGATGTCCTGGATCACCTTCATTGGGCAGGGGCTGGCGGCGCCCAGCTGGGCCTGTGACCGTCTGGAGACCTATTTGCTATGCAATAAATCCAGTGGACGAGTTCTCAAAGTGCCTCCCACTGCCGCTCGAACAGACAACCCCTTCACTTTCGCTAACAGACTCTCTCAAATTGTGTCCAAAAATGGCGGATACTGAGCCTAAGGCCTGGGCTGTACTGATTGGGATTAATTTCTACCCTGGAAACAAGTCCTTGAAGGGATGCGTTCAGGACGTCACCTCCATCAGGGAGTTTCTGACCGAAAGCGCCCCGCGTATGGACATCAAAGTCCTCACAGCGAGCCAGCCTTCCGACCCTTCTGCCAACGGTCCACCCGAGAAATCCGCCCTGCTACCAACATACGATAACATCACACGAGAACTCGAGAGCATAAATGATCAAGCAACAGCCGGAGATGCAGTTTACATTCATTACTCTGGTCATGGTGCAAATCATCAGTCTCCCCAACTAGCTGGCCAAGATCCACATATCGACACGGAGGAGTTTGCCTTAGTCCTGTATGATCGGACACATGGGATGAGGAAACTACCGGGAAGCGAACTAGCAAGACTGCTAAAGGAAATGGTGGACAAAAAATTGGCCGTCACTGTGGTCCTTGACTGTTGCTTTTCTGGAAGCGTTACGCGACATGGCACCAAACGTATCCCAACTATACGAAGCATAGATGTCGATTCTACCGTTGATGATGCTTGTTCCTCACTTCCTCACAGGAGTCGAGGGCCTCTTCGTGACGGCCGAATCGTCCCTCGCTGGTTGGTAAATCCGGACGGCTATACTATTCTTTGTGCCTGTGGACTCTACGAAATTGCTGAAGAACTCGAGTTCGACAAAGGCAAGTTCCACGGCGCACTATCGTACTTCTTACTCCGGGCGCTGAAGTCACTGAGAAGCTCCGGCATGAAGATGAATTCTAAAGCTCTGCATCAGCATATGTGTGCTAGATTTCATGCTACGCTACCCCGACAGAATCCCAGACACTATGGGAATGGGGTTCTCTCATGCTTTGGAAATTGTTTGAATGAAGCTGAAGATCGATTTACTACTGTTTTCTTCCCACAGAAGAGCGATCGATTATGCCTAAGAGCTGGGTATGCGCATGGTGTCCACCAAGGCGACGAGTACGAGGTTTTCCCCTTCACCGCAGCCGGTAACGAAGCAGACACCGCGCAGCATACTTCGATCCGGGTCAACGCCAGCGTTATTCGCGGCCTTACTTCCGATGTGGTATCATCCGACCCAACTATTTCCCTTGACAATGTTAAGTCAGGCTGGATGGCTAAGCCTCGCACTCGACTGCGCCTTCAGAATACCACTATACAACTTATGTTCAAAGATGGCGATATCAGCAAGTGGCAACAAGGGTCGGTTTCTCGAAAGTTTCTCAGATTTTGCAAAGACGACCTAGAGGGTCCGCCTTGCTTATTCAAAATCCATGTGAACAATGGCCATGAATATGAAGTTATCGACCAATGGAGTCAACCAGTGGCATCTCTCCCAACCGTCCCCCGTGACAGGAAGGATGCAACGGATCTTGTTATCAATATGCTCGAGCATGTGGCCATTTATAAGTCCATCGAAGCGATCGAGAACCGCTTTCCCTCGGTGCCATTCTCTGAATCATTTGATATCCAACTTGTGGACGCCAAAGGGGTCTGTTTTTTGAATTCTGGCGTTCTGGAAGTGGAAAACCATGGCAAGTTGAGATTCAAAGTCCGAAACTGTGGCAAAGCGTCGATATACGTCCATCTGCTTGATTTGCGTCCTTCATGGGAGATTGTGGATATGATCCAGATGGACGGCGCGGACTTTATAGAGGTCCCCGGCAAAACCGAATTCTCAGAAGGAGAACTTCGAATGGAAGTACCCGACTACCTTGTGAGGAGGGGACGTAGTCACTGCGAAGACGTCTTCAAATTCTTTGTTACAAGTCGGGCAACCTCGATCGATGGATTGCGCTTGAAGGAGCTTCCTAGCTCTGCAGATAGTTTGGGTACGGGTTTTCGTGGGGATCAGGACAAAGTCTCTAATTTCCTTCTACTACTGTCCTCTCCAATGAGAGGGAGTAGCGCCGATCCTCTGTCAGAAGACTGGGCGGCCCTTAACTTCGTCGTACGGACGATGCTACCACCTCGACCTCGATAGTCTCTCAATATCGGTCTCTTTTTCCAATGATGGTCAACCGGAAAGTATGGATCTCTCTCCAACATATCAGGAAGAAGGTCCCACGTCCCTGCCTCCTAGGCCAAAAAATGGAGAAAAGAAAAACGATTAGCATGGCAACTCGAGCGATATTTAGGGACCTCTAATAGATATGCTGTCATAACCGCCGTTCATGACACGAGGCTTCTATTAGGCGGCTTCCAGGTCCCTCTCCTTGATTTCCTGGCCTTCTTTCACCTGCTTATCGTTTTTGTCGAACAGAGTATATTTTCCAGCCTCAGGGCCTGGCCCGACTGTGAATGGGCCTTCCCGGGTATCCGAACCAGGGGCACGGAAGTACACCTTGTCTCCCGCTCGGAATTTGCTGACCTGAGCCAAAGGATTTGCCCATCAGATTTCGGTGTGTCAAAAGGGAACTCTGTGAATCTGAATGAACACTCACTAGGCTGTAAGGCTTGATCAATGGACGGCCGCCATGGTCAGCGACGCGAAATTTGGGGCTTTCGTCACTGAACAAAGTATCAGAAATTGTGGATTCCTTGGTCAGTGCAATGCAACTTGCCCAGCTTGAGCACTCATAGTTTTCGCCGCGTGGACTCCTTTCTGGTCGTGTTCGAATCAATCAATAGCTTCAATGTCCTGGTGTCCTCAGATATGGTCTGTAATGTTTGAGGCCGATGTCAAGGCGTGAGGCTGCGAAGGTCCACTGCTGCCTGAGCTCGACTAATTTTATCTCGCCAATCACGGAGTCGGGAGTGGCTTCATAGCCTCACTTTTCCTCGCCAATCAGCCAGCTAAGAAGTTTTGCCCAACTAGATAGATTCTCAACGTCGGCCTCATGTTTATAACATCGACAAACAGATCAAATCGAAAAGACTTTAGGTTCAAGTGTTGGCAAGGAGAAAGCAAGGGTCCACCTTGTAACGGACGGGAAAGCGGGGGCACCTTCTATTATCAAGGCATTGTTCCGCAATGACTGGAGTAACGACAACTTTCACCATCTGGAAACAAAGGTTTTTACGATCTTTGTCCAGGGACGATGGCCAAGGCCTGCGAAACCTGCAAGGTAGGGAAAAGGGGGGTCTTGTGTGACTATGCTAACCGCCTCCAGTCGAAGACTACCCTCAGGGCTATCCGCGATTCTCGAGACTGGTTGCGTCGCATAGTGCATTCTATGTGTGTCGTCGTTTCTCAGCACTGCGTGCTCGTCTTCTCCTCCTGAAGCAGGATAAGTTGTCCTCGCTTGAGAAGCAACTTGAGATGGTTGACCAACAAGAAACCAATCCGCTCTTTCTCGCCAGCAGCAGGCGCGACAGAAATCCTGAACGAGAATCCATCCTGTCAAATATCGATACCGCTCTGGCAGATTATGGCAGGCTCATTTCCTCGCGAAAACTCATCTTTTTTGTTTGGATTGCTGAGTGGTGGTTTAGATTCATTGGTTGAGAGAAATCGCCAAATACTTGCCCTAGAGAGCGCAAAGAACCGGGACATCTCCAGTCTGAAACATTGGATAGATGGAAACGCTTGTATCACCAGGGAAGAGACAGCGTACCTACTGCAGCCCAAAGATTTGCTGAGCACTGCACCATTGTCAGACGATGCTGTTGCCCAAGTTGAGGCTTGGCTGGAGGACAGGGTCATTCAGTGTTGGAAAGACTTTCGAGAGGTGAGAAGAGAAGACCCGAACAAAAACTTGCACAATGAAGATTTTTGAATCGTTGCTTACAAGAAACTGCCCCAGCTTCCGTTTCGCAATGTCTCAAGAGATCCAAACGTGTACATCTCATCAGGCTCTGGGCTGAGACGAGCGACTCGGTTCCTCATAGCCCTTCTCTTGGTCATACTCCTCTTTATCCCTATCGTCATCTGCAGTGCCCAAGACAGCATGACTGCCCGGATGGCCGTTGTCGCTATCGCTGCGAGCTTATTTATAGGGATCGTATCTATCATCATCAAGGCTAAATCAATTGAGATATTCATGGCTGGAGCGACGTATGTGCGATCTATTATTTCACAACAACCCCATTAACCAGGCACAAGTCCTTCATGCTGACGCTCACTGTGCAAAGATACGCTACCATTCTGGTCGTTTTTGTTGCTGGCACAAGCCCAAGTCGCAATTCGTGACTTGAAAGCACCTACCATGGGATACCTCGACTGTTAACCGTTTGGACAGTCCCACGATGTTTAAGAAATGTTGACGACAACCTTGTCACGACCGCTTTTTTAGCCGATCTGCATCGCAGGCCTTACCTACCTACCGGCGACTCATGGCGGCTTTGATCAAGACTGAAGAAGCTGGAGGCAATTCGTTCGGATGAAACGGATCGGGCCACCGAACAGAGAATCAAATTTGGTGTTCATCGTTCTCGGCTGAATTTCTTGCCCCTTCTTTAAGACTCTGGATATCTCCTTATAGCATTCTTGACACCTCAGAGTCGCCAGTCCTATGTTCTCATGTTTTGTACGTAAGATATCGCGTTTGAGCCTTTTAGGACTCGCGTCTTCCTCATCTTCAACGTAAGGAGTAAATGGCCTTCTGGTGACATACCTACTTGTGCCTGCATTCCAAGGGGGACCTTAGGCGTCTCGGCGCCGCCAGGCCAAGGTTACTCGGAAATTTGGGCAGCACCGCAAGGAGGGTCTAAAACGGAAGCCTAGTCGAGAGGCAGGTTTAGCCAAACTGCTACGCGGGCCTAATGAGGCCCTTTGGTGTTGTGCTCAGGGACTGCTCACTGATGCTCAGGCCAAACGCTCAGTTAAACCTCAGGTTAAAGCGGCCTTCACTCACCCTCTAGGATCAAGGGGTAAAGGGCAACCAGAATAATCGTTCTCGAGTAATCTCGGGAGTCTTGTGGCATTCTCAGCAGTTTGTATCCAGATAGGGTGAGGTCTGGTTCTCAGGGTGACCTGGGTAGTCAAGACCTTTTGCGGATACTGGAGACTGCGCTCGCCTGCAGTAAAATACTGTTACTACGGAGTGTTCGCGTACGAGGCGCACCTCAACGCTCCAAGGTCCAGCCACACTCGAGAGCACCGCCATCCTCTTATTACTCCGTCCATGGACGTGCATGGACTAACTAGGAGTACCAAGCCCGTCACGCCTGTTTAGCCCACATCTTGCCCGGATAGCCCCCATCAGCCCAGACTCCAAGCCTCTGATGCTTTCTCGTGCTCCTCCTGGTCACCGAACTCTACCACAGTACGAGGATAAGTTCTGAACCAGGCCGGGGGAAAGGGTTCAAGTTTGGATGTCCATGTCTAGTCGATGGAGGGTACGACTCGCTACCATCAAAAGTACTGTGCCTGTACGACGTCCATCTACAAGAACTCAGGCTCCCGCACGCCCGTCTGCTCAGAGATCCGACCATAATGCTCAATCCGTCGGTGCTTCTCAAATGCAAACACTTTTTCTTTCCCACGGCGACACATACCAAGATCAATTTCGGCCACGATCAACTCATCTTCCTCTGTGGACGCTTCGGCCACCACCTCTCCGTCGCAGTCAACAATGCAACTACCGCCAATCAACGGGTATTTGCCATCTTCCATCCCGCATTTGGCTACGTTGATGCTGAAGCACGAGTTCGCATAACTGTTGTAGGTGACGCAGAGCTTGTTGTGGAATAATGCTTCTGTTTTGGTTTTCTCTTTGGTGGGGACTTTACTGTTCACTCCAAGCAACTCTGGCGCCCATGCTGTTGTGTTGTATCCGCAGAGCATCAGCTCGACGCCTTGCAGCCCATATGCCCGCCATGCTTCTGGCCAGCGTCGGTCGTTGCAGATGATCATTCCCACAATGGGGTCTCCTTTTCCCAGAGTGTCAGGTTCATTTAGCTTTGCGCCGGATTTCTTGGTCAAAGCGTCGGGGACCAGATTGGGAGCTCGAAATGCCTCGAACCCCAGATCCCCAGGTTTGAAGTACCTTTTTTCCAGCTGGTTAGTGGCGTCTTTGCGCTCATATGGCTCAAATGTTCCCGGTAAGTGCACCTTGCGGTACTTCGAGACCACTTTGTCAATTTGCCCAGAGTAATATACGCAAGTGTTGTAATGGACATGTTCGTCGCCTGTGCATTCAGCATAGCCAAGATACATGTCCATCTTATACTCCCGAGCCTTGTCAAAAAGAGGCTTCAAGTTGGTTGACTGGGTCGGGTCTCCGTCGACCTCTCGCTCAAAATATTGCTCGAGTTCCTCTCCCTCCAGTATATGCCGCGGAAAGAAAGTGACGGGCGCTATCTCGGGGTAAACAATGAGTTTGGCCTTTTGCGAATGGGCATCGTCCATGAGCTTCAGCATCCGCTGAATGCCTTCCGATCGAGGTGTATCAACATTGATGGCCCCCAACTGAGCGCCCGCCACAATGACTTTGCGGGTTGAATCAGCCGTTAGACCGGCACTGGCACCATCGTTCGTCTGGACGGATCCCATCGTTTCGTAGATTTGCCGCTTATCTGGGTTGAGTCTTGGTCCTGGGCGGGTGGTGAGCAAGGTAAGACCCGGAAATCGTCGCTCAACTGGCCCGTCGAAAAGTAGCCTGGCCAGGAATGAAGTCGCTGGTCAAGATGTCAGTGCACGAAGCCTAAAGACAAATCCTACATCTCCACGATCTCTTTCGAACAGTCGGCCGAGTTTGGCCTTTATCAGCGGCGAACGTGTATTGCGGCTTTGTCCGTTGACCGTGTCGACCGTGTGGATGCGCCTGGACATCCGCGACGCTCGATCGGCGCACGAGTCCAGGCAGTACTCGTACCTTTTGCACTCTTTGGCATTCTGAGGAGTCATCGCCAATGGTAGACTATTGATAAAGAGATGCAGCGTCTCACAAACATGCATCCAGTCACTCCTTGCTCTTTTTTACACTTCTTTCGATAGCCCCTGGGGCCTCTACTTCTTCGCCCGGTGAGCCCTTCGCGTCATGGCCATCCACAACCTCCTCCTCTCTTCATTACTCTCACAGCCGATTCTCTCCTTGCTGGTTCTCCCAGTCGTCCTCCTAGCCATCCATCCCCTATACCGAATCTCTCCGTTTCACCCGCTGTCCCATGTCCCAGGACCTCTGATAGCTCGATTGACCTCCCTATGGCTGACGTGGCATGCATGGGTGGGGGATGAAGCTACTGTCACCGATATCTTGCACAAGAAATATGGTCCCATCGTCCGCACCGGCCCTAACAGCGTGGATATAGCCGATGGCGCCGCATTAGCAACCATATACACCGACAAGGGTGGTTTCGGAAAGACCGATTTCTACGCCAACTTCGACATCGACGGGCACAAATCGATCTTCTCGGAAACGGACCCCGCCAGACGGGCACCTCGCGCGAAAGCCGTTGTCGCATTGTTCTCGACTACGAACCTGAGGCAGGGGCAAGATATAATATACCAATGCGTGGACCGATTCGTTGACAGACTCAAGGAAGGCAAGAAAGCGGACAATTTGGGCAAGCCGGTCAATGTGCTGAATTTTACACGAGGCTTGGCCGTCGATGCAGTGTCATCCTACCTGCTGGGCAACAGTTATGGGGCACTCGATGAATTTGGAGCCCGCGAGGAGAAGAGAGCGGTTCGAAAGGAAGTCAAGGGAACCCCAGATCCCAGGAACCACGAACAGCATATGAGTGCCAGCGGAATGGTCGACTGCTTTGTGGCTGTGGGTCGATTCTGGTATCTCCCGACGTGGGCCTTTAAGTGGGTTGAATCGTTCGACGCATGGTGGAACGCTGAGGAGGAAGTGTCCAAGAGTCTTTCCCTTGTCGACGAATACGTCAACGGCGTGGTGGCCGAGGCCGAAGCCGCAATTGCTGCAGCAGACAAGTCGAACGAGAAGACATCATCTCACCCGCTAAACTCCTACCCGGCCCGGCTTCTTCAAGCAGGCTTCACCGCCTCCGAGACACGGGCACAGTGCAAAGACCTGATCTTCGCCGGCACCGACAGCACCGGCATGAACATGGGCAACATCCTGTTCCATTTGGCTCGACGACCGGAGTGCTACAAGAAACTCCGACAGGAGATCTTGTCGGCAGACCCCAGCTTCGACGACTTGCAATCTCTGCCGTACCTGCGCGGCGTGGTCAAAGAAGCCCTTCGTCTCTCCATGGCCAACCCCTCCCGGCTTCCTCGAGTCGTGCCGGCTTCGGGCTGGACTTTCAACGATACATACTTCCCTCCTGGCACGACTGTAAGCTGCCAGCCGTATAGCCTTCATTTCAATCCCGACGTCTTCCCTGATCCTCACGAGTTCAAGCCCGAACGGTGGGCCGAGCCGACGGGAGAAATGCTGCGTGACGCCATCCCATTCGGTCTGGGTAGTCGCCAATGTATAGCCAGGAACCTAGCCACGGTGGAGCTTTTCTGTGCTACGGAGAGATTGACCAGAGCGGACGCCCTGAACGGTGCAAGGGCATTAAAGGATAAGATTGAGATTCTGGAGTGGTTCAATAGTAAAGTCGTTGGAGAACGGATAGACCTGGTTTGGGATTAGAACGAGACTCTGAGGGGTTCTATGATGGGTGTTGGGTATACGCTCATTGCTCAGGTCAGCAATTTGGATACACCGGGCAAGACAAGCCCTATGAAATCTAGGACGGCTCCTATCAGAATTCAAGTTGCGTCTGCTATGAAATCTAGGACGACGCCTGGCAGAACTCAAAGTCGCGTCTATCATAAAGTCGAGGACGACACCTAGGAGAATCGATAGTTACGTCTATTATAAAATCTAAGACGATGTCTAGCAGAATTCACAGTCATGTCTGTTATGAAATCCAGGCGAACACCTGGTAGAAGTCAACGTTGTATCTATCGTGAAATCCAGGACGACACCTGGTAGAATCCAGTTACACTAGTAGAATCCAAAGTTGCGTCTTAATAGAATCTAGGATGACACCTAGTAGAAGTCAAAGTTGTATCTATTGTGAAATCTAGGACGACACCCAGCAGAAGTCAAAGTTGTATCTATTGTGAAACCTAGGACGACACCTTGCAGAATTCAAAGTTGCGTCTGCCAGCGAGACTGGAGATCTCCAGCTCCGTTCCTGTGACCACATCTAGATAGATACATTGGAACAACTGAAAGCCGGCGTTGTGCTTCCCGAGTAGTCGGCAATGATGGCCTCAACAGCAGCGTAGAGGCCAGGGCCAAGCAAGAACAGACCGACCATCATTACGAAGATGTGGATGACGGTCATGATCGACCTGCCAACGCCGGCGAACAACTTTCCCCTATACAGATGCCAGTACGCCACGGCAAAGAAGATGAAACCGAAGAACGAGTCGAAGGCGGCACCTAGCAGGGACAAGAAGTCGCCCATGCTAGGGATGACCTCGGCGAAGATGAAAGCGATGAACCAGATAGCAGCCATAACGAGACCCCAGACCCCCCAGCCGATAATGGTGTTGCTGTGCGCATGTCTCGAGTTGCCCATGATGCGGAAGTAGATGAACTTCGCGCTAACGTTGGCGTATATTACCCCTATAATCAGAGTTGTAACTATTACAGGCCCGAAGCTGCCCTTCTTGTACGCCGTGGGGCCGAGACTGCCGAACGCTGGGGCGGTCGAGTACTGGCCCAGGTAGTGGAAGCCGATCGCGGGAGGGCAGATGAAGAGGAAGGCGGAGATTCCGGTGAGCACGGCGAGGGCCTTGGGGAAGTCTTGAGGCCGTTCCATCTCGGCGATGAAGGTCGGGAAGAGGATCTGGGGGACCCACAAGAATGTGATATTGAGCACGGCGTTCATGCACCCGACCCAAGTCGTACCGGGGAGAGGGAAGGCATAGGTTCTAACGGGCCCGTCGGTGGGGTAGTCGCCGTAGTAGCCGTACAGCGGGGCGTCCTCGATGCCGGCGAAGATGAGGAAGAGGAGAATGGCGAGGGCCATGCAGGCGGCGGAGAACATGGACATGTAGGAGACGTGGCGGAGAGTTCGGGGTAGCGACATGACGATGCCCATCAGCATGACAATGATCGAGAACACGACCGTGCATTGCGAGTGGTCGGACAGAGTGTTGAGGATTTTGGCTCCGGTGAGAATGTGGAAGCCGATAAGCATGATGTTGTTGGCTAGCAACATGAAGCCGGTCCATTCGTAGGCGATTCGGGACTTGCCAAAGGCGTAGTAGCCAAAGTCGCAGATGTCCCTGATCTGAGGGTACTTCATGATGAACTTGTGCATGGTGATGGAGGTAATCCAGAAGAGAATGCCTGCACCGACCATGGTGATGATACCTGGGACCCAGCCGAGGACGGAGAGCGACCATGTCTGGGCCATGATGGCGAGACAGACCTGGTCGCCGCAGAGGAGCCAAGCTGCCTTCTGCCACGACATGGTTCGGAGCTTGATCTCATGCGCGTGGTCTTCGACGACCAGGGCATGGATGACATCGATGGAGCTCCGACGTCCGGCTCTGAAGTCTGTGACATCATTGACGACCTTCTTCTCGTCCTCTTGATAGATTGGTGCAGACATGGTGCGAGGATGGTATTGACAATAAGTTGGTCTAGGGACGGAAGGCTGAAAGATCGATCTGAGTATCGGTGATCGGTTCGGTGGACCTGTGTACAGGTATATATTCCAAACACGGCCAGATGCCTAGGCAAGCTTTATGTAAGCTCTGCGCAAGCTCTATCAAGCATGCGTGGCATGCTGGGCTACAGGGTTGTGGTAGCTCTTATAATGGCAAGGCTCTTGTATGGCGTGATAAGCTCAAATATGTTGCCATATCTTAAGTGGAGATGCATTCTGGACGGTGAGTGGCTCTAGCGCTATCGCAGCTTTGCTTCTGGCCGCTAGCAGGCGTCGAGGACGTCCGTGAGCGGGCGCGCCGGGGGGATACTGAGGCTAGATCCGGTTCGAAAGGTGTTGCAAGAACTTTGATACGCGAGCAAGGCTTCAGCTGACAGCTAGCAGCCACATGCACGAGACGAGGCGGTTCGCCATTCGAATCACAGTAACATTTTCCTGCCTCGTGGGCGGCTCAAAGCAGCATGCGGACCCGGTGTGTTGGATCCATCCCTCGCCCAAGAATATGAATCGTGTTCCCCAGGTGGCACCATGATCCGTAGACATGATGTTTCTGGAGCGCCACAAGGAGTGAAGTGGAAGGAGACGAAAAGCTGAGGTGGAACCTGATACCAGAGCTTCGAGCTAGTCGAGAGACTGGACCTCCAGGCGCTTCTTTGGATTCCCATTTCCCAGCCTTGCGCGAAAAGAGGTATCAAGGCCCGCGGTTTCAAGCTGTGGACGGAGTAAGGCCACCCAGACCATGCGGGCTCCATGTGGCTTGATGGAAATGGCGTATATATGCCCATCATTCTCGTTCATGGGGGGAGTCGAGCCCTTTGCCATCCGATATTGTCCGCCGTTCATCGATGTGTTCGCAGCTCATGGGCTCTCTCAATTGCCATGTCCTGTTGTACGGGCAGAGGACATTTTGCATTCATACAGTCATGCTCCCTCGACATTGTCTGCATTGCAAACTCGCATTGCCAATACAGAGTCAAGAACCGGGCGTCAAGGTGAAATTGTCGTCTGACAATTACACAGACATGAAGGGCTGCGCACGCCACGCAAGCACCATGATTGCGAAGACAACATCTGATGGTCAGACTGCGTAGGTCGTGGTAGGTGAGCACCGTCGCAATTGCCACCCAGACAGCAATGACGAGGAAGTGCAAAGACGATTGTCCAAGATTTCGCTAAGCTTGATCATCGCCAGACAAGCAGTTTGCTTGTCGACGGAGCAGGTCCAATTAAAGCCTAGCAAATCCCTGCAAGGCCCATGGTGGCCCGGGAAAGTTGCGCCCAGGCCAGTGCCAGGCCTCACTAACATCCGCCGGGACGGGACCCGAATGATACCTCGTACTCCTCCATCAATTTCGGGCCAATGATGGAGATGAAAAATCTTCTACGCTGGAGCTGTTCTGTAGGTCGAGAAGCGTTGATGTGCACCGACTATTGACCATTATCGGGAGTCCCAGGCGACGGACATGTAGTATTACCACCTGCCTATGTGGGCGCTGTCCATCGAGCGAATTTCTTCTTTGCCGCTCCCATGTCACACGACAGCAGTGTCTTACCTCGCTGCTCGTAACTAAAAGGGTCGATACAGCTTAACTGCTTCGATAGCCAGTGTCGGTGTCACTGCCTACAGACACTTCAAGATGGCCATCGACGAGGAAAAGGGCCAGGTCAACGAGGTGCCGCCAAAGGCCTTTGACGACACAGACGCCGAACTCGCCACTGGTGCCCGGACAGAGCTCTACAACAATACAGTTGTCCATCAAGACAATGGCATTCTCTCCAAGCTGCGTCGTCTTGAAGCGCGCATGGACGCAAAACTGGGCATCGAATCCGAAGCAATTGACCGCAAACGAGCAGAGGACAAAAGGCCAGTCCCATGGCACGAGCAACTTACTATGGCTCTTCTTTGGGCGAGTGGCACCATGAACACCTCATGCTTTGCTACCGGTTTTCTAGGCTGGGAATTTGGCTTGAGCCTCAAACAGGCCCTGCTCATCACCATCTTTGCCAGCTTGCTTGGAGGCGCAGTCACTGGGTATTGTGCCACCTTTGGTGCTGCCACCGGTTTACGCCAGATCTCGGTCAGCCGCTACAGTTTCGGCTGGTGGCCGAACAAGCTTGTCGCAGCCCTGAACTCGATCCAACAACTCGGCTGGGCTGCTGTGGGCTGCATCACAGGCGGCTTGGCCCTTACTGCCGTCGCCGACGGCCACGTCAGTCTCGCTGTGGGGATCATCATCATCGCCGTTGTCGCGCTGGCCATTTCTTTCCTCGGCTTGAACGCGATTCTGGTGTACGAACGCTATGCCTGGCTGATCTACTTCATCATCTTCATGATCATATTCGGCGAGACGGGCAAATATGCGGATAACACGACACCCTCATCCCTCAAAGGCGCCACACTCTCCGGCACCGTGCTCTCATTGCTGGCCATCGTCTACGGCTCCAGCGCGTCCTGGTGCACCATGGCCAGCGACTACTACGTGCACTATCCCGCCAACGTGTCCCGGCTCAAGGTCTTCCTCATGACGACATTCGGCATCGCGATCCCAACGTCCATCGGTATGACGGCAGGTTGTGTGGTCGCGAGCGCGCTGAACAACAAACCCGACTGGGCCGACGCCTACGAGAACCAGGGGCTGGGCTTCCTGATCCAAGACATGCTCTACCCTCGTGGCTTTGCGAAGTTCCTGCTCACGCTCCTGGTCTTGTCGGGCATCAACACGAACGTGATCAGCATCTACAGCGCGGCCATCTCATGCCAGCAGTTCTCGCGACCCTTCGCGCGCTTGCCACGCTTCGTGTGGACATTCATCTGTTTTGCAGCCATCATCGCCCTCGCGCTGGGTGGCCGCGAGCAGTTGAATACCTACTTGAGCAACTTCTTGAGCCTGCTCGGGTACTGGTGCACCAGCTACTTCGTCATCCTGTTCGAGGAGCATGTCATCTTTCGCAAGGGCAAGTTCGCCAATTACGATCTCGACGGATGGAATGATCCAAGGAGATTACCCCATGGGATTGCAGCGGCTGTGGCGTTCGGTTTGGGCGTCGTGGCTTGGGTCATGGGCATGGATGAGACGTGGTTCATTGGCCCTCTGGCGAAAATCATAGGAGACTATGGAGGAGATGTTGCGAATGAGTTTGCGTTTGTGGTTACTGCCCTGACTTATGCCCCGGCCAGATATTCGGAGTTGAGGTATTTTGGAAAATGACCGAGTCCTCCGCGATAGGCGCGCGAAAGGGGGGGGATTAAGTATATAAATGCTCAAAAGAGGCGAGTCGTTATCATGAATCATGTAGAACCACTTTGCCGAAGGAGATGCAATGCAATCCGTGATACTACATGAATGATGATCGATGGGCTTCAGCACTTGAACGTGCAGCGTTGTGAACTATCTTCCTGAGGTTTCTCAATACATACACCAGGTCGTGATCCTTCATATTCTGGTACAGTTACTCGTCCTGGCAAGCAGCCTGCACCTCATTTCTTTTTACGAAGTGCCAAATTTAGTCAGCTTCGGTGCACCGGGGCACGGAGGGGCGCTGAACTTGGTCTGCACAAAGACCTTCTGGATTCCCTTTTCGCGAGCATCGAAGCGCTTGTACAACTCTTCCATCTCAGAAAGATCGATACGGTGAGTGACCATATGCAATGGTTCAAGAGAACCATCTTGGATCTTCTTGAGCAGATCTTCCCAGTAGAGATGGACAGGAGCTTGACCGTTACCGATGAGTCGGATACCTCGCTCCATCAAAGAACCAATGTTGAAATGATTGGTGAAGCCGGCGTAGACACCTGTGACACCGCAGCGGCCAAAGTTCTTGACACTGGTGATCATCTCGTTTATAATTTCTGAGGTATCTGTCTCCATGCCGAGCGCCAACTCAAAATAGTGAGCCCAACCTTTGGCATACTCACCAGCGACGCATTCGATAGCAACATCGGGACCACCATGTTCCATCTTCTTCAGCGTGGAAGTGACGGTCTCGCCCTTTGGCAAGTTGGTGAAATCGATGGTTTCAACCTTTGGAAGTTTGGACTTGACGAAGTCGAGGCGCCATGCTCCCGGGCCGCCGTCAATGATGATGACGCGTCGGGCGCCGTTCATGAAAGACATCTCAGCGCACATCTGACCGATAGGTCCCGCACCCCAAATGGCGACGACGTCACCCTCCTTAACGCCCGTGTCGACGACCGCATTCCACGAAGTGCTAAGGACGTCGGAGAGATACAGGCCTTTTTCGTCGGGGACGTCGTCCGGGAGCTTGAGAAGGTTGACATCGCCGTATGCGACTCTGACATACTCGGCCTGGCCACCTGCGTAACCGCCTGTGAAGTGCGAGTATCCAAGCATACCTGCAGTGCGCCCACCGTACATGATGTTCTCGATTGTGTTGTCGTTTGTCTTTTCACACTGACTGCTTAGCTTCCTCTTGCAATACATACAGCTGCCGCAAGCGATCTGGAAACTGCACACAACGCGATCGCCCGGCTTGACCTTTGAGATGTTGGGGCCGACGCTGTCGACCACGCCGCAGAACTCATGACCTAGAATGTCCCCCTTTTGCATCTCGACGATTGCACCGTGCAGTAGATGTAGGTCTGAGCCGCAGATGGTTGAGCCGGTGACTTTGACGATGACGTCCGTGGCTTCGATCTTTGCGGGCTTGAAGGTCTCGACGAGTTTGACGCTGTTCTTGCCGTTCCATACAAGGGCTTTCATCTTCTCACCTGACGGGTCGGCGTATTTGGCGGCATCTTTGGCAGGGTTGGACAGGTTCTGTTCGGTTGTGGCTTCGCCACCGTGGCCGATAAGGCTCTCGACGGCGGCTGCTGCTTGTGAGAGCGCCATAGTGGAGGATGTTCAGGTAATGTATGTGGTTGCGTGTGGTCTGTTTAGACTTAGGGCAGAAACACTGGGAAAATAGCTCTCGGGTGTTCAAAGGACAATAGCACAAGGGATATTCTGCTTGATATATCCTTACCGTGGACACTGTAGAAGGTAGTGTTTCGCATCTGCCGGGAGATACAATCCTTTTGTGGTGTTTTCATCATGACATCATGCGGATATATGATGTGGTCGTTGCTTCGATCTAACTCGTCTTTGTCTGAATTGAGAAGCGTTGCATGAGGTCACTCCTGGATTTGATGTCCGACCTTTACGGGCCTCGGAGACTTTTCGTGGTCAGTCGAATGAAGGAGTGGTTTTTCCCAAGAGTTTGATAAAGCCGTACGAAGCAGCCCTGTCTCTGAAGCAGATCAAGCCATCAGTGATGGTCCTGTGCACGGGTTTCTGCAAGAAGTAAAAGGAATTTGTTCACAGCAAATCACTGATACGGATTTTGCCAGCCGAGCCGGACCAGCAGTGCTACGAGGTGGCTGCTCGTATTGGGAGGTTTGGAAAAGGCACTTCTACCTGCGCGACTTAGGTACGAGTCCAGAGTTGAGTGACATCGTGGGTGACGACGGCGCAGCTGGTGCACGTGATTGCTGACTAAGATACTTGTCCCGCACCATTCGGAGAGTCGCTCGACGGGCTGCGCGTCTCTCCGCAGTCAACAACACTTTCTGCTTTGACCTGCATACGTAGACATTGATATTGAATTCCTGCCATATTCTTTCAATACGTTTGTTAGTCACTGATTCCCTTCGCTAGGTTCGACATTCTGCTGGTAGCCAGACGAACGCCGATTTCCCTTAGTTATACCCTCCTTCCATGACCACCGAATCCCGACTCCTCGTCCTACCCAAGGCATCGGGCAACCTTTCACCATCGTCAGCCGCCACCTCGCAACTGTGAACACCGCCTGTTTCTGTGCATCTCAGATAAGAACGAAGAGCGGCTTAGAGGCAATCATCTCCGGAATGTCACGCTGGCAGTGATAGGAGGATTCCGGTCGAGTTTGCAAGGTCCCCATCTTGCGTCGCATCTTGCGCTTTTGAACAATGACACACAATCATGGCCGAAAAATCGGAGAAAGGCACTGATGCTGCCCCTATCAGGCCGGTGTCATCGCTGAGATCTCACTTCGAGGGTCTCAAGATCACTCAGCCGCAAGTCGATGAACGTGGCAGTATACCGTCATCCCCACAACCCTTACGACCCGTCGATGGACCATCACCACTCCCTGCGATTAGAAAATCGTTTGACTTGGTCCGACCGACTTCTCCGTGGGCAGGAGGGGGAAACGTCAACAATGGCGGCTCACTTACTCCGCTGAGAGGCGATGAGTCTCCCACGAGGTCGAACCACAAACGACCGATGTCTATGTTAATTCAGTCCTCTCCTCAATTGACGCCCTCAGTCAAGGTTGACTCGCCGCGATCACCTCCTCGTACCTTCTTCGAAAGGAGCGTCTCACGATCTCCTGAACGTTTTGACAACACGCCATTTGGCAAAGTCCGAGAACTCGTCTCTCAACATTCCAGTCGAGCTTCCTCCAGACCGCCATCCCCTCGTGCCACGAGTCCTGAACACCACGTCACATTAGACGCAGGCGGAAATGAACAAAATAGGAGGGATCCGTCGACGCCGAGATCGCCGGCAAGGCCTCCACCGGTTAATCGGGCCGAGAAACCAAAAATTCCAGCAAAGCCAACTGCGATTGCTTTGCCCGTGGGAATCACTGTTGGTAATGTCCTCAATCCAGAGCCGCGCCGACCTTCTTTCGATGCTAGGGTGTCACCATTCAGTACGCCTCCTAGTAGCGACGAGAGTTCCCCTTCGAGAAGTCCTGAGGCCATAGTCCCCTTCCCGACCATTAGGCCGGTCGCACCCGCACCGCTACCTGGAAAGCCAACTGGGGCAGCTATCCCTGACCCAGCCGACCGGCCAAAAGATCCTCGCTCCATGGGCTTCTCCTCCAAGCCAAGCGTGATCGAGAAGAAAGATCCACGTGCGCTGGGCTTTGCGACCAGCGAATCGCAACCTCGACCTCCCGTACAACCGGCAGCCCTACCTTCTAGAGCGAATACAGTTTCAGACAAGCCCTCAAGGGATCCGCGCGAGGTTGGCCTTACTCCCGCAAAGCCCACGCCTCGTCATGTTTCGGAGACAATAAGACATACACCTCCTCCAATCGGCCATTTACAACCGTCTCGAGCGCCCCCTGTCCGAGATGCTAGACAATTCGGGTTTTCTAGCCATCATTACCCTGAAGTTGGTGTTATTGAGGAAGAACCACGTCCTGGGCTCCCGCCTAGACGGAATATAGAACCTCCGCCACGCCCCCCAAATGAGTCCAAAAATTCAACGAGGTCTATGGAGCCACCAAGTCAAGTGGCAAACCCTGACAGGTCTAAGAAACCCATGTCAACGCAGCAGGTGTCACGAACCCCAACGATGCCTCTAGATACTCGGTTCCCTCCACCACCCAAGCGTGGCAGTGTTGACAGCATTGAACCGCCCATACCAGCAAGGCCGCAAGCATTTAATGGAACATCAGCCACCCGACCCGTTGCTAAACCGTACGGAAGCGATTCTGACGAGGAAGAAGAGCCTGTCGAGGAGCCTTCCACGCTGAAATCTGAATATCCTGACGCTACTCATACCAACCGTCGCCCGCCTTTCTGCAAAGGGGCCATATGGGAGATTGCCACCAAGTCCGACTCAAGAACGATGGGAGTCTGCGGCAAATTTCTGTGCACGGCCGGCTATACCACCAGAGTCTTTGACATGACTTCTGGGGAACAGATAATGAGTATCAATCATGGCGAGACTGTCAAAGTGACAGCAATGGCTTTCAAACCTGCCCCGGACTTGACTGGCGAGGGCGCCAAGATGTGGTTAGGCACAAATGCTGGTGACTTGATGGAGGTAGAAGTGGCTACTTATACTGTCAAGACAACGAATTCTTCGCATAATCGACGAGAGATTGTTCGCATATTGCGGAGCAGGAAGGACTTGTGGACAATAGACGACGACGGCAAGCTCTTTGTATGGAAAGCAGACGAAACAGGGGTGCCGAATATGAAGTACAGCCATGTCTCTCACAAAGTCCAGAAAGGTCATTCCTTTTCAATGGCCATTGACGGAATGCTTTGGCTTGCAACAGGCAAGGAGATACGGATATACAAACCGGGCGACGAGATGTCCTTTACAGCCTTAACGAAGCCTTTGTCACAACATGGGACTGGAGATATCACTTGTGGTACCCAGTCGACTGAAGGTGGAGGTAGGGCATACTTTGGCCATAATGACGGACGAGTTACCATCTACTCTACCAAAGACTTTTCTCTGATTGGAAACCTCAAAGCCAGCGACTACAAGATCAACAGCATGTCATTCGTCGGCGACAAGCTTTGGGCAGCTTTCAAGACGGGAATGGTCTATGTATACGACACGTCCACATCCCCTTGGAAAGTGAAGAAAGACTGGCGAGCTCATAACGGTCCAGCTACAGAAATCCTACTTGACCCTAGCAGTGTATGGACCCTGCAGCGACTGCAGGTCGTAACAATCGGTCACGACAGCTTTGTCCGGTTATGGGATGCCGCTCTTGAAGAAGACTGGATAGAATCCCAGATGCAAGAACGAGATGTCGAGTACTGCACATTCCGAGAGATCCGTGCTGCAGTGGTCACCTGGAATTGCGGCGCTTCTTCACCCTACAACTTGCGCAAGGACTTTATTGCCGATGCGATACATGCTGATGATCCACCAGAGATCCTGGCATTCGGATTCCAGGAAGTGGTCGACCTGGAAGACCGTGCCGTCACCGCAAAGAGCCTTCTCGGCTTCGGCAAGAAGAAAGATACAGTCAAGGCCGAACAGCATCAAAGTCGTGTCTACCGCGAGTGGCGAGATCATCTGACTTCGGTCATCAGCCGGTACACCAGCGCCCACTACTCATACTCGGAATTACAGACCTCCAGCTTGATTGGCTTGTTCCAATGTGTCTTTGTCAGACAAAAAGAGCGGCCCAACATTAGCAATTTGCAAGCTGCGAGTGTCAAGCTCGGCTTGAAGGGACACTATGGCAACAAAGGTGCACTAATCACCCGGTTCGTCTTGGACGATAGCTCCGTATGCTTCGTCAACTGCCATCTAGCAGCAGGCCAGACGCACACAGCGCACCGCAACAACGACGTCGCAAGCATCCTGGAAGCTGAGTCGTTGGACGCCGAACCAGACCCTGACAAGCGAAGCTCACTCTACGTTGGCGGCGGCGATGGCACGCAGATTCTTGACCATGAAATCTGCATACTGAACGGCGATCTGAATTATCGCATCGACGCGATCCCACGCGACTCGGTCATCAACATGATCAAGCGGAATGAGCTCGCAAAACTGCTGGAACGCGATCAGATCATGGTCTCCCGTCGGCGCGTGTCTGGGTTCCGATTGTCGCAGTTCAATGAACTTCCAATCACATTCGCGCCGACGTACAAGTACGACGTGGGCACAGATAATTACGACTCGTCAGAGAAGAAGCGTGCCCCGGCCTGGTGTGACAGGCTGTTGTATCGTGGCCCAGGACGCGTGAAGCAGCTCGAGTACAGACGGCATGAGGTGCAGACGAGCGATCACCGGCCCGTCAGTGGGATCTTCAAGTTGCGGGTCAAGACGATTGATCCGCGCAAACGGGCGCGAGTGAAGGAAGACTGCTTCGCAAAGTTCGCCGAGGTCAGGAGACGCATGGCCGAGAAGGCCAGTATTGAGTACCTCGTGTCTACGTTGAGCGTCGCTGAGGCGGAAGCAAAACGGCTGATTACGGGGAAGTAAACTTGAACATACCTAGGTAGGATTCAGACCTGTCGTGTCGTGTCTTAGATAGCTGTCCACCAAATCTCGAACAAGTGCTATCAGATAGCCATTCTGGTACCTGTGTTTTGCTGGCTAGCTCTCCTTTGCTTTTCCTTTTTCGCCATAATTGTACGAGTAGCATCCTCCGTTATTGAGTGATTTGCTCGCTACATGCCACTGATCTCTCAATAACACAAACTGGGAAATCAATCTGGCTGGATCCGAAAGCAATGATTGAGCATATTGTTCACGAGAACGTCTGATGTATCTTCATTCTACCCATAATCATAAACAATGTTGACGAGAAAGACCTCGGTCGTCCCCTTCTCAGAACAGCAACGGCCATAAAAGTTGGTGCTAAGTCTTCCCGGATTGCGTCTCTGTGCCATTTCGTCGCCATTGTCTTCAAGAGCTTCAACTCACCACCACACCAGTCTCATGAATGCGCGCACCGCAGTGATTTTAGCCGTCGCCGCCACCATCACCACCACCATCACCACCATCACCACCATAGTCGCCACCTCCGTCACCTCCATCCATGGCTTCTCCCAACATCATACCGCCTAGAAGACCGCCACCAAGACCCAGAGCTGCAGCGCCACCGGCACCAAGACCACCACCCTGTCTCCTAGCGGGTGCCTGCTGCATGTACTGTGGTTGCCCGTAGCCATAGCCGGCTGGGGGTCCGTATCCGCCACCATATCCTGGTCCAGCTCCGTAGCCCCCGTAGCCCCCGTAGCCAGGTCCTTGAGGTGGGTATCCTTGTTGATAGCCAGCGGATTGCTGGGGATATCCTCCACCGCTGCCGCCGTGTTGCTTGCCCATCAACTTGGAGAAGAAGCCTCTGTTCTTACCAGCGCTCCCGCTGGGACTTGTAGACGAGGGTGCACCCGGATAGCCGCCCTGGAGACCTGCTGGGTTTGGAGTACCACCACCACCTTGATAGTAGCCCTCAGCTTCACCGCGGTCCCGTCTGGAGTTTTCTTCGGCTTGCAGGCGGCGGGCCAGCTCTTCGTCCGTCTCGTTTCCTTGTTTGTATGGATTGTTGGATTCGAAGGAGCGGCGCTTCGCATCTGAAACATTGTGGCCGCCTGGGCCCGAGTAGAGTGGAGGAGGACCGCCGGGAGGTGCGTCTTCGTCGGGACGAAGAGCGGGAACGGTGGGTTTCTCCCATGTTGATTGTTTGGTGTAGAGGTTGACGTAGAACCTAAGGGGGAGTTAGTATGTGTATTGACAAGCAGATTATAGAGAGATGAGAAAGAGAGAGAGGTGTACCATTCTTTGTACTGGTCGTTGAAGACTGCTTTCCAACCTTCTGGGACGCGCGGGGGAGGAGGCCCCGTGGGAGGGGCGTAATCGGCCATCAAATCGAGGTCGTGCTGACAACAAAGTCGGCGCAGAAGGATGAGGTTACCTTAAGAATGAATGAAGAAGAAGAAGTAAGCAACGCTGTGTATTATGCAGGTGCAAGGTGGAAGTGAAGCAATGGTTATGGTCATAATAATCATGGCCAAGGTGATGGTGATGCGAGCCGTGGCGGGGGATCATGAAACGTCACCGGTTGGTTATCGTGAGCACCTGTGGCTGGGCAATTGTGGCTGAGCAGCTGTGGCGAGCGTGGCTTCCAAAGCACCATCACAAAATCAAGAATTCACCAGCGAAGCTTTGCTTCTTTGCAGCCAACCATTCCGTCTCGCTTAGAATTGGCGGTGACCAGTCTTCTGCGGCGGCTTCAGTAGACGAAGCGCATATGTAGACGCCCTCTCGGGTGACGGACCCAGCTGAGTGCGGATTTCAACATGCAAAACCCTTGAGAGATTGACAAGCAGTGAGGGGCCAGCGATAGTATGTGAAGCACCAACCCTTCCACGTCTCAGCCTTGTCGGATGTAGGTGCTGTCGAATTGTTTGGAGCACTGTCGATGACTTGCAACATGGAGGTGCACAAGCAGTTCGTTATGAAACATGTTCGGTCATCACCTCCTTATCAGTCACATGCAGCATCCACCTATGTACAGAGTTCTATTCTACCTTCGTGCATCACCTAGCCTACTACTCAACACTCAGCCAAACCCAGCACTGAAATCAGTACAACGGCATTGTGCCGTCAGTGAGTTGGAAGGCGCGCTCCATAATCTCCAAACCCTGATCCAACTGCTCTTTGGTGATCACAATGGGCGGCGCTATTCGGAACACGCCACTGAAGCTGGAGTGACTGCTCAAATTCGCCCACAGCCCCAGCTCATACATCTTACTGGCTACCCTCCGCGCGAGGTCGATGGCTGGCTCCTTGGTCTCGCGGTCTCCCACAATCTCCAACCCAGCCATCAAACCGCGACCCCGCACGTCGCCAATACACCCGTAACGCTCCTTGAGCTTCTGCAGACCGGCCTGCAGATGTAAACCCATGCTGCGCGAGTTCTCCACGAGATTGTCCCGCAGTACGATCTCGAGGACCTTGTCTCCCACGGATGCAGGCAAAGGATCGTTCACATGGGTTGTGTAAAAGCAAAAGTCTCGTTCTGTACAGGCACGCTCGATCTCCGAGCTCGTGATCACGGCACTCAAAGGTAGGCCATTACCCAAGGTCTTACTGAGAGTGAGTATATCTGGAACAACTCCTTCATGATTGATGGCGAAAAGATCACCACAGCGGCCGACACCGGTCTGTGCTTCGTCCACAATAAGCAGCATGCCACGCTTTTCGCAGTGCTTTTTCAGCGCTTTCAGATATCCTGGCGGGAGAACGTGCATGCCGGCAGAGGACTGGATGCATTCAACAATGCAGGCTGCAAGGGACCCGCAAGACGCGCGGTCAATCAGATCCCAGCCATAATCGAGCTCGGTCTCCCAGTCGTACGAACCGTCAGGCTTGCGGAAGATGGATCGATAAGCGTTGGGTGGTGGGAGCATATGCATTCCAGGCATTAGCGGGCCCTGGCCTTTACGACCAAAGTGGTATTGTGTGCCTAGAGCTTGGGCTGTGACACCGTGCCAGCTTGCTCCTAGTCCGACAACTTCGAAGTTTCCGGTGTACATTTTGGCCATCTTGATGGCTGCTTCATTTGACTCGCCTCCTGTGGAGAGGAAGAAAGCTTTGTCGAGCCCCTCAGGCAAGACAGAGGTGAGGCGCTTGGCCAGGTTGATGACAGGCGGCGAGAGCATGCCTGAGAAGAGGTGGTCCAGGTTTTCAGCATGATCGTGGATTGTACGCACGATTTCTGGGTGACCGTGTCCGATCAAGCATGACATCTGGCCGGATGTCCAATCCAGAACTCTGTGGCCATTGGCTGTGTAAACATGCAAGCCCTTGCTACCTGTTACAATATCCTTCTCGAACTTAGTGCCATAGTTTGCCAGGTATTTCGATGCCGCTGCCTGAAGTTCCTCCTCGTTCACATTGTTGTAAAGGGCAGGCTTGCGTGGGGTCTTGCCTGTAATAACGGCGCCGTCTGCGGCCCTGTCTTCGATCATTGGTGCCATGGTGGGCTATACAAGCAGAAATCCGACCAGGTCACGTTTCGGCTGTTGAAATATTAGCAAGACTTGTATCAAGAGTTGTCGCTCACCAGCCAGAGAGTGACATATATACACCACGAAGTTCTGCCTCGCCGTCGGGAAAGTCTTGGGTTTATAGGCTGGAATTATTGTCAGTCTATCCATTCTGGCTGATTCTGAGGGAAGGGCATGTCTTCATTGGGCTGCAGATCGTCTGTTGTCGCGAAATTAGTTCTGTGATTCGAGAACAGTAGCTAGCGATAACAATGCGAATGCAGTCTCTCGGTCAATACGATAGCATCTGCCTTACGTCGGATCGTGAATGCAAGGCGAGCATACGGCCTGTGGGCCTTTCTCGCTGCGTAAAGGGTGAAGTATTGAGGTTTTAATGCGAATATACGGTGGAGTATCACAGTACTAGGAGAGAGCGTGAAAGAGTTAACGCCTCGGATCAGGCACTATTAGGCATGCACCACGTGACCGACCTCAGGCACCGCCACCAACCTCGACTTCTCAGATAAACAACCCCCCCTGCACCGGTCTCCAGTCCTTCGGCAACTATCGACGTGCTCAACCTGTCCGCCCAGGACAAGAACAAGCACATTCGCAATGAAAGCCGCTCGTCCCTATCGGTCGCATAAATATCCAGCCTGCGCTCGTTGCCATAAACGCCGATCACGATGTACCATTGAAATTCCCGGTCAGGCTTGCTTACTCTGTCGCATGCATGGTGTACCTTGCTCTTCTGCCACCGCCAAAAAGGACGACCGAGTGACCCCCAAAGTTGGTTTCGTCCACAGATCACTTCTTGCCGACGAAAAGTCTCTGGAAGGTGTGTCGCATATTGTAGGACCAGTCGTCGCTCGCGACACCCAGATCTTAGACCAATATCTGCCCCAAGTCAACGGCGTTCCTAGCCATGTTCCGATACGACCCAACATTGGCCGTCGAGAGTCGACCAAACCAATATACCACATCCCGATCCCTCCGCACAGACCGAGTCCCACGGACTGCAATTGTACCAGAAATCTGCCAGCGGAGCTCATCGAGCAGGTCGAGCCTTTCATTGATCAGTTGATGGTCAGTTATTTTGAGAATATTCACCCTTGCTACCCCCTCGTCGACGAGGAGTGCGTCATGTCCAAAATCAAGGAACGAAATGCCTTTCCTCAGACCTTCTACGTCAATCTTGCCGCCTATGCTCTTTTCTATTGGGACTTGTCGCCCTCTCTTGCGCCCTACGCGAGGCCTGACCAGGATGTTGCCTGGCAAACTGCTGTTGCTGCCATTATCGGGGATATGCAAAAGGGTGATCTGGCGACGGTCATCTCGCTGTGCATAAACGTTGCAGGGCGACCTTCACGATGCCTCGTCCACAATGTGAGCAATGTTGCTCGTGCGGTTGCCTTGTCACACGCCATGGGTCTGAACCATGATAGTAGCGAATGGAAACTGGCAGATACAGAGAAACGGCTTCGTTGGAAGGCCTGGTGGGGAGTTGTCATCCAGGATCGCTGGTTCAATTTCGCTCAAGGAACACCACCGTACATTTCAAAGGGCCACTATGACGTGCCTCTTCCGACGATGGATTTGCTTACACACGGGAGGACAGGATCATCAAGACATGCCCGCGCAGCAGAAGTTTTCATACAGTTGTGTCGCCTGACGGAGATTGTGGGGGATGTCTTACCGCTCATTTACCACATCCGCTCAGGCAATGATAGCATAGCAGCGGAACAGACCTCGAGGTCGGAGATCGAACTCAACCGATGGGTGGAAAGTCGGCCACCTTGGCTGAATCTGAACGATTTTCAGACCAGGTCGCCAGTCCCGGGTCTTCTCAATCTTCAGCTGTGCTATCTTGCCGTTCGGATGCTGCTGCGTCGAATAGCTTGGCACGAAATCAGCCAGCGAGAGAGCGACCCTGCATCATCGTGGCTACTAGGATGTCAAACGGCCGCCGAGGATATCGTTCGTTTCGTCACCTCATTACACAAGCAGGACTTGATGGGATTTTGGTTGCCATACAATGCTCATCACTTCACCTCGGCTGTGACTCTCCTACTACGCTGTGCACTACAGACGAGCTATTCCAATGTCCGAGCACAGTGTATGGCAAGTGCTAGAACACTCGTCGACTGTTTGAAAAGATATCATGAAGAGTACAGGTGGGATCTTGCTGAAGCTGGCTTGTCACAGAGTGAGTCTGTTCTGAAGAGAATCGAGGACGCTCTCCCCAGAACACCTATGGCAAACACCCCAATCATGCCTTCACCCATACACCATGATTCTATGGACACCCGACTTTATATCGACGATGACATGCTCGGCGATCCTCTTCCGGAGGAAGCATTTGTCATGCAGGGAGGTCAGGGCTCTATTGAAGAATTGTTCCCCGAGATCTTTTCAGATTTCACCGACACTGCCTTGTTTCCTGGTCCGGTCCTCAACGAGCTTTGAGAGGCGAATGATGGTCCATATCAAGCTTCTCAGTGCTGGCGGGCGACTGTCACAGAGGGACAGCAGATGCAATAAATTATCGGAGATTAACATCAAGTAGGCTATGGTTATCTTCCTTCATGCTATCCGGATTCCATGGGTTCTAATCGGGTCACGGGTGTTCTCACACCATATACGGCACTTTCCGATCTTTAGGAGACGACCAATCTTCCAGAGGTCGCGCCTTCGTGTTCAAAAGAATGAACTCCGATTCTAGCTTTGAAATACCACATTGACGAACCTCAAGCATTCACCAACGGCTGTTTGGTTGGAGATTTGGCGAGTGGCCCCGAGAAAAGCCAGTTACGAAAAGGTCCTCACGCGCGCAGGTCCTCACAACCAGACCTGCTGCATCTTATGCGTGCCACACTCAAACTTTTTCTTTTTCTCACGGCATTACATTTCCCTCGGCTTTTCCCCAACTACTATCCTGATCGAATCGCCCATTATTACACGACTGCGTCTCCGCACTCCATTTCGCCGACAACTCTGGCCTAGGTCCCTTGTCATCAACTTGCAGGACCTCCTCGTGCCGACAACATGGACGCTCAGTTCTTCGCCACGTTCTTCAAAGTCGCCTTCCACATTTCCATCTTCACCAATCCAACGAGCGTCGTAACGCCCGCCAAGCACTCATCCATCGACTGGGCTCTCGAACCGGTCGATGAGAACATGCTGAACGACCAAACCGCGCAAGGCTACGCGCGCCAAGCCGAACTTGTTACGGTTTATCACGTCGCATTTGTGCTCCTTGTACAAGCAATAATCATTGCCTTTATAGGAGATGCTTATTATCGCGGCCGACCTCCACGCTATTTCACGGCCGCGGATTGAAGGTGTTCCAACGATAGTGGACAGGCGGGTCCAGATCGTTCCTGCTCCTAATCGAGGACCAGACTTGACCTTTGCATCATTCAATCACTCGGTCCCGCAGCCACGTTCATTCAGTGGCCCTGCGTCGGAGTCTGTACATTTGTGGCTGGCATGGGACGCAGCTAAATATCAGCTAGCACAGCACCAACCGATCAGGCTGAGACGACCTATCTACGACACCGGCAGGCTTCTGCCAGCCTCACCATGCATCCCATCTTCAACGACAACTTGGAGCTCGCAGACCAATGGGTCAAGTCACAGCGACTACATGTGTCATTCTCATCGGCGTATTGGCACGAATGAGGGTGCAGGTCAAGACATTTGGAGGCGGTTTTCGAGATGCAACAAAGCAACTGGAATGTGTCACAGCTACAGCCCAGCTTTTAGTTAGGAAAGGACTAGCCAAAGTCGAACAGCTTCAGTGACAAATGCTATTTAATGCACCGAACGGTCGTCCTCACTGCTCAAGAGGACGATGTCAATGATATTCCCAGCTACGGCCTACAGCCTCTAGCATCTGGTAACAATAACTACTATAAAACTCTGCATTATATTTTCGCTTTACCAGTAGTCGATTCCGCAGGTGGCCCCCCTACTCTGTGGTTCATCATTCCCTTCTCCTTCTCATCCGTCCCCGGACCCGCAGGCTCATGCCCATACGCCACACGCTCCACCTGATCGAACAACCTTAGGACATCCTTATTGAAGAAGGGCAGGATACCCGTACACACCATGCCCGCAATATCACTCGACGGATCGATCCAGTAATACAAATTCCCCAGCCCCGCCCAGCCCCCACTGCCTTTTTTCCGACCATACGCCAGATCCTCGTGGTTCAGCAGCAGCCCGCACGACCAGCCGCGCGAACGATGCGGCAAACTGGGCAGGAAGCAACCCTGCGACGAGGCCAGAGGGATCGCGTCGCCGCTTTCACCGAGTAAGCTGCGATCGATGTCCGGCGACAGGTGGTCCGTAAAGAGGAAATTCTGGACCGTGTCCGGCTTGAGAATGGATTTGCCAGTCCGCGGGCTTGTCCCCTTGTTGAGGAGCGTGGCCAGCAATTTGGCGTAGTCGTTCATCGTGGAATACAGGTATGCTCCGCCGCCGAAGAGTTCGGGGTCTTCGTTGGTCTTGGAGCTTGGGACGGCGACCAGTTTGCCCTCGATGGTGAAGTGCATGACGAGTTTCGGCTTGTTGGGGTCCAGAAAGGCGCCCGTGTCGTTCATGCCCAGCGGCTTCAGGATGTGCTGGTCAATGTAATCGGGCAGTTTGAGGCCGGAGATCTGTTGCACGACGGCGCCCAGCCAGTCCGTGTTCACGCCGTAGACGTACTTTGTCCCCGGGTCGGCGATGTAGGGCGTTTCAAAGTCCGCCCAGGCTGATGGGTCCGAGTATCCTCCCGCTCTGCGCCCCGTGTGTTGCCGGTACTGAGCGGTCAGGGGGTCGAAGAAGTCGTACGAAAAGCCCGTCGTGTGCGTGAGGAGTTGGAGGATCGTGGGTTTGGACTTTGGCGCGCGAAGGACTGGTTCGGATGTTGCTGGGGGTAGTGATTCGAGGACTTGGATCTTGGAGATCCGGGGCACGTATTGCTCCACGGGATCCGAGAGCGATAGTTTGCCTTGCTCCATGAGTTGCAGGGCGGCGATCGATGTGATGATTTTCGTGCACGAGAAGATTTGCATCGTGGTGTCAGCGTCGAAGGGCGCCGCGTTGGGGTCGTCGAGGTTGATCGTTCCATACGTCTGTTTGAGTAGGAAGTCGCCTTTCGAAGTGACTAGCATGGCACCGATGCCGGGGGTTTTCTGCTGCTTAACCACATCCTCGAAGAGGGGAGTTAGTTTGGATTCCATGCTTGCGACGGAGGGTCTGTGATTTGGTGGGGAAGTTGGGATTGATCGCTGCTGGAGGTGGTAGAGGTCGGGAAGACTTGGTTAGACTTGGGTTACACGAGTCGCTAGACACAGTGGTGACGCCCGAGGCTGATTCTTGACATCTGTGTATATGTCGAGGTGGATAGGAGTGGTGTTACTGTGGTACTATATCATACGGACATCGTTAGGTGGGGAAGACCTCCCCCGTACGGAGTAAGTTAGAATGAGGAGAAGTCGTATTCAAGAGAAGGAATTGATGGATTGATAAGCAACTGCTTACCTCCAGTAGTCCCAAAGCCTAGTTAAACGAGGGCGGCATGGTGTCTTAGAACCACGAAATTGTTGATCCCACAGTACAGTGAACATAGAGAGATACAGGTGATCGCTACTTTGAAAGCTATATGATTGGGATGGCTGCCGGACATCCTGCAGGATCGCCATTGCATATCAAGGACGGTCAACTATTCACATCGGATAATCAAGTCAGAGCTCGGGATCAGGTAGCGAACGTCAACTACTCCCAGCGACGCCCCGTCACTAGAAATGTCCCATGTTCACCCTTACTTGCCAGAAGATCATATTTCACGACCACAGACTTGTACCCTGGGTTGCTGTGACACAGGAAGTCCAAGTGCTTGCCAGGTATTCGGGCCACAAGAAGAAGCCATGGGAAGTCGATGCAGATCCAACCCTGTCTGTCCTTTGGCGAGATGGAATACTGGCTGTCGCATTGCCTGTCGATGAGGCATCGGTAAGCAGCAAATCGTGACGGTCAAGCCGGTGGCTTGATTCTAAAAGATCCATCTTCAGACGGAAAGCTGTCTCGCAGCCGAACCGGACAGAATATCGACATACTTGACTTGCGCTTGTCCGTGATTCTGGCGACGACCATGGAGCAGCGAAATTCGGATGCCAACCGGCAGTGTCCTGGTCGATGACGATCTTTCTTTCCATTCGCGGCTGGGATGTTGATGGGGGTAGTTGTCGAATTGATATTTAATTTATCGCTTTCTCTCCCGAATACCTTCAGACCCCCTATCATTGCCAGTACTCTGGCTACTTCCCGCCAAATAGCTGGCGAGATCGAAATTGCTCGCTGGACCGCCAGATCCTCCACCTTGCATTGCTGATGTGAGTCCAGACATAGGACCTTTGCGTTGTATATCTTCGTACTCGGCACGCATCTCTGGATCCATGTTCTCCATCAACTTCGGCATTCCAAATGTGAAGGCGAGAGCCACTACGCCCATCAGAATCATGGGGTTCTTGAGCAAGCTCAAAGGATTGAATCCCTGACGTTCTTCGTAGAAATTCTTCTTGGACAGCACTTTGGCCGACATGTCCAAACGTTCTGTGGGTGCGGGTACAAGAGCAACTCCACGATCATCCCATTTTGTCCCTCGAAATGTTTCCCAAGCTCCTGTAATCACGGTGGACGAGGAATCGGAGGATGGAGCAACATCAATGCGGTAGGGTGCAAAGACATAGTCTCGGCTGTATATATCAAGTAGATGTGATCCGACCGTGCTGATGTCAGGAAACTCGAAGTAATTGCCTTTGCGAAGAACCGCCCGCAGAGGTTCTCCCGTGCCGGATGTTAGAGTGGCATGGGTGGAAGCTGGGAGAGTGTTCGGGTTCGGAAGGAGATTCGAAGCTGGGATTTGGACTCGGAGTGTCGCTGCAGCTGCACTGGTGAGTAGTTGCAACAGGGCAGTGAGGATCAGAATCGTGCGCGCCATCTTGTCGGAGTCTGGGTAGAGAGATAATCTAAGATGTTGGAAATCGAGATGCTGTACAGAAAGCGCACAGCAGCCTTGGATTGAGACCAAGGACCACGGCAAAGTGCAAAGGCTACATTGCGCAAGTATACTTCACCCTACAATCGAGCCTCCATGTGATGCAGGACTGTCACCTAGTATCTTGTACTTCATCTTCGAATGTTAGGTAAGTACGATACATGTTCCACCGCTGATTCACACCCCAGGCTTGTACCTCAATTGCCCACATTGTCGACCCATGATAAACATACCCACGAAAGGACCCTCCCCGTCTTCCCAGCTCCTCCTCCATCCATATTCCTCCGGGCTCCAGCACCAAAGCTGATAATGATTTCACCTATCCTGCTCGACTGTGCAGGTCAATCTCTTCGTCGCCAGGCCTACGAGCGTTCGTAGAGTCTGTGTTCGGCATATCTGACCTTGCGGACTTCCTATCTTTCCAATATCTCTGACCTCGCCAATCCCAAAGCAACACACCAATATAAGCGGCACATACCAACCCAAGAACCGCATAGTACGATGCCGTCTCCCCATCGCGGGCCAACTTGAACCCTCTTGCACCATTGACCAAACCAAGGATCAAGATTAAGCGCCCAAGGAGCAAATGGATCCAGCCGAAGATTCCACGTCGCTCAGCCTTGCGGAAGTACAAGTGCTGCAGGATACCCAGGACCGGCTGCACCGCGACAAGGAGACCGACAATCACATAGCCCAGCAAGATGTGGGGCGTCGAGCCTTTGGGGATGTGGCGAGTCGTGGCGACCGAAGAGCCCAAGCCCATGCCAACCACGGCGAGAACGACGTTCGCAATTTGAACTGGTGCGTGAAGTCTGGTCACTCGAATTTTGTTGAGAGGCGCACGCACGGTAAGTGCCGCGATCGGTATGAAGAGGACGAAGACCAGGCACATGATTGACGCATGAGCGATGAGGGTATTTTGGCCTGGGATCTCGAAACCTGGCGGGAGCTGAGATGGGTCGGATGCCATGACTTGAGGCCTTCTCACTTTGGGTGGTTAGAGGTAGGATCGATACAAGGTTCTTTGACTTCAGAGTATTACCTGTGATTTAATTGATCTGTTCACGAAGATTTGATGAATTTTTTGTAAAATGCAAGCCCTTTTATATTGCCTTACCATTCACCTAGGTGCCATTCACTTTCTCCATCCTGCTCTGGCGAAGTAAGTTTGATCGGCGCTGGTCTGCCCATCGCTTGTCACGGCGATCCGAGAGCAACATGCTGCCCAACGTATTGAATACGCTTCTTGGGAAAATTGCGAGTTCACCGTAACTCAACCAACCCTAAAGAAATGCTTCATCGACTGACCCGCAAGCCAAGGCCTCGCAGCGTATTTTCTTCCCAAAACAGATACGAAAGATGTGGAACTTCCCCACCCAATCATACAATCCTTCAGGCCTTCCTCCATAGTACGCTTGTGGATGTGGTACAGTAGATACCGAGTGGCCTGAATGGCTGCCTTGGAAAGGTGCTTGCTATTATTTTGGCACCATCGGTGTTGAGTGTGTGATTCGAATTCTCTTTCCCTCCCGGGATAGGTAATGGCGCGCAACTTTGGCGGCATCATCTCAATCCTCGAGCGCCGTTTGATCCGTGGACTTCACGTATTCGGATGCCATCGAATGAATACGGTAGGAGCAGGGGGGACTACCCAAAAAAAAGAAATCAGAAATGGAACTCCTAGTACAGGACGAAAGCGTTCGCCCAGGCCAACCGATTCACACCATAGCAACAACGGCCGACCGGCACCGGAGCGTCGAACAACCACAGCCACAATCAACAACCAAAACCCGCCGCTCACACACGAAATCTCGCGGCGGCTGCCTTTTCTGCAAAGCACGACGGATCAAATGCGGCGAAGAGAAACCCGCCTGTCAGAACTGCACGACGAGATCGCGGGCGAAGACCTGCGAATATCCATCGCCAATAATCAACCTCCACCACCGCGGTCCCCCTCGGACCCCTGTCCCTGACTCTCTTCATGTCCCTGGGACTCCTACTCCTCCTCTACGCGCCTCGATTTCCGCCGTGACAGACACTTTCACGCTTCGCGACTTACGTCTCTTCCACCACTTCCTTAGCTGCGCATATCCGTCACTACCCTTGGGCAACCAATCAATATGGACCCACGATATTCCCCAGCTAATCTTCTCGCACGACTACCTCATGTACGCTCTACTAGCGCTGGGCGCTTCGCACCTACACACTTTAACCGCACCTACACAAGCACATGACCAGCATAACCAAACCGATACGCACAAAGCACTGGCACATAGAGGCCATGCCATCTCAGGACTGAAGAGGGCGTTCGAAAAGCAAGCCACGCAAGCTCAGCAGTCCCATTCAAACGCGGAATACGATGCCATGCTAGCGACCTGCTATGTCCTGGCATTTGAATCCGCTCTCGTACCCAATGGAAGGCTCGACTTCGCCACTTTTGTGCGAGGCTGCGCCATCGTTACCGAAAAGATCCAGGACCGGGGACGCGAGTCGATATTCAAGCTACCCCGAGACCTCTGCCAATGTCCGGCGAAGACTGACGAATCCACGGACATCCTGACTACCTTCAACATAGACCCTCGATCGAGCCTCAACCAACTCCTAGAGGACGGAATGACTGCCCTTGCCCCCCTCCAGGCTGATATAGCCCCCTACGAAGCGGAGAGAAACTTCTATCTCGCAATCTATTCAACCTTCACGGCGCTGCAAAACTCCCCAAGTGCAGGCTATACCCGATTTCTCAGTTTCTATGCCGTCTGGTTCAAACTTGCCGATGACACATTGTGTTTCACGCAAGAGCTGATCAGTAGTGTCACTGCGCAGTTACTGTGGGCATTCTTTCTCGGTTTACAACTCTTCATTACACTGATGGTCGAGGAGTCAGCTACTAGTATTACAAAAGATAACCCTGGGACGATGCGGAAAGACGGAACGGTTGAGGAGTCAACCACAAAAGATTACCTTGGGACAAAGAGGCGGCAAGACGAAGAAGTCATGATTAGGAGGCTGACAAAAATGATCGAATGGCTAGACGCCCTCTCCCAAAACATGCCTCCTGCCATGTGTTATCATCTGCAGTGGTCAAAACGTATGGCGAAGGCTTGCGAACGTCGATTCAAGTTGGTCAGTCCATCTCCGGCCAAAGTCCATCAGAAGCTGGTGACCCTCGAACACCTCGACGTTCGTGGACATATCGTGATCGGCAGCATTCTCGACCTCTCAGCAAGCTTGTCGAATTGGACCGAAGGATTACTTGCACCTGACGGGACTCTCCGCGGAATGCACGAGCGAGTGATCCAAACTGCAAATCCCAGCTCCGCAGTAGAACACGTAGAATAGCTAAATGAACCATTTTATTTTTGATAGACGACATGAAGCCTTGAGCGAACATTGTAGCTAGCTGTCTTAACTATCCTAGTTGATCAAAATGCTGAACTTCCCAAAACATCATAACATTCCTTGGTCGACAATCCATCCCTTGCATTGCGACTTGTAGGCCACCCGGCCGCACGCCGTGGGACGCCTGTCAGGCCTGCTAGGCCCTCAGGCCCACGAGAAACACGAGCAAGCCCCCAAATAGGGCCCAGCCCAGAAACGCCCACTAGGGGGGACACCGGACAACGGCACTGAGTCGGGCCTGTCGCATACTGGTTAGAAGTTGTCAAGGACAGCCATTGTACCGGGCACGTACTCTTCTGCCATATCGATACTAGTCGACATCAACACGACAGTCCCAGTATCGCTCGAATTCCCGAGAATTCATGCCGACTAATAAGTGAGTGGCGTCAGCACGAGAGTCCAACCAACCTAGTAATAAACGGAGGCAGGTGCTCTTACCTCGTCACCCAATTCGCTTCAGCCTGTGAAGCTACAGCGTGGCGCTTCTTGGATACGTCCCTTCCACGTTGCCATATCCGGCGGATTTGGACAATCGGGCTTTGGTGTCGCGAAGTCGGCTTCACAACACTTCCATTTTTGCCAATCCTGTCCGGACAGATACCTGCTGGGCGCGGTTGCAAGGAAATGATAGCATTCCCACGTAAAACGACAACATTGCGCATCTCGGCGTTGTGGATCATTTCCAGGGGTGTCGACAAGGTCTCGTTCGTTGGGTGCAGTCTGATTCACAACATCTCCATGACCGACATTGCGAAGAACTTGCATCCCACCATTCTGGTGGACGACGGCGAATGTTACTGACTCGTTTGCGGGACGCTCTGCCACATCGGAGCGAACAATGCGACTTGCAGTTGGCGGTCCCTTGTAGTTACCGGTTTCAGATGGCCAGTCGTCGAAGCAGATAAGACTACCTTGCACTGTAGGGAGGCAAAGGAAAGTCCAGGCAATAATGCAGATAGTCAACCAAGTAACCCTCATATTGGAACGTGGACGTAGGCGTTGCTTGACCTGTGGCAGCTCTCTTTGCAGGATGCAGAGGGGATCTTGTATGTTGGAACGTGGGTGTAGGCGTTGCTTGCTCTGTGTCAGCTCTCTTCACAAGGATGCAGAGGGAATTATATACCCTCAGAACCCTTGGCCAGTCTCAGAAAAGTTTTCAACTGTTTGCGACTGTTGGGCCGATCCAGATAGCAGAGTTTGGTTGGGTTCTTGGCACAAGACTGCGACAGCGATTTTGTCTCTGCACTGGTTTGGTAGGACTCTTGGATTCGGGATGCAGCCCAAGACTCCACGGGAATGTGAAACAGTGTCCACTGGGTAGGATGCCGAAACCTTTCGAGTGGTGGTTGGACAGAGAAAACTTCTTCCAGTATGAGATTGGAACCGGATTGGAAGCATGTTCCACGAAGGTCTTCAGTAACAGTGAGATATGCCCAGTCCTCGTGGGCAAGTGAGAGCCTTAGGTGGTGGATGATGTTTAGGAAAAGTGAATCTGGCTCTGGCGACTAAGGTCCACTTGTCATCGTTGCTATGGGCAGTACAAGCCAGTAGGGGAGATGATGAAGGCAGCGTGAACATGGGGCTAGGCTTGCCAGACTATCGAGCACCCTAAAATCCTTTTTCAATCTTGATCGACCTGCCTGGTGCCCAGCTTGAGGAAAGGCGGCTTGACTGCAATGTCAAATCGCTGCCTTCTCCAACAAGTTGTGGCGAAGCCAGAGTGCTGGCGAAGCGGGCAATTCAACCACAATAGGCTCAGGCGGTCGGACAGTTGTTCGACCCGAAAATGTACTGACAGGGACGATGTGGAGAAGTTGTGAATGTCCATCATTGGTGATAGTCAGCCCTGGCTCCGGCATGCCAACAAGCTCTGAAGAGTGGAAGCAGGGCTGCCAGCAGAAGAACATCGGAGAGAAGGTGCGCTGATGTGAGTGTTGAACAATCTTCCTGACTCTGATGTTGCGGGCCCAAAACCCTTAGCAGGGGAAAAGAGCCCTTGCCGCGATGACTGTGTTGCAGAGGTGTGGGGTGTAGAGATTGTAGATCCACCATCTTCTTCTGGTATGACATGCCCCAGATCCACTGCAAGGAAAAAGGGAGCCATCTGGAACGCACAATCTGATCGTCGAGGGTGGAGGAAGGTTGGACTTGGAGGCACTGGAAGACCGAAGTCGAAGTCTGTGGGAGATGAAGTAGGCGGGCTTCAATCTGACATTGCAGTGCCATCGATATGGTGTATTTCTGGAGTCCGAGCGAAATGGTGAGGCGGGCGTGCTTCAATAGTTGTTTCGTCATCGCAGGTGATGAGGCAGGCATGCTTCAGATGAGAGACCGCTGTGACTTTGATTGATCCCATCGGAGGGCTGTCGACTGCCATCGCCCTTCCTCGTTCCGACACCACGGGGTATAGGATTTGGGGTGTTTGGTTTTTTTTTCTTTTCTGGTTAAGGATAATGGCGCTTTTCCTTAATTATTTTCATTGGCTAAGAAAAGCGCCCAAAAGAAACCAAGGCGCAGCCACAGCCCCAGGCGCGAGGCCCAAAAGGGCTCCTAGGCCTTGTAGGCCCCGAAAGCCGCGAGACCAACAGCCTCCGTGCCCAAAAGGGCCACCAAAACCCACGCCCACCAGGGTGCGACCGCGACCGGACACGGGCAGAGAGCGCTGTCGCACACCAGTCAGAAATTGTAAAGGACAGCCATTGTAGCGGGCACGTACCAATCCATATTGATACTAGTGGACGTTAGTACTGGCACGCCTCTGAGCAAGAATGGATAGACGTACTTACAAAAAGCCAAAAAAAACAAGAAAAAAAAGCAAGAGAAAGGAGCGTTGGTTGATAAGAATGTGCTGGACAGAGTTAGCCTTCTGATACCACAGGCGTCCGTCAGGGCCACAATACTGAAAAGAGCGTTGGGATTGTTGCTCTATAAAGGGTCAGCATGTCTGCGCAGGTGTGAGAGCAACGGGGAGACTTACGGCCAAAAAAGAAAAGAGCATGAATTGTGTGGTGATCTAGACTAAATATCAGCATCAGGTAGTATGCAAAGTCAGGCCAGTGTATACGTACGTGGTGCTAACAGCTGTGATCCGAGAAAAGAGAAAGGAAGAAGATCAGGACGGGAGAAGCAGACAGAAATACCCTCGACGCAGGGGGAGCGCAGGCGCGCAGGCCAAACAACGCTAGACCATAACAAGGAACGTGTCGACGTAGGCAGCGACGACGTGAACCCTATGACGTGCATCGACAACTTCCAATGGCAATGGATCACGCCGAGGAGCAAGTAGTGGCCAGGGACTCGGAGAAGGAGCGATCTGACAGGAGAGAGATCATAAACCTAGCTTGTCAACCTCGGTGTGGACGTGGGTGGTATTGAAATCGATGGACGTTTGGTGGCCGTGAAGTCTCAGATCGAAGAGGGCACCTGCAACTCTCTGGGCGTCCAAGCCGAACGCATGCTCTCGCTAGCAACTCAATGCCGCGGGCGGAAAGCAGGAACTTACCACGTCAAGCCGAGGACGATATGACAAAACCCTCCTTACCGTATCAGAGCTGGATACCATTTGGAGAGTACAGCAGCAACGGCACGCATCATGTGCTACGGCCAGGTGCCGTAGATCAGAAAAGCAACCAACAGCCTTGAGCTTCCGCCGCGGGAGGCGCATAGCAGGGTCGAGAAGGCCACCAGTTGGGCGCTCGCAAAGGCCCAACCAAAGGATGCCCTGGCATTGAGCCATCTTGTTGAGAAGAAGGAAAAATGAAAAGAGCCTTGCCTGACATGTTGCATAAATATATATACCTGGCTGGGCCAGTGATGGTAGTCCACGTGAAAGGATCAGCCAGGCTTGGGGTCGAGAATTGAACAGCGACGGTCGGAAGCACTCCCACGGAACAGCTGGGCCTGTGCACGGAAGCCTGGATGACACATGTTGTATCACAGTGTCCGAATTCGAACCATCATGGCGTGATATGCACCAGCAGAGTTGGGTGGATTGGTGAGCAATCGAAATCTGGCCCATCAAGCTTGGAGGCCAGTCAAGTTGAGAAGGCAACACGGGTTCTTGATGATGGCTGCAAAAAGAGATGGAACGAGGATGGTGATGGCTTATTATCAACAACAAACAGGAGGCCATCCAGGAATCAAAGCCTTGCTGGAAAGACAGGAAGGAAAGCGGAAGGAACTCCAGAGGATGAGAGGAGATACAAGTGACCCTCGGAGGCAGAAACAACCCCAGCAAAATGATTCGAAGGGATGGTCTCGAAGAGAAAAGGCGAGCGAGATTGAGATGAATAAAAGAATGAATCAAAGATGTCAGAATAAGAGATGAAAATGTGAAAAGAATTGTTGAAAAGGTCTTCATCATTTCATCACTTCAAGCTCTTGACTGATGCCAGTCGTTGAATTTGACGCACAGTCTTGCTGCATTCTGACTAGTCCAGTACGGAATTGTACCTCTCATCCAGCCTGTCAAGCCTGGGGGAGTCTCTCGCGTACAGCAATGTGGGTGTGGCACGCTCCGTAAACAGCTCTCCGACAGCATACATCAAATCACTCTTATGCGAGAGTCACAGAGAAACGGACACTCAACATCCACCACGTTGACCACCCTTACTCGTGTCACGGACAGAACCAGCGGCACCCTACTTACAACGACGATGTTGTTCTCAGAACCGAACCTCCTCGGGATGAGGATGGACGATCTCGATGGGGGCAACGGACTCCTCATGGCGATCACGTTAGTCTCTCCAGGAAGGCGTATTGTTCTCCCCAGGAAACGACAGCCGTGCTTTGAGAAGGTTCTTCAATCAGAGATGAAGATTTGAGGATCTCGCCACCAGGAATCGAGTCATTCTCCAAAGACTTTGTTTCACACGCGGTGCCCACGAATACCTTTTCCCACGGCGCGACTTCCAGCATTGAACCAATCAAGCCGAGTCAAGGTCCTCATCCAGTCCGCACTCGACTTGATAAATCGTGCAGGTTTTGTCATCTTCTTGCTTCGTAAAGGTCCCTCCTACCACGTTGCCATCTGAAAATGACAGAGGATGACGAGCAGCAGCCATGGATTTGCTCGCAGAACTTGAAACCATGGCCGTCAATGTCACAGAGGAAGAAGAGATGATCTCTGATGCAGACGTGCGGAGGTGGCAAAACCTATTCGGCCTCACTCGACTAGAGAGCTCCAAAGCCATCGAGACATACCATGGAGACTACTCACGAGCGAGGATCGCCGATGAGCACTGGGACGCAGTCAAATCAGAGCAGGAGGCCAAGGGCCACAACAGAGAGTCGTACGAGTATTCTCTCACCCAGACGCGCAAAGGCACCAAGTTGTTCTCAACACCCGTTGAACGAGGAAGCTTTATAGTCCAACTAGCCGGACCTCTCGACACCGCTGAAAGAATCCAAGAAGCTGCCGCACTCAGCCAAGTTCCGCCACTAGCCACTGGGTCTGGAGAAGACGGAGAGGCACAATTCTGCGAGATCGATGGCGCCGCAAAATTTCGACTCCTCGCTTGGCTAGCAAAGCACCACGGCGACTTCCATCCGACCATCGTCCGGCTCTCGAAGGCCAAGAAGGACCTTTGCTCGCATACTCAAGCACCAATGCTGGCAATGGAGCTCACCCTCCCACAACACCGACCATACCACGCCTCTTTCGAGCCAACGCCCCTGCCGGACCAATATCCCGTGTGGTATTTCTTCTACGGCACGTTGGCTGACCCCGCTGTTCTTTCTCAGCACTCAAATCTGGACACATCACCATCGTACATCCCAGCACACGTTGTCGGAGGCCGGGTACGAACTTGGGCGGGTAAATACAGGGCATTGACTGATGCGCCTGGGGAGAAAGTGGATGGAAGTGCTTTTCTCGTCGAGTCCCGGGACCAGGAGGACGCGTTGAGATTCTACGAGACTGACAAGTATGAAGTCGTGCGGTGCCACATTACAATGCAGACGGGAGTGGTGTGTGGACTTACTTTCCGCTTCAACGGCGCGGAACATGAGTTGGATTAGATGAAGAGCGCTCTTTTGAGATGTCTTTCGAGGCTGTTTTGAGGCTTCATTATACACTACCTAGGTATATTAGCAGGCGCAAAGCAGGCCTCCGCAAACACTTATGGAAGTATCCTGTACTTCGTGATCGAAAATCAAATCCATCAATCATTGTACCCACGGTGGCACGTAGTAATTCTATAATTCATCGACTCATAAAAAGGTTCGGCCGTAAGAAGTCGTACTGCATGCTTCCAACATCACCATCCACTTGCGGCAGCCGCATCGGTATAGCAATACCCGCGGACGAACCCATACTGTACCATCTCAAGAAACCCCAACCGCTCTCCAACAATTAACCCTACCTCCCACCAACCCGTCTTAGATTCCTTCATCTGCTCTCTCCCCGCCGAGGTACGCTCAGAACGAAGGCACGTTCCAAAAGTGTCTGCTGTGCACATGTCGTCGTTGCGCCGTCGACGCGCTCGTCGCGTTCGTCGTGCTCTTCAACTTGTACACGTTCAGTCTGCTCGAACCACCACAATACTCGGTCAGATCTCCGGCGCACAGCATCGAGCAGTCCGCACTATTCGCGGCAAGAGCGCCTCCGTTCGTGATGCCGATGTTATTGCAGTAGCACTCCCTGGAGTACTCAACACCTGCATAGCTGTAGCCCTTGGCATAGCATGCCGTCGCGCACATCTCGACGGTCATGTTGCTGCTTGAGGTGGAGTAGCTGCTCGAGCCACCCAGCGTGCGACCTGATGTGCCCTCGGTGTAACACCCGGAAAACATGTACTTGGCTGTGCCGCCGGTGACGGTCACCGAGATGGGACTGCCAGGCTCGACGTACAGGTCGTTCTTGAACAAGGATAAGGCATCTGGTCCTCCGCACATCTCGGTGGCGTTGCCGGAACAGCTCATGCTGCATTTACCTTCGGCTAGAGTCGTAGCGGACGTTGCGAGCGTGTTGCCGGTCCAGCATTCCGACGCGTATTCAATGCCGAAGTACTGATAGTTGCCTTTCAGCGCGGTCTGCGCACATAGCTCGAGCGTCATTTGCGAGCTGGTCGTTCTCGTCGAGAGTGTTCGTGAGTTGCCATTGTCCGAGTAGCAACTTATGTACGTCGCGCCACTGATTGAAGGTCCAGAAGAAGTCGACGTCTCTGTTGCGTTGCCAGTGATACTCCACACACTCAAGCGATCAGGGCCACCGCAGTACTCGGTCATATTTCCGGAGCAAACCATTGCGCAGTCGCTTTGGTTGGTTGTTGCTGCAGAAATCGAGTTGCCACAATAACATTCACTGGAATATTCGGTGCCAAATACCGAGTAACCCTGGTACTGGCAGTATGCGGCGCAGGTCGCTGTGCTCATTCCAGTCGAGTTCTTGGTGCTTGCACCCGAAAGGGCTCTCGCTCCGGTGCCGTCGATGTAGCATCCTTGGTAGGTTGCAGTCTTGCCAGACGCAAGGGAGACTGTGGTGGTGTTGGCGACTGGCTCAACTTTCTTCTGTCCATCGGTGTTGGGAAGATCGTTCAAGCTGGGCTGAGTAGAGCAGACACCTTGGGGAGCCGCTGCAGGGCCATAGGTCACTTCGTTGCATCCTGGAAGCTTGGGCAGGACTCCCCGGACTTGTTCGTCGACCAGCGAGGCCCGCTCCGGGCAGTTGACGCCGAAGTACTCATCCTGAGAAGCATTCAGGGGTGCACACTCTTCGATGACACCGCTCGGGTTGCCATTGATGCATTCAGCAACAGCCTCGGTGAGGACATCATTATCCCAGGCGTTCAAGAAGTCTAAGGTTAAAGCACGTTAGTCTTAGATTTCCTCAGTCTGGTCTTATACGGAATACTTACCGCCATGGAACCCGTAGCCAGTTGTATCACCGTTGGAAAATACAAATTGCCCACCATCGGAAGTGTCAAGCTCGTTCGGAAAGTAGTAAATCTCGAAGAAGAGATGCGGCAGGGGTTTCGGGTGGGTTGGTGGGCAAACACCGTTGTCGATCTGGGACATGTAGGCAACGTGTGACTGATCGGACTTGTAGAGGTTGATGCCGTCCCAGCAGCTTTGGAATTGGATCTGGGCTCGAAGGCCATCCGGGCAGTTTGTATTGTTCAAGTAAGGGGTTTCCTGCTGTGGGTTGTTGTAGTCAATGCACACGAAGCTGACTCTGTCCGAAACAGGTCTTGAACTATATGTCTTGTTGCCATAAGTCATGGTACTGTTGTCATATGACCGAGCCGTCGAGTCGCCAGAGACCATTTTGAAGCCATAGGGAAACGGGATAATGTTTGCACGGTCTTCACCTCTGCCAAGGTAGTAGACCACGGTTCCCTGGTTCGGAACGTCGATGAAAGAGCCATTTTTGTACTGGTAGTAGAGCAATGGAGTCCAGTAAGCACTCATGTCTTTTTGGATGGAACACGTGGTACAAGATGCTGCGGACAAACTATCGAAGTTGGAGGTAGTGTTGACATCTAGTCTGGGTCAGCATCGTATGGTCAGGGCCACAACAGCGTCAAGGTTCGTACTGATGGCTCCCGACAACAAGTGGGTGTGGCCTGAAATGGCGTTTGGGCTCAGAATGGGATCGATTCTGCCAACTTGAGAGATACCACAGTTCATGCGCCAGAAGGCATCGGCTGAGGCAAACCATGATGCAAGGCTGAGAGCCAAGGAGGAGGATATGCTGATCTTCATGGTGAATGATTGGTAGAAGGTGAAATTCGGTAGTGATTTCCGTCACATCGTCGTGGCGTAAGTAGAATTATATAGGCAATACGAGGTGTGCACATGGTTGAGCTATAGGGGTTGGGTGTGGTAGGTTCGGTTGCTGCCTGACAGCTCTTTGACAGCATAGGGCAATTACACTGACCTTCAACGGTGCAACTTTGCAAGCTTTGACAGGAAACATCCTGCGCTTGTTATAGCAAGCCGTTTTCAAAAGGAGGCGAATCAAGGTGAACAAGCACTGGAGCGTGGAAGCAGGAGGAACTCAGGACACCCGCACGCCGGTGTGCTCGAATATCTTTCAACGGGCTGGAGTGGTCCGGACGGCAGATTCGAAGAATATTTGGGTATTGCTATTGGCTGCTTCCTGCGATCCCGAATCTCACGTCGAAGCAAGCTGCAACCGTGCATAGGCAGTGTGCTTCGTGCCATAAGACCAGGCTCGAGCTCGAGCTCGAGCTCAAGCATCATGGACCGAGCCCCAAGCAAGCGTGTGGCATGAGCATGTGGTTTCCGCATGTGATGCCCGAAGATGTTGGCCGTCCTTATCGAGATTATCTCGGTCCGAGACGCCAACCATATCCACTGGCTTCATGCCGTCCTGTGAATGCTGCGAGGTGATGTTGATAGGAGTAGATGTATGGGAAGAGAGAAAGAAAGGAGAAAGCGCGAGACGCGACGAGGCTGACATGATAGACTTTTCCCAGCCTTGCAAGTTCTGATTGGCTGGTGATGACTCCCTGTCCCGATGTCGGATATCGTCGACCGATTCGCCGATCGAAGCCACGACTCCCAAGGTCAGTCAAACAACACCACAGCTTCAAGGCCTTGCATGTCGTTCCTTTCTACGATCTCGATCCATACTAGAACTCGACCAAACTCCAATCTCGGTTTCTGCGCGTGCTATAAACCATCCGGTTCTCCGAGAGGAATCTCCTGCCTGATACGACGTTCCGTGCGGCAGTGGTCACCTTGTCGACCTGGTCGGTCCATTGCAACACGGTCTCGGCTTCACCTTCCATCGCGACCTGTCAAGATGGAATCTTTCCTACACATCTACCATGCAAAGCGCGGCCTACTGTTATTCGAATATGCCAACAACTCCGCCTCACGCCCAAGCATCAACCCACAAAATCAGCCGCCCAACGTTCTCCTCTTCATCGGTGGCTTGTACGACACCTTCCGCAGTCCAGGATATGTGGACGACCTTGCTGCTCTATTCCCACGCAATGCGCCCAACCAAAAATGGCGGCTCATGCATGTCCAGCTATCTTCCGCAGGCAGGGCATTTGGCATGTTTGATCTGAACCGTGATGTAGGTATTTTTTTCGCTGTCAACTGCCGAATTATGGGCCTGTGTTCTAGAACTTGGTTGGAAGCACCACTGAGATCATGCCGCTACTGTCACTTTTCAGCCCCTGCACTCTAACTAACCTCTCCATGTCTAGGTCGAGGAAATCGGCTTCGCGATAAACTACATCCGTGAAACCATCACACGGTCCCCAACCACGCCCATCGTCATAATGGGTCACTCAACGGGCTGTCAAGATGTCCTGCACTATCTGTGCTCTTCGGTATCGCGGCCAACCATCTCCGGCGCAATCATGCAAGCGCCTGTCTCGGACCGCGAGGCAATCCTAGACGAAATCGAGGCGAAACCCAAGGCGAAAGAGTCCTACCAGACCGTCCTGTCCATCGCTGCATCAACCCCACTCGACAAGCACACCACCACGTTCCTACCCACGCACATCAGCACGCCCCTCATGGGGCCCGCGCCCGTGAGCATTGCGCGCTTTCTCAGCCTTGCGTCGCCAGACTCTCCCGCCAACCCTGCCTTGGATGATTATTTCTCGAGTGACCTATCCGACCAGCGGCTCCTGGACACGTTCGGCCGCATCGGCTCAGCAGAATTCTTACAGCCGTTGCAACCCAGAGCCCAGAAAAGCGTACTTGTCCTGGAGTCTGGTAGCGATGCCGCTGTCCCGGCATACATCAACAAAGACCAACTTCTCGCGCGCTGGAAGCACGCTATCGAATCAGGTTCCAGTGGTAAAGCGTCTTCCTCGTCACATTCCATGGTCGTTCCGAATGCCGTGCATGATATTGGAGGAACGTCCATCGAGGCGCGGACCGCTCGTCTGATCGATATGCGTGGCGCTGTGCTGCGGTACCTGGAAGATATGGTCGGCAATGTTGGCGACGACGGCGACCCTTCGAGTGCTTGGGCGATCTGGCATCACGATAAGAAGGAGATCGAAGCCGAGAAGGGGATAAATGGTGTGAAATTGTAGGGGAAGGAAAGGGACAGAAGTCCTAGTGGGACGCACCTGTTGACGGCCTGTCCGCATTGCAAATCTAAATTGGTCTAGCAGCTATATGAAGCGGCCGTGGAGGCGATACATGTTAGGAGCATCGGCGCTATAAGTCTCTCTTATCCTCGCGCGTGTGCACCTGGATTGCAAGAGCGGAGAGATCGCAGGTCTCGAGTCCGTTTTAGCCAGAGGAGCACAGGATTCTGGATGGGGCCAGGTGGTATTAAACCTCAAGGTGGCCTTGCCCATTCCAGTGGAAGTTGAGAAAAGGTCGAACGTTTGATGCCAGATGCCTCATCACAGACGGTGTTGTCTTGTCTTTGGCCATGGTCAGCCTTGGGTACATCGGTTGAGGTGAATACCAACAGGCAGACGGCCAGTCCTCCAAGGCCACAAAGGGTACTTAAGATATGTCTGAACCCTTGCACTCATGCTCATTGATTCGATGTGAACGAATTTATGCTCCCGTCCTAAGTCTACTGTTGTAAAGCCGTACTTAACTCCCTCCCGTTCTCTTCGGGTGGATCATCTCGAGGCATTTCCGCATTACTCTGGCCTGCTTGTTCTATGCCTTTGGCACCTTTGGCATTGGTAGTTCCTTGAATGACGGATGCTTCTGTTTATATTCTATCAACTTGTCCGGACGTACATGCCTGCCCGTCTGTTTCTAAAATATACCCCCCTCACCGCCATCACCGCTTTGTCAGTGAAGTTGCCCTCGACGATTACCCTGTGAAATCAATCCTTTCTGCCGCACCGACCACGCCGCGGTACTTTATCATTCATAGTCGGCGAATTATCCTCTGAATTGGACTGATGGTAGAGGCCTCGTGTCGCACTCTTGTTATGACCTCCGTGGTCTAGGCAGTTATGTGTGTCCGGGATTCCCCCTCGAAGGTAGGCCGATTTTGGTTGGCGGGCGGGGCCTCGTCTTCTACGACAGAGAAGGGGAATCCTGGGTAGAGCAGCAGGTGTGAGCAGACTCCTTGGCCCGGTGACTTTTTGCCACCTTCTAGGTAGGTATTTGATATTTGAAATTGATATTTTTGTGGGTGGTTCTGCGTCCAGTCAATTCCATCAGGGTTGCTGCTCTCTATTATCCATTACACCTGACTTCTCTTCCGAACCCTTTTTGGCAGCATCGGAGTCGGCCTCATCTCGTTCTCGCTCCTCCTCTTCCTGGATAGCCTTCTGCCTCGCTCTGATCTGCGACATCACCTCGTGCGCGTGCGCCGCATACTTGCACTTCAACCGGATCTGCTTACCGTACTTGTAAAACACGAACGGGAACGGCACACAAGCGGCCGCGAGGAACGCCGGGATCGAACTCGCCCAATGGATCCCAAGATTACGGTACATGTATGTTGTGAACAGTGGGAATACCGTAGCGAATAGAGATCGCAGGATCGCGTTCCCGGCCAGGACGCTTGCGGCGTATATCGTATATGCATCGATTAGGTAGTTGACACAAGCGAGGAAGGCGAGGACCATCCCAAACCCAAACGGTGCAGTCCCGATGATGCACACGATCCAATGAATGGATGGGGAATTCGTCCAGCTGAACCAGAACATCCCGATGGGTATTGCGATGGCCGCGATCAGGGCAGGGGGTAGACGAGCTTCGGGCGGAGCGTCGCCGTTGTACTGTTTGTCCAGACGCTGGTATCGTCGATTGTCGAAGAAGGCGTAGATAGTGCCGATGATCTGGCCACATGCAACACCTAGGAACGCCAGGCCGCTGATGCCTTGCGACCAGTGGCGGCCGTCGGCGAAGACAATCGGGAATGCTCCGAAGAGCATGAACAGAGTGCCGTACAGGATGGCCATCCAGATCGATATGAGCAGGACGATAGGTTCGAGGAACAGCAATGCCCACGGGCGTACGATGGCTTTCTTGAACGCCGCGGTAGGGGTAACCTTGCCCTGTCGGTGCTCAATAGCAGAGACGTAGACTTTTCCAGTTTGCTTGCTGAGGTTCTTTGCGCGGCGCATGAGGATGACAGGGGCGTACGTCTCGGGTACAAGGAGCGTTCCAAAGATCCAGAAGACGCCGCAGTAAAGAGCCATGACGCCTTCGACCCAACGCCAGCCCACGTTCTCGGCAATGAAGCCGCCAATGACAGGCCCTAAGGCAGGGCCAAGAAACGGCGCTGCTGCGAAGACAGTCATACCGAGACCACGTTGACTGGCTGGGAACATGTCTGCTATCACACCGCCAGCATTCGTCAGTGGAGAAGAGCCAAACGTCCCCGCGATGAAGCGGAAGACAGTCAGTGTGGCGATCGAATGCGCCCCGACAGCGGCTCCGTTGAACGTCGTGACCATTGCGAAGGTCCCGAAGAAGAGGATCTGACGGCCATAGAGCTCTGATAGGGGGCCCCAGATGGTAGGGCCAAAGCAGAAACCGAGGACGAAGAAAGACGTTCCCAGGGTTGCGATCTCCTCGCTACAACCGAATTCTTGCATAATTTGCGGTATGGCGGCGGAGTAAGCTGAGGCGACCAGGGATACAGCCAAAGTGGCCAGGGCCACAATCAGCGTGATGAACCATTTCTTCCAATCTGGCCATTCCATTGGATTGCGACGGTCGAACGGAATGTACTCGACGAGGTAAGGGTCTTCAGCCGTGCCCGACCCTTTGTAGTGGTAGTTGAGCACATCGTCGGTGATCCCTGATTGACTGATGACCATGCGCCAATGGGAAAGGGTCTTGCGGGAAGCACGTTTCTGGCCCTCGACGTCGTTGGTGTCGCCCACGCTTGAAAGCGTGGAAGTTGAGGCACTTGGAGGTGAGTCCGGCATTTCTACTTGTGCTGGAAAATGGCGACCTCAAGAAAGACAGGAAAAGCAATGGGGATCAATGGTCGATCCAGGTCATGTCTGGAACTGGGAGCAACGGTGAGGACGTAGCCTACCTTCAGATGCTTTTATGAACTTCATATCTCCGGGCGGCAGTGTGGTGGTGGTTGAGCCGGTGGGTGAAAATGAAAATAGTCCGCTATTCGGCCCATGACAAACGGCGAGATCGTGGTACCCAAGAACTGTCTGACAATCATTTTTAGGGGATTTCCCGATCATCTTTGCTGGAGTTGGTCTTGAAATGACTGTCACAAGCAAATGAAGTACAGATTCGGACTATCCGTGGGAGATGATGTCGCGTTTGATGGGGTGCCGCTTATCCGTGTTCCAGGGGCTGTTCCGAGTCCAGGGACCAGTCAAAGCACCTGAGCATCACCGCTTGACGTTACTAATCGAGTTCATAACGATACACCTGCCTAGCTTGTGCTGAAGCATAACGTTTGATGCGCCCATGGACTCAGAGCATATGGGTGCCACGCCAGCAAAGAGATCGGAATCTCGAGCTTCATTTCCTAGCCCATCATAGCCTGAACCGCGATTAGCTGATCGCAATTTGGGTCATCATTGCGCCGTCCACCTGACAGTGGGATCACTAATATATCGTCGCTTGTGACAATCCATGCGAAATGAGGCTCCCACCTCGATCACAGCCTGATAGCCCCTGGGTAGGTCACGGGCTAGCGGTTGACGGATTCCATGTCAGCATGGTTGACGAGGCTTTGCCCCAGCTACACAATCATCCAGCTGACATATCAAAGGTGGAATTGAAATGCAGCTGCTGGAGAAAGTATAGGTGCTTTATTGTCTCTATGGACGCCTTAATCTTGCCACTACCGGGAACTTCAGGCAATCTCATCATGAGGCTTCTCCATATTTGCCTGGCGTCCATTCCATATTCCTCGCGAAGCATGCGACACGTTGATTGCAACTCCCTTGCGTCAATTGATGATATAGCCACCGTCTACCACCAATGCATGCCCCTGAATGAAGCTGGCTCGGTTTGAGCAGAGAAACAATGCTGCATCTGCAATTTCCTCTGGCTTGCCCATTCGTCCCATTGGGGCAATGTTGATTGCTGGTTGTAATCGATCGATGGTGGCTTGGTCAGATGCGGTCATGGGCGTCTCAATGACGCCTGGACAAACACAGTTGATTCTGATATGGTCTCGCGAATAATCGATTGCATCGCATCGAGTCATCGAGATGACCGCGGCCTTGGATCCGCAATAATGAGCTGAAGGATTTATCAGTGCAATGTTCCGCGGGGAATCTTCAAGAAAAATCGCACGCCAGACGCAAAATCAGATGTTGTGCAGATGGGCGACTTACCAGCAGCTGCTCTGCCGACAATCCCTAGCTGGCTTGCTATATTGACAATGGCACCTCGTTGCGGCGGTCTGCCGCTGTCATCACTGACAGGAAGATCTTGCTTGACCATTTGCTTTAATTCAGCACGGGATGAAAGCCAACAGCCACGGTAGTTGATGCCGTTGATCCGATCGAATTCAGCAGTGTCCATTTCATGCGACCTCAGAGCTTGGCCGAGGACACCAGCACAATTGACAGCATAGTCGATCGAGCCGAACTTGTCGACCACATTTTTCATAAAGTTGTCGACGAACTCTTCCACAGAAATGTCACCGGCTTCCGACCAGACCTCAACGTCAGGCCATTTTGAGGCGATAGAATCTTTCGTCCTCTCTAGCAAGTCAGCATTGCGATCAGTAATGGCAATTCTTTTGCATCCAGCTTCTGCAAATGCGCGGGCCGTGGCAGCACCAATACCTGGTAGGAGGACCATCAGCAGCTGTTCTGACTTCCTTGAAACCAAGACTTACCAGTGCCAGCAGCACCCGTGACAACGGCAACACCTGGGTATGAGTATAGCGTCATCATATCGTGGCTTGTGAAGCAGGGTCTTGAATGGGTTTGTTCAAAGAGCTGTGCGTTAGCGTCATCCTGCGTGCTTTCATCATTTGTACTACCGAGTAGCTCTTGAACAACCTCGGGCAACAGACGCGACAAGACGGACCCCGCCGTTGTCGGAGCTTTTAACCGCTCCACAGAAATGTGATGTCTTGGAAGCCATGAAGTCTGGGTCTCTGAGGGGATGGAAAGAATTTGCGACATCTGGGAGCAGCCGAATAAGAGCGGTAATACTCGTACCGAGACTTGTACAAAGAGCATGTGATGGGGGCGTCAGCAAGTGAATACTCTCTCGCCATGGATCGCTAGTTGCAGTCGGAATACAGTAGATTTGACACTATTTAGGTATTTGCAGAAAGGAATGCAGACACTTAAGGTACCTAGGTGGCAGCCGGCAGATAGCTCGACATGTGCTCGATTCTTTCTGCGCCTGGGCGGCCATTCCAACGTGTGCAGGTACATATCGGTAGCCGTACCTAACCCAACCTAGGTGCGCCCAGCTCGCCCAGGCCCATGATGTGGCCGGTACGTAGACTCATCCTGCCCAAGCCTCACTAGGCTTCAGGTAGCTGCAGATCTAACTAAACCGTACGGGGTTACGGGCTGTCAAAGATTTTGGTGGCTGTCTAAGCCCCGTCGTGGCCTCGACACCCTTGGTAAACTGAGCGTCATTTTATTACACTGCACAACTGCGACCGCCCATTCATCCTCCAAAGTTCTTGATTCTCATTCAACGCCACATCTCGACTTCGTTTGTTCCATTGTCGGCACGTAGCCATGCCATCCATCCCTAAACATCTGTCAGGCATTCGAGCCATTCATCTGTTTTCTGACACTTGACCATGATCCTGTCGACCCGTCTATCCTAGATCCGAGTGATCCACAGGTCACATCCTGACCAGTCCATCTGATCCGAGCTCGAAAGACCTCTCTTACCTTTCAAGACCGAGTACCGTCGAAAAGATGGCCCCTCAATGGGTGCCTCAATGGGTGTTATCCTTCTGGGGGTTCTGCAAACGCAACATCATCCCAGATGTCTTCATCAAGAGGAGGCTGAATTTTATCACTGTGCATTATCTATACTTGATTGGAATGGCACTTCTGGTGTCGGTCCTCATCTTTGTGCAGGGTGGTATGGCATACATTGACGCTTTGTTTTTCGCCTCTGGCGCCTGTACACAAAGTGGACTCAACACCATCGATGTGAACCTCATCCATAGCGGTCAACAGGCCATGCTATATACGGCGGCCATGTTCTGCAATCCCATCGTCATCCACTCGGCCGTGGTCTTTGCCCGACTTTATTGGTTTGAGAAGAGATTCAAAGATGTTGTCCGAAATTCCAATCTTCTGCGCCGGACGAAGTCACGGACAAGAACAAATACTTACGTCAAGGAGGACCCTGAGGCAGGCAGGGACGGTTCAGGCGTGAGAGGGCAGGCTATTCAAGTTCTGCGCAATACCGGCCACAGTGATAGTCTTCCTGTGGTTGAAAAATCGGAGGGTGATAATGAAGCCAACGGAAAGGTTATTGACTCCTCGAATAGCTCTAAGAAGGATAGTGACGACGTGGGAGGACCGCCCCAGGACAATGACTTGCATCTGCGGCACACACGGTCGACAGACGATGTTCGCCTTCCTCAGCATTTCAGCCCTGAACAACATATCAGATTCCTCGAGAATCAGCGCAATCCCAGAGACACGACTGCGCTCAGAATCCCAAGTCCGAGAGAGTTTGAACTTGGAGGTCGACCGGAAAATGTGAGCGACGGTATCGACAACAAGTTACAGCGTCAGGTTACGAGCGATCCGGATCTACCGAGGGCAGCCCAGAAATCTAACAACGAACTTGACATTAGTGTCGAAGGTGGAGGGCCCACACACATTACAATCAACGAACCACGTTTTATTCGAGAGCGTGCAGACAGAAGTACCACATTTCCAAGGCTCAACACTCGACAGTCTACCCAGCCACAGGAAACGTATGACCCGTCTGCACCTGCATCGAACCTTAAGAGGGGGAGATCCATGACGTTCCGCTCACTCCAACGCAGCAACACAGCTCGGACCATGGAGCCAGCACCATATTTAAGCTGGGAGCCAACTATTGGAAGGAATTCCTTCTTCATCGGATTGACAGAAGAGCAAAGAGAAGAGCTGGGTGGCATCGAGTATCGTGCCTTGAAGACACTGGCTTTGATACTCGTCGGCTACTTTCTTGCCTTTCATTTGCTCGGTATCATTTGCATTGTCCCGTGGATCCTGCATACATCCAGGTACGGACGTAAGGTGACCGAGCAGGGACAAGGCCGGGTTTGGTGGGGATTTTTTACCGCAGCATCGGCCTTCAATGATCTGGGGTTCACGCTCACCAACAACTCCATGATATCCTTTGGCGGCGCCATTTTCCTGCTGCTCCTGATGACTTTTTTGATTGTTATTGGCAATACGGGGTTCCCATGCATGCTGCGGTTTGTCATCTGGGTGTTTTCCAAATGTGTGCCCTACGGTGGGCCTCTATGGGATGAACTTCAATTCCTCCTCGATCACCCTCGTCGGTGCTTCACGCTGCTTTTTCCTCGAAACGCAACTTGGTGGCTGTTCGCCATTTTGGTCATTCTAAATGGCGTCGACCTCATCTTCTTCATCATTCTTGACCTCAATGACCCTGTTATCGAACAGATTCCAGCTGGCATACGTCTGGTTGATGGGTTGTTTCAAGCGTCGTCCACCCGCACGGCCGGCTTCTCTGTGGTCAACCTCGCCGAACTCCATCCTGCAATCCAGGTCAGCTACCTCATCATGATGTATATCTCAGTTTTTCCCATCGCCATATCGATGCGTCGGACCAACGTGTACGAGGAGAAAAGCTTGGGAATTTACGACCCCGGCGATGAAGATGAGGAGGGCAAGGAGCCCAGCTATGTCGGAGCCCACTTGCGAAAGCAGCTTTCCTTTGACTTGTGGTACATTTTCCTGGGCTTGTTCATTATCGCCATTGTTGAAGGTGGGCGTTTGCAAAACACCAATGAGTATGCCTTCACGTTATTTGCGGTCCTCTTTGAGATTGTCTCGGCATATGGAACTGTTGGCTTGTCTATGGGCTATCCCACCATAAATGCCTCCTTTTCTGCCGAGTTCCATACATTGTCCAAACTGGTCATTATCGCCATGCAGATTCGTGGACGGCACCGTGGTCTTCCATACGAGTTGGATCGAGCTGTCATGCTCCCATCAGAATCTCTGCAGGCGAAAGAAGCGAAAGAAGCCGAACGCGTGCTGCGACGAAGAAGATCATCTCTTGGAGCCATGTCTACGACGTCAGCTGTGGACGGCAATATGGAAGGACGGCGGTTCCGTCCCGAAACCGGACTTTCCACCGCTTTGCATCTGGGGCATCGCGATGGTCACGGGCCGCGGCCGCGAGGCAATACCAATGCAACTGGTGGAAGTGATCAGGATGGACATTTGCCCAGCGTTCGACGCGGTGTGGGCATGGCGTTGTTCAAACTCGCCAATGAAGTAGACTCGATCAAGGAGGAGGTCCCGGGCCATGATCGGTCGTGAGAAAGAACTATGATCGCATCTTGTTAATGATGATTTTCGGCATACTGAGAAGAATTCGAGCGAAGGCGCAGGAGGTTTGTTTTTTCCATGTCCTGCGAAAGACACATCATTTTGGTGGAAAAGGAACCTGTACATGAAGTCATGATCGGACCAGGCCTGTGGTGTCAATGCAGGTGTAAGTCAATGATATAGATTGATGATTCTGTACGGAGTACTACACTTCAAGCTGACCTGGTATGCTGGCTGTGTGTACGGAGTAGGTGTGTCACCTAGTGTGTGTACTTCGTACGGGATACTGTGTAAGATATTTGGAAGCTGCTGCGCCTCACACCGGACAAGAGAAGGCCGCCCCCTGACGGAAGTTGCAGAGGGCCACGAGGGCATACTGTACTCCGCACGGGCACTCTTGCATCATTCGACGTCTTTGCAGCTGATGTTTCATTCCAAGAAATGCCAAGCCCCGTCGCCCGCCCCCGGGCCCTAAGGAGCCACGAGTCCACTGGAGAGAGAAGACATCAAATTGGCAGCCGGGCGAGCCTTTCAAGCCTTTCAAAGCCCTTCTCCTTGTCCCAAGCGTCCAGTCGCCGCCCACATCATCATCCCTCTGTCCACCTGGTGAACCCTCCCGCTGTTATTCTAGCTTTTGGTCTATGCGCCGCAGTCTTGGTCCTTCTTGCCTTCTTGCCTTCTTGCTCGTTTCTTCACTCTCTTTTCTTTGTACTGTGTACGCATCCACTGTCCATTCTCCATCTTCTCTCGCTTCAAACTCCCTCTACACCCGCATCAACAGAGGTTCTCGCTCTCTTCAGGTCGATATTGACCGTCCTTCGAAATCATTGGTGCCAAAAGAACCCCTCCGCTCCTACCCCTGTCACTCGCTTCCTAACCTCCGACGCGCCCTCGAAGTCCAAAACACTTTACAAGGCAGACCGATTCTTGGCTTGGGCCATATATATCTCCTATATACTCCTCCTTGCGCCGTCAGGTGCGACTCCTGTCGACTGCTACACACATATGCACACAACCGCAACGTGATTGCCTCTGCTTGGACATAATACCACCCCGGAAAGCTTCCCGCCTGAGGCCGAACACGATGAAATTCATAACCTCATCTATCCTTACGCCGCTGGCCGGCCTTTTGTCAGTAGTCAATGGTTTGACCCTCGATGTCAGCAGTGCGGATTCGGTCAAATCCGTTACCTCGACCTTGGCCTACGATATGATGACCTATTATTCCGGCAACCAAACGGGCCAGGTTCCTGGAATCTTACCTGGGCCTTGTGAGTCGACAGCATGTTACTACTGGTGGGAGGCAGGTGCCATGTTTGCATCGCTCATCAATTACTGGCAATACACTGGTGACAGCACTTATAATCCAGTCGTGTCACAAGCGCTGGCGTTCCAGATAGGGCCGGACGAGAATTACAACCCCCCGAATCAAAGCAAGAATATGGGCGTTGATGACCAAGCATTCTGGGCCTTTGCTGCCTTGGACGCCGCCGAGGCCAATTTCCCAGAAGCCGGCGGAGATATACCTTCCTGGATCGCCCTGGTTCAAGCGGTGTTCAACTTCCAAAAGGATCTGTGGGACGATGCGACATGTGGTGGCGGTATGCGCTGGCAAGTCTACTCATTCAATGCTGGTTACAACTTGAAGAACACCATCTCCAATGGCGGCAACTTTCAGCTCGCAGCTCGGCTGGCTTACTATACAGGCAATCAATCATATGCCGATTGGGCTGTCCAGATGTGGGATTGGATGGCTGCCAGCCCGTTGTTTCAGACTCAGGATGGCAACCTCTACATCTGGGATAATACCAATACTGACAACAACTGCATCGATGTTGCACATTATGCCTGGACCTACAACTACGGCACCATGTTGATGGGTGCCGCTTACATGTACAATTTCACGAATGGAGATGCAATGTGGGAACAGCGGGTCCAGGATATTTTGAACGGCGCCTATCTTCTGTTCTTCCCTACCGAATACGGTGGCAACGTCATGAGTGAATTCCAGTGTGAGCCTGCATCAAATTGCAACAACGATCAAAGCAGCTTCAAGGCTTATCTATCACGGTGGATGGCCGTGACCACGTTACTGGTTCCGAGTACTTATGATACGATTATGCCGAAGCTCACAGCCAGCGCTGCTGCCGCTGCCCAACAATGCACTGGAGGAGACAATGGACGTATGTGTGGTCGCAGGTGGTATGCCAGTTGGGACGGAACAAGCGGTGTCGGCCAGCAGGTATGTCCAGGTGACCCTTGATGGCCATTGCAAGCTTTACTAACTCTTTGCAGATGCAAGCGCTAAGTGTGATCGGTGCGACACAGATCAACTCCGGAATTGCCCCCAAGTCGATCAAGACTGGCGGGACTTCAAAGGGCGATCCTAATGCTGGAAGTGACGCCAATGCCTCGCCCAGTGTCACGACATCGAAAATCACCACAGCGGACAAGGCTGGAGCTGGCATTTTGACTGTGTTGTGTATTTTCATCGTCATTGGAGGAAGCGTCTGGATCATTCTGTGATCCTCTCGAGTAGGTCATCTTGCACACTTCAAGTGTAAATGGATCAACTCTGGGTGGCATGTATGGGCAAAAGGATTTATATGAGGTCGTTACTTGGAGCATTTGATGGCGCACTTACTGTTAGTTTGGGATTTCATGAGACCTCATTTGATTGACATTTCTGTGTATCACGGCTGGTTGAGAGGCATTGTGGATGCATGATTCGAACGAACGTTCTGATTTCCCTTGGTCGGAAAGAAAGGCTCCAGCATCTATATCTGTACAGAAATGACATTACCTTGATCACCTCCGCAGCATGGTATGAGTAGCGGCGAGACCTGCATGAAACCTAAGACAACAGCAGTTTCCAAGCCTTTCAATTACTCCATCAGAGGTACAATTCAGCTCGTCAGGAGTCAAGTGGCTTCGTTCCGGTTCGTGCGCCGAGCAGGGATAAGGCCTTGGGAATTAAATTGTGGCTGCGCCCGTTTTTGGCGCCTGTCAACATCACCATGTTTCGTTGCCCAAGGTAGTCAAGTCCGATCCCTCTATTTGTTGAAGGATTTGCTCACCTTACTTTGCACGATTGATGACCTTGTGCTTACGAGTACGCGCACACTGTCGAGGAGCACGTTATATGTCTCTTAGAGTCCATTTCTGCGCACTTTCGCCAAAAACGGTGCAAGACGCTTCTTGAATCCAATGTCGACAACTCCACAGGGGGTCTGATCACTGCCTGTCATTCTTGGACTTGACTGAGGATCAGTGATCCGCTTCCACATGGCCACCAAGTCGAGGCCGATATCGATGGAACCGATGACCGTGCCCGAGATTCACGAAGGTACGAGAAACGAGGTCGTAGTTCCTCCAAGCCCAACACATACACCCGCTACAGACAGAGCCTCCTCGCGGAGGCACACCAAGGGTCTTTCGCTAAATTTCCCTATCCTCCTGCCTACCAACGCGCAAATCTCCCATTCCCCTACAGCTGGTTCGAGTATTCTACCGAGTCCTGTTGAGTCTGCGAGATCATCTCCACGTACGCGGACCGCCCCATTCCAAAGTCCCGGAACAATTCACGAATCCGATCAGACGGCCAATACAAGAAGCAGTACAGACTTCTTAACGCTCCTAGCTGCACAGGAGAGGAGGGTTCTCGAGTTAAGAGAGGAGTTGCAGAAGGCGGAGACGGAACTGCTAGGTTTGAAGAAACAGTGGGCTGCTCATGAAGCGAACAAGAAGAGGGACGAGGTCAAACATGTCAAGAAATTACAACCATTAGCTCTGGATGACGTAGGAGGACGAGAGCCGTCAGAGGATGAAATCGATGAAGAACGGAGACGGAAACGTGCCATCGTCGAGAGAAGCCAGACAAACAACACGATTCCTGGGAATACGGCCGGCAGCAACCTCAGTAGAAAAGGGTCTAAGCGAGTCTTTGAGGGCGGTCGACATACTCGGACACTGAGTCTATTGAGTCCGACTTCCAACAAGCCGGGCCAGGCAACTGCCACGACCTCGTTGAACGAACTGGTTGACGCGCACAATGAGGCCACCGACAGAAACTCCGAAGGTGATATGGCGAGGCCATCATTATCAAGAATATCAACTCTGGAGAGTCTGGTTGCCGGTGAACAGCTCCAGCTTGGATTTGGTAAGACGTACAGAGACCTAGCAGCTCATCGCCGTTCAGTGCCGTCAGCCGACGTCTTGGTCAAGCAGGGCAAGCAAGTCTACGATGGAGTCCGCGAGGGGCTCTGGACATTTTTCGAAGACATAAGGCAAGCCACTGTTGGAGAAGAAGGAGTCAATGGTACCGTTGCCGATCAACGCCCTGCAAGACCACATGCGAAGCGTGTGGGAAATCACTCTTCTGCTAGACCGAACCGGACAACCGGTGGAAACAAGAAGTCCGAATCGACTGAACCATCCTTCTGGAAAGAGTTCGGCTTGGACACTCCTCAAAGACCATTATCAACGCAAGTCGCTAGCCCCGATAAGTCGAATGGACATATTCCGCAGAAGAGCAGTACAGACTCATCCAACCCTCCCAGTCTATTACCAGACACGACAGATCATGATGACGTTGAAGACGGCTGGGATGCCTGGGACTCGCCTATCACCACTAGGGAAAGGGCACATAGCAAAGAGGCGAACAAATCCGAAGATGGTCTACCTTGGCCAGATATCGAGAAGCTTACCCCGAGTAAGTTGACCAGAACGGTCAGCGATCTCATGAGGGAATGGAATGCGAGTCAAGATGAAGCGAACACTACGACGGAGGGCTCGAAGGAACAGTCGAGTAGTAAAAGAGCTAGTATCCTTGACAGCCCTCATATATAATGTCAAAATGAAATACGAACTCGTGAATGATGATACAGATAAGGTGTAGGGAATGCAATCATCTGGAAGACAATTCATGTTGACTACTCATTCGTCCGAGTTGAGGACTGCGATGCCATTTCAAACGCGTCAGAACCCCGGATCTTCCGGAACAAATTGCCAGTACGGAGTACGAATATATCACTTGCATGATCTGCTGGAGTATCTTGCGTATGTGGCGGACGCGATATCAACTGAACAGGTCGTTGATGGTATACTTGACAGCGTTGACAGGTGGCACGAGGCATGTTTGGGCCCGTGGGAAGGATATTCTCTGGGAGATCTGGCTCGGTCTGGGTATCAATATTGTCATGTCCTTATTGATAAGACCGGCTAGATTACTGTTTCCAAGTGGGAAGTCGGTCATGCGACAAGCAGACTTGCAACGGGTGTGACCCTCGGACGGCGATGGTCGTGTTTTGGCTGTCTGAGAGTCATCCCAAACACCCAGGACACAGTATGAGCGAGGAAGATTGCCCGACGTCTCCATGACAACCAGACATGAGCAGTTTCTTCTAGAAGATCAACAAACCCCTTGAAATCTGAGAATGGAGGCTCAAACCCGGTGGCTTGGATTCGGCATGGAGCTGCTGGAAAGGAAGAGATGAAGCCATGGTGGACCGGATACCGGGTTACTAACCTCTAGTTGTCGATGGGAGAAAAAGTGCTGGAGCTGTCGAGGTGGAGGGAAGTGGTGCAAGAGGTGGAATGGAAAGTGGCGGCCCCTGCATTAGTTTGATCCGCTAGCTTAGGCATGAACACGGCATGACCACGGCATGACCTAGTGCGGTCTAGTCCCTGATAAGCCTAGTTTGCCTCAGCTAGCCTCGGCTCGCTTGCCGGGAAGAACCAGACTTGTCCCAATACAGTCTTTTGTTTATTGTAGTCCATGGCAACTCGAAGACTGCCCACGTTCTCTTCTACCCAAGTCCAATCTTCTACTGGGGCTGAACCGCGCAAGGCCTGGTCATGAGGCTTGATCGTTCCGGCTCAACTCCCAAGTTTACTTGTGCAAGCCTTTCCGAACTCACCGTCGTACATGTTCGTGCGAAAGAACCCCTTTTGCATCCTCGTCCAATGCTTGTATCACCACCTGCACCTTTCGCATTCCTGTATTTTTCTTCACTACATCCCTCTTTCCGATTCGAGTTTGCTGGAGTACAAGCCGTCACGACATTTGGGACTCATAGATTTGCGCATTGTACCACTTCCTGGCATATGGACAACGATTGAGACTGGCCCCAGAATTTGGCTCACTCGAAAGCATACGTCAAAAGGGCATCTTCGAAAAAGAATCGTCGAAAGCGAATCTACAAAAAGGGATATACGGCCGGCATCATGACCGTGATATCGCTCTACTCCGAGGCCGCTCCTCACCGCACGGCACCTTCACAAGCACCCTTCGAAATTCAGAGCGACAACGCAGATGGCGATACTTTGGCCGACAGATACCAAATGTTGGAGGAACTAGGCAGTGGCTCCTTTGGCGTCGTCTACAAAGCAATCGAGAAGGATACGGGCGAAATTGTCGCCATAAAACATGTATGTGCCCTACACCCCTCGAGGTAACCACAAGCTGACATGCGCACCCCAGGTCGACCTCGAATCTTCCGAAGAAGACCTCTCAGATATCCTCTCCGAATTATCCGTCCTCTCATCTTGTTCGAGCCCTCACGTTACGAAATACCGCCTCGCCTTCTTGCGTCGCCAAACACTCTGGATCGTGATGGAATACCTCGGGGGCGGATCCTGCGCGGATTTACTTAAACCACCTCCCCATCGCCTATCAGAGAGCCATATCGCTATCGTCTGTCGGGAACTGCTTATGGGCCTGTCATACCTACACAGTGAGGGCAAACTGCACAGAGACATCAAAGCCGCGAACGTCCTGTTAGGAATGGACGGCCGTGTCAAATTAGCTGACTTCGGTGTCGCCGCGCAGCTGGTCGGCCTGAAGAGCGTGCGCAATACATTCGTTGGCACACCGTTCTGGATGGCGCCGGAAGTCATCCAGCAGGAAGGACATGATGCAAAGGCCGACGTCTGGAGCTTGGGGATCACGGCAATGGAATTGGCGAACGGGGAACCACCACATGCCAATGTTCATCCTATGAAAGTGTTATTTTTGATCCCAAAGCAGCCGGCGCCCAGACTCGAAGGTGGACATTGGTCGAAAGACTTTCGCGATTTTGTGACGTGTTGTCTGACCAAGGATGTCGACCGGCGGCCGAGTGCAAAGGAATTGCTCAAGCATAGGTTCATAAGATCTGCGGGGAAGGTTGAGGGATTGCAAGAACTCATTGTACGGAAACAGGACTGGGAAGCCCAAAAGGGTGGCGACCGGAACTTGAAGTACTATGCTGAGACGTTGAAGAACCTGAGCAGTGTAAGGGAGGACGATGATTGGGTGTTTGAGACGGTGAAGGCGGTCCCGACCATGGATCTGAGAGGCGTGCACCCTCAGAAACGGCGGAAGGTGTCGAGGTCGAACAACACTGCCGATGTCGTGCCGGAACAGAGCGCGATGAAGATGCTGGAGAATATGTCGCTGGGACAAGGGCAGCAAAGTCCAACCAAGCTCACCATGCGCAAGATCCCGGAAGCAAGACCGGAGAGAAGATCGTCGGCGGAGTATTCACCGAGTATGGGTCGACGGACGGCGAGGAAACGAGTCTCAAGCCAGAATCACGCCCGGCAGCCGTTGGGCGTGAACATCAGCTTTGGCAACTCGCCAAGCACGGTGCGACAGTTCAGAAGGGTGTCGTCGAATGGGGCCAGCAGCCTGAATGAAGTGGCTGGAGATGGAGACGAAAACGAAGATCCTAATTCTAGTGTGATTAGGACGCCATCCAAGAAGCCCGGCCTGGACGTGCTGGTCAACGTCGATATGGACAACTCCCTCCTTCAACAAAAGGGGTCCAGATTCAGTTCGACGGCGAGCACTCTTGCCATGGAGTCCAAAGAGGCGCAGTTGGGACGGAAGTTGTATGCCAATGCAATTGGCATAAGCTGCCAGGAGGTGCTGAGTGACACGGCGGATGAAGTCAAGAGAGAAGCTGTGGCGCGGTTGGCAGAGGCGTTTTCCGATCTGGAGAACGTGGACCCAGACGGTATGTATCATGTCATGAGGGGTGTGCTGGAGAGGATGGGAACGGATGACACCCTCAAGACATTACTCCCGCAAGCAGCAGTGTCAGCATTACAGGATCAGCGGCCCAGCCCGAACCAACCGTTGGATTACCAGGCTGGAACTGGAACTGGCGAGAAAGACAACGAGAATGAGAACGAGACAAGGTCGTCACGGTCGCAGTCGCAGTCGCAGTCCCAACCGCAGAGTTCGGTGTCGTCGCCGCGAAGAACAAGCGAAGCTGTCCAAGCCAATGCAAGTCGACAAGTTACGCCATCGACGCCCCGGGCCCAGAAATTGGTCCTCGCACAGAACAACCCGCACCTCAAGAGTCATCGGAGACGGCAAAGTGCACAGGTTGGTGGGAAGAGTAGTAGGGAGCCAAGTTCGGGTTCGGCATTCGTCAATGGGGCGAGTCCATTGAAGAACAATGTCAGCGTCAACGCCTATGGAATGGAGGAAGACGGAGGACATGGTCACAATCAAAGCCAGAGTGAGAGGCAGGGTGAGAAAGAGATGATGATCGACCTGGTCGGCGGACTGGAGCATACGAGACAGCTTGCCGATGTGCTGTTTGAGAGATGGTGTGAGGGCTTGAGAGTGCGGTGGCCTGCTGTGTAAAGCAGTACCTGCACGGAGTAAACACCAGTTGGATTGGCTTGGATTGGCTTGGGATGGATTCGGTTCGAGTGTTGAGAGATGTATTATAGCATACCACTTTTTCTTCTTGTGTTCTTTTCAGCTCATTGCAGGGCAGTCGCGTTGCGTCTGGTGTAGTGTGGTCTGGTTGGCTTTGCGTTGGCATGCCCTTTTCTCCTCTTCTCTTCTCGATTCTCGTTTCGTCTCGTCTTGTCTTTTCTTTTGCTTTTATATACACGGGCTGGGAGTTTTGCATGGCGATGGTTCAGGTGCAGGGCGTGTGCGTGCGGGTGTGTGAGCGTGGTGAGCGATTGTGCTGTGTTGTACTATACCTAGGTAACATTGAAGAACAAAAGTCATTTGATGGTTGCGGACCTTGCGTCTTGATTCTGGATTCTGAATTGTACTTGCTACGTCCGTGCGCGCCATCAACACTGTCAATGAGAAGGCGGCGTCGAGTCTCCCAACCTCAATCCCAAGCCAAATCCTGATCCTTCAAACCTTTCCGGGAGGGCCTTTCCACGTATTACACTCCTACTCCTGCTCCTTCGACCCTGAAACACAACTTTGTCGTGGTCATGGTCGCGCTCGGTCCCGGCGTCAGCGTCCACGTCCCATTGCCCACCGTTGACGACGCGCTCGAGATTCTGCACCAGCGTGGAGACCAAGTGCGCATTGTGTGCATTTTCGGGCTCGTACACACCATCAGCACCAGCACCGGCACTGCCAAGAAAGCCTTGCTGGGCAAGTTCAAGGCCCTGTGATAAACGGCGACTGGAGTTTCCAGCCCGAACCTTAACCTTCCATAGCGACTCCGGGGCCTTGAAGTCCAAGTCCAAGTCCCGGCTTCCAGGCTGTGCAGCATAATGCGTATGCGCATCCATTCTTTGATGAGCGCGGGAGTCCAGACTGATATTCGGCCTTGGCCGCAAGGCAAGTGGCGGAAACTGCGGTTCAGGTGTCGGCTCCGGACTCTCGCCGCGCACGCTGTCGTCTTCCCATACTGACCCTGCCCCGGTCGACGAGACAGCAGATGGCGAGGCCGAGAGTTGTCGTGGGTGAGGAGGATAGACACTCAGCGTAGGCGTAGGAGCTACCATCTTCGGCCTTGTTGGGTGCAGCGTCGTCCTCGGATCAGGAGCTCGATCGCGGTCAAGCACTGGCGACGTTGTCATAGGAGTAGATGCATAGCTTGGAGTCCGCAAGCCATTGTCCTCCTCCCCCAGAGCACCAATGACCATGTGCGTCTTGCTACTGCTGTAGTTCGCCAGCCTGTTGTCCGAATTGAGGCTTCTCATCAGCATGACTGATTTTCGCAGGTCGACTTCTCCTGGTTCCGCGGTCGCTGTCGCTGCCACATGGTCCTTGCTGACGCGAAATGTGCACCCTTGTTTGTTCTGCAGTGGGCTCGAGCATGTTGTACCTCGTACCTTTTGGTTTGCTGTACGTGGATGTCGCGGCCCTTTGACGAGAGATTTGCGGGGATATAGAGCTGATACTTTCAGTGCTGGTGACGGCAGGATGGGAGATTGGAACGGTGGTTGGTCGTCGTTGCAATCCACAGATGGCGGCGTGCTGGTGAAGGGCATATGACTTTCTAGCCGGGGCGACAAGGGCCATGGCCGCGATGTGCTAGCAAATGCCGTTAATAAGCCGGTATTGGAGTTAAAAACGTCCGAGTCAGGTCGTGGCCTGTCGGGAGCTATACTTCTCGGCGGCTGAATATATTGCTTTCGTGGCGGTCGCGTAATGGTAGGAGTCAGGATTGGACAGTTCGTAAACGGTGATGGCCTTGGTGTCGGTGTTGGTGAAGAGTCGACTTCAATTTTGATGGGGCGCACTCTTATCTTAGGCTGCTTCGTTCTGCTCTGCTGATGAACTTTGTCACTCTGTGGCATGGGCTGCTGCTCTTCTTGCAGTTCGGGTAATTGCCCAAATCGTTTGGGTATGGGTGTCAAAGCAGGAAGATTCGTAATACGGACGCAATTCTGTCGCTTGTGGCCTCTTCTAGGTCCATTTAAGGGCGATATTGATCGCCGGATCTTGGAAAATTCTCCTTGCAGGTCCCATTGCAGAGGGTTTGCTGTTGCAACCGAGGCGGGCCGTTGAAGGTCGAGACCAACAACATTGGCGTCTCCTATTCCGACATTCGCCATCAGAGGATCACTTGCAGCGCGCCACTGCGACAGTCTGAAAGGCTCAATCATTGAATGTCTGTTGGCGCTTCCAGCACGGGGCTTTTCCACGCCCAGTCCTAGTTGACTCTCCCACTGGCTAGCATCGATGGTCTTGAAAGGCTCTTCTCGAACGATGATGGTCGGCACAGGTTGAGACAGCGGCTTTGTATGACTCCGCTCCGGAGTTGACCTGTTCATGTCAAAGGTTGGATGAATGGAACGTAGGCTAGGTTTGCTCGTGTGATGCCCGCGGTGGACCGGTCTGCCTGGCTCTAATTGTAGTCTCGGGGCGGATGGTTTGCGTCTGAGATCAAGTTCGAAGCCAGTAAAACCGCCTTGTACATCAAAACTGGTGACAGTTGACTTCGCAGCATCATTTGTCGAGTTCATAGATGTCCCCAGGACAGAGCTTCCAACAGTGTCCAGACTGGCGTGTGACGCTCTCGGCCTCGAATCCTGTATGCGTGTGTGGCTGTAAACATCTGTCGTTTGCAGAGGTGGTAATGGCTCTTCCGGTGCCGAGGAGGCCGTGCTGCTTGCGCTCACCGTCCTGACAAGGGGTGCAGGCCGTGCATTTGAAACGGGATTTACTCCCCACATCCGCATGAGCATGCTGGATCGCGCAGCCATTGACAGGACCTCTGTGGGTGCTGGATCCAGTCGAGACTTGGATGACATCAGAGGCCACTGCATGGAAAATTGTCTTTCAGCGCTTCTGACTGTTTTGTCCAACGGATCACTTGTTGATGACTGTCGTGGGACGTCTGCCACAACCGGCGATGGACATTCGGGATCGGTGAACTCGGTAATAGCCGAGAGTGGTGACTTCTGTGCCTTTTCGAGGGGCATAACCTTCTGGATCTTCTTCTGCCTACGCGTTTTTGGGATATGAAGAGGGTGACTGTTGAACGAACGCTTGATATCCCTTGTTTGTTGAGCCCTGAGCACTTCTTCCGAGTCATGAAATGACTGCGGATCTGTCGGAGCATCCTTTTCTTCATCTCTCGTCGAGAGGTACTCGCTGCTACCAATTGATACGATGCCATATGGCATTTGGATGCTTCGTCTCAGGTATCTGCCGGGTAGTGTGACATGGGAATAGTTGTTTTCGTTTGCGCTGAGGTTCGGTCTGTGATACGTAATGAGGTCTCTGGTGAGACCATGATTTCGAAGAAGAATGTGGTGTCGCCGTCGTTCTAAGCTAACCGCTAGGAGGATCCCGGTGATGGTGAATATCACCGCACCTGCAACGGCGACAACGATGACAAGCCATAAGGGCCACATTGTCGACCTCTTTCAGCGATTCGCGGCGCGGTGCTCATGGTGAACTTCGTCGATGCGACATCGCAGGGAAGATTCAAGCAAGATCATGTTTTCTGGAGAATGGAATGTGGGAGATTGAGCTAGCTCAGAGCAAGGGATAACAAGAATACGATGGAATGCGGATAACAGATGATCCAGAATGCACCTCCAGTATCAGGGCTGGACCATTCTATGATTTGGCTTACCTCATCTCCGAAGAAGATTTCGTTTCTGCTCTTGCAGGGCGGTGATGACCTTGTGCAGGCAGAAGAAACAATGGGATTCTCGTCTCTTGCTTATCCTTGGAAAGAAATCGAACAAGATAGGGTTCCAGTAAAACGTAACGTAACAGCTGGACCTGGCGCTGCAACACCGTTGGAGGTACACCAACATTCCTTGCCGGTCCATTGACAGCAGAGAGAAACCAAGATATGAAGTGGTCGTCGGATGCGGAGACGGTCGCGGCAGACTGGGTCTTCAGGGTCAAAACACAGGTAACTGAGATCGAGCAGAGATTGAAGAACCTGCCACCAGCATCTGTAAAAGTGTCCAAGTACGAGTGGTGGAAAAAACTTGATGTTTGCTGGGAGACCAATGAAGAAGTCTTCCGGTGGTCAGAGTCAATATGCAAGAGTTTACCCATCGAGCGAGCGGCAAGGTTTCCATGATGGGGATGGAGGAGTCCCACGGGGAACAGATATATAATACTACTACCTTCTCACAATTGTTCACAAAATCTTGTATTCTTGTCTTGAGGCAGTTTTACTTGAAAGTCGGCCGGAATCAGAAGCACGAGGGATACCTCTGAAGAACAATCAAGATGGACGACGCAATGAACGGCGGCAACTTTAAACACTACAACACCGAGCCTCCTACGGCGAAGCTCGTGATGCCTCTTTTCTCCCTTAAGGGAAAGACAGCCATCATTTCGGGCGCTGGGGCTGGGATAGGATTGGCCGTCGCTCGTGGATATGCTGAAGCCGGTGCGAACGTTGCTATATGGTATCACAACAACAAAAAGGCATTGGAGCGTGCTGCTGACATCGAGAAGGAGTTCGGGGTCAAGTGTAGGTCTAGCCCTGGACACGAGGGTCAGGAACTGGCTGACTTTCGTTCAGGCAAAGCATATCAAGTCGACGTGAGGGATGCAAAGGCTATCGATGAGGCCATCGTATCTCAGGTCAAGGAGTTCAACAACAGATTGGACATTTTTGTGGCCAACGCTGGTATACCCTGGACCCAAGGACCCATGATCGGTGGTGAACTCGAACACTATCAGAACGTCATGAGGATCGACGTAGACGGGGTCTTTTACTGTGCTAGAACAGCAGCGCGGATATGGAGAGAACAGAAGAAGAACAAGTTGGAAAACTTCAACTATGGCAAGTTTATTGCAACAGCGAGTATGAGCGGTCACATCGCCAATATTCCCCAGTTGCAGACTGCATACAATGCTGCCAAAGCTGCAGTCAAGCACATGTGCCAATGTCTAGCAATTGAATGGGTTCAATTTGCCCGAGCCAACAGTATCAGTCCCGGTTACATTGCGACCGAGATCAGCAACTTCGTTCCTCCAGAGACCAAGGATATCTGGCGGGACAAGATCCCTATGGGTCGTGAGGGTGAGCCCATTGAGCTAGTCGGAGCATATTTGTATCTTGCTAGTGATGCTAGCTCGTACACGACAGGAACCGATATAATCGTGGACGGAGGATACTGCGCCCCGTAAAGACCATGAAAAGATGTCCCAATGAAGAATGTTCCCGAGCAAAGTTAATTGCCAATGAGATCCATCTTGTCGAACTGCAGGGTTTCTCTCCCATCCAAAGAGAGTCAGAGACTTATCCAGCATCTCACTGTATTCCAGCTTCCAGACTCGCTGTTGTTCAGGTTGCAGACAGAATTTCTAGATTTGCAACGTTCCTGGGATTTGAGGCTCGTCTTTGTGCGATCTTGCCCTCTCGGACCTCGCCAATTTCGATAATATTGAGTTGAATATCTCGAGGCCTGGTGCGGCGTCGGATGTCGGTTTCCTGCTCAGCAGGCATCTGGGTATTCCCTGTTCCCCAGCTTTCGTCACCCCAATAAATTCCATCATCTTGCCCGTCATTTCTTGGCCGGTGCGGTTCGAGACTCAACAAAGCGTCACAGCATTCGCGCTGGTTGAATCTGAGGGCTTCGATATACCGAATTCCCAGAAAGATGGTGACACCGGCAAATGCAGCAATAAGGACGACAAAAAGGGCGGTTGATTGCCATGTCTCAAAAGGTCGATCGAGGGAGCGTAACATCCAATTTGACGCATCTTCAAGTGGAGGAGCACCCGCTGCCTCTGCCGATGTCATCGATCCTGAAGAGGCATTCATATCTGGAATCGATCGTGAAACGTTCGTTTTCAGCTGGACATCCAGATCACTCGAAAGGTTATGTAGGCAGCTCACTTGCAGTGGGAACATAGAATCCATGTTCACTGCACAGCCGACACCAGACCACCCACGGAAGTGAGGTAGGAGGTGAGGTACAGAAGTCAAGATTGCCTGAGTTCGACTTCACTTCACACCAAGACCGCCAAATGCTCGATCAAGTTCTTCGCCTTCTCGGTTGGGTGACATGGCTGGTGCAGAGATGGGATTCACAGGTTGGCCGTCAAGTAGCCCTTGATCGTTGTCCGGCTTGGACTGGGCTTTGGTGGGCTCGAGTATTTTTTCTGTCCGATCTAACCAGCCAGGTGCAACTCTTCGCTTCTCTGCGAGATCGCGCTCTTTGATGTCCTGTTCCCAGTCTCTTATGGCCTTTTCCGCTGCTTCGGCGCTTTTTCGAAGATGATCTTGCAGGGCTTTGCACGAATTTATGATATCTTCTGGGTGAGCGGAGTGACCAGAGGACGATATGACATATTTAGGTTTTCCTTCACCATTTTCGGCTACGATGGAAGGAGGGAGTGACGCGGGCACGGAACGGTATGTATAGGGCAGGGTGACTGCGGTAGGCAGCGACAGGAAGGGTGATACAGTCAAGGGCACCTGGGCCAGCAATGGATGAGGTTCTATTTGCGGCCGTCAGTATCATAACGAATGGCCAAAGGATGTCTGCACGACATACTGGATGTGTCAAACATGGCCGCAGGTCAGAGAAAGCTACCAGGTAGTCAAAACAGCCACGGCGGAATTTGAAATGTAGCAGAAGGACGGAAAGCTGGATGGATTGATAGGCCTTGGATGGCCTCGATGGAAGCGGCGTCCACAGTAAGCCTGATTCGCCGGACGAGCCTGAGTGTGCCTGAGGCAGGCTGTAGCTGTACACGGGACAAGTACTGGTGGTGTCACAGTACTGGAGTATCTCGTAGCTGGAGTGTCGAGGTCGTGTAGCTGCGCGCGTGCATGTCTTCCACTGTGAGCAAGTGAGGGCGTGTGAAGGCTACTATGTTAGCTAAGGTACTCCATATCGTACTTGTAGTTAGGCGTCTGCGAGCCCCTCTTTTCCCTTTTCCTGGCGTCGAGTGAGATTCAAGGTCTTTTGTTGGCATCACTGCTCTTGCCACACACATCATGCACCAAGGGCCATCTTGGAGGAACTGTCCCTAAGCTCGAATAAGACATCCTTCGGTCTCCAGCTTCGAAGTTTTGTGGGAATTCAGCCCTGGACGAAGCACTAATCCTTTTTCATTTACTTCTACCAACTGCGCTGCAATCTACTCCTACAGCCTCAGCCCCCAATAATTCCACGGCTCACTTCTTCATACCTCAGTTTTCAGCTCTTACCTCGTCTCAGAATCGAATCCGTCGTCTCACAGACTTCACAGACTTCACAGACTCCACAGACTTCCTCACGACCTTGTGCGCAGTTCGCTCACCATTTGTCGCCGTTTGCCTCCTGTGCGGTTCAGGCCCAATCCAGAACCCCTCCCATGAGACTGTCGGCCACCCACGTTTGACACGCTTCATTTCTCCGTACGAGCATCGCCGTTGTTGGCCTTGCTAGCTTCTCTGGTTGCAACCTCGTTGCTATACGGTCATCCTTGTCCTTGACAGACAGCACAGCTCAAATTTGAGAGCGTGCGCTTCAAGCGCAACTAAGAATATCAAGATGGATGGCCCCTTGGCGAAGGCGGTTGTGGACAAGAAGCCAATCCCAGAGATCGACTTCACCTTGCATATCATGGAAGATGGATCTCAAGTGAGCACTCAAGAGCGAGTGTGCAAGGGTACGTCCGGTCTAGGATTGCTTCTGCTATGGCCAATGCTAAACTTGTTGCAGATGTCCAGGCCCCCGCCATGCAAGTCCCTACGAACGAGCAATTCTGGTCGCCCACCGACCGATCGAAACCCAACTTGCCTTTTCTCAAACAACATTTCTATCGAGAAGGGAGATTGACAGAAGAGCAAGCATTGTGGATCATTGACGAAGGCACCAAGATCCTGAAGGCCGAGCCCAACTTGTTGGAAATGGACGCCCCCATCACTGTCTGCGGCGATGTCCATGGACAATATTTCGATCTGATGAAGCTGTTTGAGGTTGGAGGAGACCCATCGGAAACTCGTTACCTCTTCTTGGGCGATTACGTTGATCGAGGGTATTTCAGTATCGAGGTTGGTTCTTTGAAGCCTTGTTGCTGGAAACATACGACTGACTATTTTAGTGCGTACTCTATCTGTGGGCGCTCAAGATATGGTATCCCAATACTCTGTGGTTGCTTCGTGGCAATCACGAGTGTCGCCATCTCACAGACTACTTCACATTCAAACTAGAATGCAAGCACAAGTACTCGGAGAAAATCTACGACGCCTGCATGGAATCCTTTTGCTCCCTGCCTTTGGCCGCCGTTATGAACAAGCAGTTCCTGTGTATTCATGGTGGGCTGAGTCCTGAATTGCATACATTGGAGGATATCAAGAGCGTGCGTGGTCCCATCTCGAATTGGCTCGAGGCCTTGCTGACCCTGACAGATCGACCGCTTCCGCGAGCCGCCTACCCACGGTTTGATGTGCGATATCCTCTGGGCTGATCCTCTGGAAGAGTTTGGGCAAGAGAAGACGGGAGAATTCTATGTCCACAACCATGTCAGAGGCTGCTCCTACTTTTTCTCATACCCGGCAGCATGCAACTTCCTGGAGAAGAACAATCTGCTGTCGATCATCCGAGCACACGAAGCCCAAGATGCTGGATATCGTATGTATCGCAAGACACGGACGACCGGCTTCCCTAGTGTGATGACTATTTTCAGCGCACCCAACTATCTCGACGTGTACAACAACAAGGCTGCTGTGCTCAAGTACGAGAACAACGTTATGAACATCCGACAATTCAATTGCACCCCTCATCCCTATTGGCTACCAAACTTCATGGACGTCTTCACATGGTCCCTACCTTTTGTCGGAGAGAAGATTACGGATATGCTCATTGCAATCCTCAACACGTGTTCCAAGGAGGAATTGGAGGACGAAACTCCCAGTGCTAGTATTACAGCTGAAACACCACCACTTGCAGATGCTGAGTCCACTGAAGCCAAACGCCGGGCGATCAAGAACAAGATCTTGGCCATTGGACGTCTATCGAGAGTCTTCCAGGTTCTGCGAGAAGAATCCGAGCGCGTTACTGAGTTGAAGACACAGTCTGGCGGTCGTCTGCCAGCGGGTACTCTGATGCTGGGCGCCGAAGGCATCAAGCAGGCTATTCATAACTTCGAAGATGCTCGCAAGGTGGATCTCCAGAATGAACGGTTGCCGCCGTCACCAGAGGAAATTGAGAAGCGGAGTGCCGAGGACAGGAGAATGGCGCTTGAAAGGGCTGCCACTGAAGCCGATAATGACGTCCAACTGCAAGGTGTAGCGCGAAGGATCAGCATGTAAGATTTCCCTTGGCCGCCACAGACTAATGATGACTAACGTTAAGCAGCGGTTCCAGCCATTCACGTGGACATCGCCGAAAGGAGTAAACTGCTGGTCAGTTCAAGAACTATTATCCGGTCAAGTCGGATCGATCACGGGCTACATTGCCGCGACGTCCAAGGGAGCCCGCGATTCTAGAAAGGAAAGGGAGCCGACTTCATTGTGGGTAGAATGAATGGATACGCAGCGTTTGACATTGTGCAAGTGGCGCGCATGATGAACGCGGAAAGTGGATAGGATTTCGGATGCAGCGCCGGATAATGGCAACGGTTGGCTGACATCGTCCGAGTTCATACTCTGTTGTTGGCGAGGTCGATGGGCCAGGCACACCTGTGTTGATGGTGCCATACCTTTCATCCAGAGCGAAGGGTACATAAACAGAGCGTCCCCCTTCTGCCTCTATGAAGCTCTATGATGATAAGCAGGTCCTTGGTGCTCCTCTTTTCCTGCCGACGAAACATAGGTAGCAGGACGAAATGTTTGATTTACCGGATTCATGACTTGTATGCAATGTCTCCATATTCTCCTTGATTGCTGTTCCAAACCTCTCTGTGTACGGAGGAATTTGTCTTAAGAACAACCACTTTACGCGCTGATATTCTGACGCGACACGTGAAGTGAAGGGAAAAGCAGGCGAGCTGGTTACTGGAGAAATGGCGCTGGCGGCGCAGGTAAGGACCGAGCCGTCATCCGGCCAGGAACCAGGAACCGACCTCTCACTTTCCGACCTCCCATTCATCCACACATGCCTCAGGCATCGCTTCAATCCTTCTTGTCTCCATGCAGAGTGTCTGAGCGTTCGTCGTCTTCTTTTCAGTTGTGCTCGGGCGTCGCCTCGGCCTGCCAGCTGCCAGTCAGCCGAGTGCTTATTCGTCGTTGATTGTGTAACACCGAAAGCGAAATGCCCCTCAGCTGAGAAACCTTGGGAATGTCAATCGAACGGATATCACAGCTCAGCACAACTTCCCCGGTACATGTCGCCAAATCGAGCATCGCAATCAATCATCTCCGGGCACCATGGCCACAACTCCATCCCACATTGGGTCGAAGATCGATTGGGCGATCGATCACCTTAATGCTCACTGGGACTTGAGGCTTCCTAAGCTTCATGGTGCGCAAGTCAGAGACGCCGAGGCGAAAAAATCTCTGCCTTATAAATGCTTCACGAGAATTCGATTTCTATGTTTTCGTATCCCAATCGAGAAAATCCTTGCCGACTTCGACGAGCAGGCTCGTTCAATCCATTCGAAATGGATCTTCAAGCCGTCTCAGGAGAAGGGAACTCTGCCGCGGCTTCCTGTCACCAAAAGCATGATGGGGAGGGAGAAAGGCGAGAATCAAGTGATAAGACTATCGGAATCTCAGCGAGAGAAGCTTCACCAGCTGCTGTTCAATAATTTGGACGAGCATTATGAGCTTGCTCGGATGACCAAGACACTGTCTATCGAACAGCAATCCGATGCTAGCTTCCAAACCGCGCCAACTACGCCATGCAAGGTGTCCCTCAATCGCACTCAAAGCCTACCAGTCACCCCCAGCAAACATATATTATACCCGCAAGATAATTGCGTGGACGGTGGGCTGGAACCTGTATTGAAAGACCCCAAAACAGGCTCGGCAAAGCGAAGCATAGCATCACCAGACAACGTCAGTATCTACCTGAACGCGGGCTCCTTCATCCACTAACCCGGACGCAGAAAAACAAGCGACAACAGAAGCTCGCTGAATGTAACTACTTTAGACCAGCATCTTCCTCTAGACGACCCCAGCCTCCATTGCTCTCCGCTATCGGTCAGCGCCTCGAACCGACTAGCTTCGATACTGTTCTCACTGCCAATGGCTCATCCGTATTCGAAAGTCCTGACCATGACCACGACTTCTTTGCCTCCAACGACACCTCGATAATGAGTAGCCAAGCAACTGGCGACAAGGCCGAAGAGTCTCAAGATCTCCTGCCAACACAGGATCTGCAAGATTTCCTGGAAGACGAGGATTTCAACAAATCATTTAATGAAATGTGCATGCCACAAAGCAGTTTTGATCCCATAGAAGTCGCACTGAGCAATACCTTCAGAAGGCAAGCTTGTCTGCCACAGAATGTTCCTTTCTGGCTATGTTGGGAAATCCATCGACTTGCGCACCTCCTTGGGAAGCTGCCGCTCGACGTACATGGGTCAATCATGAAGCTGTGCAAGTCGAATACGCCCTCATTCGACAGATTCTGGGAAGCTGCAAAGGAATTGTCGCAGAAGATGGCTACCTCACCACCTCAGAAGTCCGAGGTGCCTCTTTGGATGGGAACGCAGGACAAATATGAGGATCCGAGCTCAACAAAGGCGCTTTACCTTACGGCTAGCCTGGAATGGAGTGACAACCTTTCTCAAGGGATGTTCAAATTCCGGCCTAACGAGATCCGTCTGGAACAATCCTGCCGTCTTTACAGAAAATTCGGTGCCGACCGCTTCCTGGTGCTTTTTGCGCCTTATTTTTCCGAAGGTTCCCGCCGTGGGAAGCTTCGTGCGCAAGACAACGAAAACGAATCCGTGCATAAGAAGATCACCAAATTTATGGCAGAAGGAAGACATTTCATTGCCGGCCGGTATTGGCGAGTCTTCTACGTTGAGCCCGAGAAGAGAAAGAGCCGGAAAAAGGAACATCAACAGCCTCGTCAGAAGCTTTTCTTGTTTGCAGAGACTGGATACGACATGATATCACCCCCATTCTCTCTTGAGATAAGCACGCCATCACTAAAGATCGATGGCCATCACCAGGAAATCAGCTTGGAGACTGTGACTCAATGGCACATGCCAATTGCTGCCAATAGCACATCAACTGATCTCAAACTTTTCTCGAGATGGGGCATTGGCCTTTCAAAAACAACGCCAACTATCACCCTTCGGCGAGAGGAGTTTGTTCGGCGACCTGATCCGACGAATGGTCCTGTTATGAACGACGGATGCGCCTTGATGTCCTACCCATTGGCAAAAGCAATTTGGGAGGCCAGCGGCAAGCCAGGCGACATGCCATGCGCGGTGCAAGCTCGAGTTTCTGGAGCCAAAGGCTTATGGATTGTCGACTACCAGGGTCGACAACCTCACCGTACAGGAGATCGAGGTTACTGGATCGAAGTGTCCGACTCACAGTTGAAAATCAAACCACATCCTCGGCGTAGAAAGGATGCAGATGACAGCCTGCGAACGTTTGAGGTCTTGAAGTGGGCCGGCGAGTGCAAACCTGGACACCTCAATATCCAGCTGATATCCATTCTTGAGGATCGAGGTGTTCCACGAAAGGCTCTTCAAGATGCACTGACGGCAGACACGCGGGCATACTCAGACTCTTTGACTGCTGCCATCGGGGATACCAAAGATGGCAGGGTGCTTCTGTTGTGGATGCATATGAATGGCCTTCTCGGCCCATGCGAAGCACAGAGGAATCTTGGATCTTTCCCAACCGATCGACGACAACAAATGAGGCTATTACTGGAAGCTGGCTTCAACCCCTCTGACTGCGCCAAGATAGTCAAGTGTGCCTTTAAAATACTTAGTGACTACATGACAGACTACGTTGAGAGATTATGGATAACCCAGTCATGCTCAACAACCGTCTTCTGTGTGCCAGATCCCACGGGTCTGCTGGAGGAGGATGAAGTATGCATGAACTTTTCCAAGCCAGTAACCGACCCAAGAACCGGCATGACTGAGTTTAGCCTCGATAAGATGAATGTGTTGGTAGCGAGAAATCCGGCTTATCTTGCTTCGGATATGCAAAAGCGCAAGGCTGTGTACATTCATGAACTTCGACATTACAGAAATGTCATCATCTTTTCAACGAAAGGCAGTCAACCACTGGCTTCAATGCTCTCTGGAGGCGATTACGACGGTGATACCTGCTGGGTATGCTGGGACCCTACCTTTGTCGAACCCTTCGAGAATGCCCACTTACCGTCAATGCCCAGTGAGGAACAATGCGGTATGGTCCAGGAGTCCAGGCCGCTGTCTGACATATTCACGGAAGCACGGCCACTCGAAGAAGCCATGCAGGACTTCCTCCGAGCCTGCATCGACTTCAACGCACGCCCGAGTTTGATGGGTGCATGTTCGACGGAACACGAGAGGCTGGTTTACTCGCTCAGTCAACAACAGAAAGCGAACAAACTGTCGTCTTCGGGCACCGTAACACTGGCAGCACTGGCAGGATACCTGGTCGACAGCAACAAGCAAGGTTGGAGCTTGGATCAGAATTCTTGGCTTGCCGTGTGTGTGAAGGCAAGCGGCTCTTTGAAGCTGCCTGAACCGTGTTTCAAGACTGGATCTCCACCACGTACACGCAAAGGTGCCTACGCCAATGTCATCGACTTCTTGAAATTCGAGGTTGCCGCTGGAGAAAAAGAGAACGCTTTGACTGGTTTTGAGAAGCTGAACCCTGACGCTGGAACCTACGATATTGTCCTCAGCAAATATTGGAAAGACGCAGTAGAAAAAGGGAAGACGGAGAAGAGCCGTATGGCCGACAAACCTCGAGCGACAAACAGGAACAACAAAGCAACAGCTCAGTCAAGGAAGTTAACAGACCAACATAGTGATGGACGAACCGATGAGGCTTGTTTGAGTGCCATTCTGGAGGATCTTTCACAGCAGACCAAGAATCTCCTACAAGAAAGGAAGCAATTGGCCCCTGTGGATTCCATTGACTCATCTTTCGGTGAGTCTAGAGATTCAGCCAAGTACTCTACCGCCGTCCAGCGCGTCTATGAGCTCTTTCAGGCCATTGAGCCCAAGGACATCGACCATGATCTTAGACGCCGCTACGAAGACGAGAAAGAGGCGCATTTTTCTCACTGGTCGCTGCTGCGAGCATCGTGTTTGCATTACGAGGTTTGCCGCAAAGGCACGTTTCCAGAATGGGTGTGGTATGTCGCAGGGCGCGATTTATGCCATCTGAAGGCATTACACCATGGAGGCAATGTCCGCCTCGTTCCAGAAGATATTTTGGGGATCATGCAAGTTAATTCCAAGTTCGCCAAAGCAATGTTGGAAAGGAAGACCTTCGAGGCTGAAGATGTGGGTGCAGGCGATATGATTGACATTGGAATGATGGAGGATGAAATTATGTCTTTGGATTGACGACGGTACTACCCCTGATCGATTGTGGATTTTGATACCCAAGAAATTTGTACTATCATGGAAAGATTGAATTCCAGGGCGAGACTGGTTTTTGAGGTCGATGGTGAGAACAGTCAAAGCGCTGGGCTGCCCCTTCGAACGTCTCACGACATTTCCTCCCTTTTCCATCTGGAATTTATCCAGCCACTTCTCTAGCTCCTTTCTCCCTTGCCTTACCATCGCACATTCTTCCAGATGGCTCTTTCACTCTATCGTCGAGAGACTCTTCAAGGTCCTCATCATGACCTCCTGCGCCTTTATCCCACGGACTCTTTCTCTCCTCTTGCTAATCTTCCCGTCAACTCAGTATGGCTGATCAACGCAAAGACAAGCGAATAAGCATCTACAGAGTCGCTAATCTGTGCGTTGTATTGATCCTGTCATCCAGTATCCTGTGCATTGCCCGGCTTTTACTGGTGAAAGGAGCCGTTAGCTCGACGATTGCTCCTGGAATATACATCTCGGTTGGCTTGGTAAGTCAGAGATCTTCGGCATGGCTCCTGCTGATACCTTCAGTCGATCCCCACCATCATTGCAGCGAGCATTCGATGCTACCTTATCTTCCGCCGGCGACAGCATCTCCAAACCATATCACCTTCTCCCGCTCTCCCGCGGCTAGATTCGGCTTGTGCCACCATTGTTCAGTGTTTGATACTCTTATGGATGCTGTTGGCGGGTTGCGTTCTGCTTCCAGTGGCATTCAGAGCGCCCATCTGCCTATCCGAACCCTTACAACAATGGAAGAATGACCTTGCGGGAAACAATTGGAGATATGGTCTTTCATGCAGCCTGCACAGAACCATCGTTGCATTATCAATATTAACAGCGTGCGTTCCCCTTTTTCACAACTGCAGCAATTCCACTGACCCATAGCAACAGCCTGTCGATGTGTGTGGTCTCGTTCTTCGACAGATTCGACCGACAGCAGAACCATCGAGGCTCGACTTTCCTCTGTGGTTACCGACAAGGATCGCCGAAAGAGTCCAGATATAAAGACCGCGCTGGCGCCTCATTATCTAGCAGCCGGTCGGCCTACGAGTTCGACAAGGACGACCGTCTTTTCCTCGTCCCGGAAAGGCGCCCTTCCCGGTTCGAACGTGAACAATGGTTACAGCGGAGGAATAGTCTGTCCTCGCAAAGGGCCATCTACCCTCACAAGTACCACTATTACGACCCGCGGTCAAGATACATCGCACACAGCCACGCACACAGCAGTCGGTACTCGAGCACGCTGCGTTCTGTCTCGGAAGGAGCATGTTTAGATCTGAGTGACCGGAGCTCATCACTTACCTCGTCTCAATCGTCAGGCTCGCTGGCCAGATTGTCCCGACCGTCTACAATGGCGTCTGCGAGGTATCGTTCCAGCAGCAATCCTGAGAAGCCAGGGCCAACCCACAACGGTTCGTCCACACCTACTGTTCCCAGTATTTCCCCGCTTCCAGCAGTTCCACCTCCCACATGGTGTCCTTCGTTGCAGCATACTCCGCTGAGCGCCGATCCGTTCATTAGAGCACTCAGCACTGGTGCGGTATTGCCGCCCTCGAGATCCACACAGACATTGCTTGCTCCGTCGCCTCCTCGGGGAAGTAAGGACAGTGTGGCGCAGAAAACAGTGTCTGCTTGTCCAAAGGTGTCCGCCTTCAGGAAGGAGCAGATGCCGGCGTCTGGTACTCCACCGGTGCAACCAATGCCAACAATGCCGCCGCCACCACCACCTTCAACAATGCAATCAGCATCACAGCCTCCGACAACTGCGGTTGCCTCGCCCTCAGCATCTCTCGGCCCCGCTCCACCCATACCGACACGTTCACCGGGTCACCATCTTTTTCCTTCTACGAGGTCCACATCCACGGGCACACGATCCAGCCTACGCCGACCGTCGCCAATTCGCTACAGGCAGCATCCCTCAACGTACCAGTACCAGTACCAGCGGGCTCGAGCTAGGAATGCCAATCCTAGTGTCAGTATGTACTCCGCCAGTTCATACGGCACCGATCGATCGGTTGGTGGAGCCGGTGCTGGTGCTGGAACTGCCAAAGTCGGCGGAAGGAAGTGACTACGTGGTACGTAGTAGCTAGCTAGTAACACGAATGCCGCTCCGGATGTGGCGAAGAGGGAGGGAACGGAATTAAAATTGTTGGACGGCAAGGGGTTTCCTCCCCAAATGGAACGTCAAGGTTAGGGGGTGGTGAAACACTACATGACTGCCTCCCTTGGTGTGGTAGGTCTGCGCTGGATAAAACCTATGACACTTCAGGGATGAATGATACCAGCATTTGTCCAGAAGAGTATCACGGCTTTCTCACAAACGGCCGCGTAGAATGCGATTAGTATCGCAGCCCAAAAATTCGCATAGCCATTGTTCGCTGAGGAGAAATGTTTACCTAACGACCTGATTTTACGGCAGTGCTTCTAATGTCGTACGTTCCCGGCATGATGCGGGCAATAAATCAGACATGGCATAAGGTGTAGGTCTCACAGCACTAAAAGCGAGAAACAATCATTATACATACCTCCCTAGTCATCTATAGGGGACCTCTATGTGAGCTAAAGGCAGTCCTCAAGGCCCAACATAGGAAGAACCCTTCCTCTTCGACATACTTAGGCTTAACTATGCGCATAGTGATAGCAAGCTGCAGGTTTATGAGAGATGAGTCACGAGGCCAAATTATACGAATTGATGTATGCTATGGATCATAACCAATCTGCATTCCCTGAAGCCTAATTCCATCAATCGAAACGTAACCCAGGAATCTTCCATTTTAACAGTATTCCAACGTCGTTTAGTTCATCCATTCAGCCAGCTGAGAGCTCGATCGATGTTCAGAATCTGTCTGGTGGTGAGCCAGACCACCAGTTTCTAAGATTGTCGAAGGTGAACCAAGATCGTCGTTGCGTAGAGTCTCTGGCTCTCCTAACCTGGTTGAAATATACAGCGGCCTGTTTTGCGACTTCGATCCATGCCCAGGTCCTGGCGAACCAGGATGGTTGTTGCTCCTCTTGGCTCTCCGCGTTGCGCTGCCGAGATGCTGTTTCCGGTCTATCCAAGAATTGAGATGGATTGTTTCGAGCATTGCTTTCATTTTTCACCGTGGCTCGATCTTGAGAAATGCTGATCTTGATGTCGACTGGGTTGGCCTGCAAGACTTTTGCTGCCTCTGTATCTTTGAGGGCTACTCCAGCTTCCAGTTCGCGAGCTATTTGAAGCTTGACAGGCTCGCTTTCTGCATATTTACGCAGGATTAAAGCCTCGATCTCCGCCGCCCTTTGCGGTCCGTGTCGCCTCTTGGAAAGGATAGATGCGAATGTGTGGATATCGCTTCCGCCTCCGGGAAACCCATGATGATAAAGAGAGCCTCCATGATACCGCTGAGGTGGGTCCAGAATCTGTTCAACATTCTTATCCCGAAGCAATTCACTGACTCGCGCCCAAGATTCCTCGAATGAATCCTCGTTGTAAGTATCCCATCGATTTGTTATGAATGTGACTTTGTGAAAGAACTCAGGACCGCAAAAGCATTGGACCCACTGCATAGTCTGGAGGTCTGGACGCATAATGCGAGTATCAGGCTTGCCGTAGACAAAGAGCAATCCGGCGATGTCCACGAAGGATCCAAGCGCTGTGATGCAACTAACAATGTCCTGGAAGTTCGCCATGTCATCCATATCAGCAGCGCCGAAGCCGGCTGTATCAACGAAGAGGTACTGTTGATCACCGATGACAGCTGGGCAGACACGGTATTGCAAAGTCCCTGCAACTTGTACTCAGCGTTCATTGACTTTCACGTAGCATGGGTGGTGTTACCTGACATCATGGTGTCTCCAGTCGCCAAGTCTAAGCCAGTGAGCTCTTGCAGAATCGTAGTCTTCCCAGTTCCCGATTGACCGACCACAAAGATCACTTTTGTCCCTTTGAGACTATCAGAGGTCAGTGGTTTGCCAACACAATATACGGCAGTTTTCTTACTGGCGCCCAACAAAACTCACAACAGTTAAAGAAGCTGCACCTTTCGCCTCTTTAATCAATTTTCTCAATCGACTGCGTGCCCATACCCACCCTGTGGAGCCTTCTCTGTTTTCATTTGAGTCAGTATTGGCCTCGACGTCTCTGCGGTCGGGACCCTGGTCGCCATCATCCTCATGGTCGGAAGGAGTTTGGGCCAGTTGTGCGTTCGATATCTCAGGAGGGGTTGGCACTTCAGCCTCAGTTGTTCGACTAGACTGAAGGTCAATGTTGGCGAAACCACTATCCCAGCCAGAAGACAGGGCTGTTGTGGTCATATTGAATGAATGCAAGGGGTTGGTGTCAGAGCAAGGTGTGGCTTTTTGCAATGAGAACAGAGAAGTGTAAGTGGAAGAAAGATGCTGGGAGAAATACCAACATGGATGGCGAGGAAGGACATACTTATGCTTCTGATCTTTCAATGAGATGAGTATCTGTTCCACACCACCGAGCATATCATTCAGGGAGTGGGACCCTCGTGGTGCTGTTCATTGGCCAGAACGCTAAAGTTCACTCTAAAGTTCATTTTTAGTTCCTCTTACAACAGCCAATTAGCCAGCGAGCAAAAGAAGTCACCTCCGCCTTACATGGATTAGACGAGCAATGCCTGACCTCAGATGATATTAGCCAGATGAGTGCCTGCCGACATGTTTATTGGTAGAGTGTTGACTCTGCCCACTGTGAGAGGTCTGTGGGATGAAACCGCAGTTTTCCGTGCCTCCAGAGTCGGCTTACACTTGGCATTGTCACTGCAACTACTGCCAACGCATCTGATGCATTTTTCCTTGAGCATCAGCCAAACAAGTGACCAGGCGAAAACTGAGCAATCGTGGGCTGAAATATGACTGAACCCTCTACGACTCACGTAACGAGGCACCCATTATGGATTTCACAGACGAGAATCGTGATCAGTGGGAAGTGTTCCAGCCATCTTACGAGTTCCCCGAAACAAGCGGTATGGAGCAGATCTTCGACACTATCCAAGAGCGTGCTTTCGCAGTTCCTTTAGGATATCCGGCTGCGCCTAGTAATGACGCCAGTTTCTTCTGGGAACCATCTGGCCTCGAAAACTGTTCATCGTTGAATCAATATGAAGAGCTCGAGCCATCGTCTGTGTTTCCTGATCCAAGTGGCCCGGATCCTCTGTCCAGCACGGTCGTCGAAGACAACTTGGTTCTCCCTGAAGCCCTTTTCGCAAACCTAGTGGCTCAACATCGTAACCACGGCTTTGTTTGGACGCAGCCCTGTCTGCAAAACTATTCATCATTTGATCAGTATGAAGAGTTTGTGCCAATGCTTGCGCTCCCAGGGCCAAGTACTACATATCCTCTCTCTGGGACAATTGAGGAAGGCAACTTGGCTTTGACAGAAGACATACTCACAGACCCAATAACTCATGAGAGTTGTGGCAGTCTTGATTGTGCACAACTTGGTCTGGAAAATTACCACTTGTCCGGCGTCACTGAAGCAGCCCCCATATACGCTCCACAGATCCACCTAAACGACAAACCATCTGCGAGCCTGTCCCAACAACCTGGAAACCACAGAACACCCGAAGGCGTTCTTCCTCCGAGTCAAGAAGGAAGTTCAACAAGAAAACCGCGAGTTTCCTACTGCGCCGGATGCGGAGCTCAAATAAAGCTGCCATCAAAATCGGCGTGGAACAGAATGAAGGAAACTCTGGAAAGGTTGTACTGCCATGATGGTTGCACAATGGAAGTAGTGAGTGATATTGCATGCCTTGCATATCACTTCCATGCTTCGTAAGTCTTCGCCCATTATCCTCCGCGCCAACAATCTTAAATAATGACACGGGACCTGGGTTGAAATGATCCCAGTCTAAGCCCATACAAAAAATTCGGCGCGAAGAATCACTGGCGGTCATATTAGGGACAATGGCATCAAAACCAGTGTTCAAGTGTCTCAGAAAAGGAAGCAAAGACCATCCACTTTACCTACCATTCCGCGAAACAGATGGGAGAATCGTATAATGGTGAATATAATCATGTCGGATGCACCACTAACCCCGTCACTATCAGCAACACGTTATGAACACCAGGAGAAAATAATATACAGCGTGGACTGTTACATCAAACACTTGTTTGATGGAAAAGGTGGAGGACGGAACTCGGATGCTACAGATTTCGTCAAGTGTGAAGTTCGAGACAACACGACGGATGCATGGCAACAACTGTCGGATCAATGCTTCGAAGCCTCCGTCCTTATCAAGTCACGTTCTTTCGCTAAAGCAAGGACTACATTAGATAGGTTCTTCGATAAACTCGATCTCGAAGCACGAAACCCCAACCCTCTGTTTATGGTCAAGTTGTGGCGCATCTGTCTCCAACTACGAAGCAATGATAGTCGGGTTCACCAGTTAAAGGCACTTGGCAGGTTCTATGCAACACTCGGCAAAGCGTTCTCCGAAACTTATGGCGAAAAGGATCCATTACGCACCCTGATAACATCTCTCAAACAACTATCGCAGGCAGATTTGAAAGACACTCTCCGGATCGGATATTTCAAGACGATCAAGACCCTGAGCGCCATGGTAGGCGAGGAGAAAGCAGTTGTTCTCAATATGTGGTCACACTACTTCAAATACTTCGACAGGCAATATCTTGACAGAAGAACACTAATATTCAAGTTTCAGCACGTATGGGATCAAGAGTCCGTGGACAAGGGAACTTGGATCACAATCATCTACTACTACACCTATGCAGCCTACTATGTGTGTGAGATGCAGGTTCTCGCCTATTCTATGGCGGCATGGTTGGTAGAAGAGACTCAAACACTTCTTTGCTTGACAGAATCACCACGTTGGACGCTACCAACACAGGCGTTTGTTTTCGCTTCGCAAGTGAAGGCATCTCTTCGTCAGCAGCACTACTTGGACACACATTGTCCCGAATCTAAGACAATATTAACGAAAACCATGGAAACGGCGATCGCAAGACTACGTCTCGGGGACAGCGAATGTCAGACCAGACAAAGTATGCTCTCGGATTTACTTCTGAAATGGATGAAAGAGCAAGAAGCTCAACAGCCAGACAAGGACAGACAGCCTGTGAATGCTGAGAAGCAAGGTGAAGAAGTGGTTTCTCGGAAGCGGCAAAAGATTCGAAAACGAAAGGCTTCCTTGAACAAGCAGGGTGATTTGACCGGAATCTGCACTAAATGCATTGTTATGTGCACTTTGTGTCCGAATAGGATGGATTGCAAGCATTGCAGTAACGCGACTAGAGACTTGGAATGTTGTCGGCGGCCAGAGGTCGACGAAATCGTCCAGCAAGGAACAGAGTTCGCCGCCTACCTGCCTGAGAGTCCGAGCCGGGATTAGGTTGGGATAACGAAATGTTGTGGGCTCTGAATCTTGCCCGAAATCACACTTACTACAGACGATCTCCACGGCGTGGGCAAGGACCTTTGCACCGCAGTGTGCTCAGGAGGGATTCATTTACCCACCATTACAGAAATCATTGCCTGGCGAGAGAACGGGACGATCACAGACGCCATTTGCCGGCTCGCTCCGCTGAACATCACAGCAAAACTGTGTGGTAGCAAATGGACAAAGTTCACCTTTGACTTCCGCGACGAGACGGGACTTTAAGATCTGTCGACCGTGGTGTCGAAGAACTTTGTATTTGATCAAGTTACTTATTCATCTCTCATTGGTATCATGTAATCACTACAAGTACAGACTCGGCTATTCTTGCCCTTCATCTTGTCTCAGTATCTCTTCTGAGATCACGGGGGGTTTTGAGTCCTGAGAGCCAACTCAATGTCGCGCCAGGTATCATCGCTTTTCAAGCTTCGTCCTTGGGGGTCTGAGTCCTGAGAGACAACTCAGGTATCATCGCTAATTCAAGCATCATCCTTGGACTTGACTTCTTCGACCTTTCCCTTTGACACTTCCGGCCAGTTGGTGCTCAACGACGTTCCATTACTCTCGAGAAAAGACTTCTGCATGGCACGACGTGTGTCTGGATCCGCATTGGCGTAGATCTTCTTGAAGAAGCCGTCGACCGGGTCGCCTGATTCGTAGTCTGAATCAACCTCTGCCTCTCCATCACCTTCGGAAGCAGAATCAGAACCTTCAGTAATTTTTTTGGAAGATTGCTTCTTCTGCTTAGTCTTTGACTGGGCGTGCAGGTCGTTCGCGAGCTTGTCCCAGTTCTTAGGGCCCGTGCGGGATGAGGTAGGATATGCTGGTGCTGTAGCTGTGCTGGTTGCAGGCCGGGCAGCGGCGGTAGAGGCTGTGGTAGAGTCCCGATTGGCACTGGCCTCCGCAGGCTTGAGAGGTGCAGATCCTTCGAGAGTGTGCCATTTCTGGCCGGCCTGTGCCTTGCGAAGGTTGATTTCGATCTTGGTCGACATGACGTTTGCGGTGCTTTGAGCAGGGTCGACCAGTGCGAACAAAGGGTCAAGTGTGAATGTGAATGTCGAGTCAAGATTGGACGGGTGAGGGAAGGTGATGTACACCGAGTCAGCATTGATTTCAATGTCTGCTGCATCCTTGGCGACGCCTTTCGCGTAGAGTGTCAACGTGACGGACTGATTGTTTTGGTACCATTCATGTCGGATCTTTGGGGCGGCGGATGAGGAAGAGGTAGCAGTGACTTCCGTGGCTGAAGGTGCCGATTGAGCGTCCATGGCGCCATCCTTGGTCATTCCTGCAGGCGGCGCAGTTGGAGCAGCACTGGTAGCTTGTTTTGAGAGTTGAATGGCAGCAGCGGCGGCGGCATCTTCTGGAAAGACGTATTTTCCGTCTGGATCCAGCTGCATCTTCACCTGTTCAAGCATCTTTTTCTCAGAAGGCAGTGGGTATTCTGGAACTTCAGTAATGGTGACCTCCTGCTCTGGCTTTCCAATTTGTTTTGTTCTGATTTTGGCAGCCCACATGTCCACTTCCATCTTGTGCTTTTTGCTGTCTTTTGGGCTGAGGGGCCTCAGTTTCTCCACGAGAAATGCGGCGTCCGCGTAGCGTCCAAGTCCATAGAGTGTGACCATTCTTCGGAGTTGTGCAGCGTAAATCTTCTCGCGTACGGCGCGCTTTTGAGCGGACAGGACGGCGAGCTCTGCATCTTTCAGAGCGAGGTCATTGCGAGGTGGGTTGAGACGGGTGAAAGCGATCGAACGCTGAGTGAGGTAGTCTGGTGAGAGAGGGTGTTCTATGAGGGCTCGCGTGTAAGCGTCGAGAGCGCCCCGGAAGTCTTTATTCTCCAGCGCCGTGGCGCCTCGAGCAGCCGCTTCCATTTCTGCCTCGCTTATCTCCTTGATCTTTGTCAGTGGAAAGTGGATTGTTTGTAGAAGTTGTGAGAAGCCGCTCACAAGACTTTCAGCCTCGACAGGCGAATGAACACCCGAGGTTCTAGCGGTATCACCGGCTAAGTCCGATGCAGGTGCCATTTGGGCTTGTGGTGGACGTCTGTTCACATATCCACGAGTGAATATGTTCCACGTCAACCACCCAAAGACATTGACAAAGAGTTTGCACATCGTGGTCGTTGTAGAGGTAACGTTGTGATGTGAGAAGGTGGATGACAAGGTCACAATGAGCAGCAGGTTTTATGTGCGCACGCAGCCTGTCTTCTTCTACATCACATGCTGACTTTTCCTAGTTTGGCGGTTCAGACTCTGGCTCTGATGTCGACGACGATGCGCCTTTACCCTTTCCAAAGCCACTAGATCGCTCAGCCTTTCTTGCGCCAGATTTTGATGCGACCGTATTCTTGTCAAGCCTGTCAAACCGCTTCCAGACCCTAGAAGATCTACAGACAGAGTTACGTGAACTCAGCCAGACACTGAACAAGGAACTGGTGGATTTGGTCAACGACAATTACCAGGACTTTCTTTCCCTAGGGTCTACGTTGTCAGGCGGTGAAGAGAGAATCGAGGACATTCGCTTGGGTCTGCTCGGGTTTCAACGAGAGGTCAACTCAATACGAGGCACGGTTGCTACGAGGAGAAATGAGGTGGCCGAGTTGCTGAAGCGAAAGAAAGCCTTGAAGCAGGAGACTAGCATTGCAAGATCGCTGTTGGAGGTTGCGGAACGGTTGGATCAGCTGGAAGTGAAGCTCAACATTTCGAAGGGCAGGGCTCCAGATTCCACAGACGACACCAAACCAAAGGATGGAGATGTTGAATGGAGCGAAGATTGGGTGGAAAACACGAATTATGACAGCGACGACGAGTACGACTCTGATGAAAACAGCGGTATACCACCACGGCTGAGGCGGAGGACTGAGGAGTTCCTCATGTTGAAGCATCTTATGAGCAGGCACAGCGCCCATCATCCCTTCATATTGGCACAGGATTCGCGAATACGGAACATTCAGGAGATTTTGCTGGCAGACCTTGAAGTTGCTATCAAGCAAGAGCCACAGGTCAAGATCAAACAACAAATGCTGCAGATTCGGGCAGCTGTAGAAGGATGATAGAGAACCTATCCACAACACAATGATACCCTATGAAGTCGATGTGGTCATTCCCCTTCAGCTGTCCAATGTGCCTTCATTGCCCGTGCGTAGCTGTATCGGTAATATCAAAGCGTTTGTACAAGTAACTGCAAATAATCTCATGCCACACTCAACTGCTGAGGTGTAGCCTCTCCCGGTGCTCCTTTGTAAAATTCTCCATTCAGGGAGAAGCCAGGAGTGTTTGTTGAGCTCAAAACCTGTTAACGCGTAAGTTTCATCGAGCACCACACAGGCAGTGTGACTTACCACTTCAGACACCTCCTTGACAATCTGATCACTCAAGATGGTGGCATCCTTCTTGACAGCATTGACATATGCTTTGACGTTGTCCCTCAACTGCTCTGGTGTGAAGCTGAGTCTCCCGACAGCCATCCGAACCACACCTGCTCGCTCTCTATACATGCTACCACCCAGCATGTTTCTCACCGCCGGGCCTGGCTTGTCCACCACAGTGCCTAATTTGAGACTCGGCATCAGACCTCGAGGACCCAGTATTCGTGGCAGACCCTCCTTGTTTATCTTCGGTAGAGATGACGGTACAGCTAGGCATCTGTCAAAATCGATTTTCCCGTCTTTCACTCGTTGGAATATTTCTTCTTCTCCAACATAAGCTGCGCCCGCCTCTCGTGCCTGTATTGCAGCTGGAGAATCTGGAGGGCATATCACTGCCACTTTGATATCTTGTTTAACCGCATGAGGCAACTTGATCTGATTTCGAATGATAGGACCATCCTTCTTCGTTCGCATCTTGATGTGTACGTCGTATTTAGGGGTGTCAGGATCTCGCGTGACTTCCATTGCTTGAATAAACCTGGACATGGTTGTTAGTTTTTGCTCAACAGCTGTGCACGCTGCCGACGCACCGCATGGCTTCACATAAAGTAAATTGCTGCATCTCCCTTAGGTCATATTGCTTGAACATCTGATGCTTCTTCTTTCTCTTCTTGGCCTTCGCCACCGCCTGCTTGTCCTTCGCTGAGCGAGGCGCAAACAGGACGGGTATGGAAGAGAACGTGCGGGCCGGGACTCGAGGCAAGGACGTAAATGAGGCAAGGAAGGAGGACGTCGTCGAGCGACAGAAGCTTCTGGTCGCCGCCGAGAGACCACGAGAGACCTCCATGTTTTCTGAGCAGATGGACTGCACGGGTGATTTCAGATCCCGGCAAGGCCCAAAGTCCGCAGTCGAGAAGCTCAAAAACGCGCGAGGCTGAACTTGGCAAATTTGCAGAAGTCGGCAAGGCTGGCGTGAGGCTGCGGTCGATCATTTCACGTGGCGCTCTTCTAAACGGTGCTGCTTTAAACCTCCGCCACACCTTGCTCTCATCTGGACAGTGCTCGATTCTCCTCTACTCATCCTGTCATCACCTTGTCGGTCTTATTTGTTTTCTGGTTCTCTTAATGAGGCTTTATATTGTGATTGGATTTCCATAGTCTCTGACATAATACGTATATCCTCCACCCACCTGTTTTGGCCTTCATATGCCAGGAAACCATGACTTAGGATGATAGCACGGCATTATCTTTCCACATACAAAGAAGCTAAGCAGCCCATCAAACGCATACAAGATCTTCAACTGTGGCACTAGGGTGAAAACGGCCATACCTTCGGGAATGTTAGTTCTGGTTGAGGAAGACGGATTTGCTCTGGGCAGCACCACTCACATCGAGGAATGCATCATCTTCCTTCAGCGCAACGACAATATTCTCATGCTGTCCTTTCCCAAAGCCTGCCATCCATACCGCTTCTGCTTTCTTTCCCACAGCTCCAACCAATGTCGCACTTTCCAAGTGCCAAAGCTTAACTGTACCGTCACTACTCCCACTGAGGACGTACCCGTTTTCCGCTTCCAATGAAACAACACCGAATTCATGCGCTTGATGGATGATGTGCAGCAAACCGTAGTCTTCCCTTGACCAAACCACAATCCTTCCGTCAGCACCAGAAGTCACGAGCAGGTTGTCATGAATCTGGACATGAGTAACCAGTGAGGTGTGCCCTTTCATAACGAACACACATGTCTCTGTAGTCGTATCCCATACACGCACATCTTGATCTGCACTGCCTGTGAATATTCGTTGGCCGTCGAAGGCTATGGAGCATATTGCTGCAGAATGTCCCGTCAGAGTTGCAAGTCGGCGATGCTGAGGGAGACTCCAAACGAGGCATGTGCCGTCCCCGTCCCCAGAAATTGCAAGTTCTTCTGTAAACACCAGAGCTCTGATAGTGGACGTATGACCGGAAAATGTGGTTTTGCAGGCACCAGATCCAAGGTCCCATATCTTTAAGGTCGTGTCACTGGATGCAGAGATCGCAGTTCCGGAGTCAACGAAACCGAGGCAGCGTACTGTCTTCGTGTGCCCAGTCATGCTCCTTTCAAGCCGCCTGTGATCAAACGAAGCCCAGTAAGTTGAGCACAAGGTGTCACGGACTTCACACGCACCCGGTATCCAAATCCCAACACCTGATGTCTCCTCCAATCTCACCACTGAGCAGCATGTCATCTTGCAAGGCCAATGACCAAGTATTTTTGTCATGACCTTGCAAGACCCCTCTTGGTTCGCCTGTAGCAGAGAACACGCGAATAGTCGCGTCATCCAGGCTGACTATTATGTGTGTTGGGGATAGGCAAACCTTTATCACCACAGCGGTCCTGGAGAGCTTGTTTCGTGTAGGAGCGTGAGATGTATCGGCCAAAGGTTTGTCCATAGTGAGAGAGTAGGGAAAGAACCGTTGGCTGGTGGTATTCAGATTGTCTGTGGTCAAGGAAAGTCGATATGAAGGCTGATACTCGATATGCTCTACTTAACATGTAGCCATGATGGATGATACGAAGGTCACTAATACTGCCTGCTGCCTAGAAAGACGGGGAATACACAGTCAAACACTGCGCCATGCGGTGTCCCAGTCATCCTTAGCCGAAATAATGTCAAGCTGATCACTGAGTCTTTGCGATTGATGAGTGGTAGCCGGGGATGAGGCCAGGGTGGACAGGATGGATAGGGCGGCATCACCAGCTGTCCCCAAACGACGTGAGGCTGCGGTCGATCATTTCCCCGCGAATGGCAAGGCTTTCAATGTGCGGCAGAAGTTTCGAGCCTTCACACATGACTCAGGAATAAAACGACTTGCTCTCATTTCTCTACCTCTGCAGTTACTTGTCCTTGTTCCAACATATCTCTCCCCATCATGGCGGACAAGAACGCCCCAAAAGCCAAAAAGGCTCCCAAAGTGAAGCAGATGGACTTGCCAAACGCTGCTGCCGGTGTGGTTACCAGATTTCCTCCAGAGCCTTCAGGATACCTTCACATTGGCCACTCGAAAGCTGCCCTTCTCAATGACTTCTTTGCGCATATTCAATACCCTGGCGGAAAACTGATCCTACGATTCGACGACACGAACACCGAGAAAGAAAATGCCGAGTTTCAAGACGCAATCCGCGAGGACGTTGCCCTGCTGGGTATTCAACCTGACACGATCTCCTACACGAGCGACTACTTTGACCATATCGACGAGCAATGCGTTAAGATCCTAAAAGCGGGGAAAGCATACGCAGATGACACACCAGGAGACGTTATGAGTACGATGAGAATGGCACGTGAGCCTAGTGTTCGAAGAGACGAAAGTATTGAAGACAACCTTGCAAGATACGAAGAGATGAAGAAGGGTACTGATGAAGGCCGACGATGGTGTATCCGAGCCAAGATCTCACACGCAAACAACAATGCTTCTCTGCGGGATCCTGTCATCTACCGCTGCCCCAAAAACCAGACTCCTCATCACCGAACCGGCGACAAATACAAGGCCTACCCAACATACCAATTCGCCTGTCCGGTCGTCGACGCTCTCGAAGGTGTGACCCATGCTTTGAGAACGACGGAGTACAATGACCAAGATGCTCAGTACAAATGGATCCTGAAAGCATTGGAGTTGAGACCTGTTTACATCTGGACGTTCTCGAAAATCCAATTTGTACGCACTTTGATGTCCAAGCGCAAGTTGACCAAGCTTGTCAATGCTGGTACTGTGTCGGGCTGGGATGACCCACGTATGCCTACTGTGAGAGGCATCAGACGGCGTGGCATGACAGTCGAGGGACTTCGAGATTTTATGGTCAGTCAAGGACCAAGCAAGAACGTCGTCAACATGGATTGGCACACTATCTGGACCATGAACAAGAAAGTAATTGATCTTCAAGCCGGTCGATATACTGCAATCGACAAGAATTACCTGGTCTGCAAGACCAAGGGTTTTGACAAGGAGCCCTACGCTGAGACGAAGCCAAAGCACGCCAAATACGATTTAGGAGAGAAGAAAGTCTGGTTCAGCGAGAAGATCATGATCGAGCAGGAGGATGCAAGGACGTTCGCCGAGGGTGAGGAGATCACACTCATGAATTGGGGTAACGCCTTTGTTCGGAACATTCAGTACGAGAAGACTAGCGATAAGGCTGATATTGCCGACGGTGTCAATGCCCTGGGCAATGTTGCTTCGATGGAGCTCGAGCTACATCTGGAAGGCGACTTCAAAACCACCAAGAAGAAGGTCACCTGGCTATCCAAGGACCAAAATTTGTGTCCTGTTGAGCTGGTAGAGTTTGACCATTTATTAACCAAGGACAAACTGACCGAGGAGGAGGAGGCTCATTGGGAGGATTTTCTGGCACCAAAAACCGAGTTCAAGTCCTACGCGGAAGCTGACTGCAATGTCTGGGATGTCAAGGTTGATGATTTCCTCCAGTTTGACCGTAAGGGATACTTCAGATGTGACAAGACTGCGACAAAAGACTCACCGGGAGTTTTCTTCAAGATCCCAACAGGAAAAGAATAGATGCTCGAACATGCACAAAAAGAATCTTCGCCTCTGGATTCGATACGGCATTCTATGGCGTGCCAGAGGAGTCGAATGAGGTACACCAGGAAAGATAAAACGGAACATGGCTTTACAGAAGAGTTTATGCCGGCCAGGCCAAGAGATAGACGAGTGAGAGAGAGCTTTCTGGCTACGACTTGTGCTTTGAGCACCAATAAAAAGGCTTGACGGACAACCCCTTTCCCTGTGCGGATTTCGCCGCCGATACTTTCTCTGATGCCATTGATATGCCGTTCTCTTCATAACCACATACCAGATGCTGTCCAGGCTGGACCAGGACGTTGAGTGACGGTAAGACGACTGCTTACCTAGAAGGGTCGATATCCCAGGCGAATTCACTACCTTCGCACCAGTATCTGACGAAGAGCGCTTCGCAGCTCTTAGCTCCGAGATCCCACGAGCAATATATCTTTTATATATCCCGCTGGCACGGGCGAGAGTGCATGTTGATCGACTAAAATGGGCGACATAGGTGAAAGCATGGATTTTGACTTGGTCATAAAGAATGCCACCATCGTATAGTCCCGGATTGTACCCCTATCTATACCACCGGCTAATCGGGGCACGCACAGGTTACAGCCACCGAGGTCCTCCAACCAGGTCTCTCAATCGGCATTAAGGACGGCATTATCGTCGCTATCGCTCTCTTTCTTCCCACTGGACGAGCGACCGGAATTATCGATGCAGAAGGAGCTTATGTGACTCCTGGCGGTGTCGACTCACACGTGCACTTACACCAAGACAATGCTCCTACTGGTGACAAATGGCTCACAGGATCCCGCTCCGCGCTGGCTGGCGGAAACACGACGATCCTCGCGTTTGCATCGCAACGAAGGACAGACGAGTCATTGTTCCCTGTGGTGGAAGAGTACCACAACCGCGCCGACGGCCAAAGCTACGTCGACTATGGCTTCCATTTGATCCTAACGAAGCCTACGGAGAAGATCCTCCAGAACGAGCTGAAAGCCATGGTCGACCAGGAAGGCATCACGAGTGTAAAGCTCTATATGACATATCCGGCCATGAAACTCGGCGACGGTCATATGCTTGAGATCATGATGCAAGCGAGAGAACTCGGCGTGACGACCATGATCCACGCCGAAAATAGCGATATGATAGATATGTATGGGGCCTTTCCCTCTCGTTTCGCCCTCAAACACCCTTTCCATGGCCGTCCACTCTGTCCACAATACTAACGAGATGGTTGTAAAGGATAACAACCCGCCTGCTCCGTGCATCCCGCACGTTGCCCAAATACCACGCCATCGCCCGCCCTCAGATCGCCGAATCCGAAGCCACCCACCGCGCCATCTCCCTGTCCACACTCACCTCTACACCCATCCTGATAGTCCACATGTCCTCCCCCGTTGCACTATCGCACGCACGCAAAGCTCAGTCAAAGGCACTCCTGCCCGTCCACGCTGAGACTTGTCCACATTATATGTACCTCCTCTCATCTGCTTTGGCCGCAACATCTATACCCGCAAGCCTGACCACCCATTCCCACTCCGACTCCCACGACGACGATCAGCACGTCCATGACGAGTGGGCCGGTGCAAGACACGTCTGCGCCCCGCCTCTGCGGCACTCTGAGGCCGATCTCCAATCCGTTTGGGACGCCGTGAACAACGGGACCATCACCGTAATCTCATCCGATCACGCGCCGACATTGTACAACTCCCCTGGCGGGAAACGCAAACCCCTCGTCGACGCCGCGGCGTCAAAGACTGTCCCAACATTCGCGCAGATCCCCAACGGTCTACCGGGCATTGAGACACGACTTCCCATCCTCTTCAGCACGGCAACGTATCCAAATGCCCCGGCGGGCCGAAAACTCTCGCTCCCGCGCTTCGTCGAGCTGACCTCGACAAACCCCGCGCGCATGTACGGCCTGGGTGGGCGCAAGGGCAGCATAGCGCCGGGCTTCGACGCCGACCTTGTGATCTGGTATCCTGCCGGGCACAAGGATATTGAGGCTGGTCTGACCATCACGAACGATATACTGCATCACAGTATAGACTATACGCCGTTCGAGGGATTTAGAGTGAATAACTGGCCCCGGTACACTATCCTGAGAGGCGAGGTCAAGTGGGATCGCGACGTCGAGGTACGTGATGGTCATGGGAAGGGAGTGCTCGGACAGCCGAGTGATGGGAAGTACCTCAAGAGGGGAAAGGGCGAGGTGTTGGTGGGACGATTGGGACAGACGCCGCCGGGCATGAAGGGGGGAGAGAGAGACGATTGGATTGTGTATACGCATGAGTAGTATGGATGAGATGAGACCTGTATATGCGCTCTCGGCTCTCGTATATTCGCATAGCGAGTCCCTGTTCCTGGGTGAACTGGCTCAGGATAACGAAGAAATGACACCATCAGCCTTGCCAGAGCGTTCTATGCAGGCGCAGGGAGAAGGGCTTTCACCATCATTCCGCGTATACATTATTTTCCCCAGCGCCTTCATCTAGATGTCTCTAGCTCGCTTGTTGAAGCAACTTAGATGGATGTATGGAGAAATCCGAAACGGGCCAGGATAGTTGAGAGCAGAGCGTCATATTATATGAGACTCCTTTAGTTGGAGGGCTCGTCCTTTCCCATCCGATTCTTCCCCATTGGGTGCCCATCAGATATCTGCGCCTGGAGCGAAGATGAAGAAGTTTGCAGGGATTCCTTCTGCAGACCTTCCGGACTTGAAAAGAACGACGACAACTTTCGGCACCGATTCCTTCAGAAAAACCCGTGACCCGCCAAACCAGAGTCCAGATCGGAGGAGGCAAGTCCCACATCTTCCCTGTACGGGACCCCCTATACGTGTATGCCCATAGCTCCGAACACATGACGATAACACTTGTATCGTCCACCGCAAACGCCCTGCAATGCTCGCTAAATCTCAATGACAAGTTGTAGCCCATATCGGTGTTTGGCACATTGCACTTCCACCTCTCGCCGCCGGTGTAAATTGTTTTCCAAAAATGCCGTATTGCCGACAGACAGTTCCACAGCATCTCCGTTGGTGACTCTTAGTCGCTCTCCGGCATCCGCATGTAAGCATCAATGGCCGTTGAGAAGGCCGCGAAACCTCCGCAGCCCAACAGCGCAGCCTGAGGCCCGGCCTTGTAGGCGAGACCTGCTCCCGTTATGCATCCTGCCAAAGCAGAGTTCTTGAGGTCCGATTTGGCTCTGAAGCCTTCGATTGTGCATTCAACGCCGGAGTAGACACCTCCTATCAGGGCGAAGTTTTTCGCTGACGACCATGACTTGGCCCCCATATCTTTCAGGCCACGCTTTAGTTGTTCTCGTACTGGTAATGATGTGATTTGTTGACCTTGGGGAGACAGAGGAGTGTCGTATGCCATCTGCAAGCAAGCAACGCAATCAGCGGGTCACTCTCCAAACTTGAATTGCCAAAAAAACACATCAAACGCCCTTCTGAAACCGGGTCAACTCACACTTGACATGAAAAGTCCAAAAGCGCCTCCCAGCACGCCGCCCATAGCACCGGCCATTATGGACTTGGCCAGACACGACTCCATTGCCCCAGACATCATCTTCACCATCTTCTGCTCCTGCTCATTCATTCCTGCAGTGCTGCCTGCGCTACCCGCGCCCGGCCCACCATACATCCCAGGGAAAGACATCGTGATCGAGCGACAGGATATACTGAGGGGAGCACCGGCCGTTGAGAGGAAGGAACGACGTCGCCGACGTCAACAGTGGGATGAGGCGAGAAAATTGTTGCGACGGCGAAGAGATATCGGAAGAGAAATCAACGAGGCACTTTGCGGACCAATGGACGTCTCCGATTGGCGGAAAGGGAGAAAATCGTTCACGTGCCTTCAGCCTCGTCACCACAAGGCTGAGCAATTGCAGAATGCCGGTATTACTCGCCTCGTCGCGAAGGAAAACCCATTTCCCAAATGCGGTTTAAGCCTAGGGGGTGAGCGGAGGCTGCGTTAATCTGAGCTCCAACTGAGTCATTGGCTGAGTCTTACTGAGCATCTCCTGAGCAACCCCCTGAGCAGCACATTAAACAGTTTTCTAATTTACACATTAAGGGGAGACCTAATGAAGCCACCGGTCGCCGTTGGGCACGATTAACTTTTGTTTGATCTTACTCTAGCATATATCAGCTTCAAGGCCAAGACATACGACCGTGCTTCTATGCTCAGTCGGGTACAAACGATGTTGAGCGGTGGTTGTGCTCAACCAAGACATCAACAACCTTCAGCGCCTGGTTGCAGCGCTTTTCGTTCTCGTGTACACCGTATGTACTCCGTAGCCCAAAATGAGCTAAGCATCATGTTTCGGCCCCCATTATGCCCTTGCAACTTCTGTACCAGTATGCAACAACATCCAGCCACAGCCTCCTAGCGTGCTGCACGCAGCTTGAAAGGGACACCAATCCATGGCGCGAACAAGGTTGTCTCTCTCGACTTCGATAACATGTTCGAATCTCTCCCTTTAAACCGTTGTAGTTTGCCAAACTTCTATAAGCGCTACTCTTCAGTCGACCTCCTCCCTCGAAAGCTTTCCACCGCTGCTCTGGAATGCTTGGCTGAACAGCATTTCTAGTCTACGATGTCGGCTTCATTTGGATCTGAAGACAACCCTTCAACGGAGAGGGAGGCTAAACAGATTATTCGACGCATTGCATCTTTGCGTGGAAATATTGACACCGAAGACGAGATTGAAATATCTAAAACAAAGCCCGAATGGCAAGCCCAATACCGAGCGGAGAAAGCTGATGCTCGAGCTGATTACGCGCGGTTTACAAAGTTGTCAGTTGATTCAAATTGCAACATCCATCCCGCGTCTTGCTGATTTCGAACCTTCACAGCGTTTCTCAAGAGGTGTTCTCTTCACCATTCAGGTTCATTCTCGAAATTTTACAGAATGCAGATGACGCAGAGTACTCTCCTGAAACTATCCCGTGTCTGACGTTCCGAGTTGGACCACAAGAGCTTCTCATTGAGTCCAACCAAGAGGATTTCACGGTCGCGAACGTTAAGGCGATATGTGCAACGAACGAAAGTTCAAAGACCGGTAATGATGGGACGACTGGAGAAAAGGGAACTGGTTTCAAGTCGGTCTTTGGCATAGCGACCGTGGTTCACATTCAATCTGGCTTTTGGTCATTTCGATTCGAGCATCGACGAGGCCAGAATGGAATAGGAATGGTCACTCCTCTCTGGACTGATCCAGAGCTTCTACCACACAACGTTCGCACGAGATTCAGGCTTCAGTACCACCATCAGCCCAAGCAGAATTTTCTAGAAGACCTTGCGGAAGAGTTCGAGAAGATCCCAGATTCTCTTCTGTTTGCTACGAGACAGGTCACAATGCTGAAAATTGTGTTTGAGGGCGTTGCAGGCCGCCAGTACTCTGTGCTGTTTGAACGACAAGGCAGTGTCGAGGAAGGTGAATTCCGCATTACCAGATGCACCTTTAAGCAAGGAGAACAGTCCGAGCCGGTGACTCAGGAGGCCATTTTCAAAGTGCACCAAGCGACGATATTCAACCTCCCGCCCCGGACTGTTGAAGCCTTGCCAGCAGGCGAGGTACGCAATGATAATGAATCGGAGATCATACTAGGATTTCAAGTCGATGATGACAACAATCCGATCGTGCCAGAGCTTGGGCAGTACACGTTCGCATTTCTGCCTATTGAACGTTTAGCTTATATGCCAGTAAGCATGCACTGTCACTTGTCATGCCGAAAAGCTCCGCTGACCTTGGCAGTTCCTCGTGCAAGGTAATTTCATTCTTGACGCAACCCGACAGAAGATCGTGAAAGGGAAGGATTGGAACACTGCGTTGCTGCATGGTATCGTGCAGACTTTTTGCGAGGCGGTCGAAGATTGTGTCGAAACCAATGATGTCGAACCGGATGATGTCGAACCCGATGATGTCGAACCCGATGATCCTCTATACTTTGGGTGGGTGCTTTTTTTGCCCCTGACTCCCAGTGACCAATTCTGGGAGCCTCTCCCAACGTTACTCAAGGACCTAATACTGGAAAAACGACTGTTTGTATCTGCTCAAGCAACTCTCAAGCTGCTGTCCGACCTTAGAAATCTTCCAGCAAGCTTTTTCCATGAAGAAGAGCCACTCCTCCGCGATACTCCAGAAGACGTATTTCTCTCGGGAGGGTACGAGCCGGAACATATCAGCATTCTGAAGGCTATAGGCCTACTGGATCTGTCGGATGAAGAAATGCTCGAGCGAGTAGAGTGGGACCTCCGCGATAAGAAATGCTCCTCACTCTACAACACAGACCTCGGGGACAATTGGCACACTTCCTTCATGATGCTGATCGAGGAGCTTTGGCGTGATTCGAACTGTGACCGAAAGAGACTCCAGCGTCTAAAGATAATCCCTCTAAGCAATGACAAGTGGAGATCTCTGGAATCCAGCAGCTCTATCTTCAATCCTTTCGCAGTTCAGGAAGACTCGGTACAGATCCAGATTCCCAAAAATTTGCGTCTGAAACTATTGCATCCTAAGGCGTACTGGGATGCTGAGCGGCGAAGCGCGTACGCGTGTTTTGGTATATCTGATTGCAAGCCGGAGCTTCTGGTTCAAAAAGTTCTGGACTCTCATTTGGATGAATTTGAAGGCGATCTGGAAGACGCCGTAGCGCATTTCGAGATCCTTTTCTGGTATCAGGGCCTCCAACCTAACCTCAGAACGTCGTCAAAGCAACGTCTGGAACTTTGGGCGTTCGACGAGAGAGAGCGCTCTAAAGAGTCTCACATGCTGTTCTTTCCTTCAGAGGAAAAATATGGCGCAAGCCAACTATTGTCATGTACGGACCATGAAGAACTGGGAGAGTATGGCTTCATCCATGAACGCTATATGAAGTCTCGGATGAATCAACATGTGCGAAAAGGAAATTCCTGGCTGAATTGGCTCTCAAACTGTGCTGGAGTCCGCTGGTTTCCTGCTCTGGTGGTCGACGGCCCTTCTTCAAAGGACCTTAACCCTGTCTTCGAGCTTGTGGCAAGAGACAACCCCAGCATGCTAGTCCCGGCGTTGCAAAGACATTGGTCCTCCTATCGAGATGAGGATTGGAGAGCAGTCGTACAGAACCTAGAGGAACTCGAAGCTTTGTGCTGTGGTTGCGTGACCAAGCCTCTCAAAGACACAGTACTACCGACGCAAAACATTCTAACCATGTGTCAGGAGCTGAATCTTGAGGGGGAAATTTCAATCTTGGAGCTACCCGATAGCCCTATGAATGACGCTGATGATTTGTGGGACTTTCTGCACAACTTCGGTGTCGTCTGCCAGGTGAATCTGAAGTTTTATCTCGCTGCTTTGCAGGCTGTGCGCACGCTTGATGCACAGGCAAACGACATCCAGGGGACGTATTCGAAGATATGTAAAGGTATCTCTGACATTGCAGGCGACAACGATATGGAATTCTTACAGGTATGTCGATTACCCCCACGACGGCCATGCTCTCATATCCTCCTAGGAAAGTTTTGAATCAAACCCGAGTATCTTGGTGCCGGGCATATCGCAAGACGACCCGCCTGCTTGGTGTACTCTTAATGATTGTGTTTGGGATGGTCCATCAGGATTACAATCTAAAAGAGTGCTGAAACATAAGTACGGTCCGTCGAGAGAGATGCACAGACTATTTGTGGATCTCCTTAACATGAAAAATGCCACTTATGAAGATATCACTGCGGAGTTATGGGATCTATGTGAACGCGATGACGTTGCAAGCATTGCAGCCGAGCAAATACTTCGAACATTTACCGAATTCTATGCCAGTTTGTCTGAACTGATCAAACAGGAACAGGATGAGAGCAGCAGCATTCAGTATATTCGGTAGGATAGTCGGCGAACCCTCCAAAGTATGAAACTAATGGAATAAAGGGAGAACTTTGAGGAAGGGTCGCTTATCTACATTCCCGAAAACTCTACGGAGCAAAGGGGGTGGCGTTCAGTGGAGGAATGCGTGTGGAGCGCAGAATCCTCACTTCCCGAACGAACCGCTCTCGCCAGTGTATACCCGGATCTGGAAGAATTTTTTGTGGATATCATTGGCATCCCTCTCCTGACGCTTGAACTGCTTGTCTCTGAATTGATCAAGGCCGCTGGTTGTGAAGAGAAGGATGCGACAACAATCAAAGGATTGATGAAGGATGTCGGACATGCTCTTGCTGCCAACGAGGACGCTGAGCTTCCCAAAGAGGATCTCCAGAATCTGAAAAAGAGTCGATTCCTCCCCATCCGTCTCCCCGACCAAGATGACTGGAAATTCAAGAAGTCCACGGAGGAAATTTTCATCAATGATCACCCCAGATATGGCCATATCTTCCGGAAGAAGGTCGACATGCTCGACTTTTCCTGCGCGGAGCTTCCTTCGCTACATCATCTCTTCGCCCGTTTGAACATGCAGCGTCGGTACCTTTCAGCCCATGTGCAGGTCGAAACCGAAGTTGGAGGGGGGACTCCCAACGAAGTACTTTCTGCTCATATTAAACGGCGTGCCTACGCATTTTCATGGTATGCCTGCCACACGCCACTAGCGCTCATTGCATGGCGTGCAGCCTGGGACTAACATGAGACAGTTGCGCTATCTACTACCACAGTCCGAAATATGCTAATAAAGCCACCCATGTTCATGAACTCCTGATGGAAGCACAAGTCTTGTTGTGCCAAGAGATCAGCACCAAACTCAGTATTTTCTGGGGCGGGGAGCTAGTCGAGGAAGAGAGCGAGAGAGCGGTGGTCAAGGTCGACACTACGAATGGCCTCGAAATCTATGTTCCTCGAAATGAAGAAGACCTGTTCTCGTGCTATTACACTGAGCTTCCGGCCATGCTCATGGAAGTTTTGGGGATCTCTAAAACTAATGTCCCCCAAGCTGAAAAGTTGATTTACCGAATCCTCAATGATGAGACCAAATCACCTGAGAATATCATGGGAGATGAAGATATCCCTAATTACGAGTGGGTGGAACGTCGCGACGTGACCGAGCATCTCAGCATCCGACGTCCGGGATGGGCCAACGAAGAACTTCAGCATGCCACAGCACAGACAAACGGAGAAGCCCCGCATGAAGACGACAGGGCGCTGGAGATGGGCGGTTCTCCTGTCGCTCCAGTCTTCGTCAACATATACCAAGAAGTGGCCGCTAGAGAGCAGTACAGGATTGCCTTGCAGCTTGTTATACAGCAAGCCCGAGGCGCGTGGTCGCTTGCGAGTTTACACCAAGAGATTGACCAGATCGACACTTTGGAAACAGGATCGACTCTGGGTTCTCGTGGCCATGGTAGTCCTTGGGTTACAGACAACAAAGCGTGGATTGGTGCCGCCGGAGAGCTTTACGTAAGTTGTACGGCTTGCCGCTAGGCAAAGACTTTGTTTTCGAGAAGCGTTCCTGCTGACATGAGATGGCCCACCAGATTTTCGAGCGCCTCCGTGGTCTCGACATCTCTGACTTCACGGACGATAATTGGAAAAGTCGAATCCGTCATCACGTCCGTATTTTGGACGAGTACAGGGAATTGCCAGATTGGCACGATCGAGAGATCGCTGACATCATGTGCTCGGACTCCAGCGGCGCCATCGCCAAATTTTTGATCGACAACACATCTCACAATTACCCCGGGTGGCTGTCTCGCGTCTCATCCAGTTCGCAGCTGGTCAATTACCTCATTGAGGTCAAGGCCACTCCCGAGCGATGCGGTACTCCCTTTTACGTGAGCTCGCACCAGTATGGCCTCATGCGGAAACATGCAAGCACAGGAAGCAGACCTCCGTCCGTAGTGACCATCTACGCGCTCGTCCGGGTTTACAACGTGTTCAGCGACAACATCGGCGTGCAGGTCTATATCGACCCCTGGCATCTCAGAGACTCTATCTTAGAATTCAAGGCAGACGAGTACATAGTGAGAGACACCGGAGGCAGATAAAGATAACACAATCTTCCCCTTTCCTCTCCCTTCCCCGACTCTTATGACGGGTGATGACCGGAGGCTTTGGGAATAGAGGGGAGCCGAGAAATGAACTTTTGGGAATATAGCTCGAGAAGCACAATCCTGGCTGTACGAAATCCCTGAGCTACCTTGTCTATCGTTATCGGACTGGATATCTGTGGTCATTTGGAACACCTCAGCAGTACACCGGGGAAGATTCGCCGTGTCCGTATTTAATCCAGGTGGATTAAACACCAATTCTCCGATATCGTCCCGGCGTATGTATCGCCTGATCTATACTTGGCGCTCCTGAGAGCAGCGGCATGCCAAATCCCTGAGATGTCCGTATCCTGCTCTGACGCACTTACGCACTCTGACCTTTTCAACCCAGAGCGGCGCTTTCATGCCAGCTTCGTGCCACCGTATGGTGCGTTTCTGTAGATTCTATGCTAACCGTCCGGTTCCCTGGTCCACCCTTCCCCAAATTGCATCTGCTATCGAGAGAAATCGTGGGGACAATGTGATGGGTATGCGGTTGCGAACAGCTATCTCCAAGCCGCCTCTTGTTGGATCTTGAAGTTGGTGGTGCAGACTGTAGACAGTATCTTAGATCCTGCTCCTTGGTGGTCGCAGATTTCGGCTAGTGGGAGAGCTGAAGACGCAATGCCGTGGTGCTTGATAGTCCTCCTAGTGTCGCAACAGCAAGTCATCGATAGGAAGTGTTTGTATTTGCTTTGAGTACTGCATCCGCTCATTTGACTTTGCCCATTATCGTCTCAGCTGACCTTTCGGTGTAAGTTGACGCAGCTGCTTGCTTGACAGCCGTGATCATGCTCCGATCCCAGTCATCTCGAGTCTTCAATGCCGCTTCGACCCAACTCAATTGTAGGTCCCAGAACTCTCGTTTGAACTGTGAGAAGATTCCCACTACCTCAACCTTATCCGCCTCCAGGAGCTGGACAGTGAAATTCACTGCTTTCCATTTGGGCTTGATGGTATCATTGAACCCGTCGGGGTATTTTTCAAAGAACGCAAATGCGGCGAGCACATCGTCCCTGAACTTCGCAGGGAACGGCTCTCCGCGCCTGAATTTGACTCCCTTATTCGTCCGGATCGACGTCAGGTAATTTACCAACAAAGCATCAGAAAGTTCCTCAATCAAGATATCCAGGAGCGATGGGTGGAGCATCGAGCCATAATCGCCAATGTAATCGTCAAACGTAGTGGTAATTCGCTGCATTGCGGTCTGCTCGTACCATTTTCCTGGTACAAACAACTCCGTCAGGATGCTGCGGAAGTCGACTCGGAAGATCAATTCAGTGAAGCGAGACAAGCAGTGTGTCGCCAGATCGACATACCCATCTCGTAAGGAGTCTAGCTCACTAGCTCCGTTGGTCGACATGAATTTAGCAGATGGCGGAGTGGGCAATTTGGTAAAATCCTCTCTGAAGCGAGTCAGGTAGCCCTTTTGAGCAGTCGGATCGTCCAAGACATCGCCGGCAGCGTCGTCCACGCATGCAATCTGGTCGTTGGCAATAGCAAGGAGCCAATCTTGCAGCGGTTGCAGAGTCTCAAGTTGCTCTGAAGTGGGATTCTTGTATCTTTCCACCTCTTCATCGACGAGCTTCTCCCACTGTTGCTGCCTCGATTTCAGAGCACTGAACATGGCGCTCATAACGCCCTCAACCACATCTTCGCGTTCTGAGTCACCCGCTGCAACGGCCTGTTCATGCAACATGCGCCACATATCTGGCAGGGTCTTGGTTCTAAAGTGGCCGTCTGGATCTTGCTCAATGGCTTCTGATGATCTGGCCTTGAAGTTCTTCATATCCGTGACGTACATCCTGTCAATCCATGAATTGAGCGCTTTGGTGATGATGTTTCTGTAGTCACGAATGAGATCTCCTTCGCGGGAATCCAAAACATGCGGCTTCAATTGCGCTTGCGAGAGACCCAATTTGCTCATCTTTTGGTAGTACACGTCGATGTAGTGGACGATACCAAGCATCTGTGGAGGGCGCAGGTCTTCAGCGTCGACGTATGAGATAAGGAAATCGTGCATCTGCTTGTGATAGATATTGACATAGGTCTCGTAAATCTTCCACTTTCTGGGAAAGAGACTTTGCATTCCTTGCTTGCAGACGAAAAGATCGTTGAAGAACCATTTGGTGGCCTTGTCGAGCCGAGATGGATCTTCCTGGAAACTTTGCCTTGTCTCCTCGAATTGGTTTTGAGCATGGAATTCGATGGCTTGGGTAAATTTCTCTTTATAGCCACGAATTGTCTTGGGTCCAATGGTGAATGAAGTGAATTTGCTCACTAGATCTTGGTGATCCTTCTGCGCGTCCTGCAATGCTCGTACGCGGTCATCATTCTTTTCTTCTGAAGCAATTACAATAGCAAGTCGAACGATAAGTCCACGATTGTCCTGTTGGACTAGCTCGATGAGCTTCATGCAGATTCGTCCGATATGATCATCGAACATGAATATGACATCGTCAAGCTGTTGAAACCAATCGAGCAATGTCTGTTCCAGGCTGGAGTCCTTGCCTCGCCGAATTTGGTCCAACGCTTCATCACGGAAATCACGTAGTCGAGTCAAGCGCATATGCGCTTCCAGGAGATTGGGCTGGTTCTCCGGGTCAATTTCGTCCTCTTCTAAAAGTCTTTGCACTACAGAACAATCTCTCTCGAAGGTGTCAAGACCAGCTTGCATGGCTCGCGTTGCCTCGAAGTTTCGATGTACTCTGGCCAGGTAGTCCAATTGAGGAAAGTTCTTACGGATGGCTTGCGCTTGTTCGCAAAGGTCGTGGATGCTCTTCATCTCCTCTTTGATCTGTCCGACGAGTTTCTGTCCTTCAGCAAGTGTAGACATGCCATTTTGTGTAGAATCCAGATGATCTTTCAGTCCTTCACGCAGTCTAGCGTCCACATCCCCCTTCTTGCGGTTTATCTCCGCTTTGAGGCTGGTGATCTTTTCTAGGTCCTCGGGCGTGCGTAGGGTATCATGAAGTCGTGGCAAGCCCGCAGCGCCATTGGTGCTGGCTCTCACGGCCATCGTTGCGGTGGGCGTAGGGTGTTGAACACTCGCAGGCGAAGTCAAGCGCATCTACACGGAGCTCACGTGCAAGCCCCATCTCGCCAGGCTCCCCGAGCCCCCGCAAGAGTGCCAAGAGCGCTTATCCATGTAGCATTTTACACGGTGCATCTCGGCACCTACTTCCAGACTCGAGAAGAACGGGGTACAATTCAATGCTTAATATACCCTAGAATTTCCACCACCAGGGGAGACTGCCTCATGCTTCTATGTCCTACGCTGGATATCTCCTACAATGGCGGCACCGTCCCCGATGTGGCCTTCAAAATCGGTGCTGGTTGCGATGTCCTTACTAGCCTGAAAGTCGTCCAGCATGTCCTTCACAGCAATATCGGACAGCTTGATGGCATCTCTACCGAAGAGGAACCTTGATTGATTCCTCTTGAGCCCTTGAGCTCGACCAGTGCCATCCACTATTTCCACAAGGCGATCGCCAAATTTCTTTGGGTTGCCTGGAAAGTTTGTGTCGGGATCCTGTGCGTACCGCGTGAACGTACCAAGAAGCTGACCAACTGATGAGCTCAAGTACGCATCCGAAAAGCCATTCGAGGCTTGCTTCGAGTTTGCGAGAACGTCCGTCTTATAAAGGCCTGCATTTATCGTGATGGTACGTATGTTGAACGAGGCTAATTCGTGGCCCAACACCGCCTGAAGCATATCATGTGCTGCCTTCGGGCAACAATAAAGTGCCCCTGACACGATGGGATAAATCGCGTGAATCGAGGATATCGCCACAATTGTTCCCGACTTGCGGGCTCTCATCGAAGGGAGGACGCCTTTGATGACCCGAATTGGACCCCAGAAGTTCGTGTCCATTGATGCTTGCATCTCATCTTCTCTGAGGGGTTCATCGGTAAGTCCCATGTTACACGCGCCTGGGGACATGGTCTTGGGGCAGGGCGGATGAAGGGGAGACGTACGTAAGGTCTTCGATTGTACCATTCAAATACCATCCTGCGTTATTGACGACGACGTCAACTCCACCAACATCCTCTACTGCCTTTCTAATGACTTCTGTTGTGTTCTTCGAGTCGACGTCGAGCTGCAGCCAGTGACCACCTTCGGCTTCAACCTCTGGATGGGCTTTGGCTGCCACTTCTGGTTTTCGAGCACCCGCAATGACTTTATGGCCCGCCCGGAGGGCTGACAGAGTTATTGCAAGGCCAAGTCCCTGACTGGCGCCCGTCACCAACCACATCTTTGCTTTTGGTGCTTTGGCTATTGGGGAAACCTCTGTGACGGTATGTTTCTGAGGGAATTTTTAAACTGAAAGAAACTAAGACAGAGGGCGTACAGTGCATCTGCAGCAGGCTCCTTATATTTCGTCGGGTATCTTCAGCTCGTTGAAGTGTGCACAACACTCGTCCAGTGTGATTCCGACATCGTCATGGGTTCACCCAATCGTTGTGTGAATACGGGCCTAATATCGCTAACGTTATGGTAATGTACCCATTTCCGGTATCCATACCATAAGGAGTTGATCAATGGAGGATGATTACTTATTTAGGGTCTTCTCCACCTTTTAGCATCATGAACTCGACATAGTCGTGACAGTTGAAGCTGCGTGTCAAGACGGCTGGCCTGATTGCATGTGGCATTGGAATTGAGTGCCTGAAGCATGGACATCAGGCGATTCCGATGGCCGCGGTGGTGAGTCGCGTAAGGGGCTTCATTTGCTAGCGCTGCCTGAAAGCCTTTATCTGCCTGTCTTATACGGTAGTGACGGTAACATTGCGTTGCATACCTCAAGGAGAAGGCGTACAGAACTTAGGTGCTTCCTTAACGTGAGGTTGGACCGAAGGCGGCCCTGGAGGATTGTGGAAGATATTGGTCTGCAGGTCAAATGGTCCGCCGTGGAGCTCGTATTCGGTAGAGCATAGCAGACATTTTGCGCAACTTTATTTCTCGGATTTCTTTGCGAGCTTCCCTCTGAACTCATACTGTTTCTGTAGCTAACACTTCACATCCATCTTGCCTTGCGCTCCTTGTCGCTCTGTTCTGTCCACTCTCTACAAACTCCGCGTCTTCTTAAAAATATCCTTACAACATGTCCTACTTTCGAATCACCTTGATACGATCGGCCATCGGCCTTCCTAGGAAATCGAGTAACGTCCTGAAAGCTTTGGGTTTACGCAAACGAATGGCCACTGTTTTCCATCCTGTTACGCCTGATGTAGCCGGTCAGATAATGAAAGTGAAAGAGCTGGTTGCGGTGAGGGAGGTCGACAAAGCGTTGACTAAAGAAGAAGTACACCAAGAAAGAGTACCAGATCCTGGTTTCTACGTCGAATCCAGAGCAGCAGACGCAAGGCGAGATTGAGGGAGTTTGAATCTAAATATCATCCACAAACTGCCATTGGGGCCTGGCTCTGCACATGCTCCTAAAAATTTGAATGGCATCCCGGTCACGAAAGTCCCATCTTGCGCAAGCCGGCCAACCTACCCTCAGAGACTTCCCGGTGCTGGAGGGAAAGACATAACACGAGGCTACACATGAAGAGCTGGCCCGTTCGCGAGCCAAGGCTCAGTGCCACTGGCAGAAAGGGATCGCTGTCTCCGTCGAGGAAGCAGCATCTTGGAGCATTAGAGGGGAAATGGCGGCACGAATACAACATTGTCAATGCTTGACGACGCAGCACAATCTCTTGAAGATATTCGGCTTTCCTATCTGGACCTGGGACTGACGTGCACCTTGTATGGGCCCGAAGAAGAGTTTATCCAGGCAGCCAGCTCCTTAATGGGCGGCGTCATGAAGGCAACGCCAGCTTTGAAGAGCACTCCCCATCAACATCCGGTGGAGAACCGAGACAGCAGAGCTGAGAGGCTGGCACATCGACGCGGACTCACGCAGATCGCTTTGGCTGGATCATCGAGCACCAGGTTACGACGCTGCGCGGCCTATTGATGCCAAAGTATCTGAGCCTTCCATCTGCGTGCATAGGAGCATGGTGATGAATCTGTCTTATACTATTTGTCTGGAGGTCGATGGAATGTGTTTGGCGGAGAGACTGCTTCTCTTCGGCGAGCAGCTAGGATATTTGAGAAATGCGTTTGTATTACTGTAATATGCCATTAAATTAAAGAGCTTCCTTGCCAGTCTCTCGTTGGCTACCAAACCTCGCCCGAGCACTGCGGGAGGTCCTTTCCTCAAATTCTGGAATATATCAAGTAGATGGTTGTCAACGGAGCCAGCTGATGCCCATGTGTACAGCCGCCCAAGGCAGGGAGCACTTCTTACAGTAGCCAGCCAATCATGGAGCTTCTTACTGGGTATTGTTCCGGCAGAGCAGTTGTCGTCATTCGCTAGCAATTCACCATATAAACTTCGCATGCTTCATGGCCGATTGACCACCAGAGATACTGGTAATACTTCAGACCTTTCAAAACAAAGAAACATCTACTCGTACAAGCCCCGAGTTCCTAAATTCCACCCTTAGCTACCTCTCCTTCACATCGTCCCTCGACTCACCCCCAACGCGAACATGAAAGCAGCCACCCTTCTCCGCTCTGCGCGAGCAAGCACCACACGCACCATCACCAGATCAAGCAGATTTACATCCACATCCATCCGCTCCTCGAAACCAGCTTCAGCTACCTCTATCTATGCTCGAACTCTTGTTTCCTCTCCTGCAACACGCGCCTTCTGCTCCTCCCCCGTCACTTTCAAAGGCATTCAACCCGACAGTTCAGAGCCGCAACCCCCCAATACCGAATCGCCTGATCACAGCACCCATGCTGCCCAGCTCTCAGATGCAGAATACCATGAGATTGCCGACCAATATCTCGACACACTTGTCCTTGCGCTCGAAGAGCTCAGTGAGAAAGCGACTGACGGCGTTGAAGTGGAGTTCTCGGTCCGTCCTCAAGCCCACTTTCTTATCCCTCATCCAGTGCTAAGCTGACCATGTCACACAGGCCGGCGTCCTAACAGTCACCCACCCTAAATCGGGCACGTACGTACTCAACAAGCAGCCCCCGAACAAACAGATCTGGCTCTCCAGCCCTGTGTCCGGCCCAAAGCGGTTTGACTGGGTCATATCGGGCGCGGGCCAGCACGAGAAAGAAGATTCGACGATCGACGCGGGCGACGACGGATCCGGCGGACGGTGGGTATACCTGCGCGATGGGACTCAGCTGAGCGAGTTGTTGAAGAAAGAGTTGGGTGTCGAAGTCACCAAGGAAGGGGAGAGTGATGTTGTCGGTGGGCGAGAGGGGCCTGGTGGGCAGGGATCGTCGCTGGAATAATAGAAAGAAAAGACTTGAGAGATCCATTAGCACGAGTGTATTAGGCAATCGTACGAACAGGTACTGTACAAGAAAGCATTTACGAAAGCCCTCGAGGTTGGGCGCAAAAATATGTACCCGGCCCGTCTGTCTCGCACGACGGTCAGGCTATCCAACGGAATTATAGCCTCTCACATAACCTTTCTCCCTGTATCTAACATCGAAACCCATGCTGCTCGACTCCTTCATTTCCTCTTCTTTGCACCTCCCGCTGCTGCTGGTGCTGCCGGGCCGGGTTGAGTTGCGGGCTGAGCTGGAACACCCTGACCAGCTTGGCCACCCGTCATTCTCCTGCTCATGATCTGTCTTGAAATGAAACTGATGCCAATCATCATTACCCAGCTGGGCATCGTTCCCAATCCCCACATGACATAACCAAAGGGCTGAAGGAGGCCGAACTTGTGCATCAAGCCGTCAAAGGGATGCAGTAAGCCGGTATACTCTTGGGACTCGAGGTATCGCGACTTAGAGCTCGAGGGGATGGAGACGATATCGGCAATAGTAGTCGTCGTCAGGTTGAGAGGGATAATGTGCAGAGGTACTTTCGCTTGAGGAGTAGATTGTTTAGGAACCATGAAATGGTAGATGGACGGAAGTGTCGTAGCCCAGCCTGTGCAGAGCACCGCCTCTTTATCGCAGTCAACGTATCCCAAATGCAATGGTGGTGAGCCCGCAGAATGAGGAAGAGCAGTGAGTAGAGGGACGGACTCCTGCACACAGTATTAGACATGTCTTCCAAGTATCCTGAGAATTATCGAGACTCACATTCCACACAACATCGACGGGTCCACACCGTCCGAAACAGCTTTTGTTCCCACCAGTCATGTAGACCATCCATTCTTCCTCTGTATCGAGTTTGGGTCCCAGCTTGCGCTCCCAATTGCGAATGTTGATTCTTTCGACTCTCTGGTCTGCGAATTTCGCTGCGCCGGCTTCGACGGGGTTCGGAACGGCGGTTGGAATGTACGATTTGGCCTTATCGAACCATCCCGATGCCTTTTCAAACAATGCCGCTTGGTCGGCTGCGACAAGCACAGGAAGCAGAAGTAATGTGGAGAAATGCATAGTCGCAAACTCAGATTATGGCAATGGCAGACTCGACCGATACCAGAATACAAGAAGCAAAAGTTAAGCGTTGGCCAGCAATGAGAAGTGGGAAATGGGAAGTGAACGCCGGAAATGAGCTGGGGGAGGTTTTCGGGGTGTTCAAGAGATTCGATGGCCTAGCTAGCCTATGGCGTCAACAAGGCCAGGTTGCGACTCGATTAGCCGAGGAGCGACCACGCTGCCTTGTCAAACACATCAAAAAGGCCTAACATTCTTTTCCGAAGCTCCACGTGGAAATCGTCCGTGCTCATCCTCGTGAATTTCCAGAGAGCCACGTTACCTCCTTGCTGTACTGTAGCGACGCAGGCCCAGCCATGCCTGTTCGTGGCCTCGGTGGTAACAAGCGAAGCAGACCTTATAACCTCCTTGTTACCCTTGTTTCTACTTTGATATCATCGAGTAAATCTGCTGTAAAGAAGCCGAAAGCCAGCTCAAACTCATGAGCAGACGACGAAACCATCGCGGACTGAACGACTCATGACAGCAAGACCGAAGGAAACAGCTATGAGCTTCCAGAACTTGGGACATAGATTCTGCCCTGTAAGCAGTGCTATAGAGACGCGGGTCCCAGCCCCCAATATATCTTCTTCCTATTGTTTTCTGGGTAGGCTTAACAGACCGCGCTACTGTCCCGACATTCGCTTGATGAACTCCTCAATATCGCCCAGCTTGACGTCGAACATCCACTGGTTTTTCTCCTGCTGGTACAACTTCCAAAACTGCTCCGCGATGTTTCTAGGATTGAGCACAGGATCCTCGTCCTTGACGATACCTCCGATGTCCACGGAGGCGACATGGACGCCCTCTGGCGCCAGTACCTGCTTCAAGCTACCCGCAAGATTGAATTGTGCCGCCTTCTGCATGGACAGCGAGAAGAAGTCTGCGATTGGATGGTGGTAAATGCCACTGTTGCTGAAGAAAAAGGACGGATGGGCGGCTGGCTTTCTGGCCCTCGCGGTCAAGTGTGGGATCGCCCATGATGCTGCAGTATAGAGTCCAATGTTCACGGTCTTCCACTTCAGTCAGCCACGAAACACCGAGCATGGTCCGCTGCTTACCTTGAAGTCCTCAAGCAGATACTCTGGAGTGGTCTCTCCAATCTTGGATGGCTGTACGTTTGCGGCATTGAAGAAGACCACCTCTGGAGGGCCAAGGTCGGCCTCGACTTTCTTCAATGTTGTAAGGAGAGCGACGTGGTCGGAAATATCCACGGGGTATGCTTGGACTGTAATGTTTGAACCAGCCTTTTCAACTCTCGCAACATCTTGTTGTAGACGCTGAGCATTGCGGGAGAGTAAGGCGACGTCAAATCCTTTTGATGCGAACAGAGCACCTGTGGCAACACCGATACCCGGGCCGCTGCCCAAAACGACAATCACTTTATTGGCCATGACCCAGGAAGGCTCGGAGCGACGTTCTGTTAGGTCGAGTAGAGTAATGAGTCGATGGCAGCTGGCTTCGGAGTGTTATATTCGCTAGCCTAGTCTTATTCTGAGGGGTCTGCGATCTTGTCCGCTCCCTGACAGAAGTTCAAAAGCCATGCAACTGGCGCTGTCCATGGACGTAGCACCGTCCTCTCTGGTCTTTGACCTTGAGACCTCGTGGGAGGCAATAAGAATGGGTCTATTGCATCAGACCTGCATATTCAAAACTTAATCCTACCTTGACATGACCTTTGATCACGAAAGAGCAGACCTTGCGCCCATAGTGTGGTTATGTTTGGTTATAGCTGCCAGGCAGAGAAGGTGGACCAACGGAGGATATTACGGACGCACACAATTGCTAGGCTGCACTGGGGTTATTTATCGAAGGAGTGCTAGGCCGTTTTTAGCTGCTTCATCGAGGAAATGCTGACGTGGTATGCGATGGAAAGCAGCATTCTATTGCTGACTTATTTGTGAAGTATTAGATTGCCACGGAGCCCAATTCTAGATCCGGTATCCTAATGACCGAGGCGATTAGTAAAGTCCATAGCAGGACGTTGGCCCGTAGCCATGTAAGAAGCGGCTCGCGGATGCATCGTCTGAAGAGCCGAAGTTGAACCAGCTCACATGACTCTGAATATGCCGGATCAGGACTAGCTTATTGCTCCCCTCAAGCTACCCCGCGGTGTAGAAAACCGTTTCCTGGGGATTAGCGGCTTGGATTAAATCACACGTCGTCTCTCACTCTTCTCCCATCCAGTCACACCACTACCTGAAACGCACACCACATCACCAAAGCAATATTGTTGATTCGAGCTAAGCAATCTTATTGCTCAATCCGCACTTCCGTCCATTACAGTCCAAATTCTAGTCTACCAGTCACTTCGAGTTATCAACCTAAGCAACCGTCAAAATGAGTGCAATTCGGGAGGATGTCAATGAGCCTATCCAGGTGCTCATGACCATGCATGACAACATGAACCTTCTTGACTTCGCCGGCCCCCTCGAAGTCCTCAACCACGCTCAACACGATCTCAACAATCCAGGTATGGTCGCCTTTCCACCCCCTTGACTAATCGTCTCTGCTAACCGCACGCGACCAGAATCCAAAGCCTTCGATGTCACCTTCGTCGGCCCAGAAGAGCACGTCCTAACTGCCCAGGGAGTCACCTTGGCAGCACACATCTCCTACAAAGAAGCACACAAGCGGCTGAAGGAATTCGATCTCCTCGTCGTCCCTGGTGGAAAGGCTATGGACATCTTGAAAGAGCAGGCCGAACCTACCAAGCTTGTCAAGGCATACTCCGAGGTCCAAGCCGCTGACCCTGCGAGAGAGAGAACACTCCTAGCAGTGGACACAGCTGCCCTGTTCCTCGCCCAGCAGGGTCTTCTCGAGGGTCTTGGCGCGACCATCCACCCAGATTATTATATCAAGTTGGAGAAGGAGTGTCAGGAGGCTGCAGCCCGAGACATGGGCGAACGGACCGATGTCATGGAGGAACGATACGTCGTAAACAATGCCCGCTTCGATCTTGGCGAGGACGTCGAAGAGAATCCATACGTCTTTAAGAAAGGCCGCAAGGGCTCCACTGCTCGCAAGGGAAGTCTTGCCCGAAAGGAATCCAATGCTCGCTATGAGAACCTTGTCCGTCGCAAGAGCCTGAAACTCGGTGGTATGCGAGTTATCACCAGCGGAGGTTCGGTGAGCGGTATTGACGCCAGCTTGTATCTCGTCAGTGCGCTTGTAAGTCTTGAGTGTGCTCAGGAAGTCGCTCGTCTCATGCAGTACGACTGGGTCAAGGGCGTTGTCGTTGATGCCATTGATGTCTAAGTGGTGTATTATTGGACACTTGACTTGTCAGGGGAAAGGATCTGTGGCCATGGCAGCCCATGGTCAAATGTAGGAATTGAAGATCAGCAAGAGCATATGCATAGGACAAAGGAAAGATCAGTGCTAGATAAGCTGGGATAGCAGGATATGTCAGGAATGGGGAAATAAAGTCAACTCGAATCCCTGGGTGCGGATTTGAGTGTGCAATTGCTATTACCAAAACTGCCAAATGCTTTTGTTCCACTTTTCTGCCGGAACTAGACGACTCTCAAATGACTCCAGTATACTGCCATTCTTTGTCGCTTCGAGCATCAATCCCAATGCTGATGAAATTGCGCGGACGCTATAGCAGCAAATGTCCTATGACCATAGCCAATTCATGCTGAGGTTTGAAGACTTGAGGGGGATGACTAAGCGAGACCGGAAATGCCAAGGCTAGGCGCGTGCCAAGATTTCGTTCCGATTTTGGGTTAGTTCACAAACCTCCAAAATTCGCAGGCTCGTCCGCACCGCAGCCCGGATTGAAGTTTGAAGTTTCGCTCAACCAACCTCACCCGTCGACAACCACCGAGTTCCCTTTCACCACCGTCAAAATGTCGAGCCGTCCTACAGTTGGGATCTTGGGCGCTGATGGCGCCAGCAGCGGAGAGACTCTCCCTCTCCCAGCTGTCTTCAGCTCCCCAATCCGCCCCGACATTGTCCAGTACGAAAATCACCGCTTCCTACAATTCGACAACGGCAAGCTGACAGAAAATGTAGAACCGTCCATACTGGAATGGCCAAGAACAAGAGACAACCATATGCCGTGAGTGAGAAGGCAGGTGAACAGACTTCAGCCGAGTCCTGGGGCACAGGTGCGTTTGGACCAGCATGGTAGCGAAGAAAAAAGAGACGGAAGGATTTCTGACAACCACGCAGGTCGTGCTGTCGCTCGTATTCCCCGTGTCTCTGGTGGTGGTACACACAGAGCCGGTCAAGCCGCGTTCGGTAACCAGTGTCGATCTGGTCGCATGTTCGCACCCACCAAAGTCTGGAGAAAATGGCATCAGAAGATCAACTTGGGCCAGAAGTACGTCTGCTACCACACGTACAACAGTCGCAGCGACTAACAATTTGTCCAGGCGCTTCGCGACTGCCTCAGCCATTGCTGCCAGCTCCGTCCCCGCGCTCCTCCTCGCCCGAGGCCACCGTATCTCCACCGTCCCTGAAGTTCCTCTCGTCGTTTCCAGCAAGGCCGTCGAAGGTGCCGCTCTCGTCAAGACCTCTGCTGCCGTCGCTCTTCTGAAGGCGGTCGGCGCTGGCCCGGATATCGTCAAGGTCCAGAAGTCCCGCAAACTGCGCGCTGGCAAGGGTAAGATGCGAAACCGCCGCCACCGCATGCGCCGAGGCCCTCTGGTTGTCTACAACCCCGAGACCGACGGCAAGGAGCTCGTCCGTGCTTTCCGCAACATTCCAGGTGTCGAGACCTCTTCTGTCTTCGCCTTGAACCTCCTTCAGCTCGCTCCAGGTGGCCACCTGGGCCGCTTCATCATCTGGACCTCGTCTGCTTTCGGAGCCCTGGACACCATCTATGGTTCCACCACTGAAGCCTCGGCTTTGAAGAAGGACTTCCTCCTGCCCTCCAACCTCGTCAGCAACGCCGACATCACCCGCCTGATCAACAGCTCTGAAGTGCAGTCCGTGCTCAAGGAACCCAAGGGCTACGCTACCACCAAGCGCTCATCCGTCCAGAAGAAGAACCCTCTCCGCAACAGACAGGTTCTGCTCCGTCTCAACCCTTACGCTGCACAGTACTCGAAGGAGAAGATTGGCCAGAAGGGTTTGGGTGATCAGGGCAAGCCTGAGCGAATCAACGAGAAGGCTTTGGAAGTCTTGCACGAGAACTAGATTACGTTGGCTTGGATTGTCCCTTTGACAAGAACCGCTGGTGGTGTCTCGAATGGCCACATCAGCTAAGGCGTTTGTTTTACCGTTTCACTAGCAAATCCTGCAATGCAGATTCGTAGCCATGAATCAAGAATCAAGATCTCTACGCTACTAAATTCCCGTTGACTTCTCATGCCGCGCAGCCTGTGCAGAATCCACTGTCTCAGAAAGAACATGGCATGAATGATTTCGTGACACTATCTGTCCTGAGACTAGCAAATAACTTGGATCCTTACCTACCTTATTGAGGGCATGTCTTGAGACACCACCCGGAACAGCGGTATGTGATTCCATTCTTCCCGTCTGCCTCGCCGTCGCCCCTTGTCACACTTCAAAGCTTCTCATATACGTCCACAGCGGCCTTTGCAGTGCTCTTCCCACTCTGCGGGTTCATACCCGTGACGATCCTACCGTCAGTGACATGGAAGTCGTCCCATACTCCATCTGCTCGGACATCTACGTGCGTACAGGACAATTAGCCGGCCTTCCTTGCCGCACATACTACTTTTACACGACCCGGGATGAGATGAGATGAACTGGTTCAACGTAAGAGAGAAACGGAATAGGTACGTACACTTTGCGCCCAACTTCTCCGCCCACTCGTCAATCAACGGCTCGCCCCAGCTTCGGATCGCGTCCATGACATGCATATCGTACTCGGCTTCCGTGGTGAAGCCCGTGATGGTCTTACCTGCGACCACCGACTTGCCGGTCGTCGAGTCGACAACCCCTGCGAAGATGGCTTCTCCATGACAGCTACAGGTCCACACAACATTTTTTCGTATCAGCCTACCAGTGTTTCTCTCGAACATTGACCAGCCAAGCTCGGGCGAAGGAGCAAAGTCGTGGAGGGGCCAAACACGGACGGACGGCGCAGATAGGGGATAACTCACACAGCACTCAGCACACCACCTTGATTCCAGACGTCGGTCGCAATTTTTTGCAACCCCTTTGCATGAGGATAGTCAATCAGCGCAGCATGTCCGGCGCTCGCAAAGAATATTCCGTACTATGCACACCCCATAGTCGTCAGCTTCAATCTTCGTTTTCTGGCCCTTCACTGCACGGCCCTTCCCTGCCCCTGCCGCACCTTCAAGCACTGCCCAAGTACTTACCTTGCTGCCATCGATCGTATGCACATCCGGCATGTTATCGAGCTTGCGTCTGAACTCCCCGTTCACGTCTTCCCACTCCTTCTTGTCCTCGCCATTCAAAAAGCTGTCCTGCAGACTCAACCAGTCTGCAACGTACGTGCCCTTTTCAGACACCAGATCCACTTCGAACCCGGCCGCGGTAAAGACATTGTACGGATGTAATGCTTCCGAGATGAATAGGCCGGTCGGCTGGCCGTTGTGCAAGGGTGCGGTGGCAGAGGTGACGGCGATGATGGCGCGACGCGGAAGGGAAGGCATTTTGGGTGATTTGTTTGTTCACGAGGACGTACCGTGGAGATGGACGAGATTTGACGGCTTCAATGCAAGCAGGGCCTCCCGCGAGCTGCTCAGATTGTGATAGTAGGCTGTGGGCGGCACAGGGGCAGACACTCCAACGCGGCGTAGTGTGCTGTAGATAAAAGAAAAGTCAAAAGGCACTGGCTGCTTGATACTCGATGCTCGGAGAAGCTGTCAAACGATTGCGTTACGTTCCACCTCCGAGAAAGGCCGGATGCTTTATATCCCAGGGGAAAAGCATCTACCTCCCTTCGTCCACCCGCAGAGGTGCCCGGATGGGCAATGTATTTCTCACCATGACGCGCCGATTCCATTGACGCTCGTCAACATGCACGAGACTTTTGCTCTTCCCTTTTCGTCGGCAGTGCATTACGAACAGCAGCCGCATGCCTACAACCATTCGTCCCTCAGCTCTTCTCGCTGATCGAATGCGTCACACCAACATACCGTGGCATGTGTGGTTGACCAAACGGAACATCCGGAGTTCGGAACCATTTCCAAGCAACATGAGCAAAGGAAGCGAGTTTAGCGACGAGGCAACAACCCCCGTCTTCTGCTGACAAAGACGCCATCATGCGCTCAACACTCGTATTAACTTAGTCCCAAACCTTGGGCTGTCCAGACACGCCGAGCAGCTTATATCGTGGTCGCTTAGTTAAATTGCCCTACCAGCAACGTCACTCGAGTAGGTATAGCGAATTGACTTTACAAGGAAAACTGCCTAATGCGAGTTAGCACACTGGGAAAATGACTAGGATACTTTAGAGTAATCGGGAAGAGTGCACAAACCTTGTGGCAGGTGAGGGACACGCATTGTGTGTGCTGCTGACATGAAAGAGGCAATGAGAAGTAAAGGGCAAAAAGAACGGTCGAAAGAGAACGCGAGGAGAAGGCAGCAATCGATAGCTTGTTTTTTTCGACTCTATATTGGTGCTTGCATGACACCATACCTGGCTCGTGGTCGCCATCATCAGTGCTTCTCAGCTCATGGCATCCACACAGTCCGGAATACATCTGCTCCTGTCCATCAAGGCGGCTGTTCAATCGCATACTCAAGGCCCTGTTGCTCTCCACGATCTCGGCGTTACAGTGGTGACCTATACGGTGAAATCATCTCGTTTTTCTCGTGCAACAGCAACAGCAACAGCGTACTCCCATCGGGTTCAACACGTGGAGATCCTTCGTCGTGTTGATCCTAGCTCTCTTTGCCTCGTGCTCGCCATCCCTGCTTGCTGGGATGTGGTGAGAGACAGTTGCTGCCCTGAGCTTCATCTTACTCCTGAGCCACATTGCCTTCATCACCATGTTCGCCGTTAAGATCTTCATTCGAAATTCCTTAAGCAACTCATTCACACTCTTGCCCTTGTCTCCTGGCGGCTCTGGCGTTCTCGCTGGATCCAGCAGCTCTAGCTTGGGAACATTGGGAGCTGCGATCTCTTTGTCTGCGATCTCGTCATTCTCGAACTTGATCACCGCCCATCTCTTGCTGAGGCTCTCCTCCCACTTTGCCTTGCTGCGTTCTTTTGCTCGCGTCTGACCCCATCGATCGGTATGCGAGAATTTTTGCTTCAGCATTCGGAGTAGGTCCGGTGAACCTGGTTCAAGGAAGGCCACCTTGACAATCCGGTAATAGCCAGTGAATTCGAACCCAGAAGAATGATACGCCTGCGCCTGTTGTTTCATTTGCTCGAAGACTGCAACCGGTATAGATTTGCTTGCGTTGCCAAGGTCACCAGCGGGCTTTTGTGGCTCGTCATTGACAGTACTGTCAGGTGGTGAAGTGCAATCTTCGGCAAATTCGACCGGAAGGAGGTCAAGGTTCGACTTCGAAAAGATGATGCGATCCTGAGGCCACCGTGGATTCCCTTCGTGGAATATCAGCACATACCTTAGAGTTCCCGGCGTCTGTGCACTGTCGTGTAGTGTAGCCACGTCGTGGGACGGCGACTTCTTTCCTGGAAAGTAGTATTGTTGGATTTCTCTTACAGACCGAAGGGTTTCCGGCATTGATCGCAATGGTTTCTTATCCTGCTCTTTCGTGCTCGCAATATTCACATCTCTGTTTCGGAGAAATGGTGGGATGTAGCGCTTGGGCCCCGGTAATGCAATGCTGGTGCTGTTTCTGTTGCCTGCGGTCGCGTCGACTGGCGTCTCTCGCTGCGAGGGCGGCATGTACTGTCCTGACATCTCTCGTTGCGAGGGCGGGACGTAACGTCGTGACATGACGGCGAATGTCTCGTCTCGATGGTTTGTTGGTCGCCACGACTCTGGGAGCGAGGTCTCGGTGCTGTGGATGTGAAGGTGTCAATATGAAAGTTGTGTTGTTTTTTGATCTAGGTTTCATCAAGGCGTAGGCAATTCACTTTGGCTTTGTCTGGGATCTTCGATTCACTGCTTCAGCAGACCGCCTTCACTGCCGCCCCACCACATTCGCACGAAGTCCAGTGATTTCCAGAGGGGTAAGACGTCAGTTTTGTACAGAGTGCTCCTGATGGCCCAGTGCCTGGTAATCGAAGGTAGCCTCACCTACCACAAGGCTATGGTTATATCCACGGGGTGATGATCAAGGCTCTGAACAACTGCGCTTTTGCCACCAACATCCACCCCATCTTACTCACATTGGGACCATCAATAGCACGCTCATCTCGGTCGTAGTCTCGATATCCCACCACTTACTTCTCCTCCAGCAAGATCTTCCACAGCTCTCCACCATGACCATCATGGCCTCCAGTATAATTATTGCCCACGATGTTGACAAGAACTAGATCCTGCCTCATCCGGTCCAAGAACTTTTCTTCGTCACTTCCTCGAGGAAAACATCTCCTCCAGACACTCCAAACGCTGTATGCTTCCTCACCCCATGCCCTGAAGCTCTCACTCTCGATAATGGTAGGTGTGACAATCTCCCTGTTTCTGAAAGCACCCCACGTCACCGCATTTATACCGCTAGTACCTGGCGTCCGTTTCGAAGTTGGCGTCTCGGTCGCGTTCTCCTGTTCAATTTCGTCGCTCGACTCAAAAACGCCGCTCGCATCTGTTTTCATCCATCCTAAGGACGTCGAACCTTGCCTCATCAACAATGGCTTCAGATGTTCTTCCCAATGTTTCCGTGGACAAAAGAATTCTACAAATGCTTTTTGAAACACCCATCCCTCGCCTGGGGGGCCCCAGCCAAAAGTTTCATCCTCGCTCTTCACCCCGTCAAGTGCCGGCTGCGAAGCCAAGGTCCAGTAGCCCTTGTCTTGAATAAGAGCTAGGAGCTCTTTTCGGATAACCTGAGTTTCTGCTCGCAGAGCACCTGAACCTCCACTACTGTCGCCATCCACATCGACTTCGTCGCTCCAAGGAACTGCTTCCAAGTCTCCCACAACATGCCGTCGGAACAACTCCGTCACGTCCTTTTCTGACTTCGGGTGGCCCCACAGCTTTCGTGCGGTGATGGGCCCAACTTTCATACTCGGGCCATATCCATCAATCTCACCAAAAGCCGGAGAGTCCGAAGGGCCCCAACGGCCGTTAGGAAAGTCATCCCATGTAGCTTCTCGGCCCAACGAGCCCTGTCCTTCGGATATCATGAGGTTGTGTTTTCTCGTAGGCTCCGAGGCAGGAATCCCCGTCCCTCGTTCCACGGCTTCATGCCGAGTCAGCATAGGCGTAGACGAATCAGAGGGCGGGGCAGCCTTCCTCGACCCTTGAGGTGATCCAGAAGCACCATCAAGGATGACTCGATTATGAGGCTGGGCGTTGATCGAGCTCGTCCTACGTTTGGAGAGTCGAGGCAGTCTACCGTGGTCACCATCTGTTGGTGGATGTGCAGAGTAGCCGGGTCGCTTTTCGTCGTCAACAACGGCATCGCTGTCAGATGAATAGGTGGGGCTCGTCTGTTCCGTTACTGGTGGAATGAGGCCGGTCTTCTCCAGAATGAAAGCCACGGATTTCTCCAGGTTCAGCGTGTAGAAGTGGAAACCTCGTGGAACGCTTTCAGGTTGTGGCAACTCTTTCATCTGCTCAACGAGTTCACTGAGGATGTCGACTCCGACTTTCTTCACCGCTTCGTCATCTGATTTGACTGCTTCTATCCTCTTGAGGATATCTTCAGGTATCTTGGCATGACTGAGTTTTGTTATCCTCTTGATGATCGAGTAGCTTTGTGCGGGCATAAGACCAGGGATTATCGGTATCTTTTCAAACACTCTCTTTCCATCTTTGTCGACGTAGCTTCTGAGCATCTTTTCGTACGCCTGATAAGCCTGGATATCGTAGGTCAATTGAGTCATAATAAAGTCTGCTCCTGCAGCCGTCTTCTCAACCAGATATGGTAGGTCATGTTCAACGCTCTGTTTTCCTGCCTCCGGAACGCTCTCGTCCGCGTGTCCTTCGGGGTATCCAGCAACACCAACAGAGAAATAGTCACCATACCGCCGACGGATGTAGCGCACCAAGTCGACTGCCCAGACGAAGTCCTGGTTGCTGTCTGTACCTTGTCCTCCGCTGCCGTTTTCATCCGTATCCTTGTATTCCTCTCTGGGCGGGTCGCCTCTTAAGGCCAGAATATTTCTGATGCCAACCTCTTTTGCGCTCTCCAGTGCTTCGTCGATCATACTCCTCTTCATATTGGTACATGTCAAGTGTAGGACGGTAGTCAGACCCAGTTGTCTTTGACATACTTCGGCCAGCTCCAGAGATTTGGTTGCAGTAGACCCGCCAGCTCCCCATGTCACGGTGACAAAGAGAGGACGTAGCCCTTTAGCCATACGAGCAAGCCGGGCTTGCAGATTGGAGAAGCCGGAGGAGGTCTTGGGAGGGAAGAACTCAAGAGAAAAGTAGTGTGAGGATGGATCCAGATTGGACCACAGTGTAGGTAGTCGGTCATCCATCGTTGCGGTGTCTGCGAACAGGAGTAGGATGAAGTGGTTCAGGAAGTGTGGAGGCTACCGCATCTGAGGATGAAGATGGTTTGCAGCTCGTTTCCGTCTTTGCAGCCTTCGAGAGCGATGTAATGGAGAACCGCAGGTCCGACGAGGAAACAATATGGAAAGGCAGCCAGACTGTGGTGAAGGCCGATCAATGAGTGGAAATATGTGTCACTGTGGTTGATCGCGCGTTGCAGCAAATGGCCCCGCACGAGAGAAAGATTTTGGATCTAGAGAAGTGCGGGAGTTACTTTAGATCTCGTCGTCGATGACGCCAACCTGCAGCTTCACCATTACCCAACTAGGAAACCTAAGACGTGAGCGTCAGCCTTGTCGAGAGCCTCTCAATCCCTGTCAATTCACTCAAAATCCAATTCATCTCACTACAGTTTGTGTTATCTACACCGACAGTCCCAGCGGTGTAAAAAAGTCGTCGAGGCCATTTACGTCGATTTCATGGTCAGTGTCTCTGAGAAAAGACCGAGTGTAAGGCCATACATTTTCCATCAAGTCTCTCCTCAGGTTTAGTAAACATACAGCCAGCCATCTGGGTGCTTTTGAGGCCCTTCTAGGCAAGGAACGAAGCCAACCCCATCCGAGCACAATGCTAATCTCGTACAGTTACAAGGCCCTACCACGCATTCCATGCGCCGCTGCCACACTCTCCGTATCTCATCAAGGACTGGGGTATTCATAACATCGGTATGTATCTTTCCCCCTTCCCAACCGTAACGCCAAAGCCAGAGTTTAGAATCACTAATTCTGCTCGTCTCCATTCAGAAAGTCGTCAAAGTGCTTCGAGACGTTGTCTCCATCCTCCAATTCCGCAGTGTCGTTCACAGAATCGTTGCTGGCAGTTCGAATCAAGTCCAATGCTTCGCTGGCATGGCTAGTCTCGTGCTCTAAACTAGGTACCGCATCGTTGTTGCCTTCACCATCTTGATGCGTCATATCCAGGAACATATTGTCGTACTCGACACCGGGAAGCGATCCACCTCTGCCAGAGTTCGTATCGTGTGGTGATGCATTCGCAAGGCCATTCCGAAGATCATCGTCTGGGTCAAGGCCAGTATTGGGTCTGAACAAAGGGAACGACGGGTCATGGGTTCCGGCATCTCCAGCCGTGTCGCCAGCGAAGGTTGGCATCATGGCATCTTTCAGTACTTGTGGTGGCTGTTCTCGAGTCGGACTGAACATTGGTGACGGTGTGTTGGGTGGGAAAGATGCAGGTCGGTCACCTCCAAAAGCATTGCCGTACGAAACGGACCCAGCAATAAAGCCTGGTTCAATCGTTCCGCTTGGTCCCGCGGTCCCAGTAGATCCTTGTCTCTGACCAGTACCAGGAGTCTCAGCATTTCCTGCTGATTGGCTCTGGCTCGGGCTTGTTGCCGACCCCGGGGCAGAGGGTGATTGTGTCGATGGCTTGGGCAGGAGTGGGCCGGTCATGAACGATTCCTGAGTCTTTCTACGTACGTAGGTCTTGGTCCTGAGATGCGGAGGAAGATCCTCGGGCTTTTCCACACCAAGCTCTTTCATCAATTTTTGCTGCTTAGTAGGTCGTGGCTTTCTTGTTGACAAGCTCTGATCCAGGATCGGCGGTGGCTCAGGAGCAATAGGTTGCCACTTGTGCAATTCTTGTCGGAACAGATTCGTCTCATATGCCAGGAGGACTTCGGCGCCCTCGATTTTGCGCAAATAGAACAACATCTCCGGCATTTCGTCAATGGTCCTGCACAGAGCATTACCATTCGTGTATTGACTGAGGAAGTCACGGAAAGACTGGGCTTTATCGACAATGCGCCTAAGTAAATCTTCTTCTTCCGGTTGGAATGGTAGCTCCAGGATCTCCTCCTGCCAGCTCTGAAGGTCTTCGAGTTTCGGTCGTGCAGCGTCTCGCGGGATTTTGACACGCCAATCGCAAATAGGACAAGTAAACATCTCGCATTCCTTGACCTTGCCGCGCGCAAGTTTAAGGCATTTCGCGTGATACCTGTAGACATGTCAGCTCCATCTCAAGCTTGTGTCAGTGCTGCGCTTACCAATCATGACAGATCTCACATTCAATCATCAAACCTGCTTCCGGTTGTCGACAGATACAAAAGACTGGCTTCTCGTCTTCGCCCAAATGTCCTTTCTCGCGACCATCGGCCGGGCTAGCTTCTCTTGATGCAGGCTCAACAGGAGGCCGGAAGGTGTCATTGAGGTCGAAACAAAAACTGTTCTTCTCCTCCACGAATTTCATGTGCTGTTCAAGGATGTGGAGAGGAGCATTAGCCTTGCCGAACAATTTCTTGCCTTTCCTCATCCAATCTTCGTGCCTCCTGAGCTCTTTTTCCAGGTCAGCTGCACCGTGAGGTTTGCCATTGAGATCCTCAAAACTCTTCACCACGTCACGCACATGAGCATACATTGGCCGCTTACGGAAGTCCGAATCATGGCTACGCTCGACCAACGTGATGATCTGGCGCTTAGCCTCGCGGTTCTTAGCCAATATCTGGTCCATCCGCTCCATGATGTCTTTGTTGACGGGGAACGCCTGGTTCGTAACTTGCGAATGCAATGACTCCAGTTGTGGATAATGGACATCTTCAGCGGCCATAAGTTCTCTTGCTTTGGTCTCCCAGAATTCAGCATGCCCGACGACTTCCTTCAAATAGGCCGCCTCGGGCACTTGAGGCGAAATGTCCAATTCTTCAAGGCGCTCCAAGAGTTTCCGGCATTCGTCCAATGTCTTGCAGTGGACATCTTTGCGGACTTGGCGAGCCTCATCGAGCCATTGAGTCCGGGCATGGATCTTTTCGAGACTGGTCAGCTCTGGCATGGATGCAGAGAAACCCCGGCCTTCCTCGAGAAGCGCCTCCAACTCTTCGAGCCCGGGTTGGCTGAGACCTGACACAATGCGCCTAGCGTTCGCACGCCAGTCATCAATGAGTGTTACCTTCTCTTGCAGGTTCTCGAGCTGGGGAGTGCTGAAGCCCAGCTGCTCGCCAGCTTCGATCAGTTCTTTCATCCGCTCCAGGGTGAGTTGCTGTTCGCCGTCTTTCTCCTCGCCTTTGCCCGTCCGCAGGGAGGAGCGGCGCCACACCTTTTCGTTCTTACGCCTATTTTGCTGTTTCCGGGTAAGGTAAAGATTTGCTTCATCCACCCACTGGTCGCATCGTTTGACGAACTCGGCAAGATCATCCAGTCCATTCAAAGCAAATGGTATCTTTTCTCCCTCGCTCAACAGACTATGCATTGCCTTCAGCGACGGTCGAGCATCTTCCGCAAGTAAGGACTCCAATTTGGTCTCCCACGTTTCCGGCACATTGGCCTTGTCCACGACTTTTTGAACGATATTTCTTAGCTCTTGATTCGTATAGCGTAGTACCAAGCTATGATTGTGACCTCGCGTTCTCTCATGGTCGGTATCCGAGCAACACTCCGCTCGTAATGGATGCAACAAGCATGCAATCTTGCCACTGCGGTGACAACGGAATTGTGAAAGGTAGGAGAAGGCTTTACAGTAACAGCACTGGTACTCCTCCTCTTCCAAGTCGGAGTTGTCAATTTTGATGATGAGACCGCAGGCCTCAGAGGGTTCTGGAGCCAACGTATCAAAAGCGCAATCATCGTGAGGACAAAGCGTCTTGTGGGTATTGATGAAATTTGTGCGTTCGACCAACTCTCGATCTAGGGTTCTCTCCAAAGCTGGACCTAGCCACTTGGCGGTCTTGATCGTAGGATCTGAATGTGCGGCTGTAAAGAGCAGCTCATCATGGCAGAAGCATGGTTGACGGCGGAATTCTTGCAGTCGCTGAACTCCCAGTTCGCCGAATGGCTCCCAGTCGGCTGGAGCGAAATTGACAGCCTCATTGAAGTTGAATCCGTGGTTGAAGCCGGCATGGTATGCTTGAGGAAACGTTATGACAAACTGACCTGCACGTTGATCACATGCATAGACATCTACGCCGGCCTTCCTGAGTTGGTTGGGTGGCAGAATGGTGACGAGCTGGAAGAGCAGATCTGGTTGCGTCTCAAACAACTCGGGGACTGCCTTACGCATGGCTTCTTCGAAGCGGAGCGCATGACTGCCAGGTATGCCGTACCAAGTCTTGGTGGCACCGAAATGTTGATAATTTGCAGAATATGCATAGTGATCCTCGTTGTGCCAACAGAACGTTGAAAAGCACATGCCCACATAGAGCCAAGGAACTGTCATCCCAGAAATGTCACCTTTGATGTGCCTGAAGAGCGAGTCTTCGAGGAATGGCATGACGTTGAGGTTCCAAGGATCTTTCGAGTACGAGTTTAGAGGCTGCTTTTCAACCGTTGGAAACCCGCTACCATGAGTAGTAGAATGGATGTCGGCCCCGTACTCGACTTCGACCGACTCGGTAATATCTTCAACAAGTCTCCAGAACTCCCGCTCGATATCGTCTTCTGTAGGCCGTCTCTGGGTATTGGTGACAGGGTCGAACGGCATACGAGCAGCAAAATAATGATCCTTGAAGCTGTTCGCCTTGTCTTGAAATTGCTTCAGAGAGTATACACTGCCTTCTTCAAAGCCGTAATCGTTGGTGCCAACCAAGCACTTTGGACAATGCCATTCTTCAGGGGCCAGACTCAGTGGAGGCTCAATACAATTCATATGGTAGCCCAGATCACAGCTGTCGCAGACCAATATGCTTTCTTTGTGCTCTGGCTTTCCGCACTTTTCGCATTTGTCTCCGTGTCTGCGGGGAGTCGATTTGGAACGAACTTGGGGCGTAGAAGAGCGCATTGCAGGTATATGATTTCCTGGGATGGTAGGAAGTCCGTCCTTTTTGGGTCTCTTGCTCCTTCTGCCGTTGGGTCCATCTTGGTCGCCATGCATACCCTCAGATCCAGATTCGCCATTGAGACTATCATGACTCATTGTCCTCTTCAGTGGATTGGGAGCTCCGTTCGGAACCGGACTGCCAGTGGACACTGTCGTCACTGTAGGTACGTTGACCGGCATGAAAGATTGGGCCTGACTTGGAGCCGGTAGTGTGGCACCATTCACTTCACTTTTCACGATAGGAGGCGGCAGAGTGTTGACAGCCGTGAACCCTGAAGGACTGTTCACGGCGGCAAACCCACTATTTACGGCTGTAAAGCCAGACGCCGAGACTGGTCGTGTTTGAGGTGTTGGAGCAGCGGGTGGCATTGGTGCAGGCTGTCGCATAGGAGCAGGAGTGACGTGCATGGGACCATTCTGAGGTGTGGCGGCGAACTGGCTGGGTTCTCCCATCCCCACGGCAGGAGGAGCCGATTGAGGTGGCGGTGGTGGATGGGTGATTGGTGATTGGTGAGGACCGACAGACGGTGAGTACGATCCTCCTTGTTCGTTCTCCATTTGCTGCTGAACTCCTGGTTTGGCATACTTCAGCCACTCTTCGTAGGGATGTAGCCATCTCTGGTAGGAATTTTTGAGAGAAGTAGACAAAGACGACATGATCTTCCCACTGTAACCCAGGTCTCTCCCAATTTCCGCCCATTTCTTATCTTTGCAGACTCTTTCGAAACCGCCTCTGACTTCGACAGCTTTCTTGAGCTTAAACAAGTCGAGTGGACGCTTATCGACACTAGGAAAGCGGTTGAGATGTTGACCGTACTGCTTATGGAATTTGGCAAGCTGGTCCAGGTAGTTGAGGTTTGTTCGATTTCCTGCTAGAGATGAGAAGAATACCCAATTAAATAGTATCAGAGATCTTACCTCCTTCGACAAGGTTGATCTCTTGCCGTCGAGTGCGGAAGTGGAAGCGCTATCATGATAAGTCTCCTCCAAAACGAAGTGTAGATAATCCTTTGCTCACCTCTGTATCGATAGCGAAATCTGGATTCCAAGACTCTGGAGGGATAATCTTGCAGAGACCAAATTTGCTAGCATTTGGCGCTATGCTTCGGATGTATTCCATAGGGTCACGAAACTCGGCTTCGGTCGGTCTATAGGTAGGCGCTTCGAGAAGCCCATATGGTCTTGATCTTGCGAGAGGATCACGACTCGCAGGATCGCCTTTGCGCTCGACAGTGCGCAGATCGAGAGGTGGAGCGTGTCGAGCACTGTAGGGAAAGGCCGGGGTGGCCATGCTAGGAGCGGCACCGTTCATCCGAGTGGCAGACGATGCTTTCGCGGCCGCAGTCGCAGGTGCGACACCACCAGTTGACGGTGGAGCGACCATGACTGTGCCAGTATATGTGGTCTGACCAGTGCTGATTCAAATATTGAATTGTCGGTATATCGGCCCAGCAGTGAGCCGCACAATACGCAAGCCGTGGCAAATCGAGGCCGAGAGGATATTGATGAAGAATTAAAAGAGGGTTGAGATTGAAATCTGGTCGAGACCGAGAGAGAGGGAACGAGTGGATGCGGGTAGCCTCGTGTTGTAAGTGGCAGTCTGAGGTTGAAAGGACCGCCCTAGTGCTACGGCAGCACTTTGAGTGGGATCGCTCACATGCGGAATGAGCAGAGTGAGCAGGCTGCGCGGTGCAGAGGACGAGGACAGTACGAGTCAGGAAAGAAAAGGTCGAAGAGTGATGGTGAAAGAGAGGGCAACCGAAAGGGCAGGCAATAGACCTAAAAGGCTAACGGCGTGTAGAGCAAAACAATTGGCTGAAGAAAGCGGCATCGTTTGGTTGGCGGAGGAAAGAGGAAAACCGCACATCATGCCAAAATGCGCAGTTCAGTCGCGCCTGCGCTTCTCGGCTACTCTCACACACGTGACACAGCTCCGGGTGCAGAATAAGCCACGCACTAGGCTAAAAGCAGCTTCCCCTCTCACGTGAACTCCCGTCTCATCGCGACCTCGAGAAAAGTACCTTGTCACGCTTGAGCTGTATCAAAGCCGTGGTGGGAGTTGTTGTTATTATCCACGGTCCCATTCTGCCAACAAAACAACCACTGCTCATCAGACATACCACATCTCCACGCAATCCAAGCCTGACAATGTGAAGTCTGTGACACCCGCTTCAACATATGAATCATTTCTCGCCACAAATTAAAAGTTGATAAGGGCCCCTACCTTAGTGAGCAACTCGTATTGGCTTTATCTTTGACACGTTTGATATCCTCAAGCACCACTCGGACAGGCTTGCTGCAGAGGTACGGTCCAGCTGGTGGCCATTTTCGACGCGCATACCGACCCTGCAGAGCAAAATTCATATGGATATCAAACCGATACCTGCATTCTATTGTTGCTACCTTCTGCGCTCAACAGTCCGCCACGCCAGCGTTTACGTCGGCTCTAGTCCAGATCCTGCCCGACGGCTTGGTCAGCACAATGGCAGAGTCCAGGGTGGTGCTGTACGGACATCTCGAGCCACACTCCGCCCATGGGAAGTGACTTGCATCGTGGCTGGCTTCCCCTCCAACATCGCCGCCCTCCAATTCGAATGGGCCTGGCAGAACTCCCATCTGACCCGACACATCACACCTAATGACCGCATCTCTTTCGCCACGACGCGCACCAAGACTTCCAGAAGCGGCAAGACAACAAAGAGACCCGGCAGACCGAGAACCTCGTTGATGGACAAGTTGTCAAATCTGCACCTGCTGCTCAGAGCATCTTACTTCTCCAAATGGCCTCTTGAGGTCCGCTTTTTCAACCAAGATGCTTACCGGTCCTGGGAAACCTGGTGTGAGCGAGTCGATACCAACATTTCCCCTGACATCAAAGTCCATTTTGACCCATCTCAAACACAACCTCACCAAGACCAGGATGAATTCACTTCAGCTCAGCCCCTGCAGAAGAGAAGAAAGGCAGACTTGATCGGCAAAGGCGGAGTTGATGGCGTCGACCCCACATATGCCCGTCTGCGTGGAGTTTTCGAGAAAAGTCAATTCCTCCTCGACGAAGATGATGAGCAAAAGTGTACTGTGTGCCACAGCGGCATCGACCTAAAAAAGGGCTTATTTGTCATCTGCCACACCGATCATTGTCGATCTATATCACATGTAACGTGCTTGGCAGAAACATCCCTGAAACAGCTGGGGTCAGCCTCACTTGTACCACGAACAGGATATTGTCCCTCGTGCAAGCTGGAACACTCGTGGCAGGACCTGATGCAGCAGGTGACTCTGCGGATGCGAGGTGTGAAAGAGATCAAGAGACTGCTGGGCAAGAAGGGCAAAGGGACCGCTGCGACTGCGGCAGAGATCCTGGAGGCTGAGAGTGAGGAGTCTGAGGCTGAAGAGGAAGTCCTTACCGCACAGGAAGTGGTTGATGAGGAGCTGGGCGATGACCAAGATTGTGATGATGCAGCGTCGATCGCCTCCACAGACTCATACATAAGCAGAGCGTCCGACTTTGAGGCTGGCGAGAAACCAGTGGTAAGCCAGCCAAGGTTAGAAATCGTCATCGAAGATAGTGAAGATGAAAGATGACACAACTTCGAGCGGTTCTATGCTGCAAGCAAAGGTCCGAGTCTCTGAAGGGGCCCTGGAGCACTGCCTTCCGCTAACTCTTTGACGCTTGCCGAAATCTCGGAGGCCACTTCGTCCATGGTTCGTCCAGCGTTCACTATCCGGACCGGGACATCGTCAAGTCTGGAGAACACTTCTTTAAAAAGAATCCGGACCCGTGCCTGCATTTTCTCGGTCTCGTACCTCTCGGCACCATATCCACCGCGTTTAGCTGCATCGGCCGTGGATATATCGAGGAAGAAGAGCGCGTCTGGCTTCAAGAGACCTATCTCCGGATACCAAGCCCAATCGAGCGTCAAGTCAGGATTCTCCTTGGCCGCCGAATAGACAGCTCCAGAAAATGAATAGCGATCGACTATAACAGTGACTCCATCAAGGATATCTTCCCGGAGGCCTTTGATAGCCTCCCAACGATTCGCCGAGAATAATAGATGAATAGAGTGGTCGTCCTGTTGAGCCTGGCCTGTCAAATAGCCATTGATCATTTGACCAGTAGGCGTAGTTCGGTCTGGGATGGGGTTAGCAGCCCAGAATGGTGTGAGAGACTTCTGGCCTACCTGGAAACTTCACGTATCGGACTTTTCTACCTTGTGCCTGGAGAGCGTCCAAGAGCTTCTGGCATTGGGTCGACTTGCCAGAGCGGTCAAGACCTTCGATGACAACAAGGAGACCTCTCTGTTGGTGGGAATCAACTGCAGCCATGACTTGAACAGCGGCCTGGCTTGCGTCGATCGACTGTGAAAATATCGACCGTGATAGCTCTACAGGACTACGGAGTATGTGTCTAGGCTAGCATGGAATTTGACAGCATGCTGAGCATTTGTATTCGGCCGTAGCTTGTAGATACGGTGGATCTCCCACTTGCGTGGTGCAATATCAATATGGACCGAGCGGCCAAAACTCTACGCAGGAAGAACACCACAAGTCACGGAGCATGGCACCATGGATCCGCTAGAAGCTGATTCACCTGCGCGACTATCGGACGCGATGCTGAAGTTTGTCCTCGAACATGCTGCTTCTTCAGAGACAGCCGCACGCCTGGGCCAATTGACTGCTTGGGGCAGACCTACGATCAATACACCTCACTACATTGCTCCCACATCCAGAGGTGTCATACCTCACTTGTCGCATGATAACCTGCAGAAGCACACAAGGATATCCGCGGTCTACGTACCTCTCGAAGATTGTACGTGTGTTCTCTCGGCGATAAGCTGTGCGCTGACTTTCTGGCTTACAGTTGGTGGATAATAGTCATTGAAAAGTCGCATGAAAATGCGCCCATCTACACTACCCCTACACAGGAAGGCGAAACTCCTCTGCGTCGATATATTGGCCTGCCAACCCAGTGCCTGTCTATTTTTGGCCCGCGAAGAGTTCCCAGCATAACTCCCCCCGCGCATAACACGAATTCTTCCATTGCAATCTCGACATCTGTCGGCTTTAGGTTTCTAGAGCTGGAACAGTACAATAATGCTCTGAAGAGACTAAAAGCGGACATCTCGATCAGCCTAGCGGATGTAATCCAGAGGGAGAATGCAAGCGTGAAAAGGGTTGAAAGAAGTGCTGACAGGACGCACGCCTGGCTACGAGATAGCGTTGAGGGCGGAGCGACGCAGAATTCGTTACCGTTCTTCGCCAGCTTACCTCCGCTCGAACCTCAGACGTTGTCTTTATATCTCGGCGACCTGCTTGATGTGTACAAAGAGCAGATATCGGGCTTATGTCTTTATTCTCCGTCGACATTGGCAGGACTGCCAGACGACCTTCGCCAATTACCGACCCTGTGTCTTAGCGACCCTACAACCCCGCAAGCGTTACTCGCAGGAGTCCATGCGGGCGTCGACATGATGACGGTACCGTTTGTGACGCAGTCATCAGAGCACGGGATCGCGCTGTCATTTTCATTCCCTGGATCGAAAAACCAGTCCGACAAGCCTTTAGGGTCCGACCTGTGGTCTACAGCTCATGCTACAGACCTTTCGCCCTTGAGTCCGGACTGCAAGTGTTACACCTGCCGGCGTCATCATCGGGCGTACGTACATCATCTCCTTCAAGCCAATGAAATGCTAGCTTGGACACTCCTGCAAATACACAATTACACGATCATCGATTCGTTCTTCGACAGCATACGCGAGAGCATCAAGCAAGGCACCTTCGTGGCGGACATCGACGCGTTTTGCCGAGCACACGAGCCCGAGCTGCCGAAACAGACCGGTCAAGGACCGAGAGTCAGAGGCTACCAAACGAAAAGCGTTGGTGGTGGAGAAATGAGAAAGAATCCAAAAGCTTACGGGAAGCTGGATGATCAGATGCAGAAGCTTGCTGAGGCCGAGTCAGGAGTTGCAACACCCGATGGCGATGCCAATCAGATCGAGGAACATGGCCTGGCGAAGAAGATAGAATAGTCATCGCGCCAGATGACCTGTTGCTCCGAGCCCGCTACGAGCTGAAAGCAACTATTCTAAGCCGAGAAGTGAGATGTTGGACGAGACAACCCAGCCATCAAGGTGGGAGAACCTCAAGGCCGATCCATCATTTCTGCGGTGAAGATATTCTTGTAGACAAGGAGGCATTTGTCCACCGTGGCGGTCACCTGCCCTCCACGGCTGCTCGTCTCTTGTATCTCCTTATTCAGATATTCTTGACAGCCTCCCTGATCAACGGCCCAACCTGTTTCCGACTCTTGCTCGTATCCCCCATCCACCATATCTTCCACTCGCCTTTCTCTCCCAGCCGCCCATTCAGGGCCTTTATCACCGTTTCATCCTCCTGCCACTTTCGAAGTTTCAGCTCCTCCGCGCGTGCCTCGAATTTCTCAACGACGCTCTTCACACTCTCATCCATCGCGAGCACAATGACCTCCTTCCCATCTCCCGCACGTGTTAACATGGCAAATATACCCAACTCCCTCCCTTTGTCTTTGGCAAACCGTTCGATCTCGTCAGGGAATTTGTCCACCCCGCCCGCGTGCTCGACAAGCCAGGACAACGGCTTGACGAGGCTCGATATCCCGATGTTGACCTCCTCCTCAGAAGACGTCCGTGGCTCAGTCCAACTCTTATAGTCCCGATCAAAAATCTCTTGCATATTCAACAGATTCAGTGAATTCGTTTTTGTCGTGCTGATCGCTCTGTGGAACGCATCTCTGTCCCATCCATGTTCTTCCATCCCACCCGACGTACGGTTTTCTTGAGCCGGTGCCTGATTGTCTTCCACAATGAATGATTCGAGAAATTTGACCACCTCTCGATCGAGATCGGAGCATTTATCCCCAGTGGCTTTGAGGTTCGACGTGTCTATCAATACGGGCGCAAGGGCGAGTCGGGCAATCTGCGTTAGTCCATCCACCTCACTTCCCTCCCTATTTTCATTCCCACGGCCACTCTCGCGGCCCTGGGAAGACGAACCCGAAGGCCACAGTCCCTCATCCCTCAAATGCTGCACGACAAGACTCGTACAACTTCCTATACCGGTTCTCACGATCCTCGGATCCGCATCGTCCGGCACATACCCTTCGTCGACGTGGTGGTCAATACAGCCCACAACATCGAAACGCGACCGTATCGTCTCGTCGGCCATTCCGGGTATCGCAATCGACGGAGCATTGTGGTCCACGAGGAACAATTCTTGCTTCTGATGCTCACCTACGCGACCCATATTTTCACCCTCGTCCGGTGCCCTTGTGTCTGCGTGACTTGACGTCGCGAAAACGTCATGCAAGGGCGACTCCCGGTCAGCTAACACGTCCGCAATAGTAATCACATCCTCGAGGATCTCCGTCTTGCCTTCCTCTCCGGCATCACCACCACCACCACCATTGTGGTCCTCATCATTACCGCCCTCCACGCGGCCAATCCTGCTCGGCGTCTCGCCCAGTGCCAATCTCAGCGCAACACCGAACTCGGGTCTCAAGCGCCATAGCTCGTTCGCTCTGACACCTGGGAGATTGAGGATGGGAACAAATATCCGGGACTTTGACCGGTCATTCGTCTGGTTTTCGTTGGCCCCGTCGCCCTTGCGTGGTGAGCGTGAATTGTAAAAGTAGGACAATACCACGGCAGATATGAAACTGTCTAGATCCGCCGAGGAGTTCCCCATCACCAGAGTCGTCCTCCCTTTCGCAGCATCGATACTGTTGGCGTTTGAGGACGCTTGCGATGATTTGAGTGCCGAGGAAGCCACTGCACGACGTATGCGTGGTAGATATGTAGACAGGGTTGGCATGACTTCTTTGGTGTCCATAGGTTTCGTTTGTTGGATTTCTTCTGCCATGGATGGTCGAGAATTTGAGAAATCTTTCCTGGAAGGAGGGAGGCAGTAGAAGCGTTCAAGCCCAGCCTTGTTCAAGATGCAATGGTGCAGGATGAATCAAGTATGACGTAGTACTGTAAAACACGGCCGAATATATTTTCTGAAATATCCCTTTCTCTCACGTCGGCGGCCATGGCCTCCACCTTACAAAAGGGCAGCATGTCAGTCTTTGCGCAGGATATTCCTATCTCGGACTTTCTGGTCATCATGATTGCTACTCCAGTATCTTTGTCGAAGGCAAAGTGTATATGATCGCGCGCATGCAGAAGTCATCATTCAGTCATCAAAACCCCCAAAGTGTGTTTGTACTCGTACAATATCGACAAATACCCTCCGACTAAGGTAGCTGATCCTCATCCACGGACATCCAGCCAAATCGAGCATCCATACCTTTTGCCAGCAGATGAATTCAACTCAAACATTGTCTCCGAACCTGTGCCCAAACTCTGATGTTATCTCAAAAACCCAATTGCTGGCAACTGCCCCCAAGGGCGCCACCCATGAAATGCGCAAAACTTTTCTTTAGCCATAAACCGCAAACGCCGGCACTCCAGGTTCATTATTGCAACCAGCCAGACACTAGACGCATTCCCACTCGCAGAAAACGCACCATCTCGCACTGCGGTCGGCCAGCACAAGCCCTCGCCAGGTACCACGTTCCTGAACCTTCACAATCGTCTCCCAGACACTTCCAAGAATCTCGCCGTCGACTTCTCGGAGGGCCGTCGGCTGCGGTAGTCCTTCATGCTTGCGATTGAGTCTGATGATCTTCCCGCTAGGACTTTGAACGGCTAATTTCGCTGGCTTGTCTTTAGCAATCTTGACACCTCCTGCTCCGTTGACGTGGCTGCTCTGCTCACTCGGATTACTCCCCGCGGCGCTACTGGTCATGCTCATAGCACTCGCAGGTCGCACTAGTGGATTCGGACTGACAGGACGTAGGTCGAAGCCATTTTGTTCGGTAGCTGGCGTCGAAGCTACCGACGCCGTATGTTGTCGGACACAAAAGACATACGTCTCACCAGCACCGAGGCGCAAACATTGAGGTTGAACAACGTACAAATCTTGCCTCGTGGCATGCGGTGTAGGATGTCTCAGCGCAAAGTCGTATGCAGGATTCTCACCAGACTGGTACAAAGGTAGTGCTAATGCGATAGAGTGAACAATATCCCTAGAACTGAGCATTAATCCTTTCTTGCCAGCATAGATTTTGAGAACAGCAACGCCTTCATCCCCGGGCAGGATAGCTTTCACGACGTATCGCTTCTGGCAGATTTCGGTATTCGGCACAGTTCGGTACCAGCTTGGTTGGGCCAACGCTCTCTTCTTGGTAATGTTTTCTGTGTCTTCGTATACATCCCCATCTTGATCGCGGAGATATTTCCTAGCCTCGACTTCCGCTACAATCTCAACGTCAGGAGGCACATTGATGCTTAAAGTGCACATCTCCAGTCCTTCCATCCTGATCACACTGGTATCGTATGCGTGCATTGACAGTCCCTGTCTGAAGAATGGGGGACAGGTACCAGGAAGACTCAGAAGCACGTCCGGACCGATACTCGGTATCATGTGCTGCTGAGGATCCTCGACAGGAACATGAGTCCAACAGATCTCGCTTGGTTTAGCAAGGAAATACCATGCCTCAGCTATGTTCGTGCCGATAGTCGAATATAACATCCTTTTTGGATTCGTCGGACTCGCAAGACTTGCATCCATCATTCTCCACTCGTTGTCAACGAGTACTGCGTTCCAGAAATGGTTGGGTCGAGAAAGGGCGTCCAAGTCAAGATCTTCGCCGGGTGTTTTGAGGTATCCTTGCACAACCTCAGCATGAATGCCGATGGCAGAGCACATTTCGACAACCAGAGCCGACACTTCCTGGCTGCTACCTCGCCTCGACTGGATCACTCTTCTCGTGTCGATGGGTGCATTGTAATTGTACCCGTCAATGCTGTGGTCTTCTTCCCAGCTGATCCTCTCTGCGCACCAGATGAAGATGGCTCGGAGTCTCTGAACACCACTTCGATATGGACGACAGATGAAACCTGTCGCCAGACTGGCGGCTGTGATGCTGCTTGGTAAGCTGGTAATAAACCGGGCTGCCTTATCTACCTGGCTGAAACTGGGATTGCTGAGCTGGAATGGTTCGTATACTGGTCGGCCACCAGCGTCCTCGTCGCCTTGCAAAGTCCCAAACATTTCTTCAACAGGGCAAATCACCGGCTGATCCAGCATGTGACAACGGTCGGCTCGTTCTTGTCGCTCTGAAGGTCCGGGTGTATTCGATCGATTGACGTCCCGGCGGGTCAAAATGTAGGCACCCGATGCTCCGCTGACCAACCCCATCTCTCGAGCAGCGTCTCTGCCATAAGCACCACCGTTTGTGCTCTGGACAGGCGCATTGAAGGCTGTACCTCCAGCAATGCCTGTCATTTTCGTAGGTGATCCTGCATTGCTCCCTGTCTGGCTCGCAGAAATGGTACTCCTGGCACTTGCTGCTCCCGTCTTTGCACTGTCCATCAGTTTCTTGAAGAAGCCAGGTTTCTTCGCCTTTGGCGTCATGAAGCCGCCCAGACCACCAGTTGCACTTCTGTCCGCATCTTCCCATCCTATCGCTGATTTTGCACCTTGCCTGGAGTCATGGTTGGAATGGAACGAGACTCCTGTTGTTGGGGTCGTCGGCCGCAAATCAGTCTGATCCCACCGATCGTTCCTCATCCCAGCGCTTGTCATAGGCCTGGCCACTCGATCCCGGATACTGCCCATTCTCTTCCTGGCAAGACTTCCAGCACTGGTCGCACTGAAGGCCCCCGCAGAGTATCCACTCATAAGGCTTTGACTAGTCATGCTCGACTGGTGTGAAGAATTAGTCGCGACACTCTGGACACCACTACTCGAATTTGTAGAGTTGGTCTTTGTTGTGTAGGTTCTTGCTAGTCCGTCGCCTCCAAGTTCATAAGCAGACTTTCTCTTCCGTATTGACCTCTTCCGATCTGCCATCGACGAAACCGGTCTTGACGCCCACGGGGAGTTCTTTGGTGGAGGCTCCGGAGGATCACTGCCCATGCCGTCGTCCGGGTCTGAGCCTTCTCGAGCCTGCTGCATCCGGCGAAGTCTGCTCTCCATCCTCTGGACATAATTCTCCAGCCTAGGAGGAGCATCGTGGAATCTATCGGGGCTGTTGTGGCGGCTACTGTAGTTGATACGTCCTTCTGAGTAATTGCTGCCTCCTGCGCCTAGCCCCAGGCTGGTCAAAGGTCGAGGTTCCGGTCTTCCATTTGGCCGGCGGAAATCATCGAAGGCTTCTGGCGACCATGGGTTGAATTCTTTCTCTTGTTCGTGGTGTGAACCATGTCTGACCAATGTCATGTCGTCGAGCGAAGACATCACTTCATCCATCGCGTTTCGTATCATGGGAGGGGTATGACCATTTAACGAGGGTGGAGCAGGTGAAGGCGTGCGGGAGAATGTCTGGTATCTGTCGTTCATATCCAATGCCTGAGGCGAGGGAGAGGGAGCCCGAGATAAATGGCCGTTGGGTCCTCCCAGGATGCGATGAGGTGGGGGAGGTGGTGGTGGTGATGATCCGATCTCATGGTGTGGTATGGGTGAAGGCGTTCTTGAAGGTGGTCGCTGCTGCCAGAGAACAGTAGACGGAGGATTTCTGGGGTCGTAGACAGGTTGACTTGACGGGGCAGGAGTTGTGGGTTGTTGCGGTGCAGGTGCTCCGTGGCCAGTGGGAGGTTTGGCACTCTTGTAGCCTTGGAATGGTCTTCTTGACTTTGCTCTCTCTTTCTTCTCTTGAATCTGCGCCAGAGAGTTCTTGCGCCCGCTGTCGCTTTTCTGCAAGTCGGGCATGGGACTGACAGATCGACTCATCGGCACGAAGCCGTCCTCGAGGACCACGACAAAGTTGGACGGAAACAAGCCCATCATCCTCTTGTCTCTCCTCAGTCTCCCCATCCACCATGAGCCATCTCCAGCATTGAGACATTCTATCAGATCGCCTTCGACGAATCCTAAATCCTTGTCCGTCTCGCCTCCCCAAGAGTAGACTGCGCGACACCAGCAAGGGAATCTGGTGGGTAGTTGAGCGGTTGCCATCGCTGGTTTGGTAGTATTATTTATGTTGTGCCTGAGGGTGGTGCGCGTTGCACAGAAGGTGAAGATGGCAGCATCGAGGCGACCCGTCAAACGATTGTGTTCAGGTAAAGGAGTGCTCCCGAGATGAGACTGCTAATCGATGTAACGAGTGAGTGTTAAAGACCACTTGAGTCCTTCAGACTATGCGACAATGGTGCTCGCGAAACGGAAGAAGCCCGTGCTGCGATACAACAATACGCTCGAGCAACACGAAGCGCAGCCAAACACGCAGAGTTGGTTGCTGTCGACATTGTTTACATTTGGGCCTGAAGCAGTCTAGTGCAACGGCTCTGTCCGAAGCCACCTTCTGCTGATTCGTTTGACCACACAGGGAAAGTTGTTGCCGTCTGACGTCCTGTCGAAGACCAGAATCGCGTGTGTTCTATGGACACTCCGTCCGTCAGACCGCAGCTCTTTTCACGGATCTCGGCATCTCGACGTTCAAGCGGCGATAAGATTTCATTGGACAGAGTCGTTAGATTCCATGCTTCACGTCGTTTCATTGGTCGAGGGCCTTCGGATTGCCTCTTGCCAGAATACCTGCTGATTGATGGCGTTGATTAATCCATAATACAATGCTTGAACGATATACTGGAGGTATATATCAAGCTATATCCCGTCTGGCTTCCTTTTCTCCTCCTATATTGAACCCCACCGACATCAAATTCGATCAATTCCACCGTGGTCGCTGAAAGTCAACGCTCTACTCCGTACCCCTATCTCTAATAGGCACATGCAGCATTTCACAGAAGCAGCCGAGGCTTAAGGCCGGCTTGCCAGCAGAGCCCCTTCCTGACTTGCCTGGAGAGAGTCAGGATTCTCCAAAATTGCTGGGCAGACCATTGATGCAGCCGTCAAAGCTCGATACAGCCGTCGAGATACTGATTCAACCGTCGAAGCATTGATACTGCCGTCGAAGGATCATCATGTCGTCCTGCATCCCGTCTCGATCTGCCGGGGTATCATTTACCCCGCCTGCCCGTCTTCTTGACCAACGAAAGAGCGAGAGGCACGGAGAAGCCGTTTTCGTCTGAGCTTTTTGCGGTGGCTGGCATCACCCTGCAGGCCGAGGGACGACATGATTGTCGCCCTTTCTGGGGTGACTCCACCATTGCCACCATCGCCGAGAGTGATCAACGAGCATGATGGGACCTCGAAACCCGTCAGCCAAGAAGACGCTTATGCACCATCAGCAAACCCTGGCCGCATGTCACCACGTTTCTGTCTTTTCGTCCAGATATTCGCCCAATCCAAAGTTCAGGATAAGTCGTTTAACGAGTCCGGTTGCAATTTGCGATGCATCACGGCCATCGGTTCCGAGGCCAGAATCAGAAATCGCCTGCTTTCGGACATCTCGTTGTGTTGCTCGCAACACTCCTCGAAATCATGACCAGAGTCAGCCCAGATCTAGGTGGGTTTCCCAAGCCAATTCCAAGACCTTGGCTCGCCGCTAGGGGCAATTTCCCAATTGAAATCCCCAGCAGGATGCAGGTCAAACCGTCATCTTCAGGCACAATATGAACACCATTTGAAAATGAAAACGATACGAGAACTGCACTTCGGTCTGTAGGCAACGAAAACTGGCCTGCAATAGATCGGCATTTGATGATTTGTAAGTGAAGACAACTACTGTACGACCCAAGAATACGGCCGCCCGGGTCTAAGTCACCCGATGCATGGGCTACCACCTTGATGGCCACAAGCGCAGAAATGTGGCCGCAAAGGCATACCCCGGACTACTTTGTGGCACTGACCAGAATTCTGGGGTTGTTTTCCCGCTCGTGGTGGTTGGACTCCTGTCCTACTTCCGCTCTGAGCCTATCGCATCGAGTTTGTGGGATATCTCATCTTCCTCCTAGTCTCCTGATCCTTGCCTTTATGCGTTCTGCCCATGCATCCTAGGTCCTTGGCCAACGCCTCCAACACTGCTTCTTCTGGAGCTTAGGATTCGGCTATGCAGCTTGTCAGCTACTCAGCGGAGCCTCGAATCTTCCTCCATCAGTGCCTTCCAGATCAGGTATTTAGTTCACATATCTCCCACCCCCAAACTCCCTGATTCCTCACACTTCGTCTTCTACTATCCTTCGAATCACTTTTCCTTCCATCATAGCCCAAGATGGACGCCCACACAGCCACCACCGAGAAGAATCTCGACATTGATCAACTCGAGCGAGCCGAGACTCAGGTGTCCATTGACTCCGATAAAGTCAACGATGCTCGCATCCAAGCTTTTACCCCAGCAGAGCAGAAGAAGATCATCAGGCGTATTGACAGACGGCTGGTGCTTACGCTCGGTCTCCTTTACTGCGTGTCCTTGATGGATCGAACAAATACTGGTATTGCGGTCGTCGCTGGTATGGGTGTCGACCTCGTCCTTATCGGAAACCGATACTCGATCATCGTCCTCCTCTTCTTCATCACCTACGTTCTGTTGCAGCCACCTGCTACCGTGGTCTTGCGAAAAGTTGGACCTCGCATTTTCCTCCCATCCATCACCCTCCTCTGGGGCATCACCATGATCTGCTTCGGGTTTGTGAGAGAATGGGTCGATCTCATCCCTCTCCGATTGATACTGGGTGTGTTTGAGGCTGGCTTCTTCCCTGGTAAGTGCTAAGGTCCTTATGACAAAGGGACCCCCCACTGATGATGTGCAGGCTGTGCGTACCTACTTAGCTGCTGGTATCCCCGCTACGAACTGCAGAAGCGAAATGCCGTTTTCTACCTCATCGGATCCATGGCTTCCGCCTTCTCTGGTATCCTTGCTTACGGCTTCTCTCAACTCAAAAACCACGGATCTGGACCCGAGTGGTGGGGACAACACTACGGTCCTACTAAGGCAAATCCCGATGCTCCGTCAGGAATTCTTCCTGGTATTGCAGGTTGGAGATGGATCTTCATCCTCCAGGGTGTCGTCACTTGCGTCATGGCAATCGTCTCATTCCTGTTCATCGTGGATTTCCCCGAGCTCTCCACCAGGAGCTTCGGACTGAAATTCCTCAACGAGGAAGAGGCCGCCTTTGTCGTTGCACGCATTGAAAAAGACCGCCACGATGCCATCCCAGAAGACTTCAAATTGGGCAAATACCTCAAGCACGCATTGGACCTGAAGGTATGGGGGTTCGCTGCTCTCTTCGGCCTCACGACCACCAACACCTATGCCATTGCGTATTTCCTTCCCATCATTCTCAACGAAGGCATGGGCTTCGGGGTGGCTGCTTCTCAATGTCTCATCTCACCTCCTTACGTCCTTGCCGCCATCGTCATGTACGCATTTGCGTATCTTGGCGACAAATGGCATCTCCGGTCCCCTTTTATCCTCATTAACGGAGCCCTGCTTCTGATTGGCAAGTTGACCACTCTCTTCAGGTCTCTTGTCATGCTAACGAATATCTGATAGGCTTGCCCCTTCTTGGCTATCTTGACAATGTGGGAGTTCGCTATTTCGGTGTCTTCATCGCTACAACAGCTTGTAACGCCAATGGTAAGTCTACTATTCCCCGTACGATTTATACCCTGGATGCAGGAATATACATATCTCAATATCTCTCCCCCAAAAAGCTGTGCTGACGATTTCTAGTCCCCTGCGTCCTCACCTGGCAAGCCAACAACATCCGAGGCCAATGGAAACGCGCTCTTTGCTCGGCCACACTTGTGGGTGCCGGAGGTATTGGTGGTATCATTGGCAGCACCGTTTTCCGCTCGCAAGATTCGCCAGAGTACCACCCAGGTATCCTGACCTGCATGATCTCTAGCGCACTGATCATCATCATCACTTTGGCTCTGGACTTCAAGTTCTGGCGCGCCAACAAGCGAGTGGACGCTGGAGGCAAGGCTATTGAAGGCCTGGCAGGGTTCAAATATACCTTCTAAGGGCCTCACGTTTGTGCGCGGAATCGCTCTTCAAATGCCCAAAGTCGGAACTTGGTCAAAGCAGGGCTGGGACAGAAAGTGCTTGAAGATTGAAATCTAGCTTTCTCATCTCATTGGGATAATACAATGCAAGGTTATACTGGTATATACGTGGTGACCATGTGATCTCAACATCTCGTACGGGGTTTCACGGGCGACATACAGCCTGTGCCGTTCTCGTTTGGTGTTGCATCCAAAGTCCAAATCGAAGTCCACGTCCACGTCCACGGCACCGGGTCTTGGATCCATCCGAACCACGTTGGAAACCTGCATAAAGATCCTGGCTGCATTATTATCTGCGAGTTACTGGCCACCTCCCCCTTCAGTCGAACTCCATATGCCAACATATACTCCGTAGGCGTATAGTAAATACCGTAGGTGGCGAGCGGTGGGTCGTGTGCTAGGTACACTTTTCTCCACAATCGATCTTCCTTTCCCGCCCGACGCTTTGAGTCAGGCAATATACATAGTACTGTATCAATCTCCATCTCAATCTCATGTTTCGTGAGGAGTCAGGACATGACAGTCAAGTCGCAGGCAAAGACTCGACGTCAAAAGAACACGCCAATCCCAAGCATCCACATTTCGACCGAAGCTCTCACACTCCAACCCGACGTCTTGGCCCGCGACGGCCTCCGAGGTATACGAAGTGTGCCGTGCACGGCGCACGCCATGATGATAGTACTAGTACATGACTCTTTTGATCCGCCGAGCCCTGCCTGAACCAAGACTAGCACCGACACGCACCGACTACACACTGTAGGCGCTGGCGCTCCTTCGCTTCAAGCGGGTTTGAAGCGCTCGGCACGGCTCCGATCGTGCTCACACCTCATCACCCCATCACCTCTCCTTGCTGGCCCTTGCTGACTGCAATTGGCCGGGCAGTGCCGGTCTCTACAGTACCATTGTATGCACGAGTCCTTGAACATCCCACCGGCATCTTTGGACGAATCATTGAACGCCTTTACAAGTGATTGACCTCGTCCTCTGTTGGCCACACATCTCGACGACAGTCTCGCTGCACCTGCTCGTGTGCTTGTCCCGATTAGGTCTTTGCATTGCTTGCCTGCTTGCTTGCGTCGCCCACCTGCACCCACATCTATCCTCTGCCCTTGGGGCCCATCCCATCAGCCAAGAGGCTGGGCAAAAGCCACCAGGATCGCGAGGACCGCGAACCCGCCTGGGCATCTACTCGATAACGTAGGTAAGTACAAGTAAACTACCTCGGCAGGCGGTAATTGACGACGAAGATAATTCGTCTTCGTCTTCAACCGGTGGCGCACGGGAGACAAGCCGGGCCCGGTTGGCCAAGGGCAGGCTGGGGGAACGACGTGGACGATCACATCATATGCCAAAAGTGTGTATCCCGGCACCCCCAGCTTTTTCAGCTCAGCCCATGCGTGCCTATGGTCAAAGGCTAAAGCAAACACGACTCGTGGCTTGAGTCTAGGCCACGCCTAGAATTCTTGACTTTCTCGGTCTCGGATGCACGCCATGCGAACGCCTTCGCGCCGGGGATCCTGGCTTGCTTGGGAAAAGCGTGGGAAAAGCTTGCCCCGCGTCGAATACGAGGTGTCGACAGCACGGGCACCCACGGGGAAGGGGGCGGCGGCGATCGATCTAGGGGCGAAACGTCCCGAGGCATTACAGTACATACACCAAATCGAGTAGATGCATTTGGCATGACAACTCGATAGTCGACATGGACGGCTGTGGACGTCCCGCCTAGGGTGCAGAGGCATTGGTTAACCGCAAGGCAGTGAGATACATTGAAAGCAGAACTCATTGTTGAAGCTAGTCTCATCATTGTTCTGCAATTCGTGCTCGTCGACTATGCGACTCGCGAATCTCCATGACATCCGCAAAGGAAATCACCAAGGTTCGATCACCCTTTCCCCAGTATCTTGGATCACTTTCCGCCTTTTCATCTGCTTTTCAGCCATAATCTTACACAACACCCCAAGCTGCTCGTTCCTCGCCCGTCAATAGTCCAGTCCACATCCAGTATCAACGAAGCATTCGGTCCCACTTGGCAGTACGCGCTGCGATCTCCTGAATCATTTCATTTCCCCATCCGTTCAATGACAATCCTTTTCTCACCTCACCACTAGTTCTCCGTCACATTCAAGCTGTCCATGTCGCTGATCAAGTCATCTTCAAAGTCTTCTCTGCGCAGGAAACGTCCCGACAGCACTCTTCCCATGTGCGTATGATTCCACTCGATACCGAGTCGGCGCATGTTGATGAATTCCTTGAGCAATTTCACCGGACTCGTCTTGAACGTGCATTCTGTCCAACCATTCGCTTGCCGACAAGCCGATGACACAAAGTTGTCGTTCGCAACCTCACGTCGGAGCGTTAGAGGACGCTCACCATCCCAGAGCCCGATTAATGTACATAGTTTGCGGTAGTCCTCGAACGTGGTGAAGTATAACTGGCCAGCAAACAAGTTCAGAGTAGTGATCGCCTCGCCAGATATACCAGGGACGTGGTCGCGCTCAGGTACTCTGTACACGCCCATCGAGTCGAAAGCTGCCATCGATCTGCCGGTGCGTGCTTGGTAGAGTATCAGGGTTGAACGCTTACTCCGGCGTATGAGTGGCAGAAAGGCCTGAGCCTCGTTAGGGCTAATGATGATTGGTTGCTTGACACCAGCCGCTTTCAATACCCACTGAACGGGCCGTAAGAAGTCATCTTGCCCCGAATCATTTGTAGTTTCAATGGTACGCAAAAAATCCTCCGTAACAACCACGTGAATTGGCCAGTCCGTGCGAACGTACTGAGACTTGAGTCTGGTCTTCTTCAGTGTGTCAAACGCTGGGAAGCAGCCGGCGGCAGTCTCACGAGGAGGTTTACCATGGCGGATGAGATATTCCAACCCATCCCAGGCGTTTGGTTTAGCTGGTTTGCCTTCTCGAGCTCTCTGGACCTCTCTCTCTTGCTCGATCTCATGAAGCACTTCACGTTCTTGCTCCTCTGAGATACCACACGTTGTGAGATCCGTAACGTCAATTCGCTCCCACTCCATCAGGAGGTCGCTCATGATTGTGTCAACTCGCTCGTCGGCGGATGGTTCAAAGGCGATTTTCCGTTCCTGGCGGCTTCTGACGCCATACAGCTCTGTGACGGGGCGACTCTCGCGTTCCCGGATTGTTTCAAGGTATCTGTTGGGATCACTCACCTGCCCATCATCGGATAAGTGCCGCATAGAGGCGATTCGCCGCCGACTGTGTGAAAGCCCTCGAAGAGTCCAAATTGACTTTTGGCTCTTCAGCGCCTGGCACGATTGGTGAATCGCCCAACGAACCACATGGGAGCTGTCAACGGGAGCTGCAGGTTGCTTCAAGAATGCTCGAATGCTGTTGTCCACCTCCGGTGGAGCAAAGAATCTCACTGACTGGGACACCGCCAACTTTCTCATTCGCATGCATGCTTGCGCTAGATTATCCTTGAGCAAACCAGGTCCGAGCAGTACACCTGCCTGAAAGTGGTCAGGAAGTTGAAAGTCTGTGCCGCGAGTATGGAACTCATCAAGATAGATGAGACACCCACCAACTTCGTCCTTGAATATCGAAGAGACGAATGGTTCTGCTGTACCGTCACGATTGAGCACCATCTTCTCGTCATTGTCATTGAAGTATACCGCTGCCATCTTGGCTTCCTGCAGTCCCAGCCACTTTGCTGCGACGTCTCGGTTGCTTTCCAGTATCTGAGCCCCGACGTCAATAATAACTGAGGGGCTGGGCTGCTGGTCGACGATAAGGCGCAGAAGTTCATCCGTGGAAAGCCGCTGGCCTGAGGCGGAAGCTGCGCATACGTAATTGCGATTGTCTTGTCGGAGGAGAGTGGCCAATGTCGAGGCGGTGGAACGTCGCAGATCTTCCAAGTCTTTCTGGAAGCAGGTTGAAGGCACTCTGCTATCGCAGGTACCACTAAAGCCGGAGGTGATTTTGCCGCCGTCGATGGCACACAGGTCCCAGGCGCTACTCGAGAGCTTATGCTGAAACTCCTTGGCTTCGCGAGGGTAGACCAGGAAGCGAAGGAAGAAATCGATCACAGCTCTACTGTTTTTGAGATGGCCGTACAATTCATCCAGGAATGAGGCGTCGTCCAGGTTGATGCAATTGGAGCTGCGGTATTTGCTGGGAACACTGCTTTCGCGCACCCAAGTTGCGTACTCGTGGGAAGGGTCTGAAGACTTTAAAAGTACGATAATGCATCTGCGGAGGTCCTCCCGCTCGACTCCCGTGTATAGCCACGACAAAGCTGTCAAGATAATCATCATCTCTGGCTGCGCAAATTCTGCACTGGGCGAGGGAATCGATTTTGCGCGATAAGGGACCGCTGACAGACATCGTGAGCGATCCAGGCCGTAGTTCACCAACCATCTCTTGCGAAGCGCGTGTGACAATATTTGGTGCGAAATCAGACCTCGGACAACGTAGAGAGTATTGAGTTGTGCCGAACTCCGGAAGTGTTGTCTGACCTTCTCGTACGTAGCATCATCAACATCCATGTCACCTAGGAATGAGCTAACAGCTTGCAGTACTTCGCTGTTGCAATGGCCGAGAGGGAGGCTTGCCAGCTTACCTTCAACGATTTCTTGGACGATGCGCACTGTCAGTGCCTCAGCACCATCATCACTCAATATGCGAATGTGCGGAAAAGCACCATGGCCTCTGATCTCATACTCAATCCCTTCAGGTAGCTCGTGGTGGAGCTCGGCCACAACATCTTGTAGAAGTGCAAGTAGTTCCAAGGCTATAATCCATCGATCTGGAGCGCCCGAGAGTATGTTCGCCTCGCCATTCGTGTACACCAGCTCATATCCCGGTTTTAAAAGTTCGTCACTTTCGTCCAGAATGTCCCGGGAATTCCGATCAAGCCATTGTTGCACGCGTATAAGCTCAGTGGCAAGTCGGGAATCGTCGCTGCTTAAACGATCAGCTCCAACAAGACGAAAAGAGTTTTGATGCTCAGGAAGGCTCAGGAGAACGCCTTCTTGTTGACGGCATTCCTTGTAGAGGTCCAATAGCTGAGGTGCGGTTTCGGGAGTCAACACAGTCGATCGGGAGAAAGGTAGATAATACACGGTTCGTTCGCAAAGTCCAGCCAGGCTGCGCGACAACTGGCGTAGCATCTCATTTGCGAGAGGCTTCAGCACAACCACTCGAACGAGATGTGAACCGTTAGCTAGCGCTGTGACAACCATGGGCAGAATCACGGATGTCTTTCCCTCACCCATCCCTAGCAGAACAAGGCCATTGTCACGCTCCATAATCTTGCGGGCAACTCTGACCTGGATGGGCCGTATCAATAAGTTATTCTGGATTTCAAGCAGCAGCCAGTCTGGGTGTTCTCCAACTGACCATGCGTCGTGGGCTGGGTTCGCTAGTTCTTGTTGGAGAGCGAAGTCATCATCGGCGGCAACATATCGCTGTATGCGTTCAATGCGTTGAAGTGCAGTAATCTCCTGCGCAAAACGCGTGAGTATCTGGACCCATTTTCGTGGTACTCGGCTCCTATGTTGTGCAGACAACAGCTGTAGCAGGGCCATCTCATTGACCTGAGGCCAGAGTCTAGCCTTGATGAGGCCTTGTGCTGCATCATCACGAGGTTGAAGCAGCTCACGGCAACGATGAAGGAGGTATGAGATACGCTTCTTGACCTCTCCGGCCTTCCGAATCAATGCCAACGGCTCGGGCACGTCGAATTTTATCTTGACATCGGTGGCCTTTTGTCTTAAGGCAGTAATACTGTCGCGCAAGAATCGTGCATAGGGGCCAACGATTTCACTAGATTGATCCTCAAGGGTTTCAACCATTGATTCGAGCTCGTTCGTGGCGCGCCATACATCACGAGTATCTCCACTTCGTTGGCTTTCTCTTATGGCTATCGTCCGAGTAAGATCGTAATCCAGTTGACTAGGTTCACTGGCATTGAAGTCGTCCATGCTGACGTCCACAGAACGCATGATGTCGAGCAGTGCGAAATGAGTAGATTGAGTACGACGACATCCGCCGTGGGTCAAGTCAACAATCGTGTTGATCGGATTTGGACCATGCCATAACCGATTGGTCGTCATCAGGCATTGATCAAAAGCGTCGAGCTGAGACAAGAAGACATAGTTCTTGTGCCAGGCTGCAAATTTGACATTCAACAGTTGTTCCAGAGCACCGAGCTCGTAGCGGTTAAGGGTCCGTCGAGAGGGTAGTGTGACTGAGGTGCTCGGCCAAGATGACTCGACTGCAGCAAGGATCTGTTGGCGTTGCTGGGCCAGGTCCTGGATGAAATCCTCCTCCTGAGATTTCTTATCCGCTTCCTGCTCATTCTCAGGAGCTTCTGAGTCGGTGACGGGCATGAACTCTTTTTCACACTGCCTAAGGATCGTCTCAATATCGTCATGATTAATTGCATGTCCCTGTTTCAAGTCGTAGGAATTGTGTTCAAATGGAGGAAGATTTCTCAAAGCAGGAGAAATAGCCAACACCAGAAGGGTCCTCAGCACAGGGGCGTTTTGTGGGTTACCGAATGCCGTAAGAGAGAGGATGAAAACCAGTTCTTGCTTGGAGACCGAGGGTGAACGGCAAAGATTGAACAACCGTGAGAAGTGCTCCTGCATAGGGTCGGCGAGTAGATTGGCAAACGAGGTGAGTTTAAATTCATCGTGGAAGCCAACAACCTCCTTCCAGCCTCGTATCACTGGTTTGAGGCTCGAGACACTGAAAGTTGACGGCCAGGTGTTAACAAGCCCAGCTATGATAGAAGCAGCCTCTCCGTTTGAGCTGATGTTACGATCTCGCGACTTGTACTGATTGTCCTGTACGGCGTCGCCGCTCCAGGAGACCGAATCCGTTGGGTATAGCTTGCAAGTATGCCGGTGGGATCTATCCAAGAGAAGTTGATCTTTAGCATCATTGGAATAGACGAGAGACTTGACTTGAGTGTCGAAGAGAAAATTGGCCTTCTGATTGTGTGAAATGATGGCCCCAACACTGCCAAAAAAGATGTCACGCTGAGCATAGCTGGAAAGCACATTGTGGAACTTATCACTGTGCATCACTTGCAGATGCTGTGGATACCAGGTTCGTCTTGGTGATAGTTCAGCTGCCGATTGCAACAGCTTCTGAGCACGCCGTGAAAGGGGGATCGAAGTCTTAGTGATCGAATCTGACAAGTTCAACAGGCTCTCTTCAGTGCCTGTGCGACCAGTGAGAGCATCTGGTTCGGGAAAGCTCGTAACAGCGTGAAGAAGTGCTTTGTAGATATGCGACTCTAGATCTGAGCTGATCAATTGTCCAAGCCTATTGTCAATGCGATACTGCGAGAAGGACAAGTAATCGGCACTGCCAAGGCGGACGTCGACTTTGAGATGAGGAGCAGCCGCAGTGAGGGCCAGATCTCCATTTGGAATCAGTACAGTTCGAACGATTGACCCGGGTGCCTTCCCAACAGCACGCAAAACCAATCGAGATTGTAGGCCATGCAATGTACCAATAGCCTGAAAGCTATCGACGACGGCAGAGAACTCTTTGCACTTGATGTCACCTGCTCGGGTCACACAGAAGTGTAAGCGGAAGCGTGGCAACCAAATTTCGATGCCAGTCTCATGATTCTTTGACATGACGATATGATGTCTCTTCTCGAAACGCTCAAAGGTCTGGCAAATGGCGCGCCCAACAGGGCTGCCATAATCTATCAGGAAGGATTGATCAGTGCGCATTGTCGTCGTTGTTTCTGAGTTGACAGCACGACGAAGAACCCAGTCTGAGTTGCACGTCTTCCACGGGTTCTGACTGCTCCGAAAGGCCACCGTGCCATCATCTAGATCCATCCAGGGTATGCTGTCCTTGACAAGCAGAGTAGGCAGGTCTTCAAGAAACTTATCTCCTAGTAGGGCTTCAAATTTCTTGCTCTCGAGTTGGGAGCGAATGAGCAGCACTCCATCTCGCATGCCCAGATAGACTTGGTGGCCTTCGAACAGGGTTCTGGACATGTACTCCATATCTTCAACGTCTGCAGTAAAGACATCGAGATCCAAATCGCCGAAAATTGAGCGATAAAGCACATTGACTCTATACTCATTAGGAAGCCGTGACAACGGACGACCACACACAAGGAGGTTGCCAGTGGCGAGATTGAAATGTACGCTCTTCGAGAGACATTTATTTTCAAGCCACGAAGTGTCACTCTGGTGTGTTGTTTTCCATCTGAGGTCAAAGGAGGCGGACTGCCAGAATCGTTGAATACCTCGCGAGATTGCTGATGAATTTGCGGCTAGCCATGAAAGAAGCGGTCTTTGGAATAGTCGAGCCTTGTATGAGTCGTCCAGAATGTCAGAGTGCAACTTCACGTCGTGGTCAGCTTTGGATTGCTGATTGAGATGATCATGCAAATAGATGGACGCCTCAATATAGTCCTCAGCTGCAACAGAAGTGAAGCACAAAGTTGACTGAAGACAATGGTCGAGGTCATAAGTGCGACGGGTCAAGATACAGCACTTGACCATTTGGCGTGAAATGTCACCAAGAGACACCTGGACATCAGACGCGCCTCTTTTCTTCGCATGAAGATCAGCAAGTTGGCGAATCCATTGGATGCTGGCACGGCGTATTCGTTGGAGCAAGGCCGTACACTCGTCTGAACAAGCAGACACCAGAGAGCATATCTTGAGGGCCAATTCGAGGAGGACGCCTGCGGCTGTGGCCTCTTTCCAGTTTGTCTCGATGGCCGCGAACCGAGTCGCGAGCGCTTTAACAAGCGCGCGGCAGAAAGACAGCTTAGTGAGTTCAACCTGGCTCTCCCGAAGATAGTCGGTTTTCATCCGAGCAAGCATTCCAACTTGAGAGGTAGCGTGAAGGAAGAGCAACGCAGTGAGCGGCGAATTCAGGTCTATTTCCGAAGACATGAGGGCCGCTAAGACATTGATGTATTGCAGCCTCTCGCCAGAGCGCAGTGTCCCGAATAAAATGTATTCATGCGCGCCCATGTCGATTGGACAGGCTGAATGACTAGCAATGACTGAATTCTGCGTATGGGTGGTGCCGTTCACCTGTTGATGGACATGACCTCCACCCCCAGCAAGAAGCTTCGATTTGCAATATTGTTTTAACGAAGGTGTTGCCGTCTGCTCGGATGTCCACACTGCGGCCTTCGCGGAATCGTTCATTCTGAAGTTCATTGCGTTCTTGACAAATATCTCATCAATCACGAGCCCAGCTTTGAAGTAATGCGCTTTGTTCATAGGCTTGACAGATGACGCGATAGTAATGCGCCGGGTTGTATGTTGAGCATGCTTTCGGAGGTCCGGGTAGGAAAGTAGCTGTTGCTTCGGCATATCTCCTTGAACAGTAGTGGTCCTGCCCACTTCTTGCACTAGATACCAAGTGGTGTCGCGCCACAATACTATCTCCTCAGGCGCACCCAATTCGAATAGAACAGCCATCAAGTGCACCTCGATATCGGGCAACGGCCACTCGTGCTTGTCAATCTTGATGTTTGCGGCTTCTCGTGCATTAGCACATTTTCGACAGTAACGATCATGCTTTCTCTTGCCCGCTCTTGGTCCGTAGAGGAAGGTAAACTTGTCATGCTGTGCGTTTGCCGCTTCTTCCTTGAGGCGCTGGTATTCTTTCTTCTTCTCGTCCCACTCACGAGACTTAAACTCTCTGGCAGAATGGGCTTCTCGCTCGATCTCGGAGCGCAAACGAAGCAGCTCCCGCGATTTTCTGTAATATTTGACCGCAAAACAGTCCGAGGTCGGGTCGTTGAAGAGTGAAGGATATCTGTTGTTGCATCCCTTCCAACGATCCGAGATGTACTCCTCTAGACGTGCCAGTCTTTCCAATTCGCACTTCTTATTGAGCAGGATTGGCTCAAAGATCCCGGGGTCGATATCAGGGGGATAATCCAGCAGCAATGGCTGCAGTTTGGTGACAATTGTGTCCAGCGTCACCCATATATCAAACATGGTGAGCAGCATCATTGACATGCGAATTGGGTTGCCGTTGTATTGCTTCCTGGCGAAGTCATGATAGACGGGAATGAGATTAGAAAGTCCGCTGCAGCATTCTCTACGAGTCCGATTGGCATCTAGCCAGTCATCCAAGTGATCTGCTACCCATTGCTCGAAATCTGCAAGTCCGCATAGAGGGTCGCCGGAGTTGTAGAACATGTCTGCCTTCGGCAAGATCCCGCTCTGCAACTGTACACGGTTTTGAGCGGGTGGCTCATAAGGGGTAGAGCGATAGGAGTAGCCTGTCTTGGAACGCCCCAATACTGCGTTGACGTAGGAGGTACTCTGCTTGAGGGTGAGTTGATCGGTGACAGTCAATGTTGGAACGCTCGGGACACAGAATTGTTCTCGTACAGTTACTTTGCGCCATTGTGACTGCATGTCCGCGTCGATGCGCTGCTGTGTCTGCCGGACAATACCTTGCACGGAGGGCAGAGTATCAGTACCCAGTTTGGCATTTCGTCGTGCAAGCTTAATACGCAGGACATGGAGCTCGTCAGGGCCTGGGTCGTCGTCCAGCACCTCTGTCGCAAAGCTCGAAAGGAGATATAGCATGAGATTCTTGTACAGAGAATATCCGTCGTCGGCCAGCCCTGCGTTCTGAAAAGCAATCTGAAGGGCTACCCGGACAGACAAGTAAACCCCAGAGCGCCGCCAGGGCCTATCTGCGTCCTTCCAGCAGATATCATCATGAGTACGTTTGCGGATCGTGGGGCTGGCCGTTGCCTTGCCTCGAGTGCCGAGGATTCCGAAAAGCCATTCAGTGACCATCATTGGATGAGCTGATTGTCGGTCCTCGGAGACGACGTTCTTGCCCTTAGTCGTTGTTTCCAATGCAATGCGCAGTTGCTCCACAGAGAGGTTGAAAATCGCGGTTCCCAATTCATGTATGAACTTTGTGTCTTGAAGGGCTTCTTTCGGTAGGAATACTGCGCGGGCTGGGAAGGTTCGGAGAAGAGCATCTTTAGTGGCCATCACTGCGTCGGTGGTAGGCAGAACCTCGAAGCACTCGAAAACAGCGCCAGTGGACCGGTTTCGAACGAGGAGGGTAGCATTCTGCGGTTTCATGTAGAAGAAGAGGACATCTGGAGTAAAATGAGCTTCGTCTGAGAGAGGACTCGAGGGCTGCTACCTTCATTCCGCATGTTTTGTAGCTTGTCAACGATGACTTCGCAACAAGGCGTCCCGGCTGCGTAGACGTCAATCCATTTGGGAAGCGACGGCAGCAACTGCTCCAGAACGCGGGCATCGCTTGTGCCGACAGGCATTGACCGCCAAAACTCTCGAGTTGCTTCGTAGAGTTCTTTGAGCAAGAAATCGGCACCCTCTTCACGGTGATCAGATTGCGGAAGTTTTGGAGGTAGAAAGGCATGCTCGTAGACAAATCGACGAGCGGTTGAAGGCATGGTGATGCGCGCCGCCGCCGGTGAGGCCGCAGCAGTCGCCGCCTTCCTTCACCCAATGATGATTCCAGGCTCCCTATGGATTAGGGCAGTTCGGGCAACAGTCGGAAGGTTATGTTGCATGATCAGTTGATGGAGAGGGAGAGAGAGAGAGAGAGAGAGGTGGAGGTAAAAGTAACTGACGGGGGATAGGCAGAAGACTTTGTCCTGCCATGGGTAAAACAAAACCAAACATTTGGTGAAGTGATAACAATGCTGAGTGAATCTGGAGTGACAAAGGTAGCAAAGACATGTGAAGAATCATGCTCGAACGTGAGGCAGAGGAACACTACAAGCGGTACCTAACTTGGGAGGTCATCCTCATTCACTGCCGTCGCGACCAGCTATTTCTAGCTGTAGTTACATTCTCTGGTTGGAGTGGCAGGGACACCGCTCGACACAGAAAAATAAGGTACCTTTTGTATGTTTCGAGTCTCTTCACGCTCATCAGTGGTAGAACCACTCACAGCAATAAGAATTGCTAGTTGATAAAAATCTCTTCACCTATCGCAAGACATCCGTGGTCGGCTATGTTGTGCAAAGAAAGAGCACAAAGCATCCTTGGTAGACGGCCAGTGCCCAATTCCTCCAGCTACAGCCATCTTCCCTAGCTTCAGGATTTCAGGATCTCTACTAAGGAGCAAAGTACGTGAGCGACCTCGGACATCATCTCGGAGGGGCCGACAAATTGAAATATCTGAAGAGGTGGTTCGGAGATTGATAGTGTCTTGACTCGATTGATGTTGTTGAGAAGAAGTGGCAGAAGACGATGAAGTTGGCTTTTGCTTCGTGAGATACTCCGGACGCAGTGATTGTGATTGGGCCGAGCTCAATCGCCACGGATTGCTTGGAGCTGCATGTTCATTGGCTATGGAGGTGTGGCTGTGATTCCGAAGTTGCGTCACCAATTCTGGTCTCGAAGGCACTCGGGCATCACGATGATGATGAGCCTCACTCGTATTTGAATTTCCAACACCGATCCTTCCGTTCATATCTTCTTGCTTCTCCAGGTAGAGACAAGGATAAAAGTCTTCTGTGCTTCTGAGCATTATCTTTCCTTCGCTTACACCACATTACACACGCCCCAAAATCCCTACTCATATCGCCCGCAGCTATGTCTGCCCCTTCTGAACCACCCCCATCCTACGCAGTGGCCACTGGGTCATCCACTGCCTCATCAAAACCTCCAGCTTCTTCACATCTTGGAGTCCCTCAAGAAAAGAATGGAATCCCAGCAGCGGCTAGAAGATCGATGGAAGACCTGCAGAGACCCTTACCTGAAGGGTGGGTGCGCTCATATGACCCCAAAGAGAACCACCAATTCTTCGTCAATACCAAGGAAGATCCACCAAAGTCGTACTGGGAACATCCCCTCGATATACCTGATGTGGTCAGGAGTCTAAGCCCCGAAGAGCGCGAAAGATTGCAAGACGAAGAAGACAAGATGAGGAAACGAGCTGCGCACACTCCCGAACCCTCTGATGACGAAAGTCATGCTCATCCCGAGTTGCCACCACGTCCAAATCAGGCTCAAAACCCGACGAAAAAGACGTTTGGCGAGAAATTCAAAGACAAGGTGACTGGCACCACTCACGAAGAGCGCGTAAAGGCCAGAGCCGAACGGGAGAAAGAGGAGCGTGAATACTACGAAGCACACATGAGACTTCGACAAGCAATGCAAAGAGCAGAGATGACTGGTCAACCGCAGTGGTTCGCCAAAGATCGAGACGGAAAAGACATCTACATCGAACCCTCAACTTCAGGTTACGGCTACGGTGGATACGGTCCCAGAGGTTACGGTGTCAATCCTTACACCAGTGGTCCCTATGCGAACCCCAATGCCAGGTTTATTCGGCCTGGTTATCCATATAGTCGACCTTATGGCGCGTATGGCGGCGGCGGACTCGGCATGCCTGTTGCCGGTGGTTTGCTCGGCGGCCTACTGCTGGGAGGGTTGCTATTCTAAGCCTATACCCCAGTATGCTGCCCTGACGGTATGCGATGACGTGGTTGGTTTCATGAATTTCCTGCTTGCGTAAGATATCCCTGGCGCGGAGTTTAGGTCCATCATTGATAGTGCATCGGTCACTTGGCTGGATGCAGTCACAACAATCATATTTCTCTTCGTTTCCCTTCGTTCCTTCATTTTCCTGCGCTCACTGGATCTTCCCGGGTATACTGATCTCTCAGAAAGATCTGAATATGCTTGCGACAGACACTTGCCGTCGAGGACAAGGGGTTGCCAGAACGTTTGTTCAATGGGGCTTTAATGGCGCAGCAACTGAAGATACTGAAGCAGAACTCGAAATAGGACCCGACGCGCTGCCTTTCTACCTAAAGACGGACTCAGTGAAGTACATACTGCCACCGTGAAGGAGATCGATGCCGGTGAAGATGGAGTACAGAACGAGATATATTGTATGTTACGGAGGCCGCCAGAAACAGAGTCAGAAAATGCAATATGGAGTCAAGGTTGAGTAGACACTGCAAGGCTTCAAGAAAGACGACAAGGCTGCGTTATCCGATTGCTCGGAGATCGGCGCACATTCCAGACTCGACATTCTTCATATGGAGTCGACAATGGCTCGCGGGATGATGTCTGCTCATATCGTGGTGAATTGCTTTATTTGGATTCACAACATCAAGCATGGCACTTAATAAGTTAGCTTTCAATATATCCTCTTCAGTTGTAAACATGCGGTAGTCTCGTTCTGTCTACGACTCCTTTGTGTCGTCGACCATTTTCGAGTCTCGATTCCCTTTCCATCTCCCTTTGCAGTGACACACCCAAGACAACCACCATGGGCGACCACACAGCCTTCTTCTATGGTAAGTTCAAGCGTACCCTGGTCCTCCATGCTGTGGAGCAACCTTCCTTTCCACCCTACCTACCGTAGTCACCTTTCTCGCTTTTCCTTATCGCCCCCTCAATGTGAGCAGGTCTAACCGCAATTCCAAAAGGAACCCTCATGGCCCCCGGAGTCCTGCACCGCGTGATCCACGGGACCCACGACCCCGAACCATGGCAGAAATCTCTCTTGACCGTACGGCCGGCTCTCCTGCAATCCTACCGCCGCCACCGCGTCCGGCACGCAGACTACCCAGCCATCCTCCCGCACTCCGACTCCTGCGTCCGGGGCTCCGTGGTCACGGGCCTGACCGAAGGCGATCTCTACCGTCTTGACATCTTCGAGGGCGACCAGTACACCCGGCGGAAAGTGCGAGTGCAAGTCCTCAAAGACGTCGGCCTCGACGAGGCCGCGGACGAAACCCACACCCAGATCGTCGAGGAAGCCGAGGCAGAGACGTACGTGTGGGAGGAGGGCGAGGATACACTTGAGCCGAAGGAGTGGGATTTTGAGGCATTCAAGCGCGACAAGATGAAGGCGTGGATGGGTATGGCCGAGGGAGACGACGGCGTCGAGATGGACGAGGGGTTTGCAGATGTGGATCGGGCCGTGGCTGAGCAGGAAAATGCTAAACAGGATAAGGGGAACGATCCTATGGGAGGACGAGGTGCAAATGGACATATCACGCGGCAGCTGAAAGAGGCGGCCGTATAGACGATCCCGCGTAAAGTGATCTGCCAGTTGATACCCATAAAGGACGCTATCGGGAAGAAACAAGTCTGACATTAGAAAGGTATTTCGTAGCCATGCTAACCACAAATCGCTCGCTCGAAGCTCCAGTACACCATCCTAGCCTGCATTGGACAGGACTACCAGAGTCCATAGCAGCCATACACCACCAGGGACTTTTTGAGAAGCAAAACCATTGCACGAAATCTAGCGACGACCGTGGCTTCGAACCGCACTGCCTTGCATCTGCTCCAGTTCTTGCTCCAATTGCTTGATAGCAGCGTGAGTCGACTCCAAATCCTTGTTCAAGCGATCTCTCTCTGCAATCAATTTCTGCTCCCAAGCTCTGAATCTCTGTTCTTCGACCTTGACTTGCTCAGTGAATCTCTTTCGCAGGGCCTCTTCTTCCTCCTTGAATTTGGGATTGTCCAATTTTCTGGGTCTGGCTTCACCGAATTTCCTCGTCTCCATTTGCTGGGCGCGGTATGCTTCGTAGTGGTTCTCTTCGGTAGTGTGGATGAGGTCGAGCATGTGGGTTCGGATAAGGATGGAGCGGAGTTTCTTGAAATCACAGTGCTCTTCGTTCTCGACTTCTGCGACACCCCAGGCATATTGTCGTCCCTTTACAATGCGTCCATCAGTGGTCTTAACATCTTTCTCGCTTCCAATGACGGCGAAAGGCATAGCGGCCATCAATGCGCGCGCATGCTGAGCAGCAGCCTCATCATCATCTTCAATGGGTGGTTGATAGATCTTGATGCCTTGTGCCTCAATGACGGCTCGGACACGGTGCTTGAAACGTGCAAGGTCGGCAGGAGAGAGCGTGTCGGCCTTGGCAATGACTGGAATCAAGTTGACACGCGTGCAGAGGCGCTTCATGACTTCGATGTCCAGTGGCTTCAAAGTGTGCCCCGTAGGACGAATGAAGTAGAGGCAGGTATGGACTCGGAGATCGATCTTGTCCTGTCGTTTTGGTTGCTGCTCCTGCAACATGTATGACTCGTGCTGGTCGTCAAGGAACTCGATGATGGGCATCCAGGAGTCTCGGTTGTTGACATAGTCGCCGAAGCCCGGTGTGTCAATAACAGTCAAGCGGACTGCGCTGGTCAGCACTGTCATTCACCCGGAGATCATCGTCCATACCTTTGAAGAACTTCTCTTCCAATTCAGCCTTTGTGATCTCAATTTCCACCGTCTTGTCGACCTGCTTAGCATGGCGTCTCTTGTGATCTTGATAATTCTTGATGGTGGTTGAGAAGAGTGTGTTGATGAAGGTTGTCTTTCCCAGGCCTGATTCACCAGCGACCTGATAGTTTTGTCAGCCTTTTGAGTCCTTTACAGAAGGCTGCATTCTTTACCATGATCGTAAAGGCTGCACCCCTCTTTGCGACAATCTTGTGTCGCTGGTTGGGGAGATTGGCGATGCCAATCGGTGAGGCAGCAGATTCCGCAGGGGGAGGAGCCATGTTGAACGTTCAAGACGAGATTACTGAGAGCGAGTGCGTTTAGAGTCGGGCAATGAAGGCTGACAGGACAGAATGATGGCCGAAAGGGAACGCGATGAGTTGTCAAACGCAGTCACAAGAGGAAAGATGCGGTGATGAATTAGGGGTCGTTGCACTTTCCCTACAAAAAACGCAGGGAACCATGAATGGTGGCCCCTGAAACTTGGGTTCCACGCCAAAAGCTCCCCCAGAATACACTAACCCAATAGCGTTAGGGCCGGAGCAGATCAACTTTTACGCCGACAACTTTTTTCGCAGCCCGCAGTTGATGGTGGGCATAGAAATTGCGACAATTCCAGCCTGGACATGATGAGACAATGAAGACAGAATTCAAGGTACGGAGGGAACTATACGTCAAGGAAGCAGTTACTGACAAAGCTGATAGTTCTCCAACCTTCTGGGCACTGTCTATGGCCGAGGGAATCTTGTCTTCACGCCCGATGGCAACTCTCTATTGTCGCCAGTGGGCAACAGGATCTCTGTCTTCAATTTGACGAAGTAAGGCACTGGACACCAGAATTTCTGGAGTAATCGCTGATCGACTATCGTCTAGAAACACTAGCTACACTCTCCCTTTCGCTCATCGAAAGAACATCACCCACCTCGACCTCACACCAGATGGGAACCTACTACTCACGATTGATGAAGATGGGCGAGCGATACTATCCATATTCCCCAGACGACTTGCTATCTACCACTTCTCATTCAAGACTCCGGTCACCTCTCTAGCGTTCTCACCAGACGGACTGCACTTTGTTGTTGGACTGGGAAGAAAGATACAAACGTGGAGGACACCCTCAACACCCAGTGGAGCTGCCAATGGAGACCTTGAATTCGCGCCCTTCGTGCTTCTTCGGGAATATGGCGGCCATTTCGATGAGGTGAGGCACCTCAGCTGGTCAGGCGACTCGCGTTTCTTCCTGAGCGCTTCCAAGGATCTGAATGCCCGGATATGGAGTTTGGAGCCTGAGGATGGTTTCGAGCCAACGGTGCTATCCGGCCACAGACAACAAGTCAGGAATGCCTGGTTCTCGGCCGACCAAGAATCGATCTATACTGTCAGTGAAGACGGAGCTCTTTTCCGGTGGGAGTTCGCGCCCAGACAACAAAACGAGGACGAGGACCCAACTGAGCTTGCTGACGAAAGATGGCGAATTGTGCAGCGGGAGTATTTCATGCAGAATGCCAAATTAAAATGTGCTGTATACCACCCAGCCACGAACTTGCTCACTGTTTGTTTCGACAATGGCCTGTTTTCTCTGTATGAGATTCCATCATTCTCCAACATCCACAGCCTATCCATGGCTTCTTCTCCTATCTCTACCGTCACCATCAATAAGACAGGAGAATGGCTGGCAATGGGATCTTCCAAGACTGGTCAGCTGCTCGTGTGGGAGCATGCTTCGGAGTCGAACATCCTCAAGCAGTCCTCCCACCTCGATGCTCTCACCACGTTGTCATATTCCCCGGACTCGACACGAATCATCACAGGAGCTGATGATGGACTGATCAAAATCTGGGACATAGCATCTGGCTTTCACATAGCAACCTTCACCGAGCACACTTCAGCAGTTACGGCATCGGCATATTCAAGGAGAGGAAATATCCTTTTTACTTCATCTCTCGATGGCTCAGTCCGTGCTTGGGATATGCTCAGATATCGGAACTTCCGAACGTTCACCGCCCCAACGCGGTTATCTTTCTCCTGTCTAGCCATAGATCCGTCAGCCGAAGTGGTTTGCGCAGCATCTCACGATTCCTTCGACATCCACTTATGGTCGGTTCAGACCGGTGCTCTGCTCGATCAGCTATCTGGGCATGAAGGCCCTATATCCACGCTCGCTTTCACACCAGATGGACGATATCTTGTCTCAGGATCTTGGGATCACACTATCCGTGTATGGTCGGTCTTTGACAGGTCGCAGACTTCTGAAGTGCTGCAACTCACCTCAGACCTCCTATGTATTGCTATTCGCCCCGACTCTGCGCAAATTGCTGCTTCCACACTGGATGGGTCTCTCACATTCTGGAGTCTTAACACATCAATACAGGAGTCTGGCCTTGACGGCCGACGAGACGTAAGTGGAGGCCGTACATTGACCTCTCGACGCACCGCGGCTTCGACGCCAGGCACGAAATCATTCAACACAATTACGTATTCTGCTGACGGAACCTGCTTGCTTGCGGCAGGAAACAGCAAGTATATCTGCTTGTACTCGGTCACCACTCTGACATTGATTAAGAAGTACACCGTCTCTATCAATTTGAGTTTGGACGGTACTCAAGAATTCCTCAACTCCGCTGCCATAATGTCTAACGGCCTTCCTCGGGATATGATCGATACTGAAGGCGACGCAAGTGATCTTGAAGACAGAATTGATCGAAGCTTGCCGGGAGTCAAGCGTGGCAGAGATGCCACGGCCAGAACTCTTCGGACAGAAGTACGTGTTACTAGCGTCGAGTTCGCTCCTACCGGCAGAAGCTTCTGCGCAGCAAGTACGGAAGGTTTGTTGATTTATAGCCTCGATAACACGGGTATGGAGGACTTCGATCCTTTTGACCTCGACATCGACGTCACGCCACAGAACATCCGTGCGATCCTCAAGCAGCCTGAACCGGAACATCTCAAAGCGCTGATCATGGCGTTCAGATTGAATGACAGACCTCTGTTGCGAAAGGTCTATGAGTCTGTGCCCTACGAGGCAATACCGCTTTTGATCCGGGAGCTGCCTAAGGTATACCTTGGTCGACTGTTGATGCTTTTGGGACAACAGATGGAAAATAGCCCGCATCTTGAGTTCGCCTTACGTTGGGTTGGTGAAGTCTTGAGTGTCCACGGACGCTACATCAAGGAAAGGCAAGGCGAGTTCGCCAGTGAACTCCGGGCAGTGCTACGAGGAGTAGACGGTGTAGGAAAAACAGTCAGAACGCTGAGCGAGCGTAACGCATTTGAGATTGAGTTCCTGTGTCAGCAATCTTCAAGCAACGATCAATCTGCGCTTCAACTGCTTGGGGAGAAGCAACACTCGCTCACTAATGGTTTCGTCAATGGCGCGAATGACGATGAAGGCGAATGGATGGGCCTTGAGTGAACGGTCTGGTGACGCTCTCTATTTCGAATGACCCTCTCTCTGGGGTTGATGACACGGAAGCCCCGACTTCGCAGCATTTGTGGCTGGACAATTCTATCATAGCTACATCACCACCGACGATATCGACGTGGATGCAAAGAGTCCAGTCATTATTCCACAGCCCAAGATCCCAGCTGTCTATGGCCTTGGCTTCTAGCTGCTGTGACTTCTTGACATGTTCACACATGTTGATGAGTCGGTCGAATGTGGTCGACAACTTCAAAGTACGGCAGATGCGGTCTGTGAGTCAGGCAAGTTTCTTGCTGGGAGAGTGTCTTTAGCTACGCTGTTGTCAGCCGGCCTGATTGAAGTCTTTGGGCGACTCGTCCATGATGTCGACTGTCACGAGACTTTGTCTGTTAACAATGCCTTGCTTCGCGCAAACCAAGCATGGTGTACCGTTTGTCGTTATGCAGGCTCGTATGATCCCTGGATTCCCCCGAATGACTCCCCGATCTTTAAGATACTGAAGACAAGGCCTCAGTCTGTGCCATACAACCAAGACAGCCAGACACAGCAACTTGAATTCTTACAACCCTTTCAGCTACAGCAGATCTAGCAGATCAAATTCACTAACTACATCCAAGATGTACTACAGTGCCAATTCGACAAAATTCCCATCAACCAGGGGAAGTACAAACTTTCCTGCTGCAAATATTGTCAAATGGTCGATGACACACCTAAGATTGAAGAACATAAACCGATGTGTGTGGAGAATCCGAATCGCAAATGAAGCAACTCGCCCAGCTTGTTGCGAGCTTGAGCATGTACCCAACCACTGGACGAGATTCGACTCTCGGTTCAGCTTTCTATCATGCGGCCGCAGAAGTCTGATGGCGTGCTTACGCCTGCGCTGTGGTCGTTTGTAGCTCTCAGACACAGGGAAGGCTCGAAGGTCTTGGGGCATGGGCTCAAGAACACCATAGCGACTGTGTTGTTGTTCTTGTTTTCACCCACTTCGTCTGTGGGCGCCGACTTTAAGCTGTATGGAGCAAGACTAAGGCCCAGTAGCAATTAAAGCTGGCTTTTCACGAACAATTCCCTATGTAGATACTGATCTCCTCATGCTTTTCAGCCCGGGCAGTATATCCGGGCTTCTCATCCGTCAGTGCCTCAGCCTTACGGCTAGAGCATCAGTCCCCAAGATGGGCCATTAGAGCCGAGTTCCGGGGTACGGAGTCAAGGTCCTCGGATTGCTTGACTGTTGCTTGTCCCGACCCCATATATCATCCCGTCTTCCTTGCGCCTTGTATCTTGTCCCACCGCCGGCATCAGATGGAACTTTTTGAGATTGCAGCAGAGACAAGAGCAGATAACACAGAAAGAGGCATAAGTCTGATGTTACATCCGTAGTTCAGGCCACCTCTATCATCGGTTACCTATTTGCCAAAAGTTTGAGGCCGTCAGTTGATCTGCGCGAGAATGACGCAAGGATTCAAGAATTGATCCAACTTGCGGTCGACAACCTGGTGTTTCAAAAAGAACGTTCATTACGCTACAATGCGCAGTTTCGAGCACATGGTCAGATCTGACCTCTTGATTCGTCCTTACACATAACAACATTCTTGCCTCCACGAAGCTCGCTGGTGGCAAAAGCTATATTGATGCTTGTTTCATCCACAATATACCTTGACTCCTCGCCATGATCTACGACCATGTGTTGCCTGGTGCGTCCTCGTGCGTGTGATCTCAACGTCATACTCCGACCATCCCACCATACCGGGATACTCATCTTCGGTATGGCATATAAGATACCGCTCGTGTTGTACAACTCCAATGGATATCGAGCCAACTTGTGCCTTGGCCTGGCTCTGTCACTACTGACACCGCAGAAGTGTTTCAGAAGTTTTTGTTGGCAAATCTTATAAGATGCAGGACAATCAGCACGAAGAACGTCTACGTGCCCTGCGAGGTGCTACTGAGCGAGATATCACCTTCCAAGGTCTCCCCACGGGCCAAGAAGATTTACTCTCTGACGCCTTGTACCCAGAGGATATCTACAAAGACAAAACATACTGGGCCGACCTATCAACAAGCAAACGTGCAAAGTGGGTCTACGAGCAACACCAGAGTGAAGCCCGCCGAGAACTCAGCGCGGTATGGAACATGTTCAAGGCGGACCCCCTTGCTCCTCTTGGTCAGTATCTTCACAACTATGCTGTCACTGGAGTGGGTTTCTTCACCGAGGGATACGTCCTGTTCTCGGTGGGCAATATCCTTCCTCTGCTGGAGGTCGTTTGGCCAAATTGCTGGAAAAAGCATACAATCTGTGACAAGACCATGGTCCAGGCCATTTCATATATGGAGATTCTGGGCATTATTGCCGGGCAAATCCTCGTTGGTTTCATAGGCGACTGGGTTGGTCGTCGATGGGGCTTGATTCAAGATGCAACGATCATGTTGACAGGCACGATTCTGTTGGTCGCCATGTGGGGCGAGACGCTATCCGGCTGGACCGTTATGTACGGTGTCTCACTATTCTGGTTTTCTGTCGGAGTGGGTGGGGAGTACCCCATGACCTCCGTCACAGCAATGGAGGGTGTTCATGGTCAAGCGTCCACCAAACACGATCGCCTACATCGAGGTCGCTCCGTAGCACTGGCGTTTCTGATGCAGGGCTGGGGGCAACTGGCGAACCAATTGGTCCTCATCCTAGTTATGCTCATCTTCAACCACAGCATCAATCCCGGGTATGGGCACACGGCAACTCAAGCCACGTTTCGCATCAGCTTTGCGATAGCCGCCCTGTTCCTGCTCTACTTTCTCTATCTTCGTGTCTACCACCTCAAAGGCGTCGACCACTTCTTGAAGGCCTCCAGGCAGAAGACAAATGTCACTGGGTACGATGTCAAATCTCTGAAGCTCGTCACCAATCACTACTGGCACCGATTGCTTGCCACTAGCGTCTGTTGGTTCTGCAACGACTTCCCCTTCTACGGCAATCAAATCTTCAGAAATGTCTTCCTGCAGATTGTGACGTCGAGCTCCTCTGAAGTCGGCGAGCTTTGGCTCTACAACCTCATCAACATCGGATGCGAACTGGCAGGGTACTATCTCGCTGCGTTGCTCATGGATCATAAACATTACGGTCGAAAGCGAATGCAAGCGGTTGGGTTCATAATGTCCTTTATTCTGTTCATCATCGCGGCAGGTGCATTCCCCATCCTAAACAAGAAGGGTCCTGGTGGCAAGGCTTTCGAGTTTATCTATTTCTTCAGCAGCTTCTGGATACAATTCGGACCCAACTCAACCACGTTCCTCCTGGCCGGTGAGGTGTATCCTGCGCCAGTTCGCGCCACTGCACATGGATTCAGTGCTGCCGTTGGTAAACTAGGTGCACTGGCTGCGACCGTCCTGTATAACTACATAGGGAGCAGAACGAAATTCTGGGTAAGCACAGCACTCTATCCACTCAACCGCGTTGCTGACTTCAGAATACAGGTCGTTAGCTGGTTTGGTCTTATTGGCTTTATTCTCACGATCGTGTTCATTCCAGACACCACCGGATTAGATCTTCGCGAACAGGAGCGCTACTGGTACTATGTCAAAGACGGTCGAGCTCAGGATTATCACGGTGTTGCGATCCACCCTCGGCACATCAGCCTCTTTGAACGGGTGGTGCTCAAACGACACCTAAACTACAATCCTGAGCTAGATCGGAACGCCAAGATCGACGAGCTGAGGGACTTGTACCATAAGGTTGAGGGGAACAAGGCTGCAGAATCGGATGACGAGAAGACTCTGAGAAAGGACAGTGAGTTCATCCCGGATGATGTTAGCAGGTATTTTGAGCTTGAGAAGGCAAACGGCCAGTAAGGTATTTTGAAAATTGGCACATGCGTCAACCATAACTCTAGGACTATAACAAAGAAGATGGCCATTGGATTGATCAATAATTATCCAATACTTCTTCGACGCGTGCTGGACCTTGACATAGTGGTGACACACCCCTTAATATAATCTATATAATATTAAACCGCAGATTCTCCATCGCAATCGACCATAGGATTTGTGGAAAGCAGGACTTCCCGTTCGCTCAGTCGTACTTAAGCCACATGCCGAGTGACAATTTGCGAATCCTCGTTGTTGATTGTCTTTGCGTTTTGCTGTTCGACAGTAAGACTTTTTAATATGTCTTTGCTGGTCAGCATCTCCACTGTTACAAAAAGCACAACGTTACACGGAGTCATCGGCTGATGAGGCTTGACACACTTGAAGGCTTTCGAGGCTGCAAGGCTGAATAGATTGTGGTCTTGGCGGCTCAAGAGGAGTTCCATCGACGCCGAGCTCACCTCGCGCCTCACTCGCTCACCCCCCAACTCACCTGCCCTAAGAGAGGGATACACAAGGAGAAGGATAAAATCCGTCATAGAGGGATGTATAATAGCATTCTTTGACAAGTTTCTAGCCGCACTGTCGACCGGTCAAGCCTTTCCAGGCCGATTCTGTGGTCTCAGCAGAAGTCTCCCCGAGTTGTCGTCCGTCGTCAGTTGAACGTCAACCGCCTGAGCAGCCTTATCAATCTCACTGGTTTTGCTGTACAGCTTTTGGCTGTCTATGACATTCTCGGCAATCCCATGGTAGAGCAAAGCGAGCGTCGAGTCCTTCCACAACTCAGCACCATGAGACCGAGTCTCGAGGATGGCCATCACCAGCGAGACTGCGGCAGCGGCAACGAGGATGGCGGGGAGCGTGATCCAGCACCATCGGACGTGCACGAAGACCACTTGCTCGACGAGACTGCCTGACACCGTCTCCGTCGAATACTCAAGATTCAGGCTCGTCAGAGAATGACTGATGTTAGTGAGGGCAGACGGCAGCCCGCCATGGGACAGAATATGTTCGATGAAAGAGTAGCCGGAAGGTGTGGGCACAAAGGTCGAACCAGGTTCTATTCCGGAGTCGTAAAACAAGAAAGGGGCGGCGACAGACACGGTTGCAGAGATGGCTGACACAATTGGGTCGACCCAAGGACCAAGAGGAGAAGCCCAGGTATAGTTGGAGATGTCTGTTAAGAGCCTCCAGTCAAAGATGCAGAATGCTTCGTGCTCTACATCGACAAATGAAGGCACGGCGCTTGGCCACGGTATCACCCTGCTGTACTTCTTTAGAGTGTCGTCGAATTCAAAACACGTGGCTGCTTCTAGCGGAGACTCAGAGGGGTCCTCGCCGAAAGATGCCAGTTTGCGTAGACGCGATTGATAGAATTGCGAGTCCACCAGCTTGGTGTGCTCTTGAGAGTCCTGGACTGAGATTGAGTAGGTATTCATACAGGGCGAAACGCTACATATCACGGCTGAAGCAATACCACAGCCGGATGCGCTGACGACAGGAGCGAGCACAATTTCGTACATCTGTAGGACCATCCGCTGCTGTAGTTCATATTGAGAAGCGGTGCCCGTAGCGTCCGAGTCGTTTCCCTTAGCGGAAACAGTGTACCTATAGTTTGATAAGTTCCAGATACGTCGAGTAGGGGAATGTCGCGACATGTGTTGTTACTATAACATTCCTCATATCCAACCGTCGTTGAGGCGTTGACGACCAGAGAAGAGACCGGCTCAAAGGAAGGCAGAGAGAACTTGCAGTTGGTGATCTTGTACTCTTCCGCGGTGTAGTTGTCAACATTCCAGTCAAGAGGATGATCACAATCAATGATCTTGGCCTGGCTAGTGACATCTTCACATTGAGAGCACCAGCCGACGGAGCGCACATCCGGCCAGGTGCAATTTCGCGATGGGCATGCCGGATTACGTGGATAATAGTCTGAGAATGTACCAAGTGCGACAGCGTCTTGGGCCACCGTGGAGCGGCCTAGATCCGGGATAAATGTCGCTCTTCGGGCTGAAGCATTTGCAGAAGGCACTACTTTCGGAGTAATAGGATAGTCAATAAGCTATTGGACAAAGGGATCGAAGGCTAGGGCAAAGATCGTGATCAAGGCCCCCAGCGACGCAGTCGAGGCAGCAACGCGTCCCAGCAGCATTTTGAAAGAACCGAGCGGGCCGCGACTCGCTTCATCAATGGCTTGCACGTCGCGTAGACGTCTTGGTCGGCTCCTAAACCATGTCCATTTTTTCTGTCCAAGTGTTGCCGCAGTGACGTAGATTAAGGATGAGCGGGTCCCCGTCGCCAATATGGAGATAATAGTGTTGAAGGTGATGTATTTTACCAGCTGGGGACGCGGTTTGTTGTTAAAAACAGCCAAGGTGACGACGATGGCGACCAGGCAGAGGATGCTAAACACGATGGCGCCAATCTCTGGGATCCAGCTGTCGGAAAATGTCCTCTCGAACCACGCAAAGAGCAACGTTTTGCGGCTCTGGATAGGATCTTGTGCCGGCTTTGTCGATATAGTCACAATCGCAGATGCGCCATGTGGAGGATCTTCCACGGACTCTGATGCAGCGTCATGGCTAGTCGCAGCAGTCACTGGTTGTGGATGACTGTTCTGATCTAGGGACAAGGCTGAGCTGGTGCCTGTAGCTTTCGAGTGGTCTGAATCGCCCTCAATCAACGGTGGCGCGGGCGCCTGGTGGTTGGAAGCAGCCAGATTTGCTTCATCCTGCGCACTCATTGTTTGGAGAAAGAGATCACAGTGCAAGTGACCTTATTCGACACAGGGTGTTGTTATGAGGGAGGAGAACGAGAATTCAGGATGCTGTGGACATTTCGAAACAAATCGCGGGCAACGTAGAAATCCTGGACTTGACTAGTCGGAATTCTACCACTCTGCAAATGCTGGCTCGCTCCATCATTTTGTCTGCTGGATGGCATTTGTCATTGGGCAGAGTGTTGGCTACCTTCACTAAGCGAGGTGAAGGGGAGCGGAGCACCTTCCATATACATGTCGTGTCTCCGTTGGGGGCCAAATTGACATTGCCATGGCACAAAAGGCCGGGATCGGGAAATCGTTCATGGGAAAGAGAGTCAAGCACAAGTGAGCGCCGAGCAGGTTATGGCAGGAAGTGTATTGACCAGCCATCGCATCAAAATCTGTCGCCAACGTCTGCAGGCTTGCGTGAGCGCCGTTGCCCATCATGAGGAGCGCTTCGGGAGATGCATTTCCAGCACCATGTAGGTGCCATGCAGCTGGAGGTATCCTGGCGATCAGCATAGTTGCTTGCGAGCTATCGCGTGGAAAGCAGGCGCAGAGAGAGGGATGGTACGTAGTAGATTTAGTCCGGAGACATCGCGCAAGATGCGTCCCTCTTCAGACCTTGTTGAGCTATAGCTCATCGACGTCCGGTGATGTAAACCACCCAGACTAGCCGGGTGGCCGCCGGGCGCCTTATACCAGGTTCGGTGACCTAGGATGTGTGGCTGTTCGTTGTGTTTGCTCTTCCATGGCGACCGAACCACAGCATATCTTTAAAGGCGCTGTACCGCGAGGGCGATGGGGGCTCATGGGGCTGCCAATGACTTCGACGCGGATGGAACTCGATATGAGAGAGAGACACTGTCAAGTCGACTGTCGTTAAGCAACCGCGACGTGGGCCGTGCCGCCTTGGTTAGGGGGCCGAGCTTACACAACGAGGCTCACAAGGCGTCTCGGGCAGGCGGACTCAGCCTTACCTCAGCTGTGTTTCCCCGTGTTTCGTGCGTAAGCAGGCTCTGTTAAGGGGATGCACCGTCGCTCGAACTTTATCATTGGTGCTTTCTTGTCTCAGGCAGCTCAGAGTCTCAGACAGGTTTCAGCTCGCAAATCGACACAGTACCGCCATCGCCACAGCGACGATGTTAGCGAAGCCGGTTTCCCTTCACTAACTAATTAAACTGTTAAACCACAGTCTATATGTCGACTAGAAGACTAGTATGATCTAGTATAGTCCTCTAGAGTCTAGAATAGGGATATTAAAACTACTAAGTTTATAAGCAGTATAAGATAGGTCTGAGGGTTTTATTCTAGTCTAGACGAGGGTGCGCTGTCCGTCGATTGACCTCGTCCTGGCACCATCATGAATCTACCTGGCTCGCTGGTATGTGCTCTGTATCTAAGCTCTCAAACGACCGCCGAATCCCACATCTTTCCCCATGTGCGCTTGAAGGCACTCTGTCTTTTTTCCACATCGGCATTGGCGGCAATAGTTTCCCAGTACTCACACTCTTTGTCAATTTGCTCCTTACCTTCATAGATGTTGACTTCTGACCACTTGGCATGCTTCGTTCTCTTGATGATTTTCCACACGCCGAACAACACCACGACATAAGGAACTCCAAAGTATGTCGTTATAAACCCTTGTGTGTTCCACGGGACGAAATAATCGAATCCGAGGAACAGAATGAGTGTGATGCCAGTGGCAATGCCAATGTAGGCGTGGTATGGCATGAACGGTGCTTTCCAAGGTAAAGTGTCCCTGCTGATGCCTTGAGCCTCGAGAGACTTGTAGAACCCTACCCAGACAATCATCATCATGGAGTAGGTGATGAGCGTCGCGCAGGTGGACAAACCGACGAACCAGCTGAAGACGGTGGCCGAACTGTTACTGGCAACCATGAAGGTCAGGCAGGATATCAATGCCACCACTATGACAGCATAGATTGGCACTCCCTTCTTGGTACATTTGCGGAGGAATTTGGGCGCTTGGCCGTCAACGGAGAGCTGATACAGCGTCCTGGTCGAAGTATAAAAGTAGGCGTTTCCACAACTCCAACCCGAGGTGAGAATCACAAAGTTCACAAGGCTGTCTAGCCCTTTGATACCTAGATTCTTGATACCGATCACAAAGGGAGAGGCAGCCGAGCCCGTGGAGCCGGTTGCGAGGGCACTGAGCAAACGTGGGTCTCTGCTGTTGCAGATGATGCCAACTGCAAGTACACCGAGAAGGTAGAATCCTGCCACTCGCACCCAAATCAATCGGGCCATTCGTGGGATCGTCTTTCGCGGATTCTCGATCTCACCCGCCGCAAGAGCGATCATATCAGGACCTCCAAGGGAGAAGGCGGCGTATCGCATGGCGACGAACCAACCCAGGAATCGCCCTGTGGTCCCGGTCGTGTAGTACTCGTGCATAGCGTTGCCATGTTTCCAATTGCGGAAGCCATAGGCGTCGTGTTTCGGGTTGCCGCCCACCATCGTGATGAAGGTGAGGAGGGCCAGCCCAACGACGAGCAGGACCTTGAGAATGGAGAAGATGAACTCAGCTTCTCCATAGTACCTGCGGAGCTAACATCAGCACTGATTCAGGCCCAGACACCTCCTCGACGCAGGACATACTTCACGGCGAATACATTGATGGCGATAATGATCACCATGGCCATCAACACCCATACAGCTCCGTTGACGGGAATGCCCCAATAACCCATGACGGACACCACAGCTGAAGCCTCTGTGCAGACCAATACGGCGGCCGCGTAGAAGTACGCATAGCCAAATGCGAAACCAAACGCTGGATCTACGAATCGATTCGCCATCTCGAAGATCCCGCGACGCATGGGTAGGAAGGTTGACAACTCGCCCACGCATATGGTTGTCGGAATCACAAACAGAATGGGGTAAATGATGAATGCCAGCAAAATGGACAAGGGCCCTCCTTCGGAGAGAGCACCTCCAATGCCGACGAACAAGCCTGTGCCAATACTGCCACCGATGGCCATCAGCTGGACATGTCGAGAAGTCAGGCCACGCTTGGTGTGGCCGTACTTGACCTCCTCGGCGTCGATAGCCTCTCCTGCCTCGACTGTAGGAGCCTCTCCCAATCCCACCTCTTTGCTGTCCATTTGTTTCTCGGCCATCTTTTCGATTTTGTCGGATGCTTGTCGAGACCGGTTGACTCTAGACAGCGTTCGATTGTGTTATATGGATACTCCATCCTGCGGACGATGGATATCAGCACCCCAGATTAACGGGCAGATAAGATAGTAGGACATCAGCGTGAAAGAAGCATGCTATCGTCGACATTCCACGCGGTTACATTGGACTCGCATCGTTCTCTTCCTTGGGTTCCACAAAAGTACAAAGAAATAGCCATATCTGGTAAGCCTATGATAAGGCAGTCTATTGAAGGACGGTGGTGCCCCACAAAATGCTCCTCGACTTGCTTCAACCAGGCAATGATTGGCATCTAAACAAGTATCGAGAAGCAACTACGGCCCGTTGCCAAGCCGCCGGCATAGAAGCCTTGGGTTTTCACGGCGTTGCTTCCCTCTTTCTTGTCGTTACGCGTACCTGCAGCTTGCCACATGTTTGGCCCTTCAGTAGGCTTGTAACGGCCGAGTACCGGTCGAGAGTCGAGACTACGCAATGTCATCGCGCATCTCCTCGAGTCATCAGCAGGAGGTTGCGGCAATGCCCGACGATTCCTTATCCGACATACTCAAAGTCGTTGATCTCCTTTACCCGTGGATAGACCGAGCCTGGAATATCGTCAGGAGTCGCGAGCCGTGCTCGGATGACTAGCGAGCGACGGTACTTGACTTCTTTTCCGGGCTCGAGGCTGGTCATCAGGCTCGTCGCACCATCTAGTCAGGACAGCTCGCGACATGATGATCCTGACCGTCGCCCCAAGCTTGTCGACGTGGACATGGATGGGGATGATTGTACTTGCCATCCTTCAACTGATTGTCCTCGTCAGGCGACTCTTGACCCCAGTGTCCCAGGTACCCGGCCCCTTCCTCACGAAAATATCCTATGTCCCTATTTTTGCATACGATCAACGCTCCGAGCGCACAGCATGGACCAGGAGACTTCATGACAAATACGGTCCCGTCGTCCGTATCTCCCCAGGTGAAGTCTCAGTGGCTTCGGCGACCGGCATCCGCGACGTGTTCTCGGGGTCGCCTGCGTCTGGAGGAGCGTACCCGAAGTCCAAGTTGTTTGAGCTCTTCAAGCATTTTGGAGCGCGGAACTCCTTTACCTCCATCACCTCGGCCCAGCATGGCTGGCGTCGCAAGGTGATCGGGTCGAGCTATTCACAGAGTGCCGTGTTGGCGCGAGAGACAGCAACCGGAAATATTTGGCGGATCGCCGGCAACTACATCAGGTACATCGAAGACAACGGCATCCCGGTGCATGGCAATGTTGCAGCCCGATCCGTTGACGTACACACAGCCAACACATACTTCGCTGGTGATGGTGTGTCGTCATATGTCTTGCTCAATGGGCTTGAGGGGCTGCCTGGGAACGAGAAGCACCGACGACTAATTATTGCGACACAAGAGAAGCCAGCCGACGTTCTGTCGTACTTCCATCAGGAATACCGTGACTTCTTCAACTGGCTGAATTCAGTCAAGGCCTTCTTCAGATCCTTGATACCCGGATGTGGCCCGCAACTGCTGTCGGAGAGAACGAGAGTCGGAGACAAAGATCCCAAGAAGCTCAACTCTATATGGTACGGTGGCACCGAATACCGAGACTACACCTACCATAGCTACCTGGATGCAAAAGCGAAGCTCAAGTCGATTCCTCAAGCTCTGAACCATGGCCCCATCACAATGAAGCTGGCCAGTAACGTGGTCACTGGGGAGCAGATACAGCAGACTAACGGGCCTATCGTTGAAGATCCGAGCATGAGGGGGTTCCAAAGTCAACGGAACTTCCACAAGGACGCAGGTGCTGCCAGTGAAGCAATGGACCATCTTATTGCCGGGCAAGATACAACATGTGAGAAGTTACCGCACACGCTTTGTGGCCGCTGTCTGCTAACCAGGAATTTACGCAGCTGAGACCCTCTCACATGCATTGCAGGCTCTTTCTATACTACAAAACCACGCAATCCAGGTCAAGCTCCGCTCGGAAATCTTGAGCCTCGACCTCCCTTTTGACCACGGTCGACCCCTGAATGCTGAGCAATTGGCCACGATCATGAAGGCATCATATCTTGATGCGGTGATCAAGGAAACACTCCGCCTCTATCCACCTCACACCACCAACATTCACAGGAATGTCCCCTCCGGTGGGCGTGTACTTGACGACTGGTATCTGCCGGGCGGCACTAAAGTGGGAACTTCTGCATATATCGTCCACATGAACGGTGAAATCTTCGGCCGAGATGTAGAGTCCTGGATACCGGAGAGGTGGCTGCTTGAAGATCAAGATCAAGTTCGCAAGATGGAACACGCGCTGTGGGCTTTTGGGAGTGGGCCTCGGGGATGTGTTGGCAAACAGTAAGTGTGTTTTGGTTGTGGTGAAGATGATATCGTTGACCCTTTTCCATCTTGCTGACGTTTGATGATCCCGATAGTCTTGCCATGGTCGAAATGAAGATCTTGCTATCATCTCTGTACAGAAGGTATTCAACAGTCCCCGACGAGCTGGAGGAGGTGCCTCTTGAGTCAAAGTATGTGTTCCGTGCCTTTCTCTCTTCTCCATGGCAAGAATTGGAAGCTAAACAAAGCCTCCACAGCCATTTTAAATCCCGCAGCACCAATCGCGATTACCGATATTTTCCCAATGCAAGTGGCCGGATTGTTTTCATAGATGCCGCATAGTCCTTTCAGCATGAAATCAACACCGATACGAAGAGGAACGTGCAGAGAGTCATTGCTGTGATGCGGTCGAGAGGCTCAAATAACCACGGAAGCCTCCATCTCAAAACTCAGACGGTGCGTTTCGAATTCAGGCAGTTGGTGAGCGATCTGGTCTTCAAACATTCATTGCCAATTTTCACCTCGCAACATCTGCTGGACTTGTATTGCCGAGTCTGCTGCTTCTCCTGAACCAAAGCCGCCAACATGCACAGGCCCTCGCTATTGGAAAACTTGCCTGTCGCGAGCGTATCAAGCTGGACATCGGCTGGACGTTCCAGCGCACAGAGACAAACCCGGATGGTCTCACTTACGACATGCGCACAGGATTCCCGTCAACCAACGATACATGGGCGTTGAAGCCATGGATTCTTCCTTCAGCCAACGACTTCATCAAGGATCCGGCCAACTTCTATCTGCGCCCTGACGGTAACCCGGGTAGCGATGTCCCTTTTGTTCAAAGCTCATTCGATGACAGCCGCTGGGAGACGGTTACGCTGCCACATGATTGTGCTATTCAAGGACCGTTCTATTCGGAGGGAGATCCTATTGTGTCTCCCTCGATGGGTCGCTTGCCTGTCTATGGAGTTGGCTGGTACCGTCGGAAGATCACGACCACGAATGCTGACAAGGGCAAGGCGATCTACCCGCTTGGACTTGACTCCATATGTCAACTTTGGCCGGGACAAGCAATTAGCTATTCGCCTGGAGAATCCCACTGACTCAGCGCGATGGTATCCCGGAGCTGGCCTCTATCGAAATGTGTGGCTCACAAAGGTTGACTCCACGCATGTCGCACAGTGGGGAACTTATGTCATCTCGAACAATGTCTCTGCGCAATCGGCAACGTTAGATCTGACGGTTCAGGTTGAGAACACGGCAGCTATAGAGAGGGATGTGGAGGTCATGACAGACGTGTATTTATTCGATCCGGGCGCGAGAGTGGCGGGAGAAAAAGTGGCCGAGTTTACGACCGCGGAAGTAAATGTTCCTGCTGGGCAAACCCAGGCGATTAGTGGCTCTGTAACGATTTGAAATCCACGGCTCTGGGGTACGATCCCAGCGCAGCAACCCAACCTCTACGTTGCCGTCACACAATTGCTTGCGGAAGGGAAGGTCATCGATACTTACGAAACAACCTTTGGCGTTCGTTCGCTGGCTTGGGATCCCGATGCGGGACTCCTGGTCAACGGTGAGCTTATCAAACTTCAAGGTGTGAACATGCATCACGACTTGGGCTCCCTTGGTGCGGCCTTCAATGTCCGAGCGGCCGAGCGCAGACTTGAGCTGCTGCAGGACCTGGGTTGTAATGCCATTCGAATGTCGCACAATCCTCCCGCAGTGGAACTGCTGGACTTGACCGACCAAATGGGAATCTTGGTGCTTGACGAGATCTTTGACACGTGGGAATATAATAAAACCGCTGCAGATATCCACCTGATCTTCCCCGAGTGGCACGAAGCAGATCTTCGGTCTTTCCTCCGGCGTGACCGAAACCATGCATCAATCATTGGGTGGAGTTATGGCAACGAAGCGTATGAGCAATACACCAATGAGACCGGCGTCGCGCTGTCCGAAGCTTTGCGAGACATTCTGCGCGAGGAGGATTCGACTCGTCTGTCGACAGCGTCTGCCAACTACGCGACTCCAGACCTGCCGTTCCCAAGGGTCTTAGACATGATCAGCCTGAACTACCAAGGCTCAGGCATTCGAGACACCGATGCCTACTCTGAGCTGAGGAGCAAGGGCATTTATAGATTGCCGAGCTATCCACCATATCACGCCATGTTCCCAGAAAAGCCTCTGTTCAGCTCCGAGACAGCATCGGCGCTCAGCTCGCGCGGTGTCTATTATTTCCCTGTGGTGAATGTGAACAGAGCGCTTGCCAATGACACGTCTGGCGGCAACTCCGAACAGCTCCAGATAAGCGCATATGAACTATACACCGCTGGACCCGGCTCTTCTGCCGATAAAGTCTTTACAGCCCAGGACGAGAATCCGTATGTCGCAGGTGAGTTTGTGTGGACCGGCTGGGATTACTTGGGAGAGCCTACACCGTACGACGGCGCGCGCAGCTCCTACTACGGGATCATAGACCTGGCAGGATTCAAGAAGGACCGTTTCTATATCTATCAGGCTCACTGGCGTCCTGATATAAAGATGGCGCATATCCTTCCTCATTGGGCCTGGCCGGACAGAGTCGGCCAGGTGACTCCAGTCCATGTCTTCTCGGCAGGTGATGAAGCAGAGCTATTCGTTAACGGAAAGTCGCAGGGGCGGATACAGCGACAAGCGTATGAATATCGGTTCCGATGGGATGAGGTTGTCTACCAAGCTGGCGAGGTAAGTGTCATCACTTACAAGGATGGAAAAGAATGGGCGAGAGATGTCGTGCGGACCGCTGGTGAGGCTGTGGCGCTGGAATTGGAGGCCGACAGAACATCACTTACAGCTGATGGCCTCGATTTATCTTTCATTACCGTCAAAGTCGTCGACAGCCAGGGAAACCTTGTTCCAGAGGCGAACAACACCATCACATTCTCACTTACTGGGCCCGGAGACATTGTGGCCACCGACAACGGAGACGCTACAGACCTTACGCCATTTACATTCACAGTGAGAGATGCCTTCAGCGGTCTCGCCCAAGGTACCGTTCGTGGTCGAGCTGGTGTCAGAGGCGAGATCACTGTCACAGCCAGTACAGATGGTCTTCAGCGCGCCAGCATAGTTTTAGAGGCGCATTAACGGTATAGAAATCAAACATCAAAAATCAGAAGGGCGGCACCTGCCTAGTATTTAGTGTTTACAAGTCGACAACATCCACGACGCGGAAATGCTGTACTGATTCACTACTGTAAAAGAACTCTCGGATATACGAGCGCCGCGTCATGCAGCACATGCCCGATCTAGGAATTGTCTGAATGGTGACATTCCTACATGCAGTCAGTCCTGTCCCCGGGCTGTCTGCCTCAGATCAGGACACTCCTCTGCGCCTAGTGAGCCTTGGATATACAGTCCTCGCATTACATGATGGTCGCCAGCCCCTACTCCCGACCCCATCTAACCTTGGAGCTCGACAACCTGTCGCTGGATATGTAATATTTCTCACGAGGCAGTGAGGCTGTACAGAGTAAAGGCTGTAAGGCTACGAGGCTGCAAGACTTCTGACGAGGCTGCGAGGCCGAAATTGTTTTCGGCTTGGCGCCTCTCCTCGATTTTCATCCGATGGAATTTGCACTGCATATTCCACACGAGATACGCTTGGGAGACGTCTCGTAAGTGGGCGGAGGCGAAGTTTCCGAACTCATCGAAAACCTCTTCATTGTCGATAATCAGCGTCCGCCCGGTCGCGTCCAAAATATGGCGGTGGAAGGAGGGCCAGAGTCACGACAACGGCCTGGCCTCCCGCTGCACCCAGAATGGGGATCAGAAGATGAATATGTCCAGTCTTTGCTCTCATTCGCAACGAGCTCGAATCTCTTCCGTAACCTCTGTGGTGGCGTCCACATCTTGGACTTCCTCACCCGCGAGCCTGATCTGTACACTTACGTGCTCCCCAAAGACTGGCGTGACTGGTTCGACCTCGTCACCGTCGACCAAGTCCTTGACCTCCTGATGCATAAGGACTTAGCAGATCTTGAGGACGCCGTGGAATCTCCAAACTCGAGTCTCAACCCTCCACCGAGCCTATTGGACTACATTCGCACGGTGCGCAAGCACTGCCTCCAGAGACAATTCCACCCAGTCTCAGACGACATCTCGGACTTGCCGCGGCATGTCTCCGTGGGCATGAAGACCAAGAAGGTCCACGAAGTCACCAACTTTGCAGCATACATAGGCAAACTCTCAGCCGATGTCTCAGGCCGACTCGGGGATCCCATCTCCGTGGTCGACTTCGGATCCGGACAAAACTATCTCGGCCGGACACTCGCTTCACCACCCTACAACAAGCACGTTATCGCCGTTGAGAGGAGGCACCACAACATCGTCGGCGCACGGGGCATGGACGTCCACGCCAAACTGGCCAAGAAGGAGAAAATCATGCGCAACAAGAAAGAGTGGAAGCGCCAGCTCGCCCTGCAGAACAATGGCAATGGCAATGGCAATGGCATCCCGACTCCGCCTCCTGAAAAGGTAGACACGGAAGCATGTCTTGGACCAGATGCGATCTTCGCCGAAGCAGATATCACATACAAGCAGTTCGACCCGGATAAAGGGTCCATGACATATATCGAGCATGACGTCCAAGACGGCCATCTCGAGGACATACTCTATCCGCCTGAAGACGACGACAACATCGACGTCGACAATATCACCACTACCACGACCAACGGCGACTACCGGTCGTGCCATGATCACGGCCACGACGTCAATGTCCGTTCCAGGGCCGCTGAAAAAGACCATACCACAATATCCCCCGCAAAGAAACCCCGGCCGAAAGGCAAACCCAAACCAAAAGCCATGGTCGTCTCGCTCCACTCGTGCGGCAACCTCTCGCACCACGGCATCCGATCACTGATCCTGAACCCGTCCGTCTGCGCCGTGGCCATGATCGGCTGCTGCTACAACCTGCTGACCGAACGCCTGGGCCCGGCGACGTACAAGGTCCCCAACCTGCTACGGTCGAACCACCCTCGCCTTTCGAGCACGGGATCGGCGTACGACCCGCACGGCTTCCCGATGTCGCGCACGCTCGAAGACTTCACGACGCACGAATCGCACAAATCGCACAAAAAGCCTGAAGCCGAAACCGAAACCGAAACCCAGACCGGGCAGCAGCAGCAGCAGCAGCATGGCATGCAGCGGGGCGTCAAACTCAACATCACAGCGCGCATGATGGCCGTACAAGCCCCCTACAACTGGGGTCCCGACGACAGCGAGGCTTTTTTCCGCCGCCACTTCTACCGCACCTTACTCCAGCGCATTCTGCTGGACCTGGGCGTCGTGCAACAGTGCGCCGTTGCCGATGCCGATGCCGATGCCGATGCGGGGGTTGATCCGGGGGACAGTAGTCTAGCGGGCACTCTTGCGGGCAATCGCGCCGACGGCGGGAGCGTCACGGGCAAAGACACGAGCGGGACGCCGCTGATCGTCGGATCCCTGCGGAAAGCATGCTTCACCAGTTTCCGCGCGTACGTGCACGGGGCGCTGGAGAAATTGAAAGCAGACCCGGTCGAAGGCGCCATGATCGCGGAACGCACGCGATCGCTGACCGACGACGTGATCGACCACTACGAAAAGGAGTGGGGGTATGCGAAGAAACACCTCGCCGTCATGTGGAGTCTGATGGCCTTCAGTGCGGGCGTTGTCGAGAGCATCATCGTGACCGATCGCTGGTTGTACCTGAAGGAGCAGGCCTGCGTCGAGGATGCTTGGGTCGATATAGTCTTTGATTATAAACACAGTCCTCGGAATTTCGTGGTCGTGGGAATCAAGAAGAACGAAGCACCAGCATCGCAGGAGACGACTTGAGCAACAGGAACACATCCGGTACCAGGCATTCAGCAGGCATATATTCTCTATCTAATTGCCATGTCTATCTCCGCATATGCAACGTCATGATCTGTCTATATGTCAGAATCGCGGATCTGGACTGTGACTTCCACTTCAATCCCCGGAGCACACTTTTAATCACCTCCCAGGGACGATCTCGACTTACAGCTTGTTGGCGGTGGCCAAGGGTGTCACACCCTCCATGAATCCACCTTCGACAACCGCCGTGATGAGCTGATTGGCAATGGCTGTCTTTGGAGGTAACCGCAAATTGCCCACCTTGTACCCTGCAGGAGCATCCTCACCCAGTCCACTGGTCCCATTCTTCAAGGCCTCCTGGACTTCCTCCAGGGTGAACCACTTGGCGATCTCCAACTCGGGATCATGTTCAAGCTTGATCTCTTCATCTTCAGGGCTTGCGACTTGTGCAATGGCTCCGATCATCAAGTTGGCTGGATACGGCCACGGCTGTGTCGAATGGATGATGACCCGCGACAAGACCACCCCGCTTTCTTCCCAGACCTCTCTCCGGACAGCGTCCTCGACGCTTTCTGCCGGCTCAATGAATCCCGCCAATGTAGAAAACCAGTACGGTGGCCACCGTTTCTGACGACCAAGAAGTAGTCGTTTGCTATCATGGCTAAGTACTGCCACAATAATAGTCGGGTCTGTCCTTGGGAAAGTGAGATTCGACAGGGTTGTTCGCGTCGCGCATGGCTCACGCTCTGGTGGGTTCTCGGCCTGGTCCTTGGGAGGGCATATTCGCTTGCCTCCTGCATGAACGGAGAGTGTCTTGTGGCCGCAAGTGCCGCAGAAGGTGTTACGGTAATTCCAATCGAGATAGTGACGACCTTGGGCGTATTCGGCAGCTAAGAAGGTGTTAGTTAGCACTGTCCCGCTGCACCGAGTGCCCTATACTCACCAACATCGGCCGGGAAGCTCATGGCTCTCATTCCCTCGCTGAATTTCAACCCCGAGGCCAAGAAATGCTCGATCAGCGCCTTCGCTTCCTTTTCATATGTCTTTTTCGGTGTTATGTCTATAGCCCAATGAGGAGCCCCGCTGAAATGCCTGTACTTCAGACCGTCCTTCACATTCTCATCCACGCCCAAGAAGACCAACTGTGGTTTGTCTATCTGAGAGTTGAACTCTTCAATCATCTCTTTTTCCGTCTTTTCAAAGGGATTCGAGGGGACCAGAGTTTTGATATCGTCGTAGGTCGCATAATGAATCTCGGTAGGTGACTTGATCAGAGGAGACAAATTGTTGAACACCAGGAATCGAGTGGCAGGATGAGCGAATGCTTTGGCGAGGAAGTCATGGTCCTCTCGAAGGAACGACAGTCTGTTCAGAGGCGAGCCTACCAAGAATCAGCCATTGTCGAGGTGGGCATGAAGCTTGTCTTACCTCCAAAATAATTGGTCACTTCTTTTCCAAACTTGCGGCCAAGTGCAGAATCGCGGTCTGCATGTGCAGGACGGGGGAGGTCTGGTTGCGGAGGAGGGGCCATGCTGGACAGAGGTTCAGGAGCAGGTGCGGGCGCAAAGATGGACGGATGCTTGACACCAGGAGGAATACGAGAATGAACAAATCTAGTCTTGAGTATCACTTGCACTTGCAAAAGGAGCGAAGATTGGCGTCGTGGACAACAGGACCGAAGCATACAAAAAAGAAGGAATTGCGGGTTGGAGAAGTTGATGGTAATCGATGAGAAATGGACGGAAGACGGTAAAAGTTCATTCGCCTACTTCGAACGAGTCGACTTGACTTGCTTCTCCATCGATTTTTGTCTGCCATCTTCGAATCCGAATTTCGACCCCTCGATTGATTACATGATCTGTCAATCTGTCGCCCAGCAAGACGCCAATCTGTGACCTTTGGTTGGTCGTGATTTGCTTTGTGAATCAAACTAATTGCCTCGGGAATTCGACTTCGGCTTTCGTCATTTGCGCCAACCAAGATGCGGGTGATGATTGACCCCACACACGTGATCAGGCACGTGAAGTTCACACGTGACCGCGTTCATCATGAATCTGGAATCGAGTCGTGTAGAGGCAGTTCCCTCTAACCATCTCTTCCGACTCATCGACGATCACAGAGTCGTGCAGACGGAGCCCAGTGCTGGGAAGCCGGAGATGGTTCGTTCCCCATGGAAAAGGAGGACACATCGTATCCTATGGCACACTGCAATGCGTCGATGCAAGTGTCTCAAGGTCCCGTTCGACGTTGTCGGGTGTTTTCTTTCCGATGGTGCCATGCGTTGAGCTATGGCAGCTGCCCAAAGTTGAAACCAAGCCAGCATTTACAGGTACTGACGCGACGGTGAAAGCCAAACCCAAAGCCAAACGCAGTACAGCCGACTTCAACAACATCGAGTTCTGTGATCCCCGGGTAAAGACAAAGCCACCGTTGAGGAGTGTCATCTCATGTTGAACTGAAGCCAACTTTGTGAGCCTCTGAGAAAATGATGTCTGTTGAGGGACACCATTCTATGTTGAATTGGAAAGAGATCTGTTACGAGCTGTATGCCAGCAACAGACCCACGCAGATGTATTTCACCTGCGGTTGAGGAGGGTGAGGAACTCCTCCCGTGTTTTGGCGCTGCTTCTCATGGCACCCAACATGCAGCTTGTTGTCGTGCTGCTCTGAGTCTTTTCCACTCCTCTCATGACCATACAGAGATGACTGCTCTCCATCACAACAGCCACGCCTTGTGGCTTGAGCACTTCAGCTATGGCTAAGGCCACTTGTTTTGTCAGTCGCTCCTGGACTTGCAGTCGTCTGGAGAACATCTCTGCTAGTCTGGCCAATTTGCTCAGACCCAGCACCCTCTTGTTGGGGATGTAACCGATGTGCATCTTGCCGGTAAAGGGCACCATATGGTGCTCGCATAGACTGAAAACTTCAATGTCTTTGACGATAACGAGCTCGTCGTGATCCTCATGGAAAACAGCACCATTCAACAACTCACGTACATTCTCTTCATATCCCTTGGTGAAGTACATGAGCGCCTGGGCATAACGATGTGGTGTCTCACGTAATCCTTCTCTTTCCGGATCCTCTCCAATGCATTCGAAAATGGTCCTGACTGCACCCGCAAGCTTGTCCAGGCGGGCTTGAGCTTCTTCCGGCGTTTGTTCCCGTCTTTCACGAGTGCCAATGCAGGGCCAACTCAGTCCATCAAAGTCGATGGGCGGATTTGCAGTGTAGGGGCTAGCTGGACGAGAGAGGGAGGCAGGAGGAGTCATTGGTGCTTCGTCACGTTCGTCTCTTGCAGGTTCATGCAGCCTGACGGGCAGCTTCGCCTCGTTGTTCGGCGGCGCCTCCGGAACCCCGACCCAAGAAGTACTCATAGCTCTTTGCGGACTTTGCGGACTCTGCGGATCGCCCAGGTCTATTGTTTTTCGTCTCGCGTAGGTGCTTTTTATGGATGACGCTAGGTTCTCTCGTTCCTGCGCTCGAGTAGCGTTGGGGGTTCGGTGTAGAGGAGAGCCACCGTTCAAGAGGTACGAAGGTACGGCGGAGCGAGCTTTGGGAGGTAAAGGAGGAGAGATGTTGTTGGAGGAGGGAATCTTGGGTGTGCTTTGGCTCATCTGGGGCAGAATCGTTGAGATGTCACGAAAAACGCATGGTTCTGAAGAAGAAAAGAGTTGGCCTGACTGAGTTTATAAGGGAAATGGAACTTGAAATGTCGTAGTTGTTTGTACGGAGTTGTTGGAAGTATATCTTGGGGGATCGTTTGCTTGATCTTTTTTCCGACTCGAACTGAACCAGAATCCAAACCCATGTCCGTGCCCTTGCATAAGTGACATTTTTATTCGGCTAACCTTCTTGCGAGATTTGCATCCATAGTAGCATTTTCGGTCGGCTAACTTTCCTATCAAGACGCTAAGATTTCACCAATATCCTGCTGCAAAACGACCTCGACTCCTACCCTCTCAGAAGCAACTTTACACAACTTTGCCCTTGAGCTTCAAAAAAGTTGTCCTCAAGCAGACAGCCTTGTGCATTGTGGTTGCAACCTTACGCACTTGAGGCTTCTGCTCATTGGGCCGCTCTCGACTGCTCTGAGCATGGCAGCGGTCAAAGCTCACCGATACTTGAGAGCTCACCCGCTATGCATCGACAGATCTCATTGTGGCGCATAACTCCCCCAAGTCCTCGCAGTACCCGGCCGTATATTGATGCCTTCTGCTGCGTACAACTTGATGCACTCCGCACATACCACCGGCGTAACTTCCCTTACATCTCCTGTCGGATGCTCATTCCACGGAACCACTCGCCACGAGTCAGGATCCGGACATTTCGTCCAACACATTGTGGGAGGGTCTCCTCGGTACGGGTTTCGCTGCTTGGTATACTTATACCTCATGGTGCCCTTGCAACGTGGGCACTTCCTTCTCTCGCGATACTCTAACCAGTAACACATCAAGACGTTACTGCTAGGGTTTCGAAGGTAGGTATGTCTTTGAGAGAGGTAGTATTGTCTATCGATGTGCCTCGATCAGGTCAAAGATGCTGGGTTTGGTGTGGGATCTTCGACAATGTCAGGCTTCAACACCTAGACTGTGTGCTTTCGGCGGTAACTCTGCCTGAGATACATTTATTTGCACCTATGTCCGATGTTGTGGATGCTTGTCTGTAATACGGCGTTGATGGTTGAAAGGGTTGCTCGCATACAGTATTTGGTCTTATTCCACCAAGGTTGACCACTCAGAAATGGCGATATTTATACTCGCTGAGGGTTGGAAGTCGTTTGTCTTTTCTACCATCACGTTGATCACAAGACTTATGTTCTGCAAACGACAGGGTTAACCACAGTCGGGCAGTCAGGCAGGTACATCTCTGGCCACGTCACCGAATCACCAGTGGATTGCACTGGACGGGCTGCTTCGCTTGTCACTCATCCATCCGTTGTGTTCGATCGCAGCGCTTTCTCTTGACAATGAGGCTGTCACGCCTACACACCTACAGATGACGTCCCCCGAACTTGATGGAGGGATCGAATTAGACCTGCATGTCACCGAGCAGATCCAGATTAGGGTAACGACCCTTTTTCTACCACTCTCAAGAAGTGAGAACCGATAAGGTTAGGGATTTCTGCGATTGATGCTATGGCCGTCAATATGCAGATACGCTGACATTGTCCTTCAACGTAGCACCACAAAGAAAACGCAAACGGAGGAATCTTCTGTTTATCGATCTCGTCACTTCACGCTCGTGCCATGTTCCCAATTCTGTCATTTCTGATCCGAGAAGTCGGCCACGTACAAATGCGCAGGGACTACTGGCAAAGTGAGTACCCCGGAAGGACCGGGATACTAGCAACTCCAGCTCGGCCTTGAGGCACGCGAATGATAGACGATGCTATCCCGATGAATACTCGATCCATTTCATCAAGCTATGGCATTAACCCATGATAAATACGACCCAGACAAGTTGCCTAGCATCAATGGTCTCAGACTTCCGTGCCTATCTCCATTGGTTCATTTCCACACGCCAAAGCAGCTAGCTACTATTCAGCGCCGCTGCGATCTCGTTGGCGTCCTGCCTCTACGTTCCATACCACCCGAGCTACACTTCTCGCACAGCCATGTATCCACCTGCAGACCCTCGTCCACACCCCCCGGGTGCTGATCCCACGATAACACATCCCACATCGCAGAATTCGGGCATGGTGGGTTTCGACATGGTTGATTAGAATCTCCACAGTGTGGCACAATGTCTCTGTGGTATTCTGTTGTCTTGTGCCCACAGCCTTTGCACCGCTTTACAGTGCATACCTGTTGGTAGTGGCACATTGTGAGGCTTGCTGATCTAGGCTCGAAGACAGGGCGGTAGACGTTGGTAGAAGGGGACGAGAGCTGTTTTCTCGATGTGGCAACAAAGACTCGAATATTGGTATGGTCTCTAACACTTCCACAGGTTAGCATATTTGATTCTATGCTTTCCTCGACATTCCGCAAGACCATGCTGTCCCCACAAACACCACAATGTACCTTTGAGTTGAGCTGCTTCAGCTGATTCCTTGTGTCAATGACTATGGCAAAGGTTTTCAAGAGCTCGAGTACACGCGATGTTTGACGGCGTCGCGCAGAACGGCGTGCCTAGAGAGGCATTTATACCCCTCGGGGTTTCACGCCGGTTAGTTCATACTCCCGTTGGCTAGGGGCTGAGAGTCATGTCTCACGATACCACTCATGACAAACACAGGGATAACGACAGCAGCGAGGAGCAAGTATGTCCTTTGTTCCCAGGGTACTCATGACGAGCAAGCGATGACAAGCATTGCCAGACTCGAGGACGTTTGTACCAAGAAAGTCACTTCCCCCTTCGAGCAGCGACAGGAATCGAAAAGCATTAACCTCTTAACACTTCAATATCCCCCGAGCCATGACAACATGCAGAGCCAGATACTAATGGACGTCAAAGTCATGCTCACGCTAATATTGCCTCGTTTCCGAGATTAACGTCCGTCTGGTAACATAGCAAGCAAAGCACTCTGACAGAACTCATGGTGTTCAGCATCTCATGCCATTAATGGAGATACCTAGCCTCGCTAGATCACTCTTGTTACTCTGTTCCAACACCAAAATGGCGTTCCTCTCAGTGCTTGTCAAGTCTCGTCGCCCAAGACCGACGGTGGCCAGCGACGATCTCGTGTAATGCCGTACGAGCGTCTCGCTGCCAGCATCAATATTTCATCCCTCCAATATACACATACAACGAAGTCTTCGGCCGAAGCATTACTCAGTGAAGGGTCACGACATACTCATCCGCGCACTACCCTCGCCCTCAGACTCGTCAGGATCGTCCTCTTTCGACCATTCATCAGCAGGACGCGCGGAACTCGCATTGTCACCATTCGGAGGTGGGGGCGGCAGGACAGGTGTATTTTCCATCTTGACCCTCTTCTCTCCAGTCGACTCAGGCAGACCCGCCTCGCGAGCCTTCCTCTTCTCCTTCTCACGCAGGTACTCTTCTTTCTTCCTGTCCTTTTCTTGCTTGTCTTTCTCTCGTCTGGCCGCTTTGCTCTCAAACTCATGCCAGTCGCCCTCGACGTTCGCCAGTTCCACTGCCTGCACAGGCTTCGGTTCTTCCTTTGTGAAGTATTCATGCTTTAATACCTCTTCGGCATTAGGCCGCGCTTTAGGATCGTACTTAAACATCCACTGCACGAGTTCCAATCCGGAGGGAGTGAAAATGTCTTTCATCATCGTTTCGAATTGCCGCTTTCGCCGATCGACTGGTTGCATCAGTTCGAACCAGGGTAAATCAACGATGCCAGGCCATTCTGCTCGCGTCGGCGTGCCAAGGACATTGTACACCTTCTCAAGTTGACTGAGCTCACCACCCTCGCCCGGAAAAATAGCCTTCTTGGTGAACATTTCCACAAAGACGCAAGCTGCAGACCAGATGTCGACCTCGGGACCGTATTGAGTTTCTCCTAGTAAGAGTTCAGGTGGGCGATACCAGATTGTAATGACACGATTCGTGTAGTCGAGTTTCCGGGACTTGGTGTAAAAGCGTGCCAGGCCAAAATCGGCGTACTTCAGTTGTCCGGTGTTGGAAACGAGGATATTTGCGGCCTTGATATCTCGGTGCAGAACGCCACGTCGATGAAGATAGTCCAGGCCGTCGAACATCTGATTTGCCAGGTCCTTCTTGTGTGCAGAAGTGAGTTTGAACGTCGGATGGTTGATGAGCCCAGTAAGATCATGCGAGAGATATTCGAAGACCATAAAACATTCATTCTTTTCCACCATGACCTCTTGCAGGGCAACAACGTGCTTGTTTCTGAGATGCTGGAGCAACCGTATCTCACGCACAGCTGTAATAGGAAATCCATCTCGTTCACCTTCCATTCTGATCTTCTTGAGCGCAACTTGGTCCTTCGTGTAAATGTGGACGGCTTTGAAGACTTTTCCATATGTGCCTGCTCCAACCACAGACTCGTTACCGGGTTTTCGGTAGTATATCGACTCGGATTCTGCAAATTCGGGTGGCAATGTAGGCCGAGACTTGATCTCCTTCTTCAATTTCTTCGAGGGAGGCGAACGTGATCGTTCGGGCTGGCGGCTATTTGCAGGGTGTTGGGGAGGTCTTCTGTCTGGGTGTGAAGGGAAGTTAGGGGGAGGAGGACGTTGCCCAGGCCTGTCGTCTCGTCTGTCAAAACGATCGAATTGTTTCTTTCTTGGTTGTGTGGGAGGCGCTCGATCTTCGGGTTGGAAGGGTCCTTTCGGTTTGGCTGCAAATTCTGCTGTTTGTTTAGCTGGTCCCGAAGGAGGCGCCTTTGACTTGAATGCGAAGCTGAATTTTGATGCAGCTGTCCCTGGCTGTTCGTCACCATGAGCTTTCTGACCTGGGCCTCTTTGATCTTCCACTTGTAGCTCTTTCGATGGTCTGAAAAGATTCTCTTCATCCGCCGGTCCTTCTCTACCATCTTGCGACGGTGCTTGAGAAGGTGCAGGAGATGTCTGGTTCATGTGTCCACCTTGAAAGTCGTTGTTCTGTGAGCCGCCTCGTCTAGGGCCAGTAGGAGGCGCTGTCCATTGCAGATTATTGAAATGGCCACCTCTTCCTCGACCACGAGGGCCATTGAATCTCTGATCTTGTTTACCATAATGACCGCCACGAGACCCATGACCACCTCGATAAGGACCCTGTTGATACCCTGGTTGGTTAGGCCCAAAATGTTGTTGATTCTGGTAGTAGGGATTGGGGTTGTTGTTCACGCCACCTGGGCCAGAGAAGCTGTTTTGCCGGTATGGCGGAGAGGAATTATGCATGGGACTAGACTGAGTCAGAAAGGATGTGCCGGATGTGATTCACGAACTTACCCATGAGGACTTTGGCCACCTCCCCAGCCGCCTCTTTGATTGTGGTACGGTGAACCAGCTTGCGACCCATGGTAGGAGCTATTCGGTGTCCCCGAGTAAGGAGGCGATCCTCCATATTGTTGTCTTGTATCAACAAAAGGCCTTTGTTGTCCTCGATGCATGCCATAGTTTCCACGCATTGGATGTTGACCATCCATGGAGCGGTTATCTGTATCGTCTGCCACGGACTGGCTTCTTGAACGGGGCAGACCCCTCTCAGGGAACGGCCGGCCTTTGCCCTTGCGAGGGCGCTTTGGAGGTCGAAAATTCTTTTTGGAAGATTCTCGATGATTAATGGACTCGTTCCGGCGCGGTGGGGATGATATTGATGAAGGACGGGGAGAAATGGAGCGTCTGTCGTGTCTGCGGAAAGGACTCGATTCTCTATGGCCTTTGATATTTGGATCGGGACCACGACGGTTAGACTCGGGTCGGGAAACGTGAAATGTTCTGTATGGAGAACGTGACCTCGATCGCCTGTCGTTGATGCCCAGACGATCTCGACTGCGACCGGATCTCTGGCTCTCAGGGCCAAATCTATCACTCGCAGCAGGTGAAGGACTCTGAGTACGTCTGCGCTTTGGCTGTCTGTTTGGCGAAAAGTCTCGACCACGGGCTGGTCTGTCTTCAAACGACCTCGGACCTAGTGGACGCGTATGTTTTGGTCTCGAAAAGCGAGTGGGAGATGGAGATGGCTTCCTACCAAGCGATTTCTTCGAATCTCGGGGCCACTTTCTGTTCTGTCGACGGCCACCACGACCTGCCTGATCTCTGTCTCTTTCGGGAACAGGGTAGGCTTCAGAATATCCAAAAGAAGGTGAGGGCGGGTGGTGGCCACCACGATCTCTGTCTCTCTCCGGCGGTCGATTCGAAGGTCTGTCGCGCGGATCGTCTTCAGCTCGCCAACGATGCTTCATTGATGGGTCTTGTTGAGACCTGGCCATGTAACCCGGGAAGTCATTGGCGAAGGTGTCGGGAGGGAAGAAGGGATGGGGAGGCGGGTGAGGTTGCTGTTGTCGGTGGTGGTGTTGAACGAGTCCTTCGCAGTCTGCAGTTCCCATTCAGTGAGCGAGTTGCATGCCATGGCGAGCGCCTTGGCACGCCGCTTGTGATTCGATCATCGGAAGTAGAAATTCCGATGCCGAAGTGTGCCGAAGTGTGCACTCACCTTCACCGTAGTCCAACTGCACCGCCATGTCCATCTGCTTGCCCACCTTCTTCCTATGCCGCTGGCGTGGTCTCTTCCTCTTCCCCATCGTCACTGGACACTACCAGTTGTGGTGATGATGAGGGCTAATCACTCGTGATCTACAGTCGATGGCGGGTTTTGTGAGACCTCAGCTGAAAGTGTGAAAACTCTCACAGAAGTCTGACACTTCCCCCTGTCGTCGGCGCGCGATTCAGGATGCAAAGAGTGTCCGGGTCTTTGCATCGCAGAGCGACAGCAAAGGACCAGACATGAAAGCTATCTACGTGCCATCAGGTCCTCCACAAGCCATGTTGTCGAGTGAAATATATTAACCCATGCCTTGGCACCGAATGCACGCGCTTCATAACGCTCCACCCCACGACAACAACATATCTGCCTTTGTGAAGTAGACATTGCCATAATAGTACGCAACATCTATTCACTCTGGCATTGTGAACTGCCGTCTTGGAGCAGTCTGAATAAATCAGTAGAGACGCCTTGTGTGATCAATACCGCACTGTTCGCATCAGATCCGCCCAAGACTGCTGAATACGACAATGTCGACGTTGAACGATAAACTGGATGTTAGTGATGGGGATGTCGGATTGGACTCCCTGCGGAGGTCGTTCCTGGGCTGCTGGTGAAATGACCATTGTGCCAATATCTGACCGGCATCGTGCATCGTAGACTGTAGCCAAGTTCAATTAGCACACACGGAAAGCATTGGTCTGTTATCGAGCTCTCCTGGTGCGGATATGTCCTAAAGATAGTCATCAAACCCATTTTGCGAGCGAGCCCGCTTCCCACTAGATTTCTGGTCAAAGAAGGCCGAAGCGACAGCAGGTGGCTCGAGGCAGTCCAGGCGGCGAAGAAGGAATGCACGATTTGTAGGCATGGAGTGGTAGTAATGGCGTGGCATCCCCGCTGACCGCCGATCATTGGCGTTGCTCCGGCCATAATAGTAGAACGGCAGAAACCAATTCTTCAGTCGTCTTGCGTTGTCATGTCGAACTATGATGAAGAGATATCAATACAGAGAGAACGTGCAGCATTTGGTTACAGATATACGATGATTGTGTGAAAGGAGGTTAGTTAAGAGTGTGACCTGAAGTCCAAGCAAGGACCTGGAACGCGCCAAGCCCGGCCACTAACCCCGTTTTGGGACATTAGTGACGCCGCCCTGTTGCCTCACGAGCCACTACCTTAAACATAACCTAAATACGGAGGTCACTGGGGAGGTGAACTTCGAACACCACGAAGCCGGATACAATTTGTCGGTGGAAGACATGTTGACTTGTATTTCAGCGGCTCCCTACCGAGGTCATCGACCCATCTGTAGCTTCCTGTCCATCGTCAAAGGTTCGGGGTAGTACTTCGGTAAGCATCAAAGGATTTTCCAGCAACGCATAATACACCCTCATGGGCTTCGGCGTGCAAGTAGCGTCATAAATGCGATGGACTCGACAGCACTTCGGTCGCTGCTCCAGAAATTCGTCATCGGTGAGGTCGTCATTGACGAAGACCGTATCCCGGTCCAGTGGGGAGGCGAGTTTGGGTTCAGTTGGCCCATGGTCGGCCAAGGAGACGGCGACCACCAGAAAGACGTCAGACCCGTCAAATGATAGTGCAAATCGTCTACGAGCTTTCCGAGGAACATACAGTCCGTTTAGGAGAGTCACTTCCTCCCCTTCGGAAGCGCATGAAGACCATGGATCCCAAAATCTGCCCGAGATCTCGCGACTTGGAGCAGCGAGCCTCAGCCATCTCTCGCTGTCGAGTTTTGAACTTGCAGAACGTGAATGCAGGGGGTCTACATCCGCAGGAATCGCCACAGTCTTGCCGCTGCAAGTATCTCTGAGCATCTGCTGCCTCCTGTCCGAATACAGCATAATGCTCAGGGGTGTTATGTTCAGTAGGCATGCTGTCAGGCTCAATTGTTCAACCATCGATATTCGGTCGGTGTGTTCCAGCCATATGCTTTCCAGAAGGATATCGAGAGGGTTCAGGTGGTAGTCCACTTTAAAGCTTGACCCGTGCTTCGTGAACGCGAGGATGGCGAATAACCTGTCCTTAACATTACTGCATGCTTTGGGCATGAGCCAGTGCGCGCCACGGGTTCCGTTATAAGTGTGATAGTTGAACAGATTCAGCCGCTGGTCCTTGGCAGCTTTCTGCCTCATCAACCATAAATCTCTACCTCCAAGAGTGACCGTCGAGTAAAAGCTCTGGCCAATGGAACTCAAGCTGCTCGTGGAGTGAGCCGTGCTTAGGATGAGCTCGATACGCCCAATTAGTTTTTGAAAGGCTTCAAAGTCGGTGAAATGCTCGTTCGCCATCAGTATGCCCTGCCGCGGCAGTACGAATTCCTGTAAAATCCAAGCTCGGTGCCAGTAATCCGATCGATGTATCTCGTTGAGCCCCTCCCAAAACCCATGGTTTTGCATGCAGGCTTCGATGATGTCCACATCGCTTGAGCCGGCGTTTGTATTGATTAACTTCAGCGCTTGGCCTGCAAAGCTCCATTCTGACCCGAGCCATATAAATGCCTTCTTTGCTTGTGAATAGATGGTTGACATCATCTGGACCTGGTGATTCTTCTCGTGGAGGTCATCCTGGGCGATGCAGATTGCGTCAACCCAAATGGTTGTGTTGGTCAAGTGCCTCCTTGCTACGTCCAAGAAATCCCAGAGATTCTTTTCAACGCGGAAAGTCCGTCCATTCAAGAGTATGTGATGACGCCCTCCCGGACGGTCCCAGACGTATGAAAGCGCAGAGTACCCGCTGGAAGTATCAGAGTGCCAGATTTCGCAATCGATAAAGCCATTGCACAGCGCTCCCTTCACACGAACAAGTCGTATAGCTTTGGGATTCCTGGAATCAAGCGCGTCATATCGAAAGAATTTGCGTCTTCGATACACCGGTTGAGCATTTTCATCGCGATATGGAGTCCAGGTTCGTGCGGGCAGACGGCGGGACATCGTGGCCTCACCCGCCCACAGAAAGGTATTGATACTGCGCCAAAAGGGCAAAGGTATCTTCTCGCATTGCCGGTGCTGACGCAGAAAGAGTGTAACGAACCTTGGTGATGTGGGTGTTAGAGAAACCAGGGAGAGGGATGTCGAGATGTAAAGGTCATACGAAAGGTCGTACCAAAGGTCATACCAAAGGTCAGAGTCTCACCAGGCAGTGCCGCGGCTGCGCCTCGCTGGATGGCTGAGCTGCTTTATACACGGGTGTTGTGATTGGGTGCACCCGTGATAATTTGCCGAGGTCGCTGGGTCACAGCCCGGAACTCCCCTGTCTCGCCTGTTAGGCATACCTAGGACAGCCTTCCTCGCGTAGATTCTCGACTAGCCATTTTCAAGTGTTGGGTAGTTTCCTTAGCAGTATTTCCGCTGGACTGTCCTTCCCGGCCCAACTCACGATATGATCCAATCCTTTCCAAACCACAGCATCAAGTCTCATGACTGCTAGCTTGAGAACAGGCCACGCTCGTGACTGCATCCGGACAGTGATCCGCCATTTGTCCAGTAGCAGCTTGTTCTCTTTGGCTACAGCCATCGACGGCGACTGCACAAAGAGAAGCAAGGCAAAGTTCGTCATGTACGACAGTTGATATCGTGTATCTTCAGGCACGAGAAGAGTCAGCATGTTTGGCAAAGTCAATTGAGTCAATCGGGGCAAGATCATTCTCCATCTTTAGATCAACAATAAGAGGCACCACTTACAGGAAGGCCAGAAATTGACAAAGTGATTTGCCTTGAGAGCTGCGACCAACTCCAGAACGAGTTTGGCACATGACTGACTGTTTTGGAAGATGGTGGAGCGTGGCTCTGACATTTCCTGCTCACTTGTTCCAGGTTGAAAAGCCAGTGGACGAAGGAGTGCTCTGAAGACCAGGAGTTCCAACGTCAAATACGTCAGACGGAGTGGACCGCAGTTATCGAGGCCATCATCTTCCATCAGCTCTTTAGTGGGCTTCAAGACATCCGGCGGCAGTTTTTGTCGCCATTGTTGAATCAGCATCCTCAAGGGATGCGCGCGGACTAGAAGAGCCTCCAGCGTGGTAGCTTCACGGATCGACTTGATAGAACTGTTGGCGCGGGCGTTAGAACGTCATAAACTGTTATGCGGTAAGACAGAAGTTTGGGAGGTACTCACTAAAGAGCGTCAAGCACTTCGCTAGCAATTGTACTCAGGCTGCAAAGGGCCATGAAGTAAGGACTCTGTGCTTGAACACAGCTGCGAGCTTCCGAATCCGCAATGTCATCAAGGTCGAAATCATCTGCAGTCAATTCAGAGACATCCCAGTTTGATGCGGCGATATGAGAGGGCCGTCCTAGAACCAGTGCGCGCCAAGTGTGCTCCACGTGAACAAGCCACCACAGCCTCTTCCGCAGCCTGATTTCATGTGAAGGAAGCTTCCAATCTGAAGGGTCCAGATTCAGTCCGAGTGTCTCTGCTGCAGCGAGGACCGAACAAGCCAGGGCCCAGGAACTCGGAGTATCGGCGACGGCATAATTCTGCGGAGGCCGATGCAAAAAGAGTAGGCTAAGCTGCACAAGCCCGAGGTGAGACTTCCGGGCATCACGCTGCAAGCCGCGATGAGCAATTCCCCAGAGCTCTTCTGTAGAAGGTTGCTGATAGCCTCTGTCCACCGAGAGATAGTCATCAAGGAAGTAGTACGGCGCGGCTAACGCGTAGACCGCTGCTCTCAATCCAGTTGAACAATTGCAATTTCGATACTCGCCGTTATGATCGTGCGACGAGAGAACCGGATATGATGGCTGAATGAATTTGAAAAAGCTGTACAAGTAAGCGGTGGGCTTCCAAACTCGCATCGCACAATGACTTACAGTTTCAGGAGTCTTGAGCCCAAGTCAATCGGAACGATCTTATACAGCAAAGCATGATCTTCAGCTTCAGTATTGGAACCTGCAAAGTCCGTATCGATGATTTTGACATCGTCTTTGCATATCTCTTCGTCGGTCATGACAAATTGGACTGGTATGTCACTGGCGGGAATCTGTGAGGATTGGGACACCGCAGTAGGCTCCGGCATGTTTATGTCGTCTGTGATTTTACGAAAATCAAGTGCGAACATCCGAAACGTGTCCCGCGTATCATACTGATAGTGTCGTAGAAGAAACGGATCAGTCTCGCTCGATAAGCCGATAAGTTGAGAGGAATAGCCAGGGCGTTCGTCAAGAGAGAAGTCGCTGGACCAGTCTCCATTCCTTGGTGCTTCCTGTTTCTCAAGTGGCAGATTCTCGAGCACATCATCTTTATCACTCGGGTTGGTGCCATTTGCAACACCCTCGCGATGTTCCTGTCGCTGACTCGGGCCTGGCGAAATGTGTTCCAATCGAAATGCCTGAGGTGAGCCATCACTGGCTGCCGACATTCGGCTTGGGAAATCGAAGTCGTTGCCTAGAGGAGCTGGTATGGCAATATTAGTCGGAATATCCTAATAACAGTCAATCTCCTTACAGATGGGAAAGTTGAGGTACGACCAATCGATAGCGCCGCCTTGTGAGTCAGGGGGCCGCTGACCCAGAAACGACAGCTGGTCGGATACAGGCGGTAATGTATGGGAATCGACGTCGATATCGAACTCCAAGTCCGCGTTTTCGAACGCGCTAACATCGATGGCCATCGGATCGCCATGGCGGGCGTCGAAATCAGATTGAGAGCCACGATGCTGCGCTGTTGATTGAGTCTCTGGAGGACGCGATGGTTGAAGCTGCGCCGAACTTGACTGAGATTCTGGAGGCCATCGTTCTTTTCTCAAAGGCTGCAAGACAAATGTACAGCTGCGCCCGAGTTTGTCGCAAAGTTCACAAGCCCCACCAGAGCCTGGGATCTTACATTGCGTCTTGCGTTGTCTACACAAATCGCAGGGTCTTTGCCGTTTCGACCGATACTTTCGGGCTTGAGACCCATAGACAGAATCTGACCCGTTTGGACGCATGCCGGTAGGGATAGTGATTGTTACCGAACATTTCAACAGTTTATCATTGTGGTTGAATTGACGGCGCGTCGTTATCAAGTTTGACTTTAGCACAAGACTATTAATTCATAGCGCGCCAAGGGATGTAACCAAGGGATGTAATGACTAGGTCACTTTCTTGCCTCGTGCCTCATCTACCACGTCCACCACGTCTACTCAGGTAAGTGTTCGAGCTCGACACCTCTCGCAACACACTACGTAGGTCTCAAAGGTGGGCTACAGAGGTATATGATTTATACGAGTACCCCTTCATCACTTGGCGGTATCCATCTCATTCCGAGAAGACAACGTCCTCAAGAACATCAAGAAGACTACACATTGGGACAAACCTCCCCGTGTCAGACAAGTGGACTTTTCGGCCCCGAGGTCGCCGCTTTATAGGCGCTTCTTAGCAAGCGGCATGCAATTTGGCCGTAAGCACCAGTGCTCGAGAAAGAGGTCCTAACGTTGTATCTTTTGCCCCTAGGAATATACATGTATAAGCGAACAGTACCTTCCTCCGTAGACTGTCTACCACAGGCTTGCTATGGGTTTCTGTCCGGCGCCGACCAATTTAGCACGACCGAATCGAGATTTTGACGAGCGCGATTCGTGTGGATGTGTGGACCATGAAAATAGTACAGGGGCCCCCGGATTTTCTCCTTCAAGAGAACTTCTAGCAAAAGATAGTAGGCAGGTTGAGCTACAACTCAAGGGGACATTGGAGCATCATTTTACGCATATCAGGACCGTGTTTTGACGGCCAACGTCAATTCATCGGGCGGAGCTGACGGTCGAAAGTCGATACGAAAGATTACCTGTAACTTTGCGGAATAGGTGGGGCTGATACCATCCGCCGACGGCCAACTGTAATTACTGGTCATGTCATTCGACTGGACCCAATTGCGCCGACTTTGACTGCGGCGATTCAGTCGAACAACATCTCTACAGCCCTGCCGCAGCAAGCATAGCCATCCTGGCCCGGCGGCTTTGATGATACCCGTTGAGTCCACCCTAATGCTGCAATCAGGTCTAGGCTTACCGCCGGCTCTGATCGGTTGAAGCAGTTGAGAGCAAACCTTGAATAGGTGAGGCTGGCGTTCAGATTTCGTGATGCAAAGAAGACTGCTTCTGAGTCATGTCAATCTGGAACCTCTTTCCCAAGCACAAGCTTAGTTTGCAAAGCATTGCACTTCCTCCTCTGGTTCCACGACTAACAAAGCGACCCTACGCAATGCAGCTCACAAAAGAGCGCAAGGAAGTCCTCCAAGGCACAAAGTCAAGCACGGCTGCTGCAAATGATGTCTCTACCTTGAAGATAAACGGCAGCAGACTGATGTCTTCGCTCCATGAATCATGTGAATTTGGAAAGGCGCATCCTTATGGAACGTGAGTTGGAGTATATCGCGGTCCAGAACATCATGCTGAAGTGTTCTCAGACACGAGACAGAGACGGGGATGGCCCGTCTAGCTCTCAATGCAGCCGACAAAGCTGCTCGACAGTGGTTCGTGCAAGAAGCAAAATCTCTGGGCTGCAAAGTCACAATCGACCAAATGGGCAACATTTTCGCTGTGCGACCTGGGAAGAATTCAACAGTGGCTCCCGTCATGATGGGCTCGCACCTAGATACACAACCCACTGGCGGAAGGTACGATGGAATACTCGGTGTTCTAGCTGGTCTGGAGGTTTTGAGGACGCTCCATGAATGTGACTATCAGAGTGAAGGAAGTATTGGGGTCGTAAACTGGACCAAGTGAGTTCCAGCGCAAACCTTTTGAGTATACACCCTAATTAAGTATCTGTACAGTGAGGAAGGTGCCCGGTTCCCAATCATCACCGTCTCTTCAGGCGTCTGGTCCGGTGCTGTTCCATTGGAAACGGCGTGGAACTGCCAGGAAGTCACCCCAAGCCAGGATGGCAACCGATACACCATGAAAGAAGAACTAGAACGCATCGGCTTCTTGGGCAGCACTCCCGCATCGTACGAATCCCAGCCTATTGCCGCACATTTCGAGCTCCACATCGAACAAGGTCCAATCCTGGAGGATGAGAGACGTAGAATCGGAGTTGTCAGTGGCGGACAAGCTTACAAATGGTTCGAAGTAGTTGTCCGAGGTAGGGATAGTCACGCTGGGACAACGCCTATGGCAGCAAGAAAAGACTCAGTCCTGGCTGCCGCCAAGATGATCGTCGAATCGAACAGAATCGCAAAAGCGCATTCCGGACTGATCACAACTGGCCTTGTCGAGACGGATCCGGGGAGTATCAACACCATGGCGCACACTGCCCGCTTCACTCTCGATATGCGGCATCCTTCGGACAGCGTACTTGCGCAGATCGAAGACGAATGCCGGAAGACATTCAGCATGATCGCCGCGGAAGACAGTGAGAGAGGGGTCTCGCTGGAATGGCGACAACTGGCTGCAAACCCAGCAGTCACATTTCACCACGATTGCATTACCGTCATCGAACAGGCTGCGGAAGAGACTGTCGCAGATCTGCCAAAGACTACTGAAGACGGGAAATTATGGAAGCATATGGTCAGTGGCGCAGGCCACGACAGTTTCCATACTAGTCGAAGATGCCCGACTGGTATGATCTTCACGCCAACGAGAGACGGGCTGTCACACACACCAACGGAATACTGCAGTCCTGAAGATTGTGCACTTGGCGCACAGGTGTTGCTTGGGGCGGTTTTGAGGTACGATAGGTTGCGAGTTGAGAGAGGAATGCTCGCTTGAAAATGATCTTAGGGTTAAGAGCTCGTCTTCAGGACTCCACACCAAAAGCTCGAGATCTAAATGCAATGAAGTCTAGAGAGCTAGAAAGATATCCTGAGAGCCGGATTACGTCGGCGTACCGACACCCATGGCTGGAATAAATTTTGAAAGATCTGGGAAGCCAGTTTGATCGACACGGGTCAATAACAAGGATCCTTCTACGACGCATGCGTCGAAGATGGGTAATTTTCTGGTCTCCTCTTCACCCATCTGTTGAGACCAGGATTCTCCGGGCCTCAGCCCTATGGGGGACGTGCATACTATGGCGTTCGAGAGTGGAGTTCAGGGATATCGACCGGGCCAGCCTCCGTCCAAGTTGGCCGTTGATAAGGACTTTAGATCTCAACATCGGCCAAGCTGATAACGCCCGGCAACAAGCCCCCTCAGCCCACACTCAGATGGGCGGATTAGCGTCGGCGAGAGTAGTGCATGGGGCTCTGCCGATTGCTATGTTTATACGAATGGTCCTTTATATGGTGCATGATGGATAGTACTTGCTTGTTTGAAGCTTGAGTCTGCTCGAACGGTACCTACATCTCGTCGAGAATGGCAATGGCAACAGTCTTCGTCGGGACGCGCCCGATCGTGCTTGTACTTCTCTGCGCAGTCACATCGCTAGCAGCGGTTGTGATATATCGACTCTTCTTTGCGCCGTTGTCAAAATTTCCCGGCCCGAAAATCACAGCAGTGACACAGCTATGGATGATGTACCACGAATTCAAGGGTGACAGAACAGTGATAATCGACCAACTCCATTCCCGCTATGGACCGGTGGTGCGAGTCTCACCGGACGAAGTCTCGTTCAACAACTACGAAGGCTTGAGGGAGATTTATGGCATCAAGTCAACTTTTTCGAAGAGCTCCTTTTACGACCTATTCGTATACTACAATACGCGGAACACCTTCACCAGTCTAGACAAGCCAAGTGTATGTGCTCTCCGATCCCCATCCCCATCCGCATCAATTGGACTCCATATACTCATTCTTGATAATCTAGCACTCGGCCAAGAAGAGGCTGGTCGCAGATCGATACACCAAGAGCTACGTGATGCAGCCGTCTGTGGCCGACAAAGTGCGAGAGCATGCTTCGGCATTCATGAAGCAAGTGTCGATTCAAGGGCCCGTTCTCGATGTGTACACCTGGCTACACTATTACGCACTTGAGTATGCAAACTCCCCAACCCATGTAAGCTGCGATTCTGACCTCTTTCAGCGCCATCACAAACCATCTTTATGGCGCCCATGGCACACACACACTGTCGAGGCCGGAACACAGAGGGATCGTTTATGACCTCTCCGGCGTCAAGCACCGCACACGTCTGTACATGCTACACTACTTCGGCTGGGTCATGTCGCTCAAGACGCAGCTCACGGCCGTCATGCGCAAGCTCAGCGGCCAAAACACCGCGTTCCACGTCCGCGGCAACCGGCTGAACGACTACGGGGAAGGTAGCGTCTCGTCTTTCCGTCGTGACCAGACCACCAAAGACACCATCTCAACATGCTCCAAACTCTTCAGCCAGATCCCCAACAACGAGCCCGCCATCGCCGCCGAGTGTATGGACCATCTGGTCGCGGGTGTTGACACGACCGGCGACGCCATGTGCATCCTGATGTGGCGGATCTCGACGCCCCAGTACACACACGTACAAGACACGCTCTTCCGCGAGCTGTCGAGCATCAAAGACGCCTTCGACCCTGTGACACGGACCGCGCCAATCGCTGTGCTCGACAAACTTCCTTACCTCGACGCCGTGATCCACGAGGCCATGCGCTGGCGTCCGCCGGTGCCCATGACGCTGTTCCGCATCGTGCCTCCCACGGGCGCCTTGATTTCGGGCCACGCCGTCCCTCCCGGGACCACCGTCGGATGCCAGTCTTACAGTCTGCACCGAGTGGAAGAAGTCTTCCCGAACCCGGACCTCTTCGACCCCACGAGGTGGCTGACGGAGGATGCAGCGCATCTGGCGGCGATGCGCAACCACTTCTGGCCCTTCAGCTCCGGCGGCCGCATGTGCTTGGGCCACAACCTCGCCATGGTCGAGATGAAGCTGATCGTCGCCGCCGTGTACATGCACTACACGACGCGTGTAACGCCTGCGGTCACAGAGGAGAGTATGCGCATGGACGACCAGTTGACCAGTGGCGTGCCGTATGCGCTGAGCTGTCCATTGGAATTCGTTGCGCGGTGATCGACTGGTGTCTTCGGTCTAGCCAAATAGTTACGCTTAAAAGAATGTAGAATAAATCATTCGGAAATCCAACGTTGTATATCTCTAGATGCATTAGACATCAATTTAGCGCTGAGTCTTGAGTTGTCGAGGCCGGGCAGCTTGGCCCCAGCATTGCCTCATGAAATTTCTACGCCTTCAATAGAAAAGTCGTGCATGTCCCTGGCGGTCATCCATTACAAATCAATATATCACCTCTGACCAGTGGCTTCGGTACGCCCAAGTCCTCTCAGGGAGCTGCAGATTCACTTTCTGATCTTGAGCTTAAATGTAAAGAGATAATGTAGGCAATCGGAAAAGGCCTCCCACTCAAATATAGTGGTTGGAAAGATTGTGCATGGGTGTCTAAGCATGTTGCTGAAATGATCCTCCATTCTAGCCAAAAGACATGCTCCTTCAGATACTAGTATTCAATTTACAATGAGATTTACAATACTGGAACCACTTGTCCCGCCATCACCGACTTTCGACCACCTTCTCGCCAGCCAGGATTGTTGCTTGAGTCTCGGCGTCAACGTGTTGAATCTTAGCGGCCTCTAGGAGTTCCATGTTTATAATCTGTGTCAGAACGAATTAGTACCACTTTCTCACGGTCGAACAAGCAGAGAGATCTCAACACTGGATATGAACTCACCGGTCCCACGAATGTCTTTCTCTTGCCAGAGAACCACATGATCACGATGATCAAGGCACAGCCAGCCACAACTACAGAAACGTAGTTCATGGACTCGACCTCGGCAGGCAAGAAGGTCGGCAGACAGAACAATACTGTGTACAAGCAGACCCAACACACACAGAAGATGTTGCAGAAAGGGCCGAATATCTTGCCCAGATTGAACTGCCGTGTGTGCGGAAGAACTTTGTCTCGCCCGCGGAAGAAGACAATGCCTTGCGGAATCGCATACGTGACATTGAGCGAAAGGATCGACATGGAGATGAAGCTGTTGAAGGCCGTAGTGGATCCCACGTAGATTGCACCGTAACAGGCGACGAATACGCTCGAAGCGATCGTCGCATTGACCGGCATTTGGAGGCTGGGGCTGATCTTCGCAAAGGTAGGTGAGTATGGAAGGCCGTTGTCACGAGCAAATGCCCAAGTCAGACGGCCCGTGGCCGCCACGACACTGACGACGGAGCCGAAATAGATGACCAGAAGCCACACGGCGAGGAACGTGGCACCTGAACGGTTGTTCAACGCTTGCTGATAGACCTCGAGGATAGGAAAGCTGGAAGACGCAACGGCGTCGAGGTCGTTGGTCGAGAAAAGGAATGCCAAAGTCCAGGGGATCACGCTGACGGCTGATATGCCCAGACTGAGCATCATGGTTCTGGGGACACCTTTGCCCGGGTTGGGGATTTCCTGTTCCTGTCAGCTTGGAGCTCTAAGCCATACTCGTACGGCCGCTGCAAACTTACCTCGGCGATATGGGATGCCCCATCCGTGGCAATGTACGCGTACATGCACGTTCCTACTCCCAGGATGAAAGAGACTCCATCGCTCCAACCGGTGACGTTGACAACTTCGGTGAAAACGACCTCGGCGGGTTGTTTGGTGTCACTGGCCGAAAGTACAGTGATGAAGAAGACAATACAGCCAGAAACGCTGATCAAGAAGAACCCAATCTCGGTTTTCGGCAGCTGTCGGGGGAAGAGCACAACGACGGCTGTCGCGAGCGCCTGATACAAGATGTACATCAAGTAGATCTGCCACTGAGTTGCGACATAGTCTGGATGCCAGAAACCGGCGATTGCGGCCGTGATCTGCGCACAGACGATCGTGGCACTGGCCGTGAAGAGACAATAGGCGATGACGGAGAGCCAGCCCATGACGAAGGCAACGGCCGCCCGAGTTTTCTCGGATGACACCATGAATGCGAAATGGTATTGTCCTCCGGTGGAGGGATACGCTGAACTCAGCTCCGCCAGTCCGGCAGCTATAGGGCATTGTCAGATCGCATTCCAAAACACACATTGGCAGGTTGCGCTGTCTCAAGGAGATCTTACTGATGATGGAGCAAGCGATCGTGGCAACGATCAAGCCCCAGAACACATATGGCCCACCGCCGGCCAGCAACGGGTAGGGGAATGTTGCTGAATACCCGATCCATGCGCTCGTCAGGAGGAAGGCGATGGCCAGAGTCGAAAGCGTAGAGAATTGTCGGGGAAGCTCTCCCTTGTGACCTTGGGCTCGGAGTTCGAGCTCGTCGGCGGACAGGATAGCATCTTGGAAATTCGCTGGCTGCGCCGAGTGCGCTTTGAGAGAGGGTGGTGAGTCGCTCATCTTGGCTCGAACTGAAGCAGAAGGATACTAGTAGAGCTATTCAATCGGAGAAAAGAAGGGAGAACAAGAAATGGAAAGGGTGAGACCGTTTGTTTGGCATGGACGCTTGATTTCCATGCCTTCTATATGCCCTTACCTGTGTTGAGGTCTTGCTGCTGGGTTTCGTATACAGTGGACACCGCAGAGCATGGTGATAGCCAATCAGGAGACCCCCATCTATGAGGCTGTCAGCTTCCAGATCTCGCTTGTTATCCGCCGTCACGGGAAGATATCAGGGGCGAGCCTTATCTGGCCTTGAGAGTCAACACATCACAAATTCACAAACCCTTATCTCGCGGGATTATTATTTTCTGAGGCTCATAGCGGGTTCTTGATAAGCCTTTCTCTTTGTCAGTTCCATGGGGTCGGTGCGCGGGGCACGCGGAAGGACGTGCGTTATTACTTGCGGCCATTATTCTATCGTATCCACGGTGGCCGCATGTTGCCCAGTCGAGACGTATCTGATCCTGTTATCCGCCGACGACAAAATTCCCCACAATTTGCGAGTGTACTCGGACCGGCAACCTGGTGGACACTACGTAGCGAACCATTCACCAAGGCCATCAGTATGTATACTCCTCGAGCTGGAGATATAGGAGGTAACACTCCTGCCTCCTTGGTCGGTCGACATGTGTGTTTCGTTTACGAGAGCGCATAGTTTGATGTAAGGCGTCATGATTTCATTCTTCCTCTTGCTTCCCGTAGTGGGTGCTCTGGCACTCATTGCATCAGTCTTCTACAAGTCACTAGCTCTGAAAGATGTTCCTGGTCCGTTCACCACGAGATTCACAAAGATCCCTCTTCTCTACCAGACAATCACTCTGAACAGAACTCGATATATCCACGAGTTGCATCGCAAATATGGCCCTCTGGTGCGATTGGCCCCTGACGAGATCTCTGTCAACCATCCACCATCCGTCGGTCCCATCTACAACTATGAGAAGACGCATTTTTACAATGCCTTCGAGGCCTATGGGGCGAAGAACATGTTCAGCACTCCAGACCGTGCGCGTCATAGCGGTAGGAGAAAGCATCTTGGTGGCGAATACACCAAGGCCTACATGATACGACCCGAGAATTTGACCGTCATCTACGACCGCGTTAGACAGATGATGAACAACATCTCGGAGCACAGCCCTGTCGATGTGTTCTATCTATTCAACTATATGGCACAAGATGTCATCTCCGGTTTCTTCTTCGGCAACCAGAACGGAAGCCACCTGCTCCAAGGACAAGACACCGAAGTGTTTGATGCCTGGCATATGCGAAGACAGACCTTCCACTGGTTTGCCGAGCTGCCGAACGTCACCAAGCTTCTATACTCGTCCGGGATTGCGAACCTGCTACCAGGCTGGAAAGATGCCGCGACAGGAGAACAGATCATCAACGATATGACCCACAAGTGGATGGACAAGTGTGACCCGGAAAAGGCGCACCTCCTGACCAAACTCATGAAGACGGATCTATCGCGCGAGCAAATCTCTGCGGAAGTTATGGACCACATGGGTGCGGGGCACGAGACGACGGGCACGACGCTCACGTTCATGATTGACCACCTCTCCAAAAACCCCGAGCAACAGAAGAAACTGCACGAGGAACTCAAGAACGTCGACCTTGACGACTTCGCCGCCGTTGACAAGCTACCATATCTGCACGGCGTCGTCCTGGAGACCCTGCGACTGTACTCGTCCATCCCGGCTTCGGAGCCTCGCGTCGTGCCCGACGGCGGAGTCACGCTGCTGGACAAATTCATCCCGGCTTCGACCGTCATCTCCGCCCAGCCATACAGCATGCACCGACAGGAAGAGTACTTTGAGCGATGTCTGGAATTCATCCCCGAGCGCTGGAACGAGCCGACGGCCAAGGCCAAGACGGCTTGGATGGCCTTCGGGAAGGGCACGAGGGGCTGCATTGGCCAGAACATCGCCATGGTCACGATCAAGGTTGCCATCAGCCATTTGTACAAGACGTTTGAGACGAGGAAGCCGGCTGTGCTCCCTGAGAAGGAGAATATGGATTTCAAGGATTATTACATGATCACGCCCGTTAACGATACCTGTACGGTCGTCTTCCAGAAGGTGGATGATGGGGAGAAACTATAGTGATAGTCCGAGATATTTGTACCTAGTAACCAGATTGACACAGATATTCAATCTGTGGGGCGTTCGTTCACTAAACTGCCCTCAGTTAATCCTACTGAAATTAGGACACCAAGCTCACACAGACCCCTGTAACACCACCGCAGTTTGAATATCTGTGCCAACCACCAAGTAGTTGGTCAAATTCCACTGGGCTGTTAACTCTCGAGGGTATCGCGGGCATGAAATCAGGTGATAGGATGCTTACTGTAGATTGGTGCCGTAACGGCCGTCATATCTAAGGCTTAAGTGAGGCTGAAGAATAGGGGACGGTCTCAGGGGCTGATTACGGCCCGTGGGCGGATCGGACGTACATTCATCCGTGAAGATGAGGCTGTTCTGTATTGACCTTAGTGATGACAGCCTCGCAGTCCCAATACCTGCTCTTGGTGTTCCCATTGATATAAATTGGGAGCTCAATATAAAGCAAAAGCTACTTGGAAGTAAGGGACTCCTTTCCTAGTCATCACGCCGCAGAAGCTCACAAACTGTTCTGTTCCTTTCCTCGTCACGGATCTCCCTGTCTTACTCGTTATCCTTGACGTCGATGACGGTTGCCTTGAACTTCCTGGCTGGAATCTTGCGGTTGAACAAGATGTCGCTCTCACGGTAAGAGCGATGCTTGAGCTCGGGAAGAAAGAAGTATGCCATGATCCAACAGACGACAGCGGTACCTCCCCAGACATAACCGCACTTGCCCGCAAGGTTCCATCCTGTCGGGTTGAGCATGTTCGAGGCCAGATAGATCATGGGGATCTCGGCCACATAGTAGGCGGCACGACCGACACCGGTGCTCAACGCGCGAAGACGGACCGAGGACGTCTCGGCAATGATGGTGTATGAGATCGGTCCGAGGGTGCCGGCATAGACAAAGGAGATGATGACACCTAGACAGGCCTGGGCGTAGTTGGTCGCATGGCTCTGGGGGATGGAGGCGCAGATGGCGAGGATGAAGAGGAAGGTGATGTTGGTGGCGGTGCCCCAGAGATAGATGGTCCGACGACCAAACCAGGCGGTAAGAAACCAGGAGCCCGCGTTGGCAACGAATTGGAGACACGAATTGATCAGATTGAGCTGGAAGGATTTATCGGACGAGATCCCGGCTTCTAAAATGGAGCGTCAGTCATCCACGCCGGTTCAAGACTTGTCCGACAGAGGGCGCTAAGTACTCACGCTCGAAGAAGAAAGTTGCCTGGTTGGCAATCAGGTTACCGGCGAAATTCTGTGACGCGTACATCAAGCAGGTGATGATTGTTCGCCTCAAATCGACGCCCTTGAACAGATCCAGGAGCGTCGGGGCACCACCCATCCGAGCTTCAATCTCGACGGTTCGCTCCATCATGGCAAGTGCCTGTTGAGTCTGCTCTGGAGATTTACTACCGAGGCGCTCGATGGAGCGTTGCGCATCTGCTTTGCGTCCGCGACGGATGAGCCACCACGGAGCCTCGGGGGCAAGCCAGATGAGAATCAAGAGCGGGGTCTAGACCTGTCAGAACTCTTTACGAAAGCTACGGGATCTGGAAAGGCAACAACTCACGGGGAAGATCCACTGCAAGGCCAGAGGCACTCGCCACGCCCACTGATCGTCTCGCTTGTTGTAGCCGTAGGTGGCAGCGGCGACAATGATACCACCGATAGACCAGCTCATTTGCAGGGTAGCCGTGCAGGCGCCTCGAAGCACGAGAGGAACAATCTCGCTGGCATACGCGGGTGAGTTCGCGATGAAAAATCCCCAAGGGACCCCTTCCAACGCTTGTCCGACCACAAGGACGGCGAGCGAGTCGGCCTAATTGGAAGTTGGGTCAGAGGACAAGCTCGACAACAGGGGGCCGGGCTCCTACTACTTACAAAGAAGGAGACGAAGATCGTGGCGTTCATCAGAATCAGGCCCATGATGGTAGTCCAGCGATAGCCAAGACGGTTGGTGACAGGCCCGGCCAGGAAGACACCGACAAATGCACCACATTGACCGGACTGGAAGAGGGCACTCTGCCATCGGGTTGGAATCGCATGGCCGTCTCCTGAAACGACGCCGTACTTTCTCTGAAAAGCGGGAAGCGCGACGAAATTACCGTTGAGGAACATATCGAACGACTCCATGACCTAGTAAGCATCACATCAGCTGTTGTCTTGTACACAGAGGGCGAGTCTCCGCCACCCGAGATCCAGGAACCTCATAGGGTTGAACACCAGTGGGTGAGGATACTGTGTACTGTGTAGACTCACAATCGTGAAGCACATGATGAAGGCCCACAAGCAAGCCCAGGGGTGGCTCTTGACTGAAGCCCACAAGCCCTCCTGGTGCTCGCGGTTCTCGCCATCTACGGCGTCGTTCATGAGATCCGGGTTGATCACGATTCCGGAATGATCAATCTCGACTCGATCGGCCTGCAGCATCTCATTCTTTGGCTCCATCATACCTGAGGAAATGTTTGGATGATTCGCCATGCTAGCGCGTCAATGCGAAGGAATAGAGAACTGTCTCGGAGGACAACAGACGACTCGGGGGTCTTATACCTTTTCATGTTGTACAGGTACTGTACTTCTGTGCATCTCAATGGCACATACCCCACGACATTGCTAATACGAATCTCAACGGCGCTCGTCCTGACCGGCATCGTCCCCCACGCCATCTGGTCGTCCTTCTCCTGCCTGCCAGCGAGATATCTAAAGCTAATGTATGCTAGCACTCGGACACGCCGTGCATTTCCCGATAATGTGCTCGTGCTACATGGATTACTTTTGCAAGGAACCAGGAGACGGAATTCCTTGAGTCGACTACCAGAGAGAGTAAGGTAACATCCAGTCCACTCCACTTTCCAACGGTGTGCTGGTGATACGTGGCTTCATTTGCATACAGCCATCGATCTCGTCCCCTTGGCACTCCACTAGAGAAGGCACTGTAACATCCAGCATCTTTGACAATCCGCGAGATGTTGGCCTTTTACTGAAAGAACATGCACGATTTGCTCCCTCAATGCCCAAGAGAGGCCTTGCTAGTATATCCCCCTATATTCAAAGGGGTTTGCTGTATATAGACACTTTTTAATCCCCCTCCAACGCATCATAGGGGCAGTTGCAAGGCGTTCAGTACAAGCTACGTAGGCCTTCAGAGTTCCAAAGAACTAGTCTGAGGCGGAAAGCCGACTAGATGCATATTCGCAACCTCGGTGATCCCCATGCCCCGCCCCCAGGTTCCCTTGTTAAGCGCGAACGTGGGTAAGTCGAGGCTCCACTCAGATTCCGACCCACAGGCCAGAGCAGTCGAAGGCGCAACCCGTCTCAGAGCGTGACCAGTTAGGATGTGCTTTTGCCTTCCAGCAACAAATGCGATAGGTCATAGTACACAGTACATGCCGTGCAATCTGGCTAATATTAAGCTTCTACAAGACGGCAAGCGCAGCTGATCGCCCGACCTAGTGGATATGGCCATGAAGCCTAGCAGAGGCACAAACCAGTCTCGGACTGGTTAGACCAACGTTCTCCGCGGTGACAATGCCCTTCCTGCGAGCCGGGGTTTACCGCATTTTACGGTTCAGATCCTGGCCAAGATCTCAGCGGTTGGCTGCATGGTTATGTACTAGTATGTCATGGTGCCACAGAGCTCAGGTAGGCTGCTTGGCGGCTCGCAGCAAGGCAAGGCAACGCTACATTGTCAGATGCGGGTTCTACGAGTAGTCGTCCAGAATTAGTAGCCATCCACAGTAGTTCAGACAGAGGTACTCAGAGAAGGATATCGTGTTAGGTCAAGTGGTGCCACGCTTACCCCCTGCTCTCAGTTCTCTACGTGGCACTACTACGTAGTACACCGAAGGCTCAATCTTCGACAGAAGCATTCCAATCCTGAAATGGGAAATCCCTTCGACGTCCAATGGCCCCCAAGCTCTCAGAGATGCTCGACCAGAAGTTCTCGTCTTATGAAGAGCCAGCCCCCAGAACCTCGCGCCATATCCTGCAGACCTCTTCATCGTAGATTCCAACCCAGATGTCCTCGAACCAGCCGTTGAATTCGGGCTCTCCCAAGCATTCCTTGAGGAGCTCTGCTATTTGTCTCGGAGGGCATTTCCAAACGCCACAGCCCAGCGCTGCGAGTAACAACAGACTTTTGTCCTGCCGTGCGGCCATCCGCAGTATCATCCTAAACCTCTCCTTGATCGTATGCACATCTTTCTCGAGCTTCATTTGCATTTCTCCCTCTCCACGAGCTTTCCCCTTTTGTGCTGGCACTAACGGAGGGCAAGCCAAACCTGCCACGCTGACCACGCTCACGGTCGTCCAATCCCTGCGTGGCAAAATTTTGCAGTCGTGCGTCAATTCATCTCTGAAGATCACCACGTTCGGGCTGAATATCCCTGCGCACTCTCCTGCATTGCCTCCGGACCGATTCACCGTATTTCGCCAGGGATATTTGCTCTTCCACCGGTCCAATGTTGGCCATAGTGTGGATGAATAGCAAAGCGCGTCCTCCTGAGTCGTGCCAGATCGATGTCGCCAGCCTCCAGCTAATTCTGTATCAGAGGCACAGTTGAGCACTGCGACTTTGCCCAAATAGTCGGGGCGAGTTTTCAGAAGTTGTCGTGCTAGAGAGAAAGTATCGGCGTATCGAACTTTGAGGTCGGGGAAGGTATATCCTGGGCAGATGCTGTTGTCAAGTGGTTCGAGTTGTGATGAGAACAAAGTCGACTCCGGTTGTTCGCCGAATCCCATAGTGGTGAGAACGCTCGGTATCATGGATAGCGTTTCATCTGCCAGCTTCTTCCGTATTTCCTTCGGGGGTGGTTCCCCAAAAGAGGCACGACCTTGATATCGTTCTTGAGGTAGGTTGTTGTATGCTCGTGGCCTGCTAGTTCGAGACATGGTGACGCTTGTGTGGCTACTTGGCAAGCGAGATCAGAGGTTAAGAATCGATGGCAGAGGACTAAGGGCTTGTGCAGATGGCTGTGGTTAGAGGTAGTTTCAGTATTGATAGCGTGAGAGAGATACAGAGAAAGACGAAGAGACCGGCACGATATGTATTCCAGTCAAGAGAAGGAAGGCACTTTGTAAGAGCTTGCTGTCGTGACTCAGAGTCTCAGACTTTGTGGGCGACGACTTCTCCCCAGTACGGGTCCCCTGCTGATTGGACAACCAGGAAAAGGGAAACTCAGCATCTTCCTCTGTGAACCATGTGCATGACTCCTTCATGCTGCACAGCAGTGGCACGACACAAAACCGTGAACGAGTCCTACCTGCGTGGAGGGAAATCGACCTCTGGGCAGTCCCATCTGCCAACTGCTGGTCTTTGGACTGATCCCGAGCATCGTCGAGTGCGAGGAGTGTCAAGCCACGATTCTGCCACTGGGTGTAGATCATAGCGACCGTAATAGACCAGGATCTTTACGGCGATCAAGCCTTTGAAATCTTTGAAGTCCTGAGAGCCTCTTGAGTGAACGGCCTAGTCCACTTCAGTCACGGATATACTTTGGTCCTTGGCTCCCCTTTTATCCCACTTGGCAACAGGGGATGATTGGGGCTCGCCTTATATTTGAGCCTAAATTCCATTTCATCTTGAGACCTGGAGAAGTCCTCGTTCGCGCACAACGGTCCCGAAGTGTCGCCTATTCCTCTGAGCATGAGGCGCGCCCTGCAGCCTGGGAAGTTGAAGTCGCACAGGAATCAACCGAAGCTGGAGTCCCCGCACTTCAGCAGCACCCCAGATCTGCCGAAACATTGCTAGCCCTGCAGCTCCACCGGTTGATATCGAAGACAGGCAAGAACAAGCATAGCACGGAGGCATGCCTTCGCCGCTCCAAGACCCCTTACCTTGCTTTGTCTGCACTGCTCACCGACGCCGAGGGTCACAGCCAAGAATAAGGCCCCAAAAAGCTCCTCGAGTATCATCTGCCGCGATGTGACTCTAGCAAGCATAAGAAGAGGGTGGAATTCCTTCGCGAGCGAGGGCGCGCCATTCATCTCTTGATTCAGGACCATTCAACCTCGTGCCTTACTAGTACCCACCGCACGGATTTCGCGAAACAATGGCCAAGATTCTCAAGCCAGTCACGCACGAGACGGGGGCGTCTGATCCTATCATCACAAACATCGTCAAGGAGGACAGGGTGCCATGGTATCGCAAGCCCAACTTGCGCTACCTCTATCTGATGCTCTTCCCGACGTGCATGGGCATCGAATTGACTTCCGGGTTCGACTCGCAACTGATCAATGCTCTTCAAATTGTCCCGTCGTGGGTCGATTGTACGAAAAAGATGCCATCACAATCCCACCATCCACCTCTTGCTGACTCAAAGCCAGATTTCGGCGATCCACAAGGCTCCCTGAAGGGCATCATAGCAGCTGCCTACTCTCTCGGCGCCATTCTCTCATTACCTTTCATTCCAATAGTGAATGACAGGTTCGGTAGAAGATGGTCGATTTGCGGAGGATCGGTCATCATGATCATCGGTGCGGTGGTTCAAGGAGCATCTCAGCACGGTACGTCCAGCCACTTGCGCTCGAACTTGACGAGCGCTACTGACACATAGTTGCAGTCGCCATGTACATTGTCGCCCGCATGATCCTCGGCTTTGGAATCCCGACCTGCATCGTGTCTGGGTCCTCCTTGATCGGTGAACTCGGCTATCCCAAGGAACGTCCTGTGCTTACATCCCTCTTCAACGTCGCCTATTTCGTGGGTGAGTGCCTCCTTCGTCAACTCCCAGCATGAATCGTCCAATGTGCTAACGCTGGACACCAGGTCAAATTACAGCAGCTGGGATCACGTTCGGCACCAACAGTATCGCAAGCAATTGGGCATGGCGGATCCCGTCTCTCCTGCAGATGGCACCGTCAATGATCCAGATTTCCTTTGTGTTCTTCCTTCCGGAGAGCCCCAGATGGTTGATCACCAAGGACCGTAGCGATGAAGCCTACGACATCCTAGTCCACTACCATGCCGAAGGCGATAGCCAATCCGAGTTTGTCCGTGCAGAAATGACCCAGATCCGCACCACAATCCAGCTCGAGCGCGAAGCATCCAAAGACTCGTGGTTCTCGCTTCTCCAAGCCGCCGGCATGCGACGCCGCGCCTTGATCACCATGTTCCTTGGCTTGTTCACGCAGTGGAGTGGTAACACGTTAATTAGTTACTACCTTGGCGACCTGCTGGCCATGATCGGGCACACCGATTCCGTCTTCAAGCAGAAAGTCAACCTCGGCAACTCCTGCTGGTCGCTGGTTTCTGCTCTCACCATGGCACTGATCGTCACGCGCTTCAAGCGCCGGACCATGTACATGGTGTGCACGATCAGCTTGTTGGTCGTGTACATCTGCTGGACGGTCACGATGCAACAGTCTATGAGCGCTCTGGACCAGGACAAGAAGAACAATGCCGCCGGCGCGGCCACCATCTTCTTCATCTTCCTGTACTCGCCGGCGTACAATCTGGGATACAACGCGCTCACCTATACCTACTTAGTCGAGCTGTGGCCTTACGCGCACAGATCACGAGGTATAACCTTTTTCCAGTTCTTTGGTCGTGGAGCCAATTTCTTCACGACTTTCGTCAATCCGATCGGCCTGGACAATATCGGCTGGAAGTGGTTGATCACATACTGTTGCTGGCTCGCGTTCGAGATCTGTTTCGTGTGGTTCTTGTTTCCCGAGACCGCCAACCGAACCCTGGAAGAGTTGGCTTTCTGTATGTTTTTCCTTCCCTTGAAGGCCCTTCGAGTGAGTGTTGGCTTACGCGTTTGACAGTGTTCGAAGACAAAGCCCTGGCGGATCAGGCTGTACATGCGGTTGAGAAGACCATCCATCACGAAGATATGGGCCACGAGCCCGAGCCAAAACCGGTCCAGGCTGGTCAAGCAAAATTGGTCGAGGAAGTGTCAAAAGATCAGGCTTAGCATAGGTTTGCTCGTCGAAAGAGAGCTGTAGCGGGGTGCCTATGTTCGACCAGGCACTGAAATCTGTCAACATGCTGGGCTGTCGGGATAATTGCGCAGTAGCATGGTGAGTATGAGAGGCAGAAGGGCACGCTGAGATTGACACAGCAGTGGGCAATAACGAAAATGACGGAATATGTGGCAAGATCCAGGTCTGCGCAGCAGATTGCGGACACGCCAGGATACTGAGGAGCAGTAACACTTCGTTTGTTTTGTGAGAGGAGGGTCTTTGCTCCAAATCGGGTTGCGATCAGGACATGTCGGTATAAGTGAATATTTCGAGACGTGTACAAGGACTCGAGAGCTGATTTTTTACCCCTTGACAACGCAACTTGGTCATGATTCATGGTCTGAGTACCAGCGTAACGATGGAAGGACCATGCTGTCCTGGTCGATCTTGTCCGGGCCGAGGCACCCAACTCGACTTTGCGGCCCTACACTGGCGACGACGACATCCCCTTGACTTGGCGGCCTCTGACGTATACTTCAGCGATATTCCGATCATCTCCGCTGATCAAGAACTTTTCGAAAATCATCTCGACATTGTCTTGCGCTTGAAGCATGGTCATGACTCCATCGGTTTCCGTTCGAATCACGAGAGCGTCGAAATCCTTCCCGACTTGAAAGTTTCCGATCTTATCTTCCAGGCTGCAAACCCTCGCTCCACCCAAGGTAGCCAGATAAAAGCACTGCCAGACCGATAGTGCGGGCTCGCCCGTCATCAAGTGTCTGGCATTCGAAACGATGATGGCCTGGCGTATTACGTCGAGGATGCTAGATGAAAACCCGCCACCACTGTCAGTGCCTAGGCCGACTTTGATGCCCTTTTCAAGGAACTTGCCGATGGGTGCCGCCATAAAACCACCTCCAACCGTGGTGTTTGCTATGGGACAATGCGCGACCCCACTGTCCGCATGGCGAAGCTTGTCTATCTCGTAGTCCGTCATGATGGTGCAATGAGCGAGTATAGAGCGATTGGTCAGCAGTCCGTAATGGTCGTAGAGATCTGCCTCGTTCTTGAAGCTCGGGAACAGACTGAGAGTGGCATCGATTTCTTGTTGGGCTTCGTTGAAATGAGTCTGAATGGGCAGGTCAGGATTCTGCGTTGCAAGAGAGCCGAGATTTTCAAGGAGCTCGTCGTCGCAACAGATGGCAAAGCGCGGGGTGAGGATAGGTTTGATCAAAGCCCCAGACGCATTGAGGGCGCGAACGTGGTCAATCACATCCTTGGTGACCGCGATGGATTCTGCGGCGTCCTTATCTCTGTAGTAATCTGGTGCGTTCCGGTTCATGTTGCATTTGCCGATCAGTGCCCGTTGCCCTTTTGCTAGACAGATGTCGGCTAGGATCTTGGTGGCTTCTCCGTGGAGAGATCCGTAGTAGGAACACGTGGTGACTCCTTGTTTGATAAACCCGTCGACACAAGACGAGTAGATTTTTCGTGCATGTTCAGGATCCTCGAATCTGGCCTCGTTGGGGAACGTGATCTGTTCCAGCCACTCCAGAATATGGAGGCCTCCGCCGAGGCCCCTTTGAGCCCATTGGGGTGCGTGGTTGTGCGTATCGACAAAGCCGGGAATCAGGAACTCGGTCTGTGAAAGAACCCTAAGATTGGGAGGTTCTGGGAGTTGGAGTTGTGAGAGCGCGTTATGGACGTCAGACTCTGGAACTCCGTGCTTGACGTGGGATAGGCGGCCATCAGGCGTTACAACCAAGAGTGTGTCTTTGAGAATCTTAGTCTCGGTGGCAGCTGCGCAATGGATGATGGTTCCATGAAAGGCAAGCACGCCAACCATGACGGTACTGATGATCACTGTGGGCTGGATAGAGGCTGCAAGTGTGTTTGCTGGAGTTTAAGAGAGTCTTATGTATCAGGAAATGTGATGAGCGCGCAACTGGCAGGCAGTGCTGATAAGCTCTTAGCACTCAAGCCAACATCGCGCACTATTCCGACAGTTTTGAGGGCCACAAATCACACATATGCGTACGACGCCGGGGACTGGAAGAATGTAGAGGGCAAGCAAGTACGACATCGATTGGATCCATTCACCATATTGGTAATCCTACATCTTGCAACAGTATCGCTAGTGACAGCCTTTGCGGTGTCTACAATAGGCATTACCACCAGATTCGTCTGGTGCGATGCGGACGCCGGACGCAGTGTGAGTACGGCATGCAGGATCGGTGGCAGCAGAGCCGTATCACAGAGTCCATGCCGGTTTACGCTGCCCAGCATAACCAGCACAGTGTAGAGCCATGCATTGTCTCCCGACGCTTGCACGACCCAAGTCGGACCCACGGCAACAGCCCAGGACCTGTTTCCGTCAGACGGGGTCGATTCTGTGCAGCATGGATGAAGCACCACCCTTTACGATGCTCTTCCACGACAGTCTTTCTTCGACAGCCATAGCACCTAGCGCCGAGGTCTTCACATACAGCCGTGGAATGCAAGCTCATGACTGAAGGACTGGTCCGATCAGTTGTGCTTGCATATGCTGATTCTTAACTTGGTCGCACCACTTGCTCATCCGAGGTTCATCTTCTCACCCACACCCTTCTCTCCCATGAGCTCACATCCCGTTCTCACTACGCCAACCATGCCTCCCGTCTGTACACTCTCACTTCCTCCACCAGCAAGTCGGTATTCGATCTCTGCAAGCCCCTGTAACCATGTGACTCGCGTCGCCGCGCTGACTTCGAGGTTCTGCAACTCATCCGCCAACGCCGTGAGGATATCGGCAAGAGCTAGACCACGACTGCTCTTCAGCGCATTGATTGCGTTCAGACAGCTGGTAACATCAGGAGTGCTCAGCATGGTCGTCATGATCAGGCGCACATCATCTGGATGCGGAGCCGCAATACAATTATAAATCGTGTCGTTCGTAATGAGCTCGTACTTGACGTCGGATTCCTTGATAGGTGGCTGGCCTCGCATGGGAAGCGGTCTTGAACCTGCATGACACGCCTGTAGGACGTTGAGAGCTCGTCTCATGTCACCCTTGGACAATTTCACCAACGAGTCCACAGCCTCGGGAGCAATGTTGATATGTTCTTGCGAGATGACCAGATCGACCAAGCGACGAATGTCGGCTTCCTTGAGAGGCGAGAATCGGAATCGGGTACACCGTGATAGTAATGCCGGCGACAGTTTATGTGTGTAGTTTGCAATGATGCAAAATCTTGTGTTGGCAGTGTATTTTTCCATGATTCTTCGCAACGCCATTTGTGCTGCCGATGTCATGGCATCCGCCTCGTCCAGTATAATCAACTTGAACGCCCCAAGGCCGAATTTGGCTGCTGTAGAGGACTGTTGCGTCGAGCTGCTGAAGATCTGTTTTGTCGAAGCAAACGTCTTTATTTGTTCCCGCACAACATCGATACCACGGTCATCTGAAGCATTGAGTTCAAGCACCATCTGCCGCATATTCTTCGTCCCATATATCTGTCTTGCCAACGCCAGAATTGTAGAGGTCTTGCCCGTACCTGGAGGGCCGTAGAGGAGGAGGTGAGGTAGTCGGTTGTGCTCAACGAATCTGTTGATTGTCGCGAGGATATCCTGATGCCCAGACACATCGTCCAGGGTATTTGGACGATATTTTTCAACCCTGGAATCATCAGTATAATGACTTGCTGGGCCATTAGAGCCAGGACCTTACCATGGCAGATTGTCTTCAGCCTCGACGGGTAAGTCTGCGACTATACGTTTCTGCTTCCCGGCAAGGTTGTCCGAGCTGAATTGTATTGACTTGTCCTTGGCCGGTGGGGCATCCAGGTCCATATCATCCTCATAGTCCGACATTGTGAAGGCCTGTTCTAGGAATGAAGACGGGCAGTGGGCAGATTCGACATTATGGAATGGGGAGTCGAGCGCAGTTTGTCCAACACAGACTGTGACGCGCACAGACGCGCTGGCCAAAAGACGCGTTAAGTGGGAGACCGTGGAGACGCACGCATTTCAGGCATTGACTTGATGCTGCATTACAGGCTACATACTAGGCACATATGTTGGTCGCATCATGTCGGAAAGACACTTCAACTCCGCTGATCTGGTTTATGTTCATGATGCTATCAAATATCCGCGTCGGGTCCCATGAGCTCTCGCCCGAAATCATCATGTAAGTAGAGCTTGCTTCTGCGGGCGCTTCCACAGAGTGCCAGAACCGACGCAAGGACTACATCCCTGTTCGGAAGCCGGGCGCTGTACGACCTTCGTCCAATTGAAGCTCTCTCATCACTTCACGACACGTGTCGAAATTTTCGAAACGATAGCGACTGAGTCTTTGGATGAGAGATCGCACCTTCTTGAGGAACCCCATGCCGTGTCGCTCTCCTCCTTGTTCATGAGTTCTGATGATGATGCCAGCGCACACCGGGACATGATGCTCCTGTCCAGGACGCGTGATGAGCACGGGCGTCCCTATATCTTCGCACGGATTACCAATGAACTCGTATGCCATGTCTTGTGGTTGGGCGTTGAAGGGAGTGAGACACTTGAGGTGGCGCTCGTCCGCCAGACTTTGCGCAGGCTGAAGTATATCTTGAGAGGAAACATCGAAAAGTCGCGGTGACCGTCGCCGATCGCTGGTCGAAGTGAAATTGCCCAAGAAGGCGACTGGCCAAATTCGCACCTCCAGGAGAGTCTCGTAACTGCGGCGAAGACCTGCTGGGAGCGCGGTGTGGACTCTGCCTAATTGACTATAAGAGGGAGCTCCTCGCTCTGGCTAAGCTACCTATCTTCTGTAGGTGGTGAGAAAATGAATTTGAGGTTGGTTCTGAGAAACTCACGTTGAAGCACAGTATCATGCACTTTCACAAAAGAGCACCTTTTTTCAGGTGCGCTTAGCTTCTTCAAGCTTTTGGCCTTCCTTCCATTCTTCGAGTGTGTATTCCCGTGGGTGAGTCCACTCGTCGCTGCTAACGATTGTCGCCTCACACTCCTGCCAGTTCTCTGTAAACTCCGGTGCCACAAGAGCGAACCCGCATCTATGCCAGTGTCCCTCTGTCTGAGTTCGCCGTAACAACACAACTGCTACGCAACTTTTTGATCCTCGTGCGGCAGTTGCAGTCAGCATATAGTGCTCTATGTCCCCAACCACTAGTGCATGTGACACGCTGCCACAGCGTCCGAGCAATCCCGCTTCGATTGGTTCTCCATCTATACGCATAAGTACTGTCCAGTATTCGAAGCCTCGATATGTGGGTATTCTTCTTCCTAAAATCCCGTTAGTGGAAATCGCAGAGAAGCGTCCATTCATTGTTAGGTAACCGAAGTCATCTAGGCTGCTAGCTGCTGTGTTTCGCAACGTCCAAGCAAGTCCTCCGCCGAGGGTGATACCCTCTACAGGTTCTTCGGCCGCGACCTTCCCACTCACCGACGTCTCCGGAAACGCCGGTATCGTACTCGCTCCGGGAAGGAAGCGTCCTTGCAAAGACGCTAGAATCCAGATAGGCCCACGCCCACTTCGGAGGATTCCCTTTGCGAGATCCAAGGTTGCGCGTTGTCTTTCGTTCCGGCCATATTCACGAGGATTCAGTGCCACGTCGAACAGACCCATGATGCTGAAAATCATGTCAACAGGTCTGGACGACGTCCGTTTCAATGCACTCCTCCATATGGCAGTATCGCGCGCCTCCTGATTATTAAAGCTCCATGGCCCCCATTAAGGCCATAATAGCGCTTCTGTCTGTACCAAAAATCCTAACATCGACCTTCATTTTATTCGAAGCACATAGAAGCCAACCCACGGTAGCTGCTTGCAGTAGGTCACCCAATCGGATCATTGCATAGCGTCCTTGCTCGATTTCCATGATCTTTCCAGAGGTGAGGCCTGTCAACGCGGTGGAACCATGTGCCCATTGAAAGAGAACATCTGATGTAGGCGGACTTGCTGATTCTTGCAGGGTCCAGGCACGATGGAGCCAGGCCGTTTCTTCTTCCAGCTGGCACAGCCATGAGAGTCCACCAGGAAGGATGAAGCATCGACTGCAAAATTTGTAGATGTCCTGCATGTGTTGTATCTGCCAGATCTTATCGTCGCGACTTGTCTGCAAGATGCAAAGTCGGTCAAGCCAAATGTAGGAAGAGTTATTGGCGAGTGCAGCTAAACATGTCAATTGAAGGATGTCAATGGAGATCGGATCGCCTGGTTCCTCATCTTCTGGTATGGATGTTGTGAATACCTTGAGATGGAAGCTCTCGTCAGGGATCCCGTTGCCGCGCCATATGTATGATATTGCGGAGTAGTCCAACTGTGCGAGGCTTTCACATTCAACGACGCGAACAACGTTCTCGGCTAGAGCGGAGCATGAGATAAACCTGAACCTCCCTACTGTAGGCTTTCCTTCACGCAGATCGAACAAGTTCCCTTTCAGAAGGTGCTGGACAGATGTCTCATACACAACGTGCTCTTTGTTATCATTTATCAACTTGCTACCCATTATATGCTGACAGAAAATGATCTTGGGATGACAGCTGAAGGCTTGATGTAGGTGTAGATGCAATTGCGTCTCGAGGAGCTCCTGCGGGGTGGCAGATAAGAGAGATCGGCTGCCTCATCGACACGATAGCACAAGAGAGAGGTGGTTGTGTAATTGCAGTCAGCGGGTGTTGGAGTGCGAGGTTCGAAAACTTCTGCGGGTGTAAAGGCGGTATTCGCAGGTCCGTGTACCTGTTTCAAGAGTTTTGGAGATAACCATGTCGCATAGGCAGGACTTTGCAAATGAAGTTGAAATGCGGGTGTGACGAATAGTACTTTCATCAGGCTGAGGGTGGCTTGGACACCAAAGGTTAGGCAAGCACGTACAGTAAGCACGTGAGTAAGTTAGTGCTTGTTCACCGTAGTAAATAGACCCTGGGGACTACTGAAAATGCTCAAGGAGCGCCCTCCAGGAGTGACGGGATCCTAGCTCGTCACAGGAGAAACATGGCTACTAGGAACATTTTGTAACACCCATTTCAGTCCCAGGCAAGAAATGCACGTTTTTGAGTCTGCCGATTGGAATTTTAATCTCCGAAGGGATTCTGGCGTTAAGCACAATGAGCAATATGTGGTCTCCGTCATGGTTGAAGATTCGTCAACTCTACCAACCTTCGCTTCGTTGTCCGGACTTAGAATACTGGCGAAGGGTCCCAGGTCGCACCCTCACTCGGACAATGACACAAGATAGTCGGAGTCATCAGCAGCGTGCCAGGATAGCAGGAGGCCTTCAATACTTTTCGAGCCATGTGCATCACAAATGCGCCGTCGTCCGCGTGAATGTGAGGTATATAAAGCAAGGAGGCATGCTGCAATTGAGATTTGTCCATGGCGTGTTTCCAAGAAATCATGATGGTATGATCCAATCGTGAGAAGACCGCTTGTTCTAGTGTGATTCGACCAGACTGAGGAATGCCACTTTTGGTGCTGGCCTTCTCCTCATAATCCACCACAAAACGGGCCAAGGCAGCCGCCATACAGCTAGTCAACTTGCGCTCACGCCTAAGGCTGCGATGTAGGCCTTCGAGCGCTCGTTGACGGATACGCTGATTTCGGCATCGCGTCGCCACGAAGAAGAGAGGGCCGATGGAGCTGAAAGTTGGCTTCATCGTCGGTCCCCGAATCTCGAGCCTCTGCTTCTCGCGCGACAAATTTGCCTGCACACGTGAAACGATTGATTCCATGTCGGCAGTATGATTGTCATACGTCATCTCCGTCGTATCTCGTCCGCAGTCTAACATGATCTTGAGTGCCTGACAATGCGGCAGCAGTTTCTCGAACTCGAATGATGTCTCGTGGGCGGATTCTTTGGTCCAGTGAGAGACACTGCCGGATATTGCGTTGAGGAGATTTGAGACAGCCATCTTGATGTCAGCTCTCAGCTGCTCGTCGTCGTTGTGTGGCTCGTAATTGAGGCAAAGCGTCACTTTGAATAGCTGTTCAAGACGATGCAGTGCGTCCAGCGCAGTCAAGAGCACAGGCAGCACATGTAAGTCTTGTCGGCTCAAGTATGTGTGTAGCGGCACGATCAGATGCTCATCGTCTGTGAAAGCGGCGGCCTCCAGTTCGCATTCACGAACCATTGGCCGCAAAGTATCAATCAGGGTGCTCCGACCAAACCCCGTCAGCTGGACCTTCTGATCATGGATTTGGAGGAATGTTCGTGCAGCTTTGAGGTGTTCTCTTGGTGCCGCAATCTTATCCTTCCAGGAAGACAAGACAACTGTTCACGACCAATCTGTCAGCAAGGCTGGATCTGCGAAAGCCGTATCTGCTAGTAAGAAACATATTATGGACTTACAAGCCAGAAGGCAGAACAGAACCATCACATCATCCGGGATTGCCTCATTTCGAGATAGGGCAATGGCTTTATTTTGCTGCTCCAGTGTGAAGTAATATAGATTTTGTGCAGTGCGATCATGGACATTGTCCACGAACTTGCTTTGGTAACAAGCCTGAATAGCTGAAGCTCCGACAAAAGCATGTACAATCTGTGGGTACTCCGACCCAATCTGGGCAATTGTTTGGTTCCAGATGGGGCTGACAAAGGGCTTGTACATTGCGAGGACGACGGCGCCTTCAACCAGACCGAAGTTGAAATATCTCTTCTCCCACTCATTTTCGAACAATCGAAGCTGTTTGAGCTGTTTTTCGGGTACTGGCGCTATGGGTTCAAGACCTGTACATTCGCGTTTGGCTCGGAGGCATCTTGATGTAGCAATGAACAAAGCTGCACATGATGTGTCTGGGTTGTGCTTACCTTAAACACATGGGTCTTGTCTCGTCGCATTTGACGCGACGTAGCCTTTACCAGTGGATCAGTTTCAACTGTGGTTAAGTCTTGAGTCATTGCCCTACCTGCACGTACGGCATCCTGTTCTGGTCTTATTATGGAACGCTTTCTTGTAATTGAGAACCGGAGTTGTCTCCTCGGGTGCTAGCGGGCTGGATAGGACATCCAGCTTGACTGAATATTTGCATGGGAGGCTTCTGCTCATTGATGCTTCTGTCTGGAGGGAGAGGCCATAATCACCATCCCTCATTCGCGAGCAGTGGAGAAGTTAAGAGATCTCTGGTGTGCGACACGCCTCAGTATTCTACTCGATGGCAATCATATATCACTTTTGGCCTGCAGCTTGAAATAACATCTCAATGGTGGAAGATTGTTGGCGGAACGTTGAGGCGCCGTCAGGCCACCCATGGACTTGGCCGACTTTGTTTGGCAGTTCTCACGTCAAGGATCTTTTTCTCCGTTTAGACACCCCAAATTCGCAAGTGGGACGAGCGAGATCCGTGAGAAGCGGCTCGGGGACGAGGCGACACGCGATGGGCGCGAGAGAAAAAAGTCTACGATCACGTCTTTTGATCGATCTGTGCCTGCATGTTGTGACTTGAGTTATTGTCTCTTCACCAGTCGCCCTCATGGAGAAGCTCACTGCCGCTGCAAAGGTGTCATTGTCGGGAGCCGCGTGAGTTGTCAAGGTTAGCCAGCATTCGAGGACTGTCTTCCCAAGAATATTGAAAGACTCGTGGGACAGGTCTTCGAGTACATAGTAGGACGGGTGAGCATGCTAGACGATCATCAAGCTGATGAGGATATAATAGCCGGTCTTTCGGGAAGGACCGATAGATTGAGATGGTCGTGGATAGATTTCGAGAACAGAACAAAGTAGACAGACAGTAAGGCTAGTTGTCGTCCTCAAAGCAAAGGGCAGCATCATTCTTCCGGGCTTGGCGTACGTGTGATTCCGCCGCGCAACTCCAATTCGAAGGTGGCATTGAAACGCATGCTCACTCGGACTGCATGCGACCACAGAATGAATCGCTGAAACCACAATCTCTCCTCTCGACATAAACATTCTCACTTTTCTTTGAGGCCGCCGACAAACAATCATGCCGGTGAGTGCGATTGTCACTTCAGAACCGTGCGAGATACTCACGGTCCACGTAGGCATACCACTCCATATTCCTGGGTGACCAGGGCGTTCAGACGATAGGTACCAACACCTGCTCTCACTTACCCGGATTCAATTGACCGAGACTTGCAAGGCAACTTTCCTCTCCTCCCTTTACGCACGAAAACCCGTGGTCCCGCCTATACCCTACCTCAACTCCCAGCCAACACCAACCCACTCGATGTCGACCCGGACTCCGAATCGTACGACTGCCTCGACGAAGTCCTCTCTCTGTTCCGAGCGAACACATTCTTCCGCAACTTTGAAATCAAAGGTCCCGCAGACCGCATGCTCATTTACGGCATCCTCTTTGTCTCCGACTGCCTCACCAAAGTCAAACCGACCATGGACTCACGCAGCGCCGAGAAGGCCTTGATCAACGGCGCGCTCGAGCAGTTTAGTATCCCTGGCGAACCCGGGTTCCCGCTGAATCAGGCATTCGAGGCGCCGAGGGACAGAACAGAGGCGGAAACGCTGAGAAGTTATTTGAGTCAAGTAAGACAAGAATTGGCGAGTAGATTACATGCGAGATTGTACGATGGTGGAGCGACGGTGCCGAGTAAATGGTGGCTGAGCTTTACAAAGAGGAAATTCATGGGCAAGAGCTTATAATCTGTACGGCAACGGGATGAGTGAGATAGAGTGGGAGCTCGAGGGGGACGAATGAAGTTATGAACTGCGAAAGCAAATGCACGAGGCTCAAGGAGAAAAATGAAGATGTCCAAGGCGGTCGTGTCCAATTCGATGGTCTGGTGTTGACACCGTCTAAATCTCTGTCTTCATTTCCACGTCTGATTCCTGTTTCGAGGAGTCCACAGAAGCTTCTACCGTTACAGGAAGGTCGCTCGACGGCTCCGTCTTTTGCTTCTTGAGCGGCGAATGGGGAGGAGCATCCTCGAGCGAAGCTGGAGTTCCAGGAGTCTCGGCCTTCGCTTTCTTCCCTCGTGGTGGCCGTCCTCTAGCCTCGACTCTCCCTTCAGCCGGAAGCACTCTTGTAGCTGAGAAGATGTATCCCTCTGCTCCGCCTCGTCCGGTCATGAGCGGATGTGTTCGGCCAGGCAGAACTTGCCATTGTCTCACTCGTGCCGTTTGTACCGTTGGCGTCAGTAGCAGTGTTGGGTCGAGCGGGAAATCCTTGGACGGCACCTGCCTCTGATCTTCCGGTCTGGTTTGGAACGCCGTCCGCCTGGCTGTTGAGTAGTAGTCTGCCAACGTGATAAGTGGCTCGATGCTAGGAGAGTAGACCACCACTTGGGCACCACCCGCGAGAAGAGGAACGAGATGGCGCAGAATCGAGACGGGATCAGTGTAGCTTGCTACAACCAGGCCGTTGAACCCGCCCTTCTGGGTCTCGTCGACGATGTTGTGGACTCGTTCCCACCGCCGCCGTTTGCGATAGTATGCACTTCTCTTATTGGATTTGGCTTTGGCGAGCTCCTCGGGTGGTATGACTTCTGGTTCTCGGTATGTGGTGTCGGACTGTGGTTCTAGGAGTTGGAGCCAGGAGAGCGTTTTCAGGCTAGTATACAACAGATGTGACGGTGTCGGATTGTTGAAGTCGAAGTTGAAGTATCTCAAGAGGGCGAGATTAGGTTGCTGGTTCCCGTGGACCACGGTGATGCAATTAGATTTCGCGCTCATAGCGCTTGGTCTGTACTGCTGTCTCTTTGGCTTGTCCGAAAGGGTGAGTCCGGTTTGATCAAATTCGGCCTCGGGATCAAGATCTTCGTCACCATCTCTAACTTTATCAACTTGGAAATTCATCTGATGCAAAATGCCCATTCTTTCGGCCATGGCAGCAACGACCAGACCCCCGGTATCGTCTACAATGAGATAGCGACTTGAAGGGTCGGTTTCAGGTAGGGAAACGTCTTGTCCGCCAGCATGAACATTGGCCCAGCAACCCATGAGACCAACAGCCTCATTCCGCAGTTCCATGACCTTCGCGAAATCTCGATCCGCCATCATCCAGTCGACTAGCGTTGACACGTCAAGTGGCAGGACACAAAAGCGTTTCAAGTATTTCTTGTGCTTACGTAGTGTGTACTTTGCGAGGGAAAAGGCTGTTTTCTGGTCCAGCGTGGAATGTGACTGCATGATTTTCTCGATCAGCTCTTTACCACTGCCCATGTCACTTTGTTTTAGTGCTTCGATCTCGGCCATGGTCAATTTCTGATTTGTGGGATCGTCGTGAGTATTCACGTTTGACTTTGGTGTGGACTGTGCCCCTGTCTCGTCTCCCGGCGTAGAGACATCCTCCATTTCTGCTTGCTCAACTAGAGCAATGGCATGTAGCTCAGCGGCAGGAACAATCCTGAGCTCCCTACCATCCTTGACCTCCGAGCGGTCGTAGATTTCGAAGGTTGCATAGTAAGGACGGCCGATGATTGAATTCGCATGAAAAGAACCATATTTGCCGAGGTTTATGAGACTTGTAACAGAGTCAGCGACAGCTCACAAAGCCGCTGGCTGATATCTGTTTGGCTCACAGATGATTGTGTCATGACCTACGTATTGGGGAGTATATGTTCGACTTTCGTGTGATCATTTGGCAATCGAAGAGCCACATATTGAAATGGTTGGATGGTATGGAAAGCCATTACAAGAGTGATTTAGTGGGAAGATGAGAGAGAGATGAGCTTCTTGAGAGCGGTATCATCCTTTCACAGGCTTCATGATGAGGTCTTGTGTATGCGTAGTCGACCAATTTTTTCATACTGAAAAGAATCGGCGTCCAAACTTCATATGCCGGGAACAATGATGCACAGTACAAGAGAATACGGCGGAGTTTTGGACGCCACCCGCTTGAGCTTGCTGACTAATCTCTGATTCTCAGTAGCTGAAAGACCGGCCCCTAAATAGAAGAGAGCTTTCTCGCACCTAGCTGTCAATTAAATCGACCATTTGAGCTCGTCGCGAGTAACCCTGCCCTGAGAGTGTCGCAGCATTCCACAAGTAACTATCAGCAAAACGGCGACCAAACGAGCATGCTGGTCGCAAGACGTATCCGGCTCGCTGGTCGTACTCCTCAATGTGGCTAACGGACACCTATTGAAGCTCAGTCATAGTTGACCTCACAAAGCCTTTCCCTACCAATCCTCGCAATTCTTACTTGCTCTTGTGCTTTGATATTCCTCTGCCCCTAGTGCCCTGACGACACGAGCCACATGATGCCTGCCGTTTTGTGAGCTCGTGACCAATTGCTGGTCGATCTTCAGCCACAAAAACAGGAACAAAGCGCCTCGCTAAAGCGTGACGTCACATGGCAAACAATGGCTTCACAGAAGGGCAGCGATGCGAATGGTTTGGGGTTGACGGGACTATCACTGACTACTAACAGAGGTTGGACAATGTCTGTCAGCAAACGGCATATATATTCGACACCGCCTGACCCTGTTGCTAGACACTGATTTCGATTTCATCCCTCCCAGAACCCCAGTACAACTCCATCCATCCGCCTTTCGAAGTCACAACATCGATTCAAATACAAATCATCATGTCGGACATTGCTAAAGGCGTTGGCAACCTGTTTGCTGCTGTTGTCGACATCATCAAGGGCATCTTCGCCACTGTTTTCAATCTCTTCCAAACCGCAATCAACACGGTCATTGGACTCTTCAAGAACGTCTTCAACTTGGCTGAAGGAGTAGTCGGCTTCATCATTGGTAAGGTCTCTAATCTGCAAAGGGCCTCACCGAGTTCTTGAGCTAACATACGCAGGCAATATCTTCATCATTGGCACATTGTGCGCAGTGTACTTCGGATATCAACTGTACCAACAACGTCAGGGCAAAAACCCTGCTCCCATTTCGAGAGCGGCAACAAAGAAGACCTCGTAAGGGCTGTAAGCTGAGAGCCTCGAGGGATAGGGAGCTCTTGGATCTGAAGAATGCACATGTTGCAGGCTATGAATCGGAACAATGACAGGACGAAGGCGCTTGAGACGGAATTGCGAAGATACCCAGCGCTCTTTAGGAAGGATACGGCGGCAGACGGCTCAGCTCGGCTATGAGCCATTCCATGCAGTCAAGGATGCTTGAGAGTGCGTTTGTAGGATAGTACCTAGGTATTCGCAGCAATCGATATTCGTATGAAACGAGAGCAATCCTCCGTCCAGCATGTCAAAAACAGCTTCCCGTCCTATGAGCAGCACCTCGGTAGCGGGCAAGAAACAAATTGCCGAGGCTAATCTTTTGTAGTGCCCGCCGCGCCCGCGTTGTGACAGCATCAATGACAGATGAACTCCGAATTCACCCTTATTGATCCCGCATCTTCTACTCCGTCTGCGCACATTCATCATCCTCAATCAAGCTCCCATTATCTATTCACTTTGCTACCGCAGACTCGAGCAAACATGTCGCAAACGAAAGGCCTCGCACCAACCCCTACCGAGGGCGACCTCGACAAGTCCTCGTCCTCATCCTCGGGCCCTGTCAATGCTATCCCTTCGCGCGATGCGACTTCTGCCACCTCGGCCGCGCAACAGAGCGACAACATCGCCCATGCATTGGCTGGAGCAGGCGGTGGTCTCCTTGCCATGACCCTCACCTACCCTCTGATCACCCTGTCAACCCGCGCACAAGTCGAATCCAAGCGAGCCGATACCTCCACACTTGCAGCAGTCAAACACATCATCAACCGGGAAGGATTTGGTGGGCTTTATGCCGGCCTCGATAGCGCTTTGTTCGGTATCTCGGTCACGAACTTTGTCTACTACTATTGGTACGAATGGACGAGGGCGTTCTTCGAAAAAGCGGCCGTGACAAGTGGACGTGCCAGCAAAAAGCTCACAACTGTCGAGAGTATGATTGCAGGTGCCATCGCTGGCTCGGCCACCGTGCTACTCACCAACCCCATCTGGGTCGTCAATACAAGGATGACAGCCCGAAAAAGTGAAGACACCGAAGGCGAGCTGCCTGGTGGTGAGAAGAAACGTGCGAAAGCCCCCAGCACAATCGGTACCCTGATGAAATTGATCAAGGAAGAGGGACCCAGCGCTCTCTTTGCTGGTGTACTCCCAGCTTTGGTGTTGGTCATCAACCCCATCTTACAATATACCATTTACGAACAATTGAAGAACTCGCTGGAGAAGAGGAGGAAGGTTGGACCGAGAGATGCTTTCTATCTCGGTGCCCTTGGCAAGCTGCTGGCGACGACCATCACCTACCCTTATATCACTGTCAAGTCGAGGGCACACGTCGCTACCAAGGATCAACCACATGAGGGCATGTGGAAGAGTTTGAACAAGATTGTCAAGGAAGAGGGATGGGGTGGACTCTACAAGGGTATGTCTATACGTCTTGACTTCGAGTTGACCCACTGACCGAACCCACAGGGATTACTCCGAAAGTCAGCCAGAGTGTGTTGACAGCTGCTTTTCTCTTTGCTTTCAAGGATGTCTTGTACGACATGACCGTGGCAGCGCGGAGAAAGGCTCGGGCTGTCAAGGCATAGATGCCTTACATCTGTGGAGAGCCATACCCGCTATCCCCGACGAACCACGCGTTTACTTGAAATCTTGGTCCTTGATTCATCCTCTGTGAAGCTCCAGACCGCGGACACAAAGAGGCATCCTGCAAGATATCACAAGGTGGGAAGCAAGGTGATGGTGTGGGCGAAAATCAATATAATAGGGTATCAGATGCGCGATCATGATGATATGGCGGTGAGTATAAGAGGACCTTTGTTTCTCCTCGAAAATTTTTAGTTCATATTTGACATACTTCTTTATCAATCCCCCAGCACCACGTATTGCCTTGAAGGCTGCTACTGCTTTGTGTAGATGAATCTGTTACCTTCGTTTCAGGTGTAAGATATAGCAAGAGCTTCGAGATGAAGAACATGCAGCAGCGGAGGGATACGAGCCTTTGCGAGGTTTCATCGCTCGAAGAACACGCAAAGATATTGACGTTGGATAGAAAACATAGTGATTCAAGCATTATGGTTTGTTTCAGTTATCTCACTTATCGCAAGCTCTCATCCAGGATTCGCAATCAGATCCCATTGAACACCCGACTATCGCCGGGCAGACTCTTGCATCAGTGATGTTGGTGAGAGCAAAGAGTTCTCCAGCTGCATGTGAGAGACGCGCCTGCCATCTGAGCAGAAGCATGCACTCGAAGTCTGCTCCTCACTTCATTCCTCGAGTGTTCTTACTCCTCTGCTCACTCACACTCAGCCACTTCGCAGACACCGGAGGACATCAAACATCCACCCCAGGTCTTCTTCCTCTCCAGTTGGCGTCAATATTAGGTATATCTCCCCCTAGCCCAGATGAAGCGTTTCTCACTGACCTTGCTCGACTGCGCAGAGCCCTTGTCAAGATGGCAAACTCCAAAAGACTCAAAGTGCATCATGAAGAAGACGGCCCTGTTCTTCACTATCACTTCCACGGTCCTATCGATACGCTGATCACTGTCACCAAGAGCACGGGTGTTACGGTTTCTCTCCCTGCATTCAACAACAAAGACCCGAGTATTGGAGTCGACGGATTCCTCGACCCCGTTGATATCACCCAGAAAGGCCATAGTCAGGATGACGAAGACGCTGACGGTAGGCACAATATCGATCTGTTGCTCTCGAAGGCTAGACCAAGTCTGCGTCCAGACGAGGAGACCACTGAGGATCCTCAGCGTACAACAGCAGCCCCTGAAGCATTCATGAACGTCCAACAAGAGCAGGAGGAGAGTCAGACTGGTTGGAACATTGTTGCAGAAGCGACGGACGGTGAAAACAAGTCACCAAACGTGATTGCCCTGCCAGCATACCCCACGACTCACTCTGACTTGAAGGCAGCGGCACGACAATCCGATTATTTGCACAATCCCTCGAGGCGAAAGTACCCATCTCATTCGATCGGAGGACGTGCTTCCAACCATCGAGCTTGGAACAGATGAATATCTTGCTAAGATTGGAAATCTGAAACATGTTCTGATGAGGGACGCCAATACCAAAACCGGGTTCCGATTGTACGATGGGTCTCCAGTACTCCAGCCCAGCAACCTAGACGCCTTCTACCCTGAAAATGGGTACAGTTCAAGACTCCTTGCAGCAATCCTGGGAGCCCTACCGAGGTCCGACAAGATGTTCGTCGTCGGCGGCTACGATAAGATGTGGAATGTGTTGTCAAATGATATCGGACGCATTTGGTCGCTGTCGAAGCGGCGTGGTCATTTTATTGCGATTTGCATGACGCTCGATGATCGTAGGCCACATAGAAAGAAGCTCAGGCTTTCGCTTTACGATCCACAGCAGGTCACCAACGACGCTCACAGGGCGTTTGCAACGTGCCGAGCCATGGATAAATTGGACAGCCATGCGCGAAAAGCTGGTATTACCCGCTGGCAAGGCATCAGACACATTGGCAAAGTTCATCTAGCTGTATGGTTATTTAAGTGACTTCCCATCACCGGGATTATCTACTAATTCGGTTACAGATCTGCTCTGAGGTGGAGGACGGCAACTGCTGTGGCCCACGAGTTCTGGAATACGCTCTCCAATCTAATCCGTGTGAGGAGCCTGCGCCACTGATTCCCGGCATGCCGCTTTCCACCAGCACACTACGGAAAGGACATTTTGCATTGCTGCACGACATCTTGGAGGGTCGCATCCCCGAGCTTGAACTGTGATGTGTAGAGAAGACGGTATTTGACCAAGTCGATGTTCGTTATTGACCAAGAGTCCTGTTATGTCATACCGCGGTGTTGATATCTTTACATGGAGCATGCGTGCAGTATTCTGAGGAAGCACAGTAAGTGGTATTGCATCCTTTGACATGAAGGGAAGGGAAATCAGGCATATCGAGCACGATCCCCATCCTGCTCCTCAATTCAACGAAGGTTCCAGAGTTTGCGCACTTACAATAATTCTGCAGGCTATGTCGATCCTCAGTATGCCAGGGTTCACGCAATGGTGATGGGAAAAGAGGGTCTAGACTGAGCCTGTCTAGCCTCCGAAAACCGAGCAAGCTGCACGACAGCACGTCAGACTACACTCAGGCACCGTCACTCGAGGTCAGCTTGATGATGAGGTGAATTTTCGAAAACAGCTTCCGGGGACACCAATGTCTTTGTGTCGTCCGTCGACCTACCTTGCCAGCGCGTGCAAGTCTATGGCACCCATTCCTGTCTCACCACGGCCTCTAATGGATGTCCGTGGCCTGACCAGCCGATTTCCTGCTGATTCAGAGTCCACTTCACCTGCAAGTCAATGTGCTAGGATCTCGGCAGAGCCGGCAGGAGTATGTCGGTGGTGGTAGCGTGAATGTCCGTGTCCGGGGAGACTTGATGTCGTATTCAAGGTTGTGGTCAACTTCATATCAGCCTGGGCTTACCGAGCCGTCAACCGATATTGAATGGATTGTCTCGTTTCACCTTTCGATCTCTTCCATCTTGCAAATCGAACAGCTCACAGTTTTCTACCTTTCCTGATCGATTCATTTTCTTGATTAGGAATGTGGGCTGCGTTCAACCTCAAGCCAATGGACTCACTTGAACTCTTAATTCAACATCTGAGGCTTTTGTTTCCGCTGACCGCTTGGATCTAATCTTCCACCCACCACCAGGGCCTTGGTAAGCGAAGTGAAAACAGCGCCTTCGAAACTGGGCTCGAAATCTCCTCATCAAGAATGGCTGGCACGTCACACGCGGTTGAACGACTCAAAGTACCACTTCTGGACGTTTCGGCCTTCTTGGAACACGGATTTACATCTGGGAGCTTCAGGGTACCTCGTCGAGGGACCCCAACCTTTCCTGGCCGATAGGCGTCGCAGTCAGAACGACATGTGCCGAATGGGTCTTCACTTTTCCCCGGCGGGTGGTGCGAAAACCTCAGCCTTGCGAACCCCAGCCTCGTGGATCTTGGCACGATTCGCAATATTTCACGACCGCTTCACTATGCCTTCACTACCGCACGCAATTCCAGGTTTCCACTGGCCTGGTCCATATTGACAAAGCAATTGAAGGCAGATATACTCGGAAAGGTGAATTTCTCATGACAAGTTCACAGCGCAGTACGGCCCGTGTGGTGCAATATGGCTCTGTTTACAACTTCGGTGGTATCAGTTCTTCAGAATAGTCTGCCCGAACTCGTTACGTATCCTCCTTGAACCACACAGTTATGTCTTACCTAGTTTGACAGAAAGGATCGTTGGATACACCCTTTTTTTGGAGTTGCCACTGTTGACTTGCGTTCAAGTCCATAGACAGTTGCCCGAGAAAAGTGACTGAGATGATCAGTACTGTTGATCGGTGACAAGGTAAGTTCCATTTCACCGTCTTTCCTTCAGGATTGCCCTTTATTGCTTTTTTGTTTCTGTTGGCACAGTGGAAGTGACTGATTTTGAAGTGTGTGAGTGAGCGCGAAGTGAAGTGGTCAGGCGGTATGTTGGTGCACTGGAGGTTGCCAGCAGCAGAGGCCCATTTTATCTTGGGTGTCCTCCACGTTCACACTGTCTCACATCTTCGCACTCGCCACAAATCCCAGTCCAACTTTGCGAGAGCTAGGTGCGGAGACCTCCCAATTTCCATCGCCGGAGCCCTAACAGCAATTTCTAAGCATCGGCCCGGAAAGGCGTGAGTACTGTGCATCCCAAATCTCGTCTAAAGTTGGAATGGGACTGGCCTCTCCGATACCGACGGATGTATCCACGTGGGCCGTATTTTCGACGACGGGGTGTCGAGTCTCATGGCTAGTTGCTGATTCGAGCCACCAACAGCGAGAGTCGACAGTAACATTCAGGTACTCACCGAAATGCCACATGAACTTGATGCTGGCCACAGCGAAAGACTCAAGTTAATCTAAGCAAGACTCGATCGGAGCCTATTTCCTGCAGTTTCTTTCTGCGGATTCTCCCGATGAGTCGTACATGTCTCCGACTTCATACAGTCCTGGAAAATTCAACGCCGAGTCAAGCAGTCGTTGTCACGAAAGGCGGCTTCCTGCAGGCTTCGAATCCTGCATCTCGCATCGCAATCTCTGAAATGGTATCACAATGAGCTGGGCTGGTACAGGGAGAACAGAGACCGGGAGTACCCTGCTGAGAGACGAAGTTATGAAGAACAATGATTTGTCGCAAAGAGTCCAGGGATTACTAAACCCCTGTAGACGGGCACACGATTACCCAGAGACGCTCATAATTCGCAGGACTTTCAGAGAGAGGGGCTTCATCCATTGGCGCCGAGAAGGACGCTTGTTGTCCCTCATTCACTCATGATGCGGGGAGGCGTTACTAACGCCTTCCCAATGAGGAGGTTCCGACGCAACCGAAAGTACCAGCTTTGTTCATGTTTCCCTCAGCCTCACCAGCCCTGACTTCGGGCTGGCCTTTGGCTGGCTAGGACGGCTGAACCTGCCGCACCTGGACACGAAACCCGAGGATATGGCTCCTGTTGCCTGCCAGATCACTGTCGACTGCATGCTGTGCGGTCTAGATGCTCTCCTTATGAATCAACCCGCTATCATGCCCAGCCAGCCACCGTCTAAGCCCAAATCTGCACCTATGCCCTTTATACAGCATTCTGCCACAGGGCTGGATGTCAGCTACTTTGACGTCCTGGCTTGTAACCAAGACCACAAGCAATGGCGCATGAAAGTGAGAAATACTCAAAACACGCCTGTGACACGACATGCACAAGGACAAACAACTTGGTGCACATATTGCCTGTCGAGACTGTCGGCGTCGTCACTATGGAAGAGTCCTCAATGTCAGGCTCAACAAAAGCCAGAGTACCTGTACCGAAGGCAGACACTAGCTGGGCGGCATATGGAATACTTCTCGCCACAATTTCTTCAGAAGGACTCCTTTTCGGTGTGTATTGACTATCGTGGAATCTAGTTACGCTAATTTAAACCAGGAATCTCTTTATCCTTCGGCGTCTTCCAAGACTACTACTCCAACACCTTGAAATTCAACGACCAGTCTTCATGGATTGGTGTCCTCAGCGCAGGAGCACCCTTCCTGGGCGCCCCTCTCATCACATACTCGACCCAGGCTTTAGCCATCCCGCTACAATATTACATATTTTTGGGATGGGTGCTATGTTTTGGAGGACTATTGAGCAGTGCCTTTTGCCATTCCCTCAGCGCGATCATCGCGACTCAAGGCTTAATGTATGGTCTGGGTATGTTGATGTTGGAGATGCCCGTTTTGATCATTTTCAACACTTGGTTTGTCCGCAAACGAGGCCTTGCCTTTGGGATCCTCTGTGGTCTTACTGACCTATCTGGCGTTGGTTGGACCTTCCTGGCCAGCAATCTGTTACACCACCATGGGATGAGAACAACATTTCTTGTCTTAGCCGCCATTAGCTTTTTTATTCCGGGCACTGCCCTTTGTTTCATCCGACGACGACCTTCCGCAAAGGAGTCACTATCAATAACCCCTCCCAATGAAGACGTCCCAAGTCATACAAATGTCCCAGAGGAAGACTCACCAACATGCTTGCCACCATACTATCGACGAATGTCCTTCTACACCCTTATGGCTACCAACCTTCTACAATCACTTGCGTTCTATCTACCTTTTATCTATCTTCCTTCGTACACGACAATGCTTGGCTATACAGCATCTAGAGGTACGATCGTTCTCGCTGTGGCCAATCTTGCTCAAGTGATTGGCGAGATTGGTTTTGGCAGCCTGTCCGACAAAGTAAACGTCCATTGCTTGGTGGTGACATCTGCCCTAATGGCTTGTCTCTCGACGTTCTTTCTCTGGGGCTTCGCGAACTCACTGGCGTTTCTGGTCGTCTTCGCACTCTTATTCGGCTGTTTTGGCAGTGGATTCATTGCTCTATGGCCTCGAATGGGGACAATGTTCGCCGAGAAAGATGCCAGCATGATTTATAGCCTCATGTGCCTTGGTCGTGGAATTGGTTCAATCGCGTCTGGGCCGATCAGTGCCGCGGTGCTGCCTGGTCTCCAAACCACCTCCAAACCCTTATCTGCGCATGAGCACTTCAGACCAGTTATCCTTTTTGTTGGAGCCTGTATGGCAGCTAGTGCGGCACTGGGATCTGGTGGGTGGATGGCATATCTGTTCAAAAAGAGACGCTCCATGTCCAAGGGTCACGACGAAGAACTGATCCCCTAGGCTTGGAAAGTTCTCCGCCTGGAATGTGACGCACAGGCGTGTTTTAACAAATGGAACTTGGCCAGAACAACAGCGAATTCTTGATGCTCGTCCACGTTTTGGATTTCCCAAAGCCACCTTGAGCAAGTACATCTTTTGTAGTGATGTTTCTACGCTGGTCAGGGCATGTCGCTATATCGAACCCACGAGTTTCAGGGAAACCTATATCCCAACACCTTTGCCTTGGCCTCCTCTCCTAGTTGCTCGACTCCCTCAGGCGGCAACACTGGTTGTAGGCTTTTCACAAAATCGAAGTGGCCCATTCTCTTGGTGATTATGACATCCTCGGGTCCCTTGATACCCTTGGGACTTAGGGCCAGGAAGTTCATTGGGAACCCCACGTCAAAGGGATATGCAGTCTCTATCTCGTCAAGCTCGGCTGCTGTAAGTCGGATCGCGAGCGCCTCAATGTTGGCCTTCAGATGCTCAAGCTTTCGTCCTCCGACAATCGGGGTCACGTACGGAGTCTTATGCATCACGTACGCCAATGCGATCGACGTCAAAGGCACGGGTGGACTGCGTGCATTGGCAATCTTTTCGAGCACGGCGCTGACCTGCTCTTCTTTGCCAGTGAGTGTGGTTGGCAGGTTGCGACCACCCTCCTTGTTCGTTTGAGACGGCTTGAAGTATCCTCCACCTAAGCTTCCCCACGGCGCCAGACCCATACCTTCGTCGCGGCACATTGGAATAATATCGCGTTCAAAATCTCTTTCAGCAGCGGACCAGCGGCCTTGGTACACGCTGAAGGAGCGAAGACCATGGTGTCGCGCGTACGCATTGGCTTTGACGACGATCCAAGCCGGCGTGTCGCTTATGCCCAAGTACAGCACCTTGCCTTGGGCTACGAGATGGTTGAGACTTTGCATGACCTCTTCGACACCGGTGGTGAAGTCCCAGTAGTGCACGTACAAGATATCGATGTACGTGGTTTGGAGCTTCTTGAGAGATGCCTCAACACTGAGAGCGAGAGATTTGGTGTTGTTGGAGCCGAAGTTGGACTGTTGCAATGTCGGCTCGGACACGATCTTGTACGCGGTCGTGTACTTGGTGGCAATGACCATCTCATCTCGTCGGTATGGATATTGGGCCATCCATTCGCCAATCCAGGTTTCGGATTGCTCGTTTTGGTAGTTGTTGGCACTGTGAAGGAGAATTTAGCTGGTAGCTGGTTCGGGTGGGAATGGCGATTGGAAAAATTGCCGGGGGCACAGGGATAGGACACTGGCAGGATTATGTGACTCACGTATCGATGAAGTTGCCGCCCATGTCATAGAAGTAATCGAGCATCCCGAAGGCCGTCTCTTTGCTGCATTCGCCCATGATGCTGGTCCAGGCTGTTCCGAAATTCATGGCGCCGAGACATAGTGGACTTACATGCACGCCGGCGGTAGGAGAAAGGAGGCGGTGTCGTCCGAGTAGGGACTTTGGAAGTGGTGCTGCGTTGGCAGTCATGCTTGGTTTGTCGAGAGTCTAGAGTGGGAAGGGAAGGTGGGCAGATTCTTAAACGGATGAGCAGTGTTGTTCAACATATATACCTGAGTACCTACTTCGAGGGACGGGTGCTCGTCGGGGATTGGAGCGTCTAACCCCGACCACAGCCTTGTTCAGCCTTGCCAGCTCTTCTCAGGCTGTTGAATCAGGTACAGGTATTAGCTTTGGAGACCATAGGTACCAAACTAAGTACTAGTAAGCCTTCGGTTAAATGGTGCTGGACTATTATGTGTATTATCAAACACAACTTTCCTGGACCCTTTGACATGCCCTCTCAAGTCTATAGTGGTCTGGCGTGAAAACACGGAGATAGGGGCTGGCAGCCTTATCGCCTTATGGATCGTCCCGTCTCTTCGAGCTTGTAGTAAATCTTACTTCCGTAAAAGCCTGACTTCGCAACTGGTGCTAAAGACTGCACCGGCGACGCCATTTCCCTCGCGATCATGGTAGGTTTTGGCTACTAAGAAGGTGGAAGGTGCGATGCCGAAGCATCTAGGCATTCGTCGCCATTTTTGTTATGTATGCTTGACAGGCCAACTATCCCTAATTTTACTACCACGAGGCTATATGACTATATTTAGTGGGTGCTTATATCTGTTCATTCTCATTGTCAAGATGAATGGCCTCAGCTCAACGCCAAACAAAAAGAAACTCTTAGCGCCGGCCTGATCAAGCCACCGCCAGCCTCCTAACAACAATTGTTCAGGCTTACTGGACAACACCGACGCATCCAATAGCGCTTGGTGCATTCACCTATACCAAACTGGGACAGCTGCCGGAGAGTCCTTGACAGCACACCGCCCTCGCATCCGTGGTGTTGCAACGCTTTTACGTACAGCTGACTAGCCTCAACTTTTCCGATTGTCAGCCTTATCGGTCATTCTCACTCCCAGAGACCTACTCACCATGATCACCATAATGCGGTCTGTCAAAGGCGGTTCCAGATGTTTTCCGCCGGTCGAAGAAACTATTGGATTGAACGCGGACCCGATGGCCGTCTTCGTGAGGCACGTGACGCTCCGGCTGAACCTGAGGCTCGCTACCGTTCCGCTGAGAAACGACCCGCCGACGACGAGGTAATCATAGAAGTAGCACCTGCATCTCCGCACATCGATGCGCGGGAAGCGCGCCTCCGCGACAACTTGCCCAGCTTCAGCGAAGTGGACCGACTTCTGAACATATTTGTGGCCACCGGGCAAGGACACGGGGCCTTTGCAAAGGCCAAGAAGCAGGTCCAGGAAGAGGCGCGGAGGCGATTCTTCGAACACTATTACGGAGGACACGATGATGACTTCTATGATGGTTTTCCCGACTATGGAGGCGGACCCGGTCCAGGAGGAGGACCGCCTGGCTTGATAGTTGTTGACCGAAGGCCATACAGTTCCAGACTATCACGTTCGAGGAGGAGACCGCCAGGCGACAGACTAGACAGCCACAGTCGTCACCATTCGGAGTCTTCCAGGAGCGATAGTGATAACGATCGTTATCCGTCAAGTGGGAAACGTCCAAATAGACCTTCTGGTGGAGGACCATCAACCAACGTAGAGGGAGAGCACAACGTCGTGCGGAACGTCCCAACCGCCAGTGGTCCGTCCTTGGTGCTCTCGAGAAGACCCGAAAGGCGAGCAGCCCTGCAAGTATCAGAAACGAGACCTGATGAGATAGTGCCTGTAAATCCACTTCATGAGCGGCGGCATGTCATCATCCATCAGGAGGAGGATGTCGCCGAAGAACAGGTCCTTCGCCCAGTCCGCATGCCCCAGAGATATCAGCAAGCTCGCAGGTCAATGCAGCCAACAGTGCAGGATGTTTCGGAGGACGAAGACGAAGTCGCACTCGCCTCACTGCCTTCCGAAGAAGATGATTTGCGGATGCAGCCCCCAGACCGCTATGAACAGCAGGACAACCATGCCGTTTTTGTTCGAAGAAGACGGGATCAGAACCACCGCCTTGATTCGGTCCGCAGACTATCACCCAATCGTCGTCACAGCCGACGTGTAATCATTCGAGGTGGCGGTGGCCCAGAGCATACATTTGAAGAAGACCCAAGTCGAAGTCTCGGCCGCAGAGTTAGGCTTCGGGGAGGGGGAGTTGCGAATCCGCCAACGAAGACGAGCGCCGTGGGAGCCGATGTTCTGGATGATTATAACAGGGCCTCAAAACCCATAGCGTAAGATAAACCAGGGGGATATCATGGGACGAGCTGTTCTGTTGACTTCTGCACAGCCTGTTCTTCTTCTCCATCAATAGAGGCAGGATTATATCAAGCCACAGAAAGGAGCACTATTGGACATTCCGAGAACTCTACCCGCCTAGAGTTGGAGTTCCCACTGATCTTGCCCATCGTTCGGACGTATGGCTGGTCGACAGATTGAGAACGCATTACTGGATGATCTGCCGCCGCGGTCAGCGCACGCTCTGGGACCTCGTTTCAATGAGGACCGTCGGCTTTGCAACATTTATTCGGGTATGTGCCTGGTGCTTTCGAATACAGTCAACCTAAGGTTCAACGCTGACAGATTGAATTGCCAGTTTGAACGTACAGTCAAAAGGAGCCAAGATCCAGGGAATTATTTCGTCACAGCACTGGCTCCAGCAATATCTGCGGAAGGACAGGAAGCTGTCTCGCATTTCGTATATTTGATGAACAACCCCCTACAAAGGTCTAAGATGATGCTCTTCATGTTGGACAGACTAGCAGGCTCGACCAAATGGGCTAACGATCATAACGCTTTCTATGCGGTGGAGATCAAGGAGACGTTCGACACCAGGTGAGCAGTGTTCACTCACTATTATCCATGCCTCCATTCAAAGCAACAAGTGCTCGTTCTTGACTTTCCTGGCTCTCGGGGGGAGGTCCTGTTTCTCAAGCCAGTGACTGACGACCTTTCCTCAACAGGAAGATCTATATCGTCCTGTTCCTCTTGATCCTGATCAGCACTGGAGCTGGCGTCGCCTATGCGGTGGTCAGATCCGATCCTAGTACCGGCCTATCAATTGCCAGCTATATCCTGACATGCCTTTCGCTCATACTCGCCGTCGTTGCCGCAGGCGAGTGGCTTGGCCTCACAAAGCCTGACGCCTTCTCGTTCGCTTACGATTGGGTGCAGAACAGAGTGGTCAGCAAGGAGGACGTTGACAACATAACGGCGGGAAGGTGGTCGAGGATGCCGTGAAGGTACCGTATCTTGTGCCGTTAGTGTCCGGGACTGCAGGAATCAACCTAATAGTCTAAGATCCCACTCACTCTCCCTCCTACGGAGTACTACGGTCTCATAGGTAAATCGTGTAATGAAACTCGCTTAACTGGGGTGCCAAACAGCTGCCGCTTGAATCGTCGAAGCAACAGTCGGCACCGCATTGAACAGGAGGCCCTCCTGCCACACATAAATTCTCCTCGCTGCTGTTTGTCGTCGAATGGCACCTAAGCGCTATATTACACGATTTACCCACGAGACCATAGTACACCATCATCCCTTTTCAAGACTGAGCCGAGCTCAATATCCCAAGTTAGTATTTCCCCGCACAATATCAACTACCACTCGGCTATCGCTCTCCAAGGAGGTCTCCCCTTGCATGAGGTATATCATACACCAGGTCAAGAATCCAGCAACTAATAAGACGACGTGAGTAGAACATTTGATTTCCCCCTGCACACTTCTCGCTATTTTCCCTTCATCACAAACGCTCCTCTGCTGAAGCGTCCACTATGTCTGTTCAACAAGTCCAGTCCCGCGGCATCTACCGTGGCCTGCCCGTCTACCCAGACGACGTTAAGGGCTTGACAGCCATCATAACCGGCGCGAATGGCATCTCGGGCTACTACATGCTGAAGGTCCTCTCACAGGATCCCGAGCGATGGTCGAAAATCTACTGTCTATCACGCCGCCCACCCTTGCTCCCGGATGGTCTGCCCACTAATGCCGAGCATATCGCCCTCGACTTCCTAAAGGAGCCCGAGGACATCGCGTCCGTGTTGCGGTCCAAGAAGTTGTCGGCTGACAGGGACAAAACCTATGTCTTCTTCTTCAGTTACATCCAGGCCGAGCCGAAACCCGGAGGTGGCATCTGGTCCGATGCGCAGGAAATGTGCCGCATCAATTCGCTCCTTCTCGACAACTTCCTAGCCGCATTGACCCTCGCATCTATCCGGCCCAAGCGCTTCATGTTGCAGACTGGCGCGAAGAACTACGGCGGACACCTGGGACCGACGAAGCTTCCGCAAGAAGAGACCGATCCGCGGGTGGAGCTCGAGCCGAATTTCTACTACCCTCAGGAGGATCTGCTGTTCAAGTATGCCCGCGAACAGGACGTGGGTTGGAATATATGCATGCCGGGGCCGATCTTGGGCGCCGTGGTAAGTTCTTGAGCACAACGGCCCTGGTGGTCTTGATCGATGCTGATACGCCTTTTGACGAGTGCAGCCCGACGCCGCCATGAATGCAGCGTTTCCACTGGCTGTTTATGCGGTGGTTTCGAAACACTTGGGCAGGCCGCTGGAGTTTCCTGCGGATATCGCGAGTTGGCAGATGCATCAGAGTATGAGTAGTAGCATGATGAATGCTTACGTGGGTGGCCCAGCGTCTTGTGTCTTACACTCCTCCTCCTCCTCTTCACCCTCACCCTCTTGTCAGACCACAAAAGGCATACTCGCCAATTCGGTTTGCAGGAGCTGCAACGCAACAAACACAATAGCTGCTGACAGTAGGTGAAAACGGTAGATGGAAGAATGGGCCGTCCTCACTCCCTCGGCGCGCGACCAGAAATTCAATACCTGTGACAATTCCGCATTTACCTGGGAAGCCTGCTGGCCGCGGATCGCAGGCTGGTACGACATGGCCTACACGGGACCCGACACCAACCCGGACATCAAATGGATCGAGAAACAGACACGCTTCAACCCGCGCGGGTACGGCGACAAGGGCATTTCGCGGCGCAAATTCACCTTCGTCGAGTGGGCGCAGAGACCTGAAGTCGCCAAAGCGTGGCAGGAGATCGCCGAACAGAACGGGCTCACACAGAAGGAACTCAAGAATGTCGAGCGCGTGTTTGGATTCCTCGATGGCACCGTGTGTAGGCCGGCGCCGTTGATTTTCAGGTACGTTTTCGTCCCGTCATAACCCTTTCTTCTGGTCTGCGCTCTTTTCAAAAGTCAGCACCATCATCGCACTCAAACTTGATTTTCTTCCGGTGAGCTGACACCACATTCATGCTCAAAGTACCGATAAAGCCCGCAAACTCGGATGGCATGGGTTCGTCGACTCGTGCGAGTCGCTGCTCGAAGTGTTCAATGATCTGGCCAAGATCAAGATGATTCCGCCCGTGCCGATGGTGGATGTCAAGTTCAATTGAGGTACGGAGTCTGTTTAGGTTAGGCATCTCCCTGTATAGGTCCGGGAAGGGCCCATCGTTGGGCCAGACGTATGATGAGAATACTAGTACTAGTACATCGACCCCCAAGATATCTGCATGTCTGAAGTTGGCGAGCCTTTGGTCGTACGCTTACCGCAGAAAGAAGCCCAGAAGCCCAGAACCATCGTCGCGTTGGACGTTCCCCCTAGGCGGCAGACGTGGCTCCGGTTCTACCCACAAGGTGAATGACTTGAAAGGGCATAAACCAGCACGAGAAGAAGAAATCATGGTGGCTTGATTCTCTACCAGACTGTTGTCGATCGTTACGAGTATACGGAGTAGTCGAAATAAAGCTAGGCCCCACCAGCAGCTTTTTCCGCTTCCATTCTTTCCTTCTTTCTTTTCTTTGCCGCCAATTCTCGGCGCCTGGCCTCCTTGCGGAACCACTCACTCTCCGGTACCTGGCTCTTCTTGCTCTTCCTTTCTTGCTCACGATACATTGGTGCCATTGTGCCACCGCCGCTTGCATCGGCCATCAACACTGCTTGTCTTCGGACTTGCAGTTTCTTCTTGGCCGCGGCACTCCGGTTGCCGGCGCTCAGATGACTCCACATGTTGTCATCGATCTTCTCAACATCGGCCTCGGACTCTTGCTGCAGCATTACGTGTGCGAGTAATTCGTTCCGTTCGCGAGCCGTCGTGTATGCGAGACCAGCCATCTCGGACATGCCTGCGAGATGGGTAATCGTCTTGAAGGCGTAGCCTTGATCGACCAGGAAAGCCTGCCGTTTAGCACTGTATGCCATTTCCGTTGTATCCTTCGAGACCAACGAGTAGAAGAATGCATTAAAACCCTCATCATTACGTCGTTTGGCTCGCAATATCCGACCGAGTCGTTGTGCTTCTTGACGCCGAGAACCGTAATGTGATGAGATCTGGATCAGACACGTCGCTTCGGGAAGATCAAGCGAGGTGTCACCGATCTTGGACAGGAATATGGTGTTTATCAGCTCGTTGTGCTGGAAATTCTCCAGAATGTTGATGCGTTCTTGATTGCTGGTGTCGCCGTAGATGAAGGGCTTCTTCATCGATATGGCATAATGCTTCAATGCGAACAGGTTGTCGCTGAAAACAATAATCTTGTCGCCTCTCTTTTCATGGTAGTCGATCAAGTACTGGCAGACCTGATATTTGACCGGGTTCATGATGTAGTACAGAGCTTGTTTTCTTGTCGTCTCTTTCTGGTATTCTTGGTAGAATTCCATCGACATTGGGCACCAGACTTCGGCACATTGGACCTTGGCAATATGACCTTGGTCTGCTAGTTCCATCCAGTTGGCTTCGTAAAGCTTTGGGCCGATGATGAAGTTGAGATCGGTAATCTTGTCGTCCTCACGTAGCAGAGTAGCAGTCAAGCCCAGCTTGCAGTGCGCCCGAACATTTTCACCGACTTTCCGGAACATTTTGGCTGGTACGACATGGACTTCGTCCAGAATCATCAAACCCCATTCTTTGCCATAGACCCAGTCCATCATTTGTTGAGTGTCGTAGGCACGTTTCCCACCAGCTGTTATCATGGAATAGGTCGTGACCAGCACACCAGAATCTCCAGTAAAGCGACGCTTTTCCGACGCGGAGAAGACGGCAATATCTTCTTCTTTGATGTCGGACCATTTCTTGAACTCGTTGGCCCATTGATAACTGGACATGGCGCTGGTGCACAGCACGATTATACTCTTTTTGATGTGACAGCCAGCTGTTATTCCTACCAGAGTCTTTCCCGCACCGCAAGGCAAAACGATTATCCCACTCTTGCCACGCCCGTTACCGAACATCTTGCTCAAAGCTTTCTCTTGATAAGGACGGATTTGAGTCGACGGTCTCAGGTCGATGGGAAGGGTAGGGTTTTCGAAGTCGCCGGCAAAATCATATTCTGAAATGGCAGGATATCCAATATCCAGACATTGTTTCGCGACCACATCACGCTTATTCGGCGCAATTTCGAAGTTAGGGGCTTCTCTGTAGGTATCCTCTTCATCCTCCTCGTCTCGCAGGGCAGCAATCATGGCTTCGTTCTCTTTGGATGGATCATCTCGGGGCATTTCCACATTGCCCTGGCCTGCTTGTTTCATGCCTTTGGCATTACTAGTTCCTTGAATGACGGTCGCTTTTGTTTGTATTCTACCAACTTGAACGTCAGTGCCTGCGGATTTGCAAGGACCGATGACCGGATCTCTCAGTAACATGTCGATAATGGGACGTTCATCTGATTCGACGTAGAACTTGTTATTGCGTAGGACGAGCCGCACTTTGCCATATGTTTTGGTATGTTTGTCGATAAATTCGATCACGGATTCAGGTACAGGAGTTTTGGAAAGCTTTTCCAAGGCACGGATTATATCTTCACCACGTAGACCTACCGACAGAGCTGCGTACAGGCTGTGTTCTGTGAACCTATATTCGTGCAGGTAGGACGGTCTCGATTGCGGTTCAGCAATTGTGGTGAGCAGATCAGTGGCTTGAGCAGCTAGCGGAGAAAAAGCCTCGAGGGTGATTTTCGGTCCCTTTTTCGAGCCGGACGACACGCCGGGATCGATCCATAAGGGACGATTCTCGTGGTCGGGTTTCAGAGATAACCAGGAAAAGTCCTTCTCGCCAAACACGGATTGCGTCTGTTTCCTCCTGGGATTTTGAAAGGAGCTGAAGTCCAGCCTGGCTCTGGCTTTTCGAATGTGTTCCTTCTCGCTGTCACTCGCATCATCTTGTGACCGTGCATCAGATCCTTCGTAGTCATCGTCGCTATCCAGGCTGACAGGAGTCGCAGGAGCGGGAGTAGAACGTTTCGAGGATCGAGCACTGACATCTTCAAGGGCCTTTCGCTTGAGAGACATTGCAAGAGGCTGGACGCCGAGGATGGCGAAGAGCGGAGGAGGATGGCAGACGGGGTTCGCAGACGTTCGGAGCGAGAGAGAGATGGAGATGATGAGAAGGAAATAGAACACTAGAAAGATACCTTAGATAGATGTAGTGGCACGAGTAAGGCTGAGTCAGAGCATGCGCGCTGTGCCTGGGAGGCCAGTTCGGCCCAAATTATCCGTAGGCGTCAAGCGGCGCCCAGTGAGCCCAGTGTGCTCAGTTCCCACCAGCCCTAAGCCAACGGTGCAGAGGCTGGACGCCACTTATTATTGCAACATTAGTCCCCGAAAGGCCGATCTAAGCGATCAACCGACTTCCGTATGATCAAAAGAACTTGAAGTAATAAAACTCCGGGACCATGCAGGTTTCAGTCTGTGATACGACAAAGACTTCTTCAACATGAATACGGTATGTTGTCGCTTGCTTCGCCTTGTCTAGTCAAGTCTCTCGTGCTGACCATTGTCTCCAGATTAGATCAACCTGGTATGCTCGCGCAAATTCCTCCGGGCGGAGAAGAGCTGTCGCGTCTGTCGATGCGCTTGCCGCCAGCAAGTCCTTCACTGTGCAAGATCACAGGCTGATTTACTTTTCCTTTAGGTACGGCTGGGGAGTCCTCTGCGTTGCAGGCGGTGGCGCATATTACTTCGCAAAGAAATCCATCAATGCCGATCGAGCTGCTCGGTTCGAAGCCGAACAGAAATCAAAAGCCTACCAACGACGCCTAGAAGACTCATCCTACACAGCCTCCAAATCGAAGTCTCGAACGAGAACACAAGCAGATCCCTCCAGTGGAACACATAATGCGAAAGGTCTTGATCATGCAGGCAGCCCAAGTAGCGAGATCAGTGAAGAGGCAGCTCCTGTAGGCCATGCACCCATCGACAATGATCAGAGGATACGAGAGAAGAGCAAATACGAAGCAGCTGAGCCATACAGAAGCAAAAAGGGGGATCGATTGGGCTGAAGTTGAGAAAGAAGACGAAATATGTCACAGAACACCGGAGCGATACGGAGTACTGATGACCAGAAGTTCAATTGCTGTGTACATGTACCGCGTGCCATGCTCGACAAAAAATGCTGAGCTCGATACCCCAGGAAATACCAAACTCCATTCCAACCATGCTTGCTCCTCCTTGGATATGATGCTGATGATTACAACCAATCCCGAATGTGTCAATGCGCTCAACGCCAGGAAGATGTCGTTAATGTGCCGGTCTTCGTATCATACGTGACAGCATAGAGGCGCATAGTGTTTTCTCGAGGCATTCGGGTGTCCTGAATCTCTTTCGCGTTTGGACTCGATCGCTGGTGGGACAAAAGGCAGGACAACAGCCGATGTGATCAAGGCACCAGCCACTGCAGACTGTAATCTTGTTGCTGGCCTGGGTGCTTGCGCAGAAAAATGGCGGATTGCCGTCTGAGACAAAGAATGTGAAAGGGTGCCTGCGAGACTCATGGTTGTAGATGAGAATTACACCCTGCTGAAAGGTAAGGACTGGCAGCCGGAGGAGAGTTTGCTAACAGTGGAAGACAGGGACAATAGAAATGAGGACAAGCTGCCCAAGTATATGAGAAGGGAGCGTGATCTGATATTGGATAAGCCGATTTCCAAGCAAGCAGATTGGGCAGCAGCCTGATGAATGCTCGCTTAACAACAATACTGGTGGGATACCGTAGCCAGGCAGTGTTGGGATTGACTCATCTGAGGAACGAATCCCGAAATGCGTGGGATTTGGGCAGAATTGCGTGCTCGAAACAAACACGGTCAACACGGTCTGCCGTCTAGTGGCCTGAGATGCCGATTATCCATAGAGGCGGCCAGGAAGAACAACACACCACCACCACGTAGAGATGGGAGGATTTGGTGTCTTGGGACTGTACTGCGTCATGCCATTACGGAGAAAGGCGCCTGCTGTGCCCGGCCAGACTATTCAGCAGTACCAGCGACGCCAGTTGGGTGCCAGTCAGGTGCCAGTAACATGCACGCGGATCTCGTGCCGAATTCAGTTCCCTGAAAAAGGCAATTCGAACAGTTGACTTCACGGCGGGATACCAGACACGTGATCGAAGTCCTGAGTGGTGAGATAAGATTAGATCTTTCCACCGCCGCCGCAGTCGACTTCTCTTTCACACAAGAGCGAAAACACCATGTCATCAAGACAGGAAATAGTCGTCTTGATGGCGGCACATCACATCTCCCTCGCCAAAGCTGCTTTTGGGGCATCTCTGTTTCGGCCGGATGTCACCAAAGTAACGCGCGATGACTTGACCAAATTTCATGAAGCCTTCGAGGCTACCCTCGCTCACTGTTCGAGGCAAAATATACAGGTCTGAAGAATTCCAGCGTGATACCTCAACCCGTGAATCAGATTGACTGAAGAATCATAGACTTGCAAGGAATGGCTTCTTGAAAACGTGACTGGGTCTTCAACAAGAACCACCGCTCTTGGAAAATTCCTGGCCACTGTCTCCAAACATATCGTGACGCCTGCAACTGAAACAGCGAAGCCGAGCTCTCGACGACAGCGCCTGCATATCCTCTACCTGCTCAACGACCTCTTACACCATGCCAAATTTCATGCCTCCGAACGGTCCTTCGAGACCAGTCTGACGCAGTCTCTGCAACCTTTCCTCCGGGAACTGGTCCAGCTCGCTGCTGAAGACGCGAAGCCAAGAGTATCAAGACGTCTGCGCGATGTGGTCCAGATCTGGGAGGAAGCACAATACTTTGAAGGAGATGTACTTGCTCAGCTACTTGATCCTTTGGACAATGTAGCTACGCAAGCACCGCAGAAGCCTTCAGTTCAGAGCCCATCCAAGCCTACCACGAAAGAGCTGCCATATATTCTGCCTGCCCTCCATGGTGATCCGTCGTCACCTTTCTACGATCTCCCGGCGGGGAATCTCATGCCTCTTATCGTCCCCAACAGTCTCCAATCAATCCGACCTGAAGAAATACGTCCTTTGCAATTATCCTCAGGCCCAGCAGACGAGGGTCTTGTCAATGCATTGAAGGATTTCTTGCATGATGTCAAGGGCCTAGACAACACTTTTGCCTACCTCGAGGACAAGGGTATGAATCCGGAAGTCGATGAGATGGGTCAAATATCATATCGTGACGAGGCTGGGGACTTGATCGGCGATACATATTATGGATGGTCGCGGTCATTCTGTGCCAAGATGAAGAGACGCGATGGATCTAGAAGTGACGGCTCTCCTCGACGGACTCGTTCGAGAAGTACAAGCCGGAGCCGGAGTCGTGGAGGGTACAAGCGACGACGGTACAGCGATTCCCTTGATGACGGGTCATCACGATCTTACAGTAGATCGCCGTCCAGACGGACATACAATGACAGCCGAAGACGTGGGAGCAGAAGTAGAAGTCTAGATGACACTTCTGCTGCTCACAATGAATCCGATCTTGCTTCTTCTGCCGACAGTCGCCGACTATACATCGGAAATCTTCCTTACGCGGCTACTGAGGCGGAGGTGAAGCAGTTCTTCTCGGGCTACGACGTGTAAGTTGCCAACCAGTATAGACTTTTCGTCACTGCAAGACTGATATGTGAACAGCGAATCAATAGCTCTGCCCATCAATCCTCGCACCAATCGTGCCGCCGGCTATGCTTTCGTCACTATGAGGACTGCGGATGGGGCGAGAAAGGCCATGCAGAACCTCTCCGGTAGGGACATTTTGCAGCGCAAGGTGTCTGTTCAACTTGCTCGCATGCCTGATGCAATTGCTACTGATAACGGCGGTCCGAGGTCGAGGTCACGCTCATACTCGCCAGACAATGGTGGTCCCAATGCTCTACCTCCATTGAACAGCGCCGCTCCCCTTCCTCCACCTCCAGCAGGTCACAGTCTACCGCCAAGACCACCGTCATTACTGCCAGGAGGCGTCCCTGTCCCACCACCACACTGGCAGGGCCCTTGGCCACCACCTCCTCCACCTCCTCCTTCATACTATCCAGGCAATCCATCCTCCAACAACATACCGTTCCCTCCACCACCGTTGCCAAACTTTCCACCTCATTCCGGTGCGTGGCCTCCATACCAACAAATGCCGCAATCTCCTTATCAGCAGGGAAAGCCTGACGGCTATGGAAGGCAACGTTAGTGTTGGTGGAGACAACTGTCGTCATACCATGAAAGCCTGAGTGCCTTTGGAAATGGGCCACCAAAAGCAGAAACAGGTGCTTCGTCGTGTGCTACAATACCGTGAGCTTCCTTCATTCGTGTGCAATCATGTAGGAAAGAGAGTGAAGCAGATGGAAGCTAAGGGGATGGACCGTCGCCGACGCTCCTAGAGACCTTTAAGCCAGGTGGGACAGGGCGTCGAGGATGTTGTGCGGAAAAGTTTTCCTATTCTGTGGTTACGCCCACCCAAGCAGGACCAAATTGATGATTCACCACGAGCTTGTCTCGGGAGGACTCTGCAGGTGCTATACTAGACAGTGGTCGACCCTTTCCGAGGATACACTTATCCGTAGGCGTGCAAGACATTTGCAAGCCGCACCACCTCCGTACAGCATGGGTCATCACGCGATGGTTTGGCCTGAAGGGTGCATCGAAAAAGTGGTGGTCCTACCTGGATTGTCAAATTCTTCCCACTGTCGTGATTGAGAAGCTGGAATTGTACTTCTCGGTCTTCTTATCGACAGGCATTGGACACCCGTCACCAGGGCTAGGGATGAATGATTCATTGTTCAACCACTCAACCCCACTGTGTATTGTACTGCTATACTCGTACGGGGTGTTGTTGCAAAGAGATATACCACAGTACTGTGTATGTGGCCAGCAATTGACATCACGCCCCCACGGGGACGATTGGGCGAGATGATCACGGATGATGCAGAATTATGAGAATCCCATGTTGTCACCAAGATTTCACGATCTTCTGCGGATGGCGTTCTTGGCGCTCTTGGCAGACGCAAGGCTGTGGCGGTGGCTTCGGCAAACGAATAAGGTTAAGCTTGAATCAAAGCTGGTCCGACGTCATTCATCCCTTTGCTCCGATGCACAGGACCATTGCCTGCCCTGCTGCCGTCTGCGCTCAAGCTTCAGCCAACCCCCCCCCCCCCCCCAAGCGCACCCTCACAACCCTCACCACCCTCTACTAGTACGAGCTGGCGGCGGTTCTGACGGCAGACTAGCACAGTACTGTACTGTGAAGACTGTGTTGGGGTCTTTTAGAGCCGCAATCAATTTCCGCGGCCAGGGTAACGATCGACGTCAAACGATGCAGACACTGAAAGACCGACACCTGCCGCGACCTGCTTACACCTGGTGTGCATCGAGGTTTGCGAATCACGATGCTGGGGCCAGAGTCCAGACACGCTCTTTTGCCCTTGGTATCGAGATCGAGACCGAGACCACGGACATGAAACGCTCCTCCCACAGTTGATCATTTGGAGATGCAAATCTCAATACGCTTATCACACAGATTGGGTGCTGGTGGCAGGAGCCCTCAACGGTGTCGATGAATCTCCATTTTGACAAGAAATCGTTAGAGTCTAGAGCCTCCACGAGCCTCCTCTTTGTCGAATGCGAGATGCGATCACTCTGCATGGCCCCCTTGGCCATCAAAGACCCTTGGATGCCCGATCGGCAGGGTCATTCTCCACCTTGATGCGGTCTCATGCGCCATCTTATTTGTTCGATTTTCTCACTGTCCTTGGAAATCGAGAGTTGCGCTGGGATCGAATGCCAACTTCATGCCGTCTGATCGGCAGAGCGTCCAGTCTAGGTTCCCTCGATGGCCTTTCAGTGGTCACGACTGACGGCAACCTGCATACACCTCCGCGTCTACTCACGCTCGCGAACTCACTTGCAGACGCCACCGTCCCCTAGGCTATTGGCCGTTTGCCTCCACAGTGTGGTCATACCCATCCCGCCCCCATAGCGCGAACACTGATAACATTTCTCTCAGCCTTGGTGTGCATTAGCGTTCGACACATTATATATTCTGTTGAAGTCCAACCTCGAATTCCATTCCTCCATCCAACAGCATTCGACAAGCACAAGCACAAGTTCGTCCAACGAAACATCTCTCTTCGGCCTCTTCAGTCCGTCTACTCACAAGACAACACAAAACATCCATCAACATGCCTTCATCTGTGGAATATCTCACCACTCCTCCCGCGGAGCCTCTCAACTACGATGCTGACCCGGTTGCGGCCATGTCTTCGTATTCTCGAATGATGCACATGCACACCAGACAACAAATGGAGTCTGTCACGCGATCAGCCAGACGCAGAAGTCCTCCAACGTCCGCTGTCGATGCTCACGCTCAAGCCGGTCTTTCACAGAGCAGTACACACAGCAGCAATTCATCACGATCTTCCTTTTGATCCGTCAAAACTCGTCACCGCCATGTTCGTGCGTCTTGCGCACTATGATGAGTCTTTCAAACGCCGATCCAGTGTGATCTATTGCTAGACTGGCAGCTGTGGTACCCAATTTTCGATCAATTTCTATCATGATCAGATCAGAGGATAGCATCAGCTTAGCTTGGAGTTGTGGTGTTAACAACATTTTGTATTTTCATTTCTTGTATTATATCTTAGCGATGTTTTAGCGTCGCAAACCATATTGTGGTTATGACTGTTATGTCAGAGAGATATTTGAGATATCTGCCGTGAAAATGAACTGATCAGTTCCCTCATATTTCCACACTTCACAAAATCTTTACACTCTCAAATCCTTTCCTACGCGTCTTCATGTCCCATACATACAAATGTTATCTCGCAATACTCGTAAGTCGTCCTCTTCGTGTCAATTTCTCCAACCAATGTGCTCTCAAAACTGGTAGGTGGGTACATTCGAGCCATGGAGAAAGGAATAATGGCGTGGTTCAATAGTGATTGAATTCTCTCCCCTCCATACTCCGTACTTCTGCATATCATACCGAACTTGGTCCATCAAAAAGTAAGACTCCCATGTTCGCTGCCGCCTGGGGAAAAAGCAGCCTCGTCGATCACTTGCATCATACGATTCCACAAAAGCACGTCATGCTGCGCTCGGACATCCAATGATTGAGCACTTCGCCTACCAACACAGCACCTTTTTGGATGACCACAGGTCGACAGGGGGACAAACAGTCTCACGTGGCGAGGGTGAACCCTGATGGAATATCATAATATCATACTCGTATTCATCACACACCTGTCGAGAAGAAAAGAATTGCAAAACTGACTTTTTCAATGACAAGATGCCAGTCCAACCAATAGACCGGAATTGCCATATCATATTTTTGAAGGGAAGAATCTGAGTAATCTCGATTGCCTAGATATAAGTAACATCGTCTTCGTGCGACGAGGAACCAAAATCACCCGGCAGGGTGTGACGTCGCAAAATACAGTGACTGGCGCTGACGAGCTTTCCCTCCCTCGTCTGCCTCGCTGCCGCCTCATTTGGAGCGACGGAGCCCAACCGCTGTGGCCGCCGAAGGTTCAGGTCTCACCCAACGGTTTTCCTGGTGCGTCCGAGCCATCAAATCAAGCTGCGTTGTTTCACGTTGTTCCCTCATCGACGGCTCATCCCTGCGCTTTTCCTACGAGTAACGGGCTAGGGCTGCAAGGTCTGGGGCCTTTCGGCTGTGATGGGCAAATGCCTCTGGTTGGGCCCCAGGCGTCATTCCTTCGAGAGTCTCCACCGCCCCCTTGCCGACATCATTGTACAGTACTCGTACTGTGCACAGTGCTCTGCATCGCCACCGTCACTCGACAAAAAAATAATGCTTCGCGCCGCTCATCGACCTCGAACAGATGGCGGACCCAGCCATATCATCGAGTCGACGTAGCCATGAAAGTCTCTACGAGCATAGGAGTAGTCATTGGCAACAAGAAAACATCGCGTGCCCCATGCCATTGCCTGGGGCACCTGGGAACAAGAATGCTTTGCCACCTACGAGTAGACCTGTCAGAAAACGAAGGCACCTACCTCCTACGACTAACCAGTCATCGACGTCGGGCAACTCCTCGATGCAGCAAAGCTCGGGGGCTGACTCCAGCAAGGTGGCAGGGTCGTCATCCTGTGCCGAACCTCCCTTTTCCTTGAGCGTCATCGGGGGATCCGTCGCGCTGGTGATCGGCGTCCTGGTTGGATCATCAGCCGACGATCGCACACTCTCGCTCGCTGCCAAAAGGCAAACTTCATGCTCCATAGGATTCTGCAGCCGAGGTGCTCAAGCTGGGAGACCGAGACTTCCCAGGGGCTTTCACCATGGGTCTGGAGGTCGTTCTCATGATCGAGAGCGATGCCTTTTTGTGGCCCTGATAGTACGAGTATTCAACCAGCACCTCACTCACCACGTGTCGCATCTCACTTCAACATCCTCGACCTGGGGATGTCAATACTTGTAGAAAGGCCTAGACCGATTGAATCTCGATTCAGTGATCATCCCACGTCTCAGAAACTTTGGAATCCTGACACCCTGACAACGGGCCCTGGAGCCTGAAAGGACCTTCAACGAACCCTGCAGGGCCTCTTCCCGTGTCTCATGAGCAGACATACGGTGCTCGACAGATGAGCATCGATCATGAGAGCATCATCAAGTTCTGGGAGTGTGTGGTCGCACATTCTTCTTCTCTTCCTGTCTGCCGGAAGCTCATACGCTGTCACACCCACAAGGACCTTGCTGTCGATCAAGCTGCGGTACGAATCACAACTAGGCCTCTCCAATCTCCAAATGGAACACACACATCCAATGCCGTCGAACCTACCATTCTGGCAACGACCTGCAGTGAGCGTTTCGATCTTATCTTTGCATCGCGATCGATGATGACTTCTCGGATGACGTCGGTAGGCGAGGAACAAAAGTGAAGGGAGATGCTGCCATTGGGTCATTCAGCACTGCTCGATTCATGTGTGTTGCCATGCTCTTGCAGTGTAATCTGCTGAGGCTACCTGCTGACAGTCTTAGCGATGGAGGTCTTGCGTACATAGGTGCGAGGTTGGAGCCGATTTCCCTAACAGTACGCCCTCAGACTGTCTCCCCAAGTGGACTTGCCAGGTACAATATACCTGATGTTCTTATGCAGGCATGGCAAGTGGCTGCCTTGAAGCACAATACAGTTGCGGTAAGTGATACGAGTATCTGGCCATCGCTTGACTGTCGATGCGGCCTAATTTTGCTGTCACTGTAAGTAGAAGATCTTTTTGGTTGTCAAGAATTCTCAATCAAGCTGCGCCCTGCGATACACCTACCTTTCAGAGCACTACACTGCCTGATGATGGTCAGCTATAATAGCGCAGGGATGCTGGATGAGAGGCAGCAAGCCCTTCCCGAGTCAGGAGTCGAGAGTATTCGGTTTACAGAACGGAAACGAGCCATCCGCGGCGATATGCGACAGAACAATAGGGAGTGGATAGGCTTGAACTCCAAGCGGTCTCACCTTTGAGGAGTCGCCAGATCCAGGTGTTTGTAATGAGCTGCACTCATCTGGTCTCAGGTATGCCATGCCCATGGACTGTTCCTTTGGCCTTGCGATCGTCCTGGCTGGGTCGCGTGATTTCTCCTCAGATACAGCACACCGGGTCTCAGCTGCAAATCACCAATGTCAATCATCGTCGGACCATGTATGTTCTGGCCTGGTACCCGGGTTGGGGACAGAGATGCAGCAGCGATGATATTCCTCACAATGGAGTAAGTCAGTCCAAGTTACTCTGTAAGTCGGTTGAATTGAAGTCGAATTAGAAAGCGCCCAAAAACCTGCAGCCCGGGACATTGAGCCGAGTTAATCCTAACTAGTTAAGCAGGCATTTAGTCAAGACGGCCTTGCTGGACTACCACACAGCCACAGGTCATCTTCAACTTTGCCAGACACTACTATAGTGGTCTTGCAGTACTCTGGGCATGCCAGAAGGGTTTCTTGTCTATGGTAGCCTCATGACCCTCGATTTGGCACCTTTGACTTGGCCGCTTGTATCTACCTCACCAAGTACTGCAGATGCACAGTACAGCATCAGGTACTGCTTAGCTAAGCGATTACTAACGAACCGACCGCGGTACACACTGATACAGATACCTCTTATCACATTGGATATACAAGAGCTAGTCTGGCATCTCTTGACATCCGATCTTCACAGTATGTGCATTATACAACCATGGGCCAAGAACCAATCCCTTCCGCATCGACGCCGTCAAACGCCAGGCGCTGAGTAAATTCATTACCATCTCGCGACCTCGAGTTTCCACGCGCAGGTCCTCCATCTTCAGGCCAGCACCAACGATGACCGAAAGATACGCAGGTACTTGACCTCTGCGGCGCGCTGTTAGATACATCCATGCAGGGGTCAAGCAACCCATTCATAATCTGGGAGGGCGCTCTCATCCCTGCTAGCAAACGCACTCGCAAAGTATTTCTGCGCAAACTCCAGAAGTCTCGACCAAGCAATGAAAGCGAAGATATGGTTGCGCAGCCACAACCCCCAAGCCGTCTGCGGCGCCATGGCCGTGGGGACAAGGGGCGGCACCTTCCGCAGATCGGTGATGATGGGCCTCATTCGCTCTTCGTAGCCCTCTAGTCCTGCTGCAAGATCACCCCGGTGTTTACACATCTCGCCCGCCAAAACATACGCGCCGGTCATGGCGAGCGTCGTCCCGCCACCCGTGAAGCCCGGCGCGTAGCCTGCATCCCCGACCATGACGAAACGGCCCTTGGACAATGTCGCAGTCTTCACCTGCACGACCTCGCTGGCGTAAAAGTCGGGCGCCCTCATCATCTCCTGGAGGATCTCGTCCGTTTTCCAGCCCGCTGCGCCCCGGAAGTGGCGGGCGACATACCGTTTGAGCGCGTCGTCTCCTTGCTTTTGTGCCTCGCGGAATGGTTGTAGAGTCACGTCGTTGTCGCGCTTGTCGCGCTTGTCAGGTCGCGGGTTGATGGCCATCAGCGTGCCTCGATTGCCGCCGTCGCTCCAGGGATCGGGTCCGATGGCGACGAAGAGACCTCCAGGAGCGCTGTGTGCTTTTCCGACGTAGCTTCCTTCGAGAAGGTCCTTTTGTAAGGAGAACTGCGCCCCCCAGCAATTGGTCGGGTGGATATGGTCTCGCACGCCACATCCCAGACCAATCGCTCGAGTCCGTGAGGTGGCGCCGTCACAGGCAACGACAAGATCGTATTGGGAAGTCGGCAAGCCGTTTGTGAATTCGACCGTGACAGGCCCAGAAGACCCGACGTCGTCCTCCTCGCCCTTTTCATGTTGCTGTATCGAGGCCACTTGCTCGCCGAAGACGTACTTGATGTTCTCATTGTCCTTGGTCAGGTCGAAGAGGATCTTTGTCAGATCGTCGCGGAAGATCTCGTACTCTGACACGAGCGACTGCTCGTCTGGGTTTCCAGTGGGCCTGATGATCCCGTACGGTCGACCGTCGGGGCGCACGAAGCTGAGGCCTTCGAGTTGCGTGGTTTTGGCCCGCACGGCGGCTTCCATGCCCGGCATCCTCCGCATTACCGTGACGCCAAAGGTGCGGATGTCGATGTTCTGTCCACCGCGCCGGAGTTCGGGGAAGCGCTCGATGACGGTGACACTTGCGCCGGCTTTGGCCAGCCAGTATTCCGCCGTCGGACCTGCAACGGACGCGCCGACCACGAGGACCTTCAGTTTGGACATTTTGGACTCGAGCAGTGTCTATGAATGTGTTATGGTCTGTGCAAGTCGTCTCCCAGGGCAGTACTACGTAGTTGGTGGTCGAATCGACAAATGTAGCTCCGAGACCACTAACCGAGTCATCAAGCGTGACATTGTAGGAGCTACATGGACGACCCAGGATTCGGGTCCATTTTATATATTTTGGGGTTGAGAAGCGATGAAATATACAAACCTCGTTGCCTACATCATGATATCTTGATCCAAAACGATATAATATCGTCGGGTCCGAGAATATCAGCTGTGTAATTGGTGTCAACGTCGTTGCAACGCTTAATGGCCTGCATTCTGTCGGCGCCGAAATCTGGTAAGCAGCTTGGTCTTGGGCTTCGGTGATTACATAAGAGGTTTGTCATCCACGTCTGCTCTATCATTGGTGCAGGCTTAATGCCTTCCGTGGTGACTGTGAATTACTACCATACAGTCTCATGGGTAAATCGTGTAATTTGGCGCCAGGGTGCCATTCGACGACAAACAGCAGCTAAGGATCATTTGTGGGCAGTAGGTTCCCCCGTTCAAGGCGACGTCTAGGATAATACTATAGTATATGTGGTAGGATGGGCCCCTGTGCTGAAACTCGCTTAACAGCGGGACGGTAAACCTCGGTTCAGCCTTGCCGCGGAATCGACACGCTGCGACGAGGCTGTGACATGTGACTCGTCTGCTCAAGTCGCAGTAACCTAGTCATCGGCCACCTTCTCTTAGACTGTGAACTCTCAAATCGCGTTACACAAGGCGGCACCATGGTAGGAATATAATCTCATTTCATTTCGTTCCGACTTTGGTTCGCGTTCTGTGATTTCTCACTCCAAAGCGATGTACATCTTTTGAAAATCGGCAAGAAGCTCGTTCACCTGGCGCATACTCGTCTCATCGTACCTCTCTAGCACCGGTTCGAAGCTTTCCGTGTCGCCAGGATCAATGACGATACTTGCTTGGTCTGTCAGAGCCCTCGACACAAACTCGGGGCTCTTTGGCTTCGTTGCCGCCGATATCTTGTCCAGCATGAGGCTCGCCAGGAGCCAGTATTCCGAAGCATGCCTCACGAAGCCGATTCGCTTCCACATGTCCTTACAAGCAAGGCCTTCTCCGATTTCTACGGTTGCATGTCGTAAGTCGGGCGAAAATCGGGCAGTATATATCTGCCAGGTCTGCTTCCAGTGTTTGATGGCATTGCGGACCAAAACAAGCTGACCCTGGCTGCCGAAGGAGTTTTGATAGTGGAAAATCAGGGAATGCAGAGCTGTGTGACTCTTATTCAGTACAAGATCCAACATCGTCCAACTGCGACATTTGCATGCATATGGGGTGACCAGTTGGTGACTTACCAGATGTCATTGCAAACAGGTTCAGAGGCCCTTGATCGGCAAGTGCGACCAGGTGCTCGTGCTGGACCTTGTCACTGTCTCGGCACAACGTCTCTACTGCTGAGCAGAGCTCTCTCGCCCTCTGACACCCTTGGAAGCGGCACCTATCAGCCTGTATCTGTGCATAACATTCGTGAGACGTTGGTGCTTGGAAACAAGACTCCGCGCAAGCCATGTCCATCTTCATCTCTTTGATCACCATCCTAGGTGGAAGGTTGTTGAAGATGACGAACGCTGTGTCGAGGAGGAAGATCCAAATGAGTACTCTGGAAAGAATGATGAGTTAGCAACTTTGCTACATCGGCTTGGTCGAAAGATACTGACCTGATAAGTTCTTCTCGGAGCACGAATTCTCGCCAGTTGAAACCATGGATGCTATGCTGCGTATAATCTCGATGTCTTGCCTTGTTGATGCTGATGTCTCTTGCAACACTGATGACAGTGCTGTACCTGTGCCGACGAATGCGACGCTTGCTCTGGTCGGAGCCTTCCCAATTCTGAAACAAACAGACCATATAAGCTGCCTGCAAAGCCTGTATCTTCTGCTTCGCTGATCCGGCAATGTCCGATCCGCAGTCAATGGTGAAGACCGAGTCATCGAGCAAGTGACCGTCCGTGAAGACAAGCTCCTCGATGCAGTTGAACCATGTCTTCGCATTGTCACGATCATTTTCGTCGGGAGAGACGCACGCCCCTGACTCATATATCAGTACCCGGATTATCTGCGAGAAACATCATCTTACCGATCAGGGCCATCGATGCAACAAGAATCGCCTTCGAGGCCAACGGGTCAAATGTGGGCTTGTGGACGAAATTGACATTTGGATGCCAGATGGCCCAGTACAGCGCCAAGTATTTGCGAAGCTGTGGAGGCGAGAAAAACTGCAAGCTCATGTTCTGCAAGAGAGCAGACCAAGTGAGGGTCACTATGCTGCTCCGCGCCTTTACCATGACGACTTCTTTGATCAAATTCGTGATCTCGTTTGTCACGACAGCGAGGGGATCTGACAGCCATGGCCGGGCGATTTGAGCCACGCAGTATTCAGCCTCGGTTGTTTCTCCAAAGGTCACATATGCCCACGATTCTGGAACGTGGAGATCTGAGAGATTGGTTGCGGTTATGGCGTCAAGTGCCACCTCCGGACATTGCAAATGTTCCGACATAACCTGGCGCCGCTGAGCAAATGTACCGCAATCGAAGGACTGGACGAAGCCAGAGTATTTGGTAAAATCATCAAGGAATCGGAAATGAGGAGCTCTCTCCTCCTTGGACTCTGGTGTAAATCCCTGATACCCTGCCTCTAGACTCAGAATATCCGACCATGGCACGTCGGAGAGGAATTCTGGGAAAATGGAATCTCCGTTCTGTCCAGAGGTCCAGCTCTCATTTACAAGGTCCGATGGGATGTCACTTCCCAGACAAATTCCACTAGGCAGAGGCAGATCATCAAGAGGTGGAATGGAGTCGGCCTGCTCCCCGAACGCCAAACCGCCACTGGTACCAGAAGTTTGGTTTGTGTGCCTTGTTGTTCCAGTTCTCTGTATCCTGGTTGCCTTGGTCGAAGCATCTCGGCATGACTTCAAGTGCCTCTTGAGCACATCTGATCTTTGGAAAGCGCTGTCGCAAAAATGGCATTTGTACGGTCGAACTGATCTGTGCGAAACAAAATGACGCCTAAGGTGTTCCGGGCGTTTGTATGATCTCGAACAAAGGGGACATCGGTGTAACATCCAGGAGTCAGTCATCGTGCCGACATGATTACTGGCCTATTGGTCTACTGGTCCGGTGATTGATGGCATGTTCAATTAATTCTTGCCTCGAAGGATGAGAAACTCCCCGCATTCCATTCGCTTGTTCGGAAGGGAAATCCTGGGCAGAAGAAATCTGGGGTGCGCCGAGCTTCTTCGATGCCGACCCGATGTCCCGGGTTGTGTCCCGGGTGCTGCCCACAGTTGGGACTCTCCGCAATTGTCCATGCACGTCCATGCCCACCTGCCTAACCCCCCGACAGTGGCAAGAAAGCGGCGCTGATTGGCTCTGACCGTCGACCAGCCTGCATCATCCGTGAAGGTCGGACGCGGGATGTGGGAGAACCAAGTGGATGCTTGGAACAAACAGGAGATCTAGGATAAGTACATATCCACCTCAAGTCAAACACCAGGTCAGATACGCTCAGAATGTCGTCTACAAGTACGCTGGGCCACGGACGGATTTTGCGAAACTCTCTCTGCTCTGGCTTTGGCCGTTTTCAGTCCTCAAAAGAAAGTTGACTCCGTACAAAATGCTGCCACCACATATCATTCTAGGCTTAACGACGTTGGTGGGATATTTCGTCTACCTGCTACTCACCACTGGACGACGACCGAAAGACTATCCTCCTGGTCCACCAACGCTGCCCATTCTTGGGAACATTCATCTGGCAGGTCAATCAGGCATAGATACGTCAATCACCTAGCTAATGAATTTATCTTCAGATGCCCACGAAAGATGCCCATCTGCAATTCGAGCAATGGGCTCGTGAGTACGGACCAGTGTACAGCTTGATTCTCGGCACAAAGACACTCATCGTCTTGTCAAGCGATGAAGCAGTCAAGGAACTGCTAGACCGACGGAGTGGCTCGTACTCTGATAGGCAAGAGATGTACATCGGGCAAACATTGTGCAGCGGAGACCTTCGGCTGTTGATGATGGTCAGTAGTCTTGACTACCCGTCCGTGCATGATCTTTGCTGACCTCCGAGTTCAGGGATATGGACCTCGATGGAGAACAGTAAGCTCCTCGGTGATATCATGCCATACCAGACTAACGATGGCAGTATCGTAAAATGGTTCACGGCCTGCTCAACATCCAAGCAGCCAAATCATATGTTCCCTACCAAGTACTGGAGAACAAGCAAATGCTGTATCAACTTCTGCATCAACCGAACGACTTCCTCAAGCACATCCGACGCTACTCCAATGCGTTGACGACTACTATGGTTTTTGGATGGCGAACACCGACATACGAAGATCCAAAGATGATGCAGCTCTTCGAAGGATTCGCTGAATTTGCCGCCATCAATCAGACGGGCACAGCGGCGCTCATCGATTTCTTTCCCATCCTTAGATGGCTGCCGGATTTTCTCGTACCTACTCAACGCAAGGCAAAGGAGTTGCATCGTCATGAGAAGGCATTGTATCTCGACCACTGGCTCAATGCTAAAGCAGCGATCCGAGAGGGCACGATCAAACCATGCTTCTGCGTTGGCATGGCCGAGGCTCAGAAGAGCGACGGCTTTAGCGACGACCAAGCCGCCTATATTTCCGGCACGCTCCTCGAAGCCGGCTCTGACACGACGTCCAGCACGTTGTATGGTTTCGTCCTGGCCATGCTGTTGTATCCAGAAGTCCAGCGGAAAGCTCAAGCGGAAATCGACAGAGTTGTGGGTGATCGCTTGCCGACAATGGAAGATGAGCCGGACCTGCAGTACATTCGTGCTTGTGCCAAGGAGACTCTCCGATGGATGCCAACGACAATTCTCGGTGCGGTCCCTCATGCAGTTAACAAGGACGATGAGTATATGGGTTATCGCATCCCTAAGGGTGCTGGAATCATGAACAACGTCTGGGCTATCCACATGGATCCTAAGCGCCATCCGGATCCCCGGACGTTCGAGCCTTCTCGCTACGCGAACGATCAGCAAAGTTTGTCAGACTCGGCCACCAACCCTGACGGTACGAAGCGCGACCAATTCACGTTTGGTGCCGGTCGTCGCATCTGCCCCGGTATCCATGTCGCCGAACGCAGTTTGTTCTTGGGCATGTCTCGTATCCTGTGGGCGTTTGATATCAAACCTGCGAAAGACGCGGCGGGGAAGGACATATTGCCCGATCCAGATCGGTTGACGCAAGGGTTTGTGTGCATGCCGGAGCCGTTTCAAGCCAGCATCAAGCCGCGCTCACAAGCTAGAGCCGACTTGGTGGAGAAGGAGTGGCTGGAGGCGGAGAGGGAGGTCTTGGATCCAGAGACGAAGCAATGGCTGAAGACTCCAGGAGGGCGTTAAGTTTTAGAAACACTGTAGTTATGTGGGTGTCAGAGAACCGAGAAGGCTGGTTGCAGAGCAGACATTTGGCCCAATATGTCAGCACATGTTGATTCTAAATCGAAAACAACGTCTCATCTCTACTCCTCGGGATTCCGCGATAAGTTCTGGTCATGGCCTGCGTGAATCATATTGAAAACGCGCTTACACCTTCTTTCCCTTCTCATTTCCGTGCCCATCCTGATCCATTCCCACACCAAGAATAAACGCAGACCTGATAAGCCCGACGGCCGCCAAGACGGCAAAATTGGACCACTCCTCAGGCCTCACGAGCTTCAAAGTCGAATCAAGTCGGTGCTCCACTGCCAATGCCATAGTCAGCGATGCAAGGATGGCCACGTCCTGGATGAGAATGCTGATCTGCAGACAGCGCCAGACTGTGCGGTCCGACGGTCTCAGGCGCAAGAGCACGGTCTGCAGGAACATGGTGGACAGGAGGTAACCCGCGCTGCTGCGGAGGAGGACGGTGGTTTCTGTGGACGCGGGCACAGTGGCGCGTGGAGTGTACGATTTGAGGATCGCAGCCGGTGCGAAGATGTTGGCGAGCACACCGGCGAGTGCGATGAATGGGTCGATGGTGTGGAAGAAGATCCGGTAGAACGATGGGATGGGGGAGGCTGACGGTGCCGGGGAGGCCGAAGCTGAAGCTGAAGCTGAAGCTGAACGCATAGTTGTGATAATTAGCGCGGGCTGTTTGGTGTTGTTGTTGTTGTTGTTGCTTTTGATATACGGAGTGTAATAGGTGACTATGAGGTCGTGATGAAGGAGCGAGATGATGATATCTTGACTTGAATGTTAGAGGATATTCGCTAGATGCGTTAACGGGGATTTATATTGATAAGTGGTGATGGTAAGCATCAAGTGCTCGGTAGTATTGGACCTTTAAGTGGTACTTTGTTGATTATGTCAGCCTGTTGGTATGCTGAGAAGGGCTCCGAAAAAACTACATAGTACGGTCCATCAGGTCTTTATCTCTTGTAATTCATATCTATGCTTAATGCCTACCTGGGAAATTGATGACTGTCGGTGTAGTACTATGTACTACGTAGTTGGGGTCGGTAATAATAGGCTGAAGAAACATTACATTGTCAATACTAGTACAATCGTTGGCCGAAAAGGCAAGACACACACACGAGTAAACTCCAAGCGAATGCATGATTCAACGCGCCGGATGGGCTCGACATCTCTTCAAACACCGGAATCGTCAGACACAACAGCAGTCTCTGCCGCATACGCGTCCCAAGCGCTACATGTCGACTCCATCAAGTCATAATCCACCAAGTCTCGAACTTCGTCGTACCGCTCCAGGAGCTGGATGGCAAAACCTTCCGAAGTATGCCATCCAATGTGGCAGTGCATGAGCCAAACACCGGGATTATCCGTCTCAAACGCAACCACCAGATAGCCCGAGCCAGGCAGCATGGCGGTGTCGCGCCTGGGAGGGTTTTCCAAATTCAACGTCGTGGAATCGGCGTCGTAGGTGCCCGTGCGCTGTGCCAGAACGAAGAAGTCGTGCCCGTGCAGATGAATCGGATGAGGAACGGGCAGTGTGGTTTCGATGATGATGTACGCCCACTCATTCGCGGTCGGTAATTCGACAACGCCGCTCGTGTTGGAAAAACTCGTGGCGTTGTTGTAGACTTGTAGAAGGGTTGGGTCGTCCCATTCCACGACCATTGACGTGCCGGTCATGTACCAGCGGAAGAGGTTGTCGGTGTTTCTGCCCAGGGTGACCGCCTCATCATTGTCCCAGAAGGATGTGTCGACCGTCTTGGAAATCATGGGGACCAGGTTGGCCGCGTCTTCGTCTGTGCAACTGTCCATGTAACTGTATCCGGTCGTTGTGGGCGTGGTTGTCGAATCGCCGTAGTACACGATCCCCTTGATGTTGTCGGTACTCTCGTTGTCGGAACAGGCCACCTGCGGGATGGCGCGCATCCAAAAACTGTCTGCAACGTCGGCCTGGTCGGCGGTGACAATCACGTCGTATCTTTGGCCTGTAGAGGAAAGGTTAAAATACAGGCACTTTGATTCAGCTCAACGTAAAACATACCCATGCCGATACTCAGTACCGTGGTATCATACGGCTCGATCGGAACAAAGTCTGCGCTGATGACAGTAAGGGTATGATTGTCGATAGAGAACTTGAACATGGTGTCGATTGCACCGTTGATGAGACGGAGCCTGTACGACGTCCCGGCGGTGAAGGATGTGTTGAACCGAGTCCCTGTCTGAGTGTCGGAATCGTCGTCGCCATAGACGTTGGTGCCGTTGATCAGACCGTTATCCAGGGTTGGGGGTCCAGTAGTCTGCGAGGCTGTGTACAATTCATCTGCCGTGTGATGACACCAGTCGCTGAGAAAGAGAGTTCCCAAATCAGTGTCATAGTTGGCACTCGCGGGTCCATTGATAATAATCCCGCCAGCCAGCCCTTCCCAAGCTTGTAGCCCGATATGCGAATGATACCATGACGACCCATACTGGACTGCCCTCCATGTGTAGGTGATGGAGTCTCCAGGTGCGGTCGGACACTGGGTGATTGATACCACGCCGTCGTTCTGGTTGGTATAGTTCTGGCGGATACCATGAAAATGAATGCTTGTGCCATTCTCGCTGGTTGTGAGGGAATTGGTTACGTGCACAACAACGGTATCGCCCCAGTCGGCAATAATGGTCGGTCCTGGGATCGAGCCATTGATGGCGACCGCCGGCCTGGAATATCCATCGGGAGCAACGGTCACATCGGTCAACTCAAACCAGTACTCCCGTGTGACGCCAGTATCCGGGACCTCGGTGGTGTAGTCAGTGTCGATGCTGTAGTCGCACCAGGTGGTTCGATCATCAGCAGTATTTCCGGTACAAGCAGAACCCTTCTCATTCTTCAACAAAGGAGTCGCGGCAGCGAATGTGGTCGCCGCAAGCAGAAAGATTGGTCTCATTTGAGCGGTTTCTGTAAATTGAAGAGAACGAAACGACTTAATATGAAAAGCAAAGAGCTTGAAAGACTGGATGAAGAGAATGGAAAATCATACCTACCTGTGCGAGAGGGACGTGAGCTCTTATATTTGCCAGCTCGTCCTCGCCATGCTTCGTTATTGAGGCTAGACAACGTTTGAGAAGGAGTCGAGTCAGTTGAGTCAGTCTGTCTCGACGGCGACGTATGCGCTGCACTCCTGATGTACAACGTATTCGACAGCCTTGCCGCCAACGTCTGCTAGAGTTCGTTTCGATTTAGCAAAACTGCGAGTCTCTCATTCTTAGACATTGCCAACCCATTTAGGTTCTTCTCCGGGCGGGGAAAGACGATGGTTGAAAAGTGTGCGCGTCCTTCACGGTGGATGCATTTCCCGAATCGCAGCAATCCCATAGTGAATATGCAGAATTGAAGGATGGGTCATGGAGAGAAAATCCAGCCAACGTCCCAAAAGGGGGTGATGCACGTGAATGACCCCATATACCGCCTTCTCATTGGCTGGTGGCGACGACTGTTCCCTGCGTCCTTCATTTCGCCTATGCAGAATCACCCTGACCTTCTTTCTGCTGTCGACGAGGCTGCGTACTATAATACAGCATACGTAGCCATCATCTCGGGGCTCCTCCGTATATCACACGAGCCAAGCGTCTAGATGACGCGGGCCTACCCTCACTGTACCTTCCGAGTCTGTTCTACCTCTACTTTCTCCAGCGGCTTCAGGTGTCTCCTTCTGACCAGAACCATACTATTGCGAGAGCTTCGGAGCGCGCGTCGTCCGAGTTGCGGCACTGCCCCTTGTCTTGGAGCCTTGACCTGAGGCTACAAGGCTTTTTCCCCCAAATGCTATCATGAACATCTCTTGTACTCACAATTCTGCGTCGTAAGTCGCGAACTCGAATGACGTTGGCTCTCCGTGTCCCCGGCTTGATTCCAGGCGCGAAGTTTTGCTTGGTCTCGAACACAGGTAATAAAGATCTCTCTGCCCTCGCCTTAGTCTTATATAAATCACATCAACCCCTTTGCGTCCCTGGTCCCTCATCACGGTACCTGAACCGTCTTACACTCCTCTCCAAAGAGCTGATATCAATTGGCTGTCATTCATTCCCTCCTTGCAAACAGAATGCGTCGACTACTTGAAATCAGTTTCCTGTCTCAGGGCCTGCTTGCGGCTGCATCACCACTGACACGCCGACTATCATCCAACGATACATTTTCTCTGTACGCATACGGAAACAATATTGGGGGTCTCCCAATTCTATACTCGAACGGTAAGTTACTCCTTATAAATCTACTCTGTCTAGCGGGAATTCACACGAACTCCGCTGACTATTTTCGGCAGGTCTCGCCTACATTGGAAACGATTCCTCCTTGAATTCCTCGTTCCAAAGCCCATATTGTGAGCCCCAAAAAGTCAAGCCCTACAAGGGCAACCTGAGAACGAAAACGAACAGTTCCTAACATCCAGCTTTTTCTAAATATAGTCACAAAGTCTTCCTCCAACACCACACTCATCGCGAACCCCAACACCACGCTGTCTTCCAACGCCAGTTGGAGCTCACAGATCTTCGCCGTACCAGCAACAGGCTCAACTGGCCAGGTCAGCTTCGTGGCTGACACATCTTCCGATGCTGTCGTGACTTCGGGCTTTTTCTTCTACGGGCACGTCGCAATGTTGTTGACTTCTTCGGGGAATGTGGAGTCTCTGTTCTTCGCGCAGGACACCGACACCGACGGTCTATGGAAATTGATGTGGAACATGACAGCCGCGGATGGCAGTCTCGTTCCACTCACGCTAAAGAACTCTGCTCCTCCACGGATTAGGATGGTCTCTTCTGTGCAAAATAAGCTGTAGATAGTACTCAATAGGAATTTTGCTTCATCGGACGTTAAGGGTCAATGTCACAATAGGGATCCTTCCGTATGGGAACAGTGGTGACTGCCATTCAACCCTTTGTAAATCTTCACATGAGCATTGTCGGGAGGGTCCTGGCGAGCAGGGCATGCATACGGCGTAGTTTCTGTTTTCAGGTACAGGCGATGCGAGAACAAAGACACAGGGCATTCCTCGAGTTATTGGATCGATCAGCTTCGGGGAACACTGGTCGGGCAGGAACCTTGAAACAGCCAATGCTGCAATAGCATTTTTCCCCAGAATGATGACCAGTATTAGAAAGGCAACTTTGTACTCTGATATTGACAATCGTTATGTGATGCGTGCTTGCTTGCTTTTGGTTTTCGTAATGTACAGGCCATCTTATGGATGTTCGGTTTCAGTCTCCAATGATCCCTCCTCTCGCAACACGCTAGGCTTCTGCTTCGCCAGACAGCATGTGCGCGTCGTCCTCATCCACGGCACTCGCCACTTCGTCTTCCACGATAAACAAGCCATCGGACTTCTGCCATCCCACTGACTCTTGCTGATCCAAAGAGGTATCACCACGGCTATTGCTACCTTCGTTTGACGATTCCGAAGTCCTCGCAGATTCCCAATCCTTCAGCAAAGGCGTCCCCGCAGGCATGATCTCGACCTTGGTGATCCTCCAAAATATCCAGTATACAGCACCAAGACCGAGGATGCCAAGCGCCGTCGCAGGGTACGCATAATATGCGAAGCTCTTGTTGCCTTGCTTCTCGCCTGGGTTGATCCATGGGAATATGAGCAGGAGGGAATTGCTGGCCAGAAAGATGATCGTGTGCAGCCGTCGTGCAGGACAAGGGCTCTGCCATCGCTCTCGTGGGGATGACTGCAGGTATAACAGCCCGCCAGCAACTGCCACAGAGAGCACGGAGACTGGGTAGCCGCCGATCTCAACAAGAAAAGTGTATATCTCTCCTGGAGGTGGTAGGATAATGACGAGAACACTGACGAGCCAATGCAGGAAGAGTCCAGGGCCAGGAGCCCCGGTAGCGGTCTTGCTGCGCCAGAATCTTGAGAATGGAAGGAGACCTTGCGAGCCAAGCTCTTGGTTCACTCGAGCTTGGGCGAAAGACGTGGCTGCAATGTTTCCAAATGCTGAGACGATGATGAAACAAGGGAGGATTCTCTCGCCCCAGAACGGACCGAAGATGTTACGGAGGAAGTGGCTGGCAACGACGACGCCTGAAGAGCGAAAGTCGTCCTTCTCGACTGCACAGAAGTAGGCGACATTGGCCAGGATATATCCTATCGATGCGAGGGTGAGAGCGATGGGGCCTGCGAGTTTGATCGTTGATATTGGATTTCGTACTTCGGAGATGACCTGGTTTGCCGTGTTGTAGCCACGGAAGCAGTACAACACCTGCAGTAGAGCTGTAGCGTAGTTGTATGGTTTGGAGCTCGTGCCGGCCCAAATTGAAGTGAAGTTTTCCTGGGCGATGGAAGTGATGGCGGAAGGGTCCGTGACTGGGAAGACCCGACCAACACTGGCAAGACCGCTGAGGATAACGGCTGCCAGGATCAGCATCTTCGCCACGCCTAGCACGTTGATGATACCAAGGCCCATCGCTGGTGATCGTGCGTGAATGAAACATGCCAGCGAGATGACGGAGACCGCAACACCCCGTACGTTCCAGATATTGGGTTGAATGCCCAGTGCTGACACTGCGTAGTTGCCGAGGATGATACAATTTGGCGTACTGAAGCCCAACAGAACAACATACGCCATGAACATGCACGTGGCAAGCATTTGAGGTCGGCGGAAGATTCGCTCAAGGTAGACCCTCTCGCCGCCCGATCGAGGAATAGCCGTGCCTAGGTCGAGGTAAACAGACATTCCACAGAAGGAGATGATAGCTCCGACGACCCAGACGAGGAGAGTCATTCCAACGGATCCGACTTCCGAGAATATTGAGGACGGCACTGAGTATACTCCAACCCCGATCGTCTTGCCCAGAATGAGGTTGATGGCGGAGAAGGTCGTAAGGTGATTTTCCTGGGTAACATGTCTTGATTGCCCAATCAAGCTTGGGGTTATTGATAAAGCACTTCTGGGAAGGAAGCTGTCTCCATCCTGAGCCCGGCACATCGACGACAAGTGTAAAGACTCGGCCCTGAGGTTAGGGGGCCTCGAGAGCCTTTCCTTCTTGAACCGGCCATGCTGAGAGAATGAGGCGGCTTTGGAAGATAGAGAAAAGGTAATACCTGACGGAAGGATGGGACAGATGTCTTCCTCCTCTGCAGAGGGCCGACGTTCAGCGTACGTCGAAGTCGAGGTCGATGTTGAGTCGCGATTATATGGAATTCTCGGAGTGCGAACGATCCGTGGAGTGACAGGCGGACAAGACTCGAAGGAAGGAGATAACAAAGCAGTCGTAACACTGTTGGTCAAGCTCTCGCCCAAGCATCTTGGGCGTTCCATGTTGAGCAAGAAACGTGCTCAACCGAGTCTTAACTTGCTCAATCTCGAGATCTCGCTCGCTTGCCGCACTGCCAAGTCGTCTCGGGGAGGGATACGTCGAGTCTACCGAGATTTCGAGAATATAAAAATATAGCAAGCATCCAGAATATTGATATTGGTTCTGGAGCTCGAGCACCGCTGAGAAAGACATGAACAGAGGCTTTTGGCAAGAAACGAGAGGCAGAAATAGAGAAATCGCTCATAAGGGTGTGAAGTGAAGCGTGCAGGGCGATGGCCCCGTCCCCAAGCACTTACCTGCTTTCAATGCGTACTCCGTACACCGAAAGCGTCTCCTCTTTCTTTTGCGATCCCCCAGGAGTTCTAGGCGACTGTTTGATTGAGACAGCATCATATGGATCATCTCACACTGTTTTGCTTCGATGAGTGGCGGTTTGCGTACTTTCGGACAGAGATGAAACCGTTTAATGGTGATCCGGAGTCTTCGGGGGTTACACCTCAGCCAAGCGACTGACTGTCCAAGCCATGATCGGCGCTACCATCCCATTTTACAACCAAGCCAACTGCTAAGCGTGGACTCGGGGTGTTTTGCAGGGGTTTGTTACGCCTAGTGAGCCCCGAGAGCCCCATCATGGGCCTCCTGACTGTGGAAGACTCAAGGAGTGGTGAAGACTGGGGCCCATGATGGGCCCTAGGGGAAAGCTGGTGCATGCTGTTGTGCAGGCCCTCGTGCGACACCGCGCATACACCATACATGGCAGGTTGAAATCATAGGCATCTCTGTATTTGGCCATCAGTTTCCACAGGACCAGCTCGAACAGTAGCGAAAAATGCAAGAGGCTATGGGCACCCAATGGGGAGAAAATGCCTGGTGGCAAATGAACAAGAAATCAACTCTAATCGTTCGAGAAAATCCGCCGGTCTGGTTGCGATTCGAATTGATTGCCTCGTCTGATCGATTCAAACCGTGAATCCCATTCCCATCGACTGGTTCCCTCAGAGGCAGCGGGAGCTGTGAGACCAGCCGAGAACATCGACACCTGCACCCAACCGCCTGAGATTTTTCTCACTGACACTGCCGGTGCGACGGCCTGCAAAAGCATTCATTCCCGTAGTCTAGATCGGACGATCCAGGTCCATCCTAACAGCTGGACACCGTGGTATTACTCCTCCAAACTCCGTCGCTATGCTATGCCAAATGCTACTCGAACAGAAAAGCCCACTCCTAGCCGCCTTTAGTGTATGAGCATCTCGTTGTCTTCATCAGTGGCATTCTATGCCTTCCCAGCTTCTCCAGATGGCCCTGCATCCTCATCCTCGAAAACCTCAAAGCGCAGGACCTGCTGCTTTTTGATCGGAATCTCTCTAGGTTCATGTGTTTCTGCACTGGTCGTTTGAGTCTCTGGAATTTCAGCAGCCACGTCGAATCCCGCGTCTGCCTTTTCCGGCTCAAATTCCGATGCCTCTGCGTGCCTCATCCTCTTGCGCCGACCATGTATAGCTTCAGCGTCTGGGATCGTCCGCTCCCGAATGATTTGGAGGCCTGGACTTTCTGCTCTCGAAACGTTGGGTTCGGCATAGCTTTGAGCACCAGTGAGGAAATCGGTCGACGCGCTCGCCGATCTGGCCCGCCGTTTCCGGTGGGTTTGGTCGGAACTGGTTTGCTGCCTCTCGTTCGAATCCCATGCGCAATTCTCGCGTCGAAGGTGCTCGGCTAATTCACCCGGACTCGAATGCGAGAAGGCCTTTGGTTGAGGATCTTTGGGCCGCGAGCCGGTGAACGGTGATGCTTGGATTTGCACAACAATTTTTGAAGACTCGTCACTACATACTGGACGGGAGGCTGCTTGATGTCTTGATCCGGTAGATTTGGGCGCGGCGATCTGTTCAGCCGCCAGGTCACCCACGGCTTGATCACTGGGGTTTCCTTCATCTGCGTGCGAGACCACGTCTCGGGCACCAGCTGGTTCCTTGGAGCGCTTAGTCAGACGTTCGACTTTGGCAGCCTGACTGTGCTCAGCTTGAGCAGCATCGTCAGCGTCGGTCGAGTTTCGAGCATCGTGTAGGCTGTGCAATCTCAGTCTTGCTTCTTCGACCTCTTTCTTTGTCGGCGGAACTGGGTGGACTGATTGCGACACCGAGCTTTTCTTTCTCTCTATCATGATACTTCCCACTTCCGGGATCTCCATCTCCGATTCTTCCTGTTCTTGTCGTCGATGAAGCTCGAGTAGTAGATCTCGCAACCTCATCCTTAACTTGTGTCCTTGGATCCTCTCGGGCCATTGGTGCGTGTTATCCTCTCGCTGGAGGATATTGTACACAAATCTGTCGGGATCTGCAACAAATTGCTCAAGATACATACACAGGTACAGTCCGCAATCGCTAAAATTGCTTTGTGTAGGAATCTCCTTGGCTGTCATTCCTCGAAGTTGGCCAGAGTCAATGTCCAGATTCTTTTTATCCTTGGCTTCCGCAACCACGTATTGTCTGATAATGGAGCACGTAGCGGAACGCGGAGTGCCAAGGGAGTCGAGCGTGATAATGACAGGCTTGTCAGTCTCGTATTTGCGTAATGGTCGGACGCTCTTTCGTCGACCCGGACTCTTTTTGGATCGGACCTTGGTCTGAAGTTGGCGATTTCCCTCGTGGTCACTGATGGACAGTTCGGCCAACGATTTCTGCGTCTCTTCTGTAGGGGCGTCTGATGTCATGCCGACGTCCTCGCTAGGCTGTTCGGATCCATCACGGCCTTCCGAATGACGGAGACCCTGTTGGGCAGCCTTTTCCTGGTCAGGTAGAAAGTAGGGCAAGTTGCAAATGATGACAAGATACCAGTGAAAGTTTTCATTGACAGGGACAACCACAAAATCGCGCTTAAAGAGATCGACGGCCTTTGTCCACTTGTTGACGCCTTCGTAATTGATGCCTCTCTTCCCCCGAGGGGTTTTGGTCAAGGTTTCAAAGAAGTACGTATTGAAGAAGTGGATTCTTTCAACCGACTCGGGATGTGCCTTGCCGAGCTGGGTCTGCAGGTAATGCACGAAAAAGGATATCAGGTTGTCGTTGAGGTACTCCTCGTGGCCCAGGCGGCTAAGGTCCTCGAAAGGCACGCTTCCAGATCTTTTGTCATTGATTTGATACACCAGATCGTTCTTCCAGGGGTCTCCTAGTATGTCAAGATCTGCCAACTTAGTCTGATTCTGACGGTCTTCTGGACTTCGTTCACTTGTGCTTTTTTTGCGTGGTTCCTGCGATCGTGTGACTCTCCTCAAAGGATTAGCATCTTGGTGCACCTTCCTGGAAGTCTCAGCATCTGGCGAAGACCGGAGTCGGTTAGAGCTATTAGGGCGTTGCCCAGATTTTTGAAGACCTCCTCGTTCAGCACCAGAAACGACTGTACGTTGTATCGGACCTGAGTGAGGCGCATCCAACCTATCTACGAGGCGGGCACGCTTCTCCGCTGTGTTTGCTTTTGTAGGCGGCGACGTCTTCGAACTGGAAATGCGCTGTTCTGCGGTTCGTGGAAGGACAAGAGTTCGCTTTTTGGTCTTTTCCTGGAGCTCACGAGCGATAATCTCCTTGGTACGTGATAATGCACGTTCCATCCAGGCACTGACTCGGTCAGTGGCCATCTCCTCAAAGGATGCAATCGGACTTACTCTTCTTTTGGGAAGACCTTCGGTATTGAGACAAGTGTCTGCAGCGACCTTACGAAATGCCATGCTGGCTTCTGTGACTCAAACCTGAGATACACCTTCGAGTCGTTTTTGTCACTACGCGAAAGGTCGAGACCGACGATACCACACTCGCTTCCATGCTTGATCTCGATGATCTTTTCCAAATGCAAAGGGCGGGCCACAGGGTCGTTTCCAAGCGCCTCCAGGTCAGTATTTATCGAAAGTTCCTTTCTCTGCTCATCGATCTGCAGAACATAAATGGAGTCGGTTTGTAAGTTGGGATAAGCGAGCTCCAGTAGTTTGTAGGATTCCAAGCCCTGAGTTTGTCGCTTGCTCCGAGTCTTTTTGGGATGGGTGATAGTCGTACTCCGATCGCTTCCAAGTATTAGATGGGTGAATTCTGTTGCGCGCACATTCTGAAGACTCTTTCCAGATCGGGCCGCAGACTGTGCACGAGTCTGCGGCGTTTCCATCTGAAGTGCATCTGGACTCTCCTGCTCCAGAGCTTTGCGGCGACTCTGCTTCCGTGCTTCTTGGTTCGGCACTGATGGAGTTCCCGGCTTGCCGAAGTAGGGAGAAGCGACGGCAACTGATGAGGCCTGATCAAGACGCCCTGGCGAAGAGCTTCCCAGCATCTGATCTTTCGCAGCCTTTCTCAACTTGGCTGAAGTTTTAGTGAACTCACTTTCGTCATTTGGGGAGGGATCATCGATCGGGCTTTGCGGTAGCTGAGGAGCGCCTTGAACTTGCTCCACAGGTCTACGATAGCCTCGAAGTGGTTCACCATTCCCTCCTTTTTTGTATGTGGGGCTAAGTCTCAGCTCGTCGGCAGAGTCGTCCGCTGGCTGGCTGTCATCAAGACTGATTGCGTTCGTAATGGTGTTCCCTTCTTCCTGTGGACCTTCAGTCCTGCGCCGCTTGTTGGGATGGCTGCGATCATTGTCCTGAAACCGTTCATACACTGAGAACTCGTGGTTCTGGGGAAGTCGCTCCGGGTGAGTTGTGGACGAAATGTGGCCAGATCGTGCCGGTGGACGTGGATCTTCCAAAGTGTTTATTGGTCGGAGGCCAGACCTCAGCTGCAAGCACGTCAGAGATGAGATGTGACAGAAACGATAGGGACGTACCGCAGCAGAGGATCTCATCATCGGATCTCGTACAGTCGTAGGACCAGGTTGACGTTTGCTAGAGCCATGATCAGCTTGCTGATTGTGGGAACAAAACTGGGAGATGTACGTCAATCCACCCAGCAGCCTGAACTCTTCACTCGAGATTGATCTTCTCCGGCGTCTCAAGTCCAGCTTTTCACTTGTTGGGACAGTGAAATAGTCGGCCATGTGTTCTCCGCGAGTGTCTCTGGTCGAGGATGGGCTGTGGTTAAGGGTGGGTGGTGTTTCGTGGCGCGACTTCGAGATACGGGGATGACGTTCGACGACCAATTCCTCTTCATCATCTTCAATCTGTACACAGGAAGTTGTCAGTGATTCGCGGTCCAATTTGCTACACCTGTGGCAAAGAGTAGTTGACTACTCACGGGTATTGGATCACTTTGCACATTGTCATTGTCCCTCACATATATCCTCACGTTCTTAGTGAGATACTTTCGCGTAGGCTGCTCGGGCATCTGAGCCCTTCGTGTTCGCAGTTGTGAGGCATGGGAGTGGGAGATAGTCGTTGGGTGGCTGTCTTCTTGGGACGATCGTTTTCTGGAGTTCAGTAAAGTACGCACGCTGTTCCGGGCAACCTCATGCCAGTGGTTGAGCATCTGTTAGGTCCCAGACATCGCTGGAGGGGCCTCAAACTACGCCGAGTGACATCAATTGTAGCAAAGGGCCTTCGTAACGGCTGCGAACGCGTGGGTTATGGTGGAAGGTGAAAGTCCCCGCATGCAGCCAATATTTAAATCGAGGCTGAACCCTATGGAATTTGTGGCTACGTCAACCGAGAAAATACATATGCAATCATAGCACATTCACTGACAGAATTACGAAAGTACTCCCAACATTTCAAGTTCATCGACGAAGGATGCATTGGTTTGGTCAAGTCTCCCTTGCGGGACTCGTATCCAGGAATTATTTGCAGTGGTTCTACAGGTGGGATATGATCCCTATACTATGAGGCAGGGGCCTTCCCTCTGCTCTTCTCAGACTCGTCGTGTAACGTGGGCCGCCGCCGTGGCATGTCCCCAGCATGACCCGAAGTAGCATTAACCTTCTGCTGTCTAGCCTCATCCAGGGCGGAACGCTGGGCTATGCTGTCATCGTGGCTCTTCCATACGATATTGGTGTCGGCTGGGAAAGCGAGTATACGTTTGATGGTCTCGCTGCACATTGTCAGTAACAAGCCTAGTTCGAGGAAGCAGTATTTCGACATACCGGATCTTGATGTTCCTTCCGCCGTCAATCTTGGTCCAAACACTGAGAACATCTTCGCCGCTGCGGACGCTGAGCACTGCTCCGCAGACCTCATCCCCAGCCTCCATGAACTGATCGCCAATCATGGCCAACAGCAGATCTTCCCAATATCGATCAGCAACGCCCTTTTTGAGCCTCACAATCCACTTCCCGCCCTTCTTGTTGGCTTCGTCCTCCCATACAGGACGGATGCCATCCTTGAATATATGGTAGTCGGACACAGCCGGCAGAAGAGACGGTCGCTTCAAGTGCGAATATATCGTCCAGAAGCTTTCTACCGAGCCAATGGTGGCGAGCTTCTGGGTGGATTTTTCGTAGTCTGAAAATTTGTTCGCTGGGGGTCTGTAGAACAGGTTCCAAGCATTCCTCAATTGGTGGCCTGGCTGCGCCGCTGGTGATGTTGAGAAACCCCCGGCCCTTTCGGCCTCTGATCCTTCCGCTGGTGTTTCTGCGTCCTTCTCTTTCTTCTCGCGGGATGTGAAGTCGAAACCGCCACTAGTTCCTGGGGTCTTTGGCGTCTTCGCAGAGCCAAAGGAAGCAAAGGCACCACTTCCCAAACCAAAGGCAGACGATGCGCTCGCCGAGGGGGATTTCGTGGCGGCCGGGGAGAGTGCGTTGAATGGATTTGTTTTGCCGTGTGAAGAAGTATCGCCAAAGCGTCTACTTGTGTATGATCGCGGAGAGTCTATCTTGTTGCCATCCTTCCCCTCATGATCTCTCATAGACAACGAAAGCTTCCCAGTACTAAGGCACAGTCAGTATGATGTTGCAATTTACGGAGGTCCGCACAGACTTTGAGCGCCTAGTCCACAAATTTGCGTTTTCCATGAGCGGATCAAAAAGGGTGTTGGGAGGTCTTCAAGGGCAGCCAGCAACGCTCGAAGGCGCAGTTTGGCACTCCGTTACAGCAATAACGAATGTGTCACTGGTTGGTGGGCGTAGGCAGAAGATATGAGGTAAAGGAATCAAACGGCGGAACCGGGATTCGAGCGGTTGCCGTTGGAGGATGACTGCCAATATCGACGCAGGTGCTACAAAGAAGAAAATATGTTGTACATATGGCAGATGTAGTATTCGGTACAAATCAATTTGAGAAGTTAAACAGGTAGAATACTAAGTGGAAGATTGAAAAGCGCAGGTGGTGCAAGTCGACGTGTTTGGAGGGTGAAGATGAAGAGCCCTTGCAGCGGGAAAAGGCGCCTAGGCCAATTGTATCGCTTGCAGCAACCCCCAGCTCGCCGCTTTTACCTGGCTATTGGCTGCCGAGTTGACTAGACCAGATTTGTTCTAGGCCCACGATCCAGGAACAATGAAAACTTCGGCCTCGTCTTCCTTGCTTGCTTTTTCCTCTTTTACCAGACACCCAACTCAAATCATCGTCAGCTGGAAGAATATCGTGAAGCTGGTGATTCCGATGAGAGTGTCGAGATTGATCATCATCGAGTCCGCATCTAAAACCATCATCACGAGGGCCCATCGGGCTCCCATGATGCGGTGATGACCTGACTGTCGGAACATTACATGTCGCGAAGATGCAATTTTGAATGTGGGTGAAATGAATGATTTTGTTATCCCCTCTTTCGGCCTATCATGAAGAAATCATCAACTCTGGTAAGCTGATAGCTCAGCCGCTCTACTGTGTAGACTGCCGTCGACATTTTTGCTGGCCGAGCATGACGTTCGAGGCAATTCTGAATAAACTCGTGCACACAGTATTCATCGCTTCTTCCGCGCTGTTGGTTGCAATTGCTGACCGGCATTATGCAGTTCTGCAGCAATCACAGATAAAAGAAATGCCATTCGTCTTCTTCGCCGGCAATCCATTCCACAGAACAGCCAATGCTACCTAGGTCAAGATTCCACGTCGCTCAAACAGCATCTATACTAGCCCGTGATGTGAGTTGCTCGTTCTGATTGCCAAGCTTCGATATCTGTAGGAAAGCGTCGACACCGTAGCCCTCCAGGCTATGGAGTTCAAGGCCACCCGCCCAATATTCAGCATATACTCGACTCATGGGCAACCCCATTCCCAACCTGAGGTCGGGTGCTCTCGAAGCGAGTGTGCTGAGAGAAGAGTCCCTAATCTTTCCGCTTGGCTTCTCTTCCGCCGCTTCCAGTTGTCGCACTTCCTGCATGGTAGCAGCTAAGGTTGGAACATCTCGGAAGTTCTCAAGCCGTGAAGCGCTCCTTGGTCCTTTGTTAAAAGACCAGAGGAAGGGCATTATATCCCTTGGGATACCTCCACCTTGATCAGAAATGCGTATCACAACATGTTGAGGTGTCTCGCATATCAAGACCTCGATCGGCGGAGGTGGCTGGCTTGGATCCTTATACCTTTCCATGACTGCCTGTACTGAATTCCGTAGCAGCTCTCCGATGATATATTCCAGATGACTCAAAACGTAGGGGAAAGTTGCATTGATGTGCCCCTGAATTTTGATCTCCGGCACCATGGGATCAGCACCTGCAGATGACTTGCAAATATCCTGCGTAAACTTGCCAACTCTTTCAATGATTTCCTTTGCATTGCACCTCAACAAAACTTCCCCCACAAACTCATTCTCAGAGCTGGGTTGAGGGACATGCCAAGGAGAGTTGAATGTCTCGGTAAGGGCGAGATGCTGTTCGGCAATAACGCGCCGGGAAATGCGAGCTCGTAACATCGCCTGCACGAACTTGTCCATGGTGTCCGCAGAAACAAGCTCTTGACATTCAAGCACCCCCATGACCAAGTTGGGAATCACTGCCATGTGCTCTCTGAGGCTTTCGCCGATGACCTTGCAAAAATTCTCATTCTCTTCGACGGTTCTGATCACTGGCATGCGGCGAAAATTCTCAAATGACTTGTAGTACAGCTCGTAGACCAAGGAGAGATGGGGGTTCGTGACAACAACGTAGGGCAGGCGTTGCATTTCTCGTAGGCGATGGGCAATTCTGGTGGGCAGTTCCATGCGGACATAATTTGCCGAGCTGAGCAGTCGACTCTCAGTCAAGGTGCGACCGAAGAAGAAGAGCTGGCGCAGACTGATGGGCCGAATTGGGCGGTCAACCCAGCTGCAGAGCTCGATTAGCTACCCGAAGAGCTCGTCCAGCAAACCATTAACTCACTCGTCCAACGTAGAAGCTGGCCGCCATGGCGGTGGACTGCTGCCACCTCGAGAAGAAGCACGTCTACATGGCGGAAATGCCGTGCATCCATTGACATGCAAGGCTCTGGGCCTCAAGAAGCGGGGGACCTGCAGCATCTCATATCATCAATGATGGGCGTTTGATGTGCCACCATCTTCCATCGTCTGAGCAGATTGATTACGAGGGTATCACCTTCAGCGTGCAGTCTAGTGAGGATGAGTCATTCTTGGTGTTGGCGAGAGCGGTAGAGGAGAGATTGAGATGATATTGTAGTTGTAGTAGTGAAGGTACCAGGTAACGGAGGAACCGTGGTGGCGGAGTTCTCGGCTTGTGGCCATTCATCATTCGTCATTTGACGATGTGCCCTCTCACTCACCTTTGCCCGCAAAGTCGATATTCCACTCCGGAGGCCCTGCTATTACTGTACTGTTCCTTGCCATCGTAGCTTCATCGTCAGATTCTTTGCCCGGGGGCTACTCTTCCGCCTGTTCCTTGACCTCTTGGGTAACTTTTCTATCTTATTCTTCTCGAAGGTCTTACGAGTCCGGCTGTGCACTTTCCGCTGCGCATCATCCTTGCAATACCACTCTTTGCGGACAGTCGAGGAAGGAGCTGCTTTGTTCCTTCCCCGTCGAGGACGGAGACCAAATATTCAGCATGGACAATGTATGTCAGATCTTTTGACTTCACCTTCGTCCAGAATTCCTCATCCAGTCCAAAACAATGGTTGCTGACTTCGAATCCTTGTTCGACCGCCTACAGTTGGCTGGTCCTGACATGCTGATTGATGGGTACGATCAATACAACCAGCAAGAGAACGATGTCGTCAACATTACTCCCGAGGATGCCTCAGAAGAGCCCTCAGACACCCTGCCGAGGGCTGATGACTGTATGAACACTTCGCTTCTTTATTTGGCTTTTCGCTAACCTTCGCACAGTTGAGGCCATGAAACGACATGTTCTCGTCGATCTACCTGATACCGAAGCCGAAGCAGAAACCACCTCCACATGGCATATTGAAAAATGGCGGACGTTGTCAAGAAGAGAGCATGGGCCGGTATTCGAGTGTGGTGGCCATCCCTGGCGCGTTCTGTTCTTTCCCTACGGAAATCAGGTTGACTCCGCGTCCTTCTACTTGGAACATGGCTTCGAAGGCGACCCTCCTGCGGATTGGTATGCCTGCGTCCAATTTGCTCTAGTCCTCTGGAACCCGAATGATCCAACCTTGTTCCGCTCACATTCTGCAACGCATCGATTCAACGCAAAAGAGGGAGACTGGGGCTTCACAAGATTCGTCGAACTACGCAAAGCATTCCATCAACCGTGGGAAGATGGGACAAGACATTTGATTGAGAATGATGAAGCCAAATTGACCGCCTACGTTCGCATCATTAAAGACCCAACCGGAGTGTTATGGCATAACTTCGAGGGCTATGACTCCAAGAAGGAAACCGGCATGGTTGGACTGAAAAATCAAGGTGCAACTTGCTACTTGAATTCCCTCCTGCAGTCTCTCTACTTCACAGACGCCTTCCGAAAAGCTGTATACCAAATTCCTACTGAGCAGGACGCGAACAGAAGTAACAGCGCTTGGACATTACAAAGATTGTTCTACAAACTGCAGAAGGACAAGTTTGCCGTGTCAACGAATGAACTTACAGCATCATTTGGCTGGGACACCCGCCAGATTTTTGAACAGCAAGACGTACAGGAATTGTCTCGAATATTGATGGAAGTCTTGGAGAAAAAGATGAAGGGTACGCCTGCCGAGAGAACTCTTCCAGAACTCTTCATCGGAAAAACCAAGACTTACATTTCTTGCATCAACGTTGACTACGAGTCCTCAAGAATCGAGGATTTCTGGGATCTTCAACTCAATGTTCGAGGCAATAAGAACTTGCATGAGAGCTTTATGGACTATATCCAGGTCGAAACCCTCGAAGGTGAGAACAAGTACGACGCTGGCGAGCCTTACAAGCTGCAAGATGCCAAAAAGGGTGTCATTTTTGAGAGTTTCCCTCCAGTCCTACATTTACAGCTCAAGAGGTTCGAATACGACATCAATCGAGATGCGATGATGAAAGTCAACGACAGACATGAATTTCCCGAAGAGTTCGACGCCTCTCTTTATCTGTCTGAGGAAGCGAAAGCTGCCTCAACGGAACCTTGGATATACCAATTGCATGGCGTACTGGTACACAGTGGTGATTTCAATGCTGGCCATTACTATGCGTTCCTCAAGCCCAAAAAGGATGGTTATTTCTACAAGTTCGATGACGACAGGGTCACTCGATCCACCATGAAAGAGGTCCTCGAGGAGAATTACGGAGGCGAATATGCCAACGTGGCAAACGGCGGCCCTGGTCAACGACAACCCTACATGAGAGGGTACTCCACCAAACGCTCCATGAACGCATATATGTTGGTGTACATTCGAAAGAGCAGACTCGACCAAGTTCTCCACGGGGTGCAGGAGTCCGACATTCCGTCACATATTGAACGAAAGATTACCGAGGAACAGGCAGAATTCGCTAGAAAGAAGAAAGAACGCGATGAAGCACATCTGTATATGAATGTCGGCCTGATAACAGAGAAGACGTTCCAGGCTCACCACGGTTTCGATCTGACGAGCTATGATCTCGATCAAAACGATCCTGCCGCCGCCCAGGTTCATCGACTGCTTCGTACGACAAAAATCAGCGAATTCGCGGCCACTGTGGCTGAGGAACTTGGACTCGGACCCGATCAGATCAGATTTTGGGTCATGGTCGGCAGACAGAACAAGACGAATCGTCCAGACCAGCCAATTCGAGAGGTCGATATGTCTATCGAAGAAGCCATGAATAAATATGGGTCTAGAGGACGTCCATTCTATTTGTGGGCTGAAAGTGCACCGAAATCTGACGATGGTAAAGTTCAATTCCCTGATACAGGACCAGCAGGGGGAGCCAATGCTCCGATTCTCGTCTTCTTGAAATACTTTGATGTCAAGGCTCAAAGTTTGACTGGCGTCGGCCATGTCTATGTGAGAAAGCTGGACAAAGTCTCGGAGATTGCGCCACAGATCAACAAAATTATGGGGTGGGATTCCAGCACGTCGATACTTTTGTTCGAGGAAATTAAGTATTCCATGATCGACATTATGAAGCCGAAACAGACGTTCCAGCAATCCGAAATCCAAGATGGAGACATCATCTGTTTCCAGCAAAATCTCCCCGATCTTGACTCTACAACGGCTACCTATACTGATGCTCGCCAATACTACGACTATCTGCTTAACAGAATACCCGTCAGCTTCTATCCCAAACCCGGAACGGAGGGAGAGGCTTTCGTGTTAAGTCTCAGCAAGAAGATGACTTATGATCAATTTTCTGGTAAAGTCGGAGAATATCTCAAGGTCGATCCCACTCATATCCGTTTTGCTACAATCAGTGCTACCAACAACAAGATCAAATTGTGGATCAAGCGTGGCATGAACCACAATCTCCAACAAATCCTTCAATCGCAATCCTCCTACGGCGGTTATGCCACACAGCGTGGTGATGCCCTCTACTACGAGGTTCTTGAAACCAGTCTTGCAGACTACGAGACCAAGAAGATCATGAAAGTAATTTGGCTCAGTGATGGCATCAGCAAAGAAGTAAGTTTGCCCAAGCTGAAAAAGGTATGTTTTGTTGACTCAAAGCAGGAACCACTCGAAATCCTCGTGGCTAAGAATGGCATCATCGGTGATCTCGTCAATGGCATTGCAAGAAAACTCAACTTAGACGAACAGACCGCGAGGAGTATCCGCATTTTGGAGGTCCATGGGGGAAAGATACACAAGGAGTTGATAGAGGACTTCAATGTCGTCGGCGTCAATGAGTTCACGACACTCTACGCTGAGAAGATTCCTGACGAAGAGCTGAACGCATCTGACGATGACCGCTTCATCTACTGTTATCACTTTGACAAAGAGGCGAACAAGCCGCACGGTGTACCTTTCAAGTTCATGATCAAACCCGAAGAGCCATTGACGGAGACGAAGGAGCGAATCAGCAAGAGAACAGGCATCAAGGGCAAACTTCTACAGCAGATCAAGTTTGCCTTGGTGTCAAGAGCACTGTACGCCAAACCAAGATATCTCGAAGAAGACGATGTCATCTTTGATCTCCTTCAAGACGGGGATGAGATGCTGGGCCTAGATCATGTCAACAAGGCACGAAATTTCTGGGGCAGAGCCGAAGGCATGTTCATTCGATGAGCTTACAATGGAAAAGCCTCCTTATCTAAACGAACGAGCTGTCACACACGAACGTCTGCGCCATATCAGCAAGTATTATATGAAGGATATCAGCGTCCGCTTCTAATCCTGTACTAATGCTGGAGTCCCGATTTGGGCCTCTTGAAATGGGCATGTACCAGGGATCTGGCACTACGGACTCTTTTTGTGGCCAGGTTGTTGGTTGGCAGCATCATCCAGTACCTTGTCGAATCCCTCTTCCAGTGAAGATCGAAACTAGACTACCCCAGGCGTCTAGATTAGAGACTTGTGGGGAGGAAACGTTTGTTGTTGGAAGACAACAAGGGTTGAAAGGGTCTGAGCGAATTGTCCATTTCCTTTGCCTAGGATGGCCTGCGCTGAGGCTGGTTTGTCCTGTTGGTGGTACACAAAAACACAAACAACGTGGATACTCAGGCTATGGATAGTCAAACGAAATGATGAGGGTACGAGGCGATGTGACTTCTATCTTTCACAAACCGACAGCCATTCTCTTGTAGTCTTTGTCCCAAATATACATCACTTGTTCCGTGCCCAACGGATGCGTCGTGCCGTCTTAACTCTTTTCTTTTCTTACATCAAGTTAGACGTTCTCCTTGATCCAATCCCACAACTGTAACATGTACTCCTCCTTCATCACTTGTGAGACTTTTGCCTTGAGGCAGGGCATCCTGTCATACGTTTGTTCCATGTCGTACTGTATCGGTGCCTTCTCCGCATTCGCTTCTGTTTGCGCTTGAACGGAGTGCTCTGAACTCGTAGCTGCCTCTTCATCTGGCTCAGGACCAGCCTGTGAGTGCACTTGAGGCCGAGATGGAGACCGGTATTTCGAAGAGTAAGCAGTTTTCCAGAATCCCAGCAGCCTCAACAATGGATGGTCTTTTGTCTTCTCGTCGTGTTGCAGAGCGGACAGCGCATCAAGCCATTCATGCACCGGGACGATTCTGAAGGCTTCCCGTCGCGATAGACGAGATAACAAATCGAACCATTGAACGTCGTTGTTCGGGTTCAGGACATGGTGCACGGCAATCTCATCTCGCTCGTCAACGGGGTTGCGGTCAGGGTCTGGCTTGGCCGAAGCACTTCTGTCCATGTTGTCACGTCCGCTTGGTCTTGCCGTGTTCACCGCGTCTTCGATAAACGCCCTGGCAGCAAGGTCGACGGGCAACCAGTTCAACACCTCTCCTTGCAAGTCTGGCAGGACACCAGTAGCCTTCATGCTCGACAGCATCAGCGGGTATGCCTCGGATTTGCTCCACACTCCCGTGTCCGTTGCGCCGGAGAGTTGACCGACGCGTGCAATCGAAATGCGGTTGCGCAGACGAGTATGTCTGTGTGCAGCCTGGCAGATTGCTTCGGCCACCCACTTTGAGCGGGCATAGCCTGTTGGACCGGCCGTGGCGGGTGAGGACATGGGTCGCTCGGGCACGGCGGAGCCTTGGCTGAGATCAGGGTACTGGGAGACCGACGCCACGCTGGAACAGAAGACCACCCGCGGAGGGATCGGTTGGGGAGATGATAGAGCGAGATCGATCAGGTTGCGCAGACCGGACAGGTGGGTGCCTGCGAAACTGCGGAGCGGGAGGAGGAAGTTCACGCTCCATGCTAGGTGGATGATCACGTCGACGTTGCTGCGGAGGTGGGTGTACTCGGTGTCTGACAGGCCGAAATGGGCGTCGGAGAGTTTGCATTGCCAGATCGTCGTCTTCGCGTCGAAGTCTGCTGGCATGGGAAGGAGGCGGGACGATAGAGCTTTCAGAACGCGTTCGCGGCAGGTGTGCGCGCTGGCGCCGCGGACAAGGAGGTCGATGTGTGATACGCCCGGGTTGGAGAGGAGTTGGTGTAGGATGTGTGAGCCCAGAGAGCCCGTTGGGCCGGTAAGGAGGATTCGGAGGCCTGCAGGAGATTTCGAGGCAGGTGATGATTCTGGAGTGGCCAAGGCGTCTGTGGATTCGTTGCAAGTAGACCAAGGGAGATCGTTGAAGGTGCTGTATTCCTTGGTCAGGTCCAGCATAAGTTGCTGTTGTTCGGCCTGCTCTTGCTCGTGCTCGATCCCCTTGATTGTTTGACCGGAGCGCATGCGCAGAATCAGGTTGCTGAGGCGGGTGATTGTCCCTTGGTCCTCGACCACAGTCAGTGGTAACCCTGCATCTTTGGGAACCAGATGAGATAGGGCATGGCGAATCTGAATGCAACCAACTGAGTCGATCCCATACGAGAAAAAATCAGCATCGTTACTTAGAAACTCCTGTTCAGGTTCGTTCCGCTCGCCAACGACATTGAGTATGATCTTTCGGATGGTGTTGAGGACGTCCTTGTCCGACACCTGCTGGGGGGAGCCATCGGGCAGGACATTCTCGTATGCCTTGGCTATATTCTCTGCATAGCGCTCTTCAGCCTTGCCACGCAGGACGGTTCCTTTGCTGCTCTTCTCAAGGCTTTGTTCTGCATGAGGCATGGGAATGAGCATGTTTCGAGGTATTCTCGCATGACTCTGAGACTCCCTGTTGAGTTTCTCGACAAAAGGTGATATCTCTGCGCAGAGATGCTTATCGCTCATCGACGCACCTTGTGATGATCGGAAGAGCAGCACGCCAGCGTACGACTGTCCGTTGCCGAAGACGAGTGCATGGTCGATAAGAGGGGAGCACGCACGGATGGCGTCTTCTAATGGAGCAGGGTCGAACTTCTTGCCAGTGAGTAGGGTCAGTTGAGAGTCCGCTCGGGAATGATAACGCCATGCATTCTCGAGGTCGGGGTGTGGAGCGAACAGATCTGCTGTGGCATAAGATCCATCGTCGCGATTGCGCTTTGCCTGAATTATGTCAGTCAATCAGTCAGTCACAGCGATATCTTTCCATGGTGGAGGCTCACCATATGAGGCCATCCGGGCTGGATGACCAGTTCGGAAAGACCGTCTTCTTGACGTTCGAATATAAGTGGTTGTTGTTGTTGCTCTCCGGTTGGACTGGCCCTGAGATACTGCCACGCTTGATCTTTCTCGAAATCTCGATAGGATGACATGAGAAATCCACACTCGGCACTACCGAATCGTGATATCAAGTTCACCTTGTCCCTCACGAGTCCGTCACCGACTTCTTCCGGCAAGGCTGCTCCGCCGACTCCAACGATATCCATTCGTTGCAGATGTTCCAAGCCGGCTTCATCGTCTGCCATCATTTGCAAGATGTAGGGCACGGAAGAGAAGTATTTGACTTCGGGGCCACCTTTACTGGCGCAGGATGAAGCGGCCTCGAGGCACTTGCAAACATTGGAAGCCGTGATCGGGAGGTGTTTGCCCGGGAAAAGCCATATCAGAGCATTGCTCGTCCAGGCTCGGAATAGGTCGGCAATACCACCGTGATAAAGAGGGGTCGTAGTGAAAGATGCATGTTTCCGGCCATCGAGCGCAGGTAGAACGCCCACAGCTGCTCGATGACTCTGAGGGATTGGTTTCGGGACGCCGGTTGATGTGCCAGAGGTATGATGAAGATATGCAATGTCTGTCTCCTTGACTGCGGCTGGTCTCTTCGTGGTTTTCGGCGGCGGGCGTCTTATGACGTCTAATATGTCTTCTCCGCTGAAAGGTAGGAGTAGAGACTCCAGCGGAGGTCCTGTTCCCTTGGAGGACTCCTTCAAAGCTTTCTCCGCCAGATTCTCGTATATCTCGTCGTAGAGGAGGAATTGCACGTCGCAGGATCTGCATAGATGGGCCACAGCAGACGGAGAACACTGAGGTGCAATCAAGAGAGCTGAATATCCCAGCCGAATGATGGCGAGCCAGGTGAAGAGGAAGTCCGGAGAGCTTGGACAGAGCAGGGCCACTGTTTGTCCGGGTCTGCTGCCGAGTCTCGTCGATAATGCCTCCGCAACAATCACTGAGCCTTGCCGCACGTCGTGGAACGTCAATATATGCGACTTCCATGAAGCTCCCGTCTCTCCAGGAGAAAAGAAACCGACCACCGGCAAAGATGGCTCAGGTTGAGCCTTGGAGTCGATGAGATCGTTGACTGTGTTGTAGTGTTCGCCATCTTGGTACTGAGCGGCCTGGCCCAGAGTGCAGGTGAAGTAGTTTGGCTCCATGGCAGTCAGGAGACAAATATTATGACTTTACCTCAGACGATCGGACTGGCAGCTTCGCATATCTCGTGAGCAGGAGCCTATGATGCAGTTTGTGTTACAACTCCGGTCTTGAGCTCATGGGACGACACTAGACGATGCCATGCGAGAGCAGCCGCAAGTCTTTGGAGTCTGTCCGTCATTCAATCTTTGAGCGAGTACCTTGTAGCCAGAGGAACAAAAGACTAACTGGAGACAACGTACATTTTTGCGAAATGAACTTGTCGAGACACATCGTGTTCCGGTAACATACTGACATCATGATCCGCTCGAACTATCTAGAGGCCATCATGACCCTAGAAGTCGATTCGGAATCAGAAATACCATAGTTATTGAGGCCGGTGAGAAGAATGATAAAAAATGTATGCTTTATTATGGGAAGTTGTGTGATGTTGAAGTTGAAGCTTCTGATGGTATGAATATATTTTGTGTTGGAGAGAGTAACACAGCTTCTCTTCCACCAAACCATCAACACCTCATACAATTGGAGACGTATTTACAAGAAACTGGCATCATATGGATTGCTCTGCACACCACTGTGGACACGCATGTCGTCTAAATCTGAGGCCTTTACCATTGATCATTCAATCATCCTTCGGCCGGTCATTATATTATCCCATCCCATCCCATCTGCCAACCCAAGAGCCAGTGCGTGATTAAATACGAAACGCGCAATGATTGTAACGACTCTCGTATACTCAATGAACACCATTTGTTCCATTGGTGTGGACGCCGTTGGTATGGCCATTCACTCCGTTCGCCATGCCCTTGGCTAAGCCGTTGGTGGGTACGTCTGTGGCTCCATTGATGAAATCGGTAGGTTTTTCCTCCGCCGCAGCATGCTTGGTCGCTTTTGCCGCACCGTTGGTCATCTTTCCGTCGGCATTTCGGTGTCCGTTGGTGACTGCTCCGTTGGTATTCGTATCATCATTCAAGACATTCAGCTTCTTGAGGCCGTTTGAAACGCCGTCAGTCTCGGTCTCGACGGGCTTGTTGTTGACTGTGTAGCCAGTATCGCTTGAGTCGACAAAAGCCTCCAAGCCCTCACCATTTCTGGGATAATTCTTCATCAATGCCTTGTGCTTCTTGAGAGCAGCAAACATCTCGTCCATTGAGACGTCGTTCAGGAAAACGCACTTCCCCAGAGGACTGGGCACGGCAGCGCGAAGCAGACCATCTCGAGTCTTCAGAATCGCCTTGGTACCCTTGTCAAGGATGTCTTCGTCGAATTGATGGTGGTCCATCGACAATCCTGCTCTCGAGAACAGATTCAATATCCGTTTGTGCTCTTCGTCACTAAGGATTCCACGCATGTTGGCAAGAGTCGCCGAATATGCCATATCAATAGAAATGGCATGGCCGTGGCGAAGAGGAACCTCTGGCACTAGCTCGTGAAGCGGTGACCAACTGGCGTATGTCAACAATAATTCATTGCGGGAAATGGAAAGACATACGTGTGACCATAAGCGATAACTCTGTCGAGTCCGATCTCGTGCAGATTCGGAGTCTCGAGCTTCAACATCTCGTGGATGCCGGCACGGTTGATGGTATCTGCAGCCTTGCGCACCTCTTCTGGTGCACCATCCATTCGACCAAACCCAGTTTTGATTAGCTGCTCGCAATACTTGTCAAGCAGATCGAATGTCGGGAGGTGAGCGCAAGTGGAGATCTTGATCAACTCCGCAAAACCGTTGCGGATCTGTGCTTCCGGCAAGGTGCGGAGGAAACCGAAATCCAGGAACGTGTGCATTGGAGCATGATAGGCTCCGAGCCGGTTCTTGTAGTTGCCATAGTTGACGGCAACCTTGATTGACACGGACGCGTCAATAAGCCCAATGACAGTGGTTGGGATTCTGATATAGTTGGTGTTTCTGCGGTACGCAGCGCAAGCGAACCTATTGATCAGGGGTCAATAACATGCTCGTACCGGTACAAAGCCAAGGATATGTATGGGCCAGAGTGCCTTGAAGTCATCTTGGCAGGTGGTAGCTTTTACCCAGCAACGTCCGTAACCAATCCACCGCCGATGACGAGTACAGGTTCCTTGATTATTAGTCAGTCGCAGTCCTGTATGAAGTCCATATGCACTCTCACCTTTCTGAAGACGCCAAACTTGTTCATCGAGTCGACGATGCTCAAGAACGTGTCGATGGATTTGGCCTTCTCGCCAATCATGGTCTTGTGGATGTCGAGGTCAATCTTATAGTGATCGAAGTACTTTTGCATCTGCTCGCCGTAGACGTTGAAGATGTTGTAGTCCATGACGGCCAAGCAGCGCCCCCACCGTTGATAGCAGTCTGCTAGGTTCTTGTTGTTGGTGTCAAAGACTCCGTCCATGAAGGTGAAGTCATATTCGATCTTCTCGTAACCCTCAACGTGAAATCCGGCTGGTGTCTCGGCGACGGTTGCTTTGAGGTCAGACATGTTGAATGGCGGGAAAGTCTACAGAAGGAAACTTGGGAAGAGGTAAAAGAGATACAGGTGTGAACGTTAACAAAGTGGAACTAGGGATCAGGAGCAGGCCACCAGGTTAATAAACCCAAGCTCCCACAACACGGGGGTCAACGAGTCGTCAAGACGTGATCACTAGGTGGATCACAACATGCACATTGTATACCGTAGACGACGTCTTCCATCTTGCCGGATATGGAGGATTATGGGACTCCACAAGCGAATGGAGTCTGTTAGCATCACCTTTCGAAACAATCCGATATAGGTTGATTGGTGGGTCAAGGTGTCCGTACGTCAGCAAACCCGTTCAATTTAGAAGAGTCTTGCACAACAGCAGTTGGCTTGAAAGGTGCGTGGGACACATTTCATCGAAAGAGCGCCTGTCGGTATATTCTTTCTAACATGTCCACAACAAGAACTCAACTTGTGGCGCAGAGCTCCTGCCTATCGATGGTATTTCAGCACTTTCAGTGCTCGAGAAGGCTCAGATCTGTGGCAGGATGTCCCACTAGTTGCTCCATCAGGCCTTGAGCAAAACAAGGATCGTGCAACAGTCGGTGAGTCCCTGGCATGCAAGGCTCCCAAAACAGATTTAGCATGCGATTTAGAATTCCAGCCAGGCACAGTCATGATGTAGTCGAAACAATGATATGCAAATGTAACAAAGAGACTGGTCAGAAACGTGGTCCGGAAGAAATAGCCACCATTCAGCAGGGTGTACTGTGTAAGGGCCGAGCTGCAGCTTCTCTTTCCAAGACGATCCGCGTAGGACAAACTCAAGGGGAATCCCGGTCAGGCACAGGCAGCAGTGGGTGAATGGAGAGCGTGTACCGTGGTGTCAGGCACTGACGGGCAAGGTGATGGGCAATGCCAGATCCTAGCGTGATCGTCGGATAGATTGAGTTGGGACCGGTGTCAAGATACGGAGAGGTCCACAGAAGCCTGCTGTGAAAAGAGGGCAGACGGGGAAGCGATCGAAGACGTCGTTCACTCAGTAGGGTGCATGTCATTCTCCAGAATCGGCGGTTGATGACGATTCACGTCATGGCGTTGTTGGTGTAGCACGAAGCAAGAAAGATGGAAACTGGAGAAGAGCTTTTTCCAGGAGAGACACTTGGGGGAAGCGAGGCCCGCTAGTCTTTGTGTAGACTAGCTGCCCTGATGAGGACTAGCGGCTCGTCATTCGATTGGCTAGTTTGACATCACGGAATCATCATCCCTCGTTTCCATTCTACGAGCTCGTACAGGTCAACAATCATCCTTCTGCCAGGCCTTTGAGGGCGGAAATGCACTTTCACAACTCTGACTGGCGGCACGAGACCCACTCCAGCTGTCCGGCATATGTACCTAGGTATCACATTGCGCTCGCTCATACGCGTGCCTGGACCTGGATGCAACGGGGAGATCATGTCTCGAAGGTCGCACTGCATCCGGCGATCTGATCTTCCCCCGGGGTGCCAGGGTCCGAGGTTGAGATCTTGAAACTGCCACTTCAGATTTATGTCATAATGATTGTTCTGAATCTCCTCGGCCGCTGTGGTCAATTTTCGGCAGGCACCAACTGTTGTCGTTGAGACGCGTCAATTGTCCTCTCGTCAGTCAACTGAGCATAGTACCATAGAAAGCTGACTCTACATTCCTTCCAACATTCCACAAGCCGCAAAATGCCTGAGTTCGACCCTCAGAAGAAGTATCAGGAGCAAGAAGAGACATTTGTATTTCGCAGCTCTGCCCATTCTCGTCGCCTACGTGCTAATTCAACTTAGTTTGATGATGGCAGGGAGATCGAGCTTTTGCACTTCGTCTACAACAAGTCAAACATTGACAATATCAGGGGTTCTCCAACAAAAGTGCTAGCTGCCATTGATGAATTTGCCAGAACGCAAAAGTATCTGATGAATGTCGGGGAAGATAAAGGACGAATAGTCACAGAGCTAATTGCAGACGTCAAACCTCAGGTAATGGTTGAGTTGGGTGGTTATATCGGCTATTCATGCATTCTTTTTGGCGACGCTGTTCGCAAGGCTGGTGGCAAGCGATACTTCAGCCTTGAGCGGAATCCGGAATTTGCGGCCGTCATTTCCTCTCTGGTCGATCTTGCAGGCTTAGGCGACATTGTCAAAGTCGTGGTTGGCTCGAGCGATGCTTCCATCAAGAGACTGCATGCCGCCGGTAATCTCAAGTTCATCAACCTGATGTTCTTGGATCATTACAAGCCCGCTTATACGACAGATCTGAAGCTCTGTGAGGAGCTGGGCCTGGTCGGGATAGGGACCGTGCTGGCTGCCGACAATGTCATCATACCAGGCAATCCTCCATACCTCGAATATGTCCGAAGCACAGTCGAGGAAAAGCGACGTGCAAGCAAGTTGGCCAGTACAGTCAATGGGGTTGATACCCGATTTGCCGACAAGACAGCCAAACAATATCACAAACGTGAAGGAGAAGCCAAACTTGACGAGACAAGGATCGGTAATCCTGGGCTGGTTTACGAGAGCAGGCTTGTCAACAGCTGGGAACCGTCAGGGGTGCCGGTAAGGACCGTTCACAGTGTTGCCGCCTCAGCTCCTTCCGACTAACTGTGTGCAGGACGGTATTGAGATCACAAAATGTGTTGGAATATCCACTAATCCTTGAGCGGCGTCTCTAGCAAGCCGAGTCAATGTCTATGATGATCACAAGCATTGGGAAGAACTATTGGCTATAGTAGGTATTGCAGTGTCCGTACAGACTCACCACAACTGCGGGCTTGGGGGTTCATTTTCGGGTTCCGTGAAAACATGAGCACGTTTGCAGAGCTCGTGGTCTTCTCCGATAATGTACAACCTTCTGTCGACATATCACCGACAAATCTTCTGCCCTCTTCTCTCTTTACTCTGATACCCTTGTCTGTCGCATATGAGTTCGGCGACTGAGTGCTGCTTCGAAGTGGGTCCACACATAAAAATTCTTCTTTGTCCCACTACCCTCTCGTTTCTGAGCTTCCCAAAACCTCCCCGAGCAACAAAAAAGAAAGGCCAAAAAAAAATTGGACAGAATCCTATGGTCACTATGGGGCTTGAACCCACGACCTTGGTGTTTTCCACAGGGTATTAGCACCACGATCTAACCAGCTGATCTAAGCAACCCTTGGTCGAATTCTGTGCGCGAATTCGTGGCCAAAATTTCAAGGATTTTGTTCATAGCTCCTCAATTTTGCATCTTGACAATGACCCATTCGGGGGTTCCAACACTGTCAATGGAGGCCCGCAGTGCTATTCTGTGGGTTACTTACGAGATACAATCTACAAGCTCCACCGTGGCTTCATCTGCAGAGATCCGCAGCTTCGATGTCTATTTCGACTCAGACTGCCTCAAGAGCAGCCTGTCACGCCTCATCAGCCGCGAACTTACGTGAGACATCCAGAAAGAGAACCTGAGTTGGAAAGGGACTGAGGGAGGAGGCAGGAGTCGACGAAGACATAGAGGTTTATCGTTTTCGGGGCATGTCAGGGGCCAAGAAGTAGTGACATCGTGCTTTATACTCCGCCGGAGCATTGCACGGCCGACTGTAGATTCACATTGTGCAGATTCCACTACGACTGACTGGCATCGTGCTAGCTACTCCTTCTTGTTACTCTTATTCACCTCTATCGTCTCTGTGGTTGATGAACAGCATGATCACAACATGTAATGCTTGCAACATCATCTGTGATCTTCAGACTCTGTATTTGTTGATGCCGCATACAGCTCCACCCTGCCTTCCAGGTTCCACGACGCTGGCCGCAAACATGCGTCTCCACATATCATGTTTCGTGACGTGAACATTTCTGAATGGCCCAGCCGGCATGAGCTCAACGCTCTCTCTACCTAGGTACCTTTTTTGCAGACCATGTGAAAATCAATCGCCGTCAAAATATCCATACTCCTTACGTTACCTCTGCTTTCTGAGCTTCAGAACTGACCATTGGCCTCTGGCTGTGCTGACCATGCTCGACAGTGCTTCGTCCGTTTTAGCTCACAGGGTGCAGAATGCTGCCTTGTTGCTTCTCAGCCTTGTTTTCCTTCCGTTTGATACCTCAATTCTCCTTTGTTCTCTCTTCGTACGCTTGATCTTGCCGAATCATGCAGACCTTACCCGGCAACATCAATATCACCAGTCGGAGTTCCATCCTCGCAAGATCCTTGTCACTGGGATTGGCATGACCAAGGGCCTGGCTCTGGCTAGACTGTTCTACGAGGCTGGCCATGTCGTCATTGGAGCAGACTTCGAGCCGAATGGAGCTCTCGTTTGCGGAAGGGGATCAAAATCCCTTCGAAGGTTCTACCCTCTACGAAAACCCGATCCGAAGACTGGCTCAGCGCCATATATCCACAGTCTGCTTGGAATCATCACAAAGGAAAAGATAGAATTATGGGTCAGTTGCTCTGGCGTGGCTTCGGCAGTCGAAGATGGCATGGCAAAGGAGATTGTTGAAGGCCGGACGAATTGCAAGGCTATTCAATTCGACGTTGAGACGACTCAGACCTTACACGAAAAGCATACCTTTATCGCCCATACTAGAGACATTGGTCTCACCGTTCCGGAAACACATGAGATCGCCAGTCGAGCAGAGGTCGAGAACATTTTGCGCAATGCTCCCGCTGGTCGCAAATACATCATGAAGACGATCGGGGTTGACGATGCTGTTCGGGGGGATATGACTCTTCTTCCGAAATCCACCCCGATGGACACTTCCAAGCATATCGCCAAACTGAAAATCTCGAAAGACTCACCCTGGATTCTCCAGCAATTCATCAGTGGCAAAGAGTATTGCACCCATTCACTTGTGGTCAATGGACAAGTCAAGGCTTTTGTCGCTTGCCCTTCGGCAGAATTACTCATGCACTATGAAGGCTTGCCTCCCAATTCTGTCCTTAGCCGAGCAATGCTCGATTTCACGAAGAAGTATGCTGCGATCGGCGGACCGGGGTTCACTGGTCATCTGTCCTTCGACTTCATGGTGTCGGACGACGAGACGGAGGATCCTAGCAGCGTTACTCTTTATCCCATCGAATGCAATCCACGAGCACACACCGCTGTGGCACTGTTCAATGGCACCACGGCATTAGTCGACGGCTATCTGTCCGTACTCGGTAAACTTCCAGCATCGAAAACCCCCTCCGTGGTAGTGCCTTTACGAAACGACAAGTATTATTGGATCGGCCACGACCTGGTCACTCGAGCAATTCTACCCACTATGTCTTTCCTGACTTTCGGCATATCCTTCCTTGACCTCATCCGCAATCATGTCACTTTCATACGCCATCTTTTAACCTGGAAAGATGGAACATACGAATTTTGGGATCCGTTGCCCTGGTGGTGGCTATACCATGTCTACTGGCCAATGCAATTCCTCTCTTGTATCCGGACCGGCCAAAAATGGAGTCGCATCAATGTTAGTACCACCAAGATGTTTCACTGCTAAGAGGAGGAATGGCGATTGCTGTCTTTCGAATAGGATTGACTCAATCACGACTAATGGGCGGATCCTGTCATTGCTCTGTGGAAAGGAGTAAAGGCCAAGATCAATAGGCTCGACACTGGTGGGATGATTTGTGCTTTTCTCGGTCGAAGTCCTTCACGTATCTCTTCATCTTCCATCGTACGGACCTCTCCTTGGTCACGTCAACCTCCCGCAGGCAAACCATGTTTCGTGGTGCGACAGAGGAACAGCAAGCGGTGCGCATATCGTTGCGGGATACGATCAGGATGGAATCGCGGGTCATTGGCCGCAGAGACTTTAAGTCATATCTCAGCGCGGGGTAAAATCGAAGGAGGCGCACACCACGAAGACATCTCGAGCACTTCAGCCTTACCCGAAGAAGCGCGAAATTACACGTGGTCGGCATGTCAACAGTCGAGAGGCTGATTTTCATACCGACCCGTCATTCCACCCCGGGGTCTCCAGCTTCCGCGTGCCCCTTCAACGACGGTTATCTCGGAAATGAGGGTTGAAGGGAGGCATTTCCAGCTCGTACGGCAATGCTTCAAATCAAAGTGCGTGCACTCGGGTGTACAATGGATAACTTCGCTTAAATGCAGCCACATCTGCACATCATGCGGCTAGAAGCGCAAGTGTACGAGGTTTTGGGAATTTTGGCCCCCGAATCAGCAAACCCTTGACGGCTTTGGCTTCCAGACCAATGCGAACGTTCTTTCGCAGGCCAGCGCCGGACTTGCGGACGGAGAGATTATTTAAGGAACAGCGCTATGTCAGCATACCAGAGAATGGCGTCTCACTCATCTGACCCAAAGCTTCTAGCGGCAGGTGATGCATGGCCACTCACGTTTCAGGTCCTTCGTGTTCTGCGCAGACGATACTTAGGCCGGCCTGAAAATCGACTAATCGGCGTTTCTGAGATGCTACGCCGACAACGAGGCTACGTTATGCTTATAAGGTCACCAGGATCCTCTCGATCTTTCCACGCTGTTGGTATCACCAATGACTTAATAAGATATTTGCAAAAGCACGGCTCTACGAACAGATGCAGGACTGATGAGAACCTGGGCGGGTTTCCCTTTCCGGTGCAGCCCTCAGCCTGCCATAGCGACTTGGTGCTTTTCTTCAATGCTGACGTTGTCGATTCAATATTCAGAGCAATCTCTTGACTCTCGCGCATAAGGAACCCGCGGTCGGCAAAGCTGAGGAGCACATTTCAAGTACAGCCTGGCATTCTTCCAGGAATCTTGGCCGTCCTTTTTCAAGATGCCATCAACACCACCCTGGACCACCACCGGGATCCTCGCCACGTCGAGCATCGACCCATATTTCGCAGAAGCTCTTAAGACCAACCTCCTCAGTCCGGAATCCAATTGCACCATCACGACCCTCAAGGAAGAAACCGCAGCTGCCCTGCCGGTCCTTCAAAAGTCGCTGTCAGAAAGTCGTCCACATGACATCACCGAGACGACCCATTCCATCAAACTGCGCGACGACTATCCCTCGCGCATCATTGTATGTCATCTGACCTCTGCCCTGTCGGATGCAACGCCACGGCCGCTGATCTTGCTCTTCCATGGCGGCGGCCACTGCGTCGGACACCCCGAATTCGAACTTCCCTTGGCACGGCAACTCGCCCTGGCGCATTCCGCCATCGTGGTCTGCGCATCGTATCGCCTCGCGCCTGAGTTCCCCTTCCCCTTCTCCATCTGCGACGCCTGGGAGACGCTCGAGTTTGCAGCCAGCGAGGCGCGCAAGGCGAATTCGGCTGTCTTCCCGCGCTGCACAGATGCCCGAGTCGGGTTCGTCGTCGGTGGTACTTCGGCTGGTGCAAACCTCTCGGCATCACTAGCACATGTCGCGCGAGATGGCAACCTGCATCCACAATTGACTGGACAATTCCTCTGCGCGGGCACTTACATATCGGAACATCATGTGCCGGCGAACTACCGGGATCGATATCTGAGCTTTACTCAGAATGAGGAGGCGCCGATGCTAGGTAAGACCATGTTAAACATGTTCCGAGACGCGTTCCAGCCAGATATGACGAGTAAACTGTACATGAGTTTCGACCAGCATCATCCGGCCGACGAGGGAACTGGGTCGGTTCGGCATGGACATATGGGTGTTCCGCCGGCATACTTTCAAGTGTGCGGGATGGATAGGTTTCGTGATGATGGGTTGATTTATGAGAGGGTGCTGCGAGAAGAGTGCGAGGTGCCGACGAGGTTAGATTTGTATCCAGGCTTCGGTCATTGCTGGTGGGCTACGTTTCCGCAGTTAGAGATGAGCAAGAAGAGGATGAGGGATGCCGTGGAAGGAGTGGGCTGGTTGCTAGATCGTGGGATCGGCGAGAAAGGCTGATGTACACCAGTGCCAGGGTCTGCTTACAAACAAATCTGCAAGCAATATATACATCTTGAGCCAGGTCGGGCGCACATATATAGCATCCTGACTATGTTTGAAATCCTGGAGTGACTTCTCGGCTTGGATTGCTTGCGTCATTCACAGCTGCCAAACCCTGTCACTGTGTCGTGCCCGTTCGGTCGAAGCTATGATCTTTAGTATTTTGGCGCTTCGAAAAACAGACACGATCTGACACAGCTCACTTCCACGAACGGCAGATTTAGTCTTTCATGATAGGCGGTCGCGGCAAAGTCGTAGTGTGAGGCGAGTCCCGGGCCCGAAACCTGGGAACGGCCGTCGGAGTACCGTTCTCGGGAGTCTCCTCCTGAAAGTCCTGGGCTCTGGGATTGAATCGTCGAAGCATCAACGGATTCGGATGACGACCTCCCGGCCCATTTGCCGTCGGAGCCTGAGTACCGCGCAGAGTCGGCTCATTGTTGAGTCGGCCAGTTCTGGGGTCCTTCAAATCATCCACAGTCATCGCAGGGTCCGAATATTCCGGGGGCGACAGCGTGCCTGGCAAGCGCCATTGTAGGTATGACGGTCTTGTGAATTGCCAGTATGGCGGTGTGTCGCTGCGTTTTTCTCCCGCGGTCAGAGGTATCGGGATCGGAGACTGGGCTCCGTCCAAGAACTTGGAGATCATGGGCTGAAGTTGTGGTGTGAATGTTTGCGGTGCGATCATTTTATCCCAGAAGATGATGCCCGGTTGCAAGTTGAGGATCTGCGCGATCTGTTCGGGCGGTGCGCGTCTGATGTACACGAACGACTCGGTGATACTCGACGCATCGAGCGCGGTGATGACCTGGACATTGGCGCTTCTCAAGACACCCTCGTCGACGCCTCGGTAGTCGCCGGCATATGCGAGGCCGAGGGGTTTGTCCTTGGTGAAGGGGGCTTGCTTCGTTGCTGGTTTAGTTTCACCTTTCAGCATCGAGACAAACCTGACTTTTTTTTAGTAGAGATAGAGTAGGTGCCTTACCGATTAGGTCTCTCAGGCAGAGGAAGATGGCAAGATAGAATAAGTCCACATTGCCCACGCTTGTCATTCCGGGTAGAGATTTGGGGATCGAGAGTTGGCCTGGGCCGACGATGACACATCGCTTGATGGACGGCAGCTGTCTCTCTCGATAGCGTCGTGTAATGATGTCTCCAATGGCCTGGGAGGCGGTGGTGTAGGATGGAGTGCTTTTCCATGTCGTTTGATATCCCCTCCAGGCCTTGGTCTCCTTTGAAGCAAACATGTTGGACATTGTCTGCTGTTCGCCAGTTCTGGAGAGATAGGTTAGAGGCGAGCGCAGCTTACTGGGGATCCTTTAGATTTATTCGGATCCAGAGTGGCTGACCAAAGTTGTTGGAGTCGTAGTCATCTTGGGCCTGAAAATCCATCGTGATCATTCAGTGTCTCTCGGAGCATCTCTTTCTGGCAGCGCCGACCAGTAGCATTCATAGAAAATTCCAAGGTGAACGTTGATGGAATGGGGCCCGAGAGTACTGGACCTAGCTGCCTGGTTTGAAGAGTAATCTGTGCTTCTGCCATTATTATCCAGCGTTACTCCGTAGACCATCCTCAGAAGAATACTAAATATAGTCTTGTAAATGCTCGGCGCATTGGTGGGCTAATCTGTAGATGTATCGGTCTTTATACCACCGTCCTCAGAATATTTACTGACCTGCTGATGGTATTTCGAGGGTGAGACGTTTACTCAATCCGCCTGTTCCTTGCGATGTTACCAGATGCATTCTTTGCGGCAAGGTCCCAGCTGTTCGACGGGCCTTCGTACCACGCATCAGCAACGTCTTCTCTCGGGCAGCCCTAAATTGGGGTACGTGCGGCTCGTCGAAGAGGTATCATCAACAGGCATTTCTCGCTGAAAATCACTGAGCATTCCCTCAACGATAATGAGCTTGCGGAAGGCTTCGCTTCACTGACTCGTAAGTCAGGCGTCTGTGTCAAAAAGTGTCTGCCATGAAGAGTTTGGAGTTCTCCTCAAGCTATTAGGAGTGTATTGAATTTTGAGTCTCGTGCTTTTCGTCTAAACATACTATTACAAACTCTGTGAGCCACCACATCAAGTTCATACATATCCTGCAAGTTGCACGTCAGCAACCAAATATGGGGTACTATAGAAGTTGACTCACCTTTCCGGGCTCCTTGGAAGAAGAACCTGACCACCAAGACTTGCAGGCCGGCCATACCCACCATCATGCACACCTCGATAAGACTGAAATTGAAGATTCTCTGCTCCGTACTCCGGACCGTGCTGAAGTTGCGGTTCTCTCGTGTGCGGAAATATTTCTGCATCCTGCTGACCGTGCTCAATTGCCCACTAATCTTGTAAATCATATCTTCCAGCGCTGAATGTTGTTCGGGCGAGGAGCCAGCCTTCTGAGGTAGGAGAGCGGATTTGGATTCGTCTTCGACCTGTGGAGCACTCGCGGTCAGATCTGCCCATGGAATGAGGGCTACGTGTCGCCTACCGCAACTTCAAAGTCCACCATCTTATCTGCAAAGGTAGACATCTCATTGTTGAAGCAGAAGCAGTACTCGCCGGGGTTCTGCGCCGTAAAGACGAAGTCTCCCTGGCGTTCTTTCTCCCCTTCCATGATTTTCTTGTCATTCGGACCATATACCGAATAGTCGACGTCGAAGGAGCCGCCCGATTGTACCTGAAGAGTCAGCATTTAGATAAGACTCGAGGGGCGAACAAGCAGCCATACCGCAAAGTAAAAGGCGACTTTGGCATCCTGTCGCTCGACGTTGGTGAAGAAACAGGCTTTCTCGCTGGCCCCGAGTTTGTAGGTCAATGCTGTGCCGTAAACGCTGGAGACGGCCAGGGCCAGCAGGCCGAGGAGAATCGACAGCGACCGCATGTTGTCACGCTTATTTTACTCGGAGAAATTCGAGATGGCGTCGCTTTTAATGGGCACACGAGTAAACTGTTCACTCAAAGCAAAGGGCCACCTTTGGCGCAGTCGCGCAGTCTACGAGTCCCATCTGGAAATCCGCTTTCTCCAAATCTTGGCGCGGATTTTAGACCGGATTTACCCCTGACACCATCCACCTTACCCAGCGTTTACCTCAGCCAGCTAAGCTACTGTTAGACTTGCTACTTATTTCACTGCACGGCTTCACCAACACTCGATATTCCACTCTGATCATGTAAGAGCGGTGCATCTCGCTGCAACCTCTGCGATGGTCCTAGCCAGAACCTCCGGCCTTCTGTGGAAGCTGGGCCATGTGATCATATGACGGCTGGTCAGGCTGAAAGTGGCGTGGGCTAGGTTACCTTACCTGGTACACAAACACTACCAGGGATTATGGGCTCCCCGTTTCGGCCTATTGCAGTCATGGGGGCCGTAAAAGCGCCCGATGGCCGCAAGGCGTGCTTCCTTACCCCTCGTTCTGCAAGAAAACCAGGTAGCTTGTCAGCCCCTGCTTGTCATGCGAGGATCATCAACTGAGACATGGTTGGCTCATACTGCATAACAAGTGGCAGTGCCGACCGGCTACGTGGTGATATAACATTCGTTGCAGCCCAACCTTTTGCATCAGGCTGTGAGCAGTATGGTAGCTTTCGAGCTTTTACTTCCTCGAATCTTTTCATCGGCTACCCATCAGCCGTTCACAGCATCGACGGCATCTCACAATGTCCGGTGTCGAAGCAATTGTTGGAGTGGTCAGCGCTGGTGCAGGATTAGTCGCACTCAGTATTCAACTAGGAGAGTCTGCAATGAAGCTGAAAAGACTATCTCAGGCCGCGAAGGATGCCCCAGGTACTATCGAAAGGTTATTGTTCGACCTCGAGACTATGAGCCTCGCACTGGGCCAGCTTGAACAGCACAGACGCCATGATACTCATAGTGAAGCTCTTATGACCCGCTGCATCACGCAATGCCAACAGTATGTGCAAGATATTCAGCAATTGGCCGATAACCTGGATCGCTGCCTTACAAGACATGCCAGGGTCCGTGGCAGGTTATACACAGCATTCAAGGAACGAGACGTGAAGGAGCTACTTGGTGATCTCGAACGTGCAAAGAGTTCACTGAACCTTGCTTACATGATGTACATGGGCGTAGAACAACAGAAACTCCATCAGGAGCATCGCAATATGCTGTGCAGTCTCCAGGACCTGGTGACTGTCGGAAGCGCCAATATCTCACAGCAATTGACACTACTCCTGCCTTCTTCAGAGCATGCACCTCGGCATCCACAAAATGTTCCTAGAAGCCATCTAGACGAAGGTAACGAAATGTCATTGACGGCAACGTACGGACCTAATACATTGTCGATGACAACTGCACGGAATCACAGCCAACTTTGCAACAGTGCGGGCCTTACCATAAGAGCCAAGCGAAAGAACGAAAGACCACGCTTTCGTGCCCGTTTAAATTTTCCAACTTGGCTTTCGTCTCGTGTCTGGGATGTCGCTTTAGTCGGTGCTCAAAGTGGCTGGAATATTCAATTTCGTACATATAACTGGGTTCCTGTCGACGCCCCGGTATTCGAATACGCTAAGCGGGGCGATCTTCAGCGCATGCGCCGGCTTATTGACAGTGGAGAGGCGTCACCACTGGACATGTCGAAGCCTTATGATGAAGCGCAACATTGCGAGACCTTACTTGAGGTGAGCCTTACATCCAGATGCCAGGATCATACTAACGAGTCAGGTCGCAGCAGACTATGGGTGGCTTGAAATTTGTCGTTACCTTCTGAGCCTAATAACCTTTCCAGATCAAGGAACAATTTTGAGCAAAAGTCTGAACCGTTTCGGCTTTTATAGCGGCCCTTCGGTGGATGTGTACCGACTCTTCATGGCGGCACCCGGATTCGATGTTGACATTTATGATCCCTTCATTGGAGAACACTGGCTGCGTTATTGCCCCAACCTGCATTGCCTCAACGTGATAATGGAGTATCAAGGCCTCGAACTCTCCTGTCGCTCACTGGCTGCTAGGTTCGAGTTGGCCGTCAATCTCCGCTCGGTGACGTTCTCGGACTTTCTCGGATGTATCGAGCTACAACAATCAGATCGAGAACTGGCACATCTTCGGGATAGCATCGGCAGGTCTGCGTTGCATTATGTTGCGAGTCGGCTTGCTCTGGATGCATTTGAGCCTGCCTTCCAGGAATGGTTCGACTTCGGAGTGGGTCTTTTACGAAATGGTGCTGATCCGTGCAACATAGCAGCAGACGTCAGAGGTCAGGATGGCTGGCAGAGCACACCCTTGTTAACATACCTGCATGCCCGTCATGGGCTGCGGCGACTGTGTGATGTTTCGGTTGAAACAGAATGCATTGATTTTTGGATCAACATGCTTCAGGTGGCTGGGATAGATCTCCTCCAGTATGGGGCCAAAGAGAGCAAGATCTGGGAGTCGTTTCGTTGTGGAAATAGCCTGGACATCGATATGATAGGACTCTGGTCGCCTTTGGAACGCTTAGATCTGCAAGTGAAGCGATTGCTGTACGGACCTACACCTGCAGATTGGGGTGTCGAGTTCTTCCGCATCCGAATTGTTCGAGTGCACAAGCTCCAGAAACTGCCAGGGGCATACTCTAGTGGATGTGACAACCCTGACAGAATCATCTGGAAGCCATACGAGGTCGAGGAAAACGAAGGTGTGTGGAAGGTCATTGCAAGGAAGACATTGGTGTCGGCCCTTGTGGACTCGCGGAGAATGTCCTCTCGTACGAGAGAGCCGTTTCTTGGCATCCTGGACGATTCACAGGATGATTCAGGCGTCATCGCTCTGATGCAGCGGCGAGCAACTCTGAAGCGCGAAAAAGGGCTGAGATATCGACAGAGGTCGCGTAGCCAGCCTCCCATCCTTCAGCGAAGAGAAGTGGCATACTGCGCGCAACAAGAACCCCACAGTCGGAAATGGCTGGGTCCTTGTCATCTATGCCCTTTCGACTCACGTTGGAAATTTGGTTGCCACAGGGTTGTTGAGGAGGTACTGTGTGACAATCGTGCTGGGGATGTGTTCGATGTCAGGAGCTGTGTTCTAGGTTTGTCGCTTTATGAGGCTTCAGCGCAAGAGTCCTGGGATTGGCAGGAATACAGTTTCCTCGCCGACGTTGCTCGGTGTCAAGATGAGAGAGTCTACAGCTTGGCCATGACAAAGGGAGGGCACACCGGGACTGCTGACTGTGCCTGGGGCTGCGCCAAGGTTTCGTTGAACCAGCTTCATGTACCAGAATCTCTCCGGCCTGGTCACCCGCAACGCTTGTTCAAACAATCATTGCTGACATGATGGCGAAGACCCCGGAGGACGGGCTATGCCCTTGAATGCACCTGAGGACGAAATGACCAGGATTACCAATTTCCCACAAACGACTCCGTCTCAAGACAAGATCCACTACGTTTCCAACGCAAGGAGCTGACTCTCGCAATATGGCGAGCGTGACTCCCTGTGCGAAGCATCAACAAAAGCCTCATGTATAACGAATTCTCGCCCCGTGGTTTCTCTCGCTTGGATTCGGCAATCCAGTTATTGATTGAGCCGGACGACGCAGTATAGGACATGACGCGGACTGATTTGCTCTTGGACACTGAGTTCGATATGGACAAGCATCCACTTGGTGATTATCAAACATTGTGCGAAGTAGATCATTCATTAATTCTGTCACCATCACCCCTTGAACTCTCCGTATTTTTGGTGACGATCATAGTATCCGCTCACTCGCTAAAGTGGACTCCGTCCTATCAAGCTGTCTTGCTGGGCTCGTCTAAGCTCGACTGCTAGGTCCCTTGACCTCTTCGTCAACTCCCTCTCCAGCTCTGATGCTTGCATAGATGCTTTTATGGTAGAATCAATCCCTTCGAATAGAGACTGACCTCAATTTAACGGTCAAGTCAGTTCCGTGCAGACCGTGCATTCGGTTCCGAAGCTCTGTCTGCCGCGAAGCCGGACTGCTAAATGCAATCGACTGACCATGGCACGAGCGGACCGTGGCACTATCGATGTCTTGCCACACTCTAGCGACAAGTTGGGTGCAGGTATTGGAGCGAGGCGGGCCGCAGTACTGACATAAATCGAGCTACTGGAGACAGTCGACACATCCCTGCTCTCGATGGAGATCGACGGTGGTTTTCGCACGAAGCCAAAGCTGTTTTTGGATGGACAGATGAAGAATGAGATCACAGCTGGAGCATTCATATCTCGACGGCAGGCGCGGCGGAGCCAGCTTTCGGTGTTTGCGGCTCCTTTTCCTTGACAACCTCGGATTTCGTACCCTTTAAAGGAGGGAATTCGAAAGTCTCACTCTTGCCGACCTTGCCAGCTTCCCATTGTCCAACTCGACTGCCTAGATATCCCTTGTCCCAAATCAGCGCGCCTACCCATGGTTGTACATTCCAGCTGACATGCAAGGTAGCATTTGCTCGCTCGCTGATAACACCAGTCGGGTCCGTGATCTGGTACTTTGGCTTCTGGTTCTTCAATGTGATGAATCCAGGCTTGACGAGATCCGTAGACTGTTTGCTAAGTGACTCTCTCCGACTCTTGGACTTTGACTTCTTCTTGTCTGGAAAGTATTTCTGCTTGAGATTCTGCCATGAATAAGGCGATGATTTAGCGGGGATGATTGTGTCCCAGATGACCGCTTCGGACATTCCTCCTTGGCCATCTTTGCTGGTGGGGTAGTTTGCTGTCACGTAGACAAACAGTTGCTTCGTGTTCCAGGTGAATAGGCTGGACAGATCTGCTTCGAGATCGAACCTGATCTGGGCGTACTCTTCTCGTTTCGTGGCATAGTAGTGAGGGCGGCCTTTGACGACCTGGACGTTGCGGACCGACACTGAGGCACTGGGTGAGCCGGCCGGGGCAGGAATGGGGATGATAGAGAGAACGGCAATTATCGAAGCAAGAGTGAAAGCGCAAGTCGTGAAGAACCCGAAGGTCGTCTGGAGTCGGTTGAGGGCGGTATGCATGTCTACGTTCGCCGACAGGCAAAGGTCACAACTTTGCGGCTTCGGCAGAAATGGGGAAAGATGTGTAAGGAGTAGGTAGTCTGGAGATGCCCGTTGTCAGGACATCACGATGCGAGGTGTAATATCAGAATAGGACAACTGCAAGGCATTTACTCCGTAATCCTAGCTGCAATGAAGTGAACACGGTTGACGCAGTTAGTTGCTACGAGTCATGTTCCCGCTGATTTGCCAAGCTCTGACTCGGGTGGTTCTGGATTCGGCACAGGGTGATGCCGCCCTGTGCTCACCCCCGGCTCGCCCTGACTCGGGGGTGAGCAATCACCCGTGTCCTCCCAATGGTGGGGGCCATTCTTACTATCTCCCATCTCTTATTCTACAAGGGCTGATAATCGAGTTCAAAGAACTGAACTTCACTATCGTACAGTCAGCGTCCTTCGAAACGCTCGTCCCAGTGGCTAGAAGCTCCATACTCGGCATGGTCTACATAACTCAAAGAGATGGACAAGTAAGATTTGCGTGAGCATAGTCGAAGGCATCCAGATACCCTATCAACTGGACCACAGCGGCGCATACCACCAGGATGTGAAAGATCGAATGGGAGCCCCATAGGTCGAATTTTCCAGGATATCGACTTTCGGGAAACCTAGTCTTGGAACCACATGTGTTAGGGACAATTTCTCTTTTGTGTGCGCAATTGGGAGACTCACTGCATAAAACGAAGTCCCAGATAGAAGGCAGCCTGCTTTTGCCAGAGTATAGGGAAAAGCTTTTCTCATCATCTGCGACATGCCGAACACGTTGAGTCCATGGATCAAGGGCGCAACGCCGGCGAAGCCAGTCGCCACGAACATCAATGCTCGGAAGAGGCGATACTTTGAGCCCTGGAACTTGGGATGCATTGTCATGAAGATGGTCAACGTCCCGAAAACTCCAATCTATCAAACGAGGAAAGAAGAGTGTTAGACTCAAATACCAGGTCTGAGATGAGGAAAAACAAAACTGTGCACATGGAGATTAACTAACCATAGACCAGTAGATATTGCGTGGCCAAGGTTCACACCAGAAAACCATGTATATTCCCAAGACAAGGTCGCCCAGTATGAAGATCACTACACCCAACATATCCAGTCGCAGGCAGAAATGTTCCACGTGTTGGGAGTGGTTCATCAAGGTGTGGTACGTCGCCGACAACGACAGGCACGCGACGGCCGTCAACATGAAGATGGAGAAAGCAATGAAATCGGCGCCAGTGACCCCGGAGTATCTGCTTGCAAGGTACTGTTGGATATACCACTCGCCGAGCAGGAAGAAAACGGCCGGGATGAGGTGGGAATAGATGTTGACCGACTCGTTGTGGATATACGACCAACTGGAGAACGAAGCGTGAGCCGAGCCTGAGATGGGCCGATAGCCATGGAGAATCCACTGGTTGCATTCACGTCTGTACCATTCCGGCATCTCATCAAACGAGAGAAGAACTGGGCGTCCTGCCTCGCCGGCCTTGGATGCTCTGTCGCTGATGGATTTCATCCCCGGCCCTTTGTGCGCCTCTGGCGGCTGCGGGGGCGAAACTCGAAGACGCGGAGCGGATACCATTTGCTGTCGTGCCTGATGATAATGTAATAAGGGGAGGCCGGACTTTGAGAGTAAGTGGAAATGCAAGATGAAGAAAGAGGTTTCCCCCTTGCTTAGTTTCTTGCGCTGCTGCCCTTTTATTCAGTTGTTCTCGCTAAGCGCCAGCCCCGACGGCTCGCAGGTGTGTGACGGAACAAGGAGGACCTAACCACATCGGGTGTCCGCCTAAAATTGTGCAATTGGCCCTCGCGATGTTCCGTAAAAGCGGGGAATATGCACGTATCCGGCTGCCTGCAGGCACCGCGACGTGTGGATCCTATCGCGCACCGTCACGGGTACTCGGTCCGTGCTCGTGCCGTTCTCCAAATCCACCCACCGGGAAGCGGCCGAATATAAGTTCAAGTACTTATGGTCTCATGGGCAAATCGTGTAATTTGGCGCTAGGGTGTCATTCGACGACAAACAGCAGCGAGGACAATTTGTGTGGCAGGCGGGGCTTCTGTTCAACGGTACTTAGCTGATTCAAGCGGCAGCTGTTTTGCACCCCGGTTAAGCGAGTTTCATTACCGATTTACCGCTAAGACCGTAATACTTGTACATTTGTAGACCAGGATTTTTGACACTTTGATTGGCTGCATCATTCCAGGTTGTCTGCGTTTCTGGCCCCAAGGGGCATCGAGAAACTGAGGTGTGAGTGGGCCCAAGCAAGTCACTTAGACGCCCATGATGAGGCTGAAGGAGCACGCTGATCGAGAGCCTGTCTGTCCGCTCGCATGTTCGTTGCTGTCTCCTTGTTTAATTGATTGCTTTGCTCATCCACAAGAATGCGCGCAATGTCCTGAAAGTAGACCTCGTCAAAAAAATGGTCAGACAGTCCAGCTTCGACATACCTAACACCACTCGTCGGCACCGACGCTCCTGAAGTCTCTCATTCCTTGACCTGCGCCCTGGCCGGATATGGGGTCCCGTGACGACTACACAGTCGGGTGGGTCTGCGCACTGCCTATAGAGGTCGCCGCAGCCAAAGCAGCGCTTGATCGCGTCCATTACAATCTACCTCCGGATGGGAACTCAGACGACGACAATGACTACATTCTGGGGAGTCTTCAAGGCCACAATGTCGTTGTGGCGTATCCGAATTCCAGGGTGTGTGGTAAAACGTCGGTGGCCGACGTGGCCACACAGTTGAACGCAAGCTACAGATCTGTCCGGTTCAATCTCATGGTCGGCATTGCGGGAGGAGTGCCCGGTACGAAGGAGGATATTCGTCTTGGTGATGTTGTTGTCAGCAAGTCGACAGCTGGCTGGCCGGGTGTCGTCCAGTATGACGTGATCGGGGAGCGAACGGAAGATCAGTTTGTTCGCAGCAGAGCGTTGGATCAGCCAACACCATTGCTGCTCACAGCTATGGGTAAGGCCGAGACAGCCGCCATTTTTGATGAAAGTAAGATGCCCCTGTACATCTCCGAGATCGTGCAGAAAGACCCCGTCACCTTTGCCCACCCTGGCCCGGAGCAGGACGTCCTCTTTGAGCCGAATTATGATCATGCAACCATCGAATCCGAAGACAGCGGATGCAGTCATTGCGACCCGTATAGGATCCGATCCCGGCAGCCTCGGGAGGTACAGGACCCCTTCGTTCATTATGGCCTGATTGCCTCCAGCCATCATTTGACGCGCCACGGAGCGACCCGGGACAAGTTCGCACACAAGCACGGCATTCTCTGTTTCGAGAGGGAGGCAACCGGGCTGAGGGATGCCGCCCAGTACTTGGTCATCCGAGGAATCTGCGACTACGCAGATTCGCACAGGTTCGAGCTCTGGCACGCCTACGCCGCAGCGGCTGCCGCAGCATATGCAAAAGAGGTCCTCTCTTTCATACCCATGGTATCCAAGACGATACCTCTGGCCACAAACTCGTATGCCGAGGCCACGCCCGTTCTTGACGCTTTGCTTCTGACAAGACCCGAGGTTGATCGGAAGTCCCTCATTGCATTGAAAGGGCGCAGGGTTGATGGCACCTGCGAATGGCTCATACAGCATCCCCATTATCAAGAGTGGCTGACAGATGCGAATCACCCACTCCTCTGGATCTCAGGTGGCCCTGGAAAAGGGAAGACCATGCTGGCGATTTATATCACCGAGGTGCTACAGCCACTGGTTGATGCCGCCGACAATGTTCTCCTCTACTACTTCTGCAGTAACCGTGACAAGAATCGGAATACTGCATTGGCCATCATGAGAGGCATCCTGCATCAATGGATCGACCTTCATCCTTTTCTGGCCAAAGACATCAAGATTTCCTTCGAGGGGACCGAAACAACCAAATATACCATTTCCAGTTTTGTCTCGTTGTGGAGGGTTTTCCTGACCCTACTTCAGCAGAGCACGTCTTCCCAAGTAGTCTGTGTTCTGGACGGTCTGGATGAATGCGAAAAGGAATCACTCAGGCAGCTTCTCGATGCTGTTAGGAATTACTTATCGAAGTCTGGGGAAAAAGCAAGGCCACGACTGAAGCTCATTATCCTCTCCCGGCCTCAGCCGGCTGTTTTGGAGAGCAAACTCAGCCAATATCAACAGATTCAGTTGGACGCCTCCGACACGGAAATTTCGCATGATGTAGAGAGATACATCTTCGCCAAAGTTGCCGAACTGGCATCCGAGCAAACCCTTTCCGAAGAGATGGTCGCGCACGTTCAGCAGACCTTGCTGACTGGCGCTGATGGGACCTTTCTGTGGGTTGGATTCGTTGCCAATGAGCTTCAGGGCAGGAGTTGGAGCAAAATCGATGAAGTTCTCCGCCATGTTCCTAAAGGCCTGGGTGGCATTTACCAGCGGCTTCTTCAGCAGATCGACGACAAGAAAGCATTGGTCCCCATTCTTCAATGGGTCGTTCTCGCTGCCCGGCCCCTCACACTGGAAGAATTGACCGTGGCCGCAGGGATCAAGACGGCTGGTACTCTTCCGGCAACGCAAGTGACCAAGAATCGGCTCAAGTTCGCCGGGTTGCTCGTGAAGGTCGAAGGAGATGTCGTCAACCTGGTTCACGAATCGGCGAAGGAGTTCTTTCAGAGCGATCAAGTCATCGTCAAAGGGATCGACATGTTCCATATGAGCCAGGACACCCACAGGACTCTCATGCAGACCTGTTTAGCACACGTCGAACGCGGATACGGAAATCCGGGAAAGATTCACGAAATGTCTGGCCACGATCCCTTCTTATCTTATGCCAGCCAGTACTGGTCGGTGCATTTCCACCACGCCATTCATGTGATCGATTCACCGTCCGAGTTCTCACGTCCATTCTTCCGAGTTGACTCTCCGATCCGGGACGAATGGTGGAAAGTCTACTGGGAGCAGGAGAAGAACGGCGGAAGCCCGCCCTCCTTCACACTTTTGCATCTTGCGGCATACTTTGGCAACGTACCCTGGGCCAAGTCGTTGATCAGCAAGCATGCCCGCCTCATTTCGCGGAAGGACAACTACGGCCGGACGCCGCTGTCCTGGGCCGTCAACCAAGGTCACCGAGAAACGGTGGAACTGCTGCTTGACCATGGTGCGCGT